CTCCAGATCATAACGACCAGGCTATTCCACGGTGTACTTTGGAAGGCGCTGGCACTGAGAGCTCTGCGCTACCAGTTGAAGGCCGAACAAATCATCAAGACAAAACAAATGCCTTCAAAAAAAAAAAAAAAAAAAATCACAAAGAAACAAAAAAGCCAAAAGAAAAAAAAAAAAAAAAAAAAAAGCCATAAGAAAAAATAAAAAAAGAGAAAGTCAAAAAAAGAAAAAGCCAAAAAAGAAAAAAAAAAAAAAAAAAAGCCAAGCCTAAAAAAAAAAAAAAAAAAAAAAAAAGCCAAGCCTAAAAAAAAAAAAAAAAAAAAAAAAACAACGATTAAAAAAGCAGACGATAAAAAAACAAATAGAACAAAACTAAAGATAAAAAACAAAGACAAAGAAAAATAACTCGAAGAAAAAAAAAAAAAGAAAAAAAAAGAAAAAAAATAAGCCAATGATAAAAAACAAATAATGCAAAAAAAAAAAAAAAAAAAAAAGTAAACTCATACTAACACCCTTTAATATAGCAACAATGCATATCCAAGATAAGTCCGAACGGGCATGAGCCTACGTTGGTTCTTCAATGAGCCATGCGGTGGCGGAGCCCCTTCGATTGGGAATGGGAATGGGAATGGGCATGGGTAAATAAACGTGTGTGTGTGCGGGCGTTTGCAAGGCCATGGGGCCTGACCAACGGAGCACGATATGCCAGACCACCTCCACGTGGTGTGCTCCGGACAACATCTTGGAGAGTCTTTTCGATGATGATAAAGGAAAGCACTCTCCAAGGTGGCTAAGAGTCTGGCTTCTTGTAGCTTAGAATAGTAACCAGGTAAGCTAGATAGCTAGATAGCAAACAATCTCTTAATAAAGTAAAAAAATAAAAAAAAATATTCAATCGGTCATCTAATCAAAGCAACAAAGCATATTGAGGATCTGCATATGCAGTTTTTTATTAAGAAATCGACGTGTCATTCCTGAAGGAATACACAGCTTTGGTCCCAAGCCCTACTTGTTGTGGCAAGGCCCGCTATGGAAAACAAATATATACTTATATAGAAAACTCCTACACTAATGCTCCAGCCCTTGGTGGGAAAGAAAGGATGAAGAAATAAAGGAACAAAGCGCCGTCTTGGATTCTACTTCCAGCTAAACCAACCAAAGCTTGTTGCTTGTGGCCAAAAGTGTATAATATATGGATGTCAATTTACCCGTGCTCTGGGCCTTATTCGCTTTTTTAAAAAAACCAATCTCTCCACTTTGTTGCACCGCCTCACCATTGGAGAAAAATAACTAAATCGAAAATATTGTGGCTCGTGCTCGCATTGTTTGTGATTGATTAACATCCCCTCCGCTCATCGCCCCGGCACTTGGAGATAAGAGCTCTTTATCATTTTTGCCAAGAACATAAGATGGCATCAACTCTTAGGTGTAACCTGCTTTCGACTCTTGGAAGCAATCCACTATTAACTCCTGGATGATATATTTACTGGCCAAATTGAGGTCCTAGTCGTTCGATAGGCTACTGCAATGGAGGTTCTGCTTGGAGAAGCGAGGGTAACAATCATAGGAGAGGGTAGAAGCTCCAAGGCACCGCAGACAATGCAACGAAACATCCTGATCTTGAAGCTGAGTTTCCCCCACCCATGAGGGCTTTTTCAACACTTTCCCTTCTTCTACTTTGTAGGTGTATGAAGAGTAATGAATAAAGTCAATTTTTACGCTTTGCAAAGCATCGAGACATATTCTGGATTTCTTTTTGCCACTGTTTAGAAACTAGTCTCACTTTAGGCCATAAGAGAACAAGGTACACCCATGCATTGTCTTTTACTACAGCACTCAGTCAGTGCTTTTGATGTCAAAGTACTGACTTTCACGAGCATCACTCGCTCCTTCCTCAGCAGTGCTTTGAATATCACTTAGCCCTCCTCAGCTTCAACGGCAGCACACTACGTCACTCATTTGTGGCGCCATTTCGGCTGCCTTTATAAACAACACCAACGGTCTTTTCCCTCTTTCTCTTCTTTTCTTTTTCTGTTCATTACCTTGTCTTAATCATTCAGCATAGACCATCTGATTCACCTCAATATAAACATCTAATTCACCTTGACATACTCATCTAATTCACTTCAACATAGACATTGAATTCACCTCAGCACAGACATTTAATTAATTCCAATACACATCTAATCTATTCTGACATTCTGATTCACCAGCTCCATAAACAGATGCACATTCTAATTCACCAACTTTATTTTCTACGTCGTAAACAGAAAACGAATTTTGATCCACAAACTCTATTTTCTACGCCACAGACACCGAATTATCAATTGCTCCAATGACACCCAAGCGTTTGAATCAGCAACAGCAACGGCCTACATATTCTCCTTATTTCCCTCCACGTCTCCCTTCTTCTTCATACCGACCACCACCACCGCCCCCTTTCCATCATCACACTTCTCTCAAACAGACCATTGCGCCACCAGGCATATCATCTACATCATGGACTGTATCTCATGCTATGGCACCAGTGCTCGCTCCGCCACCAACACTTGAGCAGCTTCAGAAACTTGAGCGCGCCACCACAGCCCCACAGCTCCCGTCTATAACTGCACGACCTCAAACAAGCACGTCACCATCTACTGGATCTACTGATGCAAGGCCTCCAGCGACCAAGGAGACTGTCGAAACCATCTCGGCCATCATGCTCAACACGCCTCAGTTTTATTCTAAAGTACTCGATCTCATGAGCAGTATGAATATTCCTATGTCTGGTACTTCAAAGCACACTCAACCAACGGTAATAGCCGCAGAGACTACGGAGACTACGGAGACTACGGAGACTACGAAGGTTGCAGAGACTACGAAGGTTACGGAGACTACCGAGACTACAGCAACTACAACGACTACAGGGGCCACAGAGACATCATCTTCCGAACCAGTGCACAGGCTGAGTAAGAATCAGAAAAAGGCTCAAAAGGCAAAGGCCCGACGCAAGGCCTCGGAAATGGTGAAACTGGCTCGAAGCCACTTCAAGTCTGAAGTCGGGACAGCTTCATCAAGTGAAAAGCCGGTGGCTAATGAGAAAGATGTACAAAGGCTACTTAAATTCCAATTGCAGCTCAGGGATCAATGGAAGGTTCGGCGGCACGACCTTTTCCAGCAAGCACAATACAACCCTCGCATCTTGGAGAAAATCTCGAGGACCGTAGCAGAGGAGCAAATGGAGCTGAAAAGAAAGATGAAATATACTCCCTCAAAGAAGGTCAACGCCAACACTTATTTGAAGATCTGCATGTTGGAAAGTGTAGCAGACCAGGCAAATGAGGCGATTGCTTCTGTTGCAAGGGACTTGAAGGTCCCAATTGTGCAGGTGCTTCTAGAAGAATCTAACTATCCAAATGGCAGAGCGTATAGGAGGGCCAAGGCCTTAGCAAAGAAGCTCCCAGGTGAGAAGTCGGAAGGCCTGCGCACCAATCTTTTGCGCAACGAAGCGCTTAGACATGCAAAAGCAGAGGCATCTGCAGATGCTGCGTACACTAAAGGCCTTGAGCGAAGCGATGAAGTGAAAGAGAGCTGGGATCCCGCAGAGGCTGTAGAGAATCTCAGAGTCGACAGTAGTTCTTCCACTTTAGAAGAATCGCACGAGACCACTAAGGGAAAAAGCCTTCGATCCATTCTAAAGCAAGGTGATATAGTGCAGAGGCCTCTCAAGTCTGAGAGCACTGACACTTATCGCTTTGTGGCCCAAGAGGACATGGAGCTTGAATTCGATTGCTCCTGGATGTTTTCGAACATTCCTAAACTAAGGAGCAAATCGGATGTCCATCAGGCAGGACGTCTTTCTTGGGGAAAGAGGGCTACAAAGCTTTTCGCAAAGAACGACGTTCCAAATGAAAATCAAGGATGTAAGCGAAAAGCTTCAGCAGACGCAGATGCAGATGCAAGGACTAAAAGCCCTAAACGACCCAGAGATGACGAGAGTCCATCTAAATGCATATTAAACCATGTTAGTCACACCTGATTGTTTTGTAGAAATAAAAGGTTTGATTTCGTCATAAAAATCATTGGTTGATGAGATTGATCACTTTTTGTGTGCAGCTACCCAGACTCCTCCTTGCCTTTCTGTTTCGATGTATTAGTCATATGGTTTGTTTGGAACAAGGACTTACCTCGGTGGAGGATATGGAGATGGAACACCATGTCGGAACTGTCTTTCCCTGGTACTGTTGAAACTTGCTCTATAGTGCTTCTCCTTTGAAACTATGGCTCGAAGGCTAAAGTCACTGCTGATGCTGTGCCACCGATGCTCTTGGTGGTGCTATTGTTGATGCAGATGCTAAAATCGATGCTGCTGCAGTAGGGGCTTATCTTTGGCCAGACATCCTTCAGCGCCGATGAAGTGTTTCGTGATATTGACTGGCGTGGTGCCATAAGTGATGGTACTTTGGTAGGAGATGTACTATAGGAGAAGCAATGGTGCTGTTGAAGAATGAGGTGGAAGGGACAGTAACAGGATCAGAGAGGCGTTTTTTACGTCTCCTTCAACAATGGCGATGTTTCAACAGTGCCGTAGCAAGTGTCATTGTGAGAAGAGCATGCCGATCACGTCCACATGCGCTCCGGGCTACTCGAAAAGGTCTATAGTGGTACTATCCTTGCTTGGATCCATTCCATTATCATACTAAGGATGATCGGAGCACATAATATAAAATTGAGACGTAGTCAAGTCAAATGGTGGTGTTGAGCGTATGGGGAAAGGGCATCACTTCACAAGCGCGTTTTATACTACAAAGAGGGTATTGGGGAAGTATCCGATTACCCATGGTTGGCTAATGATGATGGTTATCTCCAACTATGACTGGACATGCTCATATGCGCCGTGTTGAGTGAAAAGACATTCCTGACTGGCGTCTCATTTTGGCTCAAAAATGTCTCATAAAAACGTGATCGAACCTTTGTTTGGTTGATCAGAGCAGTCATGCTTCCTTGCCTTTCTTGATTGACTTCGGGTCTGCATCGTCGGCTGTCATTGCACATTCTTACGCTCACAAACACTCGCAGATAGATTCATCCGTTATGGCTGCTCCTCTCAAAACTCCTCTGGGCTTCAATCCTATCCCAGCTACTCCCTCTCTCGCTGCGCCCGTAGAGTCCGCAGCTCCATCTGGATTGTTGGGCCAGGCAAAGGCTACGTTCGCAAAGGTCCAGAAGTTCCGGGAAGTCTTGAACCTGCCCAACCCCGGCACATATGAAGGCGTCAACCGTGAAGTCAAAAGTATGCAACGACATGTCCGATGAAGTCCACTTTTTTAAGAATGGATAAGAATGATTACCCTGGAGTATAAGATCCGCATGCATGGGAAACCGATCGTCAACATGGCTTCAAAGCACATTCGAAATGGGAACAACCATACATTTCTATTCGGATTTAGCTGATTGAAACACCGGTCAAGGGTTCTTTGGAGCTCCTTCGGATACTATTATAACTTAGAGGGGTAGAAAGTGTTAATATGACAGGAAAAGTAACAATAGTGATAGTAATAGAGCAGGACCTTGAATTACACAGACTCCATGCTCAGGAAATGGATTCAGGATAAAGATGTGACATATTTGTTGTTATGTCATCAACGTTCAATATAACACACAAAGATTGGTCTAGTTAGCGAATTTTCAGACTTGAGAGCACCTCATTTATTCATTTATTGGCCTTCGATCTGATAAACCCGACCATACTGAGTTCTCTTTTTTCCGCTTTTACTTTTTTATCTTTGCTTCATTAGACACTTTTTTAACCAACCATATTTTTGATGGTGCCCGCTGTGACATTACCAAGGTCTTGACTCCCAACTTTCAGGTCACTCATTCTTTTGCAATGGGTTCTGCTGTCGCTCCTTCGAGTTATAATTTTGGGACCGCATTCATTGGACAGCAGGTATAAATTTAGAGGCTTCAGGAAACTACTGGTCTTTTAATCTTGATGTACTAACTTTGAAAATGAATCGTTTGTTTCTTGTCTTCATTTGATCAGTCATTCCTTTCTGGAAACTTGGATACTGATGGAAACGTGCAGGCTAGAGCAAACTATGCATGGAACAGCGGTAATGTCTCTAAAGTCCAGGCACAGGTAAGACGCCTTTTTTTTTTTTTTTTTTTTTTTTTCCTGAATCTGTTTTTACTGCGAGCTGACAGTGGGTTCTTCTTGGTACTGTCAACTATGATGTCATAGCTCTCCAACACTCCTGGGCATTCAATGCTGCAAGTAGAGCAAGACTATAATGGACGCGACTTTAACCTTAATATTAAGGGCGTCAACCCTTCCCCTATCGATGGTACTGGAATTTTTATTGGATCATACCTCCAATCCGTCTCTCAACACCTCGCCCTTGGCGCTGAAGCTCTCTACCAGCGTCCCACGCCCGGTCAGGAAGAAACTACGCTTTCTTATGTTGCGAAGTATACTGGAAACGACTACATTGCAACCGCACAATGGCAAGGCTTTGGCGCCCTCTCAGCTGCATACTACCTGCGCTATTCCGAGAAAGTTGACTTTGGTACAGAGATCCAAATTTTGACTGCAGGAGGTCGTCGTGATGCTGTGGCAACGGTTGGAGGCAAGTTTGAGTTCAGACGCTCGACCTTCCGTGGGCAGGTTGATACGACAGGCAAGGTCTCTGCCGTATTAGAGGAGAAGATTGTCCCGGGCTTTTCGTTCTTGATCAGTGGAGAAATGGATCATGGGAAGGGACAGAGCAGGTTCGGTCTTGGCATGATGTGGGAGGTCTAAAAAGAGAAGCTTTCCTTTTATTACTATTATTGTTATTATTATTTGGTTGACATCGACAGGAGAAAGTATTGCACACATTTTTTTTATAACTGGAATGCATGCATGAGGATTTATCTACTCAGCGCAATAGGCTGCACCAAAGACAACAGCCACAATAACGATATGAGAGGATTTTTTTTATTCTTTTAAATATTGATAGACATCATCATCACAGTACTATTACAATTCCAATATTATTACATTTTCTCTGCTCTGTAGTTCTAACAAAATATTCTATTATCCTCCAAATAAATAAACAGATCTGTGCGGACGGGAAAATTAGGCTTGTCAATCATCCGGAAAATTGCTGTAGACCCACAAGTAATAAACAACTTTAGAAGAACGAATTAATTTTTCAGCCATTCGCTTGTTTTGTCCACATTCTGTTAGATGCCTGAAGCAAAGATTTACGCAGCGTTGCATGTGGCGGAGATTTTGTTCTCCATCGCACTACATCTCTCACGGAATGACTTTTTGTGTACACTTCGCGTCTGTCGTTTTTGGCATGCTCATCTACTCCCTCTTCTTTGGCACACCATAAGACTACCACCACGCCTGCCAGCCTTACGAGCTTTAAGTAGCTTTGAAATAGGCGCCACTAGCAACAACGCCAATATTAATGATGACAACAACGATGGCTCGCCATCCCTGCCAGGATTCCCCAGCACCGGTATCTTTCAAGAACGCGCTCACTTGATCCGTTCTTTGAATTGCAATAACATCCAGTACCATCAGCGGTATCTTATACCCTATTGCAACCAATTGACGAGACTAGAGATCGTAGACCTCACAGAGGAAGCGTTGCCGTTTCTTAGGTTGAATATGAAAACCTTAGTATCAATTGACTTTGTACGTGAGCGCAATCTGGTTCGAAGACCGTTCGAAATCTTGAATTTTTTGCGGACCCTTGATCAAGCCCCATCTTTGGATCAAATGAGGCTAGAAAATGTTTCGATCGATGGACCCTTGGATGAAGAAAATGCAGAGGAATATATAGCTCAGCGGAGAAGAGACAACATGGATAGAAGACGGCCCATGCCACCACTTTCTCTTCCTTCTCCGGTTTCACCAACCTCCTTACCATTTTCCTCTTCATCGCTATCCTCATCGCAGGTATCGACTACAGCAGCAATAGGAGCGCCTATCATCATCAGAACAATGGAAGAAAAAGCAGAAGCGATTGCATTGTTCTACCAAATTTTACATCGCCTATCTGTAGTGGAGCTAATTGGGGCCGTCATTGAAACACCTCCACCCATCGAAAGCGATATTTTTTATCGAATTCGGCGATTGACAATACGAAAAAGTACCATGAGCATCCGAGGCCAGCTCCAGATCATCAGTCAATGTCAGTATCTAACGCATCTCACTTTACAACTCATCGGCGAAAATAACAGTCATAGCCATAATAATGATGGTCTACTTCGCTCAAGATCAAGATCAGAGCTCAGTCTGGAAGAGGAACTCGAGATTGAGCGGTTGGAGAGCTGCTGTCCTCATATAACGCATTTGGATGTGTCATTATCAACGATCAGGGATCGGGAGCTTGCAGCCCTAGTGCGGCAGCTACCAGGTTTAATTTCATTACGGGCACAGGTGACAAATATGGCTCAGGAAACAGTGGAGACATTGATAGGCCCAAAATCGAGGGTCCGTGAACAGCTGCAAGAGTTGGATGTAGTGGATGCCCGACCGATGCAGACGGATTTGACTCAGCGGATTTTGTGCTCTTGCACAAGGTTGAAACGGTTCAGAGGATCATACGTTCATGTTCATCAGTTGATAAGATCCTTGAAGGAGGATTTGACGCATACATCAACGACAGCAACACAGATAACGAATGATATGGTGAAAAACTCGCCATCCACTTCTACCAATTCAATAATGTCATCGTTTCCATCATTCTTGTCGCTCGGCTGGGTCTGTCTTGAGTTAGAAGAGCTCCAGCTCAGTTTCATTGGTATTGGCGATTTAAGCCCTGATGAAGACGAAATAGTAGAACCAGAAGCACGAAGGCAGCTTAAATTACAGGAACAGCTTAATGTGTATAATCAATTGTCCAAACTTCGACGACTTAGAGTCTTACACTTGGGTGGGAATAACAATTCAACATGGCGTCGAACCATGACATTCACGCTATCGTTAAAAAGTGGATTTGAAACCCTCGAGACACTAAAAGAGTTGAGAGAGTTTTCTTTCAACTATATGTTCCATCAACTTGGGTTAGAGGAAATTGAATTCATGGTGAAACATTGGCCCAAACTTCGCAAAGTCGTCGGCATCCTCCGTGTGGTTGATCCTCTCCCCTCCAATACTTCATCAGAGTCTACGGCGCAGCAGCAAGAAGTAGCAAAAGGAAAAGAGGTCTCCACTGCGTCTATAGCAACAACTGCAAGTAGCGGATATGCAAATGGGAATATCAGGAAGTCAAGGTTTCATGTAGAGCGGCCAGATATCTATTTACGTCGAAAGTATCCTCTCATAGAGTTTTTAGACAGATGAAGGAATAAATGACAATAGAAACGATAGTAGTAAGGCAGAATTAAACTGCTCAGCTGTTCATACCCATATACTCACAATTACAATGTGACATATTCAGTTCTGGAAAAAGATGGGTGTTAAGTCTGAAGCAGACCCAAATGTTGAAGATAGGACATAACTGAAAAATCGACACAGAGATCAAGTATTTTGCTAGATCACTGATTAGGAAGACCAAAAAAAAAAAAAAAAAAAAAAAAAAAAGAGATATTGGTGTACGATTATGACATACAAAACTATTATTTTTTTATTGTCCTCCATGTTTCTAGTCGCTGTCATCATCATCACTATCATCACTTGCACCTGGTGGGAGATTGGGTACTCCACCCATCCCTACGACACTCAAATCTTCGATCATTCCAGTATCTTCCTCTCTATCGCCTGTTGTTGCTGGCGCGCTCAAATCTTCTGGATTCGCTGTTTCTGCAGCATCTGCAATGGCACTGACATCAGCAGCATCCTCGTCTCGCCGGCGATTTGATTCCTCGATCTTTGCTTTGCGCTCTGCAACCTTTTTAAGGAAATCCTTCGGTACGGGGTTGAAGATGCCTCCGGTAGGAGCTTGACAAGCTGCACATTTAGGGCTTTTGCGATATCGCTTCAGGGCACATGATTCACAAAAATAATGGTTACATCTATTCAAGGAATGAGTAGGAAAAGAAAGGGATAAAAATATGTCGTCAGTACATATTTACAAAAGATAGCAATGGAAATTTTCGAACCACAAATGGGGCCAAGGCCTATGCGACTTCTTACTTGGTAACGATTGGATGCTTGAATTCTTCGCGACAAATCAGGCATGCAAATGGAACGTCATCGTCGTCGCTTGAACTCTCTGCCTCTTCATCCAGTCCCTCGATCAGTGCCAGCTTCTTGGCCCGTTGCTCAGCTTCCCATTCCTGATCCAGCTGCCATCCTGCTTTGTAATCACCACGATCATGCATGTAGATACATGAATCACCATAGCCACAGTATCCGGTTTCCTTGTAGTCTTTGCAAATGTCTGGTTGATAATCGAAACGGTTAGTGACTCTGATGTTCGCTGATGCCCGCATAGGACCGATTCTAGAAGTACAATAAATTAAAAAAAAAAAAAAAAAAAAAAAGTAAGATTCTAAGTTCTCTGCAATACAATTTTTCAGATCTCGAGGGATCTAGGACATGGTTGCAAGGGGAAATGAAAACACAATACCTAATTTTTGAGTTAGTAGTTTCTCCTTTTTTTATATGCGATTTGTAAGCTGCCATGCCCTTGTAGAGTCCATCATCTAAATCATCCAGTCCGTTTTCTACTGCTCGCATGTGTCTGTCAATGACAGCCTGAGCATCCCGATCATGTGCAGTATCGATCTCTTGTGTCCTTGTAGCGTCATCAATTCTGATATTGCCTTCTAGCGTAGCTTTATAAGAGATTCCGACTGTCTTGTCGTCATCATCTTTGGATGCGAGGCGGTTGGCTGCACTGGTAGACGAAGCCTGTAAAATATCAGAGTGAGATGTCTGTGGTGCTCTTTTGGCGCTGCGCTTTTTGGAGACAGAAGAAAGAGCGCTGTGGTTGTCATTAGCGATTGGTTTACTATTGGTTGCTTCGGCCTCATCATCAGAAAGATTGCGCTTGCGAACGTTCTTCTTCTGATTACGTTTCTTGAAAAAGGGTACATTAGGCGCTGAAGTGGAGGTAGTGGTCGTTGAGTCTGACATGATCGAGGAAAGAAATTCTTTTTTGTACGGTTTTGTTGCTGTCGTTGCTTTTGGCTTTCTGATTTTCGTAATAAAGATATAAGTTCCAGTAGAAAAAGGATATTGAAGTTGAATGTGTTCAAAGTGACCGAGCGATTTGTAATGAAGAAAATGAAGAAGCAATCCATCAAAATGTAAGATCAGGCTTTATCTGAAAGGTCGTCACGTTTTAGGTTTTCTGAGCGAAATTTGGCCAATGCTCACGAAACCATTCTCGCTCGGCTTCACCAATAACATTGCCATACACCCTCCCTATTGTAAATTTCTTCAGCTTTTGCAACGTTTCAAGGCGTCTTAATCCATGGGACAAAGACAAATCCATCCAGTCATAAGTAGTTGCAGGTACATACTCCACATTCCCCAGTTCCAAGACACTCAGATCCGTCAATGAAGCCAACTGACTGTACATCCGTTCATGGTCCTGGATCCTAGCTTCGACAGGGCCAGTGTTCATGATACTGATGCTTAGCTTCTTAATCCGGGTGCACACCCATGGTTGCCCCTCCACGATATCCTGTATATCAAACACATCTCCTTCAAATGTCTCTAGATCCTTGCAATTCGACAACAGCAATTGAACCATGGTTGAGTTAATTCTTCGGCAGCCTCGAATATCTAGTTCGCGTATTCCACTTCTGAATTGAATAATCGCTTGCACAGACTGATCTGCAAAGTTGCTGTTCCTTGCATCCAGACTAACTAATGCCGGGAGTGATTTGATTAAGGCTTCAATGTCCAGATCCACCAATGCTGCTAGAAAAAGTATGAGAGTGTGAAGATATTCAAGTCGAGGGTCAAATAGCTCTTGGAGGTGTGGCTGTTGGTCCTCACTCAATGAACTAGTTGGCTGCCAATGAAAACGCTGCAGGTTGGGACACCGAGACACAAACTCGATTTCTTCAAGAGGCAACATTTTGTTCTTGATAAAGATCAGCTCTTGTATTCCTGAAAATACTACTGGGTTTGAACTTGGTAGATCCCATATTGAGGCTGATAGGTGCAGGAGATGAAGTCGCTGGCAAATCGTTGTAAAATATTCGACCTCATTTAAATTGACCTCGAACAGACCTAATCGTAGCTCTCGGAGTTGATTCAATGTTGCCATAGCCGCTGTCAGTTTATTCAGACGATAAGCACTCGTTTCTGGTTGATGCACATTAGGGCGTCTGCTTAACGACCGAAGCGATTGCGCATTTTGCAGGACGAGCGCAGTGCTCTTGAGACTGATAAGGGATAATTCAAGCTCGTAAAGATAACAGCAATTGGGCAAAAGAGCATCTATGAGAGTGTCGTCTGGGCATAAAAGGATTCGGATAAAATGACAGTTGTTTTGTAGATACGTCCTGGAGAGAGGCTGAGTTCGCAGCCTCTCCATAGCCCACCCTGAGGGAAGCTGGACAAAATACCAGAAACGGTGCTGAAGGACAACATTCCAGGTTTTATTCACACGTAACGCATTGGTCAGGCTGTTCCGGTCCAGATGATTTCCGATGAGGCTGATAATTTCTGGCAGGTTAAGTGGATTAGAGGAAGAATCATGATTAAATGCTTCTGTAGCAATATTTTGCATGGTTACAGGCTTATAACATACAATTTTCTTGAGAAGTGGGTAAGATAAGAAAAGGTCAAGATGATGTGATGACTGTTATTGAAGTTGCAACTTGCCACCATTTGATAAAATGATTCAGCCACTGCTTTCCTTAATTCTATATTTCAAGCACACGAAATTTATTTTAAAGGGTATCCTGACATTATAGGGTCCATTTTCAGTACCCAGAAACCATTTTTTAAGGCTTATTGATTCTTTATGCTATGGCGGATCTTTTCAGTAGCGATTCGTCAAAATTTACCTACAAACTGAAATACTACATATTTATAGCGATAAGTGCTGCCTATTCACTATTCCTGTATTAAAAGTATCCCACCCAATAATGTTTTTGGTTGACAATTCTCCCACATGCAAATGTTTCACTCTCGACCGTTACGCAGTTTTTCTCGCACTGATTTTTAGCTCCAAGCTCTACTCCGCCACTACTACTTAAGGTGCCATCTGTCATTTTTCCTTTGCCTTCCGCCATCTTTTCCTTTGTCTTTCTTTATCTTTTAACTTCTTCCCCCTTTATCGAGCTTCACTAAAAATGCCAAAAATGGCTCTAGAATGCACTAGTACGTTCTGTGTTCTAGGAATTAACTTCAACGCCTCGCTATCAAAGAATGAAAGAGTTCATCAGAGAGAATACCATATATCCGTCTTGAGAATGAATCTCGGAGAGCCGAAATGCATCGTGGAGATAAGTCGACAAAGTTTGTTGGGAGGAGACTTCAGGTGTTCGTGCGGCGGCAGATATAAAGCTGCCCGGAGCATGCGTAATCACTGTTACCAATGTCTATTTATAAAAGACGTAGCCTCCTTTGCAGTCAAGAATGGAACAGATGTTACCACCTCTTATATAACAGTGAAGCTATCGCCAACATCAACTCATTTCGATCGAGATCCCGCAGAGACCATTCAGCAAAAAAGACAAAGAAAGGGGACAGATGAATATGAGGAATATCATGGAATTGAAGATAGGGTGCAGAAAGATGAGATACAGGGAAATGAGATACAGGAAGATGAGATACAGGAAGATGAGATACAGGGAAATAAGGTACAGAAAGATGGAATACAGGAAGATGGGCATCGTAAGGTTAAGCAGAAGGCGAAAAGTACTCGCGCCGACAGGGCAATATATCTTCTAGAACAACTCCTAAAAGAAGCCCAAAAACAGAATGAGCGCCTAGCAACAATAGACGCCCGGGTAGATAACACACTCAATGGTATGACGATAATCGTCAAAGACGTCGTCCAGATCATCAAGGATGAGGTTCAAATCGTCAAGGATGCAGTACAGGCCATCAATGCCGTCAAGAATGACGTCAAGCTCGTCAAAAATGAGATCAACGAGATGTCTATGCTCCCCATCCCGTCAAGGAAGAGATCCAGATCATCAAGGAGGAGGTCTAGATCCTCGAGCACTATCGACAAGGTGTGTCAAACTTTTTAGCTAATCACTAGTGCAGCAGCAAGGTTTCTTCTCTGATAACAGGACATCTGCAACTCATTCTATACTCTAACCCAAGGCGATGAACCAAGAAATGCCAAAACAAAAAGTCGGAGGAAGAACGCAAAAAATAGCTTTATTTTCGCTAGGCACTCCTGACTCCTGCCTTGTGCTGAGTTTTCAAACTCTAGCTCCCTTCTTCCTATCTTCACTCATACTTCTTTCTATCTCATTGATATTAATAAAACATTGCGTACTCCCCTTTTGTAGATGGGTCAATGGGTTCATATGTACTTCCTGCTGATACAGAATTTGTGGCAGCTCATATCTCGTACTGCTGCTCTCACTCTTTGAACTAGTTCTATCATCAATCATCAAATTCCTCGATTGCATGCAATAAATCTATCAACTGATGGTGGTTCCATTTCCTGAAATGTATCTTTACTGCTATTGGCATCAAGTACAACGTTGTATTAGTCTTGTTCGGCTTAGTGGTGTATTTTGAAGCTGCTTTTTTGGAGCTGTTTCCTAGAACGGAATGGTCGCAGAGAGTCAGCTTCATGTCAATGAATAGAATAGTGTAATGTGAAAAAAAAAAAAAAAAAAAAAAAAAAAAAAAAAATGTACATGTACAGTCACATGAAAAAATTATACGGCAAAATAAATTTAGAAAATAATTGACGCGAAGATAGCATCATCCTCTCTCTTTCTTTTTCTCATTTTTCACAACAATAACAACTTGAAAAAACCACCATGCCTTTAAATTTGGATATCGAGGATAAAGTTATCATGGTTGGAATGCATCTTGCGGGAATGAAGGATGCGGAGATCGCGCTGAAACGTAATGTATCAAGATCAACGGTCTACACTATTATTCAAAGATATTACAAAAGAGGTACCACCGCTCGCGCCCCCGCCCCAGGACGACCAAGAGCACTGAGTGAAAGAGATATCAGGAGCATAGTGCGCTGCACAAAGAGAGAAAGGAGAGCCACTCTTAAGGACATCACCAATCAATTGGCGAAGAAAGTGTGCACAAGGACCGTTGCAGAGATATTGCATTCACTGGGTATCTTCAGCCGGATCGCGGTTCCAAAACCATACTTAAATGAAGATCATATGAAGAAGCGACTGGCTTTTGCCAAAAAGTACGAGAGTTGGTCCAATGAAGATTGGAGTCGGGTAGTTTGGACTGATGAATCGTCATTTGAAGTTGGCGAGAATTTCCGTAAGATAAGAGTTTGGCGTACGGCGGAGGAAAAGTACGACCACGATTGCCTTATACCCACTTTCAAGAGTGGTAGAACATCCTTGATGGTCTGGGGGGCATTCACATCAACCAAAAAGTCTCGGTTGGTTATATTTAAACGAGGTCGTAGAGATGGGCAGTGTTTTGTGGAAGATGTATATAAAGTTGAACTAATCAGGTTTATGGCTGAAGTAGAGGGCGGCATTCTCATGGAGGATAATGCTCCAGTCCATACTTGTAAGATAGCAAAAGAATGGCGTGAAAATAACAACATCTCTAGGATTCCAGACTGGCCAGCATGTTCTCCGGATATAAACCCCATCGAGCGTGTATGGTCATTTCTCGCTAATGCACTCGATAAGCGCTCCAGAGGACCAAGAGATCTCCCCAGTCTCGCAGTAGCTCTTACTAAGGAGTGGAATAATTTGCCACAAGAGAAACTGGCAAGCCTTGTTGATTCCATGCCCAACAGGCTGAAAGAAGTGAGGAAGGCTAAAGGTGGGCACACTCATTATTAAACCCACATAGTACTTTTACCTTTCATACAGTATATCCTCAAAACCTCCATAAAGAAACAAAATCGACCTCTTTAACGAATTCTAAAGTTTCATGTTGATTGATAAAGTCTTTGTGTATGTTGTCTATGATCTGTTTGTCAAGGGTGCTCAAAAAATTACAAAAAAAATAGAATTTGCCGTAAAATTTCTTCATGTGACTGTACAGTCACAGAATTGGTGGCAATTGGTGGCGAATAACAAGGACAATCGCTTGTTTCATTGATAATTAATTGCCTTGACCCTTTCTCGACGCAGAACGGAATGAATCCATGAGCTTTAGCCAAATGTAAAAACGTGACATCCTATTTAATAAAGCTTGATCTTACATCGAGTTGATGAATTGTTTCTTCATTACAAATCACTCAGTTACTCTGGACACATTCAACTTCGGTATCCTTTTCTTTATTGAAACCTGTTTCTTTGCCAAATTCAGGTGGTGGAAATCAGCAATAAACCTGTACAAAATTAGAATTTCTTCTCCCGACCATGTCAGAGTCAACGACCACTACCTCAGCTTCAGCATCTAATGTACCATTTTTGAAGGAACGCAATCAGAACAAGGGCGTTCGCAAGCGCAATCTTTCTGACGATGAATGGGCTGAGGAAGACAACAGTAATTCAATTGCTAATGGCCACTACAACGCTAAAAAAGCACTACAGACCACACGTACTACTCGTTCTGGACGATCACCATTGACCGCATTGAAGGTTAACATTTCATCGAAGCCTCTTCTTGTCAAACAACCGCCCAGTAACAAATCCTTACAGACACTTGGAAAAAGGTTCAAAGTACCTACATTTACAGATCCCAGCAAAGCACCAGCACCCTCGAGAACAGGGGCATTCAACCTCGGAGTAAAGCGAAGGCCTCCAGTAGAGGCCAAATCAGCGCATGATTACACTATGGAGGGATCGATCATTCTTTATGACCCTGCATGGGCGCAACTAGATGAGGCTCAACGAGAAGAAGAAATGCTTCTCGAAGCTTCACAGGGAAGCGCAAGTACCGAAGGAGACGACACAACGCCCCAGGTCATCATACCCAAGAAAGAGAAGGCCAAATACAAGTCGATAGCAGAAATGCTTGGGCTCACAAAATCAAAAGAACTTCCTAAAGTTCATGTCGTGGTATGTATAAATTGATCTTGCATTGGCGAGTTCTAGTATTCAAGCTCTTTGATAGATACCAGATGAACTTACTTGCGACATTCCTAGGTCGACCCTATTCTAGGCAGAGTTTTGCGGCCACATCAGGTTGAAGGAGTCAAATTTATGTACAAATGCACCACAGGAGCTGTAGTACCAGATGCATTTGGGTGTATTATGGCGGATGAAATGGGACTTGGAAAGACAGTACGTTCTTTGACATTTTGCACTAACATCGGCAGTTATTTTAATAGAATGATGCGTCTTACATATCTATATCATATGTACATTTAGCTGCAATGCCTCACGCTACTATGGACATTACTAAAGCAATCTCCGGATTTTGGCAAAGGAACTATTGAAAAATGCATCATCTGCTGTCCATCATCGTTGGTGAGGAACTGGGCGAATGAGATCATCAAATGGCTAGGCCCTGGCAAGATTGGGGTCATGACCTGCGACGGCAAGGGCACCAAAGAGGATACAACTAATGCCATGAAACAGTGGGCATCGGCCAGGCAGCGCATGGTTGTAAATCCTGTCCTTATCATCAGCTATGAAAGTTTGCGAATGTATGCGCCTATTTTAGCACAGACACCTATCGGGTTAATGTTATGTGACGAAGGTCATCGCTTGAAGAACTCGAGTAAGTTGCACTGCCTTTGAGCATAAGACTTTATGCTTGCACGACTTTGCCATGTTGGACTAATTTATTTCTTTTATGGGATGTCAGATTCACAAACTTTCGTAGCGTTAAACGAGCTGAATGTGCAAAGACGTGTTATTCTCTCAGGTACACCCATTCAAAATGACCTCTCCGAATACTTTTCACTTATCAATTTTGCGATCCCAGGGCTGTTGGGGTCAACAACTGAGTTCAGGAAGAACTATGAGTTGCCTATTCTTCGTGGACGCGACTCCGAGGCATCTGAAAAAGAGCAAGAAATTAGCAACCAAAAGCTTACTGAGCTTTCAGGGGTGGTTAACAAGTTTATTATCAGGCGCACAAACGATATTCTGTCGAAGTATTGTAAGTTCACTCTCGTGGTTTTTCGGTAGTAAAACTTCTTGACGATAGCACTTCATTAGGACTGACCGCTTTCTTCTGGCACAACATCTAGTACCTACCAAATTTGAGCACGTCGTCTTCTGCAAGCTGTCGCCCTTCCAGCTAGACCTATATAAACATTTTATTAACTCTAAATCAATTCAGAAGCTACTTCGTGGACAAGGATCACAGCCACTAAAGGCAATTGGATTGCTAAAGAAGCTGTGTAATCATCCAGACCTGCTGGATTTGCCTGATGACTTGCAAGGATGTGAGGCGTTGCTCCCGCCAGATTATCAAACTAAGAGCTCCAAGAAGCCGATGTCGCGTGGGGGCATTTTAGTACAACCAGAGTTTTCAGGCAAGATGATGGTACTAGCGCGCATGCTGGCCAAGATTAAAAAGGACACAAATGATAAGATTGTGCTAATCTCGAACTACACACAAACCCTGGATATCTTTGAGAAGCTCTGTCGGCAGAACCAGTATGTTTTTTTTTTTTTTTTTTTTTTTTTTTTTTGGATAACCCATAGACCAATCTGTACATGTTGTGAATATCGTATGTCGTCTAACTTCTCTGATGTTTGAATATATCTCACGCACATAGGTATGGGGTGTTGCGATTGGATGGAACCATGACTATCAGCAAGAGGCAGAAGCTTGTCGATCGCTTCAATAACCCCGATGGCAACGAGTTCGTGTTCCTGTTGAGCAGCAAGGCAGGAGGATGTGGACTCAACTTGATTGGAGCAAATCGACTTGTTCTTTTTGATCCCGACTGGAATCCAGCTTCAGATCAACAGGCGCTAGCACGTGTGTGGCGCGATGGTCAAAAGAAAGACTGTAAGTATCAATGTTATTATAGGGATATTTTGCGCTTCTTAGAGTCATGCTCATGACTTTATCCGGCTGACTTTATATTTATCGCCGCTATATAATTATTTATGCTTGTAGGTTTTGTTTATCGATTCATTGCAACGGGATCAATTGAAGAGAAAATCTTCCAGCGGCAATCACATAAACAATCGCTCTCGTCATGTGTAGTGGATGAAGACCAAGATGTAGAACGGCATTTCTCACAGGAAAATTTGCGCCAACTCTTTCAGTTCAATGACACGACTGAGTGCTGTGATACACACGAGACATTCAAGTGTAAGCGGTGCGTGGATGGACGCCAAGTGATGAAGGCAGCACAGGTATCTTATGGCGATACTTCCACATGGAACCACTTCAAGGGCGACCACGATCTTATGAAGTTGACAGACCCGTTACTCAAGGAGGAGGCTGACACAAATGCGGTCTCGTTTGTATTTCAGTACATTTCACATTAGATGTCTGTTTTTTCTCTATCTTCTGCATACTATTGTCCTCCATTGTTGTATCAAAGCTTCATGATTATTTTGTCTTGTATTTGTAGATTGTTGCTGTGTTGGTCATCCTCAATGAACTGACTTTTTAGATACTAGTCATTGGCCTTTTCATTTCTCTGACAGCCTTTAATAAAAAAATAGAAAAAAATAGAAAAATAAAAAAATAAAAATAAAAAGAGACTATCTTATACATTACAAAAATTGGTTGGCTGGGGATAGGTTTACTGGAGTGCAAAGGATGCTGGAGTATTAGAATATCAAAAAGACTTGGTCCCAAAACCAATCAGTAGTTTGAACCATCAGATATGAGCACATTCTTATAATATGCCTTTTCAACGATCCGTCCGTTTATTGACTTCTTAGAGCTAAATAATATTTCTGGCACAATACCATAATCAAGGAGACCTCAAATAGCATGTTTGTGTATGCAGGTTCACACATACGCCCTGGAGAAATGTTAAAAAGTGATACGGCAGGACGACCTTGGAAATGCCATCCACTCCACATTCACAATAGGTTAACCATTGCTATCGCTGCTCGGAGAGGATGGCAACTTCATCGCTTAAAGCTAATTCTAGCAATCGATATCTCAGCATTCGAGAAATACAGGCCCCGGTGTTGCACTTTATCGCAATGATGTATACTCTAACCGATGCACGCATTTAATACGACAAGCTCTCCAGAATAAAAACATAGTCGGGGAGCTTTTGAAGGCAATTGACTACGAAATCTTTTTTCAGTCGACAACAGAAACTACAACAACATCAGCAGCAACATCAGCACCAGCCCCTTTTTACAAGATGGACAACGATTTCACGTACTGGCGTCTGTCTATTGCGGAATTCTGACCAGTCTTGTTTAATAAAAAAATAATGTGCTATTGAACCAAGTTTGTTTATAAAGACTAATCAAACCCCAAAGCTTGTGATCAGTTTCTAGCAGGACAAGGCTTATATCAGGAAACCCTCCTAAGAGATCATTCGATAAAGAGTTGTTTTAGGTTGTAGAAGTTTTGCCTTTATATAGGAGGGCCTATGTTACTATATAATTGGGGCTCATTGAATACGATGCTTGGAAATATTGGGAGGAAAGGGCGTAACTTTGGGATTTCACATATGCAAGGAATGAGAATCTATGGAAGCTGTCATACATTAAAGAAATTTGGGCGAAGCACATTGAGCAATGTGACATCTTTAGTTTCGAAGCGTAAGCATGGTGTTGGTTCTGTTTCTGTCTGAACCTTCAATGCAATGTGGTCTTATTTACATTGATATTCTTAGCATTCTTACTGTGTGTAGACAAATGATCAGGAAGCATCAGTTGGATGCTACAGTCTATTGCCTGCCCTCTCTGGCCATTGACAAGAGAGACAGTAACAAGGCATGTATCACCTGACAATGCAAGTCTCGAACTTTTTTTTTTTTTTTTTTTTTTTTTTTTTTTTGATTCTATTGCTTAGTTATTTTCATTTCATTGATCTACTAAAGCCCAACATTTATGCTCGCATCTTTCTGACGCCCAAAGATCTTCACCGCCTGCTCTTTTTTTTTTTTTTTTTTGCCTTTGTTTTTGCCTTTGTTTTTCAAACCTTCACTCCCCATTCACTCTCTAACAAACATAAGGTCAACAGCCGAACATTTACAATAGTCATATCATATTATACCATCCTGTTAAGACTCTTTAATATGGTTAGTTCGATAAAGACGCTCGAGGAGCATGAAGATCAGAAACAAAAGACCACACCCTCCTCTGGATCCAATGCCGTACACCATCCTCATAACAGCACTAGTCACGATCATAACCATCAAAGAAAGCATCAAAACGGTAATCAAAAACATAAAAATAATAATAGCCATTTGAAGGAAACCGATCAAGACCAACATCAACAGCACCAGCATCATCAGCAACATCAGCGTCATCAGCGCCAGTATCAGAACCAGCAACATCAGCACCAGAATCAGCAACAGCGCCGACATCAGCACCGACATCAACAACAGGGACAACATGATGAGGCGATTAAAGTCACCAAGGAGGGAGCTGTGTCTTCTTCTACAGCTTCAGCTACAGCATCCTCATCTTCGGTTCCTCCAGCCAATATCTGGAAAGCTCGAAAGGAAGCTGCTAATAACACTGCTCCGACGAGTTCTGGAGCAGGCACGGAGAAGAGTGCTGGGAAGATCGATGAGGCTACTCTTGGTGAGTTTTATTTTTGTTTGTTTGTTTGTATACATTGGAACGTATTACTTCATAGCACTGCGCGAGGATGAAACCCTTCCATCTATTGGAAGAAAGGCTATTTGGAGAGGTTTTTTTAAAACTTAATTTGGTCAGTCAAACATATTCCATCGTATCCATGATTTTTCTACAGGTGAATGGCATGATTTAGAATGAAACAGAAATTTATTATGCAAAAGGGAGGAGGGGAGCTCGGATGTGGACCTACCGCGTCTTGAAACTTACTCTCCCTCTTGAACAAAAAGGAAAAAGGGCGAAAAAAAAAAAAAAAAAAAAAATAGTAGAGCGGATCCTTTTTTTCTTTTTTTACTTTTTATTCTTCACCGCGACACAACCCAAAGGATAATCATTTGTTCGAGGAACAAACATAGCAAGGTTAAAGATTCGTCCATGTCTTAAATTAAATCAATTGCAACATATTCTGACGGATATAGAAACCAAGGATGAGGGCAAACCCAAGGAGAACAACAAACAACCATATTCTCAACAACAGATACAATCAATTCCGTCGCTTGATGATACGAATGTCTGGCCTGACCCGAGCGTTTCTGCTGAAAAGGAGACCAAGCCAGAACCCACTGCTGTGGCTGCACCTGTCAGCAAGAAGGACAAGAGCAAATGGATGCCTGTTACGCCCGCCATCACCCATACAGGGCCAAAATCTGGCCCCAAGGGCCGTGCACGCCATCATAACGATGACTATAGCCGTAACCATAATATCCATAATCCTATCAATAGCAATGGTAGCAGTAGCAACAGCACCAACAACAATCATGACCCACAAAGCTCTCGACCTCGTAGTAATCCCGTACACGACAGTGATCCTGGTCATGACAACAGAAATACCCCTAATGGTCACTTGAACAACAAAAAAAATGCTTCGGATAGGGGAACTCACCCTCTTGCTGTCGGTACAAGCGGTCGTCGAGCCTCCGTACCTGCTATGTTTGACAGCGAGCCCCCACAGAATCAGCGCAACATGGATCGCCACAACAATGGACGTGGCCGTAAGTTAGTTAAGATAGAGGCCCAGTTGCACTCCACGCAGATCTTGATCTTTCCATAAACAGTAGAAAATGGCGCTAACCTCTTGATTCTTGTTAAAAATTTTCAAGGAGGGACAAGATCCTACGGCGCTCGATCTAATAACCGTGCTTCAATGAGCAATGTTCCTCACTTATACCAACAAGGAGGTTACTTGGATCAGACTGAAAGGCTCAAACCATTCATCCTCCTACAAATGTACGCCATTTTTTTTTTTTTTTTTTTTTTTTTTTAAAAAAAAAGGGGGGGAAATATATAGTAACAAGCCCTTGCTCTTTTGTTTTTTTTTTTAGGGAATACTATTTTTCAGTAGAAAACCTTTGCAAGGATATCTACTTGCGCAAACAGATGGATGACGAGGGATACGTGCCTCTTCCGTTTGTTGCCAATTTTAACCGTATCCGATACCTGACTACAGATCTTGCCCTGATCAAAGATGCTCTCAAGTCTAGCAAAGAAATTGATATGCATGGAGATAAAATCCGCAGACGTGGTGATTGGGCCACTTGGGTGTTCCCCAAAGAAGAAAATACTGCGTCATCTCCAGCACGCCATCATTCCTGCGTACCACCCCTGAAGTCCCTTCATCCCGTATCGATCTCTTCACCCATGCCAACCGAACGTACGCCCGCTGATGGTGGGCAAGATGAATGGCATACCCAACATATCAAGACCAGGAAGCGTGGCTCGTCTATTAGCACGTCAAGCCCTAATCTTCATCAGGCCAAGCCGCAGGAGCCGGGAACCAACTCAAATGAAGATGACCAAGTCTTCCAATTTGATGACGATGATATTCCCCTGGGAAGCACAAGGTCCGGTACCGTCCAGAAATACTACGTTAGCGATGATGAAGACGATGATGACGAATTTGATGACGACACTGTTGCCAAGATCCTGATTGTTACCCAGAAGAAGCGCGACAGGTCGCATGGATCATACGAGCGCAAGGCTATGAATGATGATATCAACGAAATGATTAATGAAGGTCTGTATTTTTATGAGCATGATCTTCAACAGAGCAAGCATGGTAATAGTAGCAACCGTCGCCCCAATGTTGGTCCTCAATTGAACAAGAAGGTTGAAACTATCTCAGAAGAACAATTCGCTGCCCTTACAGGGTCACAACCCCGTCATAGTGACACCCTGAGCTCCATTCCCAACACTCAAGCTACTAGTACTACTAGCGCCTCAAGTGTCACTGATCGAACTTCAACCCCTACACAGAATAACGGCCAGAACGATACTCGGGGAGGCAAGAGTAAAGGCAAGAAGGATCAAACCAACCGAGCTCCTCGATTCTACCCTCTAAAGGATGATAAAAGTAGTAAAGAGTTGAAACCAGATTCACGCACGCACCATGCCCAAGATGCTGTCGGATGGGTCCTAGGTGACCAACCTTTCCTTCCCACGGATCTACCTCCAGGCTCTTTCAGTAACTCTCCTGCAGGGCCATCTATGGGGTCTCATATGGATTCCCCGAGCCTTTCCACATCAATGGAGGCTCCACATTCTTTCCCTGCGTTCCAGCACCCATCACACGAGCTCCTTCACCAGAACGGTTTCATTCAGCATAAATACTACAAATACCACTATAAGGCGCTGAAAGAACGCAGGCGTCAAGGCATTGGACACTCACAAGAAATGAACACGTTATTCCGATTCTGGTCGCATTTTTTGCGTGACAACTATAACCGCAGGATGTATGCAGAATTTAAACGATTGGCAGTGGAGGATGCGAATTCCAATTACAGATACGGATTAGAGTGCCTATTCCGATTTTATTCTTATGGGTTAGAAAAGAAATTTCGTCAGGATCTGTTCCTGGACTTTGAGGCATTAACGTATGCAGATTACCAAAATGGCCATATGTATGGACTGGAAAAGTTCTGGGCGTACTTGTTCTTTAGAAAGGACAAAGCCCGCCGAAAGCTGGATGTGATGGCGGAGCTCAAGCCATTGTTGGAGCAGTTCAAGACAATTGATGATTTCAAGAACGTGCAAGCAAACAACAGCAACCACAATCCTCCTAACAACAACTATGTGGTGCCAACACATGGACCTACAGATGGACACAGTGCACATGCACACAGACTCTAATACTGCCACTGTTCACCAGTCGATATTAATGAATGTTTTTTTTTTTTTTTTTTTTTTTTTTTTTTGACTTTTCAATTGTAGAGTATTTAATCATTTTCGACAATTTACTACAATCTTTCAACATTAAAATATACGGAAAGAGCCGTTTATATATATAAAAAAGTATATTGATCTATATGCTGCGACATGTGCAGAGACCAGCGATACCCTTGTGGCGGCGCGATCGTTTCTTCTGAACAAAACGCGAGAAAATGAGCTAATGTGGTGTCTGCGTCACGTCTAAATAAGGAAACGATAGAAAAGATCTAATGCAAAGTACCAAGGAGTCATGTGGACAGGAGCCCATTGGATATTCATAGCTTGATGAGCATACGTTTATACGTTAGTGTCTAAAGGAAGGAAAGGATGTAATATCGCATGAGGGCATGGATGAGATAAATTTGTGCCCAGGTCTATTACGCGTTCTTTGTTTTCTTTGTTCTCTCTTTATCGCTTTTTCTTTCACACACTTTTTTTTTCTCCATAATTCCACATTGTTCATTTAACAATGAAGTTTCAATCGCTCATGCTCATCTCGCTGGCCAGTGTCGCATTGGCTTCTCCTGCATGGTGGGAGCAGTGGACTGTCAATCGACACAAGACTGTCGCTGATAACGGTTATGGCAATGACGACAGACGTCTTGTCCAGACTGCTGCTGACCAGGCTCCATTCTGGACAACTGAGCATGAACGTCTTTTAATGTTCCGCAAAAAAATCAAGTTTATGGATATTACTGATCACCAAGATCTTGGTACCTCGCGTCTCTTTACCATGGGCAAAAAACGTAGGCATTTTTTTTTCTTTTTTTTTTCTTTTTTTTTTCTTTTGTGCAAGATATTCTCTCTTCAAACGTCGATTGGCGAGGCACTCGGCACTAACCGACAAACAACCCCTCCCCCAATATTTTTTTTTTCCGTCATTTTGCCAATCAATAGCTCTTCCAAAAGAGGCTGTTCACCAAGAGGAGTTCGCTAAATACGTTGACCATTTATCAACAGCCAATATGGAGGTTGCATTAACTAAATTTACAGAGTTCCACACTCGCTACTATAAGAGTGAGACTGGCTTCCAGTCTGCCAAGTGGCTATACAAGCAGATCAGTGATCTCATCGAGGAAACTGACGCCGACTCGGATGTTAGTCTCCGTAAGTTTGACCACGACTGGAAACAATTCTCAATCATTGGTAAGTCCAGCCGATTTCTATCATCTTTGTTGAAAAATATTGTACACTGTTTTGCATTTCATTGAGGCTCATGCCATACTGTGTACAATATGATTTGATAGCTCGCTTCGAGGGTAAGAACGAGTCATTATCGAACGAGCCAGTCATTGTGGGTGCACATCAGGACTCTGTCAACATGTGGCTTCCTATGCTTCGCTCACCTGGTGCTGATGACGATGGATCTGGCACTGTAACCACCTTGGAAGTCTTCCGTGCTCTCATCAACATTGGCTTCCACCCTGCACGCCCTGTTGAGTTCCATTGGTACTCTGCTGAAGAGGCTGGACTTTTGGGTTCACAGGCTGTCGCCAAGAGCTACGAGAAGAAGGGTGTTGACGTTCTTGCTATGATTCAGGTGAGATACCCGATTATTATTTTAATGGAATTGGTGCATTTGAAGATTATTTTTTCCCCTAATAAATACTAATGTTTTTTTTTTTTTTTTTTTTTTTTTTTAAATTGTAGAATGACATGACTGGATACGTTGGATCCAAGTTTGCTGAATCGTATGGAATCGTTGTTGACCATGTCGATCCAGAGTTGACTCAGCTCGTGAGCGTAAGTGGAAGCGAAGAAGCAAGGGCAAGGATTGAACCTTTTTTTTCTTGTATTAGGACATTATTGAGTACTGATCATCACTGTTTTGGTATTAAAAAAAAAAAAAAAAAAAAAAAAAATTTAGGTCTATGCTAAAGAGTATGGAGATATCCCAGTTCGTGAGACCAAGTGCGGTTATGCCTGTAAGCTCTTGCTACATGTTGTGAATGTTAGAAATAAAAACAATGTCAAATGTGATCAGCATCTAATCGTCTACACTTTTTTTTTTTTTTTTTTTTTTTTTAAATAACTCTTTCAGGTTCTGATCATGCTTCATGGGCGAAGGCAGGATACCGATCTGCTTTTGCAATTGAAGGAGAGTTCTCTGATAACAGTACGTGTGTTTTACAATGTTGAGATGTTGATAAGAATGTTGCGAAATCAGAGATTAAAAAACTAAACTGGCATTTTATTTTGTGTATCAATAGGTCCATACATCCATACAGCAAACGATGATTTGTCACACATTAATTTTGACCACATGTTGCAGTTTGCTAAACTGACTCTTGGATTCACAGTTGAACTTGGACATTTCAAGGGCGGGGAGAACTGAAAGTCAAAGTACCAGAGTACCAGAAGTGCAAGTAGAAGTAGATAACATTCCCGTGTCATGTTCACCTGTTTATTATATGGTTACATGAATAAATGAATCAGCAACACAGCCTGATGAAAAAGCATGCCACAAAAACAACTGGATATGCAAATGTATATTTATCGTTTATGTATTTGATTAAATGTCTGCCCCTGTAATTCTTGTCGTGTGTGTCAGCGTCATTCATTCATTTCTCCAGAGGAAAAAGACAACAAGAACGTTTGCCATCAGCCGTCATCAATCTTTCATCATTCATTCCTCCACGACAACCATCATACACGACCATCATCTCTCTTTCCCTCCTCCTCTCTCTTTCTCCCTCTTTCTCTTATTTCTCTTTCTCTCCCCTCTCTTGGGACTCGCTTCACTCCAAGTGCCTTGGCGGCTCAATTCATCACATCTAAAACACTCCTTCTACTTGATCTCGCCTCTCTCTCTCTCTCTCTCTCTCGCTCCCTCCCTCTCTTCCTCTATTCTTGATCATTTCATTCATTCGTCCGCTCATTCATCAACTCATTTATCAACTCATTAATCTATTCATTTTTTCGTTTATTTGTTCATTTATTCATTTGTTCACTCACCCATTCATCATGAAACGACCCAGTTGTAGCCGGTGCTATTGTTTGCTACTGCTTATGGCATTGATTCCTATAGCTGCTACTGCCAAACTGCACAGGTATAATAAATGATTCTCTCTTTCACACACTCTTGTGTGCGCACTCCCACTTTCTTTCTCTCTTGCACCTGTGCTTGGCTATTATTACTACTATCATTCCTATCAGCATCGCCTATTCCTGTTTTCTTATTCTTTAGATGTGTTTGTGTCATGTCGGTCATTTATTTATTTTTATTTTATCATTCCCGTGTCTGAATTGTGTTATTTGTGTTTATAATTAGAATATCTGTCCAACAGCGCCCCGGGTCAAGTCCGAGGCCTACACGAGAACTGCGCGCCCATCACGAGTCCCGTGTAGCCTTTATGTCCAAATTACACACTCTCAACATTCTTCGTAACAACACTAATAGCCAGGACTCTCTCCTTAATTCTACCACTGCCACTACAACAACAACTTTCACTGCAACAGCAACGACTATCCCTTCTACTTCAGCACCCTCAGAGAAGCGACATGAATTTACAGTCACTAATGTAACACAACTAGACTCTGATGAGAACGATACCATTGATATCGACCCCATCTCCAATCTCGATCGAATTGAACAAGAACTGCAGGAACTTGAGCAGGAACAGAAGAAACATGATGATATTCACAAGCGAGCCTATGTCGGCGTAGCGCCTGTACGAGGGAATTCTCTTGACACACAATGGGTTGCAGCCATGATGATCGGATCTCCTAAACAAGAGTTCTCTGTCGTTTTTGATACAGGCAGCAGCGACCTTTGGGTCTCCTCCACAAGTTGCCAGTCCACTATTTGTACAGCTCTTCGGCGATTTAATCCCACACGATCAAGGTAAATTGTTAACTACTCACGGTTTCTACTGCCACCTTTTTTTTTTTTTTTTTTTTTTGTCTTTTTTTTTCTTTAAAAAAAAAAAAAAAAAAAAAAGCATGCTAGGATTTGGACGAGATAAGAGCAAATGAGGGGTATACGATCTGGCATGCATGGATGAAGAATGCAGGACACGCACAGGAAAACAAAGGAAATCAGGGCTGATTGGGCTAAACTGAACAAATCCATGGAGCAACAAAAAAAAACTTAATCAGCTGATAAGCGCACACCCAATTGCCAATATCGATGTCTTATACTTTTACCCATACTGTTATGCATCTGCACATGCACAAACATATAAAAAAGAGAGATCAAAATACCAGTTGGGCTGTTTTGTGGCGAAAACTCTACTGGATCTGTTTTTGTGAGCGATTATATGTAGAAAATACCTGAACAGACATGGGCGCAATCCGGTTTCTCAAAAAAAAAAAAAAAAAAAAAAAAGCCTAAGCAAAGCGATAGTCTGAACTTCAATTTGACACCATTCATGATTCACGGCTAGCACAAAAATATGAATCCCTGTTGGCTAATATATATCGTTTTTCCTCTTTTCCTGTAACTTAAACCAACAACAGCACATTTCGTCAGGATGGGCGTACATGGTCAATTAACTATGCTGATAGCTCTTGGGTCACAGGCGTATTGGGCGTAGACGACATCACTGTGGCGGGCATCACTGTCACCCATCAGACATTTGGCTTAGCCTCGGTCAATACAGGGTCAACCGCTGCTACAGGCGTCGATGGCATTATGGGCTTAGGTTTTGATACAAACACTGAGATTGGTGGTAGGTCTTATCGCAAAGGGCACACTATTTACGGCGATAAGGGACATAATCGTGTCATGTATCTGCTTCAAGGGAATAGCATTTATTTTTTTTTTTCCTTCTTTATTCTCCTACTTCTAGATGTGAAAACACCGGTGACTAACATGTTAGAGCAAAATCAGATTGATCAGGCCATCGTCTCAGTCTGGCTCAATAAGGCTTCAGATCAGGACGCGAGCTTATCAGATGGAGGCCAGTTCATTTTTGGTGGCGTAGATCACTCTCTTTTCACAGGGGCAATTACCTATGTTCCCGTGACATCCTCCAAAGAATGGCAGATCTCTATTGACCGTTTGTTTATTGGGCGCAAGGAACTGACGCTCTCTAATTCAGCTTCGTCAGCGATTGTCGACACAGGATCGTCCTATATTCTCTTCCCAGACTACCTGGCGACTGCATTCCATCGAGCCATTCCCAACTCTCAATACGATCATAAGCTGGGTTGGTTAATCCCTTGTGCACTTGCAAACTCGAGAACTGTAGGAGACTTAACATTTGTCATTGGTGCACAAAAGTACAGTGTGCCTCTCTCGGACATTGTCATCGTTAAATCCGAATACAATGGATACTGCCTTAGTGCTATTGATTCATGGCAAGAACTACCTGGACATGGGTCTCAATCTGTAAGTTAAAATAGTTAATACACATGTACTGTACCAGAGATTTTTTTTTTTTTTTTTTTTTTCTTTCCTGACATCTTCCACCATTCCCGTTATCCTATAGGGCATCTTACTTGGGGATTTATTCATCAAGAATCAATATGTGGTGTACGATTACGAAAAGAGGCAGATTGGATTTGCAACAAAAGTTCATACGGCACCTGGAGGAATTGGACTCAATGCAAAAGGGACGGCTGGAATGGGTTGGAAAGGCTTGATCGAGAATGGTCGTGCAAGATCCTTGGCCCTTGTTATCTTGACCACACTTGTAGCATCATCATTTTAAAAAAATCTGTGGCATAATCTAATATTTAGCGTATACTATTATCATAAGCATAAATAATAATATTTTAATACAATAATATCGAATTAAATAAATCTGCCCCATGCGTATTGTCAGCTCAATAGATTGGATGAAAGAATAAATTCTCTCTCCTCCCTCATACGGCCTCAGATTTTTTTCAAAAGGTGCCTTCGTACATCATCAGGATCTGTAGAATCAGCCCAGTCAAAGTGAGTGATGATGAACATACAAGCAACGTACGAATTAAAAATAAAAATAAAATAAAATAAAAAGGAGGAAGTGTAGGTAGTAAAAAGATGGATTTGACGAGAACAAGGGAGGAAGAGGGGGGGAACATTATAGAACATTATATGAAATAGTTACTACAAATGTCTTTGACATGCTTTTGACCGCACAGGAGGAACATGGATACGCCCAAACTTTTTAAACACAGGTTTTTAATCAAGACCCATGAAAGAAAAGCGTTCGGGGAGAGACATGCGGCCATCTTTGTTTGCAAAAGGCCCGAGAGGTATATAGTTTGTGGATATTGCATGATCATGCACCGTTTGTTGATGACGATGCCCTCTGTTTTACTGTTTGATCCGCCGCATAGCTTGGAACATGACTATGATGATTCTGGACGATGGACATCGATGTAAAGGATATGAAAGGATTCTACAGGCCAAGCAACTTTTCTTGATTTTATGGACTAAACTTAGACTTTTATTGATATTGTTTGGTGAAGACTCAAGCATTGCATTTACTGAACTTTTTTTTTTTTTTTTTTTTTTTCCTCCGCTGGTGCATGTACTTTTTCTCAAAAGAATACTCGTCAATGGTCAATGGTCAGAGATACATTTTGATAAGCCTACAGAGAAGAGAAGAGACCAACGAGCACCCTTCATTTCTTTGTTGTCCATGCATATGCATACTTGTGCTGCTTCCTTTAGACTTGTGCGATTGGTATAAGAGTGAACTTTATGAGAGAATAAACTTTTCCTGTATCAATACTCTAGCGAGCCTTGCATTCACCTTGTTTATTCCCTAACCAATTCTTCAAGAAGGATTCCCTGACTTTGTTTTATAGGAGTTGGAGATTCAGACGCTCGAATATGGCAGCAATATGTCGTTTGTTTTTTTTTTTTTTTTTTTTTTTTTTTGTTTTACAGCAACCCTTGCATGCAGTTAAAAAATAGACAGTTGTGCATTGTAGGACATTATTAATATGGACGGGATTGAGACTTTTTCGCATTGGAAAAGAAAAAAAAAGGAGCAGAAGAGATGAACCAAAGCAAGGGTCCAATGATCATTGAATCCCTTTTTTTTTAATTCTTCTATCCATCCAAGTCTGAGGATGAGAGTATCATGGACAAGAACCACTCCAAGAATGCTTTATTATTTTTTATGTTTTCGTTGGGTTCGACTCTTAAGAACGTTTTCCCTATCAATGGTTTATAGATATGAGCGAAGTCTATTTCAACCGTTTCCGTTTCGTTCATCCTATATTCTAGTCATTAGCAATATCTAATGATGATATAAAGCGCTATAGACGTCTACTATCACCTCATTCTTCTAGTTCTTCAATGATTTTTTTCTTGCCCATCTCCTCTTTAGTATTGGTCTTTTTATCGGCAGTTGGAGCCAAAGCATCCTCGAATTCAGCACATACGGTTAGTCACCCCACCCTTTGTTCTTTTCCTGTGCTTGCCTATACTTATTCTCTGTATACCCATCTTTTGTGTCCATTTTTTTTTTTTTTTTTTTTTTTTTAGACGAATGGCCACACCCCCTACCCTCTATGCCAAAGCCATAGTCCCTTCATTTCTTTTTTTTAACTGCTTAACTGACACTTACACTCATATATCCTTTTTTATTCAATCCTGTAGTCTCTCAAGAAACTCCAGAGATTATCCTGCCCAGTGTCATAAGATTCTAACGATATATTCCACCGTATATCTGCCAACTATACACGCAACATTGCTTGCGCTACTCATTTTATAATCCACGCGTTTATCTTTGATCATTCTCTTTCAATAACCCCATTTGTCCTATAAATTTTTCCCTTATCCTTTCGGAACTCTTTAACCTCAGCCCTAGTTGATATCGACTTTTACACTCCCTCTTCGAGTCGAATTCAATTCCCTTGTACCACGCTCCCTGGCTTGGCTTAATTCTCCATTTCATTTATTCTCTTTACGCCTATTCTACGATATCCGAATTTGGCAAAATATTTTATTTTCAGGTCATCTTCCCGCGACGCATTTTATTTATTTATTTATTTTTCTCTCCTCTACTCTGTTGACCATCCCTTTGTGTACTCCCTGGTTTTTTTTTTTCCTACTTTCCAGTCACTTAGTATATACAACATCCCCTTTTTCTTTGTACTGTAAAGCTTCTTTTCCGCCCTCATTTTTGCCCGCCTGTTCTTTGTGTGACTTTTTGTCCCAACCAAGAGTATACGAGGCATAACAGTCATTTCCCCGAGGGCAGCATTTCTCTTGGATTATCAGAGTCGCCACCTTCACGAGTAGGGGGGGAGGGAGAAGTGATCATGCTGAATAATTTGGATGCAGATGATGACATTTTGCCTACATGTATAACATTGGTCGGCATGGGGGGTGAAGAGAGATCGATGAGATGTTGTTCCTTGGTGGGACAGAGAAACACACAAACGTAAAACACAGCAAATCATTTGTAATGTGTGTTACATACGGAACAATTTAGGAATTCAGGATTTATCGTTCCATTCTTGAATATCAACGCATACAATCCATCGGCATGACCATTCAGTTCGATCCTTCAGAGAAGACAAGCAGTAACAGAATAACAAAATAACAGAGCAACAGAGCAGTAGGGCAGAATTAAAGTCGTCTTTGCACTTTGGATTGCATAGAGTACACCCTAGGATTTACGGCCGCTGATGTTTCTTTTCTTCCCCCCTATTCTATTGATCAATATCCATATTTTATATCCTTCTTTCATTTTCCCTTTCCTCTCATAAAACAGAAAATGCACCACAAATGGAGTTGTGTGAGTAGGGGGGTGCTGCATACACGCAGTGACAAAAGTGGTCCAAACACCCAACGAACCACATCGTGTTGACAACTTTGTTTCCCTCCTTTGAAGTGTGCTGGTATGAATGTGCATGCAAGTTTTTTTATTTTTTATTTTTTATTTTATATATTCATTTGTATATTTGTATACATGTATGCTACAGCATTCCATGGCTCTGTCTTCTTTGTGTCCTCTGTGCCACATTCACACATCCTTCTCCCTCTTTTTGTTGTCCTGCATGTCTGTGATGCGTTTGTGCGTTGCGTGTGTATTGCATTTATCGGCCATGGCACATTCTCCATTAGATCGGGACAGGCTCTATTCATTCTGAACAGTTTAAAATACTCTTGACCTTGTTAGTTTGCATATGCATAGACCATCCCTTCTTCCCTTTTTCTTTTTTTTTTTTTTTTTTTTTTTTCCTTCGTCTTTCCCTCCCCTTTTCCTATTCAAATAGTGGTCATCACACAAAATACCTGCAACGATGCCTTTTATCCATCTATGGTTCACAATCCATGTGAATTTTTTCAGGGGAAAGAAAGAAAGGTTGACGACGTCTCATTGCTCTATAAAAAGGGCAGGATTTTGTCCATTTTGCTTCTTTTTTTTTTCTTTTCTTTTTCTTCATCACCACCCTCACAGCGAGCCTTCTCTCCGTTTATTTTTTTTATTTTTTATTTTTTATTTTTTATTTTTTTTTGTTTGTTTGTTTCTCGTTCCTTTTAATTGTACCTTTACCTTCATTCTTCTTTCTAATCTTTTCTCGCTAGATGTCATAGACAGCTCTAATCGCCTACTTTTTTATTTATATATTTAATATTAATCTTTAACTAATTATCCTTAATCATTAATCCCTAATTTATATTTTATTATTTCAATTGTTAACTTTTCATCTATTATCCTTTTTAGAATATACCTAGACTTTTTTCTTTTCTAATAACCTGAACTACCCTATTATTTTACTACACTAATTTAATCTTTCTAATAATCTAATCCTCACCTTTACTACCTTATTTTAATTATATTACCACTTAATTTTCCTCTTTTATTTTATTTTATTTTATTTTATTTTATTTTATATTAATTTAATTTATCCATTATCTATTATCTATTATTATTATTATTATTTCTTAATTTACTTGGAGAGAAGGCTACTATCAACTGTGATCCTTTTTTCGCACACATCATCTATTTTTTTCGTCTTACTCATTTTACCTATCCTTGAAACCCCCAATTTTCTAGCCGCTACAATACCCGCTTAAAAAAATGAACGTAATTCTCGATACCACCTTTGACCCTACAGCACAAGGCCCTATCACACCGCCAACAACGCCCGTGATGCACCAACAGAGCCACCAGCTAGAAATGAGTGATGATAGTAAGCTGACAGTCTCAGCTCGCCATCTACAACGTCATCCCCTGGTTCCTGAATTTGCCGCAGCATATACTCTGGGTGATGAACTAGGCTCTGGTGGATTTGGATTTGTAGTTTCAGCGACTCGCAATTCGGACAAGAAAGAAGTTGCCGTCAAGTTTATTTTCCTTGACAAGGTTCCCGCCCATGGTTGGGCCAAGGATCCGGAATTAGGTGTGGTCCCCATGGAGATCTATGCACTAAGGAATGTGAGCCATCCCAATATCATCGGTTACTTGGGATCCTATCAGGATTCAAAGTACTTTTACTTGGTCATGGAGTTGCATGGCACCCCTTGGTCAGCCAGCAATCCTCTTCTCAACAAAAACAATGATAACAATGGCTCAAGTATGATGGAGGCAATAGCCAAGGCTACCATGAACCAACGCAATGCTGCTGCCGCCGCTGCAGCAGCAGCAGAGAATGGTAGTGGATCGGCTTCGACAACTAGCTCAGGACTGTCCTCCTTCCCAACATCGACCTCCAGCAGCTCTTCGAGTCTGAATCAGTTGGCAGAGAGTGAGGAACCACCCAAGGCTGCTTTGTTGGTTCGCAGGACATCATGCGATCTGTTTGAGTGCATTGAGCACCACTCCAAGTTCTCAGAATCTCAGGCAAGGATGATCTTTAAGCAGATTGTGGATTGTGTCTATTACTTGAACTCACGTGGCATCTGCCACAGAGATATCAAGGACGAGAACATCGTAATCGACAATGACTTTGTAGTCAAATTGATTGACTTTGGATCTGCTGTCATCATCCCACCCCAAGGCAAGGTTTTTGATCGGTTTTACGGCACCATCAACTGTAAGTGAAACTTTTTTTTTTTTTTTTTTTTTGTTTGTTTGTTTGTTTGTTTCTTTTTCCTATCCGCTGCATAGCGTTAGATATCCTCTGAACGATATTCTTTTTTTCTTTTTTTCTTATAGATGCATCACCTGAAATCCTCAAGGGTGAAAAGTATCGGGCCGAGTCGGCCGAAATCTGGTCAATGGGCATTTTGCTATACACGATCCTTTATGGCGAAGTTCCCTTCAATGACCCGGTGCAGGCCATTTCAGGGCCATACATCACTCCAAGAGTCCAGTCCTCGGAGGAGTGTTTACACCTGTTGAACTGGATGTTGGCCAAGACACCCGAACGACGTGCCACGATTACGGACGTTGTTAATCATCCATGGATTAAGAACTTCAGTATGCTCTAGGGAATTTTTCCTTAGAAAAAACCGTCCTTTTTCACCATAGTTTCGCCTTGTATACATTAGACATCATTAGACGGGACATCCCAAAAGCTACTTTGTATTTAGTTCTTTTTTTTATATTTATTTATCTATCTATCTATCTATTTTTTTTTTTTTTTTTTTTACGTCTTTGTAACTATAATCCTATCCCTAATCCTATTCTTCTTTAATACTCCTTGATCATAATGTATTCTTTATTTCTGTTTATTCACAATTAATAAAGAAAAAACGAATAGAAAGAACAATCATATCAATTGGATCTGTAGGTGTTATTTTTTTATATATTATTGTTGTTATGCATGTATGCATAGACCATCTTTGCTTTGTTGAGAAGGAGCATGATGTTTATTTGACCCTGCCTTGTAGACTTTGTTGTATCGCATGTATTGCAGCCTTTTTTTTTTTTTTTTTTTTATATTCCTTTCCTTCTGCTGATATGAATGCATATTCGTCTGTGTAGCAACTTTGTATTTTTTTGGATGTACACCTTCGCCCAACCCCAACCCCACTTTCTTGTATATACATGCACATGTGCAACAATGTTCATGCATCGTACAGTAACTATTTTTTTTTTTTTTTTTTTTTAATCTGCAAAATGTGTGGGTGACGCAGCGCATTGCTTGTAACTTTTATCTTCAAATAGCACAATCCCGTCAATTTTTTTGTATATTTTGGCAATGACATAGTCAAGCATACCATTCTTTGAGATAACGTGAAAATGTTCTTCGGCAGACAAAAGGGGTAAAAAAAAAAAAAAAAAGTTGCATGAAAGGATCGAGAATCTCTCTCTCTCTCTCTCCTTTGTGGTTTTTATTATTTTATTTATTTATTTATTTTTTCTCCCGTTACCCTTTTATTGCCGAAGAAGAAAGAAGAAGAAGAAGAAGATCAAAATAAAATAAAGTAAAATAAAATAATAATAATTATAATAATTATAATAATAATAATATATAATGATAATAAAAAAAAAAGAGTGCCTTTCCTTATGCCTTTTGCATGATTTTTTTCTTTATTTTTATTTTTATTTAACAATGCATTTGTATCTGTAAACTGTCGTACACGAGCACGATCTTCCTCTTTTTCTTCTTTTTCAAGACTGAACTTGGGTTTAGTAAAAAAGAAACCTCAAATGTGGAGAGACATGTGCGTGCGTGCGTGCACTGCTCTTATTGTTATTGTCGGCCTTCTTTTATGTAAACATCTAGAAAAAAAAAAAAAAATTAGACGGTGGAAGAAAGTCAAAGTCGGCTCCACATTCTTTACTCTTTACCCTCATTACGTCTATTGAACCCATTGTATAATCACATCAGTATCCTTTTAATTTATTTTTTTTATTTTTTTTATTTTATTATTATTATTATTTTTTATTAGCATTGGCGTGTTCATTTCCAAACCAAGCTTTTTTTCTGCAAGGAGGCTTTCAGAAAGTTGCTGTTTTTACAGTTCAACATGAAAATGATGTCATAGCAGCAGGAAGCTGCCGAGTATTTATAGTAACTGGACAATCCACCGAGTAAGCTTGGGCGTATGCTTCATTCTCTATTACGAGAGGGTGGTTTCGCATCATAAGATGTGATGCTTTCCCACGTGTCCTTGAGGCCTTCTATTTAGCTTGTGGCTGACTATGCTTAACTTCCAAATATCCTATCCCCTCCCCCCCTGAGAGCCATAGCATATATCAGAGTAAGTAAAAACCAATTCAGTCTCGATGAAAGGTGCAGAACTTTTGATAGGATACATCCTGATTTTGATCAACGAGCAGATGAGTTTGTGGATAGGCCTTGTACCTAGATAGTAATAATCATAATAGTAATAGTAAAGGCAATTTACCCATGAAAATATCAAAAGACATATACACACAATGTTATTGTAAATGCAACTGCGTCTTGGCTGTTTTGGGTGATACTTTATTTTTTCATTAATTTCATAACTACATCATTTATCGTCTCCAATGCCATGGACTGAACTAGGATGGACATACAATGACTCGGACATTACGCTTACTCTTCGTGAGCAATCCTCCAGGCTTGCCACTGCTCCAATACCTTCCAGATATCCATATCTCGCTCTGCACGTGCATTCTCCCCTAAATACCTCCCTTTTACCGGAACGTTATCTTCACTGCCTTCACCGTAGATGCCGCCTATGTGATGATAATCACCAGATTCAGTCCCGCTACCGCCACTACCACCGCTGCTGTTGATCCCATCACTTAGGTTTTCATGTTTGGATTCTTGTTTATGACTAGTACTATTCTCATTCTCGAGATGAGTATATGGGTGATCCATATGGCAAATATCATCATTCATCATGGCTTTAAAGAAAAGCCGCTTCCGGACCTCCTCTTGGCGCTGCCGTCGTACTCGCTTTTCATTCTGCGGTTTCAGATGCGAGTGTTGCTGCTGCAAGCTCTCTGAGGCCTGTGCTGTTTGCGATGACTGTTGCTGCTGGATATGTGCCCTGATTCGGGACAGTGACCAAGGGGGTGGAGAGGAAGGCGGTTGTTGAGGGGAAACAGATCGCAGGCGGGATTGCTGGATTGAAACATTGCCGCTATGATTGTAAGCGTCGGACAGTTGCTGCTGACGGTGGCAGTCTTTACTTCCAAGGCTCCAGTCATATCTCCGCTGTGCACTTTGCTTTTTACATGACCTGTCATCAAAGAATGTAGGCGAAGGTAGTGATGGCATCGAGGAGACCATAGTTGTACTGTCGCTACCAGTATTGGCACCGCTACCGTATGAGGGCATTGTATGTAGTGTCTCGACCGTACTCGTCTCTTTGGGCATAGAACTCGATCCGATACTAGAGCTGGGCATGGTCAGGGTAGTTACTGCCGTCGTTGCCATTGGTGTTGTTAACGTCATTGTAGCCAAGGAGACCGGAGATGAGGTTGGCTTTTTATACCCTAGCTTCCCAAATAACTTCTCGTGGATACTTCGCTTCCTTCGAACGATCACAGGTGTGGTTTCTTGCACTGAGGCCGTAGAGGCACAAGAAGATATGTCTCTAGATAATGGCAACGATGAGGCAGCCAAAGACGTAATGGGGTCCCAGGCCATGGGGCTCTGCAGCATTTGGTCCTGAACACCAGCGCTGCGCGAGAACGAAGAAGCAATGCTTGCGATGGTACTTGGCTTACATTCATTGTTGTTATTGTGGCTATGGTTATCGTAATAGTTATTGCTGTCGTCGATGATGATGTCCTGAAAGCCATTCCGAGGTATCAAAAAATGGTCCTGGCTCTTGCTGTGCTTATGCCTATACTGGGTGCTCGCCCTATCGGACGCCGTCGGCCTTGGGACTGTAATAGGCATTGAAACAGACACTCTGCCCACTTCTGGAGGCATAGCGGCGAATGTAAAGCCCGGGACCGATGGCCCTGCTCTAAAGTCGTCCCCTAGGTTGCTAGCCTTACGTTTCAGAGGCTGCTGTGAATTAACGTCCCGCAATAAACGGGAAGATTTCCTCGCCAGCTGGCATTCAACTGGGTTTGACCCTGACATCAATCCCATTCCTGCTGCCGCCGGTGAGGGGGAGGGAGGGTTAAAATTAGAGGGTTCATCAGAAGTAAGTGGGTCCATAACTGTGCCACTGATGATATCTGGGGTCTGTGCGAAAGGCATTATAATAGATGGTGTGGCGACCATGGGTAGAGTAGCAGACATTTTCGAGTTTGCATCATTTTCATCCACAGCTGCATTCAGGTTAAAGAGAGAGGACCGACGACCACTGTATTCCTTAGGGCTAGGCAATGATATGAAAGAGTCCAATAAGATGTTCTTTGCGATCTGGTCTGTCGTACTGATCGTATAGGGAGGAGCCAACGGTTGCCCAGGAATGTCCGCGTTATATTGCTTAGTATTATTTGGAAGTTTCGGTGATTCAGCCCGGGGCGGTATCGATATAGTGTCCTCAGACTGCATCTTGTCCTTCGATTGCAAAGAAGATCTCCAGAAGGGCAGGGACGTAGCCGTAGTTATAGCTGAGGCTGCTGCTCGCTCTGTCCGACCATCTCCATTCCGGGTCAATGATAATGTCGTCAATGCCTTCCACGCAGATGTCAAACCAACATTGGAGCGAAGAGCCTTTTGTGCAATAACAGGACGCCTTGCTACTGCTGATGCATTTGTATGACCAAATGGCCCAGTGATGGAGCCCTTAGACTCTAAGCTCTGTCGGGCTTGCTTCCGGCTCCTGTACTGCCAATATGATGATTTATAATTGTATTCTGTACCGTCTGCCTGAACATCAGTTGTATAGCCCTTTACCTGCAATGGAACAGGCTCCGCGTGGTGTTGATATGGACCATTATTCTTCAAAGTGTGGGGAACAATGCCCTTAGTAGACCACGAACAATGTTGTTGAGGACTTGAATGTATGTCGAAAGGATGACATGGTTGCTGCTCCGTATCGTTGCCACTAAGCGTAATACCAGGCACGCTTAAAATGGCTGACACTAGGTGTGGCACGCTTCTTGTGGGCAGCGGTGACTTGAGACCGGCCCTCCGTTCTTGGTCATCGGTTCCGATTTCCCTTTCTACAACGAGAAAAAAAAAACCAAACACATTAACTTTTCTACAATGATATGAAATACAGCGCGATTAATTGTGTTGCATGGTATACCTGGTTCGAGCTGCCGCTGCATACAATGGCTTGGCACCACAGCTGAAACGCACTCTTTACTATGGGTATCATGTGATTGTGTTTGCAGCTCCTCCTTCAAGCCCTCAACTAGGTTGCACTCAAATCCCTTATCTGTCGACTTGGCAACAAAGACCTTGCCTGTCGAACCTCTAAGTTCAGGTGTCAAGGTAGTGAAGCTTTCCGAACGCAGCCGCTTGACGTTAGTACCCCTAATAAGCTTGGTCCTCCAAGGAGGCAACGAAAGCGATGGAGTGCCGTTTGGATTCATAGTGCCTATATCTCCGAGCGATTCCTTTCCTTGCCCTACGTTAACCGGCATAGATAAGGTCTCATGCGAGACTATATCAGGAAGTGTGCCAGCAGAAGGCTTTAATTCGCCTTGATCGAAGCTTTCGTAGGCTGAAAGCAGGTTATTCAGCGCAATGGATGCATCTAACTTAGACTCACTCTCGCACCCGACCGCCGCATCTGCTTTGCGAAGGTCATGAACATGTCCACAAACATTAGGATTGGGATTAACTTCTCCAGTGGGCACAAGACCAGAGATGCTCAAATTAGCATTAGAAGACCTGTGTTTGGGTCGGCCGTTACTGCTACTGACGTTAGTAGTATGGTTTCCACGGTCCAAGGGGTTTGCAATGTCGATAATGTCCTTGGATCCTATGCGCCGTAAAAAAACATGGACCGCCAGCTTTTCAACCAGCACGCTCCTTGTAGCAGACTGTGCATCTTTCAATTCAGCCTCGAACCGCTCACTAAGGCATTCGTCGTCGTCCCGTTGTGGCCTTGGCAAGGTCGACTTGACTTGAGAGTCAAGCTGTTCTATTTTAGACGAGGGCGGTGTTATTGACGGCGATGGCGCTAATGATGGCAGAGAGAGGAGTGCCGAAGTGTCAATCCATGCTTTGGAGACCTTCAATATCAAGAACATGATGGTTTGGCTATCTTTGGATGGTAGCTGGTCAAGAAGTTGCTGAATGGATTGCCCTTGGCCATAGGATTGTTTAAAGTACTCAGTCAAGACACTGCCCGGCGCCCATTCATCAGGCGCTCTGGAAATAATCAAAGCCAGTACATCTAGCAATGTCTCCATTGAAAACGCATTTTTCGTTGTATCCTTTTTATCACGATTAACATAAGGGCGCTTATTGCGATCACATGAGAGATAGGTGTGCTCCATGCGTGTTGTTTGTGGATGTGGGTTAGATCTGGCGCGGGTGCATTTCCGAGGCAATTCTAGGCTTTCGGAGTGGGACTGAGGGGGCATGACATGGCCTTGATCATAATTGGCACGGAGCTCTTTCTCGGAGGATAAAGGAAGAGAAGCAGCAGCCTGTGATCGTGAGCGGGGACGAGACCGTGGTGCCGCACGCCATCGAGTGACCTTGGGGTGCCTGGCAGGTATATCGTACGGCTCGCAAAGGGAGGTATCCTTTCGCGCTGATGATAGGTCTAAAGGGAGGCGATATAATCTAACCGTCTCTCCTATTTAATCGATATTTAAAGAAGTTAACAACGTGTCAATCCTAAGTAATTGAATCGACGAAATCCATCGCCTCTAGAAAAATCTATATCAAAAGAAAAAAAAGAAGGCATACTTTGCCAGCGATGTATGTGCTCGAAGCAGACCTCCATGCATTTTTCAAACTGCGTCAAAGTCAGACAACCATTTTTTGCAGGCAAAGGCGCAGATTGATCTCCACTACCATGTGTTGTTACACATGATGGAAGACTTGCTTCCATTGTGAGGCTCAATGTAGAAGGGATTTGTGGAGGATGTATGGGTGGTATGAATAGTGTAGGCGCGGATGTGGCTAAAGAGGTGATTAGATCTGTTGGCGACCGCATTGCGCTCACTGGCGATTGGGGGGGCTTGCATTGACAAGGGGTATAGTCAGGACATCGAGCTTCCAGCATATAGCTCCGTATATAGGCGAGCGATTTACAGAGCCGAAGCTTTTCTGCACTGCTGGGCGTGGTCTTGCTTTCCAGGATCTTCCCTTGTCTATTACAGATTGCATCCACAGACAGACTACGGCGGCGCCCTGTAAAATATGCCTTTGTCGCAACACCTTCTGAGGCTATACTACATTGTGCTGGCGACATTGTTGCTCCTACGTTGTACTGTGCCCTTGGATATGGCGTGGATGCGCTAGAAGAGTGCTGATGTAAAAAATGAGACGAAAGGATCAAAAGAATAGTGGTGCTTTGCTGCTGAATGAACTAGTGCCTGATATTTGGCTCAGCTATAGTATAACAAAGGTACATACAGAAGCGGGGGATATGTATACAAGAAAGCAAGAAGGACTGAGCAAAAAAAAAAGAATACAGGAAACTAAGGGCTATATAGGACTATAGTAAAAGTCCAAAATCGAGGAAGAACAGAAATGTACAGAGAAGCAAAAAAAAAAAAAAAAAAAAAAAAAAAATGCAAAGGACTGTTGTCGCATCCACATCGGATTAGCATATGCATGTGCTTAACAACAAGACGGATGTTCCCTTAAACGCATGTTTATATAACAATTGCAGTCGTATGTGATGGCTCTCATCATAATTTGTTCTTTTAATACAACTTTAATAGGCGGTGCGGTGAGGATCATTCAGCTTTACATGCAATATATAACGATCCGATACGTTGCGATACAACGAAAAGAATGTAATCATCCAAACAATAAGCAGGCCAGACCATTGCGCGTGGCTACAAGGGAAGAGTCAGAACAACCTCCTCACCCACTACCAAAATGAACTGTTTGTGAACACAGTGGTTACACAACTGCCTTGCCTTGCCCATGATGCAAAATGGCTTCGTTGAGCTGCCTGCTATGTGGACTTTTTTTTTTTTTTTTTTTTTTTTTTTTTTTGCTTTGTTTAAGGATTTCATTCGTGCCCTTGTCTTTTAAGGCCGACATTGCATATCTCTCTAAAAGCTAGCCACCCATGTACTTGGGGTAGTTGTCTTTTGTTTCAAGCACTTTACTCGCCACACCCACAAACATGGACACACATGCCCACTTAAAACAAGAATATGTATTCAGGCGCAAGAGGCTTGGACGCAAATGTCCGTGGCTAGACAGACAGTCTTTAATATCAACCTGCTAATGGTGCTGTGCTCCATTTCAGTGTTTATTTTACACTGCAACTTATATCATGGTATATGGCGCCGTGGTATATATTATCAAATTTCACATTCTTTTCCGCCTCTGTTCTTTTTTTTTTTTTTTTTTTTTTTTTTTCATCCTCTCGGTTTGTTTTTAGGCTGATTGACAGTTGGCTAAGAGCATTTGTTGTTGTAAATGTTCCCCTAAATGCTTCTTCAACTCGTACATATTCGCTGGGTAAGTCTCGCATTGGTTACACTTGAGTGGAGCTAGATTTTTCTTCTTGTACTGAAGGACCTCATGCCTTGCGAGCTGAAAGGACCTGCGTTTTTCAAGGAATCTGAGCATGTCTTCTGGATGGATAAAATACTCTGTCGTGAACGAATTGAAGTGCCAAGGAGTCCTCATGGATGCACCACAAAAGTCTGTGGAGATGACATGAAGATGAATTTGGCTATCAAGAAATAGAGTGTGTATTTATGCTTTCATAAGAACAAGATCCTGCAAATCTTAAAATCACAGAGCATAGCCCGCTTGGCGAAGACATGAAATAATGCATAAATTTCAAAGAAATACACCCCGCGTGATATAATTTCATGAATAAACATTGGTCTACCCTTTGGACCCACGTACAGCATACTTGGGAAAGTGTGGAAACCCATGGTAAACGAGAGATGCGGGAAATCAGTCTTCAGCCTGTCATAATGGGTATTGGGACATTGTATAAAGGAAAAGTAAATAACCATGTGATACATACAGTGAAAAGTTCAAAATGTAGACAGCTTACCTCTGAATGAGCCATTCACCTCGCTCTTTCAAACCTTTAACAGTGGCGATTCCCTCCTCTCCTGAAAGATTGTACAACTTTTCAATTTGTACGCGAGGCATTACAAGAAGATGGACAGTCGACTTTTTTTAGGTTACATGGTGCCACAGATGGGCCCAAACAGTCAAGGAGAAATAAAGTGTTTATTGAGCACGGTTAGCAAAAAAAGAAGCATGGGACACACAAGAGGTGCTTTGCCTGATATTCACCCATTTCAAGCAGAATACCAAATATTTCATTCTTTTGTGTTCTCCTACCTTTGGAAATCGGTCTTTGATGATGAAATGCTTCTCGTCGTGCCAATATCGCACATCCTCTGGAATGGCATCAATGTCTTTTACATAAGGTAGAAAGACTGATTTCCGGTCATGGCGCTCTTTCGACTGAGGTGAGGGGTAAAAAGGCTTGTATTGCTTGAAATCGGGGTTTTTGTTGCTCATGTAATGGTAGAAGTGATGGACCGCCTGCTGCGACGATTGGTATTGCTGCTGCCGGCCCTGACGGCCGTTGCGCTTTACATAGTCCTGACCTGGGAAGACACAGTTGGCGTCCTTGTCAAAGTTTGGATTCACAAACGTTCTACCGCTTCGATTCTTGCTTTTTTCGGCCGAAGAGGTACTATTACCAGTGACATTTTCAGGGACAGCGGAATACAGTCCCGAGTACGAGATGGAAGAATCTTTTGTTTGGGTCGCAAAAACCTTTTTAGATGGAATATGTTGGGCATTTGACGGGGCTGTAAACTTGCCTGTTTTTGTTATTGTTACTGTTGTTAGTGGCGAAGTTGCTAATGATGGTGATGCTATTGTTGTCAGGAGGGGTTGACGTCCAGCGAAATAGCATCGAAACAAATGAGATATAAGCATAAGCGCATCGCGGATAGTTAGAAGCAGTGGCATTGTCATGGAAAAGATAGGGCTGTAAGTTGGGGAAGGAATTTTCTCTGCTGTCGAGATAATGAGAGTTTGAAGAAGAAGGAAAAAAGGAAAGGACAGGCTAATTAAGCACTTTTAATAAGTTATGTCTTGTCATGTCCTATAAATGTAGCAAGATTGTCATGGCGAAGCATTGTCGCTCTTTATCCCTAATTTTGAGGCGAGGGCAATGTTAAACAGTAAACAAGATATATTTATATTAGTTATACATGTGCTATTAAGGTCGTGAGAGGAGCACAGCAGTTGCGAATGTTTTAATGAAACAGGAGATGCTGTAAGTAGAATATCGTGCATCTTGGTACTGTACTCTTTCTAGTTGATATCTGTAGAGGGGAGTGCTTGCAAAAAGTCGCGTACCAGACGCGTGTACTTAATCAGGAACGGCGATCTTAGTGAGACTGTCGGACTCTGTTTAAGTACACACGAAGCGGACGAGAAAACAACGAATCAGATGACACCCAGACAATGGAGACAAAGTTGCGATTCGTTTATAAAATGCCGCACAAAAACGCCTCTATTTAATCTCTCCTTTTCTCACTTTTTTTTTATCCATCAACACTCTCTTTCACCAACTCCCTCGACTTCCTACTTTAATTAATATCATGAACCCTTGCGGAAACAACAATTGCACTTGTGGCTCTTCATGCGGTAAGTCTTTCTCGATTACTCATTCGTCTCATGTTGCAATTTGGAATCTCGCTCATTGTCGTCTCAGGGTCATTTCTTTTTTTTTTTTTTTTTTTTTTTTTTTTCTTTTTTCTTTTTATTCTTTCCAGTGAAATCTAACAACTTTACTTTAATGATATTAGGCTGCGGCTCTGGATGCCAGTGCGGCAAGGCTGCTGCTGCTGACAAAGCTTCCTGCAACTGCAAGTCTGGCGGTGCTTGCGCTTGCGGTGGTTCCTGCGCTTGCGCTTCCAAGTCCTCGGGATGCGGCTGCTCCTCTGGGTAATAATCTTTCCTGATGTCTGTCTTCTCGTCTCTCTTTTTTTTTTTTTTTTTTTTTTTTTATTACCTTAAAAGGGTTTATGATACTGTTTTCCATGGTATTATCAATTCGCGTTCGAGGGGGATCAATTGGATTTGTATACTTGATCCCTTTTATGCTGATCCTCATGATCTGGCTCCTATAAACTCGAAGGCATATTTAATTCCATGCGAGGCTTTTTTCTTTTTTTTTCGTTTTTCGGGATTGTTTTTTGTACACAAAAGCATGCATGTCATGTACCATTTGATTAGGTTACACTGCTCCTTTTCTTTTTGATTCCATGATTCCGTTGCCTTTCCGTTTATATATTCTTCATTCTAATACTTCTTTTCCCCTTTCCTTATTTAGTGCCACCTGCTCCTGCGCTGAGGGTACTTGCCAATGCAAGTAAGGTCTTTTGGTGTTAACATAAACGCATGAAAAGGACTGGGCCTCGTCTATTTGTATATTTTCCACATTCAAGAGCTGTAAACCATGCGGAAGGACTCTCCCTCGGATTGTTAGATTGAATAAAAAGATGTTCATTTTTATCACACCAATCTTCGAGATAATGTCATGTACATGTACTTATTTATCTGTAAAAACAAGATCTATTGTGGAGAAGAAGATCAATTGAGCTCTCAGATTACAGTCGTCATCTGACGTGTTTTTTTAAACAGTAGCGTAAGATCAAGCAAACAATGATCTACATGAACATGTGCACTCTCCTATTGAGCTCTGGATTATTATTATTATTATTATTATTTTGACCAAATGTTGGTTACTTCCATAACCCCCAGAAAAATGGATAATAAAATGTGTGCGATCGGATCGCCATAAAAAAATCGACAGACTTTCAGCGTGTGGAATCAGAGTAGAGTGGCTTGCTAAGCTTGCCTTTTAAAGATCTCTTATTCGTTTTCAATTGATCTCCCTCTTCATTCTTCATTCTTCATTCTTCATTCTTCATTCTTCATTTACTAAGTTCATCGAAAGCACTCGTCTCTGACTACTTTGAATATAACCATGACAGGCTTCAAATACGGATATGCCATGAGTATGTGAAGCACCAATAATATCTTTTTTTATATATATCTATTACAAAAAATTAAAAAACAATCACTGGATTGCAATTAATTTCTAATTTCTTTTTATCCTTGACTTATAAAAAAGATGATGTTCCTGGCGATAAGAGAGTTATTACTCCACCCATGCTGGGTGATAAGATCTCACTGTCACTTGGCCACACTTCAACTTTTGTCTTTCTTGGCACCAAAGCCGAAATTCTTGAATGGTTCAGAACAGTCGGTCCCACTAAAACTGTACACGTAGTCTTATTCTATGACCGACCTGAGGGAGATCCACTTAGTCCAAAAGTCGACATTGTCTTTGACCTCTTCCCTTATCCTAACCCTGATTTGACCTGGCTTCAGTATTATCAATCCTTTTATCGCTCGGATCCGACTCTAGAAATGTATAGGTTGGAGATCCGTCCTGAACAGCCCAAGTACGATGTAGAAGTCGAGCCGCTCTATAGGATGTATGCCAAGAATGGCGTTAACTTGGGTGCAATGGCCTCTGCCTTGGAGAAGAAGTGGTCGCAACCACCCGCTAGGAATTACTTGGAAATGGTCAAGGAAGTCTTTATGGAGAGAGAGGATATGGATGACTATGCTCAGGAAGTAGCAGGTGAGACTAAGCGCAGGGACGAAGCGGGTCAAGAAGTTGATCTTGAGGACATTGTTGTTAGTGTACCTGTGGAAGCCAATGCATCCAAGTAAACTTTGTCCTAACTTTTCCGACCCAATATCCATATCGATAATACTTTGCATCCTTTTGTATATAATAAAACACGACATTTTCTTCAACTGTATGATTGTGAGGAATGTTTTTGTTGAAACATGGGCAAAGCAAATGGACTTGGAATGCCTGAAATAAGCCGTCACCCGATGCTTTTTTTTTTTTTTTTTTTTTTTTTTTTTTAGAAAAAATGCCTCCGTTTGTCTATGCTAAAATCTAATGGAATATATTCGTTCTCAACTTTGACTTTACGTTACTCTTTGCCTACCCCACGCTTTGAAAACCTATGAAATGTATTATATATAAAACGCCTAATCTCTACAGACCCTTCTTCCATTGAGTAATATGTTTTTCAAGCTCCTTGATCTTTTCAACAGCATCGCCTTTTGCTTTATATGCTTCATTCAGCCGTTCAGCTGCTGCAACAAGCTCAGCTGCTCGTTTACGTGTCAATGGCGTTTCACGTTCTCCATCAATCAATAAATACTCATCCATAGTAACGCTGGCTCTTCTGAGACCCTCTTCACCACCATACATTAATGAACCTCTGACTAGGTTAGCATAGACGGAGGCATCATCAGCGGCCAAGTTATAGTAGGGGATCAATGCCATGACCTTGAAGGCTCCATCCAACTTTTCAAGCCCCTCATCCGACCCTTGCCCTGCAACATCAACATCTTTGATGAACGAACGGATAACACGGCGCATAGTAGCCTGCCCGGGATTGAGTCCATAGGTTTCCCTATCACCTAACAACTCAATAGCAGTTTCTGGTGATCCGGCTTTGCAGATTGCATGGATCAATTTGTTGGTGACAAAAATCGAGATAGGAAGTTTGCGCTGACGCCACTGCTTTACCAATGGTGGTAAAGACTGTGCTTGCTCCAACGAAGAAACAGATCGTGTCAAATGGAAAAGAGAAGTATGACGAGGTAACTCATGGTGTGGCGTTGTGATCGTAGTGTGGTCAAGAATCTTATTATAAAGCTCTTCAAAATGTACTGAGTCTGATCCAGAAATTTCAGCATTCTCTGATTTATCAAGCGATTCGCCGCGCTCCAATGCTTCCATCTCTCGTTTTTCTCTTTCCAATTCCTGTAATTCAGCTTCGAGCTCTTCGTCGTCTTCATCCAAAATGGCGTGTTTCTTCCCTTTGTAGGCTAATTTGATGCATAAAGGGGATTGGAAATTTTGAGCGGGCAAGCAAAGTAAGGTGAACAGTCAGGTCAACTAAGAACAAAAAAAAGAAAAAGATAAAGAGTAAAGAATCTACAGCTCGAAACACATACCGATCTCCGATGGGCGGAAAGCATGATATTTACGAGCAACCATGGCAGCAGGAACTAAGAGATTGAAGAGAAACTAAATGTCAGAATCTTTGATATACCTTCTCATCCATTGGTAACTCTAGCGGTTTCATATCCTTTTGAATAAAAATCCTCAGGAGACCTTGCTTGTTGGTGGCAAACAATAAATCTTTCCTAAGATGTAATCCATTTACCTTGACGAGATATAAGCAAGGATGAAGGTTTTGAAATGCGAGCTGCTGCTCGAGCTAGGGAGCGAATATATGTCGCCATTTTGAAGTTGAGGTGTCGAAGTGAGTTGTGGTAATGAATGCACTCCTTCGGAATCTGATCAACCAGATCAAAAAAAAATATGGAATTGGATATGCAGGTCAAGATTCATAAGGCTGCTAGTAAATACGATAAAAAATACCTTCTCATCACCAAGTCGATTTCTTAATGTCTTGTTGTCGAACTATTTTCTCTTTCACTCTTTCTTTTCTTTCATATTCATCTCCATCCCTTCCATCTCTATTACACATTATACCCTCATTCGTCATTTACCCTTGTCTTTAACAACACTCAATACCTCACAAGAAAAAAATGGCTCCTCCTAAGACCGCTGAGAAAGCACCTGCTACCGCTGGCAAGGCTCCTGCAAAGTCCACTAGCAGTGCAGAGAAGAAGGACCGCAAGCCCAAGAACGAGGGTGGCAAGGGCCGCAAGAAGACCCGCTCTGAGACTTACTCCTCCTATATTTACAAGGTCTTGAAGCAGGTTCATCCCGATACCGGTATTTCGAACAAGGCCATGTCCATTTTGAACTCGTTTGTGAATGATATCTTTGAGCGTATTGCTGGAGAGGCCTCCAAGCTTGCTGCTTACAATAAGCGCTCAACTATCTCCTCCCGCGAGATTCAGACTGCTGTCCGTTTGATCCTCCCCGGTGAACTTGCAAAGCATGCTGTTTCTGAGGGTACCAAAGCTGTTACAAAATACACCTCCTCCAAGTAAAATAGGCCAAGGTGTATTTTTTCTCGGGACAGGAAGCAAGGATGACGTTTGCAACAAGGCGTACGGAAACGCGAAAAAAAAATAAAAAAAAATGGACTCGGGACCCAGACCTTCCAACCTACTTCAACCTCCTTTGCGACTCTTTTTTATATTATTTTTGTTTTTTATTTTTATTTTTTTTTCTCAACTACCATGACGCGTCTATGATTGACATTTTTGATTTCAATTCAAATCCAATTCATCTGCTTGATCCAAGTATCCGATGGTGACGTGTCAAGTCTTTGTTTATTTTTTTTTTATTTTTTTCATTTTCCAACCTTGAGTCTCAACCAATCGACCTTGACCTTTTCCGATTTCTTCCATGGTGTTCCATGAATCCGACCTTGTACATCATCCAAATTTGGCTTCCATGCAATGTAATAAATCAACACTTGAAATTTGATTCTTGATCATGTTCATTTGTTTCTTAATTTGGAACGCGTCTTGACCTATTATTAAACCGATTTGCCACCAATATCTAGAATATAAATGTTAAAGACTGGGTGTTTACAATCAGATCGCGTGAATAGTGAATAACAATTTTGCCACGTGTGCTACTTTTTTTTTTTTCCAACGTGGACGCGGATAATATCTTTGATCGCGTATCGCGTATTTATACGTACAACTTAGAAGACTATGGCGCCAAATGGTTTCCAAATGCGACAATAATTCAATTATTTAGCTCCATCATATCAAGTCAGGAATGTCTTGCGAAATATTAACTTTGCTAAATACATTAATGTTTACATGTTTACAGGACCATTTCTTTCTTTATTTTATTTTTGACTCACTTAATAAACATCGGCTGGCAAGAAAATAAATAGATATGAAAGCAATAGACGTACCTTGTTTTGTCTTTTGGAGATGGTACTAGATTTCAAATTTAATAAATGTTCTGAATGATCATTGTTTCCTCCTCTACTTTGCTGTACAAGAGCTACAAGTGAATATTATGGAGCCACTAGAGTGGAAAGGTAGTGTTTGATGCATTTATTCAGCTATAGTTTCTCTTTGCCACGATAATACGGTTTCCATGAAGAGCGACCTGCAAAACAATTATCTGTCAACGTTTTTGGCATGCTCAACCGTCAGCAAGGGTCTTGGTGCGTGAAAAGCAATGATCAAAAGAATCCATTACCCTTGGAATGGATTCTTCACCATGCAACGTGTTGTCAGATACGCAAAAAAAGCTCCACATGGCCTGACAACGACCCCTGCTCCGGAAACTCGAGCCAGAACTTGCAGTTGAGACTCTGTGCTCGTGGCGGCGCCTTTCCATACATATTTTCCACTATGGACACTTGGAACATCGACGGCACTTACATCCATGCCAACACTGGTGTCAGTGCCAGCGCTATTCGCAATATTTTATGCAGCATGTACACGATGCACATGCGCTTTGCATGAGGATAGTTCAAGTGCCTCAGATTAGTGCGGCTGACGGGACACTTTTTTGATGCATAACTCTTCGCTTCAACTACAATTTATCTAAGGGGGGCACGATCGCAGCCAATGACAACTAATGTTGGGTCAAGTTGTACAGATATTGACTGAAAGGATAGTAGTTTGTAGTTAGTCGACCCTAAGGTGAGGCTGCTTTACTGCGAGGCCTGGGTTCAGTTTTTAACTACTCGATTCACAGCCTGGAGCCGGTGAAGACCTTTTTTTTTTTTTTTTTTGAGGATTGAGGCCATCAACGAGAGGCCGATGTAGGGATGAAGGGAGCGTAGTTTCATGGTGAGGTTTCGAAACAGAACATGTGCAGATCTATTACTAAAACGCTGATAACTCCTCCTGTACGAAACAAAAGGGAACCACAGCAAAGAGTTTATTCGATAAATGCTTGCTTGCCTTGATGTGCTCGGGCTCTGTTTATTGCAAAGCATCATTATTATGCCAAGGTTGGTGATTATCACAACCAAGGATCACATTTTCGACGCTTAAATTTTTTTTTTCTCATGCTTTCCTTCCGACTTTCTCTTCCCCATTACCTTTTTTTCCACACATACATACATCGACTCATTCCCCATTCTTAGCAATACAGTAACCGCTAGCTATGACTACTACAACTGTTAGGAGGTCCTCACGGCTTGTCCAAAAAGCTACTACAATACTTGGGAGGGCTACTGCCCAGAGTCCCACTACAGCGGCTTCCAAGACTTTAGTTTCCACTCCTACCTCTTTTACCCAAATGAAGACGGATAATACTGTCATTAAAAAACGGACAAGGCGTTCTAATATCAAAACCACATCCACGTCCGCCACAGATATAAACCAAGGAAACGCTGATTCAGCTCCAAAGTATAGTCTTGAGAAGAACGCAAAAAAACCGTCACAACGCATAAAACGCCAAAAGAAGAATAGTTCAGAAAAAGCGTTGAAACATGTTGAAAAAGTCAACGAGCAAGTACAGGAGACAGCCAAACGATCAACAAAGCAAAAATCCGGAGCAGAGAGGGAAACAAAGGCAACGCAGGCGGTAAAGGCAACAAAGGTAACTAAGATTAAAGCAAAGAATTACAAAGATGTGATCACAACTGTGCAAAACAGGAAACGAAAGGCAGAATCCATTGAGGAAAATTCTACAGTAGAGTCTTCGCATGAAGGGCAGGAGCAAGGACAAGTTGTCAAACGTAAACGAGTACGGAAGCCAAACAAAGCTAAAGCGATGACTAACGAAGGAGGGCTGGAAGGAATTGCTGAAGAATCCTCGTTATCGTTATTGCAGGGACAGGCCGCTGCTCCACTCCCCATCAATCGAACAGATCCATGTGTGGTCCTTCCGGTTGAAATTTGGCACCAAATTCTGTCACTTATACCTCTTTCGCAGGTCGCCAAGATCTCTGTTGTATCCACTGCCTGGCTTGATGGCTCACGTTCATATCCCTGCTGGAAATCCATCTGTGAAAATAACAATCTGGGACGACCCAAGATTAAATTTCGTTCTCATATGGCAATCGTGTGCTCACGCTCATTTTGGGTTTGTGACTCCTGCCATTCATACACCACAGGTCGCTATAACGCATCTGACATCCCATTACCTGTGGCTAGGAAGGATGATGATGAAATGATTTGGAATTTATGCCACCGCTGTCGACTAATGTACTATAATCGATTTCCAGAGCCACTTCGTGAAGTTGAGGATCTCTATGATTGGCAAGAAAACAAAATTACAAAAACGAAGGCTTGTGAAACATATCATCTGTCGGAAAACGATCTAGCAGGCCTCTATTATGAAGAACGGGAAAATCCTCATTACAGGTACGCTTGGCCGATGAGGCTATATAATCGATATACGATCCAAAAACGAGCTCTCAAGGTTCATGCAGGATGGGTGGGAATAGATGCATTTAAAGCCTCGATCGCAAAGAAGCGCTCTGCAGCTTTCAAGGTTAGACAAGCGGAATTCAAAGTGCGCACATCCCCAAAGCGCAGTGGAGCCACCCAAACCCCAACTCAGGAGCAGACACAGAATAGCCCCGAGGCCCCTGGACAGGAACAATGGCATGAAGAACAACCCATGTCCATACTCAGTTCGCACAATCAACAGCAAACGCCTGCAGCAGTTGAATCTAATAAAAACACTAATCTCAGCCCTACTTCAGATGATAATGGAGCAGTGATTAACATTCAGAAGATCATTGGTGATCTAACCGCTCAAGGAGCAGCCATCAACGGGAAGGAAAATGGGCTTATCCTCCTAGAGATCCAGGCCAAAACACAAGCGGCGCTACAGGTGCTGTGTTCCGAGACTCCTATATTCTCTGGCGTTTGAATTCTGTGTGGCTGTACTTTACTGGACACCATGCACAACTTCACATCACCTCTACACACGAGCACGCACGTCCACTAGCACCCGCATTCATTCTGACATGAGCCAACAAAGCATTAGCAATGTAGCATGCATATTGCCATAATAATATTAAAATAAAAGTGGAAACAAAAAGCCTCATATTCCACAGATTTAAAGGTTTGATTCTAGTTTGTTCTAGCAGAAAACAATCCGTCAGCGACCTTTCATCACTTGTTCAATGGGCAAAGGTATGCTTTGTCTTTTCCACTCATCCCTTTCAACAGCAAAATACCTTCAGCTGTGCTGTCTTATGTCCTTCGACTCCTCCATAAACATTTATTTGGATGTTTCCCATCTTTGTTAAAGAGGGCTGTAGAGAAGCGAATACGGTGGTTGCGTGTATACGCTGGTATTGATTACCAAGTATGTGAAATGAGTGAAACCATTAAGGTGTAGTCAATATCACCGACTTTTTGAAGCAGGCCAGCCTGAGAGCATAGTTAAAAATACTAACCAATTCTTCATTATCCATACCCGAGGCCCAGGAACTACTTGCCGCTATCAACCTTTTAAAGTCTTACTAAATACAAACTTTGCCTCGTATACACGATAACCTCCAGAAATCGAGAGGTGATTTTTTTTTTAAACTTATAATAGCCAAATAAATACCGCATGTTACTTGCGTTGACGCATTGTGCTGGTGATTGCATCATTATAGCTTCTGTATAGCTGCTACAAACAAAAGGAGGCCCCACAAAACACTAGTCACTTGGGATAACTAATAATCCGGAACCCCGTTGGGGATGAGACCCAATTGAATGGATACGGTGTGAGGAAGTGAAACCTCGGAAAAAAATTTATTCCTTGCTAATGATTAGTGATGCGTACTTTTCATTTTTCAGAACCAACCCCAAAACCCAACACCTTCCTTCTCTTAACCAAGCATATGCACATAATCATAAACTGCAATTGTCATAATAGTACTTTGTATACATAACCCCACATTCATTTAGTCCTTAATTTGATCTAATCTCCAGTTATCACCGCATCAACTGGACAATAATTCGATAATCAAGACTTGCCAAAATATTAAGCAAGCAAACATGAGCAACAGTATCGGCAACAGCGGCGACAAGGACAAAAAGGAAGAGAGGGCTACCGACGCCAAGCTCCAATCTCAAGGCTTTCATGACGACTTCGACATGCAGCGAGAATCTGATATTGGCGGTCGTCATCCCCACTCGATACCAATGAATGCTCCTGCCGTTAACCGATCGAGAGACTCAGAACATAAGATCACGAGTAGAGAGGGAGGTGGTTACGCCCGTCAAACGATACGACGTCCCATCAAGATTGAAACAATGGCCGTAGATAAAAAAGAATCCACTTCGCCTTGGGGTATGATAAACTCGATTCCAAGCCTTGTATTCTCAGCATATTTCATCTGTAACATTTGTATCGTTTGTACTCTTTTTTCGCATTCGCCTAATATCTTCCTCTATTTATCTCGCAACCAAAGCTGGTACCCAAGAGACCTTAGCTGGTCACAAAATTAAGGAGCTAGTGGATCAGCTGAAGCAGAGCCCAAAGGATCATACCAGTGTCGATAGAACTAATAAACCCATGTCAGCCACCTTGAGCGGTGGACCTAACTTGTCCTCGGATGAGCTTGGATTTATTGGTAGAGGAGGCGATGAGCTCAAGAAGGTCCCCGAGGGGGACAAACAGCAGGGTCCTAGTGATAAATACTCTGAATATAATGAGGGGGATTTCACTGTGGGGCTAGCTTCTGCCCTCCGCAGCGCCAATAAGGAACAGAGGTAACTATTGTTTGAGGTATCGAAGTAATTAATCTACAATATTTCATATCCGTTTGGAATGGCATTAACCTGAAATTTGTGCTCTTCAACTTTTTTTTTTTTTTTTTTTTTTTTACTTCTTAAAAAAACAGAGAAATGAGACGCGATGCTCCATCTGAGAAGGGAGATGACGCTGACAAGAAAAACGATAACACCCAGACCAAGGTGCTCGCCGAGGCGAAAACATCCGGCAATGACAACAAAACTGATACTGTCCCTACCATAAAGTAAACGTCATATTCACGCAGTCATCTTAGCGTGCTATACTAAGTTGTGTAAAGATCTAGTATTTGTTTCATGTATCTAATCCTGATCTACTTGCTTCTCATTTACTAGGCCATCTGTTACTGCCTCTATTGCTGCCTCCCTTGCTAACTCCACACTTTCATCCACTAATGTCGCGTCTAACGACCCACATTCAAGCCTAGTTCGCTCTGGAACGGAATCACTCCCCCAATTACCGTTTGCACAGCACCAAGGAGTCATTCCCCCTCTTCGGCCGGTGCGGCGGACTAACCGCGACGGCTCATTTGAGCACGGTCTACACAGCCATGTGCAAGGCAAGGACGCCTCTCCAGGGGAAACTAATGTTCAGAAAAACACTACTAGTAAGCTTTCTCTCGAAAATCCTTTTCTTACAGCAGACTCGGATAATCGGCACCCAGAGCCTATGTCCTTAGGAAGAGCAGTGCAATCTGTGCTCTCCAATGAAACCTCACCAAGCCACGAACATAAAAACAGTGAACACTCAGCAGCCCATCCACTCCGCCATAAAGACAATGAGTCCCATACGTCCAAGATGGAGCTGGGCTCTCTATTCAAGGAGGATGAGCAAGAGCCAAGCCGCCTTGATGGCAATGGAGTTGACAGTAAAGAGCCCCTTAGCACTAGTGTTTCGGGCAAGGGAGCCTATGTTACTGAAGCCCCTGCTGGTAACCTTTTTAATATCCTGTCTTCTAGCTCCTTCGAAACAAAGAAGGGACCATCCACGAGCCATCTCGAATCATCTATCCTACATAATGCATTTTTCACAAAGCCAGAGTTTGATTCTAAGTCAGCTTCATCCACTCGTTCCAAGTTTACTGCAATCTACCATGTATCGTCTGTGACAGAATATACTTCGAAGCCATGCTCTCCTGACTCGTATGAAGATTCAAAGAAAGAACTAAAAGAAAATGAAGGCAAGCCGGCGGCCGGAGGCAGCAGCCAGAAGCCTTCGACTCTTGACAACAATGAAAGCATGCAAAAATATAATTGGACCACTTTTGGTTCAGCATCAGTATCTCGGCACAGTCCTAGTTCGTACGGGAACTTAAACAAAGAAGTAAAAGAAAAAGAACCTGAGCAGATGGCAAGAGCCACAGGGCTGCAGTTACCAACCGTCCACAACAAGCATCAAACCCCAACGTCACATCGTGCGCCTCATAAAGCCTTAGATAAGGCTTATGAAGAACTCACTCACCAAGCTTCGATCAAGCCCTCTCAGGGGCATTCAAGTGACGCGTCAGGAAGCTTGAATGAGGCATCGTACCCTTCATTTGCAAGGCACTCCGCTGCATCGATCCAAAACCCACCGTATGACGACGTTACACCTGCAATTCGGTCTACGTCCCAGCCATCCATTGCTCCGACGTGTAGTATTACCTCCATTACTGCCCAAGAATACCTTGATGACTCAACCCCAAATACTCATAACGCACCTTCTTCCGAGCACACCAATAAGGTTAGCAAACGCGAACTGGGACCTACCAAGGAGCGTGAATCAGAGACTGCCAAGGAACGCGAATCGGAGGCTGCCAAAGAGCAAGAACTGGTGGCTGACAAGGAACGTGAATCGGAGACTGCCAAGGAGCGCGGGGTGGATAAGCATCAGGGCATCTTGGACAGCACTAGCACTAAATCACTCGAGCGCAAGGAGGATTTGGGTTCATCCCCTGTTTTGCATTCGAACAAGATTTCTGATGTAGCTCATGACCAATCCATCAGCTCTTCAAACGAAAAGAGCCATTCAACCTTTGGATATGGTCGCCGCCTCATCTCAGACTCAATGCACATACCAATCACCTTAAGTACGCGTAAATCTAACTCCGAGGCTCAATCTTTCAGTACTGAGAATAATAGCGACGTCCTATCGGGATCTATAAGTACTGCTGCTGGGCCATGTGGCCCAAAGGATACGCCATCAAAAGCTGTCATGAGTAAAGCTCCCAAAATTGATCTGCGGCTCTCCTCTGAAGAACAGGCTAGTTATCCTCGTGATGATAGCCACTTGTCGCACGAAAATCCCCCGCGCCCAAAGCATATCACGGATATCATTGAGATCCCATACCAGGAGGAGCCAGATAAAGCTCCACTCCATATTGAATCTAATACTACGCCAGCAGCCCAAACTACCGAAACTAACGATGCATCAATTGCTTCTACGACCCGTGAACCGAAAGAGGATCTTCCAATGTTGCAGTACACGGCACGAAATCTCCATACAAATAACCATATGCCTCAAGACCACCATACAGCCGAGCACAACAAAGTTCGGCCGATGCCTTTGGAAGCTACACCCTCAACAACCCAGTCTGCGAGGGAGGGTCATTCAAAAGCTGTGGGGCTAAGGAAGCCAAGGCCCTACTCGTCTCCATCTATCTCTTTAGAGGAGCAGACTAACTACCCTCGCAGTGATATTCCAACTGGGCCGGCAAGAGAACTTAAACCATCTACCTATAGTTATAGTTCGGCTATACCGATCAAGGAAATTCAGCTTGATGAAGCGCACATGCACCCGCATCATGATTTACATCCAAACCTCTTCCGGTCGCCTACCACAACTACTAATCAACGCCCAGATGACACCGAACATTTATTGGGAGGCATAAGTTCCCCAGATATCCACATTATTGGAAGCTATCCTACCACTACGCGTTTTAAGGCCCCTATGCCAGATAAGGAGGCTATGCACCGTATGCCCGCTGCTCCTTCTGTATCGCCTCCTGCTTCAGCCTCAGCTCCAGCCCCATCTTCAGCGCCTACCCATGCAGCTCTCGATATTCAGCACCAAGCTGTTCCTACCACTCAAATGCGATCGAACTATGATCACCGCAAACAGGACGAATCTTTGTATTCCACACCGACGTCTCCCAATAGCATGAATCTAGACACAGCCGATAATATTGGACCATTCAAGCCTAAGGGGACGTCCAGATCCGAGGAAAGCAAGGATGGGTCCCTGCCTCTGATGCATAGAGCGGCGGTTCACTTGCTAGCCGCGCCCGAGCTCAAACGCCACCACGATGGTAGGAGAATCAATTGAATGGGTAAATGTCCATAATATATTCCAGATGATTTAGTTCACTAACTTTTCGTCATTACACGACATCTGTATGCTAGCGACCAAACCTACTGTTGCTGATAGCGCAACAGCTTCAAGTACCCACAACCAGCCTATACCGCCTGTATCCGTAATTCAAAGTAAATATCTTAGACAACCGAGTTCTAGTTTTGTTCCCAGTGAACATCGTCATGAGCTGAGCACTTGTTCCTCACCAGACAATCCAGACGGCTCAGAAGAACAGTATTTCTCACTAGATGAAACTGAGCCACCTAATTCAAATCAAGGCTCTGGTATGAGCGGTATAAATAATAACAATAAGGATACCGATCTCAGTTTTAAGGCAATTACATCAACCCTTACCCCGTCTATCGAAGCCTACAAAAAGGACACTGTAACTACTGGCTCTCCTGTTCCCACAACTAGTACCACTGGAGCGACTGTTAGGACTCCTGCGTCTCAGCCTCATGAGGATCATGCTTACAAGCTCAAGCCTTCTAAGGAGGCTACTGCAAACGCCACTGCTCCCAAGGCCCAAGTTACCAGCGATTCATCTGTACCGCAGCCGCTGATCAAGGAAAGGGAAATATTGGCTTCCCGTCAGGATGATCCTCTCAAGAGAGCTGAGAGGGGTCCCATGTCGGTTGTGCCACCGGCTGGGGCTCCAGCCTATGGTCATCATCACGCTACGGCGCATTCGCATAATGAAAAGAATGACTCACGTCCTATTCATAGCGCTGCAGCCCCTGCTGAGGCATCACCTGTTGCGAGAGCTGCTCTCCCTTCAGCCATCATCCAGAAACATGCCGGTTTACATGACCATGAAGAGGGGCGACAAATATTGCACGATTGGCCCAAGTCGCGTGAGCAACGTGATCAGCAGCATCAGTACCGGCACCAGCGGCCAATATCACTAATCGAGCAACAAAATGAAATCAAGACTGTTACACCTACAGTCACCCCTGCGACCGCAAAGTCAAGCTCCGAGCTGCATGAGCACAGTGACCAGCAACAGCAAGGGCAACAAGGGCAACAGGGAAAGGGCCAGCATCTGAAGCCCTCAGAGAGACACGCTGATACAGACAGTTTAAAGGCTACTGTCCCTCCCGCTGTGGTCATTCCTACTACAACCTCAAAGTCGGACCGGGCAGAGTCACACAAATACCAGGAGCAAATAGGTTCAGTGAAGGAAAATGATGATATTACATCAGCTAAGCCTGTATCGACCCAGCCCAAAATCGACCCAACTTTACTGGCCACACCAACAACCAAGCCGATGGTAGTAGGAATGCAGGAGGTGAAGATGCCTAGTCGCCCGCCCGCGCCGAAGCCATCATCTGCTCAAACACATGGTGCTTTGTACAATAGTAGCGAGATAACGCCTACGCCGCAGATACATGAGAAGACAAATTTTGCTAAACACGCTCCTGTATCTGCATCTATGGATACAGCAGCATCGCATAATCATGTTGATTCTATGAAAGTCCCAGTAGCTCAGCTCCCTAAAAAAGAGCAGGATATCAAGATTTCTCCCATCTCGACCCTAGCTTCCGACAACAAGGATAAGTATAAGGGTGAAGACATGAATAATAGTAATACTAAGGGTGACCTGACGGCAGAGAAGTTCAAACCCGTTCCTCAACCCGTGATTCCTCCTCAACGAGAGTTAGCTGTTAGCAACTCCGTCCAAGCACCAATTACTACAACAGAGTCACCCTCTTCACCCATCCCTGCGCCCCGTCCCGCCACAATGGTTTCTGTTGCTGCTGTGCCTGCTGCGGCTTTAACGCCCGACAGGCACGGCACTGAGCTTAGCCGCGATGTCAACAAGTTGAAGACTAATGAACGACAATACCAGCAAGGCCAAGAACACGGTAATGTGAACGCCCAGGTACCGGTTAATACGGCTATGTCAACGCCCTCGCCTATCCCCGTCCCCCACCCTACTACAATGGCTTCTGTTGCTGCTGTACCTGGCGCGGCCTTAACGCCTGGTAGACACGATAATGCACTTACTTACGACATCAGCAAATTGAAGGCTACTGAACCTGCTGAGCAAAGTCAACAGCACCGAGAGCATAGCAATGCGAGGGCCCAAACGCCAGTTAGTGGGACCAAATCATCTTCCTCGCCCATCCCTGCGCCCCGTCCTATTGCAATGGCTTCTGTCGCTGATATGCCTGCTGCGACCCTAACATCCGGCAGACACGGTACTGAACGTAACTATGATATCAGCAACTTGAAGACTTCTGAACAACATTATTATCCACAGCATCAAGAACAAAGCAATGTTCAGTTCCAAGTGCCGGTTAGTGGGGCCAAGCCATCTTCCTCACCCATCCCTGCACCCCGTCCTATTGCGATGGCTTCTGTTGCTAGCACGCCTGCTGCGGCCTTAACATCCGGTAGACACGGTACTGAGCGTAGCCATGACATCAACAACTTGAGGACCTCTGAACAACATTATCCACAACCCCAAGGACAAAGCAATTTGCAGCTCCAAGCGCCAGTCAGTACTATGAAACTATCTTCCTCACCCATCCCTGCGCCCCATCCTACTACAATGGCTTCTGTTGCTGCTGCGCCTGTCGCGGCCTTGGCGTCTGGTAGACTGGATAATGAGCCCAGGCGCGATATCAACAAGTTGAGGACTTTTGAACAACAATATCCACAACCTCAAGGACAAAATAATGTGCAAGTACTAAGTACGGAGGTTCCAGCAGGCTACAAAGGAGAGATCCCTACAACACAAGATGGTGAACATGTGATTTGGGTCAAGAAGATCTATACAACAAGGGAGTACTACGATCCTCCTGATGAGTATGAGCCTGAGGAGCTGGATGAATTTGGGTTCCGAAAGGACCGTGACGTGTCATTGTATCTAAATCGTCGTTACCCATAACAAATGAAGACTTTATTAGACTAACGATCTGTTGGTCATTGTAGAAAACATATATATATATATATATATAATAAGCTGGCAATAAAATACTTCATCTTGCTTTTATTGCATCGTTACTCATACGCTATTATTGTTAAAATAAAAATAAAAAATAAAATATGAGGTGCTTATATTTTGATCAGTTCGGTTCTATAGGACTGTGTAAAATGCCTGTAAGCTTTTTTTTTTTTTCTTCTGCTTTCTCTTGACCCTTTACGATTTTAGTCGCCCTGTCAACAAACTAGACCGCATACCAACAACCCTATGGAAAACTTTCGGGTTCGAGAACATCTGCCTTTTTTTTGTAATCTGGACAAGGAATCCCATCTTTTTTTTTTTTTTTTTTTTTTTTTGGCCCTGGTTAATGGTTATGATCAAAGTCCATGCACACAAATGTAGGGGGTTTGATCCTAAAAAAATGATCTGCTAAGCAATGATAATCAAGTTTGTTCATGAGCATTACTAAATTCGCTAGTTCATGCACGCAAAGGCCCACACTCTTTTTTGATTGGTTAGTTTTCTTGTTTTGGATTGGTACATAAATGTACATGTATATAACGCTAACGACTATTTATGGCATCAATTGACGAAAGCATAACAATCTCATCCACCAAACTCCTGACTACAGTACGTTCGTGACATCCCTTATTCACAGCCATCAGCAATGTGTACATGTATAGTCTCAAAGATATAGATCATCTTTTCAGCTCCCACGGTCTGATAATCTGGCAAAAAAAAAAAAAAAAAAAAAAAAAGATTCCTCACACGAATATTGTCTCTATTATATTAGTATCCAAATATCTGAGTCTTCCATAAGCTTGACACCAATGGAAGTGTGATGAGTGCTTCTTTTGGTCAGTAAACATCCATGCTTGCTACTGATCATTCTGATTCTTTTTTTTTTTATTATTATTTTTTTTTCTTTCCTTTTATTATAATTATTTGTTCCCTTGCTCTTGGCTTGATCTCAATCCAAAGCCTGCCTTTGTCATGGATACTAACTCGTTTGTGATTTATCGCTGGCTGTAATGAGAGAGCCCAAAATTCGTTGAGATACTGAATATCCTCTCAATCTTCAACTTGACTAAGTCATTGCTTTTTGCTTCTAACAAGATGGGGAAGGGTCTAATTAGATGATTTCATTCCCTTCACTGTCTGTTGGGAAAATGTACGACTTGATTGGATAACTTTGTCCTAAAAAGCATTTATAGTCTATAACAAATATTGCCAGCACGGGAGGGACATACAATATGAGCCACTCATTTTATCACCCCTCGCTCGTAGCGGATAAATTTCTCCACTGACAATGAGGGGACAATGAGGGACGGACTGTAGTGAATGGTAAATTGACATTTAAACAAAACATCTTTCTTAAAAAAGCCAGACTAGATCTTCTTTTTTTTTTTTGTGTCCCTGTAAATAAAGCAGGACCACTGCCAGATTACGGTAATTCACCTAGTGGAGGGATACACGTAATTTTTTTTTTCCATTCGTTGAAGCAATGTTCAACATTGTATCACGTCACTTGTAATTCCTTTCGAAAAAGGTCAATGCGCTTAGAAGAAAAGAAGGGACTAGTTTTCTAACAATTATGCATCTCTCTGCTGCACTTTACCCTCCGATACCTTACCAAGCACACTCATACTAATCCTATGCTCCTTGTAAAGGAAAAAAAGGAACAAAAATCGCTCAAAGGCGTGTGAACGCGTACGAGAAAAAAAAGGTGCTGGTCGTTGGTATAAATACAGAGAGAGTTGGATCCATCTTTTTCTTTTTGTTCCTTTGATCTCTACACCCTTTTATTCTCCAGCAAATCAACCTGCAAACCACTTCAGACCATGCGCAAGCCATTCATCACCGTCTTTGTTTTTAGTGCCTTGGCTGCTGTCAGCTCCGCGTTCTGCGTCAAGGACCGAGATGATTGCCCCTCTGGAACCCATGGGGTTGAAGATCCAGTGTATTGTGTAGAAAGTGGCTACTCTTACGACCACCAGTTTTTCTGTGCAAGAGATTCGGTCAAGACTGTCGGTATCCGAGGCCGAGTACCACCCCCCAACCTGAGGGGAGCTTGTGTCCGCGAGTGCGATGAGTGCCCTTCTGGAACTCATTGTGAAAATGAACCCGAGATCTGTAGGGATTTGGGTTTCCCTCCTCACTATCACTTGCTTTGCGTCGGTGGCTTCGCTTCCAACCCCATCCCCAAACCTGCACCTGTTGCTAAAACTATGCCCTGTGTCCGCAAGTGCGATGAGTGTCCCTCTGGAACTCATTGTGAAAATGAACCCGAGATCTGTAGGGATATGGGCTTCCCTCCTCACTATCACTTGCTTTGCGTCGGAGGAGATCCCAACTCTTCTGAGAAGAGCTCTTGCCACTGATCAAATTTAGATGGACATGTCCATATTGATTGAGAAATATCTGTATAAATGAAATAAAGAAAGGTCTCAGTGCTTGTAATTTTCAACAATGATCAGCTGAAGCATCATTGGGAATGCCAATTAAAGTAAGAGCAGCATGGATGGTCGTGAACATCGAGTAGCAACAGTAGCCAATTATATCCCTATCATCGTATCTGAGGAGATGGTTATCACTTTTAGACCTAAAAAAATAAAATAAAATAAAATAAAAAAAAGAGAGAGAGGCTATTCAGCTGGAGCTTTTACCAATAAATGTTCATGTCGAATCTCTTTGTCTTTTAGTATGAATACATTTAGCACTAACTGTTGTGTCGCCAAAAATGTTTAACAAAAAATAAATAAATAAATAAAAAAAAAAAAAAAGCGTTAGATTCCTTTGTTTCAATTGACGTCCGACCAAGGTCCAACATGTCGTTAAATAACGCGCCCAATGCCCCTGTTTTTAAAGGAGAAAATGATGATCTGTTCGATGCCAAACATTTATAAACCATATATAGCCCGGCTACTATTACTACATAACGTCCAAGAACATTTATGCTGCTACTGCTTTAACTGACATTGTCAATGGCACTTTTACTGATCATTGGATCACTGTTAATACTTTCTTTTTTTTTTTCTCTTTATGTCTTTATTTCAACTGTACAGATATTTCTCAATCAATATGGACATGTCCATCTAAATTTGATCAGTGGCAAGAGCTCTTCTCAGAAGAGTTGGGATCTCCTCCGACGCAAAGCAAGTGATAGTGAGGAGGGAAGCCCATATCCCTACAGATCTCGGGTTCATTTTCACAATGAGTTCCAGAGGGACACTCATCGCACTTGCGGACACAGGGCATAGTTTTAGCAACAGGTGCAGGTTTGGGGATGGGGTTGGAAGCGAAGCCACCGACGCAAAGCAAGTGATAGTGAGGAGGGAAACCCAAATCCCTACAGATCTCGGGTTCATTTTCACAATGAGTTCCAGAAGGGCACTCATCGCACTCGCGGACACAAGCTCCCCTCAGGTTGGGGGGTGGTACTCGGCCTCGGATACCGACAGTCTTGACCGAATCTCTTGCACAGAAAAACTGGTGGTCGTAAGAGTAGCCACTTTCTACACAATACACTGGATCTTCAACCCCATGGGTTCCAGAGGGGCAATCATCTCGGTCCTTGACGCAGAACGCGGAGCTGACAGCAGCCAAGGCACTAAAAACAAAGACGGTGATGAATGGCTTGCGCATGGTCTGAAGTGGTTTGCAGGTTGATTTGCTGGAGAATAAAAGGGTGTAGAGATCAAAGGAACAAAAAGGAAAAGATGGATCCAACTCTCTCTGTATTTATACCAACGACCAGCACCTTTTTTTTCTCGTACGCGTTCACACGCCTTTGAGCGATTTTTGTTCCTTTTTTTTCCTTTACAAGGAGCATAGGATTAGTATGAGTGTGCTTGGTAAGGTATCGGAGGGTAAAGTGCAGAAAACTAGTCTCTTCTCTTCTTTTTCTTCTTCTTCTTCTGGGCGCATTAGCCTGAAAGGAATGATTATAAATGATGTAACACAAGGTTGGCCAATATTTACGCTGAGGGAACATCAAGGGGCAAAAAAAAAAAAAAAAAAAGATAGACTATACACGTTGATACTCTAACAATGACGTTATACGACGCGACAAAGTGTTGGATATTAGGGCAAGAAAGATAGTCTGATCTTGTTGCATTGGACGTATAATTGGAGCCATTTTTTTGATCCTTGCAACATCCCAGACCATTACTAGAAGGTAAGCTAATCCACAAGATCAAAAACTTTTTGCCTTTAGTTTTGTTGAACAAGTCCTCTTCCCTCTGCCCCTTTTTTTAAGGCTACCCAAAGGCTACTAGGCTTTTTTCGGACACAACTTTGGTTCTCTCTGTCTCTCTCTTTCTCTTGGTTTATTTATTATTATGATTATTTTTATTTTGTTACTATTGTTGTTGTTGCTTTATATTCGGTATTATGCTTTCGTGAGTCCACAGATCGTCAAGTCACGCATTTGTTGCAAGATACCGTCTGCCTGCTGCTCCAGTTCATAATCCTGTGGTTCTGGAGGGAAGTACTGTCGAAGGCTTTCCAATGCATTGAAAGAGTCCTGGGCAAACGATAGCTGTGATTTGACGATCGCTTCAAAGGACGGGTCCAAGTAGGCGACTCTGGAATCAATGACCTTGGGTAGCTCAGTTGTCAATTGAGCATTGATGCTCTCGTACAAATCCCTGGCCGCATTGGCTTCATGTTCCGCGCGTGGTAACTTTGTGCTGTCCTCCGAGGGCTTCTCCACTAGCTTCCGGACCTTGGATCGGGCATTGTCGTAATCAAGTAACTTTTTGTTGCGACGGCGGATCGCTTCGTTGATCTCTGGGAAGTAGGAGTAATATCGGCCAATAGGCTCTAGTACTGTGGAGCGATAAGCATCATCCTATCAAAATAAATATATATAAACATATTCGTGTCCACCAGATCGGAATCCGTTATTTAGTCCAATGTTCATCGAGATGTTCTTAATGAAAGTTTAACTAACATGTCCCTAACCTCTGTTAATTGTTCCATTTTGGTAATAGTCTCCTTGTATTTGATGCCGGATGCCGCCATTGACTGACTATCATCATAGCATTGCTCCAACGTGTTTGCAATCCTGATTTGAGCAGCTGTCATTTCTTTTGGTATCAAACAGAAAAAAAAAGAAAAGAAAAAGTATAAATACGATGCGTTTAATATCCCATGTCTTTTTTTTTTTTTTTTTTTTTTTTTTTTGGCTGTTTTGTTTTGTTTTGTTTTGCTGTCTGTTTGTTAATGAAATGATGGGCTGTGTGTTTCTGTTGTTCCACATGGCAAAGTGCATGAAAGGAATCGGTTTTCATTCTTTTTTTGATGTGGTGTTGTGTTACCTCGAAGAGCTTTAGCATATCCATTTGCTTCCTTATGCAACTTTTCGGCTTTTGCTTCCAGTCTTTGGATCCATATTCAAATTCAAAATAATAATAATAATAATAAAATTCAGTTTTGGTAACACTGCTGCGCCAACAGTAAGAGTTATATATAAAAAAAAAATAAAAATAAAAATAAATAAAAAAAACTACTTACTGCTTGGCTCGTTTTTCTTCTTCCTCAAATTCCTTGTCTTCAGTGCGGTCCATGTTTCCAGTCTTGGAGAGGACTGTAGTAGTGGCCCTGTTGAGGTTCTTTTTAAATCCAGCCCTTTTTTATTGATTGATTGATTGATTGATTGATTAAAAGTAGGATGAAAGAAAATGGCAATTAAACGATTTAATCCTGTGTTGATACAGCCTACACATGTCATATATGCCTGTGTTTCATCAGAGCAGAACAGATAAAGATGGACCCCAAAGTGGAATAATGTGCTGATATGATATAATGTAATGGACTCGTACCAACTCATGATGTCTCTTTTCTTTTTGCGATAATGGTAAGTGATGGGATAGTTGTAGCTGGTAGTTGTGGTAGAATATATCCGGTTGTCTGCGCTTGTGCAAGTATCGAAGATGTCGTTATTTGGTTCCTATGTCTGCGTGGAACAAAGAGATTGGCAGAGTAGCTAGTGGCTAATGGAGTGCAATGGGAATGAATAATGAATGAAGAATTGAAGAAGGAAAAAGGAAAAAAGAAAAAGAGCCGTTACATGTACATGTACATTAAGCATGTATAATATATATATATATATCTATATACATGTATATATAATAATGTGCAATGCATTGGTTAGTGACATCAATAAATCCATAAAAGACATAAAACTGTCTTTGCTGGGTTTTCATTGACCCGAATGGATCACATGACTGAAACGCGTCTGTCTCCAGCCTGGCAATCGCAAGGAACGCGTCTTTGTCTGATCTGCGTCTTTCCTACAAATCTCCATCCATCATCCTTTTCTATCTGTACTCGACTACTTGACTACTCGTCTACTCATCTGCTGTGGCACAATATTTTTTTTTTTTTTTTAAAAAAAAGCCTTTATTTCCGCCACTGCTTATCTGTGATACTCCCATCCTCATTGGAGGTCATTGGGAGTGTGTGGGATAAAAGGAGTGCATGTCAATACTTTTCTTTTTTTTTTTTTTTTTTTTTTTTTTTTTTTCATTTCAATTGCATTCTTTTTGTGTTCTCTCCACAATTCATTCTTACCTCATGCCTCTGACTTCAAGCTCCTGTACTGCCGCCCTCAGGACAGCTGTTCGTCGTGCTGCCATTGTCAGTGCCCCTTCTACTGCCGCCATTTCCTATTCACATGTTTCCAGCTCTGTCTCCAATGGATTCGTAAAGAGGTTTAATACCCTCCAACCTACATGGGCTTTCCATGGACTTCATCACCAACGCTTCATGTCCACTTCTACTCAACGTAAAGAAACCCTTCTAAAAGAAAGCAGATACTCTGATTCTTTGCCTTTTGACGTTGTCAATTGTCTTTTTTGTTTCTGTCCGTTGGACACCTTTCTGACAATTTGTTTTTTTTTTTTTTTTTTTTTTTTCTATTTGATTAAAAAAAGTTCGTGGTAAGACCATGAAGACACCTTACTGGAGATCCTCAGGCGCATCTTCTAAGACATTGATTGCTGCTGGCGCTGCAACGACTTGTATCTTTGGACCCCTTGTCTGGGCCAGATCCTTTGGTTCTTTCAAGAACATTGCTTATTGTGCTGCCGGTTCTCCTTCTACAACCAAGCCAGGTATAATTATTGCAAAACAAGTATAAGAAAGAAAAAAGAAAAAAAAAAAAAAAAAAAAAAAAGTAGATGTAATTCGATACATCCTTTATCTCACAAGAACCTTCTTTTTCTTTTTTTTTTTCTTTTTTTTTTTTTTTTGTTGTTGTTGTTTGTTTGCTTGTTTGTAAGCCAATATCCCATCTACTCCCCCACGTAGTAGTGGTAAGTCATGGTAAAGGTGCTGGAGCAGATAGGCAATATCAATCAAAAGCCAGTTTTGGTTATTAACGATCAAATCGCCATGTCATTTTATTCTTTTTGTTCAAAAAAAAAAAAAAAAAAAAAAAAAAAAAAATTACAGCTAGGATCCTTGGGGAGAAGGACCCGTTGATCAATAGCAAGGAAATCACATTTGGTGCGGCAATGGGTGTATGTTCCGGCTATCTTTTCAAGAAGCTGGGTAAGATGTTTGTCCTGGTTGCTGGTCTTGGTTTCGTTACTTTGCAGCTGTTAGCCAACTCTGGATACATCTCCGTCAACTGGGTACTGATCGAATCAAAATTCAAGGACCAACTTGACCTGGATAAGGATGGCAAGGTGACTGCAAAGGATGCAAAGCATGGTCTTGACTGGATCATTGAGTTCTTGACTAGGAACTTTCAGTTCAGGTCAACATTCGCAGGAGGATTCTACGTGGGTTTCCATTATGGATAAATAACACCAATAAAAAGAAGAAAAAGAGACGCGCGAAATCACAGTGCTCGATAAAAGGTTGTTGTAATTAATACACAATTGCCCAATTGCCCTATTGCTTTAATTCGATGCAAAAAAAAAAAAAAAAAAAAAAAAAAAAATGCCAAACTAGAATACCGGCAATCACGTGCATCCTTAATCCCATCAAGTCATCCTCAGAGACACGCGCTTTCCTTCAGTCGCATGCATCTCACCATGAGCAAGTCAATCAACTCAAACTTCATCACACCCAAAGACATTCCTACTCTACAAGAGTGTTATAAGGAATATCCAAAACCTACTCAAGGTATATCCTCGATGATCAATATCTTTGCATCTTTTAAAAAAGGAGAGGAAAGAAAAAGGGCTTTTTTTTGATTTGACGCTTTACTCTTTCAAATCAATAGAGCCGGACAATGCCCCCGATCTGATAATCAGTCGCCTTTTGTCTCTTTGGTAACCAAGGCTTTCTATAGATTTTTGTTTTATTTTATCTTTTTTAAAAAAAATTGTACCGTTTGATCTGATTGTAAAATATATGATATGGTATGATTTTTTTTTTTTTTTTTTTTTTTTTTTTGGTTTTTTTTGGATATGGGTATGGGTATGATTAAGGCAAGGTGATATGACAACGCTCAAGATCGATGCCATTGGTAAGTTGGACTAAAGATTTGCTTTGATCTTGGTGTCTTGTCTTTATCCTTTATTCTTTTTATTCTATTTTTTTTTTATTTTTTTTATTTTTTTTTCCTTCTTCTAACGCTCAATTGCTGATATCTTCATTAGTGAACGCGGCGAATGAAAGTCTTTTAGGTGGAGGAGGAAGTAAGTTTGTTTGGATCCATTCTTGACTTTTTTTTTTTTTTTTTTTTTCCTTTTCTTTTTCTTACTAATATTTCTCTCATCCAAAAAAAAAAAAAAAAAAAAAAAAAAAAAAAAAAGTCGATGGGGCTATCCATCGAGCTGCTGGAAGAGAGCTCTTGGCCGAGTGTCAAACTCTTGGTGGATGCAAAACAGGAGTAAGTAGTAAGAGAAGAGAAAGACGTGATCTAAACAGACAAACAAACAAAAAGAAAATATTATTAATCCATCTGGATACGCTGGTTTCCTAGAGCGCAAAGATCACAAAGGGTTACAGATTGCCATCGCGTCGTAAGTTTTTCGCTTTATTATTATTATTATTATTATCTGCCGCTTTGCGCTTTTCCTTTCCTTTTCTTTTCTTTTCTTTTCTTTTCTTTCTTACAAATGCTTTGCCTGTACGTTTTTTTTTTATAGATGTAATTCACACAGTTGGGCCTATAGGCGAAAAGCCAGATCTATTGGCAAGCTGCTACAGGAACGTACTAGATGTCGTGCGTGAGAATCAATTAAAGACAGTGGTATGCGATGACTTATACAACCGATTTTTTTCTTCTTCTTCTTCTTCTTCTTCTTCTTTTTCTTCTTCCTCTTATACTAATGTTCAATCCATGGTTATGAGATTAGGCATTTTGCTGCGTGTCGACTGGTGTTTATGGATATGATAATACCAAAGCTGCACATGTTGCACTCCGTACAGTTGGGGATTGGCTTCGAGAGAACTATGACTATACAAAGCAGGTATGAGTGTGTGTGTGTGTTTTTTCTTTTTCTTTTTTCTTTTTTTTTTTTTTTTTTAAAATATATATTTACTCATTGTCTTTATTATGCTCGTCTTCTTTTTCGTCTGTCTACCTCGTTGGAACCACTAGATGGAGCGAGTTATTTTCTGCACATTCCTGGACAAGGACCAGCAGATCTACAAAAAGCTCTTACCAATCTACTTTCCCGAGCCTCAGCCAGATACTACAAACCAAGATCCTGAAGTGAACTGATTCTCTCTCTCTCCTTTTTTTTTTTTTTTTTAAGAAAAAAGTTAAATAAAGGGAAAGCCTTTTTTTATAATCTCACGAATGTATGTCTCGGATAGGATGAACCAAAGTTTTTCATTTTGCTCATCTCTTCCATAGCTGCTGTGCACAGCATGTATGAACCCTTTTTTTTATTATTATTGTGGATTCCTAACCTAATGAATTGACCATGAGATTGCTCTTCTTAATCTCTTAATCTTCTTTGAATACAACAAGTATACTTTATATACATTTATACTATATAATATATAGATATACATCATGGTTTTTTTTTTTTTTTTTTTTTTTTTTCCTCACGATTATTTTTTTTCAGTGGCAATAATAAAAAAAAAGAAAAACTCCACAGATCTCACGTCTTTGATCACAGGACATGTGCCGTAAGATGAAAGTGACGTAAAAAGACTGAAGAATGCCAAGGAATTACTTTTTACACTCTTTTTTTTCTTTCTTTCTTTCTTTCTTTCTTTCTTTCTTTAGTCAACTTCAAACACTCTTTCTTCTTTTTATACATTTTTTAGATTTCTTCAAAACGGCATCGATTACTCGTTCGCAGAACTTCCTCCTTCTTGTCCTTGTCATTCTCTTACTCTCTTCATATTTTAGCTACACCATGGCTTCTATTTCTGCTGAATTCCAGGCCCTTGGCCAGTCACTACAGAACCTCCGCAATATTAAGGGCCATTGGGATGGCGGTGAATCCAATCCAGCTGTCGACAACTTTAACGGCGAGAAGCACCAGACACTTATGGTAATGGTCTTTTTTTTTTTTTTTTTTTTTTTTTAAAAAAAAAAAAAATAAAATAAAAAGTGGCAAATGTGAAGTGTGAGAATGTGAGAATGGAAATGACAGAACTTGCATGGACTTTTATTTTTTATTTTTATATAAAAAAATGCCTATTCGTTCTTCTTTCTCTTTCTCTTTCTCTTTCTCTTTCTCGTTCTTTCTCTTTCTCTTTCTCTTTTTTTCCCTTTTCTCTTCTCTCCTTTGTACCATGCTGGGTGTGCATGACATTGCTGTGTTTCATCAGCTGTGAGGGTGTTGTCATGGGACGTCATCCTGTGGACGTATGAATGATACATCTTTTGTCCTTGTCCTTGTCCCTGTCCTGTGTTTGTTGATCAAAAAACTGTTTTTTTTTTATTATTATTATTATTATTATTTGGTAATAGAAACTGGGCGAATACTTTGGTAAGCCTGGAACACCAGCAGCAGATATTCTGACGACAATGGGTCAGCCTGATGAGATCAGACAATCAATGGACGAGGCATTCCATGCGTCCCTGATGCCTGGTCCCGTTGTCGGAGGCACCGGTGGTCCAACTGCGTCTGCCAATGTCACGGGTGCAGGACTGGGGGATGTGAACACGACAATGATGCCCTCCGGATCAAATGCTGACTCGGATGCACAGGTCATGTATTTCATCTACAAGTGGCGCGGTAACCACGATTATTTGTGGTTCAAGGTCGATGCCACGACCGAAAAAGTCCTTGAGAGCTCATGGTACCATGCATACGAATAAAAAGAGATATGCATACACACACATAATCCACATCCACATCCACATCCACATCCACATCCATATTCACGGCATTGTTCTAACCTATGCTCCATCACTTTTGAAGAAAAAGGGAGGAACATGTACAAATCAAGCAAAAAAAAAAAAAAAAAAAAAAAAAAATACGTCTACTGTTAGTTACCGATTAGTTTTTTGTGTGTAGTTGCCGAACAAAAATCAAAATAAAATTAAAAGCAAAAAATAAAAACAAGAATAAAAATTAAAATGTAAAATAAAAAATAAAAAAAGGTTGATCTGACAAAACAAACAAACAAAGAACGCCATCGTCATGGCACCATAACGGCATGGGATAAGATGATCAATCCCAATGGATGGTGAACAAACAAATGCATAGATTCTGTCTGGCATGGAAAACGAATGCAATAATCCTCCATCGCTTTTTATTTTATTTTTGATTTCCTTCGAAAGGAGAGTCTGGGCAGGAGAAGGATCCTTTTTGGACGTCTTTGGATGAAATTGGATCTCTTTCGAATACATTATGTGCTGTGTGGCATGGGCCATGAGGACAACTTGTCTTTCTTTCTCTTTCTTCTTCTTCATCATCATCATCATCTTTCTTTTTTCTTTTTCTTTCTTCTTCTTCTTCTTCTGCTTCTACTTCCTCTCTTTAGAATTTACATTTACTCTCTCCAGCTCTCTCCTGTACACAGACATATATCCGTTGCCTCTTTGTCTTCATCTTTTCAGCCCCTTCTTTTTTTTTTCCCTCCCTCCCTATCCGCTATCCACGCGACGTTAAAAAAGAAAAATAAAATCAAACAACACGCAAATACTCATTCTTAACACACACATTGGTTTTTTTTACATAAATATATACAATTACAATTGTCCATTGTTGGAACATTCATTGAACGTCTTCAATCCTGATCCATTTGTAATTAGAATTCACCTCATTGCGTATACACACATCTCTTGTTCTAAACACCACTAATGGGTTCTCATTCATCTCCTGGGAGACCCAACAGTCAACAACGACGACACAACCATCATGTTTCTGTAGCTTCACCTGACATCGTCTCAGCCTCGACTACGCCGCCTCCTACTACACATCACGTAGTAACAGAAACAGAAACATCGCCACACACAACATCCTCGGGAAATTTGACTACAACATTACTGACTACCCCTACGATATTGGATCAACCCTCTTCTTCTTCTTCTCTTTCTCATCCCCCTCCTTCTTCCTCTTCTTCTTCTTCTTCCGAACCAAAGAATGATATGTCTCTTGTTGCATCATCACGATCCCATGATCGACCACAACGTTCAACCCATGTCTCATCCACAGACTATCCTGCCTCCTTCCGTTCCTCTGCAGATGAATCGACCACAACTAGATCAATTGAACCACCAAAGAAACGACTGTGGCAATGCAGAGTCCAAAACCTCACTGATCTCCTTCTGGGCTTCCTTCGACGAAGGATCCCTATCCTGGCCTGGCTGATCAGTCATCCCTATGACTGGAAGAACCATTTGATCCAGGACTTGATTGCAGGCGTGAGTAAGTGGGACTGGGCGACAACATTGTTTGTGTGCGTGTTTGTTGGTGGTCATCAGTTTAATCCAATTTAAGGTTAAATCTGAATGAGGTGCACTCTTTTTTTTTTTTTTTTTTTTTTTTTTTTTTTTTCTTCTTTTCTTTGCATGTACTCTGCCCAAGTGGAGAACAGACCCATGGATGACAAGAGCAGGGCATTGTTGTGATGTTGTGAACCAGATCTAACTATGGAGTTATTTCTCATTGTCATACGAATTGTGCTCAAACATCTTTTTTCCTTGTCCTTGTGAAGACATTGTTCTCTCCTTTAATATTGGGCTGAATGGACTCCTGTACATTATACACACAAATATAATGCAGATGCATCCTGAATTAGGGACAAAGAGAGACTTGCATTGACAAAAGAGGCATCGATCGTTTCTTTATTTCGACATCCAAAAAAATAGTCCTATCCATGTCCATCAAAAGAATCCACCACCAAATGTACACATACTTGCATATCTCTCTTGCCCTTGTTTTATCGGCATCTTTGCATAACTGCTCTGCGGATTTCCCTTTTCTCTCGATGTTCTTCTTCCATCCAAAAATACACCACCTCCCGTCTTTTCTTTCTTTTTTTTTTTTTTTTTTTTTTTTTTTTAAAAAAAAAAAAAAAAAAAAAAAAGTTGAAATAACGGAAATAGTGAGAATGAAAAACCCTAGTTTCTAGTTCCTGGTCCCCATCCTGTCCAGATATGTCCTTTTGTCTTAGATCTCTGACACTTACTATCGATCCATTGCCTCATTCCTTCTAGCCATCTCAGCCGTCATCATCCCGCAGAGCATGGCCTATGCCATGCTTGCCTCGCTGCCACCCGTACACGGTCTCTACACATCCTTGGTCCCAACGGCCGTCTATGCATGTCTCGGTACAAGTCGACATATGTCTACGGGCACGTTCGCAATCACCTCTCTACTTCTTGGGCAGTTCACACACAAGATCCTTACGGATCAAGGTTATACAGATGACTTTTCCTCCGATGGGGAGTACCAACGTCGTTACCTCCCGCTTTGTCTCTTACTGACCTTCTTTGTAGGCATCATCCAGATCCTACTATCCATGGCACGACTAGGCCAATGGACTTCTAAACACCTCCTACCGACTGCATTAGTCTCTGGCTTCAACACCGCATCAGCATTCCACATTGGCACCCATCAAGTAAAACACCTCTTGGGTCTAAAGCCGCCGCGGGAAACCGGGGCCTTTAGCATGATCAAGACTTGGATTTGGTTCGCACAACATTTCTGGGGAGATACTCTCTGGGCCTCTTTTGCCATGGGTCTTGCCGCTATGGCACTGATGTATGTTTTGCAGCGGATCGAACACCAGCGCCGTTCAGAGGCAGATCGACTCCATGAACTTTCCTTTCCGATCTCTTCACCAATAGTGCCTCAGACCCCATCCTCCCTTTTCACCTTTCCCCAATACCGATCCACTGTAGGCTCATCACCAAAGTCTAAATCTTCTCGCTCAGGATCTCACCGAGGCAATAATACTACAATGGATCTGTATTCGAGAAAGCGACTCCTACACCGACGTGGTATCGTTCCAAGCGCTGTCTCGGATCAGGCCCTTTTGACGGCTCAGGATGTTGCAATAGAGAATGCAGAGCAAAGTATGGATAGCAGTCCAAACCGGTCCCCTACGACCTCACCTGTTCAGCGTGATGATCCAGTCTTGCCTACTTTTCACTTGCCATCATCCTCTCGATCTCCTTACTTGGTAGCGCCCGAGCCTTCACGGTCTGTTCACATTAATACAAAGATATCAGTAACCCCGCCTTTATTGCATAGCCCGACAAGCCCTAATAACTCTGGACTATCCAACACAGCCGAAATCGAGCAGGAACATCGACATGGGTACCGCCAGGACCGAGCCCGTCTCTTCCATAATAGGTCAACCTACTCCTCAAGAGCATACCGGTACAAACCTTTTCGCTCACTAACCCCATCACATCCTCATAGGCAGCGAGGAGGCCTGTCCGGCTCTGAAAGTGAACATGAACCACTCTTATCCCACAATACCAATCATGGTCATGGTCATGGTCACAGCCATGGTCTTGGACTTGGGCTTGGAAACAAACGCAGGAAGCAGCTCAGGAGAGGCTCTGCTACATCTTCATGCGAGTCCACGTGCGGAGCGCCTGACTATTCTTACTCGGGACCTAATGCTGGCCCACCAACGACGTACAGTTATAGTGGACACGAACATGAGTCTGAGATAGACAACAATGACGATATACAACAAAGTAGAACCGGAATGGAGGATAACAGCAATCATCATGAACAGAAACGGTGGTGGAGCTGGTTAGTTCGCGGGTTCGGAAAGGTTCATTTCCCTATCCCCGATATCTTTATCTGTGTCATTGTCTTCACAGCCGCGACAGTGATCTTTGATTTGGACAAGCAATACGGGATTGAGGTCATTGGGTATATCCCTACAGGCCTGCCGACCGTGGCTTGGCCACCGACGATGGTCGAACCATGGAAGACGAACGACTTTGTTCCTATGACTTGGCCAAGCCTTTTGATGGCGATGGTTGTCTATGTGATGTCATTATCTGTTGCAAAGCATTTTGGGAAAGAGTATGGTTATGAGGTGGATGCGGACCAAGAGATGTTGGCGCTTGGTGCTGGATCGTTGGTAGGGTCATGTTTCGGTGGATATGTCTGCACGGGCAGCTTGACTCGGTCTGCGATCCTGGCGCAGCTAGGAGCCCAGACCTTACTTGCGACTCTCGTTGGGGCTTTCATGGTCCTGATGAGCCTGCTTTGGTTCACTGTATTGTTTGAGCGAATTCCCGATACTGTATTAGCGGCAATTGTGTTGGTAGCACTCAGCTCGTTGTTGGCACACACGATGGAGGCAAGGCGGTTATGGCGAGTGGGTCGACGGAAGGAGGCTTTGGTATGGTGGATTACTTTTGTGGCAGTGTTGGTTTTCAGTATCGAGATTGGTTTAGCAGTAGGGATGGCAGTGGTTGGATTGTTAAAGTTATATAAGCATGGGTCTAGGTGGAAGAAGACTTTTGTCCGCTCAGTGAAACAATCATCTACGTACCAACGCCTCATGTTAATGCTTGGATTACAAAGCCCGCTTTATGCCACAGCGGGGCGAGGACTTTATACAGGGGATGATGAAAACGAATATTGATTGAATGAAAGAGAGGGAAAGAAAAAAGAAAAGAAAAAAGAAAAAAAAAAATATCGCACTGAAGAGACGAATTGAGGTGAAAGTGGTAGCCTTCTCTCTTTTCTGTTTTTCCTGTTGCTGTTGATCTGATCCCCTGTATTTCATTTGCAATAATATTCATTGTTCTTGATTGTATCCATAATATAATCATAGGACATATTGTGTATAGTACATAGACTTTGTATTTCATCCGTTGAAAGAAAAAAAAGAAAAGAAAAAAAAAAAAAAAAAGAAAGAAAAAAAGGGCCGGGCTTTAACACCATTGCAAGCTTATATTAAAAAAAAAAAAAAAAAAAAAAAAAAGGTAATAACAATTGCAAACAGTAGTAAAGACATTTTTTTCTCCCTTTTTTTCTGTTGCTATTCCTATGTTTATACTAATGTATCATCATTCAAATGCGGACCAAATATCAGACAATTCAAGTATTGTAAAATGTATGTATTTTTATTTCAAAAGTATAAATGTATGGTACAGACATTGGAAAAATGAATAATCAATATTCAGAGTTGGGAATAGGAATAGGAATGGGGGATGGGGAATGGGGGAGGGGGATGGCGAAGGAAACTATTTTTTTTTTTTTTTTTTTTTTTTTTTTTAATCTTCTCTTCTATTCCAGCTAGAGATCAGATCGAGAAAAGATGAGTGGGTAAGGAAGAAGGTATGGTATGGTGGTATGGAAGGTAAAGATAATATGTGCATGGACGCCAGTCCTTGGAAGGGGTTTTGCTGAAAAGCATTTGGAAGGGCTTTTTTTTTTTCTTTTTTTTTTTTCTTTACTTGGGCTGGACCAAAACATCAGCGCAAGAGGTATAGTACTCGTCAGAGTTCAACTGCCAGCGCCACTGCATAACGTGGTAACCGGGCTTGATATCCTCAGTGATGGGGAAGCAACCACCGCAGGGCCAGCCATCGGTGTTGCCGTTGGTCTCAGTGCAGTTCTTGTAGTTGAGCTCGGCGATTTTGTTGTCCAAGAACTCCTTTTGAGTAGGGTCCTTCTTGGGATTGGGCTTCCTCGAGAAACCGATGGTGACAGGGCGATTTTTCTCACTCTTGACAGCGTGGTTCTTGGCGGGCCAGCGGACACAGAGCTGGCCACCGACCTTGACACGGGTCATGGGACCGGTCTTGCGACCTTTCCTATCGACGCCGTTGTAGGCAGCAGTCACAGGGCTGCTCATGGTCTCATCCGCACCCCTCTCCTCACCAATTTTGCCGTCAGAGCAAGCGAGTTCGTTTTCGGACCTTGGGTTTCTGTGTCTCTGCTGGTAGTGGCGGTTGGGAGAATCAGAATCCAACTTGTTGAAGCCCTTCTTTTGAGCAACCTCGTAAGGGAAGCGACGGGCATAACCGAAGCATTTACCGTTCTTGTTGCCCCAGGACTTGTTCTTGGGGTCGTTGAAGCGCCAGTCAACGCAGTCAACCCAGGAGTGAGACTCGGCCGATTGGGTGAGCATGAGGAGGAGAGAGGCAGCAATGAGGGCAATGGAAGCCTTGGAAAGAGTGGAGAACATCATGTTGTTGTTGCTGTTTAGTTTAGGTAAAAAAAAAAAGAGCAGTTGTTGGATGTAGAGGTGGTATAAAGGGAGTATATATATTGATGCTATGGATGAGAGATTGAAGAGTAAAGGAGGAGATTGGCCTTGTAAGTTTACGTAGAAGGCAGTATGGGGTTGCTTTGTTGTAAAGCTAGGAAGGGGAGGGGGGTTTTTTTTTTTTGGTGGTTGTTGTGCTTGAAGAGACAATTGAAGGATGAGGAATAAAAAAAAAAAAGGCTTGGGATGGGTGGCCTTTTATATCAATTTTTGTTCCATGCGAAGCATTTAAACATGCATAGAACTAAAATGGACCACAACAGAGGGATCGAGGATGAAAAAACTCAAGATCCATGCGTGGCTGGTAATACAAATGTCTAATGTTTTGTGTCCATACTGTTGAATGAATTGAATACAATACATGTGTAAGGTTGTTGACAATGCAATGTTAAATAAAATAAAAAAAAACTGATCTGATTCAAAACGTATAATTTAGCCACGCAACAAACAATCCAGGGCCATGACCTGCTTGCAACCCCTTGTTTGAAATCAAATTGCAATCTGAAGAATAGGGGGTGGGTGGGCTTAACGGGTAAACCCTATTCTGATGCATAGCTCATCAACAAACTTGTTACCATTTTACCATTTGCCCATTTATTTTACATGTGTATTCCATTTAGTATTTTACCCTTTACAGTAACAAATCTGAACAACAAACAAAATCCTTTGGACAGGGACTCCGTTTTCAGTGGATTCTGGCCAATCATATTAAGCGTTATAGACCTTAATCAAGGACTTGTCCCAAAGTCCTTTGTTCATTGAACAAGTGCAGACTAAACCCTTGTAGAAAGATCTGTTCAAATCGAATAGCAATGTTCTCTTATCAAGCATCATATATATATATATATATCTATATAGAAAATAAAAAATAATAATAAAAGACGAGGAAAAGAGATACATTCGTAATATATCTATTATATGCATTATATACATGTATGTTCTATAATATATATTATAGTTTTATTTTATTTTATTTTTCTACATATCCAATGAACAAATGTTGCTTCTTAATATCACCCAAAGACTATCTTCAATGATAGTAAGCCTTAGCCTACCTCCAGATAGATGGGCTACTGAAGACACTAGTCTAGTCTATTATATATATACATCCACAGTACGCGCGAACCACGCAGGTGCATGAGCATAGGCGGAAAAAGAGAGAGAGAGAGAGAACCAGGGCACAAGAATTTAAGCTTTCTGAATGAGGAGATTCTGTCCAGCTGCCATTTCTTCAGTCTAGCCTAAATTTTTTTTTTTTTTTTTTTTTTTCAATCAATCAAGGGGGACAAATCACTTTTAACGAGAAACGGTATGGTTCAAACGTAAATGCATTGTATCATACAGATATATACAGAGCATGAACTTGTTATATACATGTACGGTATATCCAAATGAACAAATGAACAAATAAACAAAAAGGCTCAATAACCTGCCCTGTACTACATTCAAAGGAGAAATAAAATATTCAGAGGCGGTTTACCTATGATAGTGTAAGCAAGAATGAGCCCTGTCCTACTATGAATATTTCGGTGGAATATGGATCAGTAACAGAATAATATTATATATATATATATTTGCATTGTACAGTATATAAATTGTCTACATTCATGTATACATATGGCCTATACAGACATTTTTTTTTCTCCCGTATATATAATATATATTGACTTTCTTATTATATATATTACATATCCCGCTTGCGGACCTAATCTCCGAGAAGGATAGATCTAATTGGTTTTTCAAGATATTTAGGAGAATTGTAGTAGATGGTGGGGCCGCTCAATAACCAAAACCCATTGGCCGCTTTAGACGTTGATTAACTTTAATAAAAGGATGTTTTGCTACGACTGCCATCTATTCTATACTCTGATCCATGGAGTCAATACAGAATAGCGGGATAGATATATATATATGTATATTATACATGTATACACTCCGAATGAGGTTTTTTTTTTTTTTTCCTTTAGTGAACAGTGACCCCTAGATCCAGAGTGTACACATTTATGTATATACCTCGTCCAAACATTTTTTTTTTTTTTTGTTTAGAGAAAAAAGGAGTTGTTTATGGATACAGAAAAACATACAAAAAACATGTGCAAACAGCTTGACAAGGAAGCGGTAATTAATTGTTGCACATTGCACAGGATATTTGTTTATACTGTTTGATGTTTGATGTTTGTTTTCTTTTTTTTTTTTTTTTTTTTTTTCTTTTCCCCCTTCCTTTATGTCTCTTGATGCACCTCCCTTGGAATGGTATGGTATGCGATCACTCTGTGTTTCCTTGCCTTTATTTCCTCATGTCAATCATGTCAATAATGTCAACTGAACCTTATGAAATTTCAAAGTAGAAAGATATTGTTGTTACACCATTTTATTTGTTGTTGTTGTTGTTGTTGTTGTTGTTGTTCATTCCACAATAGAGTCGCACCAATTATTTGATTCATGTATTCCATTCAGTGACAAATTAGGACGGGCGCATTCGTTATATACACATGAATTTTGTTCCTTCAGGCACAAACTAAAATAATTAAACTATTAGTGAGGTGGCGTCAAAACAAATGAGGGTTTTGCCTTCATTTCATTTGTTCTCCTCTCATTATTGTGTATATTATATATATTTTTTATTGCAAGAGTGACCCGTAGACCAATGATGAGAACAAGTTTAAGAAAAAAATGATCTCCGACTTGAGAATTTGATTTCATTTCGGGAATTCTTTTCTTGAAGGAAAAGATTAAAGGAGAAAGGAGTAAGGAGCAAGGAGCAAGGAGATTAGTTTTGAAAGGAAAGAAAGTGGGTGCGTGGGGGGTATGTGCACTTGCCCATTGCGTTCAGTTCGTTTGATCATTAACGGATATTCATCCTTTCTCCGATCACATTTTTGTTTTTAACCGATTCATTTCCTTATTCGGATTCCAACTGATATTCAGGCACATTTCCTAAATAGCAGTGTCACAAAATAATCACATTCAGGCACCATGCATCGAAATATCGAAATCCACTCTAGACCATTTTCACTCTTGATTTACCCTAGTTTCGTTAACGGTCTTTAGCATGCTCGATTTTATTTGATTTTATTTCTTTATGGACATAATTCACTCTATTTCCTCTATTACATGACAAAGACCCAAAGACCTCTCTTTTCCTCCTGCCCCTATCGGTCTCAATATATCCCGGACCACTTTTATTATTTATTGCGGCGATTAATGATGCTGTCATGGGAGACTGCATATGATGAAGAGGAGAGGAAAAAAAAAAAAAAAAAAACAATAACAAACAAACACCATCTCTTACATTATATACATTTATACATTATACCCCTGGTTAGAAACCTTATACACTGCATGCACATGTACGTCCGTCGCCACCCTCTCTAGGATCTTTAGGATCTCTAGGATCTCTAGGATCTCTAGGATCTTGTAGCTCAACCTCTCAATCTTGCAAGAAGACATCGACTGAAGAAAGAATGATGACTGAAACATTAATCTCAACTGATCTATGTTGTATTTCCTTCCTTCCTCCAAATAAAACGATTGCTGTCTATCTCGATCCAACTAACTAAATGTATACCTTTCTGTCATATCATATGTGGCTTATGAAGCCTAACACGTATAAAAAAAAAAGATCATGCACAGGCATCTTTTTTTTTTTTTTCTCTTACAGTAAAGGGTTACACAGCCAAATCAGGATCGGCGGTTGTTTCCCAGGTGCATACATGTAACTGTAATCTGTACAACGTTCCCATTTGGGCTCACAACCCTTCGGCAACACAAAACGCGTTAATCCTTCCATTCCCTCTCATCTCAGTCCCCAAGGTGTCAGTGCGCTCCTCCATTCTCTCCTCCTCGCCTCTCCCGCTCAATAGACCCTGGTCGAAGATGTCCAAAGATCTGCATCTGCAAATGTAATTGCAACTGTAATCACAACTGTGTATACAACTCCAACTATTCATGTATATACCATTGTAACTGTAACTGCATGGTGACAACCCCCCCCCCCCCCTTTTTTTTTTTTTTCAAATATTCCGGAATGCATGATTGAAAAACAATTTATGCTTCAGCGGGATAAATGGAGTGAACATAAAACAAACAACTTTGGCTAGCAAACAGAAAGCAAGCATGTCAATTGAGTTTAGTGTCTTATTTGTAAGTCAATGCAATGACTATTATCTAAGAAAGAAAGGGGAAAAAAAGATATAACAGATATACTATTTCTCAGTGGTCTAGGTCCTCTTGATTGAGTTCCAGGGTCTTGAATTGGGTCTGGGTCAAGGCCTTGATGATATCCTTGTCAACAGCTTGGCCGGAAGGAGGCTCGGGTTCGTCACCTTTTGCCACTTCTTGTATTAGAGTTCTCTCTAGAGTGACCTCACCAAAGATTTCTGAATAACCAATCTGCACAAACCCAAGTTGAGTGAGAAACAACTGGATCGAGCCCTTGTTCTCGGTCGAGATCTTGGCCGTAATCCTCTTTGTTCCTAATGATTGGTATGCTGCAGCAAAAAAAAAAAAAAAAAAAAAAAAAAAACGATAGACTGGGACATGAATGACTTGACTCATTTTTTATTTATTTCTTGATTCCATTAATTTCCTTGTTTAAACGAGCCTACCATAGGTGATCATCATGCGAATGGCTTCAATACCCATCTTTTGGCGTCTATATGAAGGTTCTGTATAAGGAAAGTATTATTTGTATGAGTTGGCTCGGAGAGGGTTTCGCCTCTTTTGAGATTCCTTTTCTTTTCTTTTCTTTTCTTTTCTTTTCTTTTCTTTTCTTTTCTTTTCTTTTCTTTTCTTTTTTTACATGTGAAGATACGCCATTTTGTAAGGTAACCAAGCCTATCCTAATCCATGCTTAACTAACCTGCAATCATGATTTCAATCTCTGCCGAGTGGGGATCGTCATGATCGTTGAAAAACAAGTTGACATCCCCTACCATTTCTAAAAACAAAGTAGGAAAAACCAAAGCACATTATATGGAATAAAAAATAAAAAAAATAAAAAAAAAAAAATTATTATGATATACTAAAGTCACTGGAATGTGAATGTGTTGACAGCATAGACAAGGGATATCTCTGCCATCACATCCGATGTTTTTGGCTTGTTTTTGACTTGTCTTGTTTGCATGCCTTCATAGACAATGTCAAAAGATACATATATATATATATTTACTTTGCTGAAGTGCATTTTCTGAAGTTATTTCTTGATCTGGACTTTCTTTGGCAAGGATGATGAAGGTACACTCTAACGTTTTCAGTGATCAAAAACAGGCGAAACAATCTCTATGTCAATTAACTCTGAAAAAAAAAAATAAAAAAATAAAAAAAAACTTTTTAGGCCACGTGAGAACATACTGTTCTCATCAACTCGCCAGGATTCTTGCATTGCATATTCTTCCTCCAGTGTCAGAGGTTCAGAAGCAGTCAATTCTAACAATTGAATTGAAAGAATCGGTAGGACACGCGTTTAGTAGTAGTAGTAGCAGTAGCAGTAGTAGTAGTAGCAGTAGTAGTAGTAGTAGTAGTAGTAGTAGTAGTAGTAGTAGTAGTAGTAGTAATAAAAAGAAAAAAAAAGGAAAGATGAGGTGTAGTTCTCAAGTAAGTAATCGATCTGTCTGTTTACCCAGCAATTCTGGTGATTGCATCCATTTGTTATAGTGCTCGACGTGTGATTTGAGATACGGGACTAGCACACACTTCTCGCCCACCTATCACGAACAGACCGCAGTTTAAGATCGTTGTCAAAATAACAAATAAAATATTCATAAAAAAACCAAATGAAGAACCAAAGCAGCTTTGGGAATGAGTAAAGCGGATCATGGGAGTGCTATTACATTGCCTTGGAATTTACATGGAAAGCTCACCTACCAAAGCAATCTTCTCATTTGCACGCATTGTTGATCAGATCTTTTGGTTATTCTCTCTCTCTCTCTCTCTCTTCTTTGGTTTGGGCTCCAACTTGGGGGATCTGTTGTGACTGTCCAATCCCAAACCAATATCTGTCATAAACAAAAAGAAACAAACGGAACGTCAATTGTCTTTGCTCCATGTTCATTTGCATTTGTGTCAACCTCCAACAGCAAAGTGGCTCAAGGAGAGTATTCATTACTCACTGCTATAACCAACTAACGACTGTAGCGGTATCAGGGCTAATATAGGAAAGAGAAAAGAAAAGAAAAATAAAAGAAAAGAAAATAGAGAACATGTTTCCCTCACCACTTCTCCTGGGCTCTCCTGTGCGAGTCTTGACTCGATCCGTCAAATTCTCCACCTGGAAAAGAGCAGTGGCTTTATGTCCAACCGAGCTTACACGCCAGCGTCATCAGTATAGTACAGCAACTACCGAAGTTCCTACTGAAGAAATCTCTGAGGTACTAACTTTTCTTTTCCTTATGAGGTTCATCATATCGACAATGATGAGATGAGAAAGAGTTTTTTTTTTTTTTTTTTTTTTTGAGATCTTTAACTTATTCTCTTTTTTTTTTTTTTTTTTTTTTTTTGTAGTCTTCCGAACCACCATTTATTAGACCTAATGGACGAGTACCGAGGAGCCCACCAAAGGATCGGATGTGGAACCGTGAGCTGGATGAAAAACTCAGCGAACTCCGAGCAGTTGGTAAGACATGGGACTATATAAGCTTGGTACTTAAGCGGCCTGCCTCTGCCTGCTCAGATCGTTATTTCAGTGCTCTTGATCCTGAGCTCCAAAACTGGACACCCAGCATGTTTGCCAAGCTTGATCAGCTGGTGGAAGACGGTGAATCATGGCCAAATATTGCACGTGCCCTCAACTGTAAAGTCATTGCTTGTCAACATCAATGGCGAACTCTTGGGCGAGGACAGTATCGCGTTAAAGGATTTCTTTCAGGGCAACGAGTCGTCAGATGGTCAGATGGAGAGATCAATTCATTCTGGAAAGCCTGGATAAAACATGGTATGGATTGGGTAGAGATCTCCAAGGATGTTGAGACACGGACAGCAGGCGAATGTAGTGATGCATTCAGAGGCTTGGCTGTAGCGGCTCTCAAAGATAGTCCAGGATGGGTCAAATTGGATGGCCATACCTTTATCAACGATGCTATCAGGGCTTCTCGTCAAAGGCTAAAGGCAGTGTTGAATGATGGTAGTGATGAAGCAATGGAGGGATTACGGGGAAAATCTCTAGAGTGGACTTCTGCTGACCATGAGGCTCTTTTGGCGGCTGTCGAAAAACATGGACTCTTTTCCGGCTGGTGTACTATCCGAAAGCAAGTGAAGCCTCATTTGAGTGACGAGCAAGTCGAAGCAGAATACTATCGACTCAGCGGAGTAGTTGAGGAAGGGGAAGTTTTGGAACAGTCAGATCAATTAATCAAGAGGGTCATGTGGGATAAGGATGAAGTTGAGCGATTGAACATGATTTTGATGAAATACAGCTCATTACCAGTCTGGAAAAAGGAGGCGAAGAAGCGTGGGATCGAGCCGGCAATAGATGATTATGAAAATCTTCTCAGGAAAAGGAATCCAAGGTTAACAAAAAAAATGAGAGCCAAAAATGAAGAGGATTGGCCATGGACTGATGATAGAGTAATGCGCCTGAAAAGACTCGTGGTTCAGCAGCGGCATCAGGAAAAGCATTCGCGTCGTCCTGTGGACTGGGAATGGATTGCTGACCATATCGGGCCTCACTTTGACCCCCAGATGTGCATCACCAAATGGCAGGGATTATCAGACGATATAGAGATCCAACCGACTACTGACCCAAAGCCTTGGACTAGTGAGGATATAGATATGTTAGAGAAAGGTCTGGAGAAATATGGGAAGGCTTGGACCTTGATCCAGCAGGATTACTTACCAGAACGTAGCACGGCTTCAATTCGCCGGAAACTCAGCAATCTCCAAGTCGCACGGGACCAATTGGTGAAGGAACAAAAGGCGATTGCCCGTCAGAAGAAAGTGTCCAATATTGAGGAATATATCGATCAAGCTTTGAAGGAGAACCCGTTTTACATTTCAGCGCGACGGCTGGAAAAAGTCCTGGAGACTTTTGAGCAAGAGCACAAACGGATTCGGGCTTTATTTCCTAGGGGTCCAAAGAAGAAGAGCGCAGATACAGAAATTGAGGGCAGTGAGACAGACGAGGACAAGTAAAAGTCGAAGATAAAATGTGCAAATTCCAAAATACCCAAACCATAATTTAATATGAATTAATTGCCACGTAACGCTGTGGACAAAAAAGGGGGGGCAGTGCTTTCGGCTTGGCTTAGCTTGGCTTGATCAGCTTCTCATTTCAACTTTTTACATTCATCATTCTCATCTTCACTCTACTTCCATCATTCTCTTTTCTCCAACCAATCTTATTACACTTACTACTAATAACAAATAAAAAAAGAAGAAGAAGAAGAAGAAGAAGAAGAATAGGAACAAAAGAAAAAAAGAAAGAAAGAAAGCATTGATATTCATTATATACACCATTGGAGCCACCATATGAACTACGGACAGCAACCAAAGTCGGTCCTTGAGGCCTACATTGGTATGTGTATACCCACCTTATCTTTCTATTTTGTCTCCTTCTCTCTCCCTCTCTCTCTGCCCAATGTGTCTAGGTGTTTATTTATTGCGTCTGTTTTCCAATGTACATGCGACTCATTATCATTCCAACCTCCACTTGACATTTCATCATCCATGACATGACCATCTTTATAAAGAACGCGCTTGCGACCCTTCGCGTTATGAACCTGACCTAGCTCTGAACCTCGAGATTTGCGATATCATTAAAGAGAAGCAAAAAAATACGCAAGTGAACGAGAGACTCTATTTTGCTTTGAACAATCGTGTTTCCCTGACGCCTGTTATCTGATTTTCTTGCTGGATATGAAAATACTGACTAACCCCATGTATTTGTATTTTCTCTTTTGATATAACAGACCACGAGAAGCAGCAGTGTATATTGTACGCTTGGTGAACAACCGCAACATGCATGTTTCCTTGTTGGCTTTGACAGTAAGATTTCCTTTTCTTTTTCTTTCTCTTTTTCTTTTACCAGCCACGTTTCAAACAGGCTCTGCTTTGTGCTTTGTGCTTTGTATTATGGTATAAGAAACTGATTTGTTGGATTCAAATGATATTGACATTTTTTTTGAAAAACTGATGTATAGCTCCTGGACAACTGTGTCAAGAACTGTGGCTATCCTTTTCACCTCCAAATCGCTACAAAGGAATTTCTGAATGAACTTGTTCGTAAATTCCCGGAACGACCTCTTGCAGTGCCAACACCTGTTCAGAACAGGATTCTAGAGATGATCCAGGAATGGTATCAAACAATATGCAGGACATCGCGATACAAGGAGGATCTAGTTCATATCAAGGATATGCATCGCCTCTTGTCCTTTAAGGGTTATCGGTTTCCACAAGTGAGAGGTGATTCAGCTGCTGTTCTGAATCCTGTCTCTGTAAGTTTCTTTCAGAGGAAAAAAAAAAAAAAAAAAAAAAAAAACAGCCAAAGCGATTTGGGACCAATATATCGATTGTAACAATATCTGCATATTTCTCGCCATCATCATGGATAGACACTTAAATCCCCTGCTGAACTCGAAGAGGAAGATCGGGTAGCTCAAGCGGCAGTAAGTCAAGATCAGTATACTTCTTTAGATATCACGAATACACCTGATGATGCAAAATACAATCTCTAAGACATATTCTTTTTAATAGAAACTTCAAGAACTAATCCGACGAGGGCGTCCAGAAGATGTACTTGCAGCGAATGAGCTGGTCAAAAAGATGACAGGATATGTAAGCCTGACGACTAAAGGGTTTTTATTTGAAAGAAAAAAAAAAAAAAAAAAAAATGGTCCTTACAATTGGCGTCTGAAATTATGCTAGGAACAAGAAGAGAATGAAAAGCCTGATTATGAGGAAGAGGCAACCTCAGAACTTGAAAAGATTTCCCAAAAGGCCATCCTGCTGACCGAGATGTTGAACGATGTTAAACCAGGCGAGATCATTGGACGTGGAGATATATTTGAGGTATCGAAGCATGCTGTTATCCGATACAAATACATGACATCATGACATTGATTGGCCCTGGAAGGCTGATATATATTTCATGATATCCGTTTATAGGAGCTACTTAGTACATGCAAGGCGGCACAACCAAGGATCCAAAAGTTTATTAACGAGGATGAGGATGGCAATAATATGGGTAAGTGAAAAGGGAGTTTTCAAAGGTATTCATTAATTAGTACCTACTATTATACATACTAAAAATAACAAAAATAAAATAATTTTTAGAAAAACTCCTGCAGATCAACGATGCAATCAACAATGTCATCGAGCAGTATAAACAAGTAAAGAGCGGTAATCTAGTCAAGGCAAAGGTTCCCGATCTAGGACAAGGTGTGGATAGGGAAGACAATCATGGAACCAACTCAACCCCCAACCAACCTGAACCATCCTTAATCGATCTGGTTGATCTTGGAGGACAAAATGACAGCCAGTCATCTGCAGCACTCGGTACTGCAACTTCAAAGGCACCAGCGACGACAGGTATTTACAGCTCATGAATTAGGATATCTGATATCACCTTCACTATATCGATGCTGGTTATTTGCGTTATTGACTTGCTGGTATTTGTTTCTTTGTATGCATTTTACTACATCTTCAGGCAACTTGCTGGATGATTTAATGAGCCTCAATTTCAATGATGCACCATCTCCAGCATGGGGTGTCGGAGGAAGCATCAGTCTAGGTCGAAGCAACTCATCAGCAGGGTCAGGATCAGGATTAGGGTTCAGCTCGTCCCGACCCATGGGAAGTACAGGAGCATCCGGAATGGGATCGAGCATGGTATCTCCTACTTTCAGTGGTAGTCCATTACCATCTTCATCAGCTCCTGATTCTGCGTTTGGTGAATTTGAGTTTGTCTCGAATACTGGAGTAGCCCCATCAGGACCTGCTACAGGTAAGAAGAGCGCGATCTCAGGAAGGGTTGCCATTGGGCTGTTTGACTTGTGCTAATCACTGTTTTTAATAACTTTTCCCAACAATTAATATCATACTAACATTATCAATTACATCTTTTGCATCAAAACTTTTTTTTTTTTTTTTTTTTTTTTCCAACCAATATTACCGGTCAATAGTGATTCTTTTTAATAAGAATGGATTGACAATTGAATTGGAAGTAGAATACCCTGAGAAGGATATGAGTTCAATGCAAGTGATGGTATATTTTTCCAGTTCGGTACAAAGTACTATTTCGAATTTGATGTTCCGAGTGGCGGTTCCAAAGACCCTGCAGTTGCAGTTGAACCCACAGTCATCTCAAATATTGAACCCAATGTCGAAGCGAGGTGTGAGTCAGTCGATGAACATCAAGAACCCAACACGGCAGCAACCTGTGCGGATCCGCTATCATGTCTCGTATATGGTTGATGGACAGACAGTAGAAGAGCAAGGAGAATTCAATCAGTTCCCTACCGCATAGTTTGCAAAAACAAAGTAAAAAAAAAAAGAAAAAGAAAATAAAAATAAAAATAAAAATAAAATAAAAGAAAAGAAAAGAAAAGAAAAAAAGAAAAAGAAAAAGAAAACTATTCTTGCTTAGAGTTCATATAATGTCCACCCCGCAGTCCACGCTATAATTTGAATATCTTTTATGGCTCAAAATCCATGCCTCTGCCTTTCCTTTTACACGTCTTTGGTCAACTCTTTTCTTTTTTCTTTTTAAAATATAAATAATCTCAAGCGCCATTCCACTTTATAATTCTTCCTCTCTCTTTCTCAATTTTATTTAATGTGTACTTGCTTGTAAAAACCAAGGCGAGAATCTTCAAACTCCTTTAATGGAATAGCAATCTTTTTCAAACACGTCAATAAGATTTTGCAAGTGCCGCTTTGGGGTCGTAAAGTCTTTATTCATTTACTTGCCACAATCCAGACTATTACCAGGTACTCCTGCCTTTTGCTTTATCGATAGCCCAGAGTCTGCTATGCATACTACTGATGAGCTTACGGCAGAAGCCCACTGGGATCTTGTACCACTCAACCGAGATACGTTGCCATAGCTCATGGCAACTCTGTGCTCGTTCTGGATACTTCGCAAGTCGCCTCTCCAACTTTGACCACATTTGTTCCATGAGATTGAGGTCCGGCGACAGCCCAGGCCAGAACAAAAGTGTGTCCTCCTCCGTAGTCAGATACACCGACTCCAAATATCTTTGGACAACCTTCGCTGTGTGTTTTGGATCGTTGTCGTGCTGGAAGACGTAATTGCCATTAGTCAGGTTCCATTTTTTCAGTGACATCTGTAGATCTTCCTGAAGTATTTTGATATATGTATTTGCAGTCATATTATCGTCAATCAGCACAATGCGTCCGGGTCCATGCCATGAGAAGCAGGACCACACCTTCACGTTGCTACCTCCAAACTTGGTGGTCCCTTGTACTGATCTATGGGCCATGTGTCCAGGAATGTCATCTCGCACCCACTGAGCGCCATCAGACCAAGTCCAGTTGATTTTTGCTTCATCAGACCAAATAACCCTCTTCCAATCCTCCAATGTCCACTCCTTGTATTTTCGGATAAAGCGCCTACGTCCCTTAATATGGCGTTTTTGAAGAGTTAGCTGGCGAACAGGCTCTTTCACTCTTAATCTAACCTCCTTGGCTCCTAATCTAGCCTCCTTGGCCCCTAATCTAGGTTCCTTGAGCCCCCGCCTGATCGTCCATTCAGAAACTGGCTCTGGCAAGAACTGATTGACTTTAGCTGTGGCTTCAGCAGCAGACTTGAATACACCTTGTTTAATGCTATCCTTCAGATACTCCATGGTCTTCATAGGCACTTTCCGTGGTCGACCGCGCTTACTGATAGGCATGTTCTCCTTATTTCTTTTATAGATCCTCTCGGCCGTAGTTCGTGATATATTGGCACTAGCAGCTGCTTTTCGAATGGACATACCATTCAACATCAACCTTTTGACCTCCTCGGCTTTTTTCCTCGGGATTGGCTTCATAGTCTGTAGAAATGTGGAGCAAAGGAAGTTGAGCAGCAATGTGGAAGACAATGAGGAAAATGTGTGGTTTTTATTGGCAAAAGATGATGATCGAAACCCGTCATAGTCAATACTTGACTTGAGTGCACTTGCGAAAATGGCAATGGCTTGATTGGAAAAAAGACTGCTGTCTTCAGTAAAGGACTGACACACAAAATACAAAATACATCATGATAGCGTAAATGAAGGCGAGTCCTTTATTTGTGCCAAGTATGATCCATATCTACAAAGATGGTTCCTAAGAAATGGAAATGGAACGTTGCTGAAAGAAAACATGGGGGGGGGGGGGGCATTTCTGCACGATAATGTGAAGCGGAGCCCTCACTGACCTAGACCCCGGTAGTCTTTTTTTTTTTTTTTTTTTTTTTTTTGAAGTTTCAAAGGGAAAAGATCCAACTAAAGTCAACTTATGTTGCCCTGTTCCATCAAGCAATGAAGTCTACAATCTCCTGGACCAGCTGTATTGGTCGGAAGATGGAAAAAAAGGCTGGGGATCAGACAAACAAGAAAGAGGTACATGTACATAAAGTTCGGGTATATGATTGCTTTTATGAGGCTCTGTATTTTATGTGAAAATAACTCGTTATATTAAATGATGTGTTACTAGAATACAAACATCGCAAAGTCAATCAAACGTGTAATAGTGATCATCATTTCGAATTCATATTCAGTAATAATCGAATTGAAAATGAAAACATCATGGTTGAAAAGAGACCTTGAGGCAGCCCTTGAACAATGAGCCACCTCTCTCAAGTAAGGGTCCATAAGGAAACAGGAGCTAATTGAGACCCAACAAAAACAACTTGGATGCCTTTGATTCACTAACCATAGAATGTTACTCAATATCTTGTCTTATCATCTACTCGTTTTCAATTACTTTAACCTATTGCTTCTTTAAAACATAGCTTTTAGAATTGGAGCAGAAGTTAGAGTGAGCATAGGCTGATTGTGATCAACTTCTAGGGAAGCTGGCCCAGCCTCAAAATTATGTGGTGGTATTGTGGGAGCAACAAAAGTCGCTCTCCGGGAGGGAAAAAAAAAAAAAAAAAAAAAAAATTGGGTCAAAAGGAAAAAGCAATGACGCTGCAAGGGAGCAGCATTCTTTTCTGTCTGCTGTTGATCATCAAGACAAAGGTACGCGTTCTGTCTAGAAAAAAATCAGTGCCATAAAACTTTGCAGCGTGATAACAGTGTCCGAACTATTTCATGTAAGCTACCAAAAGATCATTTTTTTTTTTTCAAAGATGGAGCGTGTTGAAAAGAATCCGTGTTAATCCCTTGACCAACAATTAAGCATGTGTATGCTGCGCTCAACGTATCAGAGACGAACACGTAGAATAACCGAATAAAAGCCCTTGTATACCCGGAACTTGCTGTAAAGCTTCTTCAAAAATACGTTTTCCGCTCCTAGATGTGTTTTCAATTGTAATATAATATCAATCCTGGAGGCTGTAGCACATTTGGAATCCAAATGAAGGGTTTACTATAGCACTTAATCTTCTACGTTTTCTGAAAACGCGTAAATGTGTTTATATAAAATATTGTTGCATAGACTTGGGACCTAGAACGAAAATTATCCTAAACCACAGCCTCGCAGGCAGATATCAGAGCCTGAAGAGAAAGAGCGCGTTATTTTGGTTTCTAGCGTCCGTACAGCACAAACCTATTGAAAAAAATAATAATAACAATCATCTGCCATTCCGATCTGCCCAAACTCCAGTCTAGCTGCTTCAGCTTCTTCGGTAGGGGCTGATAATTGCCGCATTGTAATGAGCGGCCAACTTTGTCTTCTCGTTCAACCAATTTTGGCGGTTGGTATTAGCTTGAATGAGTGATTCCTTTAGCTGGCTCAATAGGGCTTGAGACAGGGCTTTCGCTTCCGCAAGCGTTGATGGAGACCTAGTTGGGGTCGATCCAGGTAAAGGCATCATTGCAACAGTCCTAGGTGGAGTTTGAGCGTCAAAGACGGGAGAAAATGGAGTGAAAAAGATTGAAAGAATTCATTGTGATAAGATGATTGTATGAAAGTGATCAAGAGATGTTTTTGAAGTGAAGGCCTATTTTTGCCAGAGAAGTTCACAAAGAAAAGAAAGGTGATCTGTCTTTTTTAAAAAAAAAATAAATGCTTGTTCCGATTTAAGGAGAGCACGTTGGGATTCATAACGGGACTAAGGAAAAATGCAATCCCCGTCAGAATAAAATTTTAACCCTCGGCTGAGAATCCCCAAAGCCTCCCCGTCAACATCCCTCTTTCCGGAATTCTTATCCCCCCGTCACCCGCGCAATTCTTATCCCCCCCCCCGTCAACATTCTGGAGCTGATTTACAAAAAAAAAAAAAAAAAAAAAAAAAGAGAGCTCTACTACATCCTATGGTTCCCACTGAGTTCTCACGCAGCTAGTGCAGTATAAAAGGCCCATCAATGTACCAATCTGTATTTTAGACAATAGATATTCTTAACCTCCATTAATTGCAAAGATGGTTTAGGATCACCAAATGTCTTTTTTTTTACGACTGTATTGGACTCATATGGTGCATGTTAAGGTTTTGAACCTAGTGATGAATACGAATCTAGAAGGGAATCATTCATCAAGGAGCTGATCCATTTATCTACTGTCAAGCTTTGAGGACAAGATAAAAAGTAAGAGAGGATCAATGGTGTTGAATTAAATAGTTAGTGAGATGTAGGTGCACCAAAAGCAGAAAATAAAATCTTCTCTCAAAAACAACCTCAAAATGGTGACGGGGGGTAAGGATTCTCACAATTAAGATGGTTGACGGGGGGGTAAAGATTTATATTTTGAGAATCTTTACGGGGGGTGTAACGGAATTCTGACGGGGGTTTTTGGGAATTCTCAACCGGGGGTCAAAATTTTATTCTGACGGGGATTGCATTTTTCCTTAATTCATAACGTTGCACATGCCTCTCTATTTCCAAATATGGGTTAGAAATCCAAATGGGGAAATAGAGTTAAATTAATGAATGACCATAGTTGATACTCAGGGACAGATTACTTCAGTTTGAAGAGCTTCTTGTAGGTATGCGCCATATTGGAGCCGATAGGGAACCAATAGTAGCAATGGCTCATGACTCTTAGTATATAGGTGCCATAGATAAATTAAAACCCAGTTCAAGGTTGTAAGGGTAGTATCGCTTAATGACACCGGCAAATTGATGATCAGCGATTGGCTGATGGTCATGCCATGCATGATGAATGTGGATTGGGTGAGGATGTCAATGGGGAGTGTCATCAATTTTGAAATAATTCTCGCTCCTTCATTCCTCATTCCTGAACCATAACTATTGCCAAACTTTGCCCATACACCCAAACTGCACCGGTTGACCTCTTTTTTATGAATAAAAATATCAATATGTCTTCAAACATCTGTAACAATACTTCCGCTTGTAAAGGCACCACCAGGCCAGCGACACGTCAACAGACTGAGTCAGAGACTCGAGGGGCAAGGCCTACTCGAAGATATAATCGTCTTCCTTTAGCACCATTGTTGAAATATGCCAGGATCATAATAAGTTGCGAGAATGAAAGAAAGATGTCTTTATTATGAACTAGGGATCTTCGTCCAATAAAAAGGATCCTTAGTAAAAACCCATGTAAATGACTGCTAATCGCGACTCATTCGCGTGTAATATAGACGCGTCGCGTGTGGCTTTTGATTTGACGTGACAAAATCGGCCTATTTAAGGCTTGTTTTTTTCCTTTTCTCTACTTTTTTTCTTTTCTTTTTCTTTTTCTTTTTTTTTTTTTCTTCTTCTTCTTCTCCAACCAACTGAACGCTTTTCAAATCTACTGCATAGTTCACTATTGCCTTCCCAATCAGCTAAGTATACTACACTTTTTCCTTTTCCGAACAACTGATTTCCCAACTCCTCATTCAAGAAGAAAATGCATCCCATTATTAAACGCAAAGCACCCACAGACGATTCCACTGAGCATGACACGCAAGTGTCAAAGAAACAACGAAACGAAAAGACACAAGGACAGGTGGCAGATGTTGATAGAGCCATTGATTGGTCGTCGTCCTCGTCATGGATGCGATCATTCAACTATAATAGGAGATACCAAAATACTAATAGAGCCAATGATTGGTCGTCGTCCTCTTCGTGGACGCGATCATTCAGGTATAACAGCGGCAATCCAAACAGGATGCGCAGAACATTTCTGCGTGATCCGGCGACTGGAAGCACTTTCACCTTATTGTCCTCTCCGTCGTACAACGCTCTCAAAATGGAAACAAAATGGCAACCCGCAAAACCAGACCGAAAGGGTATGACTGTTGTTCATATAGAGTCTTCTCACGATACAACATCGACAACTTTAATATCAACAGTGGTATCATCCACATCAGTCAAATCCTCTACGGCTTCGGTCGGCGTAAGGCCCCGATCTCATGAGTAAGGAGCGTCCGAAAGAGAAAGCGGGGGGTCCGGGTTCAAAACAACAAAGGAGCCCGAAGAGCAATAAGTAAGGCTATGCAGAACCGGAAAGGACTCGGATATTCCCTCGAAAAAAAAAAAAAAAAAAAAAAAAAAAAAAAAAAACTCTCATTTCGTATGATTGTTTTTGTTGTGAAAAGAAGAGACAAAATTGCTCAAATTGCTTAATGTGTCAATATATAGTGTTAACCTATTAAAAGGTTTGTTTTAATAATTATAATAAAATTATCTTTGTCTCTAAGCTTTTACAAACAACAGCAACAGTCTATAAAAGCAATAAGGGGGATATGCCTGTCAGTAAGCGCGGTCGACCACAGAATGTGCCTATGAAGATCATGGAGTATCTGAAGGTTTACATTAAACGAGGTGTATTCAAGTCTGCTGAAAAATATTTTGTAGATAGATCGTGAGCAATAGAAAAAGTAAGTGAGAATAAGATGTGGCTCCACACACCACATTCATGAGGTATTTATTCATTTTCTGGTAGAGGGACGTGTACCAGGTAGCTACGTATCTCTCTATAGGATGACATGGGTTCGTTCTAAAGCCTCATATCAAAGATATATCGCGTCATTGTGTATGGTGCGTTATTGCCACTAATTTCTACCGCGAATCTTTTTAGCGTATTAATTTTGAATTTTGATGCCTAGTTTTTTCTAGCTAGGCCATTATAATATTGCATATTGTGAAATATCCAACAGGTACATCTGACTACGGAGGAGGCCACACTTCCGGTCAAGCCTACGCAGTCGCCCGACCTCAACCCCGTGGAACACATGTGGTTAGAATTGGAGGGGTGGCTTGCGAAGTATCCAGCGTATCTTGGTTGAGTGGTACAAAATCCCAGTGAGCTTCTACCGTAAGCTCATCAGTAGTATGCATAGCAGACTCTGGGCTGTCGATAATGCAAAAGGTAGGAATACCTGGTACTGATCTGGATTGTGGCAAGTTAGTGAATAAGAGTTTACGACCCCAAAGCGGCACTTGCAAAAACGTCTTATTGACTTGATTGAAAAAGATTGCTATTCCAGTAGAGGACTGAGATACAAAGCACAATACATCATGATGATGTAAATGAAGACGGGTCCTTTTTTATACCAAGTATGATCTATGTCTACATAGATGAATCCTAAGAAATGGAAACGGAAAGTTGCTGGAAGGAAACATGGGGGTATTTCTGCACGGTAGTGAAGGAAGTGGCAGACCACGAAAAACCATCTCACCCCGCTATGTATGAAGCTGTGCAAGAATTTCGCCTCTACCAACGCAGTCAAGAATTCACAAGATCAAGATGATGATGCGGAGCCCACTACAGCATGGGGGAATATTGAAGTGGCTAGGGAGGGATTTGTTCTTGGGACTATGAAGAAGCCACTTTTGTATGAACAACGGCCTCTCGAGAAATTACTTTTAAGGCTCTTGCCGTCAACAGAGTGACCTTCAATTTAATTGACTCGGGTGTCAGGGACTGACAAGATGATTGTAAGAAAAGTAAGTAATTGAGGAACAAGGATAGCAGCGAGTTTAAGGACTAGGATGGGCTCAAGGTTTTCTACATTACAAGTCTATGATATCTATACTTGATCGTCTGGAGCGGAGACGCGTTCCATGAACTCTAAATAAAGCTTACTCAAAACACTCCCTAATACCTTTTACCATATGCGGAACTCCAAGTGCTGAGTTAACTTAATACAAGGGATCCGAGGAAGATATCCGGTGCAGTCTTATTTCAGGGCTACTTGGAACCGTGGGCCATGTTCACTGGTCTATAGCTCTTCCAAAATTCTAGAGGCTATCCACGGAGCTAGAAAGCTAGGAGATGCGACTTGGTTTGACAGACAAAACTTTGTATGAGAGGGCATCGAAGATAACATCACATTTGGGGCTCATGCCAATCTCGCGCGTTCGTACCTGTATATCCGATCCACATCAACTGAGTCTGAGCATTTGTTCAGTAAGGCTGGGCTAGTCCTCTCATCGCTTAGGACCAACCTCAGCGATCAAAATGTACGCAACATCATGTTTAGTCACTGAGAAAGTTAGACTTACAATGAAAATAAAAAGTATTTTGTTAAAATAATAAAGTGATTAGCAACATTAAGTTCAAGTCGCTTTATTATACCCCGTCAATGAAACTCGCCATATCTTAATGCTCAGACGTAGACCCAAGTCATTGTGGTGATATAAGGGCATCTTCCTTTGGCTGCTACTATTTTTCTGATTACTCGTAATCGTAACACGCTTAATTCTTCATCTATTTTTTTTTTTAAATATGTCACTTTCCCTCAGTATACCTTGGCCTTTGTCTTTGTCTTGCTCATTTCGTAATCGTTTTATCTCCAGTTTAATCAATTTCTTTATCTTAAATTCCTGTCCTTGCAAATAGCATCCAATAAGTCGAAGCATCCAGGAAATATGGGCTTCAGTATTGTTAATTCAGGGCAAGGCCTCTTTCACTAAACTCAAACAGTGGCAAGAGAAGAATCTAGTGCAGTCTTAGCACCAGTGTTGCTTGTTGTCGCAGGGGATGCTTATTGGTCTTTAAGATCTTTAAGATATAGAGATATAGAAGTCTGACTATGAACGATATTGTAAAGAAGAGAATGCAGAGACACAATTAAAGTACGCGACTGCTTTTCGAGGCAAGATCTAATCTGTCGTGGTGTCTTTTCCCTGAGAATTGAAATGAAAATGGCAGGGGGAAAAGAGAAGAAGCCTGTTATGCATGCAGATGGTGGTGGATATTTTTTTTTTTTTTTACATCAAGGACAAAAAGGACAAAAAGATCAAGCCTGTTATTTTTTTTTCAGGTTCGCGCTGTTTGTGCAATAGGTTTGTGCTGTATGGGCGGTAGAAATCAAAATATCGCGCAGATACGAAAAACGTGACCTAAGCAACACGCGTCCTTCTCAATCACCCTGATTTAGTCATAAGCTGCATTACATCCTCTCTTTGTAGTTCGAATCTATAACATCAGACATCAGTATAATCGTCGCTTTATACTTTTCATTTTCTATTTTTTTTTTTTTTTCCTTTTCTTTTTCACAATTTATTTTTGCGACCATCATCAGAATCAATAATATCCACTTCGAAGGTAATATTATTACATTGATGTTGAAACTATGCATCCTTTTTGCCTGCTCTCCTTGCCCATTGGCTTTCGTTATTTAGTGGTAGGGCGTACTGCCATTTCCCTGAGTAACGGATTGATTTCAATGTCGTAAAGGAACGGGTTAGTTTCGCGGTTATTGCCCGACATGTAGCCCGCACCTTATGGTGCCATCTATATGTCCATCAATGATCCCACCAATCTACATGGCTACTTGACATTTTGGGTTGGTGGTCGCGACTGGCAAAATGGACTATGTGCACCCAGACGCAAGATGCTGTTGGTCACATACTGCATTCAGACTTTCTCAGTTCTTGTTATGTCTACCCTCTCTGCCCCTCTGGCTTTCGCATTCAAAGTCGGTGTTCTACCGTTTCTTTGATCAGCGGATTGATTTCAGTGTCGTGGAGGGATGGGTTAGCTTCGCGATCATTGCCCGACATATAGCCCGCTCCTTATGGTGCCATCTATATGTCCATCAATGATCCTGTTCAGGCATTCGCTTTCTTGGATAGAGTGTCTGACAGTCGCGACAGGCAAAGATAAGGACATCCTTGTTTTACGGAAGAGTGACTGTATCCAAGCTGTCTACTTTTTTAAGAAAAAACAATATCATAACTTATATTATTTTAATTATGCAATTTAAAGACTCGTCTAATTTACTGATTTTCCAAGCATTAGGGTCTTTCGTACACGATGGTCAAGGGAGGCATCGACGTTGGAGATTGGAGAAACGGCTTTAACCAAGCAAGAGTTGGCGCAGGTTACTTTCTTAGCCAACAAGGACGCCTGAAATTTACCCCAGAAGGCTATATAGGATTTCGGGCATTGAGGCGTCAGGACTCTACTAAGTTACTGCAAGAGTGGGATCGTTGGATTCGAGATCTCCGATGTAGTCCCTTTGAACACGTTAAAAAGGCCGCTAATCTTGCTTCGGCTATGTGTATTAAGCATTTGGATGACTACTACCGAGATCGAGTGATTTCTGAAAGCGAGATAATTTCTCTTGAGAATGCTTCTGAGAAATTGGCGGATTCTGAACAAGAGTTAATATTGCTTTCGCGAGAGCGTAGAGAAAAAAGGAATTCGCAGGAGGTCGATAGTATTCAGTATTCTACCATTAAAGCAGGGTATCTAGGAAACACAACTGGGGAGACTTCATCTCTCCTATCGGAAGATGACGTGGCACAAAGAACGTCACCAGTTCGTGAAGTCGAAGAGGATAAAGTCAATCGGAAATACACTCCACCACCTCAAGTTCCTCATGTCATGGCCGATGTCAAGTTTGAAGGTTCTGAATTTTGGAGAATGATTGGGATGGCATCAACCTGGACGACCGAAGGTGTCGACATGTTGATGAGTTTCGATGATGCTAGGGAAGCTGTACTGGCCCTCTTACCTGATATTACTCTTTGTCAAGATAACGTGGCCGACTTTTGTTACGACAGTGAGCTTCAGGACTTGATGGATGACGAAGCATTTGGCTTGGCATTAGACTCTCTCCCTACTATGCCATGTCTTCCAGTAGAGCAATTAGAATTGCTCCATCACGTATTTGGAGGTGATAATTCGTGGGAAGGGATTTCGGACCGCGTCGATGACTTAATGAAAGTCCCAAGCCCAGTACCTGCGTTGAATAGGTACATATTTACAGCATTCCACCCATTCCGGGCCGCATTCGCCGATAGAGGAGCTATTAGTGCAAGTATTAATGAACGGCAATACTTCAGAGACTATGTGGTCGAGCTACTCCGAGGCGCCCTAAGTGTGTATGGTATCCCATATGCATGGGGGGAGGTGTATGTTCCTGCTGTCGCGTTTCGCAAGGGCAATGAGTCGACTGGCACTGGGAGAGGAAAGTTTGCGGATGGAGTTTCCGAAGTGGCTGGCCACCAAATTTTCTTGTCGGAGAGCAGTCAACTACATCGGGCTAACACATCTAAGGAACAAGGAGATAAACTGAAGCTGAAACGGATGCTCCGTGATCTGTTTAACTACACTGTCTTGGAGATGACAAGGAACAAGGACAAAGTCAGCCCTAGACTGACAGTATTTGGCTCACGGACATTCAGAGACACTACAGAGCTCATTGCCATGGATTATGAAGGTGTGTACAGGGCATACTGCCTAGGGTCTTTCAAGGTTGTCACCGAAGCTGGGGATGCCAAAAAATTGTTGGAGTGTTTTGAGATGTGCCTAAGGTTTGCCCTGACTGTAAAGACCCAGGTTGATGAACGGTCGGGGGCTGGGAGGTTGAGCGATACTGAGGCACTCAAGCTAACTAAGGCAGCGAGGAGGTTGCTTATTCCTACCACTATTACACCAACTAAGCAGCAGCAGCAACAGCGTCTACAACAGCAACAGCAGCACCTTCAGCAAGAACACCAACAGCCTCAACAGCGCTATCAACACCAACAGCAGTATCAGAAGCGGCTGCAGCAACAGCAACAGCAACAGCAACAGCAACAGCAACCATTATTAAAGAGGCGCCGCTAGGAACCCTTTTGTCTGCGAATGCAGTCTCATCAACTTGAACGCTGTTTTTTCAATGTGATTATCCATGAGCTTAAGGAACTATCCATCAGGATTTTTGTCTTGCCATCCTTCATCAAACTCGCCATCGCTGTTTTTCAGAACACCCAGGTGTTCGCAGTCCTTCATGCGCGCGGCGGAACTTGCTTGCATATTCTCCATCCTTTCATCGCTTATACCAGTATAGAGCACATACTAGAGCACTGAATACTTCTTTCATTACACCATGGTTGGTGGTAGAACATGTAATAGAAATGAAATATAGAGCAACGAGTTCGTAGCTTATCTTCACGACTTGATAAATACTGATGGTTCGGTATAGACGCTTTTTGTATATCATGAAGAGACTTATGAAGCAGAGATAAAATCACCGAGTTCCCTTTAGATGGATGTGCTCTTGCAATGAAAAGCTTTTGTCACTAACTACAGTATTTTGTATGGAAATAAAGACCTTAATCCTTTATTGTCTATTGGAGAGAAATTCTCCAGGAAATAAAATTTTTCGACCCACAGGCGAAAGCCCAAGCCGCAATAGAGAATGAACACTACTGTCAACGTGGTCGACTTGTGCCAGCTGTTCTCACCTCCCTTGCTTCTGTAATAACAAGAACACATTTGTGGACCACTTGCCATTTACCAACCAACGAATACCGCTTAGACTTCCTTTACAACATCACCTCTCATCATGGTAATGCAATCCATATTTAACAGGGAAAGAAATAGACAGGAGTACATGTACCTGAGAAGAGGAAAAAGGACAGGAGCGAGAAACCATGCCTAACAAAGAAGCGCTCTTGTATCTTTCACAAACAACAGCTGGTTCTAGTAATAGGCGATCTTCATATCCCCCATAGAGCGCATGACCTGCCTGCCAAGTTCAGAAAGCTGCTTGTAAGGGAAAAAAAAAAAAAAAAAAAAAAAAAGAATAAGACATTTGTGATATCCAACCTAATTGCGAAGAGGCGCGTCAACAACAAGACCTTTCCTTTTTTTTTTTTGCTAACAGCCATGGACGAATTCGTATTCATGTCCTGGATTCACAACCCCTTCCATTCACGACAATTGTAATTTAGGTTCCAGGAAAGATTCAACAAATCATTTCAACAGGAAATGTGTGTGACAAAGAAACTTTTGACTACCTCCGGTCAGTTGCAGGAGATATTCAAGTCGTCAGGGGAGACTATGACCAAGTAAAGAAAAAAAAAAAAAAAAAAAAAAAAAACACACTTGATAAAATATACAAATGCACTGTGCACGCTTGTCCTTTGCATTACCTAATTATAAGGCAAAACGGTTTTGATGACCTTTTTTTTTTCTGTTTACTAGAACCCATCCTGGCCGTTGTCAAAAATCATTACGCATGGTCCTATTCGCATTGGAGTTTTGCATGGACATCAGATCATCCCTTGGGGCGATACAGAGGCGCTCAATATTACGGCGCGTCAGATGGACGTCGACATCCTCTTAACAGGACATACCCATAAGTTTGAGGCATTTGAGCATGAAGGCAAATTCTTTGTCAACCCAGGATCGGCTACTGGTGCATATCATCCCCAAATTGAGTAACGTGTCTAAAGCCTCAATGTTCAAATGACAGCATGACAATCGTTCATTTTTATGTCAATACATAGTTCGTATCAACTGACTGAATACTGCGTTTATTTTTTACTTGATGAAAACAAACACTCTGTAGGGATGTGACACCTTCATTTGTTCTGATGGATTTGCAAGGGTCTGTGGTAGTCTTGTATGTATATCAATTAATCGATGGCGAGGTCAAAGTCGAAAGAATTGAGTACCGAAAGCCGTTCGACAACCGTGGTGTCTAAATGGGATGAAAAACAAAAAGCAAAAATAAAATAAAAAAATAAAATAAAATAATGGCGAATTGTCAGAGTCGTAAGGAGACTATATCTGGATAATGAAAACATGATTAGAACCTGAATAAAGAGATTGAATGCGATAATACACTCAACGCAACTACGCGTTATCAGTTTAGCGTGTTCGTAGGTTAATTCGCTTTGCCTACTCTGCTGACGGAGTAAAGAACCTGGCATTTGCAGTCCCTAGGATCATGGACAATATGATTTATACAGTCGACTCACCATAAGGGCCATCCATAGGAAATAACCCTTTTTAGAGAACATATTTGTCTGCTCCGATTTACATGGGTCCAGCACGGCGGCCCATTTTCTCTGAAAGAAACAAACTGGCCTTGTGTCATGATCAATACTTTAAATCGATGTCAAGGCGCGTTTGTATTCTATTTAAACTAATGATACTACGGTTTTGATATGGATTAGCAAAAAGCCTCAAGACACATGTGGCATAAATATATACTTTATATCCTTCCTAGAGGTTTCAATCGTTTTAAAGGAATATTGAGCAACTTTTCTACTAGAGGTGCGGGCAACCTTTTCGGAGTATGTGAGTGGAAATGTTACTCCTATTTTGGAGGAAAGTTTTTTGTGACACGTGCAAGAGTCCAGTAAACGAGTTACGGATAGGGATAAAAGTCACAACAGCAGCCAATTGCACCATGAAAGCGCATTGCTGTGATTCATATTTTAACGGTTTATCTCAATCCAATGAGCTTCTTTCTTCCTTCTTTCTCTTCTCTCTCCTCTCTCCTCTCCTAAGGTCTTTGCCCCTCTTGTACACCTTATCATTGTCATATACAGATATCATCATGTTCAGTGAACAGCAACAAACAAAGATCGGCTTCCAACATGGTGAGTTATATCTTTCTCCATCATGTCGATCCAAGGGGAGATTTTTTTTTTTTTTATGCCATAGCTAACATTAGCGTAGGTTCATCTTCTCCTATCTCCCGCATTGCGGCAACAGCCCTCAATGAACTTGACGACAAACGCATTAAAGGGATCAAGCCATTGATCCCCCCACAGATCCTAATGGAAGATCTTCCTCTTTCGCTCGCTGCTGCTCAGACAATCATTCTCGGTCGTCAGGCTGCAGAGGAGATCATCAAAGGCAGAGATGATCGTTTGCTCGTTATTGTGGGACCATGCTCTATCCATGATACCAAGGCTGCTATTGAATATGGTAACTTATTACAGACTTTTTTTTTTTTTTTTTTTTTTTTTTTTGACGACTTGCTATCATTAAACAGTTTCATAATCCAATCTTTTTTTTTTTTTTTTTTACTTCTTTTTTTTGTCTCTCAGCTCAAAAGCTCAAGGCTTACGCTGCCGAAGCTGCCGAGGATCTCGCCATCATCATGAGAGTGTACTTTGAGAAGCCTAGAACAACTGTCGGCTGGAAAGGTCTGATCAATGATCCTCAGCTCAATAACTCATTCCAGATCAACAAGGGCTTGCGCGTTGCCCGCTCTCTGTTGTTGGATTTGGTAAGTTATTTTAATCTTCACATGATTCACTGAAGAATATTGAGATCCATAAGTGGCGGAACAGGGAAAGGTGTAAGAAGGTCATGGTTGTGTCAGTGTAGATAGGTGTTTCTTTATCTTTGGCTCCAAGTGTAACGACACACAACTTCGGCACTTCGGAATCAACCACCGAGCTCTGTGTAGTCTCTTGCTCTTATATAAACCTAATCAGGAATGACAGTCAAAAAAAGAAAAACAAAAACAAAAACAAAAAGTAAAAGAAAGGAGACAAGGCAATCATCAATCTTATCAGGACAACAAAAAACTATAAGGCAGAACCTTAATTCTTAAAAAATGAATCATCAGCATAAAAACTCAAGGATATCTTTCAATTTCTCATTCCACAACAACAACAACAAGAACAAGAGCAAGAACAACGATGGCTTCCTCCAGAAAAGGTGTCAGCATGCATAATTAATATATTATTCGACTGCATATGAGTACCCCATTAAAAGGTGCTCAAAAATGGAAAAGAGGCAGGATTGTCGTACAAGAACTTGAGTCACAGAGAAAGTATAAAAGTGTTGTGTGGGACTGGGAGAGATTTACTTTGACCTACTGATACTTTGAACAGCCATTTATAAGACTTGAAAGAGAAAAAAAAAAAAAAAAAAAAAGCAAACAAGTATTAATACGAAAACTAACCATTATACATTGTGCAAAAACACATGTCGACCAACCTTGGTAATTTTAGAACGAGATGGGCGTTCCAGCGGGATGCGAGTTCTTGGATACAATCTCGCCTCAATACGTTGGAGACCTTGTTTCCTGGGGAGCCATCGGTGCCCGCACCACCGAGTCACAGATTCACCGTGAGCTTGCCTCGGGACTGTCTGTACCAGTTGGATTTAAGAACGGCACTGATGGCGGTGTCACTGTTGCCATTGATGCTATCAAGTCGGCCTCATCAGGCCATCACTTCCTCTCTGTCACGAAGCAGGGTCTTTCAGCCATTGTTTCAACTGAGGGCAATGACTCTTGCCACGTCATCTTGCGCGGAGGTTCCAAGGGACCTAACTACGAAGAGGCAGATGTCAAAGCTGTAGCTGACAAGCTGACTGCTGCCAAGCTTCCTGCCCGTATCATGGTCGATTGCAGCCACGGAAACAGCTCCAAGGTCTTTGCACGCCAAATGATTGTCGCAGAGGACCTGTCAAAACAGTTGGCTAATTCGAATGCTTCTGGAGATGCGATTATGGGCGTGATGATTGAGTCTCATTTGAAGGAGGGCCGTCAAGATATCCCTGCGGCAGGACCACAGGGCTTGGTCTATGGTCAATCTGTCACAGATGCCTGTATTTCTTGGGAAAACACTGTTGTTTTGCTCGACAACCTGAGAGAAGGTGTCCGCCAGCGTCGCGTCAGAAGATCCAGCAGTGCTTAAACTAGGGGGACCTTCTTGTAGATTTTCATTCATTTGTTTACGCATTTCTTTTCTTATTTTCAATGCAAATATTCGATTATTCAGTAAATAAAAATAAAAAATAGATAAAACTTGGTCGTTGGCTTGTCTGCGAGACATAATACGTTAACCAATGTGATCTAACTCACAAAGGCCACTTACATCGGTATAGCTCCCGGGTTCTGCACTGCTCATCATTACAGCATCTAATTTAGTTCTGTAATTACCGGGATGTTATCTTTCTTTTTTTTTTTTTTTTTTTTTTTTTTCGACACCAAATGCTGCCTTACACCAACTTGTGAAAAAGATCGATCAAGTCTAAGAGATGTTCTGTATGCTGACCCCCACGCTTCTGCCGAGTCCACCACTGCTGTCTCAAATCAGCTTAATGACGATGGCTCAAAAAAGGGTGATAGATAGCATGTAGTTTAAACAGAAACAGCAGGATCCACATTATAATGACATATTTGTAATAGCATGCATTTTTAATTATTATTACATTGGCTTTTGTTGCAATTTCTAGCGCGAATACCTTTATCTCGCAATTGACTTCATTCTGTTCTATTATGCTTTCCTCCTCCCTCTATCTTCTCCACGACCTAGATTTCCTGTCCCACGTACAGATGACGATCTAGATGTCGCCAAGGGTGAGGATGCACCACTGCCGCTGCGATTGCCAACACCAGCCATCATGTCTGGATGGAGTGTTTGCCCGAACATGGCCGCAAAAGGACTTCCAGGACCAAACATATTGGCAGCATCCATACCTGGTGCTCCCTCCATTCCACCGGGAGCTCCAAAGTCATTGGCCATCGCTGCAAACGGGTTTCCGCCCATGCCTCCAGGCGATCCTCCAGAGCCTGCTGCTGCTGCACTGGCCATGCTTGCCATATTGGCGAATGCTGCAAATGGGTTGTTGGAAGATGCATCAGCAGATTGTTCTGGTTTCAAAGCTCTAGCGGCTGGGATGAACTCTACAAGCTGAGATACGAATAAAATAATGACCTTGCGACAGAAATAGAACCAGATAGCAATGCTGACTGCTCCAGTTTCTGCAAAAGGCAAAGCAAGAAAGCGCTCTGCAGGACCAAACCAACCAGGAGGTACATAAAAGACAGCAACACGTCTATACCAAGCGACCATGATGAATTGAATCCCGTTGGTGATGAACCACAATAAACTCTTGAACTTGATCTCAAATGAAGCCTTGGTGAGATGAAGCTCCGAGGTGAGTTTTTCCAGTTCTGCAATCTTGGAGTCCATTTTACGACGTAGTTTAGCCCATTTTGCGAATTCGTCCTGAGAGGATGTACGAGAAAGGTCATTTTTGAGAGTAAGAACTTCCTTCTTAAGTTGACGCTGTTTAGTAACCTTGTCCTTGTTTATGAATTTTAGATAGACATCATATGCCTATTTAGAAGCAGATAAAAAAATAAAAATAAATAAAAATAAAAAAAAAATCATTAGTGAGAGAGGGATACGGCAAGATTCGGATTAAAGTAAACACAAGTTGTACAGGGGATGAATAGTCTATAGTCATGTCATACTCCAATCATGCCCTGATCCAAGGGTAGAGTTGGTTTATGCAATAAGTTTTAAAGGATCAAAAATAATATATCATAAAGAGCTTCTTTCTTACCATAGCAGTGACATGGGTTTTCCCAACAAAATTGATCAGCTCAGTGAGCAGGACCACCAGGAGGACTCCGATGGCAAGCTGCATGGCTGTTGTGTTTGCAGACGTTTGTTTTTTTTGTTATTCTTCAGTGCAGAGTTGGATGGCGAATTGTTATTTTGTGATGACTCTGTTTCCTTTTAAAGCTGTTAACCGTAAAAGCAGGATGTCTGATGTCTGTCCAGCAGTGTCTAACTGCAACACAAACCAAATGGATCGTTGACAAAAAGTAAAAAGAAGGAACAGGATGAGCGGATTGCAGAGTACAATAAACGAAGGAAAGAGAAGGTTTAAAGAAGAAAGGCTGAGCGTCCTTGACTTCCAAGTCTCTTCATGTCTGTGCCACGCTGGAGGAGATTTGGCTTCCATTATGATCTTTTTCACGTCCAATTGTTTTGTACGTGTGATCTGCTCTTTTTTCTTTTTCACGCGAGTCTGCTTTTTTATTTTAAACAAAAGTCGTACTCACTCATCCACACAAAGTCCTCTTTGGTGCATCTCCATTTGGATCCTCTCCTTTCTTCCTTCTCGCCCTATCTCATACCTGCCTTTGTCTACATGGATCCTTACCGTCCACCTTATCGTATGTATCCTGCAAATGACTTTGTCCTTTTCTCAGAGGCATTCTAATTAAATTTCGATCGCTTTTTTTTTTTTTTTTTTGCAAATGCTCTTAGCGCCATATCAAGGTCAGCCTCCACAACGCCACCCAGGTTCCACTCCACCAGGAGCGCCATTTGGCACACCACCACCACATATACAGGGACCTAGACCACCACATATGTACCAGAGTGCACCGCCACCTCATCTGCATCAACAGCAACCATATCCTCCACAGGGACCACCACACATACAAGGACCTCCACCACACTTTCAGGCACGTGGGCCACCAGGACAGCATTTTGCATCACCACAACGTCCTCCAGGGCCAGGAGCTGTCACAGGTCCGCCGCTCTATGGAGCTCCACCGCAGAGCGCTCCACCAGGATTAGCATCTCTGCCACCTGGATATCCTGTTCATCCGCTTCCACCACAACATCATCAACATCACCAACATCATCGCGGGCCACGGCCAGTTTATGGCGGATCAGGGTCATTACCACCTCCTGGATCTGCTCCGGCCGTCCCTGGAGCATCTACTGGGTTCATAAACGGACCGACATCAACACCAGGGTCTACGACATTTAAAAGCCCAAAGGGAGTGCATAGTCCTGGCATGGCAGGCATACCTGCTAGCTCATTCATCCCTGGAGGGGCCCTGCCTGATAAGTTGAATACTCTATTTATTGGATCAATCGCACCCGGAATTAATAATGTAGCCATGGAAAAGCTACTCAAAGTATGTTTTTCATCTTTTGTTTTCTTCCTACCCATTTCATTTCTCATTATCTATTTACTTGTCAATTATTGTCCTTATATGAAGTACCCTCAAAGGCCTAATTCTAAATTTCATTTTTATTTCCACCGGATAGACAACTGGGAGCCTTGTGAAATGGAAACGTGTCCAGGATCCAACAACTCATCAGTGGAAGGCTTTTGGATTTGCAGAATATGCGGATGCTGATTCACTCTTGCGGACGCTTCGTGTTCTAGGGCAGGATGGTCAACAGCCTAAAGGCGAAAAGCCTGTCGGTCTCGAATTGACAGCAATGGATGGGTCGGGCGTTGTTAAAGCACTTTTGGTTAAGGCAGATGAAAAGACGCGACAGTTTTTGGATCAATACGAGGAAGGCCGTCCACGGACAATCGTGAGTGAATTAAACTAAACTTTTTTTATTTTTATTTTTATTTTTTTTATTGATTTATTTGTTTATATATTTTATCATTCTTTTTTTAATTGATAGCATGATACTGAAAAAGACAAGGTTGCATTGGCTGCGGCTACTAAGATTATTCAACAGATGAAGGATGGTACACTAGATACATCAGAACCAGAACAAGGAGCTGATGACAAAGAAAAAGAGGGCAAGACAACAGGAGAAAATACGCCAACAAAGACAGAGGATAATGATCAGAAAGGGACTGCAGTCGAGGTGTCTGAGGAGCAACAAAAGATAATTGATCGCGAGCTGAACTTCTTTAGGGAACGCGCAGCGCTGAAGGACAAGGAGGAAAAACAGGAGCAGCAAAGACACAGAACTACGGGGCGGGAACGTGCCTGGGGTCCCACCAACAGTTCGGGTACAAAGTTGTCAGAGTTTGTCCCTGCTAGTGGCCCAAATCATATTGAGGTCGGATCCAGCTCAGCTAATGCCGCAGGTACTACAACCGCAGGAGCAGGAGCAAGAGCAGAGGCAGGAGCAGGAATAAGAACAGATCCTGTGCGTGACCAAGATGGGGATGTCGACTCTGAAGAAGAAGAACGAGCACGTCAAGAGCGTAGAGAACAAGAGCTGGAGCAACTTTACAGGGAGCGCGAGCGTCGGTGGGAACAACGTGAAGTTGAACGGATGCGACTCTATGAAAAAGACAAGGCTAGAGACGAAGATTACAGTGCAGAGCAGCAGACTGCAAAGGCTGCAATGGCTCATCGGTTTGCACAATGGAATGATGACGAAGAAAGGGAGAGGCGGCATGAAGATTATTATCGCGACCGGTAATTTTTTTTTTTTTTTTTTTTTTTTTTTTTTTTTTTTAATAATTTTTTGGTGATCTCAGCAAAGCTGCTTTAGCATTAACTTTACTGTTTCATTCACGTTTAGATCAAGGTGGTGGCAAAGGCGACAGGCTTTCCTACAAAAAGAAGAACGCTATGATGCACTAGATCGTGAGGAAGAGAAAGAAGAATTAGAGAAGGCAGCGGCAAAGAAGGCTCAAGAAGAAGAAGCAGCGGCAGAATCAATAACAAAGCCAGCTACGACTTTGGAGGAGATACCGAAAGTGGATCATGATGGGGACACGGAAATGAACGAAAACTCAGATGATGTAGACACTGCTAAGAAATCCTCAATAACAAGTCCAATACCAACTGAAGCTCAAGCAAGGACACCAGACTCTGCAAATGCAAACATACTACCCCTTCAATCAACAAAGTTAAAGTTGAGTCTTTCCACAACGATCAGTGCTTTAAAACGTGGATCCGAAAGCAACAGTGGTGTGAGTACGCCGACATCATCGAGCTTCGTTGCGGCTACAGAGTTTGAGCCAGACGAGGATGATGTAAAGGAGGTCAAGAAGCGCCGTATCCTTGTCCCATTCAAATACAGTGATGACGAAAGCGATGCTGCGGATAAGATTCGTAGTAGCAGTAGCGGGAATGGCAAGGAGCTCAGCCCTGAGGAAAAAGAAAAGAAGGAAAAGGAGATGAAGGCTTTGATCCAGTCGATTCCTGCAGATGCGCAGGGTCTGTGGAACTGGCCGATCCAATGGCAATATGCTTTTCAGGACCGAGGGGCAATTTTGACAGACAAGATTCATCCTTTTGCATCAAAGAAGGTAGTGGAACTTCTTGGTGTGCAGGAAGATGAATTGACAAACTTTATCATGGAACACATTCGGACAAAGAAGCCACCACAGGAGCTTGTGAGCGAACTTCGTAACGTAGGTGAAGGAGTAATTTTTTTTTATTTTTTTCTTTGTATTCTTTATTTGACTTTATAATCAGATCATGGGACTAAGGCTAATTTGTATAATCTTTATTTTGTGCTGACATGGTTGATAGGCTCTTGACGATGATGCGGATGTTCTTGTGATGAAGATTTGGAGGATGCTAATTTTTGAGACAGAGTCAAAGGCACGGCAATTGTAGTTGTAGTCAATTGATCGAAAGGCCGCACTAAAGAATATACATCCATCTGTAATAAAGCGGACGCTCAGAAAGGTGGACAAGTGCCGTTTGATGAAATCATGGTTGCTTTTTTTTGTTCCTGATTTTTTTTTTTTTTAAAAAAAAAAAAAAAAAAAAAAAAGTGCAGTGCAGAACAACACACATACAAACTTTTTTCCCCTTTTTTTTAAGGCATGGATCTTTTTTTTTAAGCCTTATTCATCACATTTTATCCATTCCTCCATCACTCATTCATTCATTCTGCCCAGCCCTTCTCTTTCCTTTTACGTTACTTATTTGCTTACTGCATCTTCATTATCTCTCTGCTTATTCAGACATTTCGATACCTTTTCTTTTCTTTTCTTTTCTTTCTTTCTTTCTTTCTTTCTTTCTTTCTTTTTTTTTACACATTCATTCATTGCTCTCACGTTAAAAAAAGACGACTTGTCTTCTTCCGTCGTGTCTGAGTGGTTAGCTTTTATTTAAGCTCTTGTTCCTGTCGCAGACTGTTCAGCATTTTCCCCTTTCTCTCTTCTTTCTCAGCTTGACCATCTCTATTCCATCAGCTCTACTCTTATTTCCAAAGCCTGAATCAAGCATTCTTTTTTTTTCAACAGAAACGCGCCATTGTCGAATACAACATTCAACATTAACAAACAGATGCACCAGATGTTGACCACACCACAACAACAAACTCTAAAAACCAGCAAGTCAGTCGATGGGCTGCGTCGTTCTCGGTCAAACACAGCAGGCCCTGCCTTGCAAACTGTTCGAAGGCCTTACGAAGACATGTATATCAATTCTCCCAGCCTGACTCAGAACCAATTGGATGCATATGGGCCTTCCGCCAATTTTCATGCTCATGACAACCGCTTGCAAGAGCAATATAAAAACGGAAACGGAAAAGAGTACGAGGTTCAGAATGGGAGTAGGGATGTGAACAGAAACGAATCGGATTATCAATATGGACATGATCATGATTACGAACGCCCCCAACGCCCCCAACGCCATCAACAAACACCTCCACCTACAAATCATTCTACCTCCCCCAGTGCCACCAACCAATCACCCTATCAAACCCTGAATGTTCAATCAACCCAGATCGCTTCACGATCTACGCCAAAACTCTCCTTCTTCCCACAGGGCGAATATACAACTGGATCCAAGGAGACACAGTCATTCAATGGTCTTCCAGGTCAAATAGACCAGTCCAAACCTAAAAACAAGGCCTCACAACTCAAGCCGATCGCTCCGGCAGCAAACGAGAATGACGAGCATGTTGAGCGGTAAGGCCAAGGAACAATTATAGGATAGCATTTTAATTTTTTTTTTTTTTTTCCTTCCTTGAGCAATTCGCGTGGTATGGCTCTTGACAGCTATTGGGCTGAAAATAGTACTAAATCAATGGATTTTTTTTTTTTTTGTGCCTGTGCTACTCTAGAGATCAATATGGATTCAAAAAAGAAACTCAATGGCTATCCCATCAAGATTTTGCGATATTCGAAACATACTATGTCCCAATTATGGAACGACGTCGGCAGAAATGGGCCATCTTTATGAATGATTCTCATGGGGAATTACCTCCTCGATCTGCGAAACGTATGTGGTTTCCCTCTCTTTTGTCTCATTTTTTGCTAAATTGTTGTGGCCCCCTTTTGTTTCGAGTGAAGGGATAAAAAAAACAAAAAGGGGAGGGGAGGCACCACCCAGCCATTGGGCCAATAGATTAGTTCAAAGGACGAAGGACAAACTGTTGGAACGGAACAGAACAGAACAGAACAGAACTAACGTACCGCAGAACTATTTTCTCCTCTCATCGTTACCATCAAACAAAGTAAAACGATATGTCCGCAAAGGTATTCCTCCAGCATTGCGTGGCGAAGTAAGTCAAATAGGAGACCTCGAACTATTTTATTCTTTACGCCCAAACACAATTTTAGAAGCTCAATTTTTTATTTTTTTTATTTATTTATTTATTTTTTTTTTTTTGTTGCTCTAGGCATGGTTCCATTATAGTGGTGCTGAAGATAAATGCAAAGCCAACCCAGGATTATATAAAAAGCTTGTAGCTCAGGCCAAAGCGAATGGTTCTGCAAACGAGCATGCAGAGGTGATTGAGCGAGGTATGGTTAATTTGAGAGCCTTATGGAAACTAAACAAGGAATTTTAGTTGGAGCTCTTTTTCTTTAAATAATTCTCACAAAAAAACAAAAAACTCTAATAATTCTTTACACACCAGATCTTCACAGGACATTTCCAGAAAACATCAACTTCAAATCGCAAATAACTCAACGACAGGATGGAGGAACCCAGCTTTCAACCGAAAATGTAGCAGCAATTCAGTCTTTGCGGCGAGTGCTTCTGGCATTCAGCCTTCATTGTCCGTCAATTGGATACTGTCAGTCACTCAACTATATTGCCGGAATGTTGCTCCTTTTCATGGATGAAGAGCAGTCTTTTTGGACACTTTCAGTTATCATCCAGAATTTCTTGCCAGAGGGAATGTACGATGTCACAATGGAGGGTGCTAATATCGACCAAGCAGTGTTGATGACACTTATCATGGAAAGACTTCCTAATATTTGGGTTAAATTCAGTAATGGAGCAACTTCAGTTGAATTGGATGAAGGAGCAGGGTTACCTACAGTTACTTTGGTAACAAGCCATTGGTTTTTGACTCTTTTCATTAATATTCTTCCAATTGAGGTAATTTTTTTTTTTTTTTTTTTTTTGCACAGGTATTCCATGATGTAGCTTTCAACAAGAACTGTATTAATAATGTCTTGCTGTTATTATGGATACATTATTTAGTCGATCCTACGAGTATGGGATTGCTTCTTTTATGAGGGTCGTAAAATTTTATTCCGTGTAGCACTCACGATCCTACGGCTGCATGAAGCCGAAATTTCCAAGATTGATGATCCCTTGGAAGTATTCCAAGTCCTTCAGGTACTTTTTCATTTATTTAGTTTTTTTTACCTTCTAGTACGTAAAATACACTGAATGTCAGCTCTTTAATAACCGATCTACTTTTTCTTTTGCATTCGAATGCTTGGATCATGACATGATCAGAATATACCCAAACGTCTTATCGATTGCCATAAGCTGATGGAAGCATGTTTTAAACGCATGGGTTCATCTGACCTTACTACGAAGGAGATCGACCGCCGGTATGACCAATTCCGTGCCAAGAGGAAAAGTGCAAGAGCTGCAGCACAGGCTACTAGAACAGCTCTTCGCGATGCTGCCAAGAAGTAAAAATAAAAATAAAATAAAAATAAATAAAATAAAATAAAATTGAGGTCAAGAACAATGGCATACGAATCTAATAATAAAATAATGCACCAACAGCCTCGTGTAGAGGCCTTTACTAATATTATTATGTGGTCATTTTATTATTATGAGGCGTCAATATTATGATTTTTAATTATTATTATCGCACCAGAGTCACAAGTAGATCCCGAGACAACCTGGCCAGGTGGGGATGCTTTAGTTAAAGTAAGGCTTGCAGATGTTGCCTAGGGGCTTGAACCTGTTTGAGTGCGACGTTGTTGATCGTCAGCCTCAACATCTGATTTCAATTCTGGCTCAGATACGTCAAGCTCCTGAGGCCTATATTGTGCTTGGCCCATATAAGGGCTTGAATGTTGCTGCTGGTAAGGGCCTGTTGGATTGTAGTTATAGTTATTTTGTGAACCAGTATAGTAACCCACTTGTGGATACTGCTGCTGTTGCTGATAATACTGCTGAGGTTGCTGTGATGAGATTGGTTGAGGACCTTGAGTTTGATTCTGACCAGAACCTGTGCCAGCAGCAAACATGGTATTAGAAGTCATGAAGGACCGTGGTCGGGTAGTAATAGAGGGGGGGATTATGATATTTGCACTTTGTGGATGCGTTGGCCCATCTGCATGAGGGCGCTCGAGCAAATCTCCAGAGCTTGAAGCGAGAGGGCTCCTTGATCGGCAGGAGTAAGCCCCCTGCGTGGACATGCGCCTCAAGTTGACGCTCTCTTTCTCCAAACTTGCGTCTGCAATAAAGCCCCTTTGGTCTATAGGAGCGACACCATTCCCGACAATGGTGGCTCCAAAAGGGGGGCTCGGTATTTGCGATATTTCTGATTGTAATTGAAGCGCTGGAGACTGGCTAGATCGGCGACTTGAATTGAGACTAGAAGGTGCACTGGGATGCAGGGATGGAGGATGTGGTAGGAGCAATTGGTCGTTGCTATTGTAGTCAGGGGCTCCAGCGAAGGCATTTGGATATACCAGTTGCTGAGAGATATTGGACGTGCTATAGTAGCCGTCATACTGGCTATTCCCAAGACCGTACATCATATCTATCTGCCCGCCTGAAAGAGCTACTTCACCATTCGGCCCAGTATATTGGGAGTAAGCCTGCGTTGAAGACAAATTACGGCTGTCCTGACGGGTCGCAAGTCCCAGAGTTCTCTGTCCGAGGCTGACTGTGCTATCTATCCGAGAGAGATGGGTGTTCCGATGGTGCTCTGCCATTTCCTGTGAAGATCCTTCATCTATGGTGGGTCCACTTCCTTCTTGATCCTTAGCTCCAGCCTTGTTTTTACCTGCTGATACAAGCACACTGTGTGGACTAGGGCCTTTTCCAAACAAATGTTGCCGTCGCTTGGCGCTCCTTCGGTGGAGAAGACAGCAAATCACCATACCCATCCCTGCCAGCACGCCAAACACTACAGCTAGCGATACAATCAGCATCAGCCCACCATTCTTGTCGTCCTTGGCCACTCCATTTGGCGATCCTGTTGGCACAAGTCCTTGCGAGGCAGATGTGTTTGTAGAGGATGGGGGACGGTCGACAGTGATGATGTTATCTACAAATGTTCTTGTTGTAGTCGTGGCCATAGTTATAGTAATCCCTAAAATGGGACTAGTGGTGGTGGCGGTTTGGATCGGGATACTGGAGACGGGATTGCTGGCTGTGGCAGGAGACCCGGCAGCGGGCGGAGCCTGTGTAGCCGTGGGTGTAGACTGCGATGGAGGAGTTGTAGACACGACGTCTCCCGGGGCGGGAGCTGCCTCTGCTGATTGGGCAGATGCAGCTACAGCTATGAATCCTGCTACTGTTGTCAAGAATGTAAGACAGGACTTGTTTGATCGACGACGCGATTTGCTCACTTTAGCTACAACAGTGGATTTCCCTCGACATTGACATCTTACTCCATTGATGCAGGCACAAGAGAGGTGGTTGAGGTATAATCTACGATGTGACACATGGCTGCGTTGAGATACAAATGATGTTGCGCAGGGATCGATTGAAGGTGGTTTTGTCTCAATAGACGAATTGAGCTGTGGCATGGTGATAGTCATGTACAACCGGGTGAAAATGCAAAAAAATCGGTGTAACGGTGGAATCTATTTTCATAATGGACAAAAAAGGATCATGTTTAGCAAGTAGGTTAGGTGCCTTTTTTTTTTTTTTTTTTTTTTTTTTTTTTTTGGTTTACTATTGTTATAAAATTATCATGACAAGAGGGGGGAGAAAAGGAGAATAGGGAGGGAGTGTCGCTCAATCAAACCCCTTCCGCCAATTTTTAGTAACGATGAATGGATTTCATAGTCTCGCCCCTTCCTGACATGCAATATCTATTAGGAACGATCCTGTATTTGTCAAATTGCCTCAATGGGATTATCTCATGCAGAGGGTTGTTAGGGAAATAGCAAACGGTGGGGAGGATTGATTCGATGGTAAAGTGAACAAGTGTAGATGTGGCATTATCATGATTGAATAAAAATGGAGGAAGGGAGGGAGAAATAGAGAAAGGGAGAAAATGGCCTAATACCTGTGTTTTTCTTTATTTTGTGTGTAAGGAGGCCTAAAGGCAACAAGGTGAATGCTGTTGATGATAAAGAAAAGTTGAAAAAGACGAGGGGAAAGTACATATTAAAAATAAAATAAACATGTGGCGCACTTGGATTACATTTCCAGGCACGCTGACAACACTGGCACAGGCCAACAACATAGGCGCTGCAACACTTGTCTCAAATGTGAAATATTTATAATATTTAAATATATACTTAAATTTTATAAAAATATGTATTTATAAAAATATATATTTCTTTTTTTCATCGGATGTCAAAAACTGGCAAGGTTTGAAAGTTGTAAATAATAATGTGAAGATGACACACAGATCACATAAAGAATAATAAGATTAGGAAGGAGCAAGTAGTTCTTGTTGTTCGTTGCAGCCGTAGTTATAAGCAAATGTTATTGGTCATGAAGAAAAGTAAAAGGAAGTAGATGACATGCATGATACAAGGATGGCTTTTTCTCTTTCAGCGTGTATAATCAGATTTAAAAGGCGAAAGGTAACTGAACAGCCCATACATCATATGGATTGATAAGAGGAATGACAGCATCTTCGATCGATCGAGCTCGGAAACAAGGGATAAGTGTGGATCCAGTATGTGATGTCGTGAGTATATCATTAATGGAGAGTATTTATTGGTTAAACCAATGTCGATATATTCGCCTTACAGGACTATAGTCGACACGCTTGTTTGAAAATAGGAAGATCGGAGGAAGGGAAGAGGATCCGAAGAGGGATCAACAGGGAGGAGAGAGAGAGTAGAGGGCGTGAGGAAAAGAGTGAATAGTTTTGCGTTGGGCAAAGGAAGGCAGTGATTTTCAAATACAGCACAAAGAGAAAAGAAAGAAAGAGAAGCAAACGCCATTTATAACAAAAACTTGATAGCAAACGGACTTGGCCTAGTAAAATAAAATCTCGGAATTAGGCAGTGGCGTTGTGTGCTCAAATTGATTATCGAGAATCGAAAGCATATAGGCAAGTCATCAGAGGGAACGTGGGGGATCGAGACAGCCATTAATCAGTATAGGAAGGTGTACGTGCTGGTTTTTTTTTTTTTTTTTTTTTTTTTTTTTGGAAAATAATTGCTCACAAGCCCTTCAGTCGAATGAAAGACAGCGCTTTGAACGCAAGGTCAGGCAAGCAGACAGGCTCTTGAAGTTCCTCGCCTATCATTTGTGACACCCAACACTTTAATTATGGAGACAATTTATTCCGACACTACAGCAAATCTTTTTATATTTTGGTAGGCACCCAACATGTGCAGATGCTGGATAAGAAAAGGAAACTGAAGATCAAAAAATGTGGAAGCTTATTCTTAATAGTCTAATAACAAGTATATTTATATAATTAATTTACTTATTTGCTTTCCTTAAGCTCTTTTCAAAGTCAATAAAGTGTTTGCCAAATGGTCAGGGTCCAGTTCTTTAGACAAAGTAGAACTGTCAGTAAAAGACGGAGCTTTCTATTAAAAGGAAGCCAAGCATAATTGCTATCAACATGTTTCCAAAGAGGCACTAAAATGCGGCATTATTTGCTCTGCTTGAGAACTTGATCATAGTGAACCCTATTATTGCAATCACCAAGTTGATCAAAGGCAGGCGCGTATCGTGCATTCGACCCATTGGTGAGAGCATCCAGGAGAATCTTTTTTTATGAGGCATATAGCATTGTGAGACGTTTGAAGAACAAATAATCGTGTTACTACCCGCAGAGGCCAAAGCCCAGAAGAGTTAAAGCAAAAGATGTGCCACACCATCCGTTGACCATAATATTAAAGGGGTGAAAAGATGTGGTTATATCATTTGAAACTATTTTAACTATTTATTTAATGGCTCCAGTATTCGTGACATAACACCGCAAAGCCGTTCAAGATTTTCCTTCACTCCTCATCCAAGTAAGGGGCCAAACGATGTCCAGCAACTGGCCTCTATAGCCTAAGCTTATACATCCAGTCAAGGAGCGGACATATCCTGGCAAGTTGTCGCTATTGCCAAAGCAAATGTCCAAAGAAACACATCTAATTACACAATTTAAAATCCTTAGCCAATAAAGGAAAATTCGTTGAAGCTGTCAATACACTACGAGAAATAGGATTCATAACCTCTATTGGCTCTATCAGAGCAGGAGCTCAAGCACAGCATGAATCTTTTTTCGTCGAAAGATTGAACATACTCAAGTTGTGAATTCCACAACTCCTCCAAGCAAAGCCAAGCGCAAATGCGATTGATAAATTAAACTTGCGAAGCTGCCCTGACGAACGGTTTACTGTCAAAAGTGATCTCAGTAAGATGATACCTTGTCCTATTAACCTAAGGAAATAAACGATTCTAATTTTATGTTTTCAGTAGATCTGAATGTGGCTGATAACCGCCTGCAAGCTATGCCAAGTTGAATTGAAACGAAGCTTCTCTTTCTTCCAGGCTAAGCATCTAAACATGCTCTTTTTCCAGCGGATGACTCAAGTGCTATAACGATAAGGATATGCGATTACTAGAAAGTAAATGAAGTGGGGTCAATGAAGAACTATTTACATTTTATGAATGCTCCGTATTAAATCGATAACCCACTTTTGTTGAAACGCTGGGTTAGTGTACAGCCAACTGAAAAACGTTGACAGGATTGCGCGAATAAGCAAGCATCTTCAATCTTTCGCTTTTCCATCCTTCCTTACCTAGTACACTCCAAAACTTCAATTAATAGCCGCGTCACCCTCTTTAACAAAGATGTAAACTTTCATGTTGAATGGTAGAGTGCTTATGTATATTGCATATGAGCTGTTGGTCCAGGTTATTCAAAAATATATCAACAGCTATTTCAGGTGGCGGTACATTGGCAGTTAGAGCTAAGTGATTGACACGACATGAATTAGAATAACTGATAGGAAATGAGTGAATGAAATGAATAGAGTCTAGGATTCACTAATTTATTGGCTTAGCGGCGCTACACTGTTACGTTCAAAAAGTAAGGCGATGTCAATCTCTACACTAAGTTTATGTCTGCGTTTAAGGTAAGCCAGTTGATCGCGTTTCTCTTCCGAGGTGCTGAGAGCAAGCCAAAGGAGGTTTGTTAATTGTGGTAAAAGCTCAATCCAGCAGCCCGTTGTAGGCCCTCGACACCACGTCAGATCTAAACGATGTAGCCGCTTCAAGACCGGTAGTAGAGTCTGCTTTAGAGCAGAGTCAGGAAAATCCCAGTATCCTTCAAGGCACAGCCGTCGCAGGCAATGGGAGACATTGCTCAGCTGTTTAACTTTGGATTGGACATCCCAGGCCTCAGGGATCTTGCGTGCAATGTTAAGACGCAACTCTTCGAGGACAGAGCAGTAATGAAGAGAATTCAAATCAAAGTTTACAGCAACTGTTCCTTCCAAGTCAAGGCGAGTAAGACAAGGCATCAACCAATCCCAAGACAAGACCATAGTTGTAGGATCAGCAAAAGATGACTGTCCTACTAGCTCTCGCAGCGATTCGCGAAATGCATCCGCAGCGTCTGTGAGTGCGGGGACCAGCTTTCCATCTTTGCCATAGAGTCTTATGGATTTATATCGAGCGTTCTCTACAGCTATTGACTGATGAGATGTAGGCTTGTTCATGGGCTCATTGGCGCTGCCTTTCCTGGCTGCAGCCCATGAAAACATGCTCTGATGAAAGACGGGCATCCGGATGGTGTGAAGAGCTGTAAATGTGGAAAGAAAGCTTGGGTTAAGCTCAGAGAGTTCTGTGGACGCAATCAGATGCATGATCAGGGTATTGCAACGCTGAAGTGGAAACCGACTGATATAGCGACTTGCATCCTTCCAATGGCTAACGTCGATTACTCGCGGCTCCACCATGGTTTGAAGTAAGCAGGACAGGTCCTCTGGCTCGGCTAGCCTTTCATTCTCAAGGGTTATCTCTTGGAGTGTGGTGAATAGGCGTCGGTGAATAGTAATAAAGTTAACAGCGCCATCAAGAGCGCGTGGCGCATTCCTCTTGGACAATTTCAGATGGACAAGGCCAGATAGCCGATTGACAAGCGGTTCCAGGATAGAGATCTTATGAATAGAAAAACTAATGGTGTGAATGTTTTCAGGGGTGTGGCCAAGCAGGCCGAGATGGATCTTGGTACGTAACTGATGAAGATCAACTGGAGGAGATGGCCCTTGCCTATTGTTGTGGGCGACTGCAGTTGACGTAGGAACATTCATCTCTACAAGATTATTCAGAGAAGCTGCAGCTCTTTTAGTTCTACTCTCTGGGTTGCCAGAAGATTGAGCCAGTCTGCTCTGAGTTTTTCTGCCTTGTGGGTGCAATGCGACTCCAGTTAATGTGAGAGGCATGGTTTCGGAGAAGACGCCGTAGAAATGTTTTTCGGAATGAACCTTGTAAAAGGAGAGATAGTCAAGCAAGGGAGGGGATAAAAGTGTTGCTCCATGGTTGTTGGATGGCAGAGATTGTAGTGTATCTGGAGTGCATCGCAATAAGAGGTATAAAAGGTCTTGGCGACGTTTAGCTTGACCGTCAAGGAGGCCGAACGGATTTCTGTAGAGGATTGGAGCTACAAGACGGAACAAGGTAGTGCTTGTGAACATCAAAGAGTATAAGGAACTGCGGTCAAGTGACACGAACGAAAGTAAGTGCAACAAACACTCTTCCGGTAAGGTGTCCATTCTTATGAATGTAAACGTATTCAAGTGTCAATTGAACAAAGGATGAATTCGATCAATAAAGTATAATGAAATATATTTATTTTAGATGAATGTAACGAGGCATGTGGGATTGGTCATATATTTTTATGCTTGACCGCAGCACAATAAAAGGTACAAAACTACAAAGTATACACGTGCAAGTTGTGGACTTTTTTAGCGCGTCGTGAAGATTTGCTTTATCCTTTCTATTAAAATAGGAAAAAGATTAGCAAAGCTGTGACTGCCATGGAGCAAGTAAAAAAAACCTGACTTTACAAAATCCCAGTGTCCACTCGGGGACCTCCATGGCATGATTTTTATGCAGTATTTATTGACTGATGTATGTAGTTATGATGGTTGATGTTGTCACTGCTGTGATATCAACTTGAAATGGATTCACTTGACGCGTGAAGGGAGGTAGCATCTGTCTTTGGTTGCTGAGTAATACTGATACACCCGCTATTGCTATTGTAGCAGCCGCATAAGTGTCTCGAGACTTGACAGTATACCTGCACTGGAAAGATGGACAATCTGGGTTGATACACCCAGCCGCATCATAGGGCTTGACTGTATTGATCTTTCCTTTATGATTCGGCAAGCCCTGGCTTGTCGTACCTGGCAAAAGCAGAAGACACAGGTCTTCGATGGTCGATACCTATCCGTCATTCCAATTGCACAGTATCGCATATGCTCCTCTCTTTTACCCTCTCCTTTGCTAATATCCCCTATACGGCTCCCGGCACTTGTATCGGCTTTTCGATCAGAAGCACGGACTGAACTCTTGGTCGAGACTTTGGACACTGGCTCACGTGCATGGATCTCGCTGCCTCAGGTTCGTTTGCAATATGGTGGCGGTTGCACCAAGTACACCAGCCATCGACAGGTGATATCGCTGGCTGTGCAACGGATGGCAGGCGCCCCCAATCCCGTCGATGTCTACATCTGACGAGTCTTGAGTGCATGCTCCTGGACGTATCGTCGTTCAGCCGCACACAGCTTTGATCATGCTCGCTTTGTTCGGAGCTATTAGTTGCGACTTGCTTGGACGCCTCAAACGACTGTAATGTCTCTCGAACACTACTGCGTGCAGTATGGGCCATGTCAATATTAGTGGTCTTCTGTGCTGTTGTTAGCGAGCTATCTCTTATCCAGGTAGTGGCGCTGCGTCGTCTTGTACTTGGCGTCTGGACCGAAGTAGTAGCACGTTCAGCCTTGCTCCAATAATAGGACTACTTTCGCTGCTCCTGTAGCCCCCTCTCTTGCGGGATGAGTGCCCTGCACCTGGTTTGAAGCTTCTGTCCTGCCGATCGAGATTCTTGAAGTGCACCAACTTCATTCTTCCTGAGCTTGGCCCTGGCTTGTGCTCTCTTCCGCTGTATGTCTCGAACAACTCATCGTAAGGATTTGACTTTGGACTCCAAGGCCTTGAGAGTGCTGCTATGATTAGTAGCGAGCTGCTACACTTCGATCATTGTTTTACCACACGGCTGGGATTCTACTAGCCATCTTGTCACGTCGGACCTGTTGTCTCTGTTTTGTTTCCGCTCTTCGTACCCGCTCCTAACATGGAAGTTCCCCTGAGTGGCGCCATGGAGGATCACTTCTCCCGTGATTCTGATTATGTGCTGATTGGTGAACATCATCCTATCAAGCAAATGGATTGAATGAGTCACTTGCTTTGGTGGTACGCTTTCAATACAATATATAAAACAACAATATCAAAGAGATCACTTAGGCACCAGATGCCTATCGGTGAGATTTAACCCCCGTGCCTTGCAGACCTTCTCAGCCATGTACATGTCTAAGTAAGCTTGAAAGACCACTCAAATGTTGGTCCTGGGTGAGGTAACGCTTGTTAGCGACGTGATACTTCTACCTTCAGCGCCTTCTACATCGAAATGGCCCCACTAGCTGCACAAAGGACTCCGTAGATACCGGCAGCTCCAAGGTGGAGCCCATGTACAGCTGAAACCGACATCTGGGGTGGCACATGTTGTGTGAACTGGCTTGCCATCTGTAGAATGTCAGATAGCTCGTTGCAAGGCTCTCGAATCCCGGAGTTCATAAACTTTTTCAGGACATGGTTCGCTTTAGATTGCTTTACTACATTCAGCCGTCCTTGCTTTCTCTGTGTAACAGCATTGGCCAACGCCTTAGGGCTCTGTTCTTGAACTGGAACCAAATGGAGTCGGAGAAAGATACGAAGCTAGTAGTCCAACGATTGCTTGTACACGGCTCCATTCCACAGGTTTGCTATAGCTATGGCATACTGGCGAATATGTGTGGATATTGCTTGTATCATAAGAGAAGGTGTAGGTGGGTGATGCAACTGGGGATATTACAGAATATTCCGTGAGACTGAAGCCCAATGAGGGTACTGTCCTTCCTGGATGACCAACTGCGATGACGAAGATTCAACCTGTGACCCTCGTTGCTGGGCTGACAGGATGTGTGTGAAGAGCTTGAAGGCGGTACTGTGTCAAAAGGTTGAACAAGCCGTTCTTCTAGACCGTGTCATCAGTGCGACCTTCGATTAGTGATTGAGGCGCCTCTGTAATAGGCTCAACTCTAACGCTGGCTTTAGGAAGGTAATTGGCAGGTAGGAGTTCACTCATGAGGAAGGGGCACCTGACGATCCCTGCTGGTGAGCTGTATCTGACCTGGCTGTCATAAATGTCCCCATTAGCAATCTACAATGAATAAAGCAAGTAGAGATGAGTATCTCTTTCCTCTCTAAGGGCTTCAGGCCAGGCATCAGAATATCATTAATCAACTGTTATTCATGGTAAACACGGTCTTTGTACCAGCACAGAGATTTCTTTCTCCACATTGGTGGTTGCTTTTTGAGCTTGCTCCAAAAGGCTCAAGGCCCTCTGGTAGCCCGTGATACTCCCACTAGAGCTACCGTTCAAAAGCTCATTACGCATGATTTGCTTTAAAGTAGCCGTGCGCGTGCGAAGCTCTTTGTGCAAATCACCATGATCATCCACCATTGCCACTACAATCGCCACCACCCACATGGCCACCATCTCTATTGCCTTCCCCATCATCGCCTTCAACATCATCGGCTCGTCCTTCGCCTTTGATGTCCATCTTCTTTCCCTTCTCCACTTTCCTTTTCTTCCTTTCATCTGCCTCTGCTTGCTTTCCCGCTTTGGTTTGTTCAAGCTGCTTTTCCAGCTACTCATTCCAGCTCCTCATTCCAGATCATTTTCATGTTGCTTCCACCGCGCTGTTCTACCTGGCCTTGTTATCCTGAGTAGTTCCTAGCTTATGCTTTAACGTTGTCATTGAGGGTTTTTTTTTCTTTTTTTTTTTGTCCAAATCTTGTACATTTCCTTTTTTATTCGTTTCACGGATACGAGCATGACCAGTTGAACAAGCGGTTGAAGTGTCTCTTTCCTTTTTGTAATGTAGAAACGCAAGGCATCTCGCTGTGCTGGTACGACGTTTTTTTATTTTCGACAAATCGAATCAAATGGGAATCAAAACACAAGTATTTTCCAAAAGAACCCCAGAAGAAATAAGCAAACCTTACTTTGGTGACCACTCCATTATCATGCAAACACCAATTCTCGCCTTCATCACGACTATATTAAATCGCTAGAAAAGACACCCAAACACGTCGGTATATATTTATCTCGCTTCTGTTGTAGTTTCGTATAGCACGTTGTAATCTGTGTTTCTGTATGCATATATTTTGTCGACTATCCAATTCACACACACACCAAAAGTTTGCCCCCTCTCTTGCTCACAAGATCACCAACAAGGCACCGCACAGCAAGAGGAGGGTGATTAAGTAGCCTTCACTCCAAGCAATAAACACAACCAATAGTGCCACACCTATCTCCTCCATTGATGCCGGGACCTGTGAGCCAACGAATGCCTCTGCTTTAACGCAGATGTACTGGAATTGCTGAAACAACGAGCGATATCTGAATATATTCTCTGATAAAAAAGAAAAGAGACTTTTTTCTTTTGTTGTTGCTCTTGGCAAGGATTTAATCACCTTCTGTTTCAAAGCCGATTCCTACACACCGAGTCAAAGAAAAGTTTTTGACAGACAAGATGAGAAGTAGAGTAAGTGAGAATAAGATGTAGGTCTACATACCACATCCATGGGGCATTTATTGAAGTTTTAAATTTATCATATTCATCAGAGCATGTTAAAGCATAGCTACAAGCCTATGTGCGAGTAACATAGAAAGAGCGTATCCATGGTAAGTGTTTTCTAAATGTTCAAAAAAAGTATAAAATGTACGCCCATTAATACAAGATGTGTGTCCATAGGCTCAAGAAAAGTATTTTCTTTAATCTTTTATACAACGGATGTTCCGTAAAGTATGCAACATCTGTCCCCATCCCTCCATCCCTGTGCAAAATTATATATTCTTTCAAACCAGAGTTAAGTATTCGGTCTTGAACGTAACTCAGCCAAAGCATTAGAGCCAACCACGGTGAAGCCACGGTCTTGTGGCTCGTTATTCATAATGTGCTCAGACTGCTCTTAATTTTTTTTTTTGCCTTGCTTCGGGTTAAGAGAACGCGTTGTGCGCACGGTCTAACTAGTTAGCCCAATACTAGAGTCATAGATGTTCTCTTCATCGCACACTTTCTCACATAAATCTCACTCTGTTCAAAATACACAAGTCATCAGTGTAATAACAGGAACATTTACATCCTAAAAATCATAATGTATCATTTTCTTTTTTTTCTTTTTTTTTTTTTTTTTTTTTTTTTTTTTAACGGTGCTCCTTTTTGCCATTCTTTACATTCTTCTTCATCATTCTGTCTGTCTGTCTCCTCTCCCGGTCCTCTTCTCTCCTGAGTAATCATTCGTCATTGACACCTCATGAACATCCGCAAGGTTTCTTCAACCTTGCTCCCCTCGTGATTGTTCAATCACCTCTGTTCCCTTTACACTTGTGCCCTCTTTCACTCTTCTCTCTTCCTCCTTCTTATTCCCTTTCATACAATTGCCTTATCACTCTAATAAAATACCCTAATCCTAATTCTAATCCTAATCCTAATCCTAATCCTTCTATGGCCATGTTTCAAGGCTCCCCCCCGGCTTCACCACCTTTGCCCCCAATACCATATGGCCAGGATAGGCGTCCATCCTTCACTAGAAGCAAGAGCCAGCAGATGTTACAGGACCCTGCTCGCCACTTTAACACAGTTAGTAGTCCAACCCGACAGCGTCTTCCACTCGAAAATCCTGTAAGCATGCGTCCACCCTTATCCTTGCCCATGAGTTCCTCTCCACCACCACCTGCAACTGTCTATGGCTCTGGTTCATCGGTTTTTGCCGCTATGCAAAAAATATCCACGCGAGATGACATCTCCTTTTGGTCTACGCTCTACACACAACATCAAATCCATACGCGTCAGGATGATCGCAACTCGCAGGACATAGTATCGGCTGCCCACGCACCGCTCACAGAGAACCATAGGAAGAACCAGGGCGCAATCAAAGTTTTGCAAGTGTTAACAAAGACCATTTCGGAGAATATTGAATACAGCTACTCAGACCGACAAGACCACGTCCATCCACACTTCCACTTTGAGCGCCTACCTATTAAGGTCCAAACATCAGCATCAGCATTATCGCCGCATGGACGACCTTTCTCTATCGTGATTTTCTTTACAGTGGAATCCATGCCGATAACGTTGTGGTATGTGGAATCAGTCTTCACTCAGTCTGCAACTATTCATGAGCATTTGGAACTCATGGGTACTTTTCAGCCCAATGAATCGAACGACCCCACTTCATTCTACATTTACGAAACACATGCAATCAACATTGTGCAGCCTACGAATGAAGACACAATGCTTGACATCCGTATACAAAGCTCTGCTGGAACAATCTATACCAAATTCTCTTACACTTTTATCAGAGAGCCGAGGCATGGCGCAGCATCTACAATTTCATCCTCAATATCCCCGCCTCAGTCTCCAGGAGCAGGATTAAGCAGCAGCAGCAGCAGCAGAAGCGCCAGTGAGGATATTAGCTTCATTGGAGAAAGCTTTCGGAATAAAGGACAATTAAAAGTATCAACAGCACAATCACTCATTCAAAATGTATCATCATCACCGACACCTCAATCCCCTTTGGATAGCTATGATATGGTTGAACCAGGATCGACAGTCTCAATAGGAGATATTCCTCAACAACAACAACAGCAACAACAGCAACAACAGCAACAATTCCAGCAATTAAAATCGCAATCGTTTCTTGAAGTGAAGGATGAAATAACCACATCTTCTCCTTCATTAAACAATCCATCGCTCACTCATCAGAGCATACACAAGCCTATACCAATGCCTATACATTCACATATCGAGAATAATTCGGGAGGCGAGGAAGACGACCAAGAGCTGGCTTCCATTAGTGACTTTGCAGAGGAGCCTGATGTGGGAGAACACTTCATGCAGGCTACTTCCGAGTTTTTCTCCAAGGTGGGGTAGGTGTTTTTTTTTAAAAAAAAAAAAAAAAAAAAAAATTGTCTAATTCATAGAGATCTGATCTCGGGACAAGGACGTAAAAAGTTCAGAGTACCAATTGTTGCTTCTCTTGACATCGTTACTGACTTGAATCTCATGATATAGATACTGGATATACAATTCACGCTTCGGTCAAATCATTACACGGGAGGATCGCTTGCGGACGAAAACTTCTTTTCAAGGCGAGGATATTTGGATTTTGGGAGTTTGCTACAATTTAGAACGTTAGTAACTAAGACACAAAATGCCTCATTTAGTTCTTGGATCTACAATTGTGCGGACTTTAACACACCCTTTACTTCATACTCTCCATTTATTAAACTGAAGCCCACGAACCCGTATGTTCTTTGCCAGAGATATCACGCCCAAGGAAAATGTCGACTCTGCAAGCTCAGGCCATTGGTGCTCGCTCTGGAGACTCAAAACAAGGAACATCGATCAGTAACGGAGCTGAAGGTCACAGGGATACAAAACGTGGGTGGGAACGCAAAGTGGCGCATGTGATCGCCTCTCCAAGGATTGCAGCTGACAGTGACGCCGCAACTTTTCCTCACACAGTAGCACCTGATAATACAGAGCCAGGCCACAGTCAAATAAGTAGTAGGGAGCGTCAGATCGAAAAACAAAGAGAAAAAGAGCTGGCCAAAGCAAGGAAGACTGCTCTTGCTAGGGAGCGCGAGCTGGAGCGAGAAGAGAAGGCAAGGGAGAAAGCAAGGATCAAAGAACAGGAAAAACTACAGAAACTCAAGTCGAAGATTTCGCACTCTCACTTTGACCGCATCATCGTGCATAATGGCACTAAGGGTTCAGTGGACATTGGGCAATCAGAGCACAAAGGAAATCGAAATATTCATCCTCCGTCAGAAAGCGAGCGGAAGCCGCAGTCTGTACATGGATTTCATCACGAAGAAAGGCCCAATATTGGGCTAGGATTAACAACTCCCACAATCGAGCCCAAACCAAGTACTATTCACCGGATGAGATCTATATCAATCCTTCAAAAGATGCCAAGCGCAGCATTTGATCTTTTGTCGCAAAAAAAGCACAATATTGACCCTTCGCATAGTATTATTCCGGGGCGCGGTCATCAGGCTCGATCTCAATCTATATCCAGTATTTCCATGTTTTCTCAACGACCCGGCGGTATATCTTCTTTCCCCGGTCATGAAGGCCCCCGTAGAGGCCGCAAGAGCTCTCCGTCCCCTCCCTCGAATTTGAAGACATCTATGACTTTACATGGCGCAATTGTAGATAGCCCTAAATTATCCATGTTCTCTAAGCTCTCGCACTCCAACCTAAGCCAAAAAAAGTTACCAGACATCCCTCCTCAAGCTTTTGATGATATGCCTGAAGCGGTTGTATATCCTTATGACCAGGATGACATGGATGATCTTGAAGATTATACAATGTTTGCACCTCCTGTTCCAGAAAAAGACATCATTAGGCCTCCATCATCACCCACAAATTCTATCTTTGGAAAGAGACGCTTGACTATGCAAAGTGTATTCTCAAAGGATCCCAACAAGTCCTCCACTATTGGTAGCCTCTCAACACTCAAGACACTTGTTAATCCAAGCAGGATATCGCTCAGGCCTAAACCGGAGGATCTGGCGCCAGCATCAAGGTATCAAAATGGAGTGAACCCAGAGCCAGTGAACAACGGTATCCCTTTCGGACAAAGTGCAGCTGGAAGAGAAGGGTCGTCCCGCTCGAAGAAGGGCGGTGTAGCTAAGGAGGTGCAAAATTGGATTGAACGACGAATTTCCTCGAACAATCTTCATCAACAACACCAACAACAACAGCAAACACACCAACGAAATCAACAATATCAACAACAGCATCAACACCAAGTGTTTATCTCCTCAGCTGATGAACCCGTTCAAATAATTTCCAGAACGCTAACCTTATCACCACCAGGCAGCCCTATTCCCGTTCAGGTTGATAGCTTTTGCTCAGAAAGTCAGGATTTGGAGCGCTTGCAGGAAAAACATCATCACCAGCCGTCCCGCATGCGCAAAAAGAGTTCCATTTTCTCAACGACATCGTCAACCTCTAACACCTCCTCTCCAAAACCTGTACTCAAATCAAGCTCTCCTCAGAGCCCTCCTTCGAGTAAAGCGCGAAGCGTCGTTCAACCTCCTATGCACTCGACTAGCCCTCAATTGAATTACACTGATAACGTTTTTGCAGACCCTACACCAAATTCCCTGCAACGCAATGATATCTCACCTTTGACTGGAGAGAAGGAAATGAAAATCTATTCACATGATCCGCCCCACGATAAAGCTTGTCTTGAGCCACCAGTCCAGATAGTGGCTTCACACCTGGACTCTGACCGGGTGCGGAGTCAACCTAAAGACCTTGTTATTCTCCCCCCACTCCCGCCCGAATCACCAACGGAGACCTTTGTCCTGTTGAATCGTGAAAAAAACTCTTCCCTCTTGTCCCTAGAACATGACTCAGGAGATGCGGTCCTGGTTACTGTCACAAACTCCATGAAAAGCGCCTCCAATCCCAAATCCTCGCTGGACCGTGTCCGGAAGACAATCACTGATAGAGATCCTAGCTGGATGCAAAATCAGGCACTTTTTGATCAGCTTGCAGAATTCTCGAACAGCAAAGAACAGACTGTATCAGATCTTCAGTCGGAATTTGAGTTACTCTGGCCGAAAAAACAGGGTACCATGTCTGCTGTAGCCCAAGAAATTAATGACTTCGTCCATATTAAGAGTAATCAAGAGTCCTGCCTACCTAATTTACAGAAGGAAGAATTGCCTCAATATAAGCGGGTACAAAGCCATGAGATCGGATCTAGCTATGTTGAGGTGGAGAGTCCAAACCAGGAGATTGCTGAACTACAGTCAGAAGCAATACTGATGCTACAAAAGCAGAGGGCCCAGCCTGACCTTACTGAAGATATACAATGTGCAAGAATCTCGGGGGCATTGCCCATTTCGCCAGACGATAAGCAAACTCTGACTAAAGATCGACCCGTACAACCTCCACCCACAGTGCTCACGACAACACTTCAACCACAAATTCCACCATCCATAACTGACCCTTCCTACAACAAATCTTCGAGCGCTATATCATCGCGATCCCCTTTTTCAAATCTTGTTTCTCCGTTTGTCCCATCTTCAGTATTTAGCTCATCCCATTTTGTAGGCTCTCAGCCAAATACTTTAGAGAGAGTCAACTCTAAGGAGGAGGGGTCAATCTTTGAGCAGAGGATGTCTATGGATCAAGAAAGCACTGCAAGGAAAGACTTATCTCCGCTGCATCATTCTCCTGATGCACCTGCTCCCACTGCTTTACTCTCTACAAATCAACATATGCTTGTGCGATTCATGTCGGATTTCCAGTCTAAGCTATGGTTTACTTATAGAAAAGATATGCTTCGGATTGAGCCATCAGCTTATACTTCTGATGCAGGATGGGGCTGTATGATGCGCACAGGACAGAGTCTGCTTGCCCAAGCATTTGTTCATATCATTCTTGGCCGAGGTTAGCATATTCATTCGAATAGGATGTGTGCGCTTGTTGGCAAGCACTGATATCTTTAACTAACAATTTTTTCTTTTTTTTTTTTTTTTTTTTTTTTTTTTTTGCTGCTGTTCAATAGACTGGCGTTACCATCAACAACCGACAGAAGAAGTTGTTCAAAAATACTGTAACATTTTGAGTTGGTTTGCAGATGAGCCGGAACGGTATTACAGTATTCACAATATTGCTAAAGCAGGGGTGCATCTTGAGAAGCGTATTGGCGATTGGTTCGGGCCAGCTACAGTAGCACATGCTTTAAAGTAAGTTGGGCCATCATACTCTATGGCTATCTGATGAAAACACGAGCGAATCTATTCATCAAGCATTGACAAAAAAAAATTACTTTGTTAGACGAGCCTCGGAAAAGCATGTCAACTGCCCGTTGACAATTATGGTTGCTATGGACAATAGCGTTCGCGTGTCTGACATTGAGAGGGCAGCTATCGATGGGCAGCCCAAGATGGCACGGGCATCAATGGAAAGTGTAGGCCCAAACTTTTATGAACACCAAAGCAAAACTTCTGAGTCTACCAGCTGGAAACCTGTGGTAATACTACTGCCTGCTCGATTCGGCTTGGAGAAGCTGACAGAGCGATACATCAATAACTTGAAGCGACTTTTCAGGCTCCCACAATTCCTTGGCATTGCAGGCGGCCGGCCCGGTCGATCGCTTTATTTTGTTGCGAGTCAGGGTATTGTGAAAATCCTTTGCACTGTCGTCATTATTCCACTATTACATGAAACTTTGAATGAAAATACTAATTTTTCTTGGACTATAGGTAACGAACTCTTTTATTTTGACCCCCACTTTGTCAAGCCCCGGGCCACACAGGAAGAGCTATCTTGTTATCCTTCCATAGTACGTTTATGGTGACTTTTATTATTGTTATTATTATAGTTTAAATTTTTATTATGATCTTCTCACACTTTTCCTCGTCCTCTCTCATTTGGCTCTATGCATTTAGAGCTATCATTGTAACGTCATTAGATCGATGGATATCCTTGAAATGGATCCGTCAATGTTGCTTGGATTCCTGATCCGATCTGCGGACGACTTGGTCGACTTGTGTACCCGTCTAAAAACGGAAATGGAGCATGGATACCCCCTCTTGACAATCGTTGAAGATGTTGTCCTGAAGGACTACAAAGATATTAGCCAAAATGAAGACCTTCATATCTCAAGGCCCTCAAATAAGACACCTCAGACGATAAATCTGGTTTCTATCACCAATAATGATTTACAACCAGAGTCCTCACTTTTTGAACCCACTAGTGTTCATCATCCACAGGTTGATGAGGAAATGAGCAAGCCAGTTGCAGAGTTTTCGGCCGAACTGGCGTCTTGGGCTTCTGCTAAAGGCTACATAGTGGAGATAGAAGAGGATGTGAGGATAATTGTGAGTGATGAATGTCTAAGCGATTCTCAAGATATTTCGGAGCCACATAGTCCACAAGGCAAACCAAGCCCTCTAGACCCACAATCTACGCAAGACTGTTTTGAATTTAAGGATGATGCCGCCACCACTCTGGCCCAACACAAAAAACGCGAAATGAAGCGGATCACGAAGAGTTTGAAGAAGGAGCTGAGGATAAGGAGGAGGAAGAGTAAAGAGAAGAAAGCTTCTATGGTTATGGACTCATATTACCATGGTTACATGAGTCATGATGGCGGCTACGCTAGAGATCAGGACACGTTCTCTGTAATTAGTCTTGATTCGGACCTCTCTCTTTAGAAGAATCAAGCATTTTCTTCATAGAAGCTGTTATAGACTCTGTGTGCAATTAAGTAGATCAATTTTTTTTTTGCGAATAAGGTTTGGTTCCTGCACAATGGATTCATCATGACACGCGACACGAGAACTAGGGACATTAAGGGTATATAGGATTTATTCCGGGAAATGCTAAAGGCAATGTCCAAAGTCAGTTCCAGAATCTTGATTACTTGATTGATTTGGAATCATTCCAAACTTTAGTGTTCATACAATCGCACAATCATTATTCACCATTCATCAGTCATTCATTCCATTTTTCACTGAAATACACCATATCGTAATTCCTTTTTTTGTTCTGAAGTTCCTGTCAGTGTTGGAGAAAAAACCAATTGAAACAACCTTATAATTTTAACTATGTATTCAATTAATAACACAAGTAACTGTTGCGACGGTAAAGCTGCAAGACCAGCTCAACAACATAATCAAGGTATATTAATACATCATCACACCATACCCCTCAACTACTTGACACAACAATCTGCATAACACTATGTAAACATTACTGCACTAACTCAGCCTAATATCTGGACCTTCCCTTTTAGCACTACCTCTTAGAAATGTAACAAGTGTAGAAAGTATGAGACAGGGCAATAAAAGGGGACGATGTGAAACCTCAATGGGGTCTTCCTCTGAAGGTACATTATATCGCTAACTATGGACGCGTACCATACACTCTCACTATCATTAATACCCGTCTCTCTCTTTTTTTTCCTTTTGTGATTTATCATAATGGATCCGCAAGATGACAGGAGCCTAGGCGAACTCCATTTCTCTAAAAGTGCCAAAGTTCTTTTCGATGCTGAGTCAGGTTCGGAAGATGATATATCTGAAGAATCTGAATCTGAACCCGATTGTGACTTGGATGTCTTAGTCGGGAGACAGCAGAGAATAGCTAGTTTTAAAAAACCGGATATGTCTGTGTCTGGTAAGCTTGAAATGTTCTGATAAACAGACGATAACAGCTAGAATAAGTCACTAAAACGTGTATAAATTGCACGAACAATAGAGAAGTACCTGACCCTGCTTCTTTCCATGGTGGAGCCAGGTGTGTCAATGATCCATTCACAACAAGCATCAAGGTTGCAAAGCCTTGTAGAATATGACGACATTGGTGATAATACTAAAAAGCTTTATATCACATATTTACGGCTATTCAAGGTAGTGAATGGCTTTTTCTTGTGATACTGAGATACTTGTAAAATGAAATCAAAAGGCTTCTACATAGCAGATTTCCTTTCTTCATCCTTATTCTCCTCCTATAAATGTTATTTTTAATTGTATTAAGAAATATTGTGACCAGATCGATTATGGCAAGGAAGAATGCAGTCGCTATAATGTTACACTCGACAAAACTATTGGATTTTTCAGAAAAGTCATGTTCAAACGCCGGATCAAGAAGTTGCTCCGTGTATCTGGATATAAGGACACGGCCATCACAATTTGGCTCCCAACTAATAATAAGAGGCAAGAGGTTGTCCTGGATCTGAATGAGAGTAAGCAATAGATCACATTGATAGCTCATAGCTATTTTCCCCTTTATTGTTAATGTGTTAGGCTATGAATGCGTAGTAATTACCAACAAAGTTCCTCTGTTCCTCTATATGACCCTCTAGTCCTTAAAGATGCTCCGGTTGATGAAATAGGGAGAAAAGTACTTAATTCTCCATGTGGGAAAAGAACAATGGAGCAGGCATTAAAGGCTCTAGTACACCTACACAAAGCCCAGACGAGGCTAAAGGGCTTTAATGTAATAAATGATCTTAGATCCATCTCCGATTTAATCACGGAACATTGCCGGAAACTAGTGATGGCCACTTTGGAGCACGAGGACGGCGGGTTCACTGATCCATTGGGCTACAAGGTGTATACCGTAAGCCAACATATCGCATGCTTGTCGGATACATGGATGCAGCCGTTCGATACTCAATCGTACTGGCTGAGGGAGCATTTGGCTTTGGCCATTAGACACAGCATGCTGCTCAGGGATAAGGATCTCCGTGCACTTAACCTTTCAGATCTTTACATCAATATTGCCCCCCATTCAATGGGAGGGACACAGGTCCCTATAGTTCTGACAGCAACCCTTCATAGTGAGAAGGGCAGCCCTGACGGTAAGGCTTCGAAAGCGTGTGCTGTCCGCCACGAAGATGTGCGTCGGTGTAGCGTGGGGGCATTGGGGTTTCATTTTTTTGACCGCTTCCAGGTAAATATAAAGAGGCATTAACGACATTGTCTTATGGAATAAGGGAACATGGGCGTGGGCATCAATATGAAAAAAGAATAATGACTAACTTTTTTTAAATCAAAAGTACCGCAAGGAGCTCTTACCTGATTTCAAGGATCTGACATGGCTAAATATCAAAGTTCTCCAGGGACCGAATTCAGACAGGACTGTACCAATACCTTACTCTACCATGCGTCATTACACCATGCAGGTCTTTGACCGTCAGAAGGTGCAGTGCTCTCACATCACACACTCTGGCAGGCAAAGTGGTATCGAGGAAGCGCGGGGGAAACAAATCATTGGACGATCGCTACAACTTGGTGGTCAGGGGAACCATGATCTCGACGAGATAGAAGTTTGTTCTAGCCGTTGCGATCCTCAAAAATTTGCCTTTGGTATGGCAGGCTTCATAAAGAAGCCATTCCATCTCAGGCGGAATGAAGTGGAGCCTTCTCTGGAGCTTCAACGACAAGTGTTCCCTTTCATCGAGCTCGCTTTTGGAGAGCCTGGTACGCCAGGTTATGACAATTGGATGAGAGTATGTGATGGTGAAATGACAGAGCTCAAGGATGTTGCCATGCGGGAGCGTCCTGACCTTGTGGATATTGAAAATGAAGACTGCGATAATGAGGGCAATGAAGGAGCTAAATGCTGTGTATCCTGTACCAGTATTAGCAACGATCGGAAGATATCCTTCCTTAAGCTGCTCCTTCGATTAAGGAAAGTTATTTTGCAAGATGTGGCAGCTTACTTCTCCAAGTTCCCAGGATTTAAATCCTATGTTATGTCACATCCAGTATTCGCCGCCCCAGAGTTCCTCAGATTTAGGGGCGAGATGGCAAGGAATTTGGAGAGACCAGATGCCAGTTTCTCGAAAGAAATCTCTCCAAATTTCCTCCATGCGCTCACTACGGTATCTTTTCAGCAGCAGGAGATGCAAACAAGGATTCTAACCAACTTGGAAAAGTTTACAAACAATTACCAAGCCAGCTTCCAGAAACTCATGCAGAGTAACACTGCCTTTCAGGATACTATGCTAGATATGATGCAAAGATATCAACAGCAAATGATTGATCTCTTTGAAAAAAATTCATGGGCAAAACAAGGCTATTGTGATTCTTGCCAGTGCCCTAATTGTATACACTGGCGTCACTTCTCGCAATCCCCCCCTATTATCCAGCAAAACCAGATAAGGCCAATGGCGCCCACTTCGACGCATGTTCCAGCACCAGCCTATGAGCAAGGGAGACCATGGACATATCAAGGCTCGTCAACCTCTCCTCCGCAACCATACCAGTTTGCCTCAAGCTCTAGTTCCCGCCCATCTCCTTCTACAAGCTCTCGACAGGCATACTACCAAACCCACTCTTCAATAATCCAGACAGACGGGCAGTCCTTTCATTTTGGGCCCGTTGTACAAAGTGCCTCCACCATACCCGCGACATGTGCTTCAAGGCCTTTGAATCTCTCACATAAGGCCACAGATATTAAAGAAGACAGCGATAGCAACTTCAATGTTAGTTACGACCTCAAAACTGCTACCGATGTTTGGAATGAACAACAGGAATTCGAAAGGATAAAGACAAAGGATAGGCAGCAAAACAAAAAGTCTTTATTCCTTCAGGCTAATTGCTATAAACAGCTCAACAACAGAAAGCGTGTTGCCGAAGAGGTTCACTATCGCATAGATCGAGCACTAGAGGAGGCTTCAGAAAAGGGTACTGCCCTGAGCAGGGACACTGCTCTTCAATATGTATTGAGTGATCTCGACCAGATAATGAGCGCGAATAGGTGGAGTGTCAATCAGCTAGTTAATTATTGTAGGGACCAGGCCGGGAAGCGAAACGGCAAGGGTAAGGATATAGACAGGGAGAGTGGTTCGGGTGATGGCCCATCCACCTCTAAGGCTTTCGAGGACCAAGAGGCGAAGGAAGAGGACGATTGCTGAAGGCATGTTGCTTCTGTAAATACATCCTATGTATTTTGGTGATTTAAAAAATGTTGCAAGCTCTAATACATTCAATCCTTTCTTAGTTAATAGTGATGGGGGCCGTTCAAGCAGCTGTCTAAATTCCAGAATTTTCTGGTACTTCATTACTGTATTCTATGGCTCACATGCATGCCTAGTACTATAAATCCCACTATTTTTGCACCTTAGCTACTAGCCCCTAATACCCACATTATCAGCTTTATCAAAAGGAGGTTATTTCAGCTATGAAAAACTTTCTTCCCATCAGAAAAAAAAAATCGAACGAGTAAAGACGAGTGCTCTACGAAGATGCAAAAGCGCAACTAATGCCTTTCCGTCGTCCATGGAGAGCTACCACGCTAGCTTAATACAACACAATACTCAAAATACAGTTTCCAACATCCTTCACAAGTTTAATATTTACCTACACGGAGCAGATTACTCAAACTCGCAGAAAAAACGCAATTCAAATGTCCAAACTTGAGGAAGCTTCTTGAACAAGCCCTGGATATCAAGATAGGGCAAACTTGGCGGCTGGTTTGATTAAAGGGCAAGAGCATAGAATTTCGATGTTGCCGACTTTTTAAATTCACAAATGACTGGATTGTAAGGTGCAAGACTCGCCACAAAATAGACGGAGTAGCTCTGCTTTATAAACAGAGGTACGTAAAATGGGTCATGGTAATCTGGCTTTAGGATATATTTTTTAAGGTCAACTGACTCAAACCCTTTAAAAAAAAAAAAAAAAAAAACAGGTAGATAACTCACTTGCCACAAGACAGTCTGAGAGGTGGCATTGATTCAACGAAGAATTTCTATAACATTATGTTGCAATATTGACTAGAGACTGCAATAGCCCAAGTATCAATTGTGGCCAGTTTGAAGTACCCTTATAACTGGAACAAGGACTCCCGGATGACAAGCCTCATTTCTGCAAAATAGCGTTAGAGAATCTTGACATGGCGATGAGACAAGAAGACAAACAGGCTGTACTTATCCTTGACTTCCTCTGCAACCGACTCTCATACCTTAGGATGCCTCATCTGAGTAGGACTCCTTTTTCCCTCCAAACACGATCTCCGTAATACAGCCGTTAGGCACTGGTATTACCCAAGTCCCAAGGCCTATTATCGCCAAAGATGCAATGAATATTCTCCAGTGTTTGGAAGATGCTAATATGGAAGAAACCAGGCCATTTCCGAACATCAAGGACGATGGACAGCGCGGGATACATTTCGCTACTAAATACGCATTCACAACTGGAAGTTTGATGTCAAGGAGTGGGCGACTATAGACTACTTCCCTCGCTGCTGCAATATGCTACTGCAATATGCAAGGCGGTCTTCTATATCTTGCCAAGGAGCCTCCAGTTGGCCTGATAGCACTGCAAGAGTTGGGATGATTATTGATAGGCTCCACCACAAAGCCCCTATGAATGTAGAGCTTCTTGTTAATTACTTCGAAGAACATATTGTCGGCGGCTTTCTAGACCAAAGAGGCGGTATTGCAGGCAATAACATTGAAGCGATGAATCCAGTGATGAAGGCGGTTCTACCTGTTCAGCCTCATGAAACTAGCGGTATATTCTCACTGATAAATGCATTTATTCATCAGTAATAGGTCTATCTGGAAAATACTGAACACGTTTGAGAGCTGAAGGGTACTACAGATCTATTGAGAGCGGCAAATTCAGTCTAAAATGATATATGAAGACACCAATAACGTCCTACATCCATTATCCGAACAAACGACCCTTTACTGTTCCTCTCTCGCACACCTCATGCCCAACGAGGACTTCCGTTCTCAGGCTACACAGCTGTGCGAGACATTGATATACGGTTTAACAATTCACCCCTCTTCAAGTTTTGATGGTATGGATTTGAACAAATTGGCTAGTTTTTTATAAGCGTGAGCTAGATCTACAGGTCAATAACTCACTCTGTACTTAATAATCGGGAGCTTTTAATATCATCTGCAGTAACTGAGCAAAGCTTATGCTTATACGCGAACCTTGCTCTTACACTCCTCCACATACCAATCCATTAAGGTAGGACACCGAACCAAAGAGTCGCCAAGATATACAGAGTCGTGTTGGGATATTACGGCTCGCTGCCTCTCATTACTTCTAGTTATGGTTACATAATAGTGCTCCGAGACATGTCCACCAGATATGTTACACTATTGGCCATGAAAGCAACCCAGGTTCGAGAACTTGTTGATGCGTTCACCATGCACTACTTCCTCAGCTACGGCAGTTCCTTAGAAAATATTTTGGGTAACAGAACCCCGTTCACTGAATAGTATAATTGTCTGACGCAGCTGTCCCGTATAACTTTCTGCTTTGCACCAGTATACCGCCCTACAGCCCAATGGACCAGAAGAACAGTTCATGGATACACTCCAAAACATGATTACGGCTTACCTGGAGCATGATCATGGTAGCTGGGATTGACGCCTCTCCAAGTCCGTTTTTGCGTACAAAGCCCCATTTCACAGATAGGTACAGGATATGCCGTTTTTCGTCGTACATGCCTGCGAGCCTTACAACCTACTCAATGGAGACGATTTTATTAGTTTGGGAAAATGCTTAACGAGGGACATAATCAGCGACCCAATTACTTCAGGCAACTCTACAAGTCCCAAGCTGGTACCTGTCACATGGTCGGCGCCATGGCCAATTGGCTCTGCGGTCTGGTTATATACACCTCACGTATCACCCAATGGCCCATATAGGGAATTTTAAAAACTATGAATGGGCTTAGTGCAAGCGAAATTGCTAGAACTTAACTGTTAGGCCAGCAATGCTTTGCCTAATTTAACTGGCAAAAGTTACTACATAATATAAATAGCTATCTCCGTAGCTCTAGTCAGATTTCCTTCAACAAAAGATCCTTGACTTTATACCCTATATCATTAGTATTTTGCACCTAGACAGGATCATTGCAATCCGCTCTTAAAACAGTGAGAATTTGACCTTTAATAATGGCTGACGACTCCGCAATGTCCATGGAATGTATTTCAGATGACAGAAGAAAAAGTGTAATAAGCCGATGGGACTTTCATCTCCAAGGCAATGTCTGCGGTGGAACTCTGAGACCCTCCGAAAGGAGGGGCTTAAGCTTCTCTACCCTGTACAGGATGTTATTGCACACGAGGTAAACCTGTGTTTTCAAGACTCGTCAAAGGGAAGCCAGCGCTGGGGATCGAGATGCTGGAATGTAGCTGCTTGTTCTATCAATATCTTCTTCCTTCCCGACATAACTAACATGAGTATATGTACGGCAATCAGCCAAACAAATTATTAACAGAGAGTATATCATTGAATGTTTGAGGAGTCAGGTTTTGAAGGTATATCATATGAAGTTGGCTGAAGTCCCTAATAGAGTATCAACTGAGGAAGAAGTAGCACACCGCCTGTATGTGAATGAGTGATCTAAGATGGTATATTTGAGATGAAGTATGGACTGTGCTTCTAGAGAAAGAAGCATGCATATGTGGAAGAGACCCTCTGATCCCAACAACCTATAAAAATGAGTGTTTGATCGGTTCTGGATCTTTACTCTCTCTTCACTTCTTTTGCATGAGAACCGTTGAGTGCTGACTGCTCGTTCAGAGCTCCGTGTATATCAGTTTTCGTTGCGTCTTTTAAAGAATCTCTTATTTTATCATAATAGTTGCAAGCTTTCGGTTTCAATTACTACAAGCGCCGTTTCCTCCATCTATCGTAACTTCAACCCCATAACAATAATACCCGTGACATTTTGGTGACCAATAACAGGTGCAAATTGAACTCTCAGGCGAAATAAAGAAAGGTTTCGTAAAGAATTGCCACTCTAGAAATATACCAGAATTGAGTAAATTTTATGGCTTTACTATGGTCAGCCATTTTGATTAATACGGATGTGCTGTGAAGCCATGATCTTACATAATTATTATTTTCACGGAATTGCTTTTATCCATGACATTTATGCTAGACAAGAAGTCCATTTACACGCGACAAACGTAAAAAAAATCTTTGATGTTTCAAAGTAACCTGTCTCGAGGAATCGTGCAATCTATTAGATGTGTAATCAATTGCAATCTTTTCTCTTCCCTTGTCTTCCTACCCTACACACATGCCTATCCTCTGCATCCGCCTGCAGAATCAATAAAGCTTACAGAATCTGTTCTCCAGCAGAGTGACAGTTAAGAGATATTTCACATAATATCAGTATTTTCAAACCAATTCCAGTTTAATTTATACAGCGTCCTAACAGAAGGAAGAGCCAAACTATAGGCCGAACAAAAAAAAACAAAAAAAAAAAAAAAAAAAAAAAAAAAAAAAGTGGAGAAGAGAACAAGTTGCCATGCATTTTCGATCCCTGAAGATTGGACTTATCCTTGGAAGGTAAGTGATCCTATTTAAAAATAAATAAAAAAAGGCATGTAAACAAAGATGGAACGGCTAATAAATAGAGTTGGATCTTTTTGCTGATTAGCCTATTGCCGTGGATTGACGCAGCGGTTATCGAAGGCAGGCTCCTGGGAGCGACTTTCCGTGGTCAGGTAGTACAAGGTAACCACAACAAACGTTAATGTGCCTCACAACGGAGAAGGATCATAAATGCTAGATGGCGTACTAAATCATACGATTACCTGTTTGACTATTAGGTGTATCCATGAAGACAACTGTTCTTTTGAACAGGGGTCTTTATCAGACCCATATCCAAAGAGATGGTACATTTGCATTGTATGTTCTTCCCATTCACCTATTGTTCTGTTCTCCTGCTTAATGAATGAAAAGTGTTTAAAATTTTCCCCCTCCATTTCAATCATACATAGCCCAGATGTCCCTACCGGTGCTTATATTCTTGAGGTTCACAGTCCTAACCTGTCTTTTCCTAAGGTAATACACTACTTTAAAGGCTGAAAATTGTTATTTGAACACCACAACCTAGCTTTGCGATAATATAGTACAGAATGTTGTGCTATCACCTTTTCATATTCAGTCTCCTTAGACATCACCTCTCATTTCTCTGTGGTTTTAAATGAATAAAAATAAAAAAATAGGTGCGCATAATGGTGACCTCGCGCGACGTGATCGCCACACGGATCAGCCTTGGTGACCATTTCTCCAATTACCAACAGCTTCTTCCTCTGCCTTTAGTCCTCAGCCCAAGGACAAGACCAAGGAACTACATTGTAGGTTAAAGAACGCCGTCATTTTACCGCTCAAACATGTTTAGGCTAAGCAATTCACAAAAGGAATTCCTCCATATCCTGTTAAAATATTCACAGCTCTTTATCTTTTTGTTTTTAATAATCTAGTCTCCAGAAGGAGCCAAATTTGCAGGATGGTTTGCCAATCCACTGACCCTTATGGCAAGCTTCAGCCTTCTAATGGTACGATCTAGGCATTAATATTGTTGGCTTGGTTGCCTTGATATGGAATAACTATTAATTTGCATGCATGTCATTGTTTGTTGCAGTTATTGGTAATGCCCAGGATCATGGCCAACCTTGGTAAGCAATATGCCTCGTTATTTTTCCTTGCTGAAGCCTGCATATTCATCATATTAGCTTTTTATTATTTTTGCATTTAATAAGTATTTTCTCCTTGGTTCTCTAGACGAGGACGCGCTTCACGCCCTGCGACCCCCCTACGAGTTTGGCCGTCATCGCCATTATTCTCCTCAGCATCCTGCAAGGGGGTCAATGATGCATCCTCCTTGTCAACCTGTGTCCATGACATCCCATGTGCCGTTTCAACTTCAATATTATCAGCCTCAATTACATGTGGATGGAGCCCTGGATCAGCATCCCAGCAACGTCTTTCGTTCACCTACAGCAGGTTTTATCCAACCAACACAACTAGGAAATGTAGACAATACACATAAACAGCCCATTCCAATGCAGCCTAAAAAACAAAAATAAGAACAATATATCTATCTCCATCATACTTTTTATGCCTTTGAAAGCATCATTATTTATGATTTGATTTGAAATAAAAAAAAATAAAAAAAAAAAAAAAAAAAAAAAAAGTCGCTTTGCTCGTACATTTTTACAAAAGATTCATTTAGCTTGTTTCTGTTTCTGGGGTCACAGTTTCATGATCATGGTTTAAAAAGAGCCTCAATGCTTGTACCCATACTTGAATGCATAACGCCTGGGTTTGACCCACTCGATTACACCATGCACATTGATCTTGCCTCAGACGACGCGACAAGATCAAACAAGGCAAGTCTGCTCAAAACACCTGCGTGAAAAGGGCTTCCGGTGGCGTCAAATGCATTGACACAGCCTCGATTACGCAAGAAGAGGGCCCCGCATAGTGTAACGGCCCAGGGATGGAGGCCGGGAAGAGACAGTATCGGCAATAGAGGCGAAAAGTGAGGTATAAATTTGCTATAGCTTATAACCCAGAGAATAGTATCCAATATCAAGACGGTTGAGGCTTTTAGCACGACGTGGGGTCGTCTTCTGGGTGCGCGTGTTTAAAGCTTATTGACGAGTCTGAACACAGCATCAGGCTCCTCATTGATAAACGTACCTTCACAGAATACTATTTTCTCTGTTAATCATACTTTATAAGCATTATCAGTTTCACGAGTTTAGCCTGTATTAAATGTCAGGGCACTCTTTCTGCACCCATTTAAGGATGGTACTGACATCGATATGCAATGACTACTTTCCTTCCTAATCTCTCCCTCAAAATGGCAGCAAGGTCACTGTATAGTTTTCGATTTTCAATAGAATCTTGATATGGCGATCCCCTCTGGCCATATTAATTCGGACCAACTAACCGCATTTCTACATTTGAAACATCTTTCTGCGTTTTTTCCATGGCTTCCAAAAACTCGCCATAGTCACCAGGTCCTGTGGATTAGTCAGAACTGGAGGGCAAGTGTATATTAAATAGTTTGTTTGAGCGTGGGTCTACAAGTGCGAAATCCCTGATAATCAACATCGTTATTACCATCATTTTTGCTTTCAGACGCTTGTTTCTAGAAGCCAGCTTTTCGATCCTTTTTTCTTCTTTCTCTCGAGACTTTACCCCAAGTGTGGCCGCTTTCAACTTCATCAGCATCGCTCTCATTGGCAATTATCGTCATTGGATTACCCAATCGGGAATTGCAAGGTTCATTTGATTATGGCCTGCCATCATAAATTTGCTTATGCCCCGAAACAGTTATTACACATTCACAAGCTTCATCCTAATCCTAGCTTACTCATATGCAAGAAAGATTTGATAAAATATTGTAAAGCAATGCTCGAGGTATTTGATCTAGTTCCTTGCTTCGAAAGATACTTGTCTAAACATTTCATCTTCTTCAAATTGAGTATAGTTCGCTTTTGAGCTTTATCCGATACAACTGCGGAGCTACCCTAGCTATAAAAGTCATGAGAAGTTTGGAAGGGTGGACCTTGCGCTCTCAAGTCCCTTTTAGAAAAAAGAGCTCATGAATTGATTGCAAGTCCAGATGAACAGAAATATATACGTATATCCACCTCGAGAATGTCTTTCTTCATCGTAGGTAAACTAAAGACGAAAGCACGAGTATGCTTGTATTAAGCTAATAAGGCGAACTAGGATGAAAGAGAGCAAGGTTCTCAAAATAAACAAAACTGCTCAGCATGCATTTCAGGCCTGCATGCGATGCATACATGGAATTTTTATATTTTTATGTATTATTACTTCTTCAATTATGTTGCTAAAAAAAAAAAATAAAAAATAAAAAAAAAAAAAAGTCCTTGTTTTTGGCTCAACAATGTATAAGCGGAATATAACCAATGTGCCTGTATGATATGTTGTTTATTCGGTTACTGTAGTTTTGTACGATTACAAGATGAGGCACTTCTTCGACCTCTTGGAAGGTTGGACGGGGCAGAGAACAGCACGAATGGCCTCGTCAAAGACATTCTTCAAACCCTTCTGGGTCAATGCAGAGCACTCGAGGTAACGGACAGCAGCAATCTCCTTGGCCATCTGGAGTCCTTGAGGGTATGAAATAGGGACCATGCGCTTCTCGTTCAGCTTCTCCAGTGTGTCTTTATCCTCACGCAAATCCAACTTGGTACCGACGAGGATAGTGGGGACATTGGGTGCATGATGTTTGATCTCAGGAGCCCACTAGTTAACAGAGAGCAATCATTTTATCAAAATTGAATTAGCCGCTAGAAACAAAAAACATCTGATATAGTTTGTGGTTCAAGTCTAAAAAAATCCATGCTCGAAGAGTGCATCCAAGGAGTGTATCCATAGTGTTCTGGTCTGTTGTAGAGATTACGTTCACAACCATCAACCAGTCGTCATCCACTACCTCAAACCTCCCGCCGTTATATCCCCGTTTAAATTTCTGTAGCAGAAATCAGGAGGACTATGTTGTCATGATACCCCTAGCTTATCATGGGATTGCAAGTAATGGTCGGTGATAATGTAATGCTCTCGACTCGAAATTCTTGCCTCGGAATTTTTTTTTCTTTTTGTTTTGGGAATGTATGTGCTCGAGCGACTGTCTAGGTTGTTGCGTTTCACCCCAGCATTGATCTTCATAAGAAATAGCCCAAATAGAAGAAATAAATACCTTTGTGTTGACGTTCTCGAACGAAGGAGGGCTGACGAGAGAGAAGCAGATCAAAAAGATATCTGTCTGGGGGTATGAGAGAGGACGGAGACGATCATAATCCTCTTGACCTAAAGTCATTAATTACAAACAGATGCGATAAAACTGTTAGTATTCTACACTTCCTGTCCACCAATTCACATCTACACATCATAAATAACTGCATAAACAGTAGCACTTACCAGCGGTATCCCAGAGACCAAGACTAATGGGCTTTCCATCCACCATGATGTTGGCGGAATAGTTGTCAAACCTAACACCAGACAGTCAAGAAAATAAAATCAATAAAACAGAAAAAGATACCTCAATGAGCTACTGAATAGCCAACAGTATAAGGCCAGGCAGGCGAACCATGGAACTACATGGACCAGCTCCTATAAGGCCTATTGATAAATTTGATAGTAACAACTTACACCGTAGGGATATACTCTCCAGGAAAGGCATTGGTGGTGTAACTGATCAAAAGACAGGTCTAAGAGGTTACAGGCAAAAGCAGAGAAAACATGATAATATTAGCCACATAAAATAAAAAAGCTGGAGAGAAGGTTTGAGAGAAAGGCTTTCAAAGAGGATTGAACACGAGGACTGGGTGTGTGTTGTGTACAGAAAAACATTCAACGGTCTGTGGTTATCCTTACCTTTCCGACAGCACCATCTGAAAACAGAAGAGGATGAGATAAAGTACATGAAAGTATGAAAGCAAATGATAGTTAGCAAAGATGAAGTCCGTAATAGGGAGTACTGAAAGAATGGTCATGTGGATTAAGCATCAATAGTCATCATCTCTCATCATCCTCCCTCATCATTCTAATTGATTTTGACTTCATCATCCAGTTCGTCATCCTTATCATCATCCAGAGTTCCTGAAAGATGAGGAAGTATATGAGGTAGGAGCATCATCAGTAGGAATAATGCAGTCAGTCCATGTTGTTGATAGACCGAGATTCGAGTGATGACTTCCATTGCTATTTTTTTTTTCTTTTTTTCTTCTTGCTCTGGTCTTTTTTTTCGTCAGCGATAAAGCATTGACTAAAAGTGCATGGTGTATGGAGGACCTATTATATTTCTTGTTTTTGTTTTGTTTGGTTTGTATTGATTGTGATTTACCTCCGACGACGACACACTTGATAGCCTGCATGATGCACTAAAGGAGGGCAGATGGTGAAACTGGTTGTATGTATGAATAAATGTGCGTATAGGGTTAAGGTAAGAAGTGATGTTGATGGTGGCTGATCAGTAAAAAGAGAAAGAGAAAGAGGTGAAAAAAGGAGCAAAAGAGAGAAGAAATGCACGCAAAAGGCTGACGTTAAGGAGAATGAGTTTGTCAATGAAAGAGGCTAACTTTATACCCCGTAAGGACAACCCCATTGGATCCAATCCTGACCAATTTGCATGTAAATTTGAATAAAGTAAAATACAGTTGTAGTCTGGATGGTGAGTATGAATACATTTTAAGAAAAGGCTCTCTCGCATGCTCACAAAAAACGCTTTTTTAAACGCTGCTCTCTTGACTATTCGCCTGCCTGTCTCCTTCCTTTCGACCTCCGTCTGCTTTTTACAAGCAATATAAAAAGAAAACATCTCTTCATGTCACGCATGAGAATTCCCGTAATCCTTGTTGTAGTCCATCTGGTGGTCCTGATCATCCTTGCGAGAACATGGTACTCAGCACAGCCACAATCGTACATGGTAAATATAAAGTAAACATGAAGGGGATTTTTTTGGTGCTCTTCTGAATAGCTTCTACGACAAATTACTCCTTTTTTTAGCAAAAGTAAAAATTAGTAAAAGCTATTTAATAAAATAAAAATAAAAGTAAGATTGCACATTGACCTTCTATTGTCAACTTCTAGGATGAGATTTTCCATGTGCCTCAGGCGCAGCGCTACTGTCAAGGAGACTACTGGACCTGGGACCCAAAATTGACCACACCTCCTGCTTTGTATGTCTATCATAAGAATACTTTCTCCATATTAAAGCTAGATCAAACTTTTTTTTTCTTCGCCTATTTCAACTTACCAGTGTGCATTCCTTTTGATGCTGCTGATAGATATGTCATTAGCAATCTACTCCTCTTTGCCACTGGTCAACGTCCAATTTGTTCTACTCTTCTACTTCGACTCACAAATTTGATTTATCCCTTCTTGACCCTCTATGCCTTGGTTGGACTGCTCAAAGAGCTCCATCCGCGTCTTAATTACCAGGAACGCTTTACCGCCGCTGCAGTCGTCATTTGTCTCCCTACTCTTTACTTCTTTAACTTAATGTATTACACTGATGGAGGCAGTACTGCATTCGTGCTTATTTCGTGGCTGGCAGCCAAAAGGCGCCACCACTTTTTAGCAGCGCTGGTATGATATACCATTCTTCTTCAAATCAAGAGCTTCTCAATATCAAATGTATGAAGTGTTAGGATGTAACACTAACGCGTGAAAATTGAAATCTAGGGATCAGCTGTGGCCGTGACCTTCCGACAGACTAACATCATTTGGTCACTATTCATCCTCGGAACTACATTACTTGAACTTGCAGAACCAGAAGAACGTCGCCATTATGATCCCAAGGCCGCGTTCATTAGAACACCGTTACAGCTCGTCAACGCATTGAATGGCTTTATTCACATGTTGATATCTAGAATTCCAATTGTTCTTGTAATCAGTATTCCTTACTTTGGTCTACTAACAGCATTTGCTACATTTGTAAAATGGAATGGTGGCATTGTTCTGGGTATGCGGCATTTTTTCACCCGTGCCTGCTAATAACATTATAAAAAACAGACGTTTATCTATTCCTAACCACTTTTTACTGCAATATTACGGCTTTAGGCGATCGATCCAACCATGTCCCGACCCTTCATTTGGCTCAGCTACTCTACTTTTCCGCCTTCACAGCCGGACTATCCATCTTTGCTATTTTGGGCGCTGTGCCCTTAGCTCGGCTTTTACCAAAGTTTACGTTGAGGTACTGATCATTCCACGTAACACATTTTTCATGTTAAGTAATAGCTGTCGATCGGTATTTTGTCTATATTGCTCATCTTCATCCATTCTGCCTCTAGATCCTGGCTGTTCATCTCAATGATGACATTCACTTTAACTCTTTGTATCCGTAAATTCACGTAAGTTCTAATTATTAACAATAACATCAAATCTTAGCACCATTTGTAAATGTGCATTTATTAATCATTCTCTCCACTTACCCATTCTCTCTCGGATATTCTGGTAACTCAGGGTTGTACATCCATTCCTTTTGGCTGACAACAGACACTACACTTTTTACATCTGGAAACTTCTATCAAAGCACAATGGAGTTCTTCTATATGCCTTAGTGCCTTTTTCTATTGTAGCTGCATGGTTTTGTTGGCAAGCTCTAGGTAATGGCACTGCGGGTTACTTGATGTACCTCTTCTGGCAGCTAAACCTAATCCTATCCCTAACATTCTTCTTCTCCTCGTCCTTTTACCATCACTTTAGCCACCGAGCAAACCATACTATGGCTGGCGGTTTACGGGATCGCAACCGCACTGACACTAATACCCTCTCCTTTGTTGGAATTCCGATACTTCATAATACCATACTTGATTTACCGGCTCGCAATGCGCCAGCCGCGAGGAGTCTGGCTTGCACTCGAGTTTATAACATATACGATCATCAATGCTTTTACGATTTGGATGTTCTTGAAGAGACCCTTTCGCTGGGCTCACGAAGAAGGAGTGCAACGATTCATGTGGTAGATGAACTCCTGTCGTCGAAGACAACCCCTTTACGAACTCAAAGGGGCCATTTGTTTACTTAATATCGCTGTTGGACTAGACAGAACAAGAAAAGACCATCAATATAATGTAGTACTGTCATGTTGTAATATCTAATACATGCTATTATATTGCTTTTGCTTATAATACAACTCTATTGATCAAATAACTGCACAACGACTTTCTCTATTTCAGCTTTTACACATGACGAGGCAACATCTGCGGTGCCTTCTTAGTAGGTGGTGGCCTTCTCATCAAAATATAAAGCATCGCTGATGTCGCAATACAAAGCGAATACCTAAAAGATTGAAAAGAAAAAAAGAGAAATTAAGCATCCACTACTAAAATACATCATTTGAAAAAAAAAAAAAAAAAAAAAAAAAAAACTTCTCTTCATGTAGTTTAGCTACATACCAAGTAACGATATATTCTTTGTGATTATTACGAAGTTCTACAACTGGGGAACGTCCAACAGGAATGTTCTTGTCAATCAGTTCAGACTTGATCAAGTGAGCAGGAGTGTCTATAGGTGGCGAATAAATACTCCCTCGATCATTAGTTCGTGTTGAAGCTATAAAAAAAATTACGCCCTTCCTCCCGTAATGTGCGTACTATACCTAGGAGCGTCTCCACGATGATAGGTTGAGCGTCGGATCTCTTGGCCATAGTTTCCAAATCCAGAGAGTACCACTCATTCTTTTCTGGTTTATTTTCCGGCACAAATGATGATGCTTTTTGTTCACCAGATCGAAGAAGACCCTCTACAGTTACCTCTCCTTCAATCAAACCATCCTTCCGAGTCGATTGATCCTTCTTCTCACGAGGAACCCATCCTCGCCTTACAAGGATTTTAGATCTAAGGAATACAAAAGTAAATGCGTAAACATGTATATCTAGTAGCGCCTTTTAATAGCTAGTTTTCTTTTTTGTTCAACGCAAATATTACGCGTTAGGTCGCTCTAGTGGTGTAATCAGGAAATATCCTGGCTGTCCGTCACCTCTTGTCCTTGGCCCTAAAAGCATTTCTTCATCATGTCGATAATGTCCTGTCACTTTGACCTTGCGATACTCAAAATCCTCGATTGCATCCAAACTATCATCCATTCAAGAGAAAAAAAAAAAAAAGTTTGTCTTTGTACATTTCGAATATCTTCATCGCCTCGTTTTATCCAAATAGCCTTGATAGCAATGATGATTATGAAATGGGCAATCTATCATACTTGACTTTGCGCGGTAAAGGGATAGCTTCTAGCAACATCCTTTCTTCCAAGCTCTCAATCAGACCAACCTTCCAACGTAGTCGTTGGACCTGCCAAGTACCCAAGCCAAATGTGATGATAGGGCAAAGAGCTAAGCCAATAGTTACTGGGGTCCAACGCCTCCTGCCAGTTTGTGTTCGCGAGGACTGCTGCAAAGTACTGTAGCATACTTGTTCCTGAACAACATACTGTGGTCTCTTCCAAGCACAGAGTTGTTGGCGGGTGGATTTGAGCGCTGGACCTGCAAACCATGTTGTCAATGCTCGTTTAACGATAATTGTATCCCCATGGCACCGAAGTTTTTGCTGTTTCTGCAGTAGGGAGCGTGTGATGCTCTGCAATAATAATGCCATTGTGCTCGATGCGATCTTAGTCTTGAATCATTACGGTTACATTCAGTTGATGTGGAACTTTAAAAAAAGACTGTGACTGGTAAATACAATCTTTAATATGCAACAGTGGTTTACCCACAAATACTCTGCTATTCAGATTTAAGATTTTCTCTTCTGTCTATTCCAAATTGGTTGAGTTTCTAAATGCATTATAAAAAGATGTTATATTAGCGACCAGAATAGAATATGAATATTGCGACGTTCAGTATGTTCTGCACAGCTTTCAGTCCAAAATTTAAGAGTGTTTACCCGTTGTAGCTGACTTCCCTGTCCTTCTTCTTATATCTATGTCGAAAGGAATTAAAATGTATGAATTTGCGCTTAAAAGAAAGAATATTCCATTATTAAACTAGCAAGAAAGTCTTACGAATCAGATCTAGAGTCACGAGTCATATCGCTTGGACGGCCAGCACTATTGCTACCCTCATTGCCACTGCTTGCTAATGGGTTGTAATATGAGACAGTGGAATACGCACTTGAAGCCACTTTACCAACAAGACTAAGTGCTGACCAACCATATCCTAAGACTGTGGGGATTCCACCATCTCCTGTTCCTCTATAAGCTGAAGACGATTTGGTCGTTTTCTATTGAAAAGTTAAAAGCAATCAATGAATTAGTAATGAATATCAAAATTAGGCCCGTTTAACCTCTAATGTCTTGTCTAAAACAAAAAATACCCTCAACACTAGTGTGGCGCTAGGACAAAGTTCCAGATCACGAAGCATCCTGGACTCGTCTGTAAATGTACGTGGAGGGATCAGTTGGACTATGTTATAGGTGTCTTCATCCTCTTCTTGGTTCTAAGAAATGTCAATGATGGTCATGAGCCCAACCAGAGTCAGAAGCTGTATTATAATTCCCTTTATGACAATGGAGTGTATGTCTTTTAAGATTTACCTGATTGATCCATTCCCTAACTTGTTCCAGCGTATCGGTCGCCTTGAAAGTATGGCGGACGCTAGAACCATCAAAAAGTCGAATGTTGAGTCGACTGGTATCATATGCAAGCGCAGGGGCCGCATCGTTACGGGCCTGTGTTAGACTTGAATTTTGGGCATGGATATCAGCCGGTGTGAGAACTTCCTGCTCCGTTGAGCTTCCTAATGCTGCGGTGGTGACTACAGCAGCTTGGGCCTTTTCCTTTTCAGCTTTTCGTCGAGCTTTATCTTCCTCAAGCGCCTGTTTAACGCGTCTCTTGTATTCAGCCTCCTCCCGTTTGTCCTTCTCCATCTGATCCTTAATTTTCTTGCTTTGCTTCTCAGCCAACTCCCTTTGCGCCTCAGAAAGAGCCTTGGAGGAAGATCGTCTGTCTTTCTCGCGCTGCTTTGCAGCCTAATGAATCCCAAAAATAAATATAATAAGCAGCTTATCAGCACTGATCCTAATATTCGAAATAACCATTCCTGTATAAAGCTATTTTTTTCAATAAAAAGTCTTACTTCTAATTCTTCCTTTTCACGCTTCAGTTTCCGTTCCTTCATGAGCTCTTTCAGCCTATACATCATGATAAGAGGTAAATACTCCCAGAGCGGTTAATTTTCATTTCTTGGCAACACTCTAGGAATATTGTAATAAACGAGTCACCATCATTTTCTTACTCCTGCGCCTGACCAAATCTTGAATGCGAGCCTTCCACAATGGAAGATGGACTCGGCGATACGATGGCAGTGGATGTAGTAGTAGGTATCGACATCGTAGGAGTTACTGCTGTTAAGGACGCTGATGGTGCTGAAACAGATACGCTTACAAAATCGTTGCTTTCGTTTGGTTGTAGAGTTGTTGTGCTCGGCTCCGGTACCTGAGTCACTAGATCAGGAGAGGATGAGGTAGAAATATTCGCCATGCTAGTAGAAGCAGGCGTAGCAGTGGTACCTGGTGGAGGTGGGATTTGAAAATGCCCATCAACAGCTTTTTTGATCCTCTCTAGCATCTGGTCAATATCCACTGCGTTGTTTATGAAGTCCGTCAACAGCCCGTTTCGAATAAGATAGAGTGCAGGTACGACCATAATAGGGACTACCAGGTGTATCAAAAATCCACATTAGTAAGTCTCTATGAAAGATCGAAGGATGAGTTGCTGAGGCTAGGGTTAAAATCCTTATCTTCTTTGATAATAATGCTTACAGATCTGCCCAAACATCAATCCATCCGGCGAGTCCTTGATGAGTCGTAGCGAAATCACATTCATGTTTGATAGCTCTGACACGACTTTGGTATCCGAAAAACGACGTTCAAATTGATAACTCTCGCTCTCTTCGTTTGAATCTAACAAACAGAATTAAAATATTTGTCAGTTATGGAGCCAGCAAGAGTTGAATGATAAATTATCTTAAACAATTGAAAGCTACCTTGAACAAGGCAAACCAACAAGACTGAGTCCTTAGTTTTTGCAGTGTCGACAGCAGCTGCCACAGATCCCTCGAACCAAGGATTGATTGAGACGTCTGTATCCTGAGAGTCTAACATGTATTCTACCTGACTTTTATTAATATAAAAGTATGCGAGTTTCTTTTTTGGATAGTACCGTCTGTACGCTTTTTTCTGGTTAGTCACTTGAAGGATGAATGACAAGATGGAATGAAGAATGGGAACAAGAGACTTTTTGTTACTTTTTTATTTTTATTGCATGAATATTTTCTGACACAAAATTTGTACAGCAATTGGGCGCCCACAGGCACCACTCGAACAACTCAATCTAAAATACTGTAGTCGCAATGTGATCATTTTGATGGGGCACAAGGTTACTGACAAGTTACCCTTAATATGAGCTGTTACAGAGTAATGGCTACCCACATGTCAGAGCATCATTCTTCTCTCCACGTCCTCAATCATTATGACCACCAATCCTTCTCGTCCTCGCTTCTCATTACTCGACATTGTCAAACAATGTGACAGTTTTCCTTATGCATCTGATCCAAAGTTGAAGGAACTTTCGTTCCTAGATCTGATAGTGGATGACATTCCTATTGGGCGTATTCACACAACACTTGTTCCCCACCTTGAAACATTCAACCAGCAAACGCGACCAGTATTTCATATCACAGAGACGACTGTCTCTTTTATGCCTTGGTTATCTGACTATGATTCGCGCTCAGATGCTATTGCACAAATGCTGGTACCTTTTTTTGCTATTTAATTCGAAGAGGACTGATTCTCTATTCAACAACCAACATGGCTATTTTTTGCGTCTGTGTTTTTACTAGAATATCTGGAGATATGACCTGAAAAATTTCCCGCCTCTCTCTGGATGGAGAGATGAGTTGTATGGCGTGTATACTCATAACACAGATCCAGCTACGACTAAAGATGGTGCAGCTCTGGCGATCGAACGATCAGCCTGTGTGCTCTTTGGTGTGCACGCCTATGGTGTTCATATGAACGGATATGTCCGCACAGGGCCTAACCCATGGGATGTCCAAATGTGGATTGCCCGTCGATCTCTCACTAAGCCAACCTATCCAGGTATGCTCGACAACATGGTGGCAGGCGGTATGTGCTTTGGTCATTCACCTTATTACACTGTTATCAAAGAGTCCATGGAGGAAGCCACGATCCCGCCCAACGTTGCTAAGAAGGCCTTTTCTGTTGGAACTATCTCCTATATTAAACTAAAGGATGGAACACAGACAGCACCAGAGACTCAGGTAAGAAATATCTATGAACTGTCTAAATCTCGATATCTTCTTCCGCTAATTTCTCCTCCTTTTAGATTGTGTACGATCTAGAGCTCTCAAAGGATATCACACCAACACCCTGTGATACTGAAGTACAAGGTTTTCAATTGTGGACTATGGATCAAGTGCTGGAGGCAATTCGCTTAGGCGAGTTCAAACCCAATTGTGCATGTGTCTGCCTGCATTTTATGATTCGACATTCTGTCATCACCCCTGAGAACGAACCTGATTACCTTAATATCATTCAACGTCTACATCGTTACATTGAATACCCAGGCCCTAAAAAATGGCCAACCTTCAAGGAAGAGCCTCTTTAGACAACACAAATCCTTAGAATAATTACAATAGCAAAATAAATTATTTTATATTATTGTCATTATTTTATTGTTGTGTAAATATTGGGTAGCATTGGCAACGAATGCGTGTTGGAGGGGTATTTGGATTGGAAAGTTGATTTGAAGAAGGAAAGTATGATACAGCATTATACAAACAAAGGGTCATTTGCGTCCACTTTTGCGAATCGACAAGCAACCTTTTGTACATTTTTTTTTTTTTTTTTTTTTTTTTTTTTCAAAAAAAGAACTGAGCATGATTGATTAACAGTCCTCTCAAGCGTTGGGAGCCACAACTCCAGATGCCGAGAGTGAGGGGTTGGGATTGATGGTATCAGCATTGGTGGTGTCCGAAGTAGTGTTACTAGGCGCCTTGCCACCATCAAGTTCTTCCGGACCTAGTAAACCGCGGGCCCGGTTCTTGACGATCAGTAGACTCCTTTGTTCCAGCATACGCTCAAACACATCTCGTACAGTCTCCGTGATCGGTTCAAGACTCTCTTCCTCCTCTGCTTCTTCCTCTTCTTCCTCCTGCTGATCTCTATTGGCATCCACCTCTTCTTCTGATGAGGCCTTATAATTGCTATCCTCGTCCGTTACTGTTTCCAAATCAATTTCTGGATGGTCCTTGTCATCTTCCTTAGTCTTTGCAAGAGAGAGAGATCCTGCCTCAAAGATCTCAGAAACATCACTAAGGTCTTGCTCCAAGGCCTCTTCACTCAAATCTGCATCCTCCTCCAAATTCTGCTCTTCGCTAAGAGCCTCAGACTCTGAAACTTCGTCTTCGGGGGCTAGTTGATCTGTTAGTGATTCATCGCCATCATCTGCCTCTTCGTCGATAAACTCTATCTCTGTAGCGCCTTCATCTCCTTGATCATCGTTAGGCTCACTACCTTCCTCTTCTGGGCCCTTATCGCCAACAGACTGCTTCCAGGTATCCTCAGAGCCATTGCTAGGATCCGAGTTTACTTCACTATCCTGCAGTGCCTCTTCAGTAAGGCCCTGGTCGTTCTCATATTCCTGTTCTTCAGCATCATTGTCAAAACCAAGGGATTCTTGGTCTGCGTCGTTATCTTGAGCGAAGTGTCGCTTGATAGGTAAGTTGTCTTTCATATCGTCATTGTTGCGCGGAGCATTTTGATCAGGGTGCTCCTCGGGATCTTCTTCATCTTCGTCCTCTGGAACCGGAAGAGGTGTTGTAGCACTAGGTGGCTGACGCGGACGATAGGAGGATGTCTCATTCACGATTTTATCAGCATGCTCAGGATCAAGCACCATAACAATCTTTTTGTAAGTTTGAAAACGCTTTCGTCCTCCCATGAAGTCTCTTCCAATGATACTACGATAGATGGCTGCAATAGCTTCGGCAGGGTTTTGCCCAGCATCTGCTCCATGGGGCGGAAGAACGAGCGCATCATGTCCTGTAAACGAATACAATTATTTATAATGAGCAACCAAGCCGAATATAAGAAGCTATCACTATTGCACAATACGCGCGGCATCAATGTGATTTACCTTGACTAACTCCGACTTTCATGGCAGCCAGAATCCTTCGGCGCAAGAGGTCATCCTCTCCTTCGAGGAACTGAACTCCACCAAGCCCACCATCTTTTTCTTTGGTTTCCATCTTTGGAATAGGAGACACAGAAACTACGCTGATCCATTCAAATCGATCCATAAATTCATAATCGTTGTCCCGGCCGCGACGAAACACAGCCTGGTTTGGGCAATAGATCCCACCAGAGTCTGAAAGTGGATAAAATCTGCTACGTCGTGGTTCCTGATCAAGACACTGATGAATAGTAGTACGGCGGAAGAGATCAGCCTCATTGTCAGTTGCAGTATCAAGATGATAATCTATTTTTTTTTTTTATAAAAAAAAAAAGTTAATGTTCGTTTGCATATAAGAAAGAATAAAATCTTTTTTGTAATAAAATACACTAAAAGACGTACCACCTCCAGGAACGATGCTGTTACCAACATTGAGCATGACAGGACGATAACCTTCTTGTCGAAGTTTGACGGTTTGATCTAGTACGTTTCCAACCACGACGGTCACCTCTGGATCCCACTGCATATCAAGGACGAGTACATGGACATCGTCATTTTGATATGTGCTTGCACGGCGCGACCCAGCCATGAGTTTGACAGGATCAAGGTCAACAACAAAACCATTAGAGTCTTTGTACTGCTTCTGTGCTAGCGCATGTAGAGTTTGGGCAAAGATCGAGTCAGGATGCAGATCGCGTCTGTTGGGATGATACTGTTGAAATCGAGAAAGAGCTGCTGCTGCAGTGATTGCTGCACTATCGCCACTATTATGGCTTTTCTCGTTTGACTGGATGTGAAAAGAAGGAAAAGAATGTCCACGCTGTTGCTGCTGCTTGTTTCTCCAGGCAATACATTCCTGAGAAGCATAGGAGATGGATGCCTGATGCTGGAGTGAAGCTCTGTAAGCCGAAAGAAGTCGTCTTCTATGTCTGAGTTTGCGCTCAATGTGGCGATAGAGTGCAGAAGGTGACTCGTTGAGGACCGTGCTATCGTATTGATGTTTTTGTAAATGATGCTGAATCTCGAGAGAAAGTTCAAATTCAAAGTCGGCCTCCTGTAAAGCGCGCTCCTCGCGTGTGAGAGCTGAAGAGGAATCAAGGGCGGATGCGGGAGAAGGAGGAGGATTAGCACAGTCAAGTCCAAGCTGAAGATCGTTTTCTTCAAGATCTTGTTTGATTTGTGCACTCCTACTGCGAAGATGCTGTTCCTCCTGAAGCTGGTGCAACAACAGACCAGAACTTAAACCGCTATCACTATTGCTTTTACGGCCATATTGAGAGGAGGTGACTCTGGAGAAGGTGATAAGTGATAGCAAGAAGAGAAGGAGCAACACTAGGACAGACCAACGCATAGGCATTGCCATGGCTGGAAAGGAAACAAGGTGGGGATGTGTACGTAAGAAAGAGTGTGGACCGGATGAAAGAAGTCTGGCAATAGAGAGAATGCGCCTTCACTGCAAGGCAAGAAAAACGACACCCAAGTTTAGTAGAATGAAAATAGGGTTAAAGGATGAGAGAGAAAGGAAGAGGGTCTTTTGTTCCTGAAAAGGTGGAAGGGGTCGTTCAAAAAGAGACAAAACGGAAGAATAGAAAGAAAAAAGAGTGAATGGTAATCCAATCCCCAAAGAGCAATCTTCTTTCAATTCCTCATCATCTTTTTTTTTTTTTTTTTTTTTTTTCCTTTTCATTGCACGGGTAAGCGTTAGTAATAATGTTCATTGACTGAACTGGATACAGTAACTGGGATGCAAGCATTTGTCCATTTGTCTGTATTTCCAATTCATTCAAATAAACAGAAAATAACAAATAAGCTATTTTTTAGACTAACAGAAGAAGACAACACACGAAGGGAGACAACTACGACGACATTGGGACATGAAATGGGCTCTCTCTTTTGGCTCTTTCTTCTTTCCTCGGTTCTTCTCTTTTTTCTCTAAACCCAACTGAAATGTTTGTCTGGGCTTTTTTTATCTCCTACACCTTGGCCTTCTCGGTTCTTATGAGAACGATTTTCAATCAATACAAACACCAATTGTTTTTACAAATAATGCCTCGTATTCACTGCAGTATCACGCCCACACATGTTCTCGCAACTGATTCCTGCTGGGCACCCTTTTACAACCATCTACATACACGCATGCAGTCACTGCATCAAGATCAATATCAACAACAATATCAGAAGAGCATTCTTATTAAACACACCAGAAATGCAAACAAGAAGTATACCTGTCCCTTTGCTGTAAGCAATAATATCCTTTGTCCTTTTGTGCAAAAAATGGCTTCAACTGTTTTCTGTAAACATATACATGTGTACATATACTTCATGAGTATAAATACACAGTTTGGATCGACCAATGCTGTGTAAGCAAAAGAAAAGTTATAGTTCAATTAAACTGGAGTATAGTTGGGCACTCTGCTCGCTTAAAACTACTCTACAGCTGAAGACGCACATGTAGAGATATATATATATATGAACAATGAAGGAAGAAAAATAAAACCATCCGGGCTCTTACCCTTCATGGCTCAATTCATTGGCACATTTGTGGATGGATGCCCTCAACCTTGTTTGTTTGGACAATCAGTTTTTTTTTTTTCCTTGACTTCTTTTAATGTTATCTAAACGATCGATATCGAGATATTGAGCCACTGCGACGCCATAATATTTTATGCTCTGCACGTCGTTCAGTCTTACTTGGATAGACAATGTACTTACAAATGTAGTATATACTTCTTTCCTCCACTCATTCGCTGGCCATAGGATTTCCTTATTGCCTTTCCCAGTAAGTTCGCTGACATGACTCTCTCTTTTATCTGCCTATCAAGTAACCATGATATGAATACCATGCTGGAGAAGGAAGCACATAGGTATGGGCACAGCTAATTAAAGGGCAAATTGTAATAAAACCGGTTCAGGATACACTGATGCTCTTCTCCTTTATGAACTTATACATAGAATTGAACAATGTATTTTACGATATGGTTCTCGCTATACGACAATTCTACTATTCATCCAGGATGGCCACGTGTCCTGTATCCAAGCTCTCGAAGTCTACTTGTAAATTTTCTTCTCCAATTTCAATTAAAAACCACCCTCTGATTCGCTATTGTTCTGTGGTAGATCCCGACTGAACCACCTGAAAGCACCCAGACAACTTTGATTCCCTTTTTTAATATTACATTCCAGCTATATTTTAGTCAAACCATCAATATCTTTTCGCTATTCACCTGAGGATATCGTAACAAAGTATATATATATAATGATTTTCATCCAACATAGGCTTAACAGTGTAGCCAAAGGGCCGATGCTTAAAGTAACAGCAAGTTCATCAGCAATATTAAAAACTGCATCGAATAAAACCGCAGCCGAAATCATAGCCGAAGACGGGGCATCTTCATTCAAGACTGATATCCCAGGTTTCGTCGTCTGCCACTCTTGTCAGGATGCAATAGAATATGTGAACCATATCCTTGACCTCGCTCAAAACATGTCCAGCTCTGTGACACCATCGTACGTTGCCTCGCAGCAACGCTGTATTATAGATACATCTTCTCAACCCATCAGAAAACAGGATCCCTGGTCAATATGGCTCACTATGGCCATATCGATTCAGCAGGATTCAATCCTGACTCCCTATGGTATATATTATAACAATGCTATGCCCTGTTATTATCAAAAGGTAAAAATATACTGATTCATTTTTTACTATTCTAGATGGTGCACAGCTTAGGACACAGTTGTGTAACATTCAAAACATGTCCTTGGCCACATCGCTGCAGTATCGTAATGACTGTTGTCTGAATGATTCAGTTGCTAGATCAATTGAAGCATTCTTCGAAACTGACCAACCAATCTAGGGCACAGTTTATTGGTGCATCAGTACAAAACCCATAGTTTAATTAATCATATCACAATATGCTTAGCTGACACCAATAACGTTGTGATGTTTGAATGTTTTCTTTTTGTGTGCGTCTGAATGAGTGGGTGAACAGGGGTTTGTTGTCTAGTCTCTCTTATCATGTGTTATACTTTACAAATCAAAGAAAATAATCATAAAAAACAGTGAGAAGAATAATAAAAACAGAGAGTAAAAACAAATGGATGAAGGGATGATGATGAAGACTACAATATCTACAATAAAGGAGACAAGGTAGATCTGAATTAAAAGTTAAAAGAGAGAAAAGACAAAAGACGATAATAATAATAAAGTTGAATGTAAATGAGACACATATAGATCACAAGTTCAAGAGTCCAAGAGTCGCGATTCGTTCTTTTTCGCGCTCTTGATGGTCCAACCATTGTGTAATAGCTTCCTCAGCACCATGTTCACGTATATAGCGTTGAAAGGCTTGAAACCGTCTATACTCCTGCCGCTCTATCGGATCTGTTAGCTGATCCAAAACAGCCTTTTGGGTCCGCTCTTGTCGTACATAATCTGGCTCATTCTTTTCTTGATGACTCTGATATTGATTCGAGGGCTCCTCCGCTGGTGATGAATTTGAGATATGCTCATTTGCCTAAAAGGATCCCATGGGATAAATGATAAAAGATTGAATTACTCAGTCCTATGCTTCCATTCAATATTGGGCGAAGGATCATCGTTAACAAGTAAAGCGTTACCATCACTGCTGCAACTAGTAGGTCGAATCGCAGATCAGATGAGCCTGTTGCTTGAGTTCTGGCGGTTACTCCTATCTGCTCAAGCTTAGCTTCTACAATAGATTCTCTAGCCCTGCATTGACGACAAAATAAAGTATTACTAATCTCTTAGCTGAACTCTATTGCCAGAAAAAAAAAAAAAATGCCGTGAAAGGACCTCACCTTTGACACTTTTCAATAAAGCTTTGCTTAATACTTCTTTCAGGTATCCTGTACAAGATTCCGCTTGTGTCTGTATCCCATATTGACTTCTTTCCCGTCGATATATCCTGATCTGACACTACTTCAATATCCCCGTCATTAGGTGCATCGGGATCGTCCAGTTGAACAGGTACTGCATCTCGCCGTTTTCGCCGCCGTGGCTATCATTCCCAATAAGTTCAATAATAAAGCATTATTTAAGATTAGTAACCTAATTGGGTCTAATAAAATACAATTAAACCATACAATGAATCAAGCCTCACCAAAACATGCTCAGCGTGATTCGGACAAATCCATTTGCGGGTTGTTGGTGGAGGAGACGTCATTGGTGGGGATAAGCAGTCCAGATGCCAATGTAGTGGACAATGATCGCAACTTATCATCCATCGACCATTAACTGCACTCTTATTGCAGCTGTAGCATATTCGAATGTTGCCATGGGTGTCTTGTATCTGCAATGCCTCTTCCTCTGCCCGTGATATATATCCAGTCGCCCCATTCGAGCTGCTGCGCTTTGATTTTGGTTTATGGTCCACAGCGTCTTCGTATTCCCCATCACTGTTTGCAATGACTGCGATGATGCATAAAATCAAATTGTAATGGGGTTAGACAGTTACGTGATATTACTCATGCATGTACGAAGAATTCCATACAACTCCGATGCTAGTCGTAAGCCATTGGATACACAAAAAAAGGAGATTCATTTTGTAACAGGGATGAAAAAAAAAAAAAAAAAATGCTGTGAATAAGTTACCTCCTTTGAAAAAGGACCGTATTTCTCCTGGGAGACTAAATGCTTTTGGGTTCTTTCTATTCACATTGTCCATCAGCTGCTTGAAAATCCCTGGTTGACTAGGTGGAGGTGGATCCTAGCAACCACAACATACATGCGGAAGAAATACAATGAGAAAGCTAGAAATAATATCGAGCAAATTGAATTACCATATAGCCTTTTATAAGGAATTGCAGCAACAACTACATCTTATATCTATACCTTTACTGCGCGGCACTCATTACAGTTCCACTCATCTGGAAGATTAAGCGAGTCCATAGGAGGTTGACAACATGAGAAGTGAAAAGCTTTTGGGCAGGAATCACAGCAGATAAACTCCCCTAAACCCATACATGCCTCACAGTAGTCATTATTGTACTATGAAAAAGGTGAGGTTGGTTAAGCTGTTATGCTTCTTCTGCATCACTCAAAAAGAGCTGAAACCTTCTCATACCTTAAGAGCGAGCTCGTCACCTGTTATGGAGAGAATGTCCTTGGATATCATATTATTTTTGGTGCTAACAGTAAAAAATCACAAAAATAAAATAAAATAAAATAAAATAAAAGTGTCAGTCTGGTTGTGGGTGCTGAAAAACTACAGTATATATGTCCAATGATTCTGGAAAGTCGGGACAGGCTTACGGTTTTTTGCAACTAGTAGCACCTTGTTTTGACCGTTTGATTTCGTCATCTATTTTCTTTTTTTTGACAGCGCTATTGTCAGGGGTCCTTGTCCGCTTTCTTGAGCTAGTGTCCCTTAAAACCCTGGCAGAACTAGGTCTCTTAACCGCCTGTGGACCAGAGTCTACGTAATCATCATCCTCATCGGTCCGTGGACTGGAGTATTCTTCATCCACCACGCTGTGGCCGCGCTCTAGGGATGTAAGGGACTGATGTGACGATGACTCTTCTTTAGTTCTAGTGTGACCATTGCAGGCTGACCCAGGTATTAGAAAGGGGCACTGATCCGACTTTTTTGTTGAAAGGGATTCTATTGGTGGATTCAACGATTTGTCTTCAAGAATCTCAGCTGACTGTAAAATCGAAGAGGGTGTAGTCGCTCGCAAAGATGCAGGTTTAGCGGCTGACCAAGAACTGGTATCAATAATCGTTTGTACTGACGGGGATGAGGTTGCCTTGGCTATTGAACGATCGGAAGGCACTTGCTTTGATTGTCCGCGTAGAGAGGCTTTTCTATTTCCTGCTCCGACCGCTCCTCCTTTTCCCGCTTCTCCTAATCCAAGTCCTACTCCTCCACCTCCGCCTCCTCCTCCACCTCCGCCTCCTCCTAATTTCCTCAAATCCAAGCGTACAACGAGCTTTTGGTCATCCTCGTGGCAGGCACTTTGATTGTTTTGGTGATTGTTTCCAGAGAGGGCAGCCCACGTATCCGGATTGGGCGGAGAAGGAGGAGCTCCATGTAGTTTGGCTTGTCCTTGATCCTTGTCTTGGTCTTGTTCATTGGATCGAAATTGAGGCAACGTGGTTGGGAGCTTCTGTTGTGGAGAAGGAGAAGTTGAAGAGGGAGATGATGGTGATATAGATGAGCCTGATTTGGAGGGCGTCCTAGTGAACTCTCCTGATGAATGAGGAGCGGATATATCGTACGGGGGTGAGGAGGATAGCTGAGGGGTCTCTGCGCGCTCTTGGTGCAATAGCGGGTAGGATTGTGGTTGAAGCTGAGGCTGTGGTTGTGGCGGTACAGATTCTTGACTCTGGCGGTCCCTTTGGAGGTGTTGTTGAAGCGGATAGATGGCGCTATAGACGTGGGCGGGAGAAACTGAGACTGAGACAGATGTCGCAGTCTTTTGCACCATAGGCGTTGTTGTCAGCATGTCAGATCGGTTGTTGGCCATGTATTTTCTCTCCAAGATCATTAACAGGCCTTGGTCTAGTCCATGCAGAAACACCAATTAGTCAATCAGTCAGCCAGGCGTGATTTCGCAAGTCTGTCCTTGGGCTTGGGGGATTTTTTATTTTTCCAGAATACTGAAAAACAATTAAAATGCTCTGGTGGAAGCTGATCCTGGTATGAATAGCGAATCCTGTCGTAAAAGAAGTAATAAAATAAAGTCTTAAAAAATTGATGATAAGCCTGCTCCGGCAAAGCAATGGAAGATGAATTAAGTTGAAAGGAAAGAAAAAAAAAGGCAAATAAAAATAATCGCGACAACAGCAGGATTTGAACCTGCGCGGGAGAACCCATGAGATTTCTAGTCTCACGCCTTAACCGCTCGGCCATGTTGTCCTGGATGGACATTTGATGTGGAAAGATCCGTTAATGACCCCAAAGATTGACAGAAAATTAACAAAATGATAATAAAAAATTGGACGAAGTGCCAAAAGACAAATTCATAAATGGACAAAGTGCCAATAGCCCAATGGCTGAGTAGTATACTCGTCAGGGCACCCTCCTGTCTAGCCCAGGGGCCGGGTTCGAGTCCTGGTTAAGGCACATAAAGTGAAGCAAACATGTGCCAGGTCAGGGATTTGCTTGAGTTTTTATACTTTCTCTCCGAGACAGCCTAGTGTTCTCCGCTAAGGCTAAGATCGTGGGTGCACTACCCTAAGTCGCCTGGCTGGCCACATGTCTTAGGTATATATTCCACCCCCAGCCGAACCAGCGGTACATCTGGCAGCACATCCCCCCATCCACCCACTTGACTAGGACAGCGATGATCACAAAGTTTGACGGAGTCCAAAGTAGAAATTTCAGACCAATCCCGCAAGATTTGGGTCCACATGCCAGTGGATTTGATCGAATAGAAAAAATTAAAAAGTCGTCCTTAGCTAGAGTCGGCACGCCAGCCTCCGCGGCTTTTCACGGGCGCAACAGGCCACATCGGAAGGATGGACTTCGAGTACCGATCACGGTGTACATTGGTAGAGAAAAACATGGATACGAATTGGCTCTTCACAGCCATGCCGTGCGAACTTTGAGAGTTTCGCTTGTTTCATAGTTGAGGGCGATATCATTACTTTAGAGCGAGATTATGAAATAAAATTCCTCACCTCTGTGGGTTCTTGTTAACAGGAAAAAAAAAGTGTTCTCCGCTAAGGCTAAGATCGTGGGTGCACTACCCTTAGTCGCCTGGCTGGCACCCGTCTTAGGTATATATTCCACCCTCCGGCCGAACCAGCGCTACATCTGGCAGCACATCCCCATCCACCCACTTGACTAGGACAGCGATGATCATAAAGTTTGACGAATTAGATCGAATAAAAAATTGTCGTCATTAGTTAGAGTCGGCACGCCAGCCTCCGCGGCTTTTCATGGGCACAACAGGCCACATCGGAAAGGTGGACTCCTAGTACCGATCACAGTGTATATTGGTGAAAATCATGGATACGAATTGACTCTTCACAGCCATACCGTCTGAGCTTTGAGAGTTTCGCTTGTTTCATAGTTGAGGGTGATAGAATTCTTGTTTAAAATAAATAAAATAAAATAAAAGATATATATATATAACCTAACCCATCTAGAACTTCTGGATACCGTAGATCCTTCTGGAATGCTGACTAAGTAGACCCTGATAGTGCATAAAATGAAGAGAATTCAAGACAAAAAAAGAGGGTTACCAAAAACTTTAAACTATCAAACGCCCATTTTCTGTGGGGAACCATAACATTGAGTGGAGGGAGAAACGAGCAACCTGCCGGTGGTGCGCTTGGAGACACCCACAAAATCTGATCTCTATGGATCAAAGGACCTCCTTTCAAAGTCAACTCTGGTGTATAGAATGCAATGTAGCACTTTGTGCCAACAAGACGAGAAAATACTTTTTATCCTTCCATACTCCCTCAAAATAAAGCTTACGCTAACTTTTAAATGGCTCTAGGACGCAATCTATCCTGGCAATTTTGCCAGGAGAGCCTGACGGTTTAAAGGTTAGTATCGTAGCATTTATTTCCATCAACGTACCCGCCCTATCCCGTCCCGCTATTTCTCTTACCCAATTGTAGCATACCTTTTTGACCCCATTGAATCTCCCTGTAACACTTGGTGATCTACGCAGAAAGCAACACCACTGTATATCTCAAAATTCAAGACAGTTTAAGATATAATCGCATCTGGAAACCTCTTACTAGCTTCGAATTTTGTCTTTGTCCAGCTCCTTACCTGGGTATGAATGATGGTCCGATTATTTGGTTCAAAAACTTCAAACAAGCAGCCAAGATTAATGGATGGAACGATGAACGAGCCATTAATGTGGCCCTATATCAAATGATAGTATTCAGAGGAATGTCTCTGCCGAAAACGAGTTTGCCACATTCAAGGAATTCGCAGAAGCGTTCCAAAAATACTATCAACCCGACCTTTATAAAAACGAGCTTATGATGAAGCCCATAGCTATCGACAGGCCCCCAACAAGACGATTGACAGCGCGGTCCAAAAGATGCAATTGTTCTTCCGACGCGTCGCTATTGATGACGATGAAACCAAGTGTCGACTGCTCTCTGCCGCAGTTAACAAACAAATTTATCGAGCCCTTGTTAAGCGACCGACAAAGACATTCAAAGAAATGGTCGAGAAAGGCCGCTAGACATACGAAGAACATGACGAAAACGATAATAATATACCCGTATCCGCTCTGACAGCACCAGCCCGAACTACACCAGTCTTTAGGGAGCGACCAACGAACAGTGACGACTCCGATGTAAACGATCTCATCACCAGGATGGATAGACTGAATACCAACCAAATCAACGCCGTTCTCAACGCTTACGCCTGGAGGAGTAATCAAGCCTCGTGACGCTCGGATAGGCCTTCGACAACGCGAAACTGCACGGAGGCATTGCCTGCCAACAACACTTCTACAGGACAGCCTACGCAGGTAAACAATCTCAGTGACGGACTATATAGAATCAGAAGACCTTCTTGCAGCCGGGCGGCTGCAAGCCCGAAGAACGGCAGAAAGTCATCCGTATCATGCCGAGTCCGCTACAAGGATGAGGTTCTCGAGAATACTCTCTCCTACGCCAAGCCCAAGACGAACTACTCCAAGGATGGACTCGAATTCGACCGTCACAACTCTGCCAAGACAAGCCGTCCAGCCTCCGCCGACCACTCCTTCGCAAGTAGCAAGAAGAAAGTATAAATCGCAAATCCGCCAGCCGACACAAGCATGGATGTTAACATTGAAGAAAAAGCAAAACGGAAACGTTTAGGCTTGGGAGTGCACCTCAAGGGTACTTCCATTTTTATTCATAAGGTCAGAACATTGTGTGACGGTCACGGCGGGTCTTTAAAGCTCCCGCCTGGCAACAATAATAAAAACAACTTTGATTTCCTTGACTAGCGCGCCCACCACAGAAGATCTCTCAAAAAGAAAAGTCAATCCGCGAGGAGGTCCGATTACCTAAGAGTCGCTAACCGGCGTTCAGCCTTACAGTATCTTGACCAATTTAATCACTACCCCAGTAAACATGGCCATGGCACAAGCTTTGGCGTTTAAAGAAGTCAGGAAAGAGGTGCTAAAGAGCCTCGAACTGGTTAAATCCGTAATCACCAAAGTACAGTCAGCCACACCGAGTACAGCGTCAGCTTGAGTGTGAACCAAGCTTTATGGACACGATATGTACGCTGTTGTGGGCACTGGTGCCGCTCTTTCCGTTGTGAGTCGAGGTCTAGCTAAATTCCTTGGTTTGCGAGTTGATCGTCCTTGTGAACCAATGGTGGTAACCGCAGATGGCAAGAAACACCCCGAAGCATCAAGTACACTCTAGACTAGATGATTTTTTATTTATATAGCGTTATTCGGCTAGAATGACATATCCTTGGGGGCCATTGTTATCCACACATACTTCATTTTTAAATGTGGAAAGCTTCACTAAACGGACATGAGAGCCTTTCACATCAACTACCATTTTTTTCATCATATTCGTCAACTAAAGAAATAAGAGGACTATATACGACTTTACAATCTTTGGCTTTATTCTTTTTCTTGAATTCTGCTGCTACAGATAGAACAACACAGACGATAAGTTTGTAAACTGCTCAGTTCATCTCTCAGATCATTTATCTGATTTCCCTGCACTCGCACCAGTGCAGATGGTAACAAGCAATGGTGAGTCTGGGCGAGATCAAGGATGTTTACTTTAAAGAGTCTATTATAGATTATTACAATGGTGGGGGTCTTTTTACAAATCATGTGAGGGTTCAATGGAAAGCGTGGGGTGCAATGGAGACCGTGGGATGCAGTAGGCCCACTGTTGAGGCAATACGTTTGCAACCAGCCTAAAGAGCACAGCATCACCCCCTTTCCATTTTCCTTCGTGTAAAGGCCCAAAGTTATCATCTTTGGCTGTAGAGCACTTTATCTTGCCCAAAGACATAGGTACAGTATGTTTGAAAGCCTTGCTTCTGCCTCCCTTCCAAGCGCGTCTTTCCTTCTAATTGTCGATTGTATGCTGCAAAGGGTATTCATATGATCCCGAGCGGCTACGAAGCTCCAGGTAACCGACTTTGTGATATAGGAGCTCGGATTCGACGGGAACTATAGACTCTCTCTTTGTATTGGAATGAACTTCGCTCCCATCATCATCAACAGACCAGAGTACCATTCCTGAATCCTTTTCTCAAATAATTTCTCTGAAACATGGTCTGGTGCATTCAGGCTAGATGAAAGCGAAGTTGTAAAAAGTAAAGTAGCAGCTTCAATAGGCTCAGTTACAACGTAAATGCTGGGAAATAAATTAGAGTAAGCCTGTTTAAAGACATTTTAGAAAAAAATTGTCAAGGAACTTTGAAGTTTATACAGTGAACTAATATCTACCAAATTACTACTGAGGAGATCCAAGGCTCCGCTTGCAGCTGGAAGGAGTTTCTCGCAAGGATATTTCCTTCAAGCTTGTTGGGGCGGTCGTTGGTTTCTGCGAATCATTCAAAAACTGAACACCGATGTATTGACGGTTGATCTTTTCGAGGACATGGTATGGAGGTATATGAGTTTTGCCCTTGTACTGGACCTTCATGAAGGATATGGCCGCTTGATCAAGGCAGCCATTTATGATGACCGGCCATGATATCAGGTTAAACGTTGCGCCCAGAAGATTTTGAACTTCGATTCCCTTCAACCCCGGATCTTAAGGGAAGTTTGCAACCTTGTTCTTCTATCCGGTGAAGACACTCATTCCTTCGTTGACAGAGTGGAATCGATCGTTGAGGCTGGAGGGCTTTAGCCAATGGGTGTACCCCTATATGGAAAAATGGTCCCGACTTTGTCAGATGCTGGCTATGAGAAAGTGTTGTCGGAATTTCGTTCATTAGACAGCATCACGGATGTCAATCAGCTACTAAGTTTTATACGTATGGATCTCAAAGTCATTCATGGAGATTGTACAGACCCAGTTGCCTGGCTTATCAATAATTTCGGGAGTAGGACATCCCAGGGTGTTGAGCCCAATCAATCGAATGATAGCACGTCGTTCAAACCTCAGCGAACTTAAAAGAGGCGTACCAGGAGAAGAGAGCATTGCTATCCCTACTGGTCAGGTAACATTGCGGCTAGAAGATGTTCTTCGCACAAAAACGAGTCAGGTAGGATGTAATAGTTAAGAGAGACAAAAGCTGATTTTATTGTAATAATTAAAACAAGTCTTTTTATAAGCTTAAGGCTATATACTGTCATATAGGAAGTAGGGCTCGTTACGAGGGATTAAAGAATTACCACTTGTGCTGATGTGGTTTGCTAATAGGAATGTCGTTAGAAACCGCTCTATTTGCGTTCCTAGCAATAGAGCGACTGATTTGTAAAATCCACTGTACTAATAATCCTCGCGGCTTGTTGGGTCCTAGTTATCAAGTAATAATAAAAAAACGGAAACCATGCTGTAAGGTTTCACATTTCTTTTTTATGTGTTAGTTACCGTTGCAATTAAGCATTCTTTATTTGAATCAAATGCTTCTGTTGCAGATCCTATCACTTCACATCAACTTGCTTTTGCGTCTTGTCACAATTTGCTTGATTTGTATTGATGCTCTGATGAGCCATGAACATCTTTAATAAAAAAAGAGCTTTTTTTTCTAGGACTGAAGTAAAGGGATAAAGAACTATCTGCCATTTTGTTCATTCATTTGAGACAGCGTGAAATACAAGAGCGATTGAGCGCCGTTGCGAGTTGTGCTGCAAAAGGAAATATTTCTTCAGTGGGATCCTCGAATATGTTTAATAGTCATAAACATGTCAGTCAACAAATGCTTACTAAAGCTATAAAGTACAAAAGATTCAATAATGATGACGGCTTGACAGCTTCTTTCCTTTCTCTCCTTCTTGTTTATTCCGATTCCTGAATTTTTTTTTACCGTTGTCGTCCTATTAGAAGACAAAGATATGGCTTCCAATTCCAATCCTCCGTCCGGTGGACCCCGCTTAAGCATCGCTGGCGTACGTCATGGAGGAGATCACCAGTCCGTGGATGGTGAAAAGGGTTCTGAAGCATTGGATCTTGAGTCTGCTAACACCACTTCTAAACCGCTATCCGCAGCCATAGTCGTAACTCCTAATCCATCGCCATCGCCAGAAAATGTAACATCAGTTCCACCTCAGCATTTACCTGCTCAGGACTTTGGACCTAAGCAGCCGTTGACGCCCATTCGTCGCTTGATGGTCTTTTTGGGCATTACTGTCACACTTTTTATAGCAGCCCTCGATCAGACTATTGTTACGACCACCTTGCCTTCCATCGCCAAAGAGTTCAACAACTTTGCTGATATTTCCTGGATTGGAACAGCATATCTTTTAACAACAACAGCCGTGCAGCCCCTCTATGGTGTTGCGGCCGATCTTTTTGGCCGTAAAAGAGCCATGTATGTTGTTGAGTGCAGTGCTGCGCATATTAAAAGTCAGTCGATTGTTTAATATGACAATTTTTAAAAAAAATGTTGAAACTGCCCAAATAGGATGTTCGCCTGTTCTGTCTTTCTGCTTGGATCTGCGCTCTGCGGTGCAGCCCAGTCAATGACCATGCTCATTGTAAGTAAAGCTTCTACAACAAACATTCTCACTATTGAGATATCGGTTTTCATCATTTACCCGCATAAAACTATGACCATGCTGATTTTTAATTTTATTCTATTAAGGTTGCGAGGGCTGTACAGGGACTTGGAGGAAGTGGAATCATTGCTCTGAGTATGATTTTAGTTGCTGATATTGTCCCGTTGCGCCAGCGAGGTACTTATCAGGCCTTGATTGCTCTTATTTTTGCTATTGCTGCAGTTGTTGGTCCATTGTTAGGTGGTGCTTTCTCAGACAAAGTTACCTGGCGCTGGGCCTTCTATATCAATCTACCCGTGGGTGCACTCTCCATGATCCTCATCATCTTCTTCATGCATATGAAGCGTCGCAAAGGCATCCCTTTTGCAACTAATCTTAAGTCACTCGACTATATTGGCATCTTCCTGCTGATGGCTTCCATCGTCATGATCCTGCTTGGCTTAAACTGGGGTGCAGATGCTAAATATCCCTGGAACTCCTCTGTTATTCTCGCCCTGCTGATTATCGGCATAGTTATTGGAGCAATCTTCATCTTTCACGAGGCTAGATACGCAAAGAAACCCATCATTCCTCTACGCCTCTTCGGCACACCTTCCTTAGCAGTCACTTACTTGCAGGTCTTTATTCAGGGTTTTATTTTTCTTGGTCTTCTTTTCTTTCTACCACTGTACTTCCAAGCTGTCCATGGCTCATCTGCTGTCAAGTCTGGAATCGATTTACTGCCCTATGCCATCGTCGGAGCATTCGCCGCTATCGTTGTTGGTCTACTGATGAGTCGATGGGGAACCTACAAAGAATTTATTGTGGCCGGGTGGATTGTGGGCTGTATTTCTGCTGGGCTATTGATCACGTTCGACGAATACACATCTCGCGGGAAAGTGATTGGGATCCTGCTTCTGCAGGGTATCAGCATGGGTATGACTGTAAACACTCTACTCCTCGGCGTACATGCACAGCTGATCAATAAGTCTGACCTTGCACTAAGCACCTCTCTCTGGACATTCCTAAGAACCTTTGGTGGCGTGTTTGGAATCGCTGTTGGTGGAACATTTGTGCAGAGCAGCCTCAGTCAAGCGAACGCAAGTGAGTATGCCCAGAATATCAAGGCAATTGCTGGCCTTCCTCCAAATATCAAAGCTCCTGTCCTCCGTGCCTTTGTGCAGGGGCTTCAACACTTCTTCATCCTGATAACCATCATATCTGGCATAGGCTTGGTTGCCTCTCTATTTATTAAAAAGGTCAAGATGGGTCCTAAGCACCATAACGAGAAGGAAGAGCCTGCTTCTGCCTCAACACCAATGGTTGCTGAGTAACAAATATGGTCTTCATCATCCAGTACCTCACTCCATCCCGTCATATAGTAATATACCCTTGCATAAAAATATATTTACTTCGCTCATGCCATGATAATTGCTATGATAAAGATATTTATTGTACACTTGTATGCTCTGGATTTCATCCATTCATTTCATTATGAAGTAGCCATTAAACTTGCTGTAGGTTTGGAGGATGGCTCTACTACAATCTGTTTCCTCATTAGATCTGAGACGCGATCAAAAACAACAAGTAACAAGCCACCTCCTGGGCCAAGCCGTACAATCTTAGGCGCCAGCCTTATAGCATATAGTTATAAAAAGGTTAAAAAAAAAAAAAGAAGTGTTAATAATGCAGGCCATAAAACCATGAAGTTTTTGGATAGCTAGCTTGGTGGTTCCGCCTTACCCTTTGAACAATGCTCGCTTTCTAAAAAGAGTAAACAAATATATAATGAAGGCGTAGCAAAGGAAAAAGATATAGAAGTCAGAGCTCTGATTAATAATCACCAAGGGGTGCTGACCTTTGAATTCTTTGGACATATTGTTGCTTACCCTTCTTCATGGGCGATTTTCCGAATACTTGAAAACGTCCAACCATATTTGGTATCGCCCTTCATTTGGTTTTGAATTCGTGTCTTTACGACGTCAAAGGGTGTGTTGACGATTGTGCCGAATATACCACCTATCGTTCCTGCTACGAAGTTCCGTAGCATACTCTCGTTCTTTGGCGTCCCAGATCGCTCAGGGAATGCAGTCCTAAAGGCTTGGATGGTCATAAAGTAGATACCCGACCATGTCGCATGTCGCCACACGGTTGCTTCAATTCCATGATAGAATGCCATGATGCCTTCCTGAGCGGAAACCTTGCGAAGACAATCAATTGTCCCATTGTAAACGGCTACACTATTTCGGTCCTGTAGACGGACCTTTACTAGGTCGAATGGCGTGACAAAGAAGGCCTCTGTCGCTCCTGCCATTGATCCAACGAATCCTGCTTGTGGTGCCGTGAACTGATCCAGTCCAAATAGCTTTTTGAACGCGAAACCCCATTGTTCGTTTGCTCCAAATTTTATAGCTCTACGAGGGGCTTCTGCCAGAAGTGGTGGCAAGGCGCCTCGGTAGAGGTTAAGAGCGCCTTCTTGTTGAACAATTTTACGTAGACAATCAAAAATAGATGTGTATGGGGCTGCTATCTCAACCGTTGCTGCTGGTCTTGTGGAATGAGTAATGGCGCTCCTGGCGACAGCAGCCGCTTGGGTGTGAACGCCGCGTGAGGTCGTTACTTGTAGTTGTAGCCGTGTCTTGACAAGATCGAGTGGATACATGACAGTGACTTCGGTCACTCCAGCAACAGCACCAGCAAGCAGTTGATAAACAAATGGCAGCGGCACAGGTTTTGCCGTTCCTAAACTAGTACGATTGGATTCCATTGTAGAATCTAATGTTGATTTGGTGTGTCTGTTAATGACGGCGCTGGATGAATCATGAAAGGTGGGTAAAAAAAAAAAAACTTATGTATATATTTCGTCTTTGACATTATGTCGTCATTTCATTTTTTCAAATGCTGGCGCTGGTTGAAATTTATTTTACTGGCGCGTGCGGCATGCTGAAAGTTTAGCCCAATCCTATTCAAGGTAGAAAAACATCTCAGTTCCTCTTCTCATCTTACCGTTTCCTTCATACTTCGTATTTTTTCTAAGCAACATTATTGCGACCCGCAGATAGCCTATATACGCTGTTTACGTTTGTAATCACCTTAAACATGCAGTCTTATAGGCCAAAATGGCAAGTGTTCATCATCCTTCTTGCTATAGAAGTCACCACCACATCGGTATCAGTAAGAGGGTTTTCACTTCATCATCTCTCCTTTTACCTTATTCAGTTGTCCTTAGTGTCTCGCAGAAATAAGCTAACAGTGCCAAGGAGCATATGCAAAGGACGGTTTTCAATACTAGAAGATCAACCAGACAACATGGGAAACACTTTATGAGGCAACGATGGAGAACAACCATAAAGAAATAATACGCAGCAGCGTCAGAAACAGCGACGACATCCATTTTCTGCTGATTCCAGCCCGACAGGAAGGCCTTGTTCAATAAGACCCGTCGGAAATGAGTGTAGTCCATGGCAGGTGCTTATCGTATCAACAACAGTATTACTATTTTATTTTATGTTTTCAGTTTGGTGGTAAAGTAGCATTGATATACCTACGCGATACTTTCGTATGGCATTCAGGATCGAGGCCACGGATATATAGGTGGCAATAGAGAGTGGAAATTGCCCCGACACGTGCCAATACTCAGATCTCTGTTTACCAAAGCGATGCTACTTTGAGCCAAGACGATTTTACATTTATGGAATTTCCCCGGATGTATACGTTCATGAGCAAGTCAGGCGAGAGGAGTATCCCATCTGAGAACAATACGACAAATTAGATTTGCAGTTAGTCGTCGTAGTTGGGGTAAAGGACTCAATGATACTGAGATTGATGGGGTATTCAAGCTTGAGGTGAACATCCTTGCGATTCATGATAAAGTATATTTTTTAATTTTAGTAAAAGGATGAAGCAAAGCCCTATAGAGGTGAGCATCATCAGACAATCTGCCTGTTGTACCCGCCTCTGTGGAAATTGCATATCCTTTCAATCAAAAGTGATAATCCAAAGAACTAATTATTATGATTGCTGCATCTATTACTGTGGCAACATTATGGTTGATAATAAAAGCACAGACGACCCAGCCTTTACTGCAATCATTGTAACATATAGCCATTCATACCAAGCGTTCAAACGTTCAAGAATGACGATGATGGGGCTTTCGACAACATTCGATTTATAAATAAGTATGACTTTTGACAGATTTATATATTTATTTAATAAATTCCTGTTTTCTTAACCACTGCATAAAACTTTGTGTTTCGGAATATGCTAAATTTTATTTACAAAGCTAAGTCATAGCCACAGCATGTATTTGTCTTGCTGGTGCTTTATTACTTTTTAGCCTTCTGCTGGGCATGCTCACGTTCAAACGCAGTGGAATTAGCGCCCATGGAGCTCACGAAGGGACCAGGCATCATGGCCGGGCCCACATGAAATTCGCTACGGAGATCAGGGCCACCAGTCAGACCATCACTATGATGGCCCTTGGGTGCAGGAGGGTTCTTCTTGTCTTCATCTACGGGTAGGATGTTGAACTCGCCCTTTTCATGCTGGCCTGGGCCGCGGTTGTTGTTATTGTTGGAGGACATGGATGTGGCTGCTTGCGGATGATTGTACTTTTATGAGGTTGTTAAATGAAACAGAGTAAAAAGAGATGAAAGAAAAGAAAAGAAAAGAAAAGAAAAACAAATGCCAAGACCTTCAAAAGACACTTTCTTTATAGGATTATCTCATCTTCATGGAGCAGGTGACAGAGATCACTTGACTTGTACGGAGCTCCAGCTTCTGGTATCTCCCGAGTTTAAATGAGTATTTATTTATTTATTTATTTAACTTTAACTTTTTTACCACGGCACTAATTAAAGTATATACAACATGTCATCATAGGATCGTTAATAAATATCATATTATTGAATAGAATAGAATAGAAAAGAAAAATAAATAAATAAATAATAAAGACAAGAAGTCGTGTCATCATACCAGATGTATGATGTTATTGTCTATTGATACCACATCACCATATCCTTTTTCTCCTAGAACCTGATGACATAACTTTTGGACAATAAGTATAAAAGGATTGTGCCTTTTGATCGTACATTTTTTTAAAAAAAAAACCAGTTTCGCACAACTACAGCCATTCGTTCAACTTCCAGTTCTGTCTACTATTACACTACAAACATGTCGCTTCTTCACAGTCGTCCTGTCATAGTCCAACGTGTTTACTACAAGCCTTCTACAATGGCTCGTCTCAAGGCCTTGTTCTCCTCTAGGCATCATCGTGACCCACGTATCCCTGTTGCTACTACTACTGCAACGCCTCGTAGAACGCACAGAAAAAAGATCGCCACACGTCAGCCCAAAGTTCGTAAGCCGAGCCTTTTCCATCGCCCACGTCGTACACTCGTTGTAACTCAGCGAAAGCCAGGCTTCTTGGCCTCCCTTCGGCCTCGACGTCATCTCAGGAGAACAGCTCCAGCCCCAGCTCCAGTTCCAATCACTCACGGTCGCCATCATAAGCGCCATGGCCATCACAGGGGCTCAACCATGGCAGCTCTTCTCGCTGCCCTTTCTCAGAAAAAGAAGCATGGTCATCAGAGACATTATGTCCGCCCAACACCACGTCGTCGCCTCTAAATTAAAGACATATGAGAGTGCAAACATGGAGGCGTGTTCTAATCATTTGTATCATAGCTCATTTCGACATTTTCGTTCCTTGTACTTTTACTACATCAACAATAAAGCCAATCCAATCCATTTTTCGTTTTTGTTTATTTTTAAAACAGTGAGTATTACTTAATTGGAGCGGTTACCAAATGAGCAAATTGTGGTGTATGTGTTGCCATTAATGACGGCTTCTGCTCTTACTTCAGTCAAACCTGAGTAAAATACATAAAAAAAAAAAAAAGGCGAGGCTTTAGTTTGCATCCTCCAGAAAAATGAATGGGAAAATATGCAAGAAGGTTGTCTCAGTACTTACCAAAATACATGTTCAAGCGGAAAACGACACGAGTGCGGGGCTGTGCACCTGGGATTTCGGGCATAGGAATATGAAAGTCAGCAATTTTTTGCACCCCTGGATCCGTAATATACCTTGGTTGATTCGGAGAGTTACAGACATAGAGAGGTGAATCTAAACCCTTAGGATAAGACCATGTCACATACTCTTTTGACACACATTCGTCCACGCCAATCTGCTGTCCAGGCCGTACATACACCGAGAAACGCTCCTTGCATCGGACGTACCCATCATGGGAGATAATCTTTTTGGATTCTGGATCCACACCCTCCTCGAATGGCATATTGGCATCAACTCCATACCAACGGCGGGCCACACGCATGTTAATAGTTTTCGTGTTCAGTCCTGCATATACTGCTCCTCGAACTACAGCTAATTCAGGGCGTTGTGGAACGGCAATTAAGCCCACAAGATGTGAAAATTCTTGCCGGATACGTTCTTCCAGATATCGTGAAGACCCAAAGCCTCCGACCAAAAAGATGGCATTGCATACCTGACTTTGGTGCAACTGCTTTTGAATCAAATCCAGAACATCCGAAATGACAGGTTCAAACACTTCAGCCTTCATCTCCTCGACTGGGACACAGAGCACACCTTCTTCAAGTCCAATATCAGGATCGTTCAAATCCTCGAGACCAGTCGCTTGAGGGATCTGCATTAGTACGTCCTCCTGACCGTTGAACATTGGCTTGACCATATCTACGAATGTATCCATCAAAGATGCCCACCCACACGCCTTAATACCTCTGCGATATCTCCTAAATTTGCGTTCCAGCAAAGCCTCCATGTTCGCATCCAAGAAAACCGATCCACAAGAGGCGCCATGGCCACGGGTCACCTCCTTCAAGTGTCGAGATTTGCCTGGAGGTTCGCTAACTTCAAATACAATTAAGTCGACGGTTCCGCCACCAGCATCGCAAATCATAAATCGATCTCCATGCTTGAGTGAGAATCGATCGACCATCCTCTCACAGTACATAGCTGCAGCTTCGGGTTCTGAAATCAAAATCAAGCGATTTGGTGGGTCACCCTCCTGGATTAAGCCAGCGCCGATGGCAGCGCGACGCATCGTGTTTTTGGCTGCATCAGACCACATAGCAGGCACAGTTAGACAATACTGGAATTGACTTGGTTCGTAATTCTTAATAAAGCCCTTCATCAGTTCCGACATCACATGTCCATGCAGTTTTTTCAAGTAATGGGTAACAGCATCTAGTGCTGAGATGCCATTCTCGAGAGGTGCACTTTGAAGCGTCTCATCCAGCTGCAGCTTGAATTTACGCAGGAGAACAAAATCTTTTGCGGCAGGCTTGAGCATCGCTAAGCGCGCAGCATGTCCCCAATCTAGAATCTTTTGCGAATCCTTTTTGTACAAGCTGAGCGTTGGTGTCTTTGGGTATTGAGCAAGATGCCGAGGCCTAGAGAAACGGTAGCACGACAGAGATAATATGGCAAACAGAAATGGTAAGAAATGATAATGCTCAAATATTGGTCATCCCTAGTGTCGGAAGCATTACTATCCTGTTATCCATGTCTTTTTTTTTTTTTTTTTTTTTTTTTTTTGAAGGGGTTGATGGACTGAAATTCCTGTGGTGCTCATGGGCTAAAGTAATAAGGAACATAGTCCTTAAGTCTTTTTCCAAACAAATATGCAAATTGAGAATAAATTGTCCTGTGAACAGCGCTTAGTACCATTTTGTGATATCGTGCACTTCTCCGTCAGCCTTGAGAGCATAGGCTACTCCAGAGAAGGTTGTTCCTGCAAATATAACAAAAAAGTGTGGTTAGGGATACAAGCAAATCGATGATAAATATCTGCAGATCAGGTCCGATCTAAAAATTTCTAAAGAATGGTTTGGAAGGGATGAATATTTACCAAAGTCAATGGCCATGACGACGGGATAGTCGCCTTCAGCTTTAGGTTTCTCTGCGCGGGGTTGAGCAGATATTGGTGGATTAGACATGCTAGGACTTTGCTGTGCTGGTTGATTGTATATGCTCTGTTGGTAAGTTAGTCCCCCAGTCAGGTAAGACTGTCCAGGAGGAATGCCGTAGCCCCCTGCAGACACAGATGGCGCATAGGTTAGGTTATTATTAGGAATGTTATTATTATTATTATAGGTGGGATTGTTCATATTCATGCCAATCTGATTGTTATTATTATTGTTGTTAAGCCCCATGTTCATTCCCATGCCATTGGGTTGCATTGGGTTGAATGCAGGACTAGCTGGGTAAGCATTAGACCCTGGAGGAGGATAGGTCGAGTACGGTTGCGTGTTTGGATCCATTTGTTGTTGAGGCGAGAATGTGTCATAGCCATAGCTGCCCTGTCCCTGGCCCTGACCTGTGTAAGGTGGCTGCAGATGGTTGCCGTAGTGGCTCATGATGAAAAAAAAAAGTTTTTGTGCAGAACAAGATAGAATAAATGAGTAAAAGGCAGGAAGACCACAAGACAAAAAAAAATAGCTGTGACCAACATGCATGTTGCAAAAAGTGACGACATTAACGACATTAACCAGCAATGGATTGATAGGTTGACATGCTTACTTTTTTTTACATTTCTACCCTCTTATCTACCATTCCTCAATGGTGTCTAAATAAATACTTTCTTCTAGTATCATCATTTTATTTACTGCCATGTGTTCATTCGCTTACTCCCATTAAATTCGACTTTTGCATCCTATTGCCCACTTTTGAGCGATCTGTATCTTATTTGTTATTTTTTCTTAGATCTATTTATGAGAGCATTAATAATCGGTGTGTGTCCTTCATGACTCCAATAGAACTCATATCTTTATTTACTCGGGGATATCATATAAAATTTTGTCCGCTCCTGTTCAAAGGCCCCCAGGATATCTGGCAATTCGTTGCGGAGCTATTTGACCAAAAAATAAAAAGTGCAACCTCCAACATAACCCCTATTGAAAATACATTGATGATAATCGAGTATTTCTGATGCAGGCCTTAAAATTTATGCTGCCCGGAATCCAGCAGCAACCATCTATACCATGATAAGTCATGGAACTCCCACATCAAAATGCTGCCTCCGCAAAGTCATGCGAGTTAACATCTCTTTGACCATGTTATTGCTACCCATATAGCCTCTTCGAAGAGCATAGCTATATTCTATTGACTCATTCTCCGATCCAACCGATTTTTTTTTCCAACCTTGTGGCGAGCAGCGTGATGATTTCCATTCAACTTCGGCTTCTTTTGTCCAACTTAGGCTATCAGTTCTTACTGTTTATGATAATTCTGCAGCCATAGCCTGAACTTGGACGCTCTGAACGGCTCGGTTAGTCGTTGTCTTCCACAAAGATTCGGAATATTGTCAGCGTCTGAATTGTCTTATGAGGAATGGGATTGGATCCTAACAAAGAAAGGTCATGTTTAGTATGCGGAACGTTGTCCTTGACATTCTGATAGCTTGTAGATACTGATATGAAAGAGATCCGGAGCAACTCAGAATCTCTTTTACCCCTTTTCATTCCAGGAGCATATGTAGGATAGTGATGAATTCATTAAAATATCATTAAGAATCGTATATATAGTACCAAAAGATAGCTTTTTTTTTTTTTTTTTTTTTTTTTTTGATAACAAGGTCCCTCAGGGTCATGGGATTTATTTTCTACACTCTATGAACAAAATGCTCCAGAAACTATAGTCAATAAACAGTTATTACTGCACAAACGGCAAGAGCCGCTGTATTCATGATTTCATAAACCCTGACCGCCGTGGTTGGTACTCAAAGTCCACCTTCCCGACGTGGCCTGTTGAAGGACCCTCAGGATCTTACAGCGTGGCTTCCAAATCAACTCCTGAGAATCTTGCTGTCGACCCCTTAATTTCTACTTTACGGCATGTGAATTAACTACTTTGATTTATATAAGTAGTTTTTCCGCTACCTCAACGAGGGCGTGGTTGGTTTAGTGGTATAATTACCGCCTGCCACGCGGTAGACCCGGGTTCGATTCCCGGACCACGCAACTATTTTACAAGCCAATAAATAGGCTTGTTACACATTTTTTTGCTCCAGTGGGGCCCGTACGCACCTTACTTGCACGGGGTCTTTATTTCATCTACAAGCGACAGCGTGTATCCTACAGATTACATGATTCTGGCTTTTTATTTCGAAGGAAATAAGCGAAGGTGAGTCTAGAGGGGGGTCTGGAGCTGCGATACTCATCGTGCTCTGTTGCAATATTATGATAGAAAAAAATTAGGGTAAAAAACACTAATGTGCTAAAAAGATTAGCAGTAGAAATTAGTGGCAATAACGCGCCACACATAGACGCGATAAATCTTTGATATGAAGTTTTTAGAACGAACCTTTGTCATCCTACAGATAAATACATAGTTGCCTGGTATAAGTCCCTCTACCAGAAAATGAATAAATACCCCATGGGTGTGGTGTGTGGACCCATATCTTATTCTCACTTACTTTTCTACTGCTTACTATCTACAAAATATTTTTCACGCTCTATTCCGCTCGACAGTCACCCGAAAGAAAGTCTGGTCAAAGTGGGTTATTTATTATTTTTTTTATTTTGAATCTCTGACAAACAGCTCATTTGTGACATACAAAAACGCTTCACCAACCAAGATGGAAATTTACGCTTTTATTAATGAGGCCAATGTGGATAATCAGTGAAGTTTTTGGGCAGTACATGCTGAGTGAAAACGGCAAGAAATAGGATTGAAGACAGTGCTTCTCTTCATAACCATTTCAAAATTTTATTTTTTTGACCAAATTTTCTTTCAGATGACTGTACAATATGAAGCTAATCCCTAGACGCAGTGAGCATCTACATGTGCTACCGAGTATGCGACACTGCGCGCTAAAGATGACCCAAGGCAAGTTCTGGCTATTTTATTGATGAAAAATCAATCCTGATTGAACATGATAACAAACTTGGAATGTAATGAGACAAAAATAAGGATCTTTATCAACGTAACAGAAGAGTATTTATGCCTCTTTTCTATCACTATAGGTCACGGTTATGCTATTAAAGGATTTTAGCTATTTAGATATAGGGATACAGGTAATTGTGGCACGATCGGCTTTGAGTGCGAACTGTTGCCAACTATCAAAGACAAGTAATCTCTCGGGTGAGAGGATAGACATTCCACAAAATAAACTGAGGTCTGCCCATTGTATTTTGGTGAATTTAGTAAACAAAATTCAGTATCGAGGGCGCTTGAGCTCTTAATAAGGAAGGGCAGAGATAAGGAGATAGAAGAAAGAGAAAAGAAAGTGAGTAGTGACACGGCACGCTATGCATCGTAACAATGAGTATGATCGTTTATATATCTACCGAAACAAACTACACATTAGAGGTCCCTAATTACTGAACCCATCGTTATATGCTTAATAACGTACGGAAACACTAGAGATGTACGCACGCGCTAAATGAAAGAAAGCATTGGTGAACCATCCACAATCTATAGCAACACGACCAACAAAAGTGCAAAGTAGAGCGGCATAGTATATTTCAATTACAGATAAATCGTTTGTAATTCTTTATTTAGTCCCAGAATCGCATAAAAAATATCAACATCTATTCTGGGCTACGTACGACCTTGATAAGATAAATATTCTGGTCAATATTTGATACTTGGGTATCGAGCTTGTATCGTCTGGTAGCGGTGTTAAAGACTGAAATAAAGGCCCCGTACAAATAAAAAAAAGCCCCCGGGGAGCAGTGTAAATAAGGTGTGTACGGGGCCGTGCAAATATCTTTTTCCTTGCTCTATAGTGTAGTGTAGAGCGTATTAAATAACCAAGCTCTTGAATGACATTTGTATACAAAAAACACATAGTTCAACGAGGTTTCTCTTTTACTCTTTATCTTGTCAAGACCGGACAAAATAATTAGGAATAAAATATGGATTAACCTAATTGGCAACCCCAATTTTGAAAACCCAGCTATCAAAGAACACCCTCATGATTTGCTTGGCAACCTACCCGGTGTTATTTGGCCTTTTTCTTGTTTAATCTGTAAAAACCTTCGTATATCGTTTACTAAGGACAATCCTGAATTGATGAGAAGCAGAGGAGTTCCTATTGAACTTGTTGACAACCAACAAAAAAAGGGCCACCAAGCTTTTTGATCGTGACATTCAGTTACAATCCAGTGATAGTAACGGTTAGAGATGCACTGACGTATTTATACGATCCTAACGCTTCCTGTCTATTGACATTTTTTTTTTTTTTTTTTTTTTTTTTTAGAGGAAGCTCACCAATTAAAGGCGGGTTTTAATTGAAAGCCTGAAATAATCCCATGCAAATAACTTCATTATTTGGCAGTCCAGTTGGTACCCAAGCGTGTGAAGTAAAGTGGCTGCCCCACGCCACGGACAATGACCTTTATGTCTCGATGCTTTCCAAGTCGAAAAATACCTTGAGATACCATGCATTCATATTTCTTTATGGTGGTTCACTTTACCACAATCACCCACATTCCTTCGAGTAGCTCATGAGTACATGAATAATGCATTTTTATTTCCACACCAAGGCCGAATATATTGAGTATACGCGTTCACCAATTGTAGGATGCCTGTGATCTTTGCTTATATAGAGTACTATTCTCGTGAGCACCTTAGTTTAGCACTGGGTGTGGTGTTTCTTCAAGAACAGATCCATTCGTGACACCCTGGATTCGCAGCTGCTCAAGGTTTGGGAGTGAGTCTGAAACATATAATAGGATAGAAAACATAATATCAGCCTTTCGTTTATATCGGGTTCTCCCGACCTTTAGGTTCAGATTGAAAATAGAACATACTTTGCAATAATAAGGCTCGTTCTTCTGTTACATCCGTGTATTCTAGGTTGAGTGTGTGCAACTCATGGCATTGTGTAAACACAGCAAGCGCCTCGTCGTGGATATATTTGTTGAACCCCAGGTTGAGACGCTTCAGTTTCATAGAAAAGAATGCGCTCTTGCTAAGTTTAATGATCCCTGCCACTGTCAGTTTTTCACATCGATTAAGTGAGAGCTCCTCGAGCCTACCGAGATCTATTCATGCAATGTAAATAGTTATGATACGGAATAAAAAAAGAGTAAATGTATTTTGCTTGTTGGTATATTGATACAGCACCATGAACGATACCTCTTAAGTAATCCATAGCCTTATCTCCTACGGATGTTCTATCAAGTAGGAGCTCTTTTAAGGATGTCATATGGACAAGCACAGCCGCACCGACATTGGTAAGTTTCGTCCCTGCGAGCGATAGTAATTGTAAGTTTACAGCCGAGGCCAAAGTCAGGATTGCATCATCTGTCACGTATAGAAACCCTGTCAGGTCTAGGTGCGTGAGTGGCAGAGCTATCGAAAGAAATAGACAAGAAAAATTGCGCAGCGTTAATAAAGATCGGCTCATAAACTCATAATACCGTGGTCAATATCATTTTAAGTACCAGCTGCGGCAGGGAGGACGGTCAATAGATCGTGCTCTCGGTTAGGAAAGCTGATATTTTGCAGTTTATGAAGTGCTGTTGGTAAAAATAAGAAATGTAAATACTTGTGGGCATTCATGTTTCGTATATCATTCACTATAAGCTGTTTCATTTTCGTTCACTGTACCGGTAACACAGAACTCCAGCGAGTTAGCTCCAATATTGGGACATGCGCTGAGATTAAGGACTTGGACAGCCATGAATACCGGCGTCAGTTTCATCAAGTCGTTATCAGTAATCTGTGTCCTTGCCAAGTCAAGCTTTAGTAGACAAGCGAACGCTCCGTCGTCAGGCACCTTGATCGGGGCAGACCCAAATGCAGCCGTGTTGTTCAACTTGAGTGTGCTGAGGTTCGTTAGCCCTGCACAGACAAAAAAAAAAGAAGTCAGTAATGTGTTTTCCAATAACATGCAGACACGAGTTATAGCGCAGGGTCATATACATGCCTTGTAAGTTGACAAAAGAATATGGTCCACCAATCCCTTGACAAAATGATACATCGAGAGTATGTAAAGTCGATTTCCAAGCAGCCTCAGATATGATTCTTGCAAGCCCATTCGATGTGATCTTTGTGCCCGACAACAAAAGCGTCGTCAAGTTTGGTAGGTTCAATGTGAACCCAAGCGTCTTATCTGTCACTCGGCAGTGTGAGAGGTCCAAATACTCCAGCTCTTCAAGACGAGTAATGTTTGCAAAACCACTGTCGGTGAGAAACGTACATTCTTTCATGCTCAAGTATGTCAGTGATCGAGCTTGTGAATTTCCGATGGTGTCCATCAATGAATCTGTGGCACGAGAGTATGAGTCTAGGACCATACTTTGGATGGAGCAGCGATGGAGCCTCTTTAAGGTCAGTTGGTCAAGCTGCTTGAGTTTCGTAAGCTCATGGACAATGCCCTCTGCTGCTTGAGGCCCAACATTCTCTTTAAGCAACTTTAGATGCCTAGTTGATGCCGCGTTTCCTGCTATCACCAAGAGAGCAACTTCATGACAACAGATCGCCTGCAGGCTTGGAATATCTCTCTTCTTTGCCTTTTTCTGAGGAACACTTGGACTCTTATCGTTTTCACCAGCACGATTCACAATTCTGTTCGCCATGGCATCCAGAATGCGCTGACGGCGAACTGCATCTGTCTCTGTCGGAATATCCTCAGTCGGGGCTTGGTTCCGGCCCATTGTTGAGGACTGACTCTGATCTGTTGCCGAGGAAGAAGATGCCGAGCCAAGAGCATGTCCGACTCCTGAAAACGGCAAACCGCGGCCACGTCCTCTACCACGCCCTCGGCCTGCGACGGGATTCTGGTGATTGTCGTGTGGGGGTTGGTGCGGCATAGGAAGAGCATACATCATATCATCTTCTTCATCATGGTCACCATCGTCGCCATTACCAACTTGATGGTCGTCACTACCTTCATTTCCTTCGTTATCTTCGCTGTCGTTTTCAGTCTCCATGTTCCCTTGGCCTCCATCACCCTCATATCCGTTGCTATCTTCGTCTCCGTTTAAATCGTCTTGCGTAGGTGGCTCCTCCATTTCTATATCATTGGGAAGCCATGTATTTGGAGGTGCAATAGGTTGAGGTGCTGGGATCGGCATTTGCACAAAGACATTGAGTGAACAACTGGGACATAAACCGGCATCTAACAGTGTAAGATCTCTATCACCAATGGTGTATTCTCGACGAGGAAAGGGCTATTTACCACAAGAAAAAGGGCTTTCATTAATATCGCCTTGTATCGGCTGTATGCCACAGAGAGGAAATAGCCTTGAGTACTCTAAGCCTTGATCCTATACCTGAATTAGGCTGATGTCTGCAGATCCAGTATCTCCACCCTCTGACCGCACTAGCTCAAAAAGATCTTTGATAGTTGCATTGTTCTCGAAAGAGCGCTTCACCACAGTCCCATTTTTTAGTCGGAGCTAAAACAAGGATGCACATGAGTATTCTATTTCTGCTGACATCAGAATGCAATGATAATAAAAAAAGATTCTGTCCAGAAGCTTGTAGAAGCTGTATATTGTAATGAACATACTTGAACCATCGTTTGGGATTTGGCTGTGGTCGATGGTGTGTTATTGTTGACACTTATCTGTGGCAACAGTCTAGATGTATTTATATTTTGGGATGTAGCAGCGGAAGTTGGAGTGTTGCCTGATGAAGATATCGGGACATTATTGCTCCTGAGTTTCCTATTCTCTCTATCTTCCTTGAGATCATTTAATGCTCTTTGATGTGCTAGTCGAGCCTCTTGTTTCGCCTTTTTGGCCTGCTCAGCTCTCTTATTCGCCTCTGAAAGGCGAGCAGCGTTTGTGGCCTGAGCCTCTTCTTCCTTGTGTCGAGATGTCAGCGGAAGCGGCGGGGTTATCTGTGCTGGAGTTTGATTACGAATGATATTGATTTTTATCTTTTTCGACGCAGATGATGCTGCTGCTTTTGTATCATCTGAAGGAGTATTGTCTGAAGAAGCTGATGCCTGCTGTAGCTTTGACTCTGCGAGCGCCTGCTGCAAATCCGCATCAAATATTTCATCATCCTCGTCACGCAATCGCAAGGCTGCTCCAGTCTGAGAAGGCTCGATTCTATCACTGTTCTCAAATATCCTAATTATTTGGTCCACATATTAAATGGGATTGAGAATAGATGTGTCAGACGCGCCGCTCCTTGCTGTTACAGATACGGCAGGCAATTCATAGCCCGTTTCTTTTAGACACCAACCATTCTGTTGCAGCTTCGATAGTTTGGTTCCCTGCATCAACTGCGGCTCTCGCTTGCCTGAGATTGAAACCAAGCTGAAGTAAATTGGCGCGCAAATCACTACTCATGACTAAAATAAAAAAAAAAGTTTAAGTGAATGATGTAGTGTGAATGAAACAGGAATTAGGACAAAAAACGCCTTTTGGAATCAAAAGAGTGCCACATCTATGAGGACACGTGTGCAAAATGGGAATAAACATGAAAATAGGAAAAATGGACAAAGCGCGACTCTTTTGAGAGTCGCGCACATAGAATTTTAAGCCAACTACACGCGTATATGCTAAGGATGCTCTGAATAATGTACATGTTAAATACTCACTATCAAGATTGCAGAAGTCTATACTCTACAAGCCTGTTTGCATATAGTTCGGTTCGGATGCTTCGACACGTGCCACACAAAAGAAAGGTGCCAATGGGGGATGGCTCAGCTCTTCAATCGCAAGGATACGTCTGCGTGTCTTCTGGACACATATATATTCTTGCAAATAAGAGGGAACACTATTCTTTAACTACATATATATATCTTCGCTAAGGTGTCTCCATTCGGAGCCATGTTATTACACAAGTTAAAGGGTCTTTTGCTCAATCAACAACTAAACTCCACATGAAAGCAGTCTAGTTCCTGCTTAAAGTCCTCGCCAGAGAGCCACAGACACATATATTTTTAAAATATCCAAATTGAATTAACCTTGCAAAAACACCAATTCTTGGTATCCAAAAATGAAGTATTCTATCCAATTTAAAAACGTGACAAATATGTGTGTCCCTGACTTTCTGGCAAGCTCTTTTTTAAGCGTGATTCGTATTAAAAGTTTGTGGTGACACTTTAAGGATACAAAATATAAAAATATAAACTATACGAAAGGAATTTGGTTCCTGCCAAGGCCTAGTGAAGTAAAGCCACACTGAGCGCATGGCGTAGTTGTTTGTAATTGAATATTATAAATTAGAAAGGGTAAAGAGTGGGAGCGCATATCGTCTTGATGCTGTCAACGGAAAACCTTATACTTTTGATCCGGAATAGTACACTTGCACAAAACTTTTTTTCTTATTCTTTTGGGATGCCATTCGCTTTAAGACAACATTCAATTCGGTCGGCTGTTCACTTGCAAGATGTGGATTGGATGATCAGCTTATAAAAAGGGTGCCTTCATCCTCCAACTTCTACTTCTCGATTTTACTTCCTTACACACTCAATTACCTACTCTCCACTCAACTCACTTTTAACACCTTTACCCAACATCAACTATATCCAACATGTGTAAGTGTTCAGTTTATCGATCTCTCCAAGCAGTCTACTCGGTCTGCAATCCTACCACCCTTAAATGTTGCAATTGTAACAACCATGCTGTTATAGATTCGCTCTAGCAATACATGGCCAGGTGTCTATTTTCAAATTAACTCAAATCGTTGGAATCACTATAACGATAACAAAGAAGACAATGAGAGATATTATCATAAGATCTCACCATCATTTGAAAGCAGCTCAAAGATATAGTCGTCCATTTGCAAAGAAAAAAGACTTCCATTTCATTTTTTCTTCTACTTGACTGACAACATCTTTTTCTAATTAATTATTTAATTATTTCTTCATGTAGCTCTCCAGGTCGATGGTTTCAAGTCCTCTGCTCTTCTCACTCAGATTGATGAGCATCTTAAGACCCTCTCTGATGCTGAGCGCCAGGAGCAGGTCAAGAAGGTCAAGGGCATCTTCCAGTTCAACGTCAAGAACAACGCTGGCCAAGTCGGTATGTGCATTGCTATATTTTACCCTAATTCCTATCTTCATAATATACATGAATCGTCTATTCATCCAATCCCTTTTTTCAACGTTTTAGCCACCTGGACTTTCGATTTGAAGACTGGCAACGGCTCGATGCACAAGGGAACTGTCGAGGGCAAGAAACCCGACATTGTCATCGATGTTAAGGACGAAGACTTTGTTGCCCTTGCTGAGGGTAAGGCCAACGGTCAGAAGCTCTTCATGTCTGGCAAGATCAAGGTCAAGGGTGCCATCATGATGGCTACCAAGCTCGACTCTGTCCTCAACTCCGCTAAGGAGAAGACTGGCTTCAAGGCTAACCTGTAAAAAAAAAAAAAAAAAAAATCCTAACAATAACAAGTACCTTTAGAAAACAAAATAAAATTGTAATATACTTATACACTGATCATTTCTGGACAGAAAATACTTTACAATGACTACAGAGTAAACAAAATGCTTGCCATTGTTAAAAGATAATTATGTTTGTAAATGATTGGTCATCAAAGAAAGGATCTTCTCTACATTTTTCTCAATATTAGGATCTGATCCATACGACTTTGCTGTGGCATATCCAGGATGGTTTACAACTTCAAGCGTGTTTGTTTCCATCATCGATAATCGTCCGTTCCTGCCACTTCCATTACTCTCATTAAGCCGTATTCTCGCGGATGTTTCTTCCAAAGACTATCACGCTGCGGGGAGCGCAACATTATATGGAGCAGCATTCATATCCTTCATAACTGTTCATTTCATCTTCAGCTACTAGCGATGCGCACTGTGCCGAGGATTTCAGGGATGTCTATTTAGATTGTATGGCTTGGAAATGCTCTTGATAAATGGGTGTCTTCGAGATGGTCCCTGAGAGACAGATTTTTTTGATTTTGTAAATAATAGCCTAATCTAAAAATCTGTGAAGATGAATGTGAAGCGAATGTAGAGTGATGTATCTTCCAGTTCCTCTCTCTTCCTAGTCATGCACTAGCTAATTGCTAGTATCCTCTTTTTCATCGGCCTTAGCATGCGAGCTATTACTAGGATGTACTGTATCGAGGATTCAGAAGACTACCCTCCTAGGTCCTTCAGAGCAGGAAAATCTCAACCCCTTGTATGGGAGAAGGTTACTCGCGTGTATACCAGCTCTGTTGTTGAATGTACGCCACCACTAGCCTTCATCTCTGTCTTTGGTGCTGATTTATACTAGTAATCATGAGTACCCCAAATAAAGCATGGATATCTCTAGCAACAACAAAGGCTTCGAATTGCGGACTTGTCTATCCCTATTAATGATACCCTTAAGCCTTTATCCCTGTACCCAGGTATAACTCAAGCCGCTCTTGCTCGGGTTCTGGTGGGACTTGTGTATAATTTCCATGCTGTAAAGAAATACTCTTCCATAAACGCAGCAAGGAAAAAAATCCGATGTCTGGACAGATATTCCAAAAACCGTCACCTTGTTGATGGAGTAAATTTTTCCGTTGATCGAAAGAGTCCAGTCCTCGATCATAATTTCTAAACATGAAAAGGGGATGCATTGCATTACATGCAAAGTCCTGCTCCCTTTTATCAAGCAAAGATCTTGCGTTGGGCTTGGGCTTCTCAGCAAAATCTTTTTTTTTTTTTTTTTTTTTTTTCTCTTTCACTCTCCTTTCATTATTACACACAAACTGTTTTTGAAAATAAAATATAATTACACTTTACATTATCAAACCATGTTCAAACTGCTTCTCGCGACACTCGTCGCCATCTCGGTGCTTTCTACACATGCACAGGCCCTTTGTGTCTCAAGTCCTCGTGGCTGTCCTAGAGGGTCCCGCTCACAGCTCGATCGCCAGGTCTGTGTCCAAGACGGCTATGCTTACACTCAACCTTTTCACTGTATAGAAACAAACCACCTCAACGACTTCTTTGGCCAAGACCAAGACCAAGACCAAGACCAAGACCCCAGTGCTGAAGTTAACATTAAAAGCAGAGTCATCAAAAATGCTGGTTACTGTGTCAAACGTTGTGACGAGTGCGGAGATGATACTCGATGCGATTTTGTGAAAAATGCTTGCGGCCTAGGCCCCAAGTACAATTACATCTGCACGTTCATCCCTAAACAAGGAACGTATCGAATTGTAACCAATAATAGCCACTGCGTCCGCTTCTGTGATGAGTGTCCTGCTGGAACACGCTGTGTCCAGGGCGAAGATATGTGCCGCGACCTTAGCTATCCGTCCAGCTACGGTCTTTATTGTTCTCATGATGTTTAAACATCTGTCAATAGCACTAAAAAAATAAAAATAAAAATAAAAAGGCATGTATTTGTTTTCCTTGCCCACGAACTTGAGCTGTAAGAAATGAATAAAGAAATAATGGGTGCATTCATTGATATGAAAAGATGTTTTTATATTAAAATGTTTGCAATAAATAATAACTTGGTCTTACATGGGAAAATACAGTTGTACAAAGTGATTAAAATCGTAGTGGATGGACAAGAAGTGTGATATAAAGAAATAAATACAAAACAGACCAAGAGAACATATTTCTGTTATAAGCTAAGTAAACAAATGACAAATGGCTAATGGTATCCCTAACCCCTCAGCTGCGGCAGAGCCGCAAAGATAATAATCATGATTGTCGACGAAATGATGCAGTATGCTAGCATCCAGTATGCGCGCTGGCGGTGACGGATGCGGATCGATGGCTCTAATATCTTTCTGAATCGAAAAACATGCTTGTCTTCGCAACTTTATCAGTTGCAAAAAAAAAAAAAAAAAAAGACGGAATAATTAGAATGCAATGCACTAGAAGTACCAGAGAAATAAAGCAGGTGCTTTGCCCAACGAGTCTTTTGAACAAATGATACTTACATTTTACCTACAAGTCCAAGGATAGGCGAGAACTCTTTAATTCCTGTCATAAGACATATCGACCCAGTCCAGCCTCCCAAGATTCCCACCATCCAGACCCAAGGACTACTCCACCCTCCCAATCCGAGAAGCGCTAGCGACAGCTGCACTCCTAGAACTATAAACCACAACCCGATCCCAAGCCAGATCATGCTTTGTATCTTGATTCGATTGTTGGGATGATGTCTTGTCAATATTCCCATGTTATATTGTTCCATGTGGTTCAAAAACAGAGGGTAGTAGTGATCCATCAACACCACATCCGTCACAAATCCCTTGGCGGGGCCAAACAAATGAGGCACATGGGTCCGACCTTCTTGTACCTGCTGATGAATCCGTTGTCGACATTCTAAAGGTAGATAGAATGCGACTGCTGCAGCGGAGGCTGCCACAGCAACTGGCGATGATCCTAAATCCAATCCTGGATCCAGTCCTGACAACCTTGAGCCTGTAATGCGGGAATTCATGAAGGGAGAGGATGGTTGAGGCGTCAAGGAAAGCTGTGGTGATGGATACGGCGTAGACTTCTCATTTAGAGTGTTTACAGTGCTCGCAATAGGGCCCGCAGCGCTCAAACTTGCGTTCGAATGGATCGGTTCACCCTGAAGCTGCATAACAGAATTGGCGGTTCCAGAATTTGATAGACGCATAGGACGGCTACCATTATTATGGGCAGTTACTGCTTCACTTCTTTTTGTTACTACTCCACTTGCATTTTTTTCGTCCACAGCTTCCTCTCCTGTGGCAATAGAAGGCGGCTGTAGCCAGAAACCGGGGCGTTCTGTCCGAGGCGAGGCACAAGGTGTGAATTGAATGGTACTGAGGCTAGATGAGCTCGAACCAGTCCCTCGGATGGATTTGCGTAACAATGATGGAAGATGCCATCCACCTCTCTGTGTTGTATTCGAAGATAAAGTCTCAGGTGTTCTCGTACTGGCTCGGATTCCGCGCAATTTGCCATACCAATGATAAGGCGATGGACGCTTAGTGATACTGATGGGTTGTGGTAAGGTTACAACTATAAAAAAAAAAAAAAAAAAAAAAAAAACTTAAAGCCTGATTGCAAAGTGTGATGCCTATACCAAAAGAGAAAGGGTGGACAAAAAAATCGATTGAGATACTTTTTTTTTCTTATAGATACCTTCTTTCTCAAGGTCTTTCATAGTGATACGGTCCCAGGTAGATGACAGAGACGATAAGGACGATTTATGAGAAGGCGTCATCTTTGGAAGAGCTTCAGCATCAACTCCAGCACCAGGTACGATCCCATTTCCGTGCTCTAAAGCATCTGCGTTTTCAAACGATGAGTCATACGAGGGTTGAGAGATACCGCCTTGATTATGCGTGGAGATCATATGGTTCATATTGGCAGCCAGTGATAATGGTGGTATGGATCTCTCAAGGATTACAACAGTCCCAGGTACGCCAGAAGTTACATCAGATGGCTCCGACAATCCCTTGTCATCGTTAGTAGGCACTGCAGCATCATTATTAGCAGAGGGAATCACACCATCTTCATCTCGTTTCTCTTGCTGTCCCCTATAGTTTGTACTCTCCATACCCCCATCCACATTACTGTCTCCATCGCTATCATAGTCCTCATCTTCAACATCATCATCAGCTTCATCATCATCACTATCATCACCGTCGTCATCCTCATCCTCTGACGTGTACTCATGGATAGCTACCTCCTCTACTGTAGTCGTGTTAATAGTCAGGGTCGGCAGTTCGACAACTGTGGTTTCTGTTCGCATCAGCCTTGTAAATAACGGATTCAATATGGCACTGAGCCCTGTTCCTGTCCTCTTCTTCATTTTGGGGCTCCTTGGACTTGTTGGCACAGAAGCATTTCCTGAAACATCTCCTTTTCCATCAGCTCCATTTCCCTCATCATGCTCCTTTTTCCGGTTGTCAGAACTATAGCTTTGGCTAGTGACCTCCGTATTGATCGAGGGGCCGCCACCAGGACCATTATTGACATCATGAGTTTTGTCGTCTTTATCTCCATTTACGCTACGTTGTCCGCTCTGGTACCCGTTGCCAAGGCGTGCAGAGGAACTTTTCTTGGATGAGAGACGCTTCAGTCTCCGCTCTTGCCATTTCTCGTTCCACTGTGTAATCACTTCCTCTGCATAGCCACCCCATCCTGAAGTCACCAAAATCTTCTCAAGGCTATTGTGTTCACGCTGTCCTCCTTGACCATTATGAGATTGTTTTGTTGATATTGCTAACGCTTCTTCTTCTTCTGCGGCCATGGATGCAGTCCGGAATTGAACCAAATATTTGCGATAGATCCTCATTGCTGATTCCTGTAGGTCCTCGAGCGCAATAGCTCGAAAACTGAATGCCAACGGTGCCTTGCCCTCCTGTCCTGTGGTGCCACTAAATATACTAGGAGTGTAAGCACTCTCTCCTGATCTACGAACGGGAAAAGGCGCTTGAAGCGGGCCTAGACCATTAGGAAACCTTCCAATCGCCAATAGGCGTCTATCTAGTTCAGAATGGCTTGCAAACCCAAGAGATTGCATCGAATGTCGACGTTGAAGGTCTGAAGGGCTTTCCGCACGCTGGGGGTAATGCCCATCAACGCTCAATCGTGTCGTCTGGCCCGCTTCATCGGGGACCACCAGTTGTGGTGTGTGTGATGTGTGCGGTGCCTGTGGATATTGAGAAAGGGAGAGTTGTGAGAGCGATGATTGAGCTCCGTTACTAAAATAATCATATCCTGTTCCTGTTCCTGCTCTTGTTCCTGAAGATCCTCTCCGTATATTTCGGGAGTTGGATTGACCTATGATATCAATGGATCCTCGCCCACGCATCATCATGTTATAGGCATTGGGAGCCGAAGATGAAGCAGATAAGGCTCCTCCTATGTATCCATTACTGTGGTTATATTGTTGGTAGTGACCGCTTGCCAGATCACTACCAGGTAAAGACTGATAGCGGTCAAAGGAGCCTCGTCGAACATCTTCCCGACTACTGTTATAAGAGTATAGGCCATTACGCTGCGCTCGCATTGCAAGGGCAGCGACAGCAGCATCCTGTTCTGAAATGTGAGGATCCTCCAACGATGGTCGGCTTACTTCACCTGAGATCCTCCTGCTTCTTACTCCTGCCAATATACGATTGTATGATTCGGCCGGTGATATGGGTGGGAAAAGTGCAGAAGAATCATGAGGGCCATAGCGACGAGTTTCTTGGGGGAATGAAAGATGATCGTTCCCCAAGGGCAGTTGTAAGCTAGATCGGCTAGCCGCATACATGCTGGATCTATCGATCTCTTGCCCATTAACGCCGACACCTATGCCTGTATCCCTGCCAACGCTCATAGTGGATTGGTTTGGTCCCAGAAGGTCCGGATCTGGTGTGAGCCGTCCTGGCTCCATGCCTGGCATGAGAGCCATACGCCTTCGATCCCGCGCGATTGCACGTTCCTCAAGTTGATGCTCACGTTTTTGCCTCCTCTCGGATACATCAAACGTCCTACATAACTGTTCATGAGCTGCGACATCCTATGATGGTATAAGAACATATTCTGGTCAATCTAGTTCCCTCAGATGCAGATAATATTCATCTCTATACTATATAACTGTTGTACGGTTTCCTTGTTCTCTTCCTCTTCATAGAGATCGAAAAAGTTTTTTTTTTTTTTTTTTTTTTTTTTAAAAAAAAAAGAAGCCTATTCTTGTACTTACTGCCCAAAAGTTAAGATACTCAACCGCTCGTTGCGTCCGAAGGAAAGTCTCAAAGCCATCATAACTGAGTGGATACCGCGTCCGTTTTTCAAGAACCTGACTCAAGTGAGGTAACATCCTGGCTTGTTCTGCAAGCTGCTGCTCATAGAGCTGTCGTTGTAGTCGCTGCTCCCTCTGTTGTGTTGCCTGCTGCTCTGCACGTCTCTTCCTGGCTGCTCGACGCCTTTTCTTCTTATTCGCTTTACTCTTGCCATTGCCCTTGGAGCCTGGATGCCTTTTCCCCTTGTTGCTGCTGCTACTGACGGGGTGCTGATGATTGGAAGAGCTACTTGGCAAATCATTGGTATAGTTGAGATCATTTTGAAGAAAATAATTGTTACTGCCACCAGCACTAGTTGAATAGTCGCTTTCCTGTCGGATCAGCGAGAGAGATGGCCGCCAAGTAGACGGCCGATTCCTTCTAGAATCCTGTCGCTGCTTCTGTTGTTTATCTTCATCTGACAGGCCCTGCAAAGCCCCTTTTCCCCCTATTGGACGTGAAGCAGAAGAGGAAGAATCTTGACTAGGTCTAGGAACCCCTCTGTCGGACTCATGACTTGTTCGGGAAGATTTTTTATATTCATCTGCAAAACTCAGTCTGCTCGTGGATTCACGCAGTCGCCTGAGAATCCCTATACTATTGTTGGAGTGCTTTGAGGATGTTGAACGATGACGATGACTTTTTCCTCTTCCTTCACCCTCATCATCCGAGTTATTGCCGTCCTCTGAGTACATATCCGAATCCGCATCGATGTCCTCTTCCTCGGAGCTAGTACTTCTTAGGGGTGAATCTACTCTGGGATGATGACCAGTGTCCCACGAGTCATAGTGTCCCTGATTCAGAGGCGATCCAGGGCGAGAATGGACAGTATCGTGTGAGGTGCGGGGAAAGTAGGATGGCTGAGAATGAGAATGAGAATGAGAGTTGTGCAGGTTGCTATGAAGCTGTGGAGAAGGTGATCGGGCAGGACGAGAGCCTAGCGCAATGGCCAGGCGGGAGAGACCAGGCGATGCTGACTGCGGAGGAGATTCTGGTGGATAGTTGGCATGGTACGAATCCTGTGGATTCTGGGGATATTCTTGTTCGCCTGATGTACTGATATTGATATTACTTGCTGATGAATATATTCCAGGTATATGATAGATGTTACTAAGATGATTATTGGAGGGAGAGGATGGTCTGCTTGAGGGTTTCCCTGCGGGTCCTGGTGTGGATGACCGTGAGTATGGATCTGTAGTTGCGGAGTTGTGTATAGAGGCCGATGAAAGCGAGCTGAAGTGTGTACCCAATCCGACAATCGTGGACCCAACATGGCTCGGGTTAGAGTAATATGGATGGTGTGTAATACTGGCGTGGCGGCTACGGTGATGCGGATGTTGGTGGTGTCTTGGTTTTGACGAAGATGATGTGGAAGAGCGGGTATAAGTGGAGGGGATGGCGGTAGCGACCTGAGAAGCGGATGAGTGTGGACGTGGGATCAGGGCCTCCTCTGCCGGGGTTAGGGATATCCGCGGCATGCCCTGGAAGGCAACATTGTCCATTTTTTTTGTTGTGTTGAAGCGAAGTTCAGCAGAGAAGGGGGGTGTGAAGTAAGAAAGAAAAAAGTGCCATTGCTCATTAGCAATAAAAGATATTGGAAATCAATAAAAAAACTTGATGTTGCTTTATATTCAGCAACTAGGATAAAATAGGATCATATGAAAGCAGACGGTGTGTTATGAATGTTGTCGGGGTAAGGCGTGGGGGATTTTGAATCTCATTTGGCAGAAGAGAGAAAAGAATGAGGACAATGGCAATTGTCAATGAGAAACAGAGTAAAGCAAGAAAGTTTCAGGTACAGCTCACAAAAGGAGGTTAGTGTGTATTATGAATTTTCTAAAAAATAAAAAGAAAGAGAAAAGGAAGATGGAGGAAGGACCGATTGAGATAACAAGGAAATAGGAAAACCAACAACAGAGCAGCGTTGTACAATGGTAAAGAGTGCGAATGGTGGCGCCACATTCATCTTCAAGCTGCGGATTGAGAGTGCATAGCCAGTCTATATTTTCTTTTCTTGTAGCTGAAAGGAAAATAGAGAAAAGTAGGAGATGGTAGATGGCGGTGTCAGATGAGTGCGAGCATTGATAGGGATTGGAAAGCAGTAAGCATACAGGAAGGTAAAGTAAGCAGAGCAATGATGCATATATATCAAGCATTGCTATATAATCAATCCTCTCTCTTGTCTCTCTCTGCCCCTTTTCAATCTTGTCTTGCTTGTCAGTGTCAAAATGAATTTACTCTGCTGAGAGCCCACTTGGTTTCTCAAAGAAAAAGAAAAACCCCATCTATTTGGCGGCAAATTTGTCTGCATAGTTTGCATGCTCCACAGTATCGCGCGAAATAAATGAACTACAGATTTCAAACATTACATGGTTGCAAAGTAGCAAAGTGTCTTCTCTTTTCCTCTTTCTCTTTGAACTTGCCCATCACATGTGGACGCGTCCTTTTCAAAATTACACGGTTACACAGTTCCTGTTTAAATTGAATAAAATAAATAAAATAAAATAAAATAAAATAAAATAAAATAAGCTTATTCACCACACTGCGATGGATGAAAATGCTATTTCGTTATTCGTAGAAACGGTGTTCTTCAGCATCAGCAACATGATCATGCTACAAAGGTCGTTGAAATAGGTAGGAAAAAGAAAAGTTTAAACAGCTTTAAAGATGCTGTTGATCTCAGTCAATGAGTTTGTGCCGTATACCGATTAAGAAAGAGGAATCCGTCGATGCAAATGACCGATTCTCTTTTAACAGAACCACAGGAGCCGGTATCGATTTATTGACCCCGCAATCCTCTTATTTTGCGCAGTCAAAAAGAGCAAAAAAAAGGGGTGTGCAAAGAGCGGCCTTTTAGCCAACCGACTCTCCGTTTTGTTAAAAAGCAATACGCTGTCAAAAACACATGTAAACAGTTCTTTATCTTTTGTCTTCATTCTCTTCATTGTCTTCATTGTTTTCAGTCTTCAGTCTCCATTGTCTTCTTGATCAACTTGATTGCTCCGGTACCTACTTCTTGTTCACATTTACCCTCTTACTAATTGTACATATTCCATCCACTCACAGCATAAAAAAAAAGTCATTCATTCATAATCAACTTCATCATCATGACCTCTCCCATTCTCCTTCCAGAGATGTTACTTTACTTGGCCCCACTGGTGGCATTACAAGATCGTCTTGCATGTGCCCGTGTATGTCGTCAATGGTATGCGTCCTTCATGCCCTTTATCTGGTCCTCCTTCACTGTTCCAGAAAACTGGGCATCATGTCCTTCTCCATTTTCCTCCTCACCCTCTTCATCATCATCATTATCGTTATCACCCACTTCTTCTTTCCCATGCCTCGAAACCCTAAAAAAGAATGCCCATTATATCCGATCTCTCACTCTCAAGGCCACTCTGGGTCTTGAACCGTTTCTCAGAAACTGTACTTCCCTCAAGATGCTTTTTATACATGGTGAGCATATCATGGATCCTCGTCCGGACACTTGGGACCAACTCATTGATCTGATTCGACACAATCCTGGGATTGAATGGATCTTTTTCGGATTTAACCTTACCAGTGCTCCCTCAGCTCAATTCCTCCGAGCCTTACCAGAAGCATGCCCTAATCTGAAGAGATACGAATCCAGTCGAGCTAAATATGATAATTTTGATCAAGTTGAAGCCCTGATCCGAGTCTTCAGTCGACTCCAGATCGCTTCCTCTCGCTTTGAAACCTTTGTTAACATTCAGGATCTTAAGCGATGGTCCTTTCCAGATCTCATAGAAATCTGCCTAAAGGACATGAGAGGCTTCAGTCCACAATCGCAGGTGGAATTGATCAGTCAGTGCCCTAACTTGCAGCATCTGAAATGGACCATGTATCGAGATCAATTCTTTCCTGTGAAAGAGTTTTGTGAAAAAGTCCCTGCTGCATGTCCACACCTGACCATGTTGCAGATGGATGGTTGTGGGTTACGGGATCCGGACGAAATCGGCCAAATGTTGGATTCATTGGCTCCTCCCATTAGAGGACTCGAGCTCTTTTCAGTCTGTGGAACGAGCATCAGTAGACCAACTTTCCAGTCCTTGAGCCTTCATTTCAAAACGTTGAAGTCCTTGGATATTTCATATTGTAGTCAAGTCGAGAGTTGGATGGCTCAAAAGATCCTTGAAGAATCCCCTCAGCTCACACGGCTGTTGTGCCCATCCCTCAAGATGTGGGATATTGTTCATGGCAAGGATTGGGCCGCAAAAGGGATGCAGCATTTGGAGGTCAACATCTTACAATCATCACCAGGAAATTCATCCTTAGAGGAACAATGGACCACATTTAGACAGCTCTCCAAGTTAACTCAACTGGAATCCCTGAGCATAGGGTCGCTTTCATGGACTCTTCGTGAAGGCTTACTATTCCAAATGGATTCTGGGGTGGATCAACTTCGGACCTTGATCAATTTGGAGTATTTGAACCTAGGCAAGTCCTATCAACGGATGGTTTTAGATGATGTTATCTGGATGGGCACTCATCTCGAGAAACTGAAGAAAATTGAGGGTATTTTCCACCGGGACTGGGATAAACATCTAGAGATGGCAACCAAGTTCAAGGAGTTTGGAGTGGAGGTTCTAGATCAAGAGTTGCCACCAGACTATTATTTTGATAATGATTCGATCTATACAGATGGCTCAGAGAGTATGGAGGAGTATGAGGAGGAGTTGGAAGGTGATGATGAAGATGGATATGGTGACTTTGAGGAGGGGGATTATGAAGATGCACAGGAGCAGAACAATAGCGCAGTAGAGGAGGATCAGGAGCATGAGGGAGAACACAATTCCATCAAATCTGACCAAATAATCGAAGGCGAACCGGGACTCATTTGCATACATGTAGGGGATGGGATGATAGAGATTGCCACTGACAATATCATCCAGACTCAAAGAGCACATGAAGAGCACAACTAAAAGTGTCCTTTCTCAGGATGAAGACCTTTTATTTTGAATGCAACAGTAAAGGACTTCTCTAGTCTGTTTGTATATATAATTTTTTTTTTCTTTTTTTTATGTAGATGTTCGTAAGTTGTATGTTATGTGTATGTACTACTGTCAATCACTACTCTTTTCCCCCCTAATTCTCTATTGCTTGCTATTCAAATGTCTATTCGTTATCGTATGCTAGAATGGAGCCCAACCATGTCTCGATCTCACGTTTTTGCATATTCTTGCGTGCTGCGTAATCAGTCACTTGGTCCTCTTGGATCTTGCCCACTGCAAAGTACTGTCCACGTCCAAAGACAATGGCTGAAACAGACGCACCTGGATCCATAGCCAAGGACTCGGTCAGATTAATGCCTGTCTGTGTTCCAATATTACCCAACTCCCACATAGTCAATTTCTCAGTATGATCTGGTTGAGATGGATAACCGGGTGCGGGACGAATACCCTGGTACTTGATCGACAGCATATCAGTTACATCCATGGCTTCATTTGGTGCATAGCCCCAATGTTCCCGACGAATATCCTCGTGGAGCTTCTCTGCAAATGCCTCTGCAAGACGATCAGCCAGAGACTTGGCCATAATCGATCCATAGTCATCATGGCTGGCTTTGAACTCCTCACACAGCTCATCACATCCAAACCCGGCCGAGACTGCAAACATGCCTAAATAGTCCGCAATACCACTCTCTTTGGGAGCCACAAAGTCGGACAGACACATGTACTTCTCAGTAGATTCCTTCTCCTTTTCGGCTTGTTGACGGAGGCCATAGAACTTCGCCACCACCTTGGAACGTGTCTCATCCTCATAAATCTCAATATCATCCCCAACACTATTAGCAGGATAAAAGCCTACGATGCCTGTTGCTTGGAGTTGCTTCTTTTCAATCATAATCTTCATCATCGCCAAGGCTTCCTCATGCAACTTCTTGGCCTCTGCACCGACAGTTTCGTCATTAAAGATCTTGGGATATCCACGGTTAGGATATTTGCCACGTAGCTGCCAGACCTGGAAGAATGGGTTCCAGTCAATGTGGCTGGTCACCGTGTTGAGATCAATGTCCTTGAATACCTTTGTGCCCAGGAACGAGGGCTTCACAATCTTTTCCCGCGCCCAGTCCAGAACCATTTTCTGCTCTCTTGCAGCTGCCAAACTGAGGTACCGACGATCCTTGAGACCTTCATAGTGGTCCTCACGAATCTCTTCATATTCCTCGTTGATGTCTTCAATAAAGTCCTCTCTGACCTTCTCATCCAACAAACTCGAGACAACAACCACACTCTTGGAAGCATCCAAGACATGAATAGCAGGCTGGGTATAGCGAGGCGCGACCTTGACAGCTGTGTGGGTCTTGGAGGTGGTAGCACCACCGATCAAGATAGGAACCTTCAGCCCTGCGCGCTCAGCCTCCTTGGCTACGTGGATCATCTCATCTAATGAAGGAGTGATCAGTCCCGAGAGTCCAATAACATCAACTTTTTCATCAATGGCTGTCTGGATAATCTTCTCGCACGGTGTCATCACTCCAAGGTCAATGACCCTGTAATTGTTGCAACCCAACACGACCGCCACAATATTTTTGCCAATGTCGTGTACATCCCCTTTGACCGTCGCCATCAGAACCGTGCCTGAATACCAATTATCATCATCTGCTAGCCCCTTCTCCTTAATGTTCCTGAGGCGTTCCTCCTCCATAAATGGAATCAAATGAGCCACAGCAGTCTTCATCACACGTGCTGATTTGATGACTTGAGGCAAGAACATCTTGCCAGCACCAAATAGATCACCCACAATGCTCATACCGTTCATCAAAGGTCCTTCAATAACATTCAGTGGACGGGGATACTTCACTGTGTCCTTGCGAGCCTCCTCTGTATCCTCGACAATATATTTGACAATGCCCTTGATCAAAGCATGCGCCAAACGGTCCGCAACAGGCCGGCTTCTCCACTCCTCAGTCTCGGCCTCCTTTTTGGCGCCTTTGGCATTGGCTTGCGCATAGGCGAGCAACTTGTCTGTCACCTCCGGATCCTTGTTCCAGACCGCATCCTCGCATAGCTTGAGCAAATCCTTAGGAATCTCGTCATAAACTGTCAAGAATCCGGCATTGACAATACCCATATCCATGCCAACTTTAATGGCATGATACAAGAACACACTGTGCATTGCCTCGCGAATCACATCCATACCACGGAACGAGAATGACAAGTTAGAGACACCTCCACTGATCTTGGCTCCGGGCAAATTGGCCTTGATCAATTTGATGGATTCAATGAACTCGACTCCATAATTGTTGTGTTCCTCCATTCCTGTACAGATCGTCAGGATATTGGGATCAAAAATAATGTCATTTGGATTAAATCCAACTTGATCCACCAAAATGTGATAGGAACGAGCACAGATCTCAAATTTACGAGAACAGGTATCTGCCTGGCCAGTTTCATCAAAAGCCATTACAACAACTGCAGCACCAAATCGACGGACCACCCTCGCTTGGCGAATAAATTCTTCTTCACCAGCCTTGAGTGAAATACTGTTGACGATACATTTGCCTTGAGCGCATTTCAAGCCAGCTTCAATCACTGCAAAGTTGGAAGAGTCAATCATCAATGGGACTTTGCTCACATCTGGGTCACTGCTCAACAAGTTCAAAAATCGAGTCATGGCTGCCACACCATCCAACATGCCCTCATCAAAATTGACGTCCACGATTTGAGCTCCATTTTCAACCTGAGCACGGGCAATGGCTAAACATTCATCATATTCTCCCTTGAGTACATGGCGCGCAAACTTGCGCGATCCTGCTACGTTGCAACGCTCTCCGATGTTGATAAAGTTAGAGGATTGATCGACTTTCAAGGGCTCTAAGCCAGACAACAACATGCTGCTGATCGTGGGTTCATTTTCAAACTTGCGTGGTGGATAGGACTTGCAGGCCTCAGCGATGGCTCGGATGTGGTCTGGTGTGGTACCACAGCATCCTCCAATAATCGATACCAATCCTTCTTTTGCAAATACTTCCACCTGTTTGGCCATATCTGATGGTGATTCATCATATTCTCCGAATGCATTAGGCAAACCCTGTTAAAAAATAAATAAATAAATAAAATGATGGCAAAAAGAGGTATAAGAATACGATTTTCAAGTGGGGGATATCGATTATAGAAGGCAATGAAGGGTATGAAACGTACTGCGTTAGGATAGCAAATGACATGTGTCTTGGCAGCCTGTCCAATATTATAAATAAAGGGTCTCATTTGATCAGCACCCAAAGCACAGTTGAGTCCGATTGCGAAAGGATCCGAATGTTTCATTGAGATCACAAAGGCTTCGCCAGTCTGACCACTGAGTGTACGTCCGGACATGTCGACAATTGTTCCAGAGATGAACACTGGAGTCCTGCGGTAGCCCTCCGAGAAGCAAAGATCGATTGCATATAACGCGGCTTTGGCATTAAGGGTATCAAAAATAGTTTCTACCAGAAGGATATCGGCCCCACCATCCAACAGACCCTTCGTCTGCTCTGTATAGGCTTCGACCAACTCATCAAAGGTGACGTTTCTGAAGGCTGGGTTTTCGACTGAGGGAGAAATCGAACATGTCCTGTTTGTCGGTCCGAGCGCTCCACAGACAAAACGTGGACGATCTGGTGTTTGCGCAGTCATCTATTGTTTTTTAAAAGACAAATACCCTGTTACTTAGTTAATCATTTCAGTGTATTATTGACGATTAAAAAAAATAAAAATAAAATAAAAATAAAAAGGGTAACCTTTTCACATGCTCTCCTAGCAACTTCAGCCGCGACTTTATTCATGCGATAGGCTTCTTTTTCAAGTCCATAGTCCAGTTGGGCAATTGAGGTGGATGAAAATGTATTCGTCTCGACCATGTCTGCTCCTGCGTCCAGATACTGCCAGTGAATTTTCTCAATTGCATCCGGTTGCGTGAAGACCAACATATCGTTGTTACCCTTTAGATCCTTTGGATGGTCCTTGTATTCCTCACCTATTAGTTACATGAATTGAATAATAGTCATGAGAAATGAGTTGGAACAAACAAGTAGTTCTGATCCATAATATAAATTGATACGATTAGATCTGACTAGAGGAGGAAAAAGAAGTTCGGAGTTGGAAAAAAGAAAAAAAGAAAAAAAGAAAAAAAAAAAGACAAGCTCTTCTGTTTGTCTCCTGGTTGCTTCTAATTTCCTTCATAAGGAGAGAGCAAGTCAGAAAAGAAAAGTATCTAACCTCGAAAGTCAGCCTCGGTGAGACGTAGACGTTGGATCATAGTTCCCATGGCACCATCAATGAACATGATACGCTCCTTGAGCGTCTTTTCTAGGTATGCCTGGACATCTAAAGCAAATTTAAAGCGAGCAATGTTGTATTAATTGGCATTAGTTGGTTGACTTTTCAAATAAAAGGGTGAGCACAGACTTTGAGCTGAAAGAGCTGGGAGAGTGTGTTGTGGATACTAAAGTCCATACCAGAGGGTCGAGTCATGCTATTGACCTGTGTATGAATGCAGAAATGAGAAAACAAAAAAGGGGACGAAAAGAATGAATCGGATGGGAAATGAGTCCAGAGGAGTGAAGGAAGTAAAGAGAAAGAGAAAGAGAAAAAGAAAATGAGTCAGGGAAAAGGGGACAAAATTGGTTGGGGACTGGAAGGAAACACACACACACGCGCCAGATCACTTTACTTTATTCACAACAATGTGGTCTAAGAGTGTAACAATCCTCTTCTCTTTCTTCCTTCTCTCTCCTCTCTCAACTCTCTCAAATGGCCTTTTGATTCTTTCTTCACTGATTGGCTGCCTTAATTCTTACACTCGATAGCTTTGTTCTTCATTCTCCCCTGTACAATACTGCTTGCAGATCTCCACCTGGCATCTGCACCAGATAGGTTGTATATATAATTTGTATTCACCCCAGGAAAAAAAAGATTGCAAAGTCTAAGCACGTGCCGATCATCTGTGTCACACGAAACCCGATTTCTGTGACCATTTCTCACACAAGCTGGTGCCTCAAACGAGATTTACGCGGCAAACTCTCATTTTGTCTTTACATGTGCATGTTGCATGTTCGGAATAAAAGCAATATAAGCAATAATAGGTTTTCAATCCTACACGTTTTTTTTTTTTTTTTTTTTTTTTTTTTTTTGGATATTTGAGAGGAGCATTTGCCAAATGTGCAGACATTTGAAATAAACCAGCGTATTTCGAATGGGTATTTCAAAATGCGTTTAGATGTATTCGCTTGACTGTCTTTAATGAGAACGGACACATTTACAGTTTTTGGCCAATGCCCAAGTTTCTTTATTTTTATTGTTTTTTACTGAAGTGGAGGGATTCCTTTGATACAATTGTACTTGAGCGTACGAGGACAAATGGCAGGATCATATTCACACGAGGTAGCTGCACGGCAATTGTCGCATGATCTGACGCAGTATGCCTGGCTCACACTAATAAGCGCAGCAATAATCGCAGTAACAATCAAAATCTTGTGCATGATGGAGGCAAGAACGCGAAAGTATAGATCAGCTATGAAATAGGAACAAAAAAAAAAAAAAAAAAAAGAAAAAGAAAAACAATGGTTAATAGGTTTGTGAGGGAAGGGGAGGGGAGGAAAAGAGAGAGAAACCATTGGATAAACTTACTAATGAGAATAAAGATCAAGGTGATAGTAAAGGAAAAGGAAAAAAAAAAAAAATTCATAGCCTTCTTTATTATATACATTTTTTTTTTTTTTTTTTTTTTTAATTACGCCTTCATAGACAGCATGCTTGTGCTGCGTGTTCTTTTCAGGCTCCAAGCCTTGGTAAGAGAAGAGCCGTGGGAACAGAGGACAAGGGTGGCCAAGGCCCATAGGATCATAAGATAAATGTTCTCTAAACAAGCTTTTTGATTTGTCAATGTTATGCAATGTAAACAGATGTCCCCAGACGCCTGTTTTTTTTTTTTTTTTTTTTTTTTGAACAGAGAGCTTTTTCTTATGAGCAGGCGCACAGCGAGTGATTGGATACAAACGACGCGTCGTGCAGATGAGTTGATTTGTTTATCAACAAGTAGCTCGCATGCATGGTCATGTCCTGTGAAAATGCGATTATTTTTTTATACATATCCAAGATCGATCAAAGTCGACCTACACAAACATCTCGCATACTCATTTAGATGCACCCAAAGTACATAGTGCGCTTGCGTGCTGGAATAAAATGCATGGTTGGCAGCCCTGAAACGGCAGGAGAAGGAGAGCTCGAGTAGAAAAAAAAGTTGAGGGAAGTACGGCTTTGTGGAATTTATTTATGTGGTTGCTATTAAAAGCTTGATTAGCATAGATTGTGCTGAAAGGTGAGGTTGAATGTCGATTCAAATGTTCACTTCATGTCACATCTATAAATGCTGATCTAGGCATCTGGGGCCTAGATCGCCTTCCTGATGAAAGTGCGTATTTATTGCTGCTCTGTTTCCTTCCTCAGATCAACGAACACGTACCCATGTGTTTCCTATCGCCATAGAGGCATTTGGGCAAATTTTATCTCAAACCCGATTGATTGGTGAAGCACCAACCAAAAGAATGAATGTTTATCTTCACGCATTTCTATCTCGGAAGACAAAAACAATAAAGTAAGGCATATGTGAGGATGAATGTAGCGCATACTTGTAGCACAAGAATGACCATGTTACGCCCAATCGGCCAACTTGGGGAAAAAGCTACACGCGCTTTAATTGTTTTTTTACTTGATTTTATTTAGCTTGTGCGAGTCAAGCTTACATATCCACAGTTTCCTATCGGGACAATCCTTTGATGTAGATAATAGGATGACCCTTATAGTGGATGATAACGGCTTTAATCACAATGGTACCCACGAGGGCAACCTATGCGCATTTGAAGCAAAATGCTTGTGCGCTTGATAAGATGATAGTTGTAAAGTATTTGAGTATATAAATAAATAGATGAAGAAAAAAAAAAAGTAGCTTATTGTTAGAAAACTGGTGTGGCATGCGCTATTCTCTTTTTCTCTTTTTATTCCAATGCAATCCCTTGCATTCAGTCCTTTCGGCATACCCACCTCGATTTATTTTGTGTTGTTTATTGCCCAATAAGATCCTGCTGATTTATATGTAGTTGCTTTGATATACATTCTACAATGATGCGTCTCTATCATGTTCTTTCTTACTACTGTTTAATTTGGAAGGGGTAGATCTTATTTTATTTTTATTTTTTATTTTTTATTTTTTTTTTTTGAGCTAGGAAATCTCAGTTACCGTTGTCATTCTCAAAATCATCTCTGAGCGCTTTAATAGCTTCGATAGATCCAATAATGGCGCTGAGAACACCAGTTATGACAATAGCGGCACACCAAGCCAGTTCATACCGCCTCATGTGTCTCCATCCAATCAACTTGAAATAAAAAACAATCGGTAATACATAAATCATGGAGCAATTGGCTAGAGCCCCCAGAAGGGACAAAAAGTCTCCGAAATAAGGGACAGTGCATGCGGTGATCCCACAGAATGCAATAAGAAGGACGCGAATAATCGTCCGGTAGAGATACTCCATAGCGTTTCCGTGATGAGCGAGCTTGATATTGGCTATGCGCTCTAGTTCTAGAGAAACGGATATCAATGGAATGGGCGCAGCAAATAGGACATGGAGGACAATGACAGTAGCCCCGATCTTGGTGAAAACATCCTTAGGCAAGTTATCAAGGATAGGAGATTTCAAACGGTCGCCATAGGCGATGTAGCCGGGAATGGCGGTAGCAAGATACAGAATGGAGCATGTGGCTAAAGCGGCAGTCACAACACGATTCCAATCTTTGGGCCGCCGCATTGACCCCTCGACATGTGTAAAGACAATGTTACCGCCGTAGCAAACGGACATCGAGGCAAACATAGCGGGGAGGTTTTTAAATATGATGAGATGGTGCTCAACATTTTCGTATTCTGGGTTGTCAAAGTCAAGGATGGATCCACGGACAACGATAATGACTAGAACTACTGTTGCTAGTGAGCCCAAGATGGAAACGTACACGACCTCCTTCAGTGTTTTCAAGAACACAAACTGAGCTCCCACAAAGATTGCGCAGAACCAAATCCAGGTCTGGGGATCTAGTTCCACGCCAGTGATTAAACTCATTTCTGTTCCTGCGAGAATCAAGTACATGACAGGGGCACCTATTGCCAAGGTTCCATAAAAGAACCAGACAGCGATCAAACCCGGTCGCCCAAATGCATGGTAGCCCACCTCTTGAAACGAAGAGAGGCGGTATGTCCCGTTGTAATAAAGACACTTGATCAGCAGTATACTGGTGTAGATGGACATAGCCAAAGAAAGTATCAGGATACCAACACCGACCCATCCACCCATCCGGAGAGCATACGGTAGTCCTAAAGTTCCACTACCTTTTTTTATTTTTCATTTTATTCGTTATATATTATTTTTGTTAATGGGGCATAACGAACATGAAAATATCTTGAGTGAATGACCATATTGAACAAAAAAGAGAATGGCTGGAATAGAGTTACCTGCAACGATACAAAGAACATTGACGTATGCTGTAAAGTTGGAGCCCTGTGTTGGTCTCTCAGCTAAGAGGTCTTGGTTAATGGCATGATTTGCTTGACTACGAGTGTTATTGGTCAAGAGTGGGGAATACTCGGCAGTCATTTTGATGATACTGAGACCTTGAAGGAAAGAGATGTTGAAAAAAATTCCAACTCTTCTTTTCCACAATAGATAATCATATAGAATTTTACTTCGCCAACTTCCCCCTTTTTTATAATTAGCCCCTCTCAGTGCTCGCTTTTGGGACCGCTTTTTGGGACCGCTTCTGGGTGCACGTACACAGTTAAGGGGGCTACTCAGTAGTTTCGTGTATCAAAGAAAAAAAGCAAAAGCATCGTCCTCAGCTCTGCAAATGGGGTCTTGAAAAAAGTGAATTTGTAGCTTGTTCAATTATCCATACTCCACCACATCATATCACTGGGACCAAACTCGAGATTTTAGAAGGGGTCAACATTTTTTTCTTCAAAAAATATTTCAAAGTCGTACAAACGGCGGGGAAATGGCCTTTTTTTTTTTTTTTTTTTTTTTTTTTCTTCCAAGTCGAAATATGCCACAAGAAATTGACCCCCCCTAAAATCTCAAGTTTGGTCCCAGCCTGTCAGTGAGCGTTAATGTAATGCACATAAGCCATACAGACTGGTGACGAGCCTAAGTTTATGTTTGGCGAAGTCGAATTGTGATGAGAAACAGATTGCTTACTGGCCTCACTCGTAGCCTCAAGTCATATACTTTATTTTATTTCTTGACAAGGAGAGTTTAAAGCATCTTTGGCCTCAATATCTTTATCTAAGTTTATGTTACAGATTTTCGATCCATTTGGTGCTAACAGATTTGGTCGAAGAAGATGCGGCATTGTATGTCGCAATCAGACGCTCTGTTGCTAACAAATCAATTGCTTTCAAATCTTCCTGAGATGTAGCTGTGGAATCTTTTGACGGTGATAATTTAAGTAAATGAGATGTGCACTAATATTTTGGAAATTACAACGATTTAGTGTTTCATATTGGAGAGCAACATAACATGAAATTCCAGTTCAGGAAAGATAAAAAAATAAAAAATAAAAAAAAGAAATGGTTCTTTACCAATTTAATGCCATAAAGACCGCGTACATGGTCCTTGCACAGCTCCACAACGCGACAGAATTGCTTCAACGCCAAACCAATACTCTGCTGCGAGTATAAAATCTCTGCATATTTGAGGTGAAAGATATGGTTCTGAGGTTGAAGCATGATCACCTCCTCCATGCAGAATGCAGCTTGTGAATACCTATTTGATAATTCAGGAGCGTTGTTTGTGTTAATTTCGACAGTTGCGCGTGCGCTGTATTTCATCCTCTTTGCTCTGAAAATAAGAGAGAGTGAACGGAAGAGGAAGGAGAGGAATAAAAGCCTTACATGAGTTGTTCCAGATAAAGATCAGCCAGCTGAAGCCATCCCTCAAAATCAGTATAATTAATATCCAAGTATTTGACCAAAGCACTAATGGCATCTGATGGTAAACCCATTGCACGAAGCAGCATGACCTGGCGTTTTGCAGCAAGCTGATAAAGGGAAAGGAAAGAAAAAGCGAAAATGAAATGAACGTGTCAACAGCATTTTTTTTTCTTTTCCTATTCTGTAAAGAGAAAAATAAACTAGATGCCTTACAATATTCGTTTCATCCTCCTGAAGAATGGCTTTATAGATCTCCCCTGCTTGAATTAGTTCGCCTTCAGCCTCCAGCTTCATTCCATGTAAGCGACGCACACGAGCTGATCCTGGAAACTTTTGTTCAAGAGCTTGGATGCACCTCTACACAATGAAAATCAAAAGATAAAAGTCAGAATGATACTCTTTCTGCGAGGCCCTTATAGGAAGATAGCGAAGGTTGTATTACAGGCTCTTCATAAACTTACTTGAGCAAGTGCATCATCACCAACATCTAATGCCGCGATAGCAACCTGCTCATAAACCAGCCACGCTTAGCAACCCAATTTCCAAAAAAAAAAAAAAATCGTTAAAATATGCTTATTAGCCTTCGTTTTTATTGATTTCCTTGAGTCCTTTCTTTTTATTTTTGTACCATCTGCATCCAGCTTTTTGACAGCTCCATTCTCCACCAAAGGTTTTCCTAGTCTGACAACTACATCTGGTTTGCGCTCTGCAGATGCACGCAGATCCTGAAGCACTTTTGCGGCGTTGACCATCTGTTATAAATCCCTGAATCCTGTAGCTGTTATAAATGGAATTGGCGCAAGGTTGTATGGAGGCTCCTGGTCGAAGTCAAGTAGATGATGGGTTTGAAACACTGCTTGGAGGTCCAGAAAAAAAAAAAGAATGCAGGACTGCTTTCTTCACACGTTTTTTTCTACACGCAACGATTAAATTCTCACGAAAAGAAGAGATTTCTCTTTCACTCTTGTTCTCCACCTTATTTAATAGCTTCTTTCTTCACATCTGATCTCAACCTCGCTTGACCGCTTCTCTCTCCTCTTATTCACCCTTGCTTTTCTTACCATAAGCTCCCTATAATGATTCCTCATGGCATCCAGTTACCGTCCAGTATGTCAGAGCAGAGGGAATTCGTCAAACAGACCATTTAGGACTGGAAATTGGTGTACCAAAAATATTTCAAATCAACTAGACCATGGTTAAGGATTTCTTGCGTGCTAACGGATGCTTTGGTCGAAAAATTAGCCATGAACTTCATCAAAGCTACGACGTCTCAATTAGTAGCGTCAATTACTGACTGGACTTTTATCAGCAACGATATTTTGATGGAACTTACTAATATTGTCAAATTAAACAAGAATTTTCAGTCGGCGCCTGTGCGCGCATCAGCACAGAAAGAGCTTCCCAAGCAGGCCATAAAGGACTGTAGATTGATAGTGTATCAAAGGGACTTCAAGCCAGTTAAGCCATGCTTAAGGGTTTCTTGCGTGATAACGCATGGCTTGATCGATAGATTGGCCGAAAACTTTGTCGAAGTTACGACGTCCGAATCGGTAACGTCAATTACTGACTGGACTTTTATCAGTGACGATATTTTAACGAAGCTCAATAATATTCTTATCAAATTAAATAAAGATATTGATGATGAATGCCATTCAATAATGCAGCTGCAGCCCGATCAAAATGGAAGGTCCATGGCAGGATTAGGGTTCACATTCAAAAGTATGACCTCCAGTATACCCTAGCCCCCAATAGCAGTCGACACTCATCAGTTTCTATGGATGTCGATATCGGAAGAATAATGGCTCATTTTAAGAATTAAATATCCTTGTTTGCTTGGTGTCAATGTTCCGATTGTTAAAAGATTTGTTCAGCGAGGGCTTCGAAAACTGTGAACAGGATGTTTCCAAGGCTTTGCTGAATACATTTCCACATACGCAAGAGTAATGAGGATATGACAGTTGTTCTCGTGAATCTTGCAGCAGAGGGTGAGCAGACGGAAGTATATGTTACCTCTTGCTTCTCTGAAATCATGCAAACGAATGAATGCAATAGCCCAGACTTAAACGTAGATATCGTGTGGTGGATTCAATGCTTCAGACCTGGGTGAAGTGTCCACGAAGCGGTACAAGAATCCCATCGCGGACTGATCTAGTATTTTCCAACATGTCGAGTTCAAACAAGCGTGACTACTGTTATTATTGTATGAATATATTTGTGTATGGGTTTATAAAGCTTCCGTCAATTGAACCAAAACGTACTGCAGAGATTGTGTGCCCATCAATCAAATCAATGACATGGACCTTTTTTCTTTCTTTCCAGAAATAACAAATACGTTTATTTTGTTTTTTTTTTGTAAGGAAAGTATGTGATTCAAATATCAATTTGGGTCTTGAAGACAGCCGAATGTTTGTTGATATTGGATTGGCCAATATACTTCGCTGCATGGATGACCTTTATGAGCATATTATTATGCTCCTGGTACAAACTCGTCGGGATCCATGCATTCTTCTTGTTTTATTTTTTATTTTTTATATTTTTTATTTTATTTATTTATTTATCAACAAGGAGGCTATGGCCTTCCTCCGTTGTTTAGACTAACCGTGGTGAATCCCATATGTCAAATGTAAGAGCTCGTCCGCATAACTCTTCATCCCTTCAGCTTGGAACATGACGGGTATTGTTCCTAGTACATTTTTGATTGTACCCGACGTCTCTGATCTTGACGGCTGCACTCAATCAATATAAGTAAAAACATTTCCGAAGAGTAAGACCGCGTTTGCATTCACATTGCCGCCTTCCTCGGCGGTCCACTGTAGATCGTGTTAGCATTTCTGTATCATAACCTTGACTTCCTTGAGAACTTTACCATGAATGTCGTCCGATGTGCCATGATTTTCCAGCCTATATTCATAAATCCACGTTTCATCGGTATCTAACTCAAATTCAGCATCCCATAGTCATCAGAGCACTGCAGCGGAAATATGCCTTATCAACTCGTCCGAGGTGTGAAAGTTCGATGTATCCAGGCCTAGACGCTTGCTCTAAATTAATACAATATGGCGCTGGTGTGCACAAAGAATTGTTCCAAGTCACACACCATTTTTTTTTTTTTTTTTTTTTTTTGAATTTTATTTATTCATACGGATTCAGTGTTTTAGTTTTTTTACTGCTTTTGAAGATTATATTGGCGACGCACCTCATCCGCAATATATTCCTTAAACTCCCTGTGCTTGGGTTCCCAGCCCAAAATCTCTTTGCCCTTCGCAGCTCTTGATCTCGAATTACCACCCAATAAGCTCCCAGAGTTCTCTGGCCAATAAGTCTGTTCCTCCTCTGGATTAGTTGCTTGTACCTCTCCAGAATCATTCACCCCCAATTCTTTCAAGGCCTTTGCAATCTCCCTTGCAACTTCTCCCCAAGTGAAATCTTCTCCTTCTTGCACAAAATAATAAGCATCTTCATTCTTGGGCAAAGGTGTTCGATCTTGATCAGAAGCAGCTTGTCTTTCTTCTTCTTCATCTTGAGGCTCTTGAAGTGCACGCTCCAACAATGAAACGTAGAAATGAGCCAGGTCTGCCACATGAACCTTTGACCAATAGTTCAATCCCTGTCCAATTTGGAGAGCCTGTTGGCTCTTGAGTGAGGCGCTCACATGCAGAGGCACTTGAATCGAGTTATGGTTACCAGGTCCAGCACCGAAGCCCCAGATCGTTGGCGGTGCAACAATGTAAGTGTCTACTTTGCCAACCAACTGAGGGGAAATCACCTCCAGGTCCACATTTCGATGGGGTTGTGTTGGTTTCAACGTTGAGAGCTGAGCTACATCATTGTCATAGTAAATGGTGTCGCTTCCGAATTTACCGTATGCACCATCTAGGAGGACACCTGTACCGCTGGTATGAATCAATATGGGGCGCTTACGACTGTCAGCATGGGCACGAGGTCGGTGCAATAGACCCTTGATGACGGCCTTGGCCGAAGGGAGATGGTCAGCATCCGCAGCGGCAAGGACCACATCTGCTTTCGATGCTTCTTGCTCTAGGAGGTTACTGTCGTCCAACGAACCTAAAACAGGCTCAATGCCGAGTGAACGAAGACGATCAGCCTTTTCTTGAGATCGAACAAGGGCATGAAGCGCATACTTGGTGCCGATCGTTTTCTTTTGATGAAGCAAATCAATAATAGAGGATCCGATATAACCGGTAGCCCCGAGAAAGAAGATTCGGATAGGTGCCATTGTATGTACTCTGCTTAAAAAAATAAAAAGGATGCTTGAAGGTTGTTTTTACACACTTGATCAAAGAGTGGGTGGGAGAAAAAGAATGTGATAGAGAAGAATGCGTGGGAAATGGATGGTTTAAATTTGTGCTCTTTTTATATTGAATGGGCCTGTGCGTTTTACCTCCTCATTGCGCAATTATCCCCATTGCTTAAAAATCAAACATTGATTAATCATCCTACACAAATTTTTTTTTTAAGTTTTTGATTTTGCTCTTCTATATTTTTAATTCTATATATACAAAATGAACAGGGATATTATGTATGGACAGTGATACCATTTCGTTGCCACTATCATCATTATTCTAATTTAAGGCGACATCGGTACTACTACTGGACCTTCCAATAGCAGTGTTTTTATCAAGTCCACCATCACCACTGCCTCTCAACATGTCGTGTCGGATACACTTGCTTTCTCTGACGATGGCATTGGCGTTTGTGACGAGACGTCCAAAGATCCTCGATGACCCTTATCATTATATACACCATCTCTATCCTGATCTGCATGCTGCTTCTGATTATGGGAGGCAATAGGATGCTGTCGATCATGATGCTGCCGCTGTTGCGAATGATATTGCCATCTCTTGTCCAGAATATGGTCGGGATTTTGCCTATGATCGCCGGAGCCTCGCTGGAGTCCATGATGGTGGCTTGTGTTACTAAGTGGTTTGAAGTAGCTTAGCGGAGATGATGAACCAATTGTATTAATGTCGTAACTTGAGGAAGTATGTCTTTTCCTTTGAGAAAACCAGCGAGATCGAACGACCAAAAGACTAGAGACTACACCGGACTGAATCATCTTATCCGCAGCTATACCCAGCATGACCTGACATGTTGTCAATGATGGTTCGGCATACTGTGCATGTGAATGGGAAGCTCCAATGCCTGTACCAGGCATATCGGCTTTTCGACCACGAGACAATGACCGGGCACCTCGACTGCTAGAGCGGCTCTTGGGCTGCCCCATCCCCTGAGATCGACCTAACCGTGCTTCCTCTGAACCGGCGCGAGGATGATGAGAGAATGGTGTCAGTGTAGAATGGCTCTTTCCTTCTGGGGTTGACTTTCCTATCTGCAATGACTCTGATATCTGGTGAGCTGACAGAGATCCAGTACTAATGGGACTCTCCCCCTGAGATGAGCTGGACGGAAGGGTGATCCCACGGCGCTCAAGGATCGTAGGCGAACTGGGATAGGTATTTGGGCGGAGCCGATTATCCTCTCCTGGTGCTTCCATCGAAGGCACACGAGAGAATCCGACAGTTAAAGGGGTTTGGTGATTCGGGGAGCTTGCTTCAAGCGATACTTTGGAATCAAAGCCCATCACTATCAAGTCCTGTGCAGTCAAGCAATTTCGTGCCCACTGAACTGCGTCTGAAAGCTCTTGGAAGGGGAGAACCTTGATTCCTTCTTCAAGCTCATCATCATCTTCAACAATAATTTCAAGTGCATGGTTTCCCGTCCTTTCCATGGTTTGTTGGTGCTGAGTCTTTCCACCTTGGGATGGAGGCTTATGTGGGAAAAATTTCTTGAATAGAATACTATCATCCTTAGGTACAACCATGTCTTGTGGAGCTTCTTTTGAACGATGCGATATTGACTCCTCCTCAAAATGCCGCTCAGAGATGTCCGGAGCCGGAGACAGAGGTCGATTGTTCAAGGGCCCCTGGGAATGGGCACGACCGTGTGATAGTACAGAGAGATGCTGGTCTTGCTGATGGGCTTCATTAACACTTGAGCTTGAAACGCGCAAGATAGTCACAAAGCACCGCGTATTTCTTGCTAAGCAGGATGCAAGGCATAGAGCCTCATAGTCATCCTCACCGCCCAATAGAGGGACCACAATATGTTCTACTCTTCCGAAAAGACCCAGTCCTCGATCCACGAGGACAGCAGTTGCAATGTTGGATTCAGCACTCGCAGGAATTAGCTTGGAGAGAACCTTAGTGTTGGATGCAATGCTTGTTCGATGGTTCTGGCTCTGGCTGTTGCCTTGCGGAGACATATCGACGTGTCCACTTGCAATCCTTTGTGCCTCCTCGTGGTCGAAATACCGTGAAGCATTGAACGGGAACTGGCGCGGTAACAAGTCTGATGTACCATCGACACCAATACTTGGTGTCCCCGGCGTAGATGTAATAGCACCACTGGCGCTAGTCACTGCCGTGTTTGCCATCGATATCATAATACCTGGATTTAGGTGGCTTCCACCCGTAGGATATCCGGCCTCGGAGGCAGGTAAATCTGTCAGGTGAGAAGAATTCCATGGATACACGATCCAACCGACATTGAGATCCTCAGCCCTGTCTAGTACGTCTTGAGCAACAGTCGATTGAGCAGTATCAGTCGAGATTGCGACCAGTGGTTTCAAAGGGACAGAACACAGCTTGGCAAATGCCATAACCATCATCATTACTGTGTCCTTGTAAAGTCGGTCCATGCATCGGGAGGCAGTCAACATTGCTGCCGATGTGCGCTCAGTAATATGTAAGAGCCGGATGGCATAGACCTTAGAGTAGTTGATTTCATACTCTGGATCCATATTAGCCTGCATATGTGGATGATGTCCCTTTGGGTCGGATATATCAATGGAGGGCTGAGAGGTGCCCTGATGTCGGTTCCTTTGTTGCTTTGGTGTAAGGCCAGTGCCCTTCTCATGGTATCCAGGTACAACACGCGCTGAAAAACTTCTGGCACGACTTTGGGTCGAGGTTCCTGAAAAGAGCTGCAGCAAAGTCATAACCCCAGGGGCATTCGCTGTCTTGTCCAGACAAAACATGATTGAGTTACGTTTCTTCCATCCCTGCCCCGGTCTTAATTCCACATCGTCCTCATCATCGCCATGGACGGACTGGCTATTCGGGGCATCGATGTGGATGCCATCTAGGCCCTCGAGACGGCCGTTTGTATTTTCCATTGAGCCTCGACCCTGTCTTTCTTTCTCAATATCGCCCTCTTCCCCACGTCTGTGTCGTAGGTTTTGTACTAAAGCGGATAGGAAGCCTCTCTTTTGGGAACTTGAAGGAGATTCATCGACTGATGCCTTGAGGTTATTATTTGACCGAACCCCTTTGAGCTTCCGCTCTGCTTCTCTCTTGGCTTCCAGAGCCTTTTGGTAAGAGACCGGGTACAGATAGCTGACTAAAGGGGTTGCGATCATAGTCAATAAGAGGCACATGGCAATCATAATGACAAACACTCTGTCGCTAAGCACACCAGCGTCGTGCGCGAGGTTAAGGACGATGTACTCGACTAGTCCTTTGCAGTTCATCAGAAACCCAATCGAAAGCGCTTCTCTCCATGTCATACCATTGACCTTCGCTGCGGATATACAGCCAAGCATCTTACCAACAAATGCAATCAAGGTAACCATGATCACATATCCCCAGGTAAGGCCGTTATCCAATAGGCCCACCTCCGTCTTTAAGCCGGAGCATGCGAAAAACTAGAAGTGAGAGTGAATGGTTTTGATTAGGTGAGACATGCTGTGACCATGAAAAATATTGTCACTAGCAAAAGAATAATAGTAATAGTTGCTGTATTTACAATAGGCAAGAAATAAACCCCCACAAGATCCTCGATGCGGCGCGTCAAGCCTTCTGCAAAGCCGGAATCATGTGGAATCAATAGGCCAACGAGGAACCCTCCCATGATGGAGTGGACTCCGATGATATGAGTGGCGAATGAGCTTGTGAGGACAACAACTAATGTGATGACAATCATCTTTTGTGATGGTTCTTCCTCCTAGGTAAAATAAAAAGTTAAGAATACATTATAATGATTAACATCATCTTTGAAGGACACAACACCAGGAAAAGTAAAGCAGTGATGAAAGTCCTTACAGAATGGGTTAGGCGCACCAACGACATCAAAATTGGGCGAACGATGTAAACAAGGATAACACACCATCCGATGGACATTAGCACAACATAGAGTGGCATGATAGGCGTAGTTGAATTGAACAGACTGACTAATAGGGCAACAAGGACCCAGGCAAATATATCTACTGCTGCTGCTGAGCAGACGGTGATAAATCCAACTGTTGTGCTCATCAGCTGCATTTCTGTAATAATCACGAGAAGAGATGGGCATATTGAGTATCGACGAAAAATTTCCTTTACAGCTATATTCATTGGGCTAATTAGGTTCCATTAAATTTTTACCTGCAAGGATACGTGCTAATATCGGGAACGCCTACGAATGTTTTAAATTATGACGATGCATTCATGCCTCATTAGCCACTACCGTATTTGAACAATATGCCAATAATAAGGGGATCCCATCGTCCCATTGGAACATCCCGAGACTTACTGTCAAGCTCATCGCCATTCCACTGGCCAAGAAAAACGTTCCAAATGAAGGAGATGGCCTTGTCTCTGTGGGTTGTTCAAACTGCCTGTAAAGTAGAATAGCTGCGCCGCAGGAGAAGATAAAAGGGAGTACTAGGCCTGCAATGGAAATGCCTAACGCATACTTCGCACGCTTGAGGATCAGTTTAGGATCGAGCTCCAACCCAACCAAGAAGAGGAACAAAACCAGGCCTAGATTGGATACTAGGTTGAGAAAAGGAATAGATTCACTAGGGAAGATCAGGTCATTGAAGCCTGGGATCTGACCAAGGATGGACGGGCCTAGAATGATTCCTGATAAAACCTCAGAGACGACCTTGGGCTGGCGTAAGCGATACATCAACAGGTTGACCGCATAGCATAACGATAGGATGATGACGGTCTATTGGCAATTAAACATAGCAATGAGAATGAATAATGAAGACCCTAAATTGTAGTAGAGCAAAGAGAATGCAATAAATAATAAAAATCATGATGGATAAACTCACTTGTACGATAAAAAGTGGCAGGGGATCGGCTAGATCAAATCGGATAGGGTTCTGTCCATTGAGGATATTGCCTACAATGGAGCAAAACATATCATGCACAAGCACATCATTATGGTGGTCAGACCAAAGAACAAAAACGAGTGGTAAATAGTGCTGATCCAGAGATATGGAGAATGAGAAGTAAAAAAAAAAAAAGTAGAGGCCTGTATAAAGCACACTTGACAACGAATGATAGGATATCATTGAGAGGGGCTGCATAGTTATCCGTCTATCGTTTCCTGAGAATTCTTTTGGTATAGGACACCAAGCCCGTTTTTTTGTTTTTGTTGATCCTCATGTTAAAAAATAAGGAGTAAGCGCAGGATATTGGTTTTCCCGTCCTTGTTTCTCAGTGAACAACGCAGTAACGAAAATGCATGCACAAACGTGCATTCGGAGATGAATGACGGATCAAGCAGTGTTTCCTCTTTCCTCTCCTATTTTCCCTTTTTCCTTCTTCCTTCGTTGAATACTGTTGAATTAAACTCAAAAGAAATTGAGAAGTCTGTGTGCGGCTGAGCAAATAAATCGTGGGGAAATAAAGAGATCCTCGAGATAAATAAATAAAAAAAATAAAAATAAAAAATCAGTCACTCACCACCAGCGTGCGACTTCTCATCACCAGTGCTATTGGTGGGAGCCATCTTGTATTAGCTGGAGGAAAAATAAAAATGAATGTGTATGAAAAAGGATGAGAATGAATGTGGGAATGAATGGGTAAAGAGAGGAAGAGAAATAGAAAGCTGATCCTACAGAGGGAGGAGATAAAAAAAAAGACTAAGGAGGGGAGTACCATGAGTTTTATAGGTTTAAAGGTGCAGTTGCCTTATCTGGGCTCAAAAAATACTATGTGTTCACTCTGCATTGTATCCGAGAACTATCCTGCCATGTTGTTCCAGTCATGTGGGGACATCGATCCGGATAAATGTATTAGCTCAAATTCGATAAAGCCTAATTGAGCAAATCAAACAAAACTGGGAATAAGCAACTGGCTTTGTCGTAAACAAAGGACACGTTCGATTTGATCAAAAGTGTATTGGGGTGGCGGAGACACCCAAAATGCCTAAAGTGGAGATAAAAAGCACATTTGCCAACGCACATATTTTTATCATACAAGGCTAATGGAGGAAAATAGGAGACAATGACATCAATGGTAGATCAAAAAAAAAAATAGGTAAAAGCCTAGTCATACGAACATGTGCAGCACTTCTTTATTCACGAGGACGCCTCCCCCCTTATTGAAAAAGGCATCACGTTTTCGTCTGCGATTACCATTGATTCCATTGATACCATTGATGTTCAAGGAAGAGTGAAATAGTGAAGGTGTACCTACTTTTATTTCCACGTTCTCTTTCTTGTCTTGTTTCTACAATAGTTTGCAAAAACACAGGTCCTCTCCTTGTGTTTGCGTTGAATGCCTAATATATACTCTCACCTTCAAATCGATAGAGTTATCGGGGCTGAAGTCTTTGAAAGTATACACAGTATATATATATATATATACTGTACACGTACATAATTGTATCTAAAGCGAGCTGATTGGCTAGTCCAGATACTCTAGCATAATTCCAAGACATGCGTGGTTCCCAGTGCAGCAAGAAATTGTATGTGTTCAGGAACCCCTCTATCCCTTTTATATTTGCACGCGCATGAGTAATGCAGATCAATGGGACCAGAGGGTACACCTCCTTTTTATTTCAAAAAAGAAAAGACAAGTATTGAGTATCTCGCTCCACACATACTCTGCAAAAGATAAGGTTAGAGCCAGCCTTCCGTAATAGAGTTATGGTCTAAATCGATATCTGTAGCCTTAGACCCCTTTGGCCCTGGTATAAATATAACATCACGAGACCTTTGGTGATCTCCGGTATCTTCAACATAGTTCAAAGTTTACTAAGGCCCAATGCTCCCAGATCTCGCCGAGGATTGATATCGAGCAAGCTATATTACAGCATTAACCGAGTTAATTGTTGCGATCCACAAAATGCATAGTGTATATAATACTATTATCACTCTTTCGGTTGGCAATGGATCGAAACGCAGAGGCCCAAAATATATTCCATCATTTCCATATATGAAATTAAGCTATATTTCATGCTTCCATCTGGCATTTAAAAGATGATTGATTTATGGAATAGTGGAAGTAGAGGTGGGATGGATGCATAAAGACAAACCAGTATTAGATAAGGGTATATGTGACCAAAGATAAAAAAGATGCTACTGCTTCCGTTCTGTCAATAATATGAAGGCTTCATCGACTGAATCTTGGCTATCAGTATAGACCTAATGAATCAGTTTTTCTATCGTCTGTCAAGGGTCCAACAACACCCCACACTAACATTGACAAGTTCTGATGTTGGTATTTCGAGAACAACAACAACAGCCTTTGAATCAAAAACGAATCAGATACAATGCAATGATATTCCAACGAATAAAACAAACAAATGGTGTTTAAATGCATCGTTGTGCTGGCTTGCATAGCCTTGAATGTAATTATCCTTCCCTCCCTCTCTCCCTTCTTCCCGCCACCCCTTTCCTCTCTTTCTTGATTGTCAGATCACATTAATTTTACTCTCTGCATTACTTAGCTATGGATGTTGCCATCTTTGACATACCGCACATCATAGATAGCATCGGTCAGTGTCTTAACCAGAGCGACCTATTCAGCTGCATCCTCGTCTCAAGGCAGTGGCATTCTGCATTCATCCCTATCCTATGGGCAGAACCAGAATATACCCAAAAGAAAAGCGTCCAAATACTCCCTACTGCACTATGGCGTTACCGCCACCACATCCGGTCCATCAAACAGCCTTGGATTGCACGTTTGTTCTTGGAGCCATTACCTATAATAGCGACAGTTCCGAGAACTAGACTTGGCACAGAAGAAAACGAGCAAGCAGAGGTAGAATGGTCCTTCCCGAATATTCAGTCATTTTGTTTCCACGATAATGCTTACTCGTTCGGTTTCCGCAATAGTCTCAAGCCAGACACCATAGATGGACAAATGAGACTGGCTAGAATGGCCAGCTCTTTTACATCTTTGAAAACTTTCAACATCCATCTCGACGGCTGGGGTAACAGGGTATTGATCGCGCTAATGGCGTCGGTGAACATACTGAGGAGCTACAACAACTTGAGAGAGGTCTCATTGTCTGTGCTTGACCCTGAAGAATACAGGTCTGAGCTCATCGCCTGTTGCTTTCATCTGCCTCTTTTGAACGCCTTTGGCTTGGAAATCAAGCGTACTATAGGTCTCACGCCAGTAACTTTAGCAGAATTCCATGATCAGCTACAAAGGTCGATAGAAAAGATATCGCCTGTGTCGGCAACTAGCACAACACTGACGCCGACAGCGCCAAAACCAATAGCAACAACAAAGATCCAGAATTTTAAATTAGCCATTAGTGGTTTCTTAGAAAAGGGGTCTATCCTGCCATTGTTTATCGAGCGATGCCCGTCGTTGAAAAGCATCAGCATATCAGATTCAGGGTCTGCTGACGGTTCATTGGGCACAGAATTTATCCGCATGGTCAAGGATGGTCGAGTTCCAAGCCTTGAGCATGCATACTTTCGGAGTGCAAACGAAGACATACACTACCCAGAGCTTAGTTTCATCGATCTAATCCAATCCACAGGGGCCGTTAGTAATGGAGGTGGCAAGGGTCTCAAAACCTTAGCCGTCAACCGTGGTTTTGATGGTTTCTCGGATCAATGCCTTATGGACCTCCAACAATATCACTCCAAGACGATGACGAGGTTAGAGGTCGGTGATTACATGCAGACCAGCCTTTTCTCAACTTTACTGGATAGTTTGCCAGAGCTCAAGACCCTCAAGCTCTCGCTAACCTATGGATACGAGCCAAAGTTACCCTTGTCTCAATCTTTAGTAGCTCGTGGGCCAAAAAACCTGACGACCCTAGTACTGAAAAGCCGCTTCGATCCCGAGCATAAGACGGAGTATAAACATCTCAACTATATTTACGCTCAGGTCTCGCTCTTGGACCAGTTACAAAAGCTTCAAGTTTACACAGACCGTCGGAATCAGTTATCGCTTAGATACAATAACTTGAAGCAGCTTAAGACTTTGAAATCGTTGAAAAAATTTTCGTGTTTCCATCTCCATAATTTAAACATTGACCCCAGGAGAGAGTACCCAATTCATCGCTTCTCAAGAGCAGATGCCGAATGGATGGATGAGAACTGGCCAGCATTGAATGAGGTCAATTTGGGTCATGATTTATGTCAAATCGAGTTTAGTACAAGGTTGAATGAATTGAGGCCAGCAGAAAGGACGAGGCACCTGTTTTCCGACTATGATAAATTCGATTTCTGATATTGAAGGCTATACAGCGACAGTAGGAGTGATTTTATAATTCATACTCTTAGTCCTCTAGTTCTTTAGTTTGTTAAAAGAAAAAAGAAAAAAGAAAAAAGAAAATTTTACTTTACATCATTATCTCTTTGCATCTTGACGAAATCATGTTAGGGAACCCATGTGCCTAGAATCAATCGCTGTGTGGATATTTGACGAAAAGAATGTATCTCGTTCTTGGCATGCACCATTTGGCAATCGTTCAAGTCTGACTTACAGGGATGTTTTGCCACTACCATAGAGAGCTGTTTTATCTTTTTTTTTATCCTTTTTGAATAAATACATGACTCCTGCATTACGCACTACGCGTTGAGGGATCAAATTTTCGTACACATTTGACATTAAAAAAAACGAAGGGGAAAATAGATCCAAAAAAACCCCCATTTCTGTTCAAGGGTCGGTCAAATGGCGAAAGCTCTTTGATGCTCATTGAGAGTAAGAAAGTCATGGCTGCCCAAGCTTTTGGTACTTTGTATCGATGTGTCAGTAATTGAACTAATTAAATAAGTAAATGCTTTGTGACCCACTTTATTATTGAATGGTTCTAGAGAGAATAGGGGAATAAGCGTATTTTATTTTATTTTATTTTTTAAGAGCGCAATTGTAATGTGAGGAAAGAATGAAAATGTGCAAATAAATGCGGTCAAGGCCAAACAAGATAAAGTCGAGGAGACGCATTAAAAAAATGGATTTATGGTGATTTGACCGAATGACACACTTGCCACTCGCTTCATTAGTCCGCTCCAATCCTCATAAAATAAAATAAATAAAATAAAAAATAAAAAGTGTAAGCGTAAGAGGCTGAAGGGCTATGAGCTGCTGTTGGTGTTATCATTTGCCGATGAAGTTTTGCCTTGTCCATTATTATTGTTAGCAGTATTATCGTCGCCTGATGAAGCCTCATTTGTACTTGATTCAGGATGGTATGATTGCAAATGAGGATGGCCGTCATATGGCTCGGTTTTTACAATATTAGAGGGATCATAAAGAGGTGGATTGCCAGTAGTAGCGTACTGGAACCGTTGATGATTCTGTGCTTGTTGAAACTGCTGTGACTGCTGTTGCTGCGTCATGGCTCCAGTGTGCATCTGAAGTCCAGAATGGTGCTGTAACGGCATAGAAATGGAAGCTGGCTGCTGCTGCGATGCATCATGGTTTTGTGTCTGATTTTGAGTTTGAGTTTGGGTCTGGTTTTGATTTTGTTGCTGCTGCTGACGCTGGATTTGGATTTGCTGTTGAATAAATGCTTGTTTTTGTTCAGATGTATAGTTGTTATGCGCCAAATGCATGTCGCCTCCCAAGGTTCCCACGCCACCCTGAGCCTCGAACAAAAGTTGGAGCCGATCCATCTCTGCAATTTCTGATGAAGTTAAGAATCGGCCACCAGGTCCGCGGGGGCGACGCATTGCATGCTTGTGGCGGGACTCGTGAAGATATGGCTTGAAAATAAAATGCAATAAAATTATGAAATACGTACACAAATACAGATTACGTTCAGTTCTGAGTGAAGACCGAAGATTAATCTAGAAAACCAAAGAAACATCTTTGCTATTATTTTTCTCTTTAATTCTTTACCTTACGAATCTTGGCTATCCTGTTCAGTTCTTCTAGTTTTGCTCTTGCTGCTCGCCTCTTTAAAATACGATGGTACTATCATCATATCGTAGAACAAACAGAAAATGAAGTTATAAATATATTATCCTGGTTCCGCTACGGCATGTAAGCAAAGGATCCAAGCGATCCTTATTAATCCTTTTTTGGTATTTTATATTTTTTGTACCTGCTTTGCGTTGACATAGAGTGGTTCTTCATCTGCTTGCACTGTAGGCTGTAAATCTGTTCCAGTCATGACTTGTGGAGGCTGCCCTATCTCTGGTTGAAATGCTCCTGCTTGGTGTTGCTGCTGTTGTTGCTGTGAATCTTGCTCGTGAACAGAGCGAGCATGTGAGGATGTAGGGGAAGATCCCGTTGGACTTTGGGGTGGCATTACTCCTGGCTAATTTCATTTAAAACAATATACAAAATCGAAGATTGAAAAAAATAAAAAAAATAAAAAAAGATCAAGGTAAGTGTCATTTTTACCTTTACCAATCACTCATTTCAGTCGTGTATTTTCAACTTACAAGTGGGTGAAATGTTGATGAATAGCCCTGATATCTTGCGTGGTCATTATGCTAGTTTTTAAAATGAAGCACGTGCTTTATGATTAGTAAAGCTATCATACTTGATCAATCTTGAAAGTGAGACATAAAAAGAAAAAAGAAATAACGAAAATGTCATGAGTGCATAATGTGCATGAACAGCATTAGTAAAAAGCACAAAAAAAAAGAAAAAAAAAAAAAAAAGCACATACACCATGTGCATGTCCATAGACAAGGCCGGCTTGATATTGATGGGATTGCTGCTGGTGATCGCTCATGACTCTAGTAAATAAAGATATAGCTCAGGGAGACGAAGACAAACGTTGATATGGATCAAAGAAGCTACTCTATTACGATACGTACGCTTAAGGATTACAAAGCGTGAGAAAGATGAATCTATGGGATTGTAACAACAGATGTAGTATGAGTGGATGAGCGGTTTGTGGAGCAGGATCTAGCTCACAAGTCTCGAAGAAAAATAGCGAATGAGAGACAGGAAAGGTCTAGATACGCTGTGATGCAATGAAATGATGCAGTGCTTGTCTTGTACCACAGGATAGAGGTCTTTTAGACCAAAGGGATGAGCTCCGAATGTGCTAAGGGGTGAAATAGATATTGTCGATCCACCAATGATGAGGTGAGGATGGACAAGGAAGAAAGAAAGCTTGAAGAGGAAAAGAGCAAAGAAGTGTGAGGTAAAGAGAAGAAGCGCTGAAAAGGGGAGGGGTGCGTGTGTACGGGTTGAACGGATTGGATCGCAGCTCTGTGGTTGGTTAAAAATTTATTTGACAAAAAAAAAAAACGTGATATTAAAGAATAGATCCACGAAAGCTGTGATGTAATACGGAGAACAAAAAATAATGATCAAGATGAATGAATGTACAAGATTAAAAAAATGAAATTCAAGCTCGTAAGAAGAAGAGAAAGAAGGAAATTAAACGACCAAAAACAAAAATAAAAACTTTTACTGTCCCTCTTGAGTGACCCATGAAAATGGGGGCAGTGTGGGAAATTGCACGTACTCGCGGAGACTTTTTTTTCATCTGACACTTGACTTTCTGACCGTTGTTGAACAAAGTTAATTAAATGCGCCACTTGTTTACCGCATATGGCTGTAATTGCAGGCTTTTTTCTTTTCTTTTTCACTTTGTGAAACTCGGTTCAAGAAAAGTCGTGAACTCCTTTTTCAAACCAATGACACCATTCATTTAATGTGCTTGTTAGTCTGCCTCAAATGACTGTTGAGAAACGAAACGCGATCTGTAATCTGGGGCATGGGCCTCCCATTGGTAAATCAAACGTGCATTCTTACTCGTCGCCTGGATGCATACAGGTTGCATAATATGCATGCGACTAACGTCTGAAACGCTTTTTTTTTAAAACAAGTCACAACAACTATTCTTCTATTCGTGTCTGAATTATCATGGATTCATGGATTTTAAAAAAAAGTCCCTTCTGTATCATCATGATCATGATATAAGTACCTCCGCCTTCTTTTCCCATCATCTTTCTTTCATCTAAGTGAACAAAAAAAAAAAAAAAAAAAACTCAACATGAACAATAATCACCCTGCTGGCTCCAACTCGGGGTCCTTCACTGACACAATCAAGGGTTATGTTAACACAGCCATAGCTAAGGGTCAAGACGCTATTCATAAGGCTCAAGACCAGCTCGGACATGCTACCGGGCACTCTCATTCGACAACCCATGGCGACAGTGCTGGGGCCGGACACACTATTCAGCAACAGCACTACGGCGCCGGCAACTTGGGTAATCCTACATACACCGGACCCCAGACAAACGATGCTTTTGCTGAGGTTAACCAGTTCAACGCTGAAGCTTCCAGAGCTGGCCAGACTGCTCAGCAACAGAACTACGGCGGCAACAATTTGACAAACCCCACACACACTGGATCCCAGGCAAATGATGCTTTTGCTCAGGTTAACCAGTTCAATGCTGAAGCCTCCAGAGCTGGACAGGCTTCTCAGCAACAGAGCTACGGTGGCGGCAATTTGGCTAACCCTGCACACACCGGTCCTCAGACGAATGATCCTTTCGCTGAGGTCAATCAGTTCAATTCTCAAGCCTCTAAACAATAAAGAGTCAATTGGACAATAAGTCAACGAGACAAGCTAGCCTAACAAGTCCTTTCCAGCCGTAAAAGCCTTGCTCATAATCTAATAAATCATTCAATTTTCATTCAGACCTGCTGTCATTATAGTCAAAAAGCTCAATTGTATTTTATGGTCAAATACGTCTGGTTGAAGGGAGAGAGCTGCGCCTAAGATTTTTTCAAGCAGAGATCAAAGCTTCCAATGTTCTAGTCACATCGCCACCATTCTCCTTGAGATATTTTTCCGCCATAGCCTTGGACAACTCCATTTCAGTCATGACCAATTCCACATCCTCTTTTGACAATGTCACTTTCTCTGTCTCTTTTTGTGCAGCTGCCTTGTCCGCCTTTTGCTTCTTGACTACGTCCGTGATCATTGTCATTGCCTGAAAGAGAAATATTATATGAAAAAAAAAAAAAAAAAAAAAAAAAAGCAAGGGATAATGGATAATTAGAAGATGCATGATGCACGCGGTAATGGTCCCAATGCATTTGTAGGCCATTCTTTGCTTGGCGTTTTTCATTTTATTTTTACCTTCTCTAATTTATCAGAATCTACGCCTTCACGTTCTACATCCTGCTGATAACCTGTCATATTTTTCATGGCTGCCTTGGCTTCCCCGCTTTGTCCTTTCTCTGTTTCCTTATCTTCTTCTTCTTCATCCTTGTCGTCACCATCGTCGCCGCCATCCTCCTTATTATCTGTTTTGCTATCTTTACCATTTGTTTTTGATGTAGCTGGTGTTGTTGATGACGATGCGGTTGACTTTATGGATGACCCCGATCCTGATCCCGATGCCTTGCCAGCGGCAGCCTTCTTAGCAGCTTGAGCGGCCTGTGCAGCTGCAACTGCTTGCGCTACAGCCTCTGCACGCTCTGCAACAGTGAGCTTTTTAGGAGTTGCCGAGCTGTTGGCAGTATTCTTCTTCAGAGAGTTAAGCATGTTTGTTACTTGATTAATATAGGTTTGATGAGGAAAAAAAAAAAAAAAAAAAAAAAAAAAGAATGACTGAGAGATTGCCCGCTGCAATTAAGCCAAAGCTAACAAACAAACAAGAACACGATGGCAGGCAAGGAGTGTGATTTTTGTTTTTTTCGATCTAAGTGGCTTATAACAGTATTTAACGCGTTTTATTATTTCTATTTCCGGAATTCCACCTGAAGAAAGCAATCTTTTTTAAGCACTCTCTGCACGGATCTGCTTTCCGCTCTTCTTCTCGCGCAAAGTGATCGTGACCTTGCTGTTGACATCGACTTGTACAGTGGCCTCGATCTTGAGAGCACCAGCCTTGGAACCAGCAGGAAGATCTTTCAAGACAACCTCCGCCAAGAGAGTGGTCTTGTGGTACGTAGGCTTTACAGGAATGTCCTCCTCTTCTTCTTCCTCTGCCTCATCATCTGATCCAATGCCAGGCTTTTCAACCTTCTCCTTCTTGGCAGGAAGGGGGTCCTGTTCACCCTCATACAGAGCAAAATAGGCCTCGGTCTGACCCTCAGCAGCATTACCAAATTCAAACACACGCTTGACAGGGAGAGGAGTATGATTGGGAATAATCGTGAAGAATTCGTCATTAGGTCCAGCAACACCAATAGGTTTAGCAGTGTGAGGAGTGACTGTGATGTTCTCCTTGGTCGACGCTGCAATATCCTCCTTCTCGAATCCAGCAATTAATGAAGCTTGAGCAGCGCATCCAACAGTAATGGCCTCATCCGATTCTTGATCTAAACGCATCGTGGTCTCGGGGAAGATATCACGGAGCCTAGATTGGAACTTGGGCATGCGAGTGGCGCCTCCGACCAAAAGAATCTCATCAATAGCGCCGGCTGACAACTGTGCCTTCTCTAAGATGTGTTCGACCAATTGGTTACATCTGGCAAATAGCTTGCTGGCAGCCAATTCGAAGCGAAGTCGATTGATGGAGCCATGATAGTCTAAACCTTCAGCAACTGACTCGGCAGAACAGGGAGCAGAAGCAGAGCGGGCTAGCTGCCTCTTAGTGATCTCTGCAGCGGCCTTGATCTTTAATAGAGCCTTCTTGTTGCCAGTGACATCAACCTTTGTCTTCTTCTTAAACTCCTGGGCAACCAACTGAACCAACTCATCCGTAAATGCCTCGCCACCCAAGGACTCATCATGAGCAGTCTCCAAGATAGTATAGATACCACTACGAACCGAGAGAATAGTGACGTCGAAGGAAGAAGCACCCATATCGAGGACCAAGGCAGTTTTATCCTGAGCATCGCCCTTGGTAGGATTCTGTCCAAAGTTGTAAGCGAGAGCAGCAGCAACTGGCTCCTGGATGATCTGCAAGACATTGATTCCAGCAGCTGCAGCAGCCTTAGCCAAGACCTCACGCTGGTGTTCCGTGAAATAGGTGGGAACAGCAAGGACAGCACCTGTAACCTTGCTGCCAAGGTAGGCCTCAGCCTCTTCGAGAATGTGCTTCAAGTGCTTGGTGATAACTTCTGGAACAGTGACGATGAGCTCCTGATCCTTGAAGGTGACCTTGTAGGCGGGGACACCATCCTTAGAGATCATGTCGGGGTGAGTAGCGTCTGAGGGAATCTTGACCTCCTCGAATCTAAACATGGGGTAAAGAGCCATTGTAAAATAGTTTGAGTGATGAGTAAATACAGAGTCCCGGTTCGCTGGTATCAATGAAGACATGAGACTATCCTATTATGCAGTAGATTAATAGAAAAACACGTACTTCTTGCCAATCAACCTGTGAAACCCTTGGAGTGTATTCTTGGGGTTCCTGACAGACTGCTGGAGAGCCTGGGTTCCAGAGATTTCCTCATCGCCCAAGAAACCAACAACGGAAGGGATCATGCGCTCACCGTCAGCGTTTGCAATGACATTGAAATGTCCATTGCTAGCCAAAACGGCAATGGAGGTGTTGGCGCTTCCAAAATTGATTCCAATAACGACCTATGAATCCAGTTGAATCATTATTTTGTTTTATTAATGAATGTAAGGTAAGTAACATTGGCATTGGTTTAGAAAAGAAGCATGAGTGAAATACGGCTGATGCCAGATCGTTTCTTTCATGGTAACAAATACGAATAAAAATGTGGCACTAAATGTAGTTATTATGCACATACAGACTCCATGGTTCAGTTGGATATACGATACAAAAATCGAAGAGGAGAGGAAGTGATTGTGCAAATGCAAAAAACTGTTTTGTGGCCAACTTTGAGCTGAAGAAAGACACACCCTAGAAAAAAATAGTTATTCTATATGAATCATGTGATAGTAATTCACCGTATGCGACTGTTATCGCACAAGCTATAATCATAATTTTGTAAACAAAAAGTAGCAGTCCGATTTTTTTTTTTTTTTTTTTTTTTTTTAATTCAAGCTCTTGTTCTGTTGCCACTCAACAAAAGACCAGCTCCCATTCTGACTTTTTTTTTTTTTTTTTTTTTTCCTCTCTTCAGGACCCTCCCTTCCTCTTTCCCTAGTCCTTCACCATAACACTACTTCTTTTCCTTTATACCCTCTTGAATCATTTCCTTGTAGAATAAATAGCACAGCAGCAAGCTCTACCAGGTTTCATTACCACTTCTTGTCATTTACACTTTTTAGCCATGACCTCCATCTATAACTTCAAGAAGATCACACCTGTGCCCACAGGGACTGATTTCTTGGACATTGTCCTGTCCAAGACTCAGCGCAAGACACCCACGGTAATACAACAGTATTTCCCTTTATTCCTTTATCGTGCACCTCATAATTCAGCCTATCTAATGGCAGTTGACTCACTCTACTATTATTCCAAATTCCTTATTGACTGGTAACTCAAAAGGTTATCCATGCCAACTTTGCTATCAGCCGTATCCGTAACTTTTATATGCGCAAGGTTAAGTTCACTCAGGAAAACTTTGATGAACGATTGAAGGGCATTCTTGATGAATTCCCCAAGCTGGATGTAAGTTTTTTTTTTTTTTTTTTTTTTTTAAATAAAAAATCCGCATAGCTCATGTTTCGCATTTTGAGTTTTGACTGGCTGACTGGCTTGTTGATTAAACATTTTCATTATCTTTTAGGACATTCATCCTTTTTACTCCGACTTGATGAACGTCCTTTACGACAAGGACCATTACAAGCTTGCATTGGGTCAGATGAACACTGCTCGCCATTTAATTGACCAGGTCGGCAAAGATTATGTGCGTTTGCTCAAGTTTGGTGACTCGCTCTACCGTTGCAAGCAACTTAAAAAGGCTGCTATGGGAAGGATGGCGACCATCATGCGTCGTCAAAAGGATTCGCTTGCATATTTGGAACAGGTCCGTCAACATTTGGCCCGTCTTCCCTCGATCGACCCTAACACCCGTACATTACTTGTTTGTGGTTATCCCAACGTTGGAAAATCGTCCTTCATGAACAAGATTACTCGTGCAGACGTGGATGTTCAGCCTTATGCCTTCACTACCAAGTCGCTCTTTGTCGGTCACATGGACTACAAATACTTGCGTTGGCAGGTCATCGATACCCCCGGTATCTTGGACCATCCCCTTGAGAACCGTAACACTATTGAGATGCAGTCCATCACCGCCCTTGCCCATCTGCGTTGTGCCGTCCTCTATTTTATCGATCTCTCGGAGCGCTGTGGTTACAGTATCAAGGAGCAGGTGAGCAGATGTGTGAATGAGAATGCGCCGCAGTTCGTCTAATTGATGTGATACTACACTTCATCTTCATTCTATATTATTCGCCGATGTTAATAGTTCTAATTGATTGATTACTTTATATTCTTTCTATTTTAGGTTTCTCTTTTCCATAGTATTAAGCCATTGTTCGCCAATAAGCCCGTATTGCTCATCGTCAATAAGATTGATGCCATGAAGATAGAGGATATTAGCGCAGAGGATCGTGCATTGCTGGATCAGATTGTTGACAATGACAAGGTCGAGATGTTAGGCATGTCGTGCTATACTGAAGAGGGTGTGATGAATGTCAAGCAGACTGCTTGCGACCGTCTCTTGCAGCACCGTGTGGATGCCAAGATGAAGGGCCACAAGATCAACGATATCCTCAATAAGATTCATCTCACCAAGCCTGTGGCCCGTGACGACAACCCTCGTCTGCCCTTTATTCCCGAATCCGCCCAGAACAAGCCCAAGTATGATCCCAAGGATCCCAATCGTGCCACGCTTGAACGTGATCTCGAAGCACAGAATGGAGGCGCTGGTGTTTTCAATGTTGATCTTAAGAAGAACTATCTATTGGAAAACCCAGACTGGAAGTATGATGTCATTCCTGAGATCTGGCAAGGCAAGAATGTGGCCGATTTCATCGATTCAGATATTCAAGAACAGCTTGATGAATTGGAGCGCGAAGAAGAGAGGCTTCAAGCAGAAGGGTACTATGAATCGGAGGAAGAGGAACAGAATTCAGAGGATGAAGCTTTGGAGGCGACTGCAAATGCCATCACAGAACACAACCGTCTCACACATATCCAAGCACGTCTTAAGACTACAAAGAACAGACCCATGTTGCCTAAGACGGCAATTAAACGTACAGTGTCAGAAATGTCTGACCATTTGGAAAATATGGGATTGGATGCAACAGAGGCTCGTGCACGCAGTCGTGCTGTCAAGCGGGCTAGATCCTCCAGCCGTGGTGAGAGTATTGCCCGTAGTGCTTCGATGGCCAGACCTGAGACGAGCATGGTTCGTGACAGAACCATGTCGGGAGTCCGCAATGTCAAACAGAAGATGGAATCTGAAAAAGTTCGCAAGTTGGCTCAACGCACACCCAATTTGTTTGCTAAGCGTGGTGAGTCTGACAGAGCTGTTCAAACCAAGATGCCCAAGCATTTGTTCTCAAACAAGCGTGGCAATGGCAAGACCGACTGGCGGTAAAAGAGGACAAAAGCAGCAGGCTTCGTCTTTTTTTTACTATTTGTGCATCATCATTTTGCATTGTTTCTCCCATACTGTTAGATTTGTTCACTTTGTTCTCAGCACTTTTGATTTGCCCCACTACAACTATTTTATCTTTCTATAAGTTACTTTATGCAGCATGTCCTATTCTATCATTGTTAAAAGAAAAAAAAACCCATTCCAAGCATTAAAATTAAGCTTTCACTCATGTAAATACAAACTGATATTGTGTGAATGTGAATATGGATGTGGGGATGAAGGGGTAGAAGGTCAGATACAACGCAGGGTCCTCGCAGGCACAAAAGAAGGGCACCAATGGGAAAGAACACAATCAAGATAGAAGAATTTTTTATCATTTTTGACTAACCAATGTTTTAAAGGAAAGAAGAATATGCAATGCTAGAATGAGATAAAGCCTGAAATGGGCGAAGCGAGATAGTCCAAAAGCTTTTATTTTGGTACAAACATCATGCCATAACTTATCATTCCGACAAATATTGACCTTTTCTATTTTCTTCATTTGCTTTAAAAAAAAAAAAGACGCATAGTTAAAAGGAGGTAACGAAAGATAAAGAAAAAAAAGAAAAAAAAAAAAAAATCGCGCAACAGGCACGCTCATCAAGTGAAAATGCCTCATCTTGAAGACTAGGGGAGGATACACAGCAAAAGGGATGTTTTGTGAAGCTTGGGCTTTGTTGTTTGTAGCGTGTTACTTTCATTGGAAGTATGGCACGCCATTTTTCACAAAGAATTTGCGTTGCAACTTGCTTGGGCCACGCCCCCCTTCTTTTCCATTGATCCCTTGTCATCACCATCTGTTTTCTGTGCGATAATCTCGATTTAATTGCCTCGCTGACACTGAGAGCTAGCAAGGGTTTAGATCCAAATAGGGCGCGAATAGACCGGTTGTCTGTCATGGTCATATAAAAAGAATAGTGAATAGAAGGAAAAAAAAGTCTTTTTAGTTTCATTCACCACTGCAATCTTCATTCACCTTCCTCTCTTCATTCCGTTTTTTTTTTTTCCTTCTCCGAAATACATACCATGGCCGCAGATGAAACGATATGTCCATTCAAGGACAACGTTCAACAGTCACATTCACTTCATCTGTTATCGCCTTCAATCAGAGCCACGCCAAACCCTTCGACGAAGTCACTTCGTTATGACAATAGTATCGATACGTCTCCGCCTTTCTTCTCGTCTCTGCTTTTTTGGACCACCAAGGCACTTTCTATCCCCGAAATTGTTCTGCTAATCCAAGAGCAGTTACTGAAAAGCAACTGTCGTGCCACTCTGTGCCTCTCGCTGCGCGTTTCAAGACTTTGGTACCAGACTGGCCGTCATCTGGTATGGCAGTCTGTTGATTGGGACAATACCTTAACCGGATCGTTGCAGGAGCAGTTGATGCTGCGAAACTTATGCGGTATTAAGACTCTGAGATGCATGTTCCACTCTCAAGCTGGAACATGTCACGTAGATTCGTCTACTCTATTAGGATTGCTTGTTGCTGTTGCCCATGAGCGCAATACAAGCACCGTCGTTAACAATTGTAATGACGGTAATAATGATAACTCGATTACGCAAGACAGCATGAGGAAAGGACTAACAACAGCAGCAATGCCGTCAACTATCCTAGCAGCTGTTGAATCTAGAACGAGTCACCTAGAATTCAGTAGCAGTGGCAATATAGCTCTCAACAGTGCTAATGAATCACCGTTATCAGATTTGAATACCTCCGGATGGCCCGTGCCAAGAAAAGTCAAACTAGAACAGCTCTTCCTCAAAGGTCATTTTGACCTAAAGGGCTCAACTCCCTCATCAACCCAAACAGCCTACTCAACCTCATCCTCTGCATTATCAGTCTCTCAGCGGCTAGACCTTCAAATTCCTCAGCCTTTGTCCTTTTTTGCTTTCAGTATTCCGAGCTTGACTCGCCTGGATATCCGCCCCTCAGTCAGCGCAGCGGTTGATATCCATTCAATCTTGGATTCTGCAGTCAGATTGGAGCATCTGGTGATTTATTCGCATGGTTCGTTTATAGACAGCAGACAAATTATAAACAAGGAGCAGCGGCAAAGCCAAATAATAACTGGGGGACTTCTACCTGTCAAGGATACCCATTGTCCACTTCGCTCGCTTACTATTCATCACCTGAGGATCAGCCGTGAGGAGCTGGAGAGTGTGGCGGCACGATGTCCTAACCTGACTGAGTTTCAATCTGTCTGCAGTCCAGGCATACTATGGAAGGATCGGCCAGCTCAGATATCAACATCAACAACAGCTGCCTCTCTCTCTTCTGTTCCTCAAGCCAAAAGCCTTGTGTGCGCAATCGCAGAGTCCTGCCCTAAGCTCAGACGGCTGCATATTGGGCTGCAACAAGGGGGATTTCACCTGGAGAACATCCATGAGGCATTAACTACTATTCCTCACCTTGAGTCTTTGGGAATCCCTGCATTGGATTGTACTAAGGTCACGATGAATACAATTAAAACTGCTCAGATGGGGATGCAGCATCAGAATCGACCTTATTCTATGGAGTTATCGTCGAATTCAAGCACTACTAACACTCCACCTGCCACACAATACCACCCTCAGCAAATGGTGACGCCTTTAAGGCATTCTTCGGCTGCGCGAGTAATCCCCTTCTTGACCACGATTTGCATCATGAACGTTTGCTCGAGCGAGAAAGTGAGTCAGGCGATCCATGACTATTTATGCTGGACTCCTTACCTGAAAGAGTTTTATGCATACAATACAACTTTGTATGTGGAACAGATGCAGCTGAGTCAAGGTGTTGAAGCAAACCAAGAACAAGGACAAGAAGCTGGGCATCATGCTACTTTAGAGGTCAACTATAATATCAATGAAAACAACAACAGCGGCATCGGGGAATACCGTGACTCAGTTGAGGTTGATACCACAAATGCCTTGCATCACAATATGTTAGATGACTTGCAGAATATACCAGGGACCTCATCGTCCTCTCTGCATACACTTCCTCCTGTGAACAATAATTGTAATGATACCAGCACAGTCGCTGCGACTACAATAACCATGGCTGCTATGGCGATACCTACTTCCAACAATAATGGCAATAGTAGTAATAGTAACAATGGCCCCACTGCTACGACTCCCAGCACAGCTCCTGCTCCTCGTCAATGGGCCTGCACCAAACTGGAGCGGTTGGTGGTTCGTTTTGCTCACTTGCCTTGGCGTAATCTATCAGACCCACCTAGACGTAGCAGGCATACTTTTTCTTTTCTCTCTCGGCTGCAAAATTTGAAACACTTGTGTATCAAAGAGGGACTGATGTTGGAAGTTGGTCGAGAGTATGAGGCTTTAGCAGAGCTCAACTCGCTAGAAGAATTAGTATTCACGACATGTTACCCTATCCCACTCAAACCTTCGGATATTGAGTGGATGAAAGTAATGAAGCCTCGGGCACAAACACGGATACAACGTCAGGAAAAGACAACAGCAGCCGCAACGATAGAAACAAATAAGGGACAACAAAACAATAGCAGTAGTTACAATGAGCAATTGAAGACCGTAGTGATCCGTCGTCAAAAGGCCAATGCGATATTAGATCGAGAGATGACAGAATGGTTTCAACGATATCGTCCAGATGTCAAGTTTTTGTTTGAGTTGACGGATTGTTGTGAGGAAGAGTATAACTTTGAACATTAAAAGTGGGAAGAAGAAAAATAAAAATTAGCAGGGTGCTCTGCTATTTCTTTATTGCCATGAGACGCCACCAAAAATTAAAAATAAAAGTGAGTTTGTTCATGCGGCTGTGCCGCAGTCGCATGATTTGATGTTCTCGCTTTGCCCAAGAGCTCATGCAGCTTTTTAATGTGGAGTTGATTAATTAAACTATTCTATTGCCACGCCCGTGGCGGTGCCAATAACACAGGCATAGACCCACAAAGCCTTTGATAGTTGCGGCAGCTCATTTGCCACTGTGCCACTTTCCCTCTTCTTTGTTTGATTGTATGCATACTCCAGTCTGATTGGGGAATATGCTTTTACGTCAAATGACCTGAAGGAAAAGTGCTTCGCTTTTTCCCCTTTTCCCAATTTTCCTTACTGGATTGCGCAGGTGTTGTCATCCTGTCGCGTATTAAAAGAGAACAAGGTACTCTTCTTTTCCGTCATTTGGCACATTCAAACCACAATTCCTCAGTGCATTCATTGAACATCCTACCCTGCTTTCCTCGCAAACAACAACAACACGAGCTTTTATTCCTATTGTCCTTCCCCTCCTGTCCTATCTAGTCATATAGACAAAGTACCCTGCATCAAAATAAGGCCAGGCTGAAAACCAAAACAAAACTATATATTTACAACGTAATTTTAAGCACTCCTCCCACTCAAGGCACTTGCTGAAGTTCGCCATGGGCCTTTTCAATTCCATGCTAAAGATGTTCTCAAGTCAACGCATGGGGCTCAATTCTGATGACTCAGTGGCTACACCAGAAATAGTTTCGTCGCCACTCAATAGGATTCCAGAAGACATGGACATGGCACTAGCCTCGTCTTCATCAGTTGCTGTCTCGACGTCCAATGCATGTTCCTCGGCCATGACTCTTGCTTCGTCGTCATTGTCCTCGAACCTGACCTCAGAGGTTATTGTCAACGCGACTTCGAACTTGAGCCTTACAGACTCTATAAACTCAAACTTGAATACCTCCAAGCTGTATTCATTCTCAGCTCTGGCTTTGAGGCCGTTCACTTTTGGACTTGTCTCATATGGGAATATTGAGGCTGCAGAAAATCATGGCAATGACAGTAACGGACACTACAGCGAGAACAATGGCGTCAACGATCTACATACTCTGAGCAATCATACCACTGATGACAACGATGACCATAACAATAACAACAGCGTCATCTCCGCTGCTGTCGCCGTCACCCCCAACAGCAACATTGATCACCATCGTAGTGACATATCCGACTCACCTCTTTCGATGTCTAAATCAGTTTTTCTTTGTCCAAGCAAGCGGCGACAAGGGAGGGACGTGACTGCAGATATCGAGACTACTGTCATGGCCATGGATATTGACAAGGATTCTTACCGAATACCAACAGCGGAGACATGTGACGGGAATAGCACCAACACCACTGTCCTTGACGACACCGCCTACCCGCTCGTCCGTAACAACCGAATGTTTGACATCCCAGAGATCATCCGTTCAATTGCAGAGTTTTTGGATAAACCTTCCTTGGCAGCAAGTTGTCGAGTCTCACGTTTGTGGGCAACGCATTGCAAGCCATTACTATGGAGACATGTTGTGGATAAGCATTGGCGATATAGCAAATTTTATGCATCTATCCGAACTCAGGCGCATTTCATTCGGACTATCAAGTGTGAGGACAAAACTGACTACCAAGAGCTGTTACTCTGTGACCTACCGCGACTCAAATCAATTTCATTCCACGGAAGTAGGGAAGTGATGCAGATCCGAGATAAGCTACTTGACAGGGTCAGCAAAACCTTGACATCACTAGTAATGAGTTCTGTAGCGGATAGACTTCCTGAGGAGACTGTGATAGCTGTGAGAAATCTGAGGCACCTGACGACATTAAAACTCATGAATGTTGATCTGAATCGGAATCAACTCGGAGAGATCCTAAGAGACTGCAGATGTTTGGATTTTTTGTCGCTCTCCAGAGTAAAACTTTTAGCCACCAGCGACAGTAACCTTGTAACATTTGAGGACGAAGATGCCAGCCTGATTATCGCAGGAAATGTGAGCAATGATACCAACCTCTACGACAGCGACGACGAAGGCCTTATTTTAAGTTCGTTGCAAGCAGAACAAACAACTGCGGTTACGAGAGTCCGATATCTAGCACTCAAGGAGATCACGGTTCCACTAAAATACCTCATCCGACTGATCAGGAGCTGCCCTGAATTATTAGAACTCTCATTGGCTCGAAACGAAAGCATGCCTTTGACTGCGGATCTGACCCAAACTTTGAAAATATCCTGCCCGAGACTCTATGCATTAGATGTAGGGTCATGCAAGCAAATAGATCGCGAGACATTTATTTCATTATTCACTTCGCTCACACAGCTTAGAGTCATCAATCTGTCAGGTACTCGCGTGGCGGATGATGAGTTGTTTGTCTTGGCAGAGAACTGTAAAAATATTACACGGTTGGATATTCAATATTGTACCTCGATCACCTCTTCAGGACTCCACCGGTTTTTGAGTCACTGCGGGACTTCACTGAGACATTTAGAAGCATCTGGAGTAACGATTGACCCCACATCGTTTGATCGACAATACCATTGGACTTGCACTAAACTACAGACTCTTTTTGTACATGTTGGCCTTGTCGGATCCACAATTCCAAATAAAGTTCCTCTCTCAGCCATATCCGATAGCCAGAATACGTCATCAGCAGCAATAGCATCAACAATAGAACCAGCAATTCCAGGGATAGGAAGCGATAGCTTATCATCGCCATCAACAACCCCCACAGAGGATGTTATTGGAGCTGACAAGAAACGTCCTCAGGATGCAGTATCGCTTCCATCGAGATATCTTGAAGATAGTTCTGGAAGCGGAAGTCGGGATTCATTCTCAACTCTGAACAACAATTCTGCAGCAATAACCTCCCCTTTATCAACGAATATTAATGCGGACAGCGATGGTGATGTGGTCATGGATCATCCATTGCATCCAATCCAAGACGTCTGTAACGTCCAATATCTAGGCTTAATGGGATGTGGACCCAAACTTACATGTCAGACGACAAGTCAAAATCAATTGATCCGAGGATTCCGTTCTGTAAAGCGGCTGCATGTACTTGGGTTGTACCAATCTTTCAAGAAGGAAGATCTAGAGTGGCTGGTGGAGAACTTGCCAGAGCTCTGTCGGATTGATGCAGAAAAGTATAATGTCTCTGATGAGTTGCTCAAGTGGTTTGAGGAAGTGTATCCACACGTCCAGATCTGCCGACATGATTGAAAACAACCATAAAGATGTATAGACTATTTCATACAAAACAAATCACATATGCATATACATTAATAAAAAAAAATAAAAAAAAAAAAAAAATTGCAGCGACAGAAACCTTGATCATGACAATTTTTCAAATGAAAGAAAAGATCTAATTCTGCTTCAATTAATAATTCACAAAAGGATCGATCATTCAGGATCTGCTTAGAATGTCAACTTTTATTTCTCATTTATATTTATTTGCTAATCGAACAGTTGATGTCCCTAAAAAAACAGAAACAAAATACTGTACCAAAAAACAAAAGGTATGTGTTAGAAGACAGGTTATTCATAAATCAGAGGACTTCATTGTGAAAGACATGTTATTGTTGTTGCTGTTGTTTGTTGGATCAGAAAAATAGGCAATAAGTGTTTGTCCGCATTTTGAACTCGGAACAGGTCTGTAAAATTTGCTTCATCATTTAAACAGCAACATTAACACGGGTAAAGGAATCATGAATTGTTGAAGATAAGAATAGCCATAAGAGACAAGAAGACTTGATATGCTTACCTTATCAGTTTACAACCATGGATAAGAAAATAAAAAAAGGTGAAGAATGAAGAGAGAGAAAGATGGAGTGTAAAAAAAGTTTTTTTTTTTTTTTTTTGAAGCCTTCGTGGCTTGTATAAATAACTTGTAGTCTGAAAGAATAAAGAGCACGTGCTTGAAGGAACTCTGCCGAATACGTCGTCCTTAAGATGTTGTTGCCTCTGACATGTAGTATGTCTGGCTTTTTATTCCATGAATTATCCAACATGAAAAACAATTAAAAAGGTACTGTTTAAAGCAGGCGGTCTGCTACCCTTCACTGCGATGCCTTTATGTTCCTCTAAGGAAGCGTATAGAGCAACAGCAAGAACTGAGCAGGATCCTTGCACTGCAGAAGAAGCCAAGTAAATACTGCTCCTTCTGAGTATATGCTACACTTGGCTGGACTTCTTGAAGGCTAGGATGGCGCGGAGCAAGACGAGCCGTGCACATGAAAGGCTATATAGCCGCGCTCTTGCGTTTATATTGACGAGGTAGACCTCGATAAGAGCCTTGCAGATAGCTGACACCGGCGTGTAAATGCTTCGTATAATTGAAGGCGTCGCTTATCTGAGAATCCAGCCGGAGGCACTGATTTCCGACGATTCTTGTGGCTCTATGCCCATATTCAAGGCCCTGGTGAGACAAGCTAAGCGCCTCTAATGGTTACTTCGGAAACTCCCTTGACAAAGGCCTATTACAGAGCTCAGTGACTCCTTAGAGCTTAATGTACGATATAGATGCTCCCAATAGCTCGGCGACATCTTGCAGAGGCGACGAGATGAATGACACGTACAAATAGCAGAGGTTTGAGTAAGCATCAAGATATTCTAGCAGAATAAGTGTTTTAAGGATGCGATAAGCTTGAATAGGATCATCACATCCCCAAATTATCAAGTGCCTACTACAGCCTTTGAACACAAGATACCTCAATGTTCGACTATACTGATGTAGAGTATCAACTGCTAGGCCGTTTTCTTTGAATCCGAAAATGAGTAAGCAGTGTAATGGAGAACCGAGAATATGAGGAGCCTTGATTGAAGATACCATTTTGTATTGTACTCATTATAACGAAATACGAGGACATGTTCTGTTCGACTAGAGAATAGAACATTCTATTATAAACTGCTTCGAGGCGAAGCGAAAATGGCTGTACAACGAATTTGTTTTTGTTTTTTTTTGTGAATTAAGGATAACTCCGCTGTGTATTGCTATTTTTTGTCAAGGGCCATGTATCGTCCTGAGCATATTTGTGATACTCGAAGGGCTCAAAGTAAAATTAAGATTGAAGTTATGCCGCTTTGTAAAGTGCTGTGTGGCATGCAAAGCGTTTTGCTTCGCCAATTCATGAGTGTTGAACAAACTACGTAAACAGACAAGACCTGTGATGAATTCATTTCAGCTTCGTCAACAACAAAAAGACAATTGTCTGTCAACAATAACAAATAAAGCCAGCGGCCAGAGCTGGTGACATGTTGTTGTAGGCACGTAGCCTACCGCAGTTTCTAGTCTTGTATAAATAAAGATACTCCTTGACCTGTCTCTGTTCTTTTCTGCTCATTTCTAACCTTTCACCTACCTTCCAATCAATGCTGCCCCTACTTCGACACATACTCAACAATAAGATATGAAGCCTTCGACCTTCACCAAATTTTACTTACACGCGCTTGCCGTTGATCATGTTGACATTTACATCGCTCTGTCTGATGTTTTTGGCCACAAGCATCCGTACGCTGCTGCCGCCACCGTGTCGAAGCGACTATTTGAGCATAAAACCCTTAAGGCCATCGGTCCTGACATCATATACGCTACCGTTATTGCTAATGGCGCAGAGCAAGAGCAACAACAACAACACGAAAATGATAAGGAGCGGAGGGACAAAGATGGTTATAAACAGAAAAGCAAAAGTGAAAAAGGCTTGATGATGGTAAGGATGATGAGGGATGAGGATGGAAAAGGCTTGGAAGACAAGGTTGAGGTCAATACGTCCGCTGAAACAAAGGATCTTAAATCTACTGAGCCACTGATTGATGAGAGGTCGCGATCAGACGTCCATGATTATGGGTCATCTAGAGGAGAAGTTTCCGAGCAGAAACTTCTCTCTAATACGGATAGCGGGGGGTTACAAGCGCCATTTTGGGTTCAATGCCGAGGCGAAAATGCCACAAACGACCATCGCTGCGAACGAAATACAGACAGTCCTTCTAAGCTGTGTGGTATACACGACCCAGACGTTCCCAAATGCTCTTTCGAAACGTGGGAAGGGGATAGCTGCCGGAATCCAAGGGTTCTCGGTGAACTTTTTGGAATCCATAGCCCTTTCGTTCTCAAATGCTCTTCCAAAACGCAGGAAGGGGATGACTGTCGAAACCTAAGGACCCATGGTCAATTTTGCGAAGTCCATAGTCCCGACACGGTCAAATGCTCTTCTAAAACAAAAGAAGGGCTTCCCTGCAAGAAACCAATAACCCGCGGTATATTTTGTGATATTCACAGTCCTGACACGGTCAAATGCAAGGCTATTGCAAGAAGTACCGGGGTACGATGCCGAAATTTACCGAAACCGAGAAGAAACGGATATTGCAAGTACCATTGACTCTCGTAGATGCACTAGCTTTCTCCCCAGCCATTAGATACAAGGCTATTAAAGCGTGTCTCATATCTATCTTTGATAAAAAGTTTCCAGTTTACTCTCCTCTGATTCTCCACCACAAGCTTCATCCGCCGATTGACTCTTGTGTCCTAGTGCTCTATATCAATGATTAATGCTTACTATGAACTATCTAAGATGTATGAGGTATGAACCTGTCTTCCATAACGTGATAAACCCATCCGACTTGGCCCAATAATTATACTGTATTGTCCGTCTCAGACTCCTTTCAAAGAGAAAGTATCCTTTTTCGATTGTCCTGAAGGAGAAGAGGTAAAACGCTTCCGTATAGCGCGCTTATTGACTATCTCACAAGCTAACATGGTAAGAGAGTGATTGATGTAACATCATCTGAGGCTACCTTCCTCATCCCCCACAACGACTAAACGACTCAAGATCCGAGTTCCGGCAAAGGCTGTTTACTCTGTAGCCTCTGCACGCGTCAAAGGACTGTAGGGTGATACATGGCACTAGTGCTATTCCTCGGGATGAAGTGAGTAGTCAGGACTGAAAATAGGCAATAGTATCAAGCTATCAAATCCTAAATTACATGTATTTAAAGCATCGCTTATGTCTCCATACACGAAACCCACGCGTCTATAGCGTGTAGCGATTGCGCATTTTTCACGGATTAAAAAAGCTCATTTCACACGGGACAGATGTACAAGCTGCGGGACAGAAAGAGTTTTTTGGTTACAGTTACAGCCCACGAATTGAATTGCACCATCTCTTCCTTCAACTGTTGCGATACGATCTCTTGCTGCATGTATGTGTTAAACAGATGCATGGAGCACTATTTATTCAATTGTATATTCATCATCTTTTGGCGATATTTCATCCGCCAACAATCGTCGTCCCCTGTAACCTCGTGGACTCTTTTTTTTTTCCTTCCCCGCCAATTGCTTTTCAGCTTTATACCCGCCAAAAATCTTTGTTTTCTACTTGAAGTTTTTTTTTTCTCTGATCTACACAAAAGACTTCATATATATAAATATTCACAAAGGGTCGCTTTCATATGACAATCTATTTCCATTTCGGCAATAAAAAAAAAAAAAAAAAAAAAAAAAAAATACAGTGTACAGATCATCCACTGTTGTATTTCTCAAGTCTCAATCTCTTTGTATTGACTGGGAATAAACTTTTATTTTGATCCCATAGGAAAAAAAAAAAAGAAAATACTTATGTTCCATTCATGTCCTTTGACAAAATAAGAACACCCCTTTTTTTTACTGGCTAATAACAGGCGAGGCAGTTGCAGAGGTCATAAGAGCAATAGGAGCAGCAGCAGAGATTGAGGTGGTCAGAGCGATAGATGCTGGTGCTGGTGCTGAAGTTAGTTTGCGTGCAGTAGGGGCCGAAGGCGTAGCAGGTGTAGAGAGGATCAAAGGAGTGTTATTAGATCTGCGGAACAGATCACGGAAAAAGTTTTTGGAGCTCGAGGTTGGTGAAGACTGCTGTGTAGGAGATGGTTCAATGTTTTGCATTTGAACTGGCTGCTTCGAGATAGTATCTGTAGTATTAGTAAAGGCTTTAGTCGCACTATCAGCAATCGCAACGGTTGTTATACTTGTAGTCGTAGCCATGGTGGTACTAGCGGCTACACTAGTATCAACACGGGCATTGGCTTCACTGCTGATGCTGCTGACATTATCTGAGGTCATATAATCCCGAGATGGCTTTGCAGTGATCGCAGCAATCGACTTTTCGACTACGATCCCAATTGTACTGCCTCGACGTCCATCTGATGCTGCCCCAGTTGTAGTAGAAGCAGCCTTGGGATCACCCGTTGAGGGATATGAACGTGGTCGTGGCTTTGATGACCCTAGAAAGCCTCCAAACAACCCTCCTAGACCTGAGCGTTGCTGACTACTCTTCTGTTGCTTTTCCATGATTTTCAAAAACGCCTCTTGTGCAGATGTCGCTGTCGGTGAAGTTACTGATCTAATCGATGGTGCAGCTTTACTTGAACCGGAGCCTGAAGCATTCATCTGGCGTAAGCTAGCATGCCCTGCGTCCAGGGAAGACGTCGATGTAGGATAATCCTGTTTCATTCTTTCCGTATCAATGATGGATGTAGCAGTAATGATAGAGACGGACGCTGTTACAGAGTCATTCACGGATGATGGTTGTGCCTCATCATTTGAAAATATGCTAGAGCCAGCAGATTTTGTGCTGTTGGAGCTGCTTCGATGATCCATGTTGGCAGTGACCGTGAAGGCTGAGACAGTGGTCAAAGATGAAGTGAACATATTCCTCGAGCCTGATGATACAGATGGAGTTGTGGTAGTGGCACTGGCTTCATCTGGCTTTGTGGTACTATTGTCTGGCTCTGTGTGGTTGCTGTCACTGGTGTTAATGCTGCTACCGCTCTCACTGTTGCTTCTACTCCTGCCGCTTGTACTACTGCCGCTGATGCTTCTAGCTTTTGCACCATTGTTTTCGCTAGTGTTCTTGGTGGCCATAATACTTGTATTGTTCATACCGCCAAAAAAGAGTCGACGAATCAGAGCAGGTGGATCTTTTGATGCAACAGGCGTTGGTGGCGGTGCTGAGCTTAAGCTGGACCTGTTTGTGCTCTCTACAACCTCAACCCGTACAACCTCGTTTTCTGGCTCTGGTCTGGGAATTTCAGTTGTGTCACCTTCTACTACAGGCCTATCAGCAAGATTTGCATCATTACAATTATTATCATTATTATTGTCATTGCTCCTTTGTCCGTGATCCTGCTCTTGTCTTTGTTCTTGTCCCACATTCTGTACTGACTTCCTGAGGCCGCTGTCTACCTTCGCACTGACATGACTGTAGCGTTTTGATTTCCGAAGTACGGCTTTGGGAGTGTCGGATTGAGACTTTGGTGATGTATTCGTAGTAATCGAAATCTTTGTATAATTGGATAATCCACTCTTGGGTCTGAGAGGAGGTGGCGAAAAAGGCCGAAGAGGAGATGTTGGAGATGAAGATGACGAGTTGTGTTCAGATTGATTGGATCCTCTTTCGCCTGCTCCTCCAGCAGTGCCTCCCCCTGATTTTGGGCTTTTAATGCATGGCTGGCGTTTTTGAGGTTTCGGCGAGGGTGAAGAAGTTGATGTAGAGGGAGGGAGATGGCTATTATTGCTTGGGTATCTCGGATATTGAGGGTGATTTTGGGATTGATACTGACTCTCAGATCGTGTTCCGGCTGCAATGGAGGACCATGCTCCTACCCATCGCGGCCTTTCTTCAATTGGGATTGGACTCTTGGCCCTGACAGAAGAACATCTCGATTGTGGTCTAGCTCGTCGTTCTTCCATTCCTGAAACAGATCCCCTTCGAAAGGCAGGTGATGGTGATCTCAGATGATGTACAGTGGGACTAAAGATTGGACTTAATGGACTATTGGATGATGTACTACTGGTGGAGGAGTCGGAGTTGTTTGCAAAGTTGGTGTTGATGGTGATGGTGGCTGTGGAAGGATTAGGAGAGCATTGATGGTGGGTGTGAGGGTATTTTCGATTCGATTCAAGTGTGGTAGTGTGCGGAGGTTGAATGGTGGTATGTGGAATGCTTGCAGAAGCTTTTTTTTTTTTGGGATAGACAAAAGAGGGAAAGATCGCGCAAGGGAAGGGAGAAAACGGTTGGTAGAGCCATGGGTAGTTTATTCGTATACCATCACCGGCAAGGTATTTGTCAACATTGACGGGAAAAAAGACACAAGGTCGTTAACCATTGAGCAAAATGGTGCGACCATGGAAATACAGAATCCACATCGACATGGACAGCCAAATGCGCGGGTAGAAGAATAAAAATGAACACAAAGAAACCATTGGTGAGAATTACTTCGGGAGTCGAAGGGGATTTTTTGTGTTGCTATCCCTATCCATTGTTTCGTTCACTTTTTTTTTTTTTTTTTTTTTTTTTTTTTGTTTTGTTCTATGCTCAATCTTGAAATAAACTATTTACCTCGTCTCGGCTTGTCGTTCTTGCCTTCTCCCTCTTCTGCTTTCCTTTGTTTAGTAGTGAGATAGACACCTTGGGCGCTGAGAGGACGTGGGCTCCTGTCAGCCATTTTGTGAGACGTCTATCTATTGGGGTATAGTGTGCTCAGTTATCCTTATTTTGCGCTCTTTTTTGCTCCACCTGGCGATGGGATGGTGTATTAATGTGTGTGCAAGGGTTCTGTTAAAGGAGCGATCTTTGCAAGCGAGAACCGCGTTGATGTTGGTATTGATTGTTTAATTGTTTATAATTTGTTGAAATTGTGTGCAATTGTGTGCAATTGTGTGCAATTGATACAGTTGACAAAAAATGGGCCGTGCACAAGTGATTTGATCAGTGATTGAGTGAGAAGAGTACGAAGAGAGACTAGAGAAGAGAGTTTAGAGGATAAATAGGGATTAGGTGAGTGGTGGAAAACCAAAAAAGAAAAGTAAGGCAAGAATAACAATGAGGAAAAGGAATATGGAGTTGAATAAGCGTAATGTAAGGTAATGGTCAGTACAGGATCGATTGAATAGAGAAGTGAGGATGAAGAAATGAGTGTGAGTAAACGAGCGAGGGAGTGAAAAGAAAGGAGACAAAGACAAAGAGAGAAGAAGAGAGAGAAAGAGAAAGAAAGAAGGATATATTTTTATGCAGATGTTAAGAAATGTTTTGTGGAGAGTCCAATCGTGTAACGGACATTGGTGAAAAAGGAGAGAAGGGCTGAGTATGAGAGAAAAGCTTTTTTTTTAAAAAAAAAAAAAATCCACCAAGCTACATGTACATTTTCTGTCACATTCATTTTGGGTTCATGCTCATTTTCATTCTCATCTTTTTTTATTTTCTTCACTTACAAGTATTTTAATGCAAAAAGCAAGGCAAGGCAAAGCAGAGTCAAGGTGCATAATTCAAATGCTTGCGACATCTTTGACATGTTACAAATAGAGACATACTCAAAACACCTGTTGTATTCATAAGCAGATGTATGCTGCATAACATACTCAGGCACAAGCCAATTTTTTTCCCTCCCCTCTTTTTCCCGTTTAAAATTCCTCTTTTAAAATAAATTCAAGTAAACTATTCTCGGTGGATACAATACACACACATATTTTTTCCGTTATAGTCGGTCATGCATCAATCCCCTCTTGCTATTGTAAACTGTTTGCTCTAGCCATTGATCCACAACCATCAGCATCTACTGTCCCACACACATTTGTAACCCCTTATTTACTTCAGTTGCTTTTTTTTTTTATTCAGACTAATTCTGTTTATAGGCTTTTACACTACAACATGCCTCTTTGTGTTTCATCTCCGTCCCCATAATCTGTGAGTAGTACCTTATAGCAGCATTTCATATTCAATTGAGTATGAATATAGTCGCCAATTACGTTGTAATCCATCCCGCAAAATGCCAAAATGGCGGGAATGGAGAATCTGTTGTCAATGTCTCAGCATGGGCAGAGGCATGTATCGTTGCACTTTGAGAGCAGTAAAGGGGAAGAGGGGTTTGAAAGTGGCATCTCTTGTTACATCCCTTATTACAGTCATCGGACCATTGCATCAAGAACATCAACACGGATCACACCATCGCCATCGGTCTCTCACGCTGAAAAAAAATAAATAATAAAACATCTTCCTCTTGTCGCTTCGCCACTTCTTTTTTTCTGCTCGATGTTGGAAAAGGCGAAGAAGAAAACCACACTTCTTTGTCATTATCTCTTTCTTTTTTTTTTTTTTTTTTTTTTGGCCGAGAGTGACAATTCCCACGTCTTGATATATACATACCAAGGAAATCTATTGGCATCTGAAAGCGATCTAATCTCTCTCTCACATTTGCGAACTGATTCAGTAAAAACAATTAAACAGACATTCATATTTTCTGTATACATGTACATGTACTTGTAAGCAATAAAAAAAAAAAAGGTTAATGGCGAAGAATAGAGTAGGTCCATCTTTTCTTTCTTTCCAACCTTAAACCCAGATCAGTTTATAATTACATGCACTCTGGATAGAAAACTAACCAATTCTTGTGTGACAGAGATCCATGACGCTGGTAAAAAATGAAGAATGAATAACATCTCTATATTTGATGTGGAAATACAAATTTGTGTATGGTAAGTGCGTATGTATCCCACATTTCATCTCATCTCTTTCTTTTTTGGCTGCTGTTGCCTTTCATTACTTCGCCTTGATGACCCCACGACCTCTACTGGACACTTTTACAAGCCCTATTCCGCAGAGTAGAGGCTATCAGACTTTGGTATGATGTTGATACTATAATCTTTAGCAACATTTATCCTTAATATCTTATCATGAGCTTTTGCAACAAACATTTGCGTGCTAGAATGTCTATCTGAATCCTTGAATATGATATATACATACTTGTATATATTGTTCTATTGAAAGTCATACGCATCATCGTCTGAGACCGTAATGATCGTCTTGTGATATCTAGCTGCATCATTTTTGGGACCACGCTCATAACGATCTGTAATTGATGGCTTTGTTGTTGCCTTTGTCTTCTTCGCCCTCTTCATTAGAGGCGCATCATCTTCGTCTTTATCCCCATCTTCTTCATCCAATATTCGTTGGATATCATCTTCCAAAACTACATCACTACCATTCCTATCCAATCCACTGCCTAGCTTTCTTGAACGACTTGATGCTGATGACGATGATGTTCGCCCATTTAGAGTCTCCGCATTCCGAGAGGGATCACGTCCAAACTCAATGTTGACAGGGGGTAATGAGCTCAAAGGCCGTTTTGACAGGAATGGATTGGATCGTGGTCCATTAATGATGTATCTATTGGCACACCAACAACCAAACAAATTGTGGAGATGTTATACAAAAACATCGGTTTGTACAAAAGATGTTGGTTGTGCTCTCACCCTTCCATGTATCCACTCACACGATATATTATATATATAAAAGGTTTGCGCAATTGAAGCAACTTACGCCAAAGTCGAATAAGCTGTAAAATGAAAGTCTTCCCGAAGATATCCATTGAGAATTAAATAATTGATAATACGATCATAGTCCTAATTGTTATTACCATCACCATCCATCATTAAAAAAAAAAAAAAAAAAAAAAAAAAAAAGATGGAAGAGAGGCAATGTTCATAAGCTTGCATGATCCAATCAGACTACCAGCCATTAAATCAATAAGGGCAACCAACTAGAATAAAAAAGATTAAAAAACAAGGTTTTCGCTTACATCTTTGTTGGGTCGTTTAGGTACAACCTCAGTCTCGTACTCATCACGGACGACCTTGGCGATCACACGTAATGATCCTACGCCTCTCCAGGCCTCGACCAGTTTATTCAGCGTTACCCTTTCGTTCACTTCCTGAAGTTTGTTGACAAGCAAGCACAGGGCGCGGACCTCGGTCTTAAGGTCTTCTGTCACCACATCTTTCCCCGCAAGCAAGCAGTTATCACACATTCCGCATGGTATCTGCTTTTTGGAACTGGAATGTTTTGAAAAATGGTTATCGAATTGCTGATGGCGACAAGTTCGCACATCTTGAGCGTACTTGATCATACTATAGACTTTAGACCAAAAAAAAAAAAAAAAAAAAAAAAAAAAAAAACCAAGTATGAATAACAGGCTCCCCTGGACAGTGATATCGTTCTTCATGTTGACTGAAGTTACAAAGGGGCTTTGCGAGAATTCAGTCGAACATTCCAGTATACCGCACTTATTCGGTACCATTAGTCAATCCTTCAGGCTCCGTGACACAAAGAGTCGAGAGCCTTGACGCATCTTGATCCCTATAAAGGAGCACACAATCAGCAGGCAATCCATCACGGCCAGCACGTCCGGATTCTTGATAATAGCCTTCTAGTGACTTGGCCATGCATACATGGATCACAAACCGTACATTGGGATGATTGATACCGAGCCCAAATGCGATGGTGGCACATACAAGTTGAGTTCGTCCATCTCTCCAGCACTCATGAATGTAGTTTTTCTCGTCATCTAAAATATCAGAATGATAGGCACTAGTTGTAATTTGCCCCTGACTGGCTTTGTAAATGCCCTCTGCAAAGACATGGGTGTCTTTCTTGGACAGGCAATAGATGATCCCATTAGAACGGTGATGCTTTGTTTGGATGTAGTTGACTAAAAATCGGAATGTCTCTTCGTTCGTGTTGGGACGTGAAAGTACTTTATAGACAAGGTTGGCTCGGAAGAGAGGCGAATCAAACATGAGTGTCGCATTGGTGCTTTTTCCAATAGGAGCAAGATTCAAAGTGTTCAAAACAGATTCAATCACTGGTGAAGACGCTGTAGCTGTAAGTGCCATGATAGGGGTTTTAGGGAAGAGAACACGCAAGATACCGAGTTTTTTGTAATCCGGACGAAAATCATGTCCCAATTGGGAGCAGCAATGACATTCATCCACCACGATCCTAGCCAGTCTGCCAGCGGCATATACTTTTTCCAGATGATTCATGAATCTTTTAGACTTGCTGATCTTTTCTGGAGTGACATAGACAAGTCTGAGTTCACTTGGCGGCTCTAGTTCAGCTTTTGGTTGCCTTTTTGACCCTCCTGACCCACTACTGCTAGTCTTGGTTGCTAACATGGCATCCATGATACGCTTGTTCTCTTCCTTAGACGTGTTGGATGTCAACATCCCGACACCAATTGACGCCTCTTCTAAATGAAAAGCCTGGTCCCTGATAAGCGATAGAAGTGGAGATACCACGAGAGTAATTCCTGAAGTGATCAGTGCTGGTAGCTGATAACAGAGAGATTTACCACCACCTGTAGACATACATGGATACAGAAAAGTTTGTAATAATTCCCGTTATTTTCTTTTTCTTCTCCTTATTTTTTTTTTTATTTTTTTTATTTTTTCCTTGGCTTTACCAGTAGGCATGAGCACAAATACATCACGTCGATCCAGTGCAGCATTCATGACCTGAAGCTGTTTCTCTCGCCATTGAGTAATGTTCCAATGAACCTTGGCGAGTCTCTTCAAATCCTCGGACCATGAAAAATCCTCACGATTGTAGTCTTTGCTATTTATTTGAGCTCCATTATCATTATCACTATCCTCCTTTGAGGTCGATAGTGAGGCAAAAAGACTGTCTCTATATTCTTCAAGTTCTATCCGCCGACATTTGAGCGTTGTGATCTGTTCTTCAATCGCGTTTAATTCTTTCTCGATGATTTCAATCTCGGCAAGAGTAACATTGTCCTGGTCTTGTGGCATTTGTTTTGCAATTGTCAAGGTGGTTTGGTAATAATAAAAAGGGGTTTTCACAAACATTGGTCAAGTTGACTACTTTGTGAAACGCATCTTCGTTGGGCAAAGCCACGGTTAGTTAGTGAAGTAGGAAAGAACTGCTCGGATCAATGCAGAGCTCTGCCTAGAAAGCTCTGTCTTCAGTGCAAGCATATAGCAAAGAGTGGAAGGAACATGATCAGATATGAAGCCTGTTATGTATTATGCAATGGTAGCCGATCGATCCTATCCAGAATATGATGAAATTGATGCGATGCAAGGGACAAGGTTTTGAAAGAAAGTCAATTGATTTTTTTTTTTTTTCCCTCCATCGCCCATCATCACCATCCTTACTGTATACAACATTTAATATTTGTTGTGCAAATAAACAAAGCAGGATTCTGTTCTTCAGTGTGTGTCTTCCTAAATTTTGAGCTTCAATACTTTACTGCACACAATGTTGTGTTGGGTGTATGATTCACACTCTGAAGTCTCTGCAAGATCTTGGTAGTTATCGTTCTTACATAATTGCCACGCAAGAGCCAACTCGTTCTTTGATTCTTTTTCTTTTCTCTTCCTTTTTTTTTTTTTTTTTTTATTATTATTATTATTACTATTGTTATTTATTACTCATTCTTATCAAAGCATTCCCACTAACAACCGAAAAGATCTGATCGTTGGATCTTGCGACCATTTCATCATTTCATTTAGTTGCTTATTACATCTCCCTTTTCTCCCCTTCTAATTACAACACTCTTACTGATTGTCTGTATGTGCCTTGCTTTCATTCCTCTGTAAATTACATACATTATGGCTAAACTCACTTCTAAACGAGAAAAAGGACGGAATTGGACTGCAAGCACCTTCTTGCCTGACAGTAGTAATAACTCAGACATTCATTCTCATTCCAACTCTATCGACAGTGCCATGTCAACTGCTACAGCCGCTTCTAATGCTGGCCTGGAAGCCATCACTGAAGACATCTTAGATGATGAAAACATGCTTGAAGTTGAAGATATTCAGCGTATGGCTAATGAAGCTCCAAATAATACGACCAGCATTACTAGTATTAGCAATAACGGTCATACAACTGCTCGTAACAAACATAACAACGATGATGCCTCGAGCGATAGTCAGGATGAAGATGAAGAGGACGATAATGATGAACATGACCATGACCATGATAGCCATGATAATGAAGATGAAGACAGCAACTCTAGTCAGGACCAGGGCACATCGGAAGATAGCGACGACGATCATGATCACGAAGATAACAGTAACAGTAACAGCAATAGTAACAGTGATGATGATGATGCTGATTCAAACAACCACAACCACAACTATCGAGAACAGAATGGTCGGATGGATATCCCTAAACGCTCACGTACGAGTCTTTCATCCAAAAAGAAACGAGCCGCTCTGTCTACCTCGCCTTCAAACTCGAATAGCACAGCTGGCAAGGTTGTTTCAGCGACCCCTTCGAAAAAAATCACCAAAAAATCTAAAAAGTGTGTCAAATCAAAGAGCAGTAAGGGCGCGTTGAGCGCAGCAGCGCGTCAGGCAACTGAAGAAGCCAAATTGGAGGCAGCCAAGCCGATTGTCACTCGCTTTCTAGAGCTGGAGAATACAAAGCTGAACGATAAGCTTCTACAAGTGTTCATGATCAATGGTATGATGTATTTCGGAAACGCTGTATTCGGTTTTGTGAGTTTTTTTTGTTTTTAATTTCTGTTGCGCGCGTGACATTGTGGATGATTTCGACAAATGAAAAAACAAGCGATTTGCGCATGCTATCCTGATCTAGTCTGCCAGAATAATTTGGCTTACTAACATCCCTACTGTTGAATGATTTTGTGTCTTAGGCATGATACCCTATCTTCTTGAAAGTATCACACGCTTGGACCCAGAGATTGCAAAGAGCATTGACAGCAACATGGATGATGGCAAAAGTCAAGAGTCTAAATTCTTGACACATTTAGACCACTGTCGCAGGACTCGAGATTACAGTGATCTAAGCCTTATGAAGAAGTCCTACACGGCTATGAACCTCATCACTCGTCCAGATGTCTATAACGAATTTATCCTAAGCAACAGCCACCAGACCATTGGTATGAAAAAAAAGGGGAAGGAATGTTGAAAAATGAATAGCCAGTGTTTCTAACATCCATAATATCTCATGTTTCACTTTTTCTCCCTTTTTCTCCCTTTCTTTTCTCTCTCTCTTTTTTTTTTTTTTTTTTTTTTTTTTTTTTTTTTTTTGAAGTGCGAGAGCTTTTCAAAGTGTTTAGGCCAGAGTCCAATGGCAACTTTCATCACTTTTATAAAGTGTTTGAAACAATCTTGAAAAAGTTCCGTGTTCAGACAATGGCCACCGTCTTTGAGGATGTGGATCCAGAAACAGGGGCCAGTAAAACACCTTTAGTCTTTGAAATGTTACCATTCTTAGACCAGCCACCTGTAGCCTTGTCCATGACCAAGCTTCTGTTCCCAACGTATGCATATGGGTTCACGGAACGGATTAGAGGCTACTATAAGATTCTACAAAACGGGCATTTTATGGAGATGTTGTTGGCGATGGTTACGCTCACTAAAGGTAGCTCACTATGTATTTCCCAAGTCTAGATTTGGGAAATTTCTTGCAACTAATATTATGTGCCTTTTTTTTTTTTTTTTTTTTTTTTTTTTTCTTCGGCGCTCGCCACAGAGTCATCTTCAAACATGGCAGATTTTGTCGTTTCACTTCTAGATGAAGCTACTCGTGCAAAAGAAGCCAAGATCCTCTTTTCATGTCTAGCGGATGACCCTATCTGGGCAGAGCGCTTGGTTCGGGGAGTGCAATCTCCATCTATTGTCAGACGAAATGGATGTATAGAGATTATTTATTCTGTACTTGTTCGCAGGTTCGTAACAAAAGAAGGAAATGGCTTACCACAATTTTTGTTTTGTTTGTAAAATGGCTATGCAAAGAAGTGCAGTGCCTTGCTTAATACTCCTGTTTTCTCCCATTATTAGCATACAGGTACCTTTTCAAGACATGTTTGCCAATACTTATGCCTCAGAAAAGTTGTTTGATAAAGTTGAATCACACCTTGAACCGATTGAGACAGAGTTTGGAAAGCACCTTCGCTGCTTTATACCCGATCTTTGCAACGTTTTCATTGGATCAAAATCTGGTGGTGGAGAGTATGTTTTTAAAAAGAAAAGATAAAAAGCGAGTAGCGTTGGATTTGGATCCATTTGCTTGAGAATTAATTTGGCATCCCTAATGATGTACCTATAATTATAGGATTACGCTTCCTGGCTATACGTTGCCATGTTCGTTTACGGTAGCTCGCTTATGGCTTCTAGACTCTGTGTATCACTGCCTAAGCGACGTCAAAGAGGATCCATCTCTACTTGAATTAATCCCAGAGGCATTTTGGACAACACTTGTTGATAGTTTTTTTCATTTCAGGTAAGCCTAGCTCTTCTTTTTAACTATGAGAAAAACGCAAACTAAGCGTTGGCTCGGAATGAATAAATGTAGATATGGAAGCTTTACTAAATTTGGGCTTTCCATTTCCAGATTCAACAATGCATTCCATGTACAGTTCTACAAAATTTTCCGGGTTGTCCTTTACTCAGAACAAGCAGCGGTTTACAATCGATTCTTTGTAAATACAAATCTTGTCAGCCGACTCATCGAGCATTATATGGCGAAATCTCAGCCAACTGGGTCCAAAGGCTACATCATTTTGATCCTCAATTGCATTCGGCTCTCTGCAGATGTTGAAAAGAAGCAACAAGAAAAGGAGCAGAAATCACAAGAAGATGGGGACAGCATTGATGGTTGTAATAAAAGTCCACTGACAACAGATGATCAACGCAAAGGAACCATTTCACCCATGTTTTGGACTGATCTGATTAGATCTAACCCTGAGTGGGAGGATTTTCAAGAGACATTACGAACCGCTACACTAGAGCAAACGCGAGATACCTTGTGTCACATGGACCCCAACCTTCGTTTTCAATTTGCTCCACTTCAATCTCGACAACCTAATGAGACGCCACTCACCAGACGTCATTTCGGTATTCCCGGTGTCTCTGCTCGTGGAAATGATGGCATCGATCTCGGTTCAAAGTGTAAGCAAACATACCAAAAACAAAAAAAAAAAAGCGATTAAGCAGAGTATTTCTAAGTGTCACCAGCGAGTAAAAAAAGAAAAAAGTGAATTGACACTCTTGTATCTCTTGTATATATTATATTTATATTAACATTTATAGATGGCAACTCTCTCGGTTTTGGAGTGCCTATGAAATATGATCATGAAGCAGCAGAGAAAGACAAGGAAAAGACAGAGCAGGATCAGGAGTCCCGAGTGCAGAAAGCCCTTGCAAATCTGATGCCTACCATGGATTGGAAGTTAATCCCGCCGCAGCGAGTCTTAAATGCTATGGGTGGTGGAATAACTCGTGCTAATGCCCCTGGAAAGCTCAAACAGCTGCAGACAAATGGACATAACACATCATCAGCATCGGCAGTTGCGATCTCCCCTATGAACAACAACAGCAACAATGATATCACGGCGTCCACGACGAATGTGAATGGGAATACGTCTTCATCCACGACACCAAATGGGACATCGACATCGACTTCTGCTAAATCAAAAAAGAAGAAGAAGAACAAGAAGAAGCGTCCTAATAGCATTGATCACACAGAAGATCACTTTGATTCAGCTGATAGTAGTGAGCAGACGAACGGGGTCTCCTCATCTTCTTCGGAGGAGATGGTGAATGATTCAGGCTCGAGTTCAGCGTGTTCTTCAGACGATGACGAATCATCATCAGCAACTTCTTTCGAAAAAAATTATGTTGTAGAGCATCCAGAATCTAACGGTAATGGACCAGAATCGACAACGACAACGACAATGGATATAGATGAAGAGCGTCGGGAGCGCAAGAGGGAGAAGAACAGACAAAAGAAGTGGAAGTACAAGATGAACAAGAAGAATAAGATTCACCAACTTCAAGCAGAAGCTGAAGAGAATGTAGGAGAGACAGGTTCTGCTATGGAGCAATAAACTGTCATAATAAAATCCAAAGAATAGCAGCAGAAAAAAAATCCCAGACACGCTATGATTTATTATTGCTATTATTATTAAAGATTATTATTGCGCATCCATTCAAATTTATGATTACCCATCCTCCGAACAACTCTATCTGGTATCGTTACTCGAGCAAACTTTTTTATAATACTTGAATGATGATGAGCTTAGTTGGCGTGCAAGTTGAAGAGTGAAGTTCAGGGACGATTTTTCTGTATTCAAGTGAATTAGCAATGTTTTACGTTTCCATAAAACATACCAACGAGAGAAGAGTGGAGTGAAGTTCAGAAACCAATCTTTTGTAGATCAATTCATACTGTTACCAAGTCATAAAATGTCAAATATTTCTGCAATGGCCTATGAGGATATGGGGGACGTTGAAGGGATATTAGACCCATATTTACGTACGATAATAGGGGAAAGGAGTTTTGAAACAATCCATGTCTTTGTATTCGTCCTATGGAAATGGTGGCAAAAAAGATATGCAGTCGGTTACAGAGTCGTTCATTTGTTGCGACTCGCGTGTTCATAAAAAGCACATCGGTAATCACGTGATACAGGCAACATGGCAGAGAAGCCCACCTGTCCAATGAAATAGGGTGAATCTATTTGACAACCCCTTAATTATTTTTCTCAATTTTTTTCTTTGCGTGACAACCCGGGGTTGCCAAATAGTAAAATATCTAATTTGACAACCCCAAGCTCACTGTTATTTGACAACCCTTTTTTTATTGGCAAGATTATTATGTGAAAATCGTTTCTATTGCTATCCCTCAGCAACACGAAATCCCTCCAGCAATCTAAAAGCTTCCATCAAATAACAAACTTTTTTTTTTGGTTACGAGGTGTTGTTTTTTATTACAACTGATTTCTAAAACAAGGGTTTGCTTTATAGAAAATGTGCCTATACGGGTAACATGCACTAAGGGGTTTTTGGATATATAAGCATACATAAATTCGGAGTGGTTATGCGACGCTTGATGGCGCATGCGTAAGACGCGGAAAGGAAAAAAAGAGAGACAGAAGAAGCTATAACCACAGTCATGATAATGGAGTGTTGCCACCATTTTAGAAATCCAGCTGAGAAAGGCCCTCCATAAGTGCAAGAGGGTGAAGACTTGTCATGTGACAGGTTGAAAAAGACAATTTTTCTTCTTTTCTTGACAACCCGGGTTGTCAAATAACAAAAAAGTGAAAATTGAAGACCTTGGGTTGCCAAATAAGCCGGTGTGACTGCTAAATTGGGGGTGGTTGTCAAATAAGAGTGACAACCCGGGTTGTCAAATAGATTAATTCAATGAAATAAGGATGCAACAGAGTAACATTTGCATGTCCATTTGCAACTTTTTATATTTGACTCGCCTGAAGTAGCAATTTTTTACTTCAACAAAGAAAATACAGTGGTAGGAATATACCCTGTGATACAGCAACAACATCAACATCACAATTTGTTGTTTGAACATGAGTAATGTATGATGTAAATGCCAAGCCGAAATAAAAACTCTCAACACTTGAAGGTTTACACATGCATCTTCTGCTGTTGCCACATACCTTTTTTTTTTTTTTTTTTTTTTTTTTAATTACCTAGAAAGAGAAAGATAGATACACAAGAGAGCCAACAGATGGTATTACAAGATCCAGACAGATATGAAGACGACGATTATGTTTTTCTATCTGAAAGCGATTGTGACAATGAATATCCTTCTCGAGATCGAGGATCCCCTTTTGAAGGGCCAAAAAGGAACTCTTTAAAACCACAGTCATCTCCTTCTAATCATAGTCACAGTAAAGGTTTGGAGACAGAGCAACCATCATCACCGCCATCATCATCGTCGACGTCTTCGGCAACTACATCGTCTCAACGGAGAAGCAAAATTAAAAATGAAAACGAAAACGAAAACGAAAACGAAAGTAGCGATAACAACGAATCTGACTTCGACATTGAAGAAATTGAATATGGATTTGACACGGATACGCTATTAATCATGCCGGCCATGCTGCGAGATTACAGTCACCATGCTACCAACTATCATCCTGAGCTGTGGAGGCCGCCCATTCCAGGAAGATACTCACCACAATCCTCAGCAGCGAGGTATCGTCAAGATGGTATGAATCATTTAAAAAAAAAAAAAAAAAAAAAAAACTAAACTTCTTTGATAAAGAATGATTGCGAGAGAGAGAGAGAGAGAGAGGATATGATGATTGTAGAGCTAAAACTAACAAAGAGAGGACTTGCAACTAACAATTTTTTTTGCATGTAGATCGTGCATTGGATCGTCAGGAACTACTCAAAACCAGCATATCACCCACGACTTGTGGTATCTGTTTTGACTCATTTACTAGCATTGAGCTCGATTCTCTACAACAGAACGGCACAAAAAAGATAGATGAGATTTCCAAGAAAGCTCATTTTACATTATCATTTACTACTCAGTCAACACGTTCACTTGTACCTAATACTAAACCATTCGCACCTTCTAGAAGAGAGGCTTCAGAGCCATCTTCCTCTTCTTCGTCATCCCCATCCCCATCATTATCTCCTTCAACAGACAACCCGAAGCAACAAATGTCAACAGTAGTAAGATCGCCCACGATCACTCCATCGATATCGTCCAAGGACATTGGAATCGTGATGCCATGTGATCATGGGCTTTGTCTCACTTGTCTACAATCGTTCTTGACTAACGCAACCCAAAGTTCTCAGGCACGATTCCCAACAGTATGTCCACAGCCTCACTGTAGGACTCCAATTCCTACAGAGTCTGCGGAATTAGTTTTGGATCCAGAGACATTGGAGATTTGGTATCGAAAACTAGCAGAGGTTCATGTAGCCAATAAGGTCTGCTGTCCTAAACCAGACTGTCAATCCATCATTGATTTAGATGATCGTGATGGCACAGTAGTGACTTGTCCTGAATGCCATAGTTCGTTTTGTGCATCGTGTGCTGTTCCGTTCCATCGAGGTAAGTAAGCATAAAAAAAAACTTATACACAAAAAAAAAAAAAAAAAACTGGATGACTAATTTATCTGTTGAGTTAAAATGTTTACGTTATGTATATTCGAATATATATCCACCATATCCACTATTAGGACAAACCTGTGAACAATATCGAGCGCAGGCACATGGTAATGAAACAGAAGAAGATCGAGCAATGCATCAGCTGGTGCAGGATCGACACTGGCGACACTGTCCATCCTGTCGGTTTGTGATTGAAAAACAACAAGGCTGTAATCATATGGTCTGCCACTGTGGACAAAGCTTTTGTTATGCATGTGGACATCCTTGGAACGAACTTGAGGCGAGATGCTCACAGGACTGTGAGAGTTATGGCGTTCATGAGGATATAGGCGTGGAATGTACTATCATGTAATGAAACTATATATGTAATATTTTCTGGAATTGAGACATTAGATCACATGCTTATTATGCTTCGCTCATTGTTGAGTGTAATGAAAGTATAGCCCGTTCCATTTGGTCGCGATCCCTTATATTTTTTGAATACTCTTAAATGTATTGGCAGCCAATTGACTCGCTTGTTTGCAAGTGGTGTGACTGGTCATTAAAATTAATTTCAGTTTATTTTGTATCCACTAATCTGCCGAACCAGCTTAAGGAATCTTTGCGCAAAGCCTTTGTAGTCATAGGCGGGTCCGCCTCACCTAGAAGCTACCGAGTATAAAAGCCAAAGAAACTTCCTTCTTAATAAAGTCTTCAGTTTTCCCCATATGTCTTATTCTTCACCTGCACTTCATCTTGCCATTTATCTTTTTCCCCTTTTCACAACAAGCATTTGTCTTCCGGTAACTCATTTTGTGAGCTCACCTATAAAGCTCCCATCTTTTCTTTTGACATTCTATGGCGCTGTTTGTAGTCAAGGTTATTTGACTCTATTTTCTCTTGTCAATCTTGTTGACACTCTTTGTCCTGCCTTTTCCTGATTGTGTCTATCTTTCTGTCCCTTGAGCAAAGATATTTTTTACAACAATGCCACCAAGCCAATTTATTATGATTAAGATATGTGGGGTCTATATGTTGTCTAAATAGTCCTCTCCATAAAAAAACACCATCTAGACCAAGCATAGAAATAAAGAGATTAGTCAAGAAAGCACTGTCAAGCTAATACTTGCAACTTTTTCAAGACGAAGGCCTTTCCCGACCTAGTCATGTTTGTAGTAGCTCATGAAAAATTTTAGACAGACAAATAGTAACTAGGGAGCAGAAGTGAGAATAGGATGTGGGTTCACACATCACATCCATGGGGCATTTATCCAAATTTGTATCAAAATAAAACTACAAGTTTGTCTCGGGCACCACACCATGGGGCATAGAGCTGTTAGTATGTCTGTATTATAAATTTTCATGTAACACGTGTACTGTGAAATATGCAACTGATCATATCCTATTGTTGTTGCCGGCTTGGTGTCTTTCCTCCCAACCTATCAGTGAGCATTGGTGCAACGCATATAAGACACACAGGCTGTTGACGAGCCTACTTCTCACCTTCACCGTTTGACGCAGGTCAGGGTTGTGACGGTCTAGCGAAGAAAACGTAAGGGCATTAGCAATACCAGGATCGCATTAGACGGTAGTTGTGGTATTTGCAGATGAGCATCGCCCTAGCTCATGGAATATGAGTCCAACGTTTTCAAGAAGTTTGGGGCTCCTCTTCCAGTTTATGTTTGCGTAGTCTTCATCTGTCAGGTCTTCACCGGCTGCCTTTAAAACACGCCGTGTTAAGGAATCCTTGAGAAAGTTTCAATTCCTGGCTGAGATCTTCTTCATCTACGTCAGACTGCTGCTGTCTCTTCGTCTGGACTGTGTCATAGGCAAGTGGATTCAGAACAAGGCCATTGGCAAAATCGTTCCTTTGAGTTTGAACCGAGTTATACCTTTGTCTTGTGCCTGTAGGGGTACCTTGTCTTGAAAGCCATGAAACATGCGATCTCCTTCAATGTCACAAAGAGAGCCTGTATCTAGACCTCTTTTGTTCCCTGTACACATTCAAACACTGCAGCCTTGGAAGGATTGTCGAGAGGATGTCAGTTAGGACGTGTTCAGACAGATACACATACCGAGGGGGGACGTAAGGAAGTCTGTTTTTTTTATTTCTTGTTGATTGTCATGGCGAAGGCTTGATTTGGTAAATGTAGATGATTGGAGAGCTGTAAACAATACTCGAAATCCAAAAAGTTAAAACTTTGTCGCTGAGAATCTTGTTTTTTAGTTTAATGCGAGTTGTTCCAAATTCATCAGCCTTTTGTTTCGTTCTCTTTCATACACCTATAAATACGTCCTGCCTCCTTCTCTTTTCCCTCTCTCTCTCTCATTTTACAACGACATTGCTTTCGCGCTCTCACCCGTACTCTTACACCCTCATCCCCTCACAGATCATAACTTTTTGCTTTCTTAAAGGTAAACTATCTCTACTCTAACAACTTCAGCTTCAATCTTTAGCCGCTTAAACCAACATTGCTTGCACTGTTTTACACTATACTTTCTCTAGATGGGCATTAAAGGACTCTATTCATACCTTTCAAGTAGAGGCCTGCCATCAAAGGAGATTGATGTACATGAGCTTGCTGCTGAACCCCATTCATCTTTTGAGCTGGATCTGCTTGGCACTTTCCACAGCGATATACATAATATCATCCTAAGGAGATTCAGCCAGCAGAGTTCTTTCACTGCCTGCGGCCATGCTATGGCTAGTATCATTCGAAAGATCTTTGGTCCTCTTGCCACAGTGACGATACACATTGATGGGCCTCGCTGCGAAGAAAAAACGCGCGCCTATAGGGACCGAGATGCTAAGCGTACAGCAGCGGATGCAAAACTCGATACGCTCATAGCCAACATGGAAACCAAGTCCAATGAAGGCAAATGGGAATCTCGAAGCCATATGATTGCCATTAAAAAGAATCTTCGACAGCTCTTCACATTCAGTCATAACGAGAAGAGGGAGCTCGCGGCGCCATTCGGTCGATACAATAACTTTGTGATTTGCCATTGTAGAAATGAGGCTGATGTGTGTATTGCCGCCAAATGTACACCAACCAGTATCGCTGTGTCTGGGGACTCTGACCTTCTCATCTATCCTTCTATAAAAAGAGTTCTTCGTCCAATCCCTCGTCGCCATCACATGTTTGCACTCTATGAGAAACAAGAGGTCCTGCAAGCCCTTGGGTTTTCAAGGAACAGTCAACTCTTGGTCTATGGCATTATATCCGATAACGATTACACCCCAAATATCCCAACCTTTGGTCTTGCTACAAATGCTGAGATTATCTCTGCGCTCACTGACACTGATGCCGAAAAGTTGACGGTATCATATGTTCGTGAGGTCCATGCCCGTAGCCGTCGAACTCCTGCAGAAGGCCAGTTTGACCATTCAATTAATGTTTTCTTTGGTGGGATCCAAACCCAGACCTCGCAGCAAGCAACCGCTGAAAGATTCCTTCATTACCATGATAGAATGAGGACTGCGATATCTGCTAGGTACCAGAATAAAAATAATCAACCTCAACCCAGGTAAGCTCCTTCAAATGAACATTTTCCAAAGCATATACAAAAAAAAAAAAAAAAAAATCATCTAACCCTTGACATTGTTGTTCCTAATTAGATTCTATATCCCTAAACGCGCAAAGCCGGATCGCTATCGGCCTGTTTTCCCTACCCAGAAAAAGGAACTTTCACCTAAGAAAAATGACCTGACCAACTGCAAACAACACGACCGTCCCGTCAGCTCCAGCCGTCAAAGAAAGTCCCCCAAAAAAAAGGAAAAGGAAAAAAAAGAGGATGAGAAAGAAGAGGAGGTTAAGGAGGAAAAGAAGAAAAAAAAGAAGAACAAAGGGAAGGCCAAGTATATCAGAAAGACTGATAAAACCAGGAAAGTGAAGGAGGCTACTGCCGAGGACCGACGGTTGAAGAGGGCCCACCCCACTGTTGCATTAACTCTGGGCACGTTAAAGACATGTGTAGTTGCCAAGCTGGACTCTACTTCCGATCCCAATCTCAATCCCGAGCAACTTGCTGCAACAATTCAAGGGCTCATTCAATCATTTATTAAAATGTTGAATGAGGTGCGGATTCGAGCTTTCTGGGCCTGCGCCTTGTGGATCGATAACCTGCTTACCACTGGGCCATCCAATCCAGCTGATCCCCCACAACTCCTAGATGAAGTTCTTGATAGCAGGGACTTTATTTACGGCCTTGCTGCGTTGTTGTATCACGGAGTGATGAGTCCATTATCTAGGTATAGCAGGGAAGTGAAGAAAAAAGGCGAAGGGAGCGTAGCCAAGCCGTCCCAGCTCAAAGCATACGAATACTTCTATGCAAAGACAGGGCTTGGTCCTTTAAACCAGATCCTATTCAAGCAGCGCTAAGGTCTCACTATCGGAATGCGCAGGTAAATATAATATTATAATATTTTGAGGTTATCTTATAATATGTTTATAGAAATGTTCCTAATCATTTCTTCAATATAATGTCTAGTTTGACATAGATATTCCAGGCGATGGAAGAAGTTCCATCCAATTCTTTTTTGAGCAAAATGCAACTGCCAAAAAATATCTGGATTTCCCTACGTCTGCTTTCTCGCCTCGGTCTCTTTGCCTAACGGAAGCCTGTCTCCTGGATATATTATGGTCTAACCCAACAGTTCGAGAGGAAATAGCCCAATTGTTGGAACTAAACATGAGTACCAAGGGGGCTGCAGAGGACAAGATCCTTAACCACAAGGGGATATTGTTGCAGGAGCTGTTTTCCTTGAAAGGATACAAGGACGTTGGACTGCAATCTGATGATGGCCCTGGAAGGAAACTACGGACATCGTTCTTTACAAACGGCCTTACCCTAACACTTCTTGCCTATGACACATCGAAGCAAAAAAGAGGTAGAGGTTCGCAAGCTGCCCAACCTTCGGATACTCAAAGATCTCAAGCAGTCCAGGCTTCTTCAAGTGCTCAGCAGGGATCCTCGTCTTCAGGCCATGGTGCAGGTGATGGTGGTGATGATGGAGACGACGACGGAAATGAAGATGACGATATCTTGCTGGGCATCAGCGATATTGACTTGCTGGAAGTTGATGAACCATTCTTAGATGGCGAAGAGGGAGAAGAAGCAGCTGAAGAAGGTACATCGAGCACAAATCAGCTGTTCCCGGTGAGTCCCAGTCCCCGGCGTGAGATCAACTGGAAGCAGAGATCCCGTCTCCTCGAGAATGTAGAAGTTAAATATGACACCCAGGCAGCATGCCCTCCCCCCGAAAGTACCATTATCATTGGGATCGATCCAGGCGAGAGGTACTCGATGACAATTGCAAAGTTGGATCCAAGGAAACCTAACGAACGTGAGATCCTCCGGATTTCTAGAGCGTACCTTTACAAACCATCCAAGAAGTTTCAGGGCGAGCTAGAGAGGCGAAAGCTTAGAAGAGGAATTACAGAGATTGAAAGCAATATTCCGTCATTCTCAAGGCCTACTTTAACACAGTATTTCGCTTATATGAGCTTGCCGCTAAATCAAGCTCAATCAAGTACTGGAGGTAGTTTCTCTGGTAGTGGGGTTGGGGCCAGTAGTAGCAGTGGATCTGGGACCAGTGACGACAATAGGGAGACTAAATATAGGGCGCTTGTCGATTTCTATAATGACGGGTGGTTTGTTCGGAATAGCTGGGATATTAGAAAAGCACAGAACGGATGCGTTGATTATGTGATCAAGGCAATTCTGAAGCTTGCGGGCGGAAGCAATGGAAGAAGAAGAGATGCCAATACGAATGCGGTGATCTGTATTGGACTAGGATCATTCAAGACAAACCGAGGACAAGTATCGAAGCATGGGATATTGATGAAGAAGCTTGTTGAAAAGGTAAAAAAAAAAAAAAATCCCTTGATCAATGACATTTAATTTTTGAGTCTTTTTTTTAACGAGTATTAAATCTGGCTCGAACAGGCAAAATCTCTAGACTACCCCATTGTAGGTTGTCATGAATACTACACATCTGCCAAGTGTCCACGGCCTCACTGTGACAGTATATTGGAGAATGTTCCTTTTCGATCCAAGTACTGTCGAAATTGTAAAGCATACTTTGATCGAGATGCTGTTGGTGCTGAGAACATCGCAAGGGTCTGTGAGTCGCAGATAAGAGAGCAAAAACGACCTGCAAAATATATGCCGCCGGACGAAGGAACTCAAGGCCAAGCTTCTAGCGGTAGTGGCGGCGGTGGAGGTAGTGGTGGCAGTGGTGGTGGTAGTAGCAGACCCACAAAAAGGAAATTTTCAGATGAAGGAGGAGGAGGAGTAGAGGGATCAAGACCACCGAAAGGACCTTTGCTGGGTCCAGGAGGAGGGGGAGAGACAAGCCGGCAACAACAGTAGGACACAATCTACTACAAACATGACTAGGTCCAGAAAGGCCTTCGTTTTAAAAAATTGTAAGTATTGGCTTGATAATACTTTTTATTTCTTTGTTCTAATACACTTCTTCTTTTAACACTAGATGGGATGTCTCGTTTTTTAATGGGACGGACTATACAAAGACTTGATTCTATAATAAAAATTGGTTGAATCATTAGCATAGTCAAGTTTCTTTTTTATGAGTGGCCAGAGTACCACGAGCATGTGTGATACGCATACCATGTTAATAGATAATGGTATTGTAATTAATACACCAACAAAGCACTCGTAATACCTGTTCAGGCTGCTTGTGGACTTGCGAATATTGACTGTTCCATTAGGTCAACTATGATACGAACAACTCCTAAAAAGGTCATATGAGAATGTCGCTTGAAGGTAAAAGCTTGCGTTTCTCTTCAGTTGATCAGAATTATCTGTTTTATAAACGCCTCTCTCTGTCCAACAATGCGATCATCATATGATTGCATTGTTGGGCGCAGCCTTACAGAAGATGTGGCTGGAAGAAATGATTTTTTATTATTACAGCAAGTGGCAAGTGAAAAAAAATTATGTAATGCTGGTATTGATTGGGAATATACAGGCCGTGATAAAAAAGAAAAAGAAAAAGAAAAAAAAAACAGCTATGCTTTTATGTAGTCTTTTTTTTTATAATTTTTTGTGAATAGAAGAAAAAAAAGAAAAGAGAAATAATAAAAAAAAAAAAAAAAAAAGTGAATATCTATTTTGAGTTTGTGAAGACTTGATCTTAATGGCCATGGTTCGGTACAGTGTAGTTGTTGTTGGGTGGATTGGAGTTGTTTCCATGGGCACTCTTAAAGTCATCAATGTTCTTGTACTGCTCCAGCAATGGTTTCAAATCAGCCATCACATCTAGCTTACGGCGAGCCTTGTCTTTACGATAATATAAATAAGCCCAGAACTTCTCCAGGCCATACATGTGCCCATTCTGGAAATCCTGATGCGCTAATGCCTCAAAATCTAAGAAAAGATCCTGGCGAAACTTCTTTTCCAACCCATAAGAGTAGAATCGGAAGAGACATTCCAAACCATAACGGTAGTTGGCGTTCGCATCCTCGACCGCCAGGCGTTTAAACTCGGCATACATATTTTTGTTAAAATTATCACGCAAGAAGTGTGACCAAAATCGGAACAAGGTGTTCATTTCCTGGGAATGACCGGCACCCTGACGCTTGCGTTCCTTGAGAGCCTTTGCGTGGTACTTGTAATATTTGTGCTGAATAAAGCCGTTCTCATGCAACAGCTCGTGCGAGGGATGCTGGAATGCAGGGAAGGAGTGAGGAGCCTCCAAAGATGTAGAGAGCAAGGATGACTCTGTGTGTGAACCCATAGACATGGAGTGGCCTGTAGCAGGGGAATTTCCGACAGATTGAGGAAGATCTGATTGGTGGAAAGGCTGATCACCCAGAATCCATCCAACAGCGGCCTGAGCTTGATGCTGGCGCGAATCAGGCTTGCCTCCCTTGCTTTCCTGTGTGCCCTTCACTGAATAGAAACGAAGTGTTTTGCCCTTACCCTTACCCTTATTCTTCCCACTACTACTCTCGCCTTGTGTAGCCATCTGGTTGTTATTATGCTGGTTGTTGATACTAGAGCTCAAAGTGGTGCTGCTTTGGCGGGGTTGCGAGCCTGTAAGAGCAGTAAATTGCTCCTCTGAGATCATCTCTACCTTTTTATGGGAATGGGCAAGGCTACCACGACGGTTGCTGTTGCGTCTGCGCTGGAGATCAGCCTCATAATGGTACAATCCCTCATTAATCATATCGTTGATTTCGTCGTTCATGGCCTTGCGTTCATACGAGCCGTGTGACCTATCTTTCTTTTTCTGAGTGACAATCAAGATCTTGGCAACTGTGTCATCGTCGAATTCTTCGTCGTCCTCTTCTTCATCATCACTGACATAGTATTTTTGAACAGTGCCTGTGCGAGAACCTCCGAGGAGATTATCGTCATCAAACTGGAAAAGATCATCGTCGTCTGCAATGTTAGTACTAGGCTGAGACTGCTGAACTAGTGCTGTATTTGCATGAGCGATTGAGGCGCGCTTCTTAGTCTTGGACTGCTTAACATGCCAGTCATCCTCGGTAGGTATACTAGAGCTTGTTGGTGGTACAATAGCAACCGGATGTGGACTTCTGACAGGGGGAACATATGAAGATCGAGTGGCTTGGAAAGGGATCACGCCGTCCTCCTTAGGAAAAATCCACGTGGCCCAGTCGCCCCTTCTACGGATGTTATCACCATTAAGTTCAATGACTTTACTGTCTTTAATAGCCTCCTTAATCAGCGAGTGGTCTGTTGTCAGGTGCTTGACACGGTTAAAGTTAGCGATGAGAGACAATGGAACGTAGCCTTCCGAGTCCATCTGAGTGCGCATATAGACATCTTTGCAAAGGTTTTCAACCGAGAAATAGTACTCCATTTGCTGAAGAATGAATGATTTTAGGACTTCTGTGTCGGGTTGTGGTGCTCCATGCTGATAAGCATATGCGGCATTGCCAACTGACGATCTGTAATTGGGACGAGCGCCAGTTGACTTTGCCCCACGACCACGGCCACTATGCTGGCGGTTCTGGCTACGATGTTGAGAACCATTTCGGGAGGGTTCACCATCAAAGAGAGATGGTACAGAGGCACGACGAATATGCGATGATTGACCGTCAGCAACTTTGGTAGATGCGGTAGCGGTGCCAGAGTCATGTCCATTGGAAGCAGCCTTAGCATCCGATGTATGTGTATGCAAGTTCCTTGTACGGCGATTATGAGCATCATGAGACTTATGACTGTTTCCTGATGTAGAGTGCGTAATATTGGGAGTATAATTTGTCCACTTGTACTTGTCCTTCTTATTGATAGGTGCAGTTGCAGTAACTGGTTCCTGCTTAGTCTCCTTTTCAGCTGAGGCACTTGGATCAGGCCAAACGTTAGTGTCATCCAAGGCTGGAAGTATAGTCTGCGACTTTTTGCCTTTTCTCGATTTTTTACTTTCGTCCTTGGCATCTATTCGATGAAGGGAACAGAGTAGCAGATAGATTGCAGGATAAGTTTTAATGGACAAAAAGGAAAATAAAAAAAAAGATCTACCAAATGAAGCCCCGAGCATCTTTCATGTCGAATTTTTATATTCTCCATGAAACAGTGTATTTCCTCAATGTATTCCAACCCATGGCAAAAAGGATCAACAAGACTGCTTAGGAAATGAATGGTCATCTGGAACAGAACAAGGTTTCAGCTGTCGGGATCCAGATTTGAGCAGTCGCGATTGTGACCTTCCACGTCATCAATTGTTGCCTGACACCACTACGTTACTGTACTGTTTAGCAATCTTTAAGTGATAAAATGCTTCTCCTGAGATTATTAGGCCCGATCAAATCGCTGCGCCATCATCATATGTCCTTCCGAAAATGTTTATTCTTCCAATAAGATCAAACTATCTCAATAATGAACAAAAAGAACTTACCCAAGGTTACTTCCTTAATACTCTCGATAATGGTTTCAACACGTTTCTCGGCCTCAGCTTCAGCTGTGCTAGAGGAAGCGGTCATAGAAGTCGTAGTAGGCTTCATGGTCTCCTTGCGAGCCTTCCAGAAGTTAACGGTGGGAGCAGGGGGCGTCTTTTTTTCGACAGGTTCTTGCATAGCCGCAGGCTGTGATGTAGAGGTAGACGGATTATTATTTTCCTGAACCTCAGGGGCGTTATTTTCCTTAACGAGATGGTCGTTGGATTCCATTGGGGTAGTTGCGCAGACCATTTGCGGCTTACTATTGATTATAAAAAATAAAAATAAAAAAAAAAGTTGCTTTGGGCTTGTCCTTTAAGAGGAAACTAGTTCAAAGAAGTGCTCCTTCGCAATAGTTTGATCAGTTGGACGAAGTTGAATTCTGTCTGATCTGGTAAGAAACAACGAATATAAGAAGGAAATGGGGAGAAGAAGAGAAGGAAAAAGGAAGAAGAGAAAGAGCAAAAAAAAAAAAAAAAAAAAAAAAACTTTGATCAGGCCACCGGACGTAAAATGATTCAAAAAGCTTTTTTTTGTTTTGTTTTGGGTGGTCAGTGAATGGCTGCAGTGGCAGGTACCGAGTTCATACACTAAAGATCAAGACAGCCAAGAAATGGTATTTTCTAAACGAATCCTGATTGCACCTACGAGAAGTGGTGATTGGTGTCAGTTGATATTAATAAAGTGTGAGAGAAAAAAAAAAGAGAAGAGAGAAAGGAAGAAGAGAAAAGTTCAAGGTACGGCCATTTTAATGGGTCTGATAAGGTTACCATGTTTGCATGTTTGGGCATATTCATGACGCTGAACCTCCTGCCGGTCAAAACCTTACCCTTTTTTTGTTCTTTCTCCTTCCAAACGACCGTCACTGTGTGTATTAAATAGCTGAATGATTCGGTACCTGGTACGAACAACCTTTTTAACATCATTGATGCCAGTTCGGATCCCTTTCTTCAACTAACATACTTTACTTATACCTCTTCATACTCAGTTAATTTTCTGCCAATTAACAAATCCTGGCATTTAAACAATAAAGGTACATGTATATAGATATATACATTGCACATACGTACACCGAGCTCTAATTATATCCTGTAAAAATACGTGTTACCAATATATTCTTTTGCCACGAACAAAGCGCGCCTTTTTCCTTTTGTTTTGCGATCAACTCTCTTACATTACTTCTCCCTTACAAAACATTTGCTTGGGAAACAAAAGAATACCCTTCTCTCAGAAAAGAATAAAAAACAAAGTAAGGGCGAAGGAGCTATCTCTTTTACGGCATTCAAACTACATTATATTCAAAACGAAAGAATCATTTCATTAATAAGTCTTTTTTGACTTGCAGTAATATAATAATATTCACAATGACTGAGGTTTTGGAGGTCAACAATGCTAGCATGCAGGCCTTGGCCTCGTATCTTCAACAGACTCTGGATCCTGCAACCCGCCACGAAGGTAAAAAGTCTGAAGTCGGCCTTAAGTGCTTTATGAACGGCTTTATTTTTGCAACCGAGCTAAATAATTTTTGTCGACGCTCTGTTAGCCGAACAATTCCTGGCGAAGGTGCAGCAGAGTCAGAATTTTGGGCAATTGGTCTTGCAGCTTATTGCCACAAAGTCATTCGACATGCACATCCGCTTCGCTGCATCCTTGCTCTTCAAAAATTTTGTCCGCAGGAACTGGATGGTAAAGTCAGTAGTAATATAGCAATGTGATGTGGCAGATGAAGCATCGTTTTATCAACCAATGATTAAGTATTCGATCGGAAAATATCGTCATTATGATAGGCTGATGATGATGGCGACAGCAAGATCTCGCTTTCAGACAGGGAGGCAATCAAGAACAGGATCGTGGATTTGATGACCATTTCTGAGGCCAGGATTCAACTCCAGCTTTCCGATGCTGTCACTCAAATCGCTGACAGCGATTTTCCTCAAAAATGGCAGGGCCTCATTCCTGTAAGGGCATCTTCGCATCATTCAGCTTAGTAAATAGAAAAAGACGCTTTGCTTCCAGGAAGTTAATACGTCTTATTCATCAACGTACCATTACTCAATTGAAATAGGAACTCGTCAGTAAGCTTAACCTTAACGACTTTGTCACCAACAATGGCTTACTTCAGACCGCGCACTCTATCTTCCAAAGGTGAGGGTCCCCTCGGCCCCTGATCTACAGCTCCAGCTAATGCTTCATACTAATCACGTAGGCTTTGATGATTTTAGGTGGCGACCATTGTACCCTTCTGACAACCTTTACACTGAAATTAAGATTGCCTTAGAAAGCTTTTGCGACCCTTACTACAAGCTCTTTATGGTAACAATCCAAAGCTAGTATATCAATCATGAATGCTGATATTATTTTATGTTGATCTGAGAAGCTCATTTTTTACTAATTGTCTTTTGATCTTTATAGGCTACTGACAATATGATCCAAAGCAACTCGCAAAACGCAGCTCAATTGAAGGTCCTCTTTGAGACTCTCCACTTACTTACAGAGATTTATCACGACCTGAATTGCCATGACATTCCTGAGTTCTTCGTCACACACCTTCAGGAATTTATGAGCTTCTTCCACAAATACATGACATATGACAATCCATTGCTTTCAGGAGAGGTTAGTGACCACTATATGCAAAAGAGCAAACTTACAAGCATAGCACGCATTGATGCTAGTAGGTTCAACTTTACTCTTTATTCACGTTTACCCATCGTCTTTAGGATGAGGACACTCCTGGACCCATTTTGCAGGTCAAAGCATCAATCTGCGAGGTCGTCGAGCTTTACAGCAAACGCTACGAAGAGGACTTTACCTCCTTGCCAGAGTTTATTCAGACTTCATGGACTCTTCTGACGACTTTGGGGTTGGAACCTAAGAATGATATGGTATGGCAGTACTACACTGCATAATGTTATCCCGTTTACTTGAAGAAAAATGCTAACTGCTGCTTTTTTTTTTTTTTTTTTTTATTTTCGAAAAAGCTGGTTAGCAAGGCTATGTCATTTTTGACATCTGTAGTAAAGAATGGGCGACATAGAAGTATGTTCAGCTCGACTGATGTTCTCTCTCAACTGTGCGAGAAGGTTGTATTACCTAACATGGGCCTGAGAGGTAGGGATTGTTTGCGGGATTAACAGCTTCGTACAGTATAATATTTGCACATGACTGATTGGTATTTATTTGGAATAGAATCTGATGAGGAGCTTTTCGAAGATGAGCCGATTGAATACATTCGACGGGATCTAGAGGGATCAGATAGCGAGACTCGTCGTAGGGCTGCAACAGAACTCGTACGTGGGCTTTTGGATCAATTCCCTACAGAAGTCACTGCCATCATTACCAACTACATTCAGCACTATCTTCAGAGATATAATTCTAATGTGGCACAAAACTGGAAGGACAAGGATGCAGCGATGTTCTTGCTGACGAGCATTGCGGCAAAGAGCGTAGGATCACAGGTATGGCGAATAGATTAGTTGTTCCTTACAGTGGTTTGGACTTCATTTCAGTGATGGCAAGGACAGGAGCTTACACGGTTGATCTTTTTTTTTTTTTTTTTTTTTTTTTTTATACCAGTTTGGTGCTCGTGAAACGAACACTGAGGTCAATATTTTGGACTTTTTTGAAAAGAACGTGATCCCCGATCTTAATGCCCCAGTGTCTGGGGCCATCCACCCTATTCTCAAAGTCGATGCTATAAAATACCTGTACACTTTCCGCAGTCAATTTTCAAAGGATCAGCTGCTAGCCGCACTTCCCCTTCTTATTAGGCACCTGGAAAGTACAAACTATGCCGTCTATACCTACGCCTCAATCTGCATTGAACGTATTTTGTTCATGCGTGCTTCAGGAACCACGGGTCCTATGCTGTATGCTTTTTTTTTTTTTTTTTTTTTTTTTGCTAGAGTATTATATCATATGAGAATTTGGTTATAATGGTCGAGGTTTTGATGTAGGTTCTGCGTTACTTCATATATTTTAGATTCTCATCCGATGATATTGCCCCACTTGCTGAGACTCTGATCTCTAATTTGTTCCGCCTTATTGAGCTTGGACAGACCCCCGAAAAGTTGGCCGAGAATGACTATCTCATGAAGTGTAAGTACAGGAATCTATCAAATTCATTTAAAACACTTGATTGACGTAAGCTGAATATTTAGCTGACATTCTTGATTTTATTGAAAAGGTGCTATGCGTGTTGTTCTCACTGTGCGGGAAAAGATGATGCCACTGGTCAGCCTTTGCTTAGCTCGCCTTACAGCCATTGTGCAGGCTGTTAGCTCTAATCCTAGTAATCCCAAATTCAACCACTATGTTTTTGAGAGCATTGGAGCACTTATCCGGTTCATTTGCAACGCCAATCCCGAGGCATCTGAGCAGTTTGAGAACCTTTTATTTCAGCCCTTTCAGGTCATTCTTCAACAGGACATCGCAGAATTTACACCTTATGTCTTCCAGCTTCTGTCACAACTCTTGTCCTACAGTACTCGGGCAGAGCTTTCCCCATCATATCAGGCTATGCTTCCACCTCTTGTTCAGCCTATGCTCTGGCAACAGCAAGGTACACGATGATACTCGAAAAGTCGAACTTATCATTTATTCAATGGCTTTTTGAATTCACAATTTGGTTCGCATGATTGAAATATTCCAATTTTGATATTATGATTTAGGTAATATCCCTGCTCTAGTCAAGCTACTTCAGGCGTATCTGCAAAAAGGAGCAAGTTGGGTAGTGGCCAATAATCATTTGGAGCCTATTTTGGGTGTATTTCAGAAGCTGGTTTCATCAAAGATCAACGATCACCATGCCTTTGAGCTCCTGCAGTCCTTGATTATCTATGTTCCTATGTATGGACACACATATCTCAGGCATTCTATGTATTATTATTGACAATGCTTTAACAACATGGCTGACATCTCTATCTCTATTTGATTTATACTAGGTCTGTGTTGGGCACTTACATGAAGGCTGTTCTGATCATGTTGTTGACTCGATTGCAGAACCACAAAACTGACAAGTTCAAGAAGGGCTTTGTGAATTTTTCATTCTTTTACATGGCGTTGGATAAGGAGGGCACTGGCCCAGATGCTTACTGGGCACTGTTTGATACCGTACAGGCAGGGCTGTTTGTGCAATTCCTTAAGACTGTGTGGTTAGCAGAGGCCCAGAAGGTTGCAGGACGAATTGAGCGCAAGACATGTGCAGTGGCATTGGCGCGTCTTGCCACAACTTCACGAACCATTACTGAGGGAACGAATTTTGATGCTGCATGGTATGGCCCAAGTATTATAAGCTTTATTGTATGATGCTAAATCAGCTTCATGCTTAATTTTTTTTTTTTTTTTTTTTTTTTTTTTTGCTTGTTTGTTTGTTTGTTTTGTACGTTTATCAACTAGGCCTGCGGTGATGACAGCGCTGATCAAGTTTTTTGAAGCACCTCAAGATGTGCGAGGAGCAGCAGTAGATGCGGCAGAGGATGATGAGCTGTATGGAATCGATATAGAGGAAAGCGGATATCAAGCACAGTTCTCTCAACTTACGACAGCATCAAGCTCCAAGGTTGACCCAACGGCAGCAGTGCAAGATCCCAAACAATTCCTTGTTGAAGGTCTTGTGCGATTTAACCAGGCGTACCCTGGGTGTGTAAGTAAAAAAAAAAAAAAAAAAAAAAAAAAAATGATTAGCTTATGCGGTAAAGTATTTTAGAAACCAAATTAACTTTTTTTTTTAAAAAAAAAAAAAAAAAAAAAAAAAAAAGTTCCAGCATGGTCAAGTCCAGCTTCAACCCGAGACACAGAATTTCTTAGCAGCCTACCTGGCAGCTGCAGGAGTATCGTTGTAAAGAGACAACGTTGTGTAATTCCATGGGTAAAATGAATTGAGTGTGGTGATCGTATAAAAACAAGTAGACAAATAAATAAATGATCGTTTATTGTAAACACAAAGACTGCGGACGGAAGATGATGAATATGAGTATTGAAGTCCGTGCCCGCAAAATAATTGCTCCGAAGCGAATCGAAAAGTCGGGGCAAACTCTCTTACTCACCCTTTTTTTTCCATGGGCAATCGTAAAGGCATCTCCATCTTACTCCATGTCTCCCACATTTTGTTGTCTAACAAGGCAGCTTCCCAGTTTCTGAATTTGTCTCTTTCATGATTACATGGCTGTCGTCGCATATTCGCATATTTAATTATTACCGTTTCATTCATTATAGTTAATACTATTATAACTCCATTGTTGATATACACTCTCCCTTCACAGTACTTCATACCCACACTTATACTTGCACGCACATTTATATGAATACTTCAAAGTATTTTTCGCCTCCTCTTACCAAAGCAGCCATCCGTTCTCGCTCTCCACCTTTGGCTCCTTTACCCTCTCTATCAACAACACTGCCTGGAATGACAGCCTTTGATCGAGCTGTGCATGTGGTGAATATCAGTAACACTACTACGCAGAGCAGCTATAGTGACAGCAATCACGCAGGGTTTAGTGACAGGATCGTATTTACGCCTGAGGAGCAATTGCTGGTAATGTTTTTTTAAAAAAGGAAAAAGTCTAGAACAATGTTTGTTTAGATGAATGCGGAACAGAAACAAAATAGATAAAAGAAATTTAAGATACAAATTCCTCAGCTTGCCTTTCTTTGTTAATTGCCCTCAACTCTCTGGCAGTGGATATGGTTTATACAAAATATATACGTATACCATGTTCTGAGCACATCCTTGCGTGCGCATTGATCCAACTCTTTTTGAGATGATACTTCAAAGTGAACAGGGATTTCCCAACCATGTGAAAATCAGAGGGCTACCTCAGCCACACGATGTTTCTTTTTCATCTCTGTACTGCACCACACGATCATTTCTGCAGGGTGCCATCCTGCAAAACTATAAAGGACTGACACGAATCGTTGACTGATGGACAAAAAAAATACATTTTTTTTATTTTCATTTTTCTACGTATAGTTATATGGTGCATACAAGCAGGCGACTGTCGGCGATGTCCGTGGTGTAAAGCCTTCGCTCTTTGATATCGCAGGAAGGAGCAAATGGCAGGCCTGGGCCAACATGCGCGGCAAGACCAAGGAAGAGGCGTCCGACATTTATGTCGATCTAGTAGTCAAGGTTAAGAGAAAAAAAAAAAAAAAAAAAAAAAAAAGTACAAATCACAACCCATCACTATAAACTTCAGGGATTGATCATCTTTTTTTTTTTCTTTCAACAGTCGCTTACTAAATCCGGTAATCATCCAGATCATTATGCTCTGGCAGACGAGATCCTGCAGAGACCTCCTTCACCACTATCCTCGTTTCTGGATAAAGGAGTAGCGCCTATTGAAAGTAGCTCCTTACCCCCTCCTCCACACCTAAATACCTCGTATTCGTCAAACGCACACCCCGCTGATCTATCCAATGCGCTTGGTCTTCATCAGCGACAGGCAAATCGTAAGGAATCTGATAATAACTCAAACCGGTCAAACGCTATTGGCTCCCGTTCCTCAGTCCCCTCCATCTATGAATTAGCAAATGAGGACCTTCCTGATATAGACATTAAAGGCCCTGTTGCTGGGACAGCAGCTAAGAAAGAGGCTTTGGATAGCAATGGATATACAGCTGAAAAAGGAAGGATAGCCCCTTCGTCTTTAAAAAACGGTTCACTCTTAGATTCGAACCATATAAAGGCAAATGGCGAGATTCAAAAAGGGCTCCAGCATAACGAAGATAATGAAGATGATGACGAAGTCTATCAATCATCAGTAGAGTATGAGGAAGATGATGACATCGATAGAAGGGCCAGTGATGGTATTCAAGAATCTGTAAGGCCATCTATCGATGTCCTCCCGGACAGTTTGCCACTGCAACCACCCACCTTTGAAAAGTCACAGCAGGATGCACTTGCTACACTGTACTCAAACTACAACAAAATGAATGGTTTTATTGAAGACAAGGACGAGCAAAAATCAAAAGAACTAGGATTGCTTGGATCACATACACAATTATCAGATCTCAGAGTTAATGATCATGATTCCCCTGTATTGCAGGATGGAAAGCCTCATTATATGCCTAGGTCCGAGCGGAGGATCAGTCGAGATGGATCCATTTCGTCAGGATACGGTGGATCAGTACTCTCTGACAAGGAGCCAGTTCCACCATACAGTTCCTTGGATCTGCTGAATCTCAATCGAGACAACCCCATCAAACAAATAGATCTGGTTTCGCCTGTCGAGCCTTATCGGGTGCACTCTCTCTATGATACTATAGTCTCACCGCGTCTGGAGGCAGACCATGTGAATGATGACACAAATTTGGACGCCAAAGAATCGTCCGATGCATCATCACATGATGCCCCGCCTGGATTCTCTGCATTTTCAGCGCCGGCCTCAACCCCAACACTAATACCAGTACCAGCACCAACATCAATACCGACATCGGGCCCAGCATCAGCATCAGCATCAGCGCCAGTGTCGGCACCAGTATCAGCACCAGCAACAATTTCTACAGGATCAGTTTGCCCAGTTTCTGGGAAGTCCGCTTCTTCTGGAGGCGTCTGTCCAGCCGCTATGTTTGCACAAGCTAGAGCCGCTGCAGAAGCAAATGCAACAACAGCTGCCTCAAATACTGCCGCTGCATCCGGTACCGTTGAAAACTCGAGCAATGACCAAGGCATTCAATCATCCGCCAACACAGACCTCCCAGAAGATAGTAGTGAATCTCAACGTTCGAGTCGCACAGAAGCGCCTATACCGCGATCGCTAACAGAACCTGTGGCTACTTCCGCATCAACCCCCTCCTCATCTTCTGCGTCTTCTGCAGTCGTGGCGGCGACAAATCAAGGGATGAGGATTGGTCAAGGCATTGTCTCGCGTTTCTCAGCACTGAAAAATAGTCTAGCAACTGCATCGAGCCGGGCAGCAGCTTTGGCCCTCCCCGGTAATTCTTCGTCGCCATCAAATACTGTGGTGGTCAAAGATATGGTGACGAATCAGCCAGTCACGGTGATTTGCCCCCATTTGGCATCGACTCAAGTATTGGAAAATGAGATGATTCAACTTCAGACAGATATCTCGGTACTCCACGAACGAATAGATTTATTGCAAGAGTCACTCAACATTACGACCCAGACGCGAGAAAAGGAGCGACGATCCGCAAGAGGAATCATCAAGTTGGTATTGAGACAAGGACTGATCAACGCTATCTTGCTGCTGATTGTGTTTGCAGTGCTGTATAAGCGTCGATCCCCAATTGCGTTTGCGATTCTGGCATATATTGGGCAAGGCCGGAAAGAAGGTGAAGCTGGATGGAGGGCTTTCATGAGGTGGGCCGCGGACATAGTGAGGGTTGGAAGGAGGAACCAGCAATATGTTCTGAGAGCTGGAAGAAGGAATGGATATTGGTGAATTTTTGGTGGTCATGATTAGTTTGGCTGTCATAACACTCAATAAAAAGCAGTCAGTGAATGGTTATATTTTGTCAGCATGAAAATAATTTTTGTCGTTTTTTACTTTTTTTTTACAATCACTTTTTTGCGCCTTAATATGTCCCACATCAACACAAATATATCGCCTCTTGACATCCCTCATATCATCGAAAACATTGCCCAGTATCTATTGCCTCAAGATTTGGCAAAATGTCTCTCGGTTTGCAAGGATTGGTCATGGAACTTCGCTCCGGTTCTTTGGAGAGAACCAAAGATTGTGAACTCAAATGACTGGCAGTTCAGGGCACTGAATTGTTATCAAAAACACATACGCATACTTCATACCAGCCTCTTTGATCCCATGACGATTGACTCTCTTCGCCAGTGGCCGTGGCCTTCCCTCAACATCCAAAAACTGGTGTATGTACATGTACGGAACTATGAGCTTTCTTATTCCCAGTCACTCGAGATTTTGCAGTGGTTGTCAACGTTGACATCACTTGAAACATTAGAATTAATCGTAGCCCAGAATGAACAACCGTTACTGTTTGACCAAATGGCCCATGTTCTTTCGACCTCGTTCCCCAACTTGCGGAACATGGTATTGATGCCTGTGGTATGCTCCATGCGAGATATTTATCAGATTGTGAAAGCATGCTCGAGGTGTGAGTACGTTCTGATTCGTCCGAGTGCGATATACAAAAATGACGCATCTGACGAGGTGGATATTTCCAGAAAGACGCTGGAAGAAATGCCGTCTACTAATATTCGACGGCTTTGCCTGAATATAAACGGTATGAGTAGAGAGTTCCCGTTTGTAGCCTTGTTGAGAAAATGTCCGTTACTACAGGAGTTGACTATTGAGGGGAAGCATGATCCGGAGCTCTTTAGGGACCTGACCATGATGATCAAAGGAAAAGAACTCTCACAGCTTAAATGCCTTCACTTGGTAGTCTACGATTGGACTTACGACCAGGAGAGCCTCGTGATTGAATTGTTCAGGTTCACAGATCCGATATTTGACAGTCATGGTGGAACGGATACCTTGAAGAATGATAGGCTGCGCAGTTACAACAATAGCAAAACAAATGACGGCAACAGTAATAGCGAGGCCAAAAGTGGCCTTGAGTCTCTTAGGATGCATTTGGGATTATAAAGTTCGCTGGCCCTTATAAAACACCACTTTGCCACACTTACAACGATCGTAAATTACCAGGAATGCTCGATCCAGATGCTTCACAGATTTCTCAACGACCTCCCCAACCTTCGATCAATATCGGCCACTGCTTCTTTTAGTATGCCTCAAGATATCGATCAAGACTATCTTAAAATTGAACATCAGCGTCCTCAGCCGATTTTCAATTTAGAAAACTTGGATTTATTGCTCAACATAGACGCCTTGGTTGTTATGGCCCATGTTAATACTAGCGAGTGGATCAAAGCACCATTTTCACAGAAGTGGCTCGATTTCTTCTTTTCGTTACTTGGCAGACTTGAAGGATTGAAGAGGATGTCTTTACGTTCCTTGGACAATCATGCTGGACAACTTTTACTCTTGAAGAATGGATACTTGAGTCGGCTTGGAAATCTCAAGCAACTGAGAGAGCTACAGTATGGAATTTCATTTTCGCCATGGTATGAGTGGGGGAAAGAGGAAGCAAGATGGATCTTAGAGCATTGGCCAAGGCTTTGCTGTATGGATGTGCTAGATATACAAGAGCTAGACGCTATATCTGGCGACTTTAAAGAGGAAATGTTGACTCAAAAGCCGCTGATGGAGATGCGATCTTCGTTCGTCATTTATCCTCGCTCTTTTTTTTAATGGAAATCATACTCAGTCTTACCTATTGATCATTGAGGTTCACGATGTTGTAATTCACTCACTAAAGCTTGTGAATGAAAACTGCGTATGAATGAAGCATCAAAAATACCTATTGTCCATGCCTCTTGATTCACCATTGAGATTGTTCCACGATAAACAATACAGATCTTTTTCGAAAAACAGCATAGGATACCGGTGGATTGGCATCCTATAGTTGATCCTCGACCTAACTTCTGAACCATATTCACTATATATATCTCCTGGAACCAAGAACTCGTATGATATGCCTTCTCATTATAATATTACTTACTAACCTCTACTAGTTGTTTTATTCATATTATGCAGGTAGCGGTATTAGACTATCTACAGATCCACAATGATTGTCAACAATAGCATCGCTTGAACCTCTGCGGTGATTTTTTATTTTTTGTCGCAAACTCACTATCCAAGTTAAGAGCCGTGAGTATTCTTTGTTCTTTGTGAAGCATTCAATTGAGTGTAGAGGCGTATTTGGGATGTGAATGCTATCTCTTTGAATCTCCCAATCCAACAGGCGAACAATGGGGTCAAAGTGGACCGTTGACTTCTGGCCTTGACTGAGCAACGCATTTGTCACTTTAAATTTTATGGCCCATCAGTAAAATTTTTGGAACTTTTGCCTCATCGTTTTAAATTCCATCTAACATTCGAAATCCCTGGTAATAATGAATAAAGCATCATTGTGCAAGAATGCCCCAATATTATTCATCTAAACATCTGTGGCACATTCCTTTTATTTTTTTTTTCTTTTTCTTACAGTGTTGCTACAGTAAATTCCCCCGTTATTGATCTGTACTATATACACCAGATACAGCGCGCAACGACGAGAGAAAGAAAGAAAGATAGGAAAAAATCTCTTAGAAATGTCACTGCTCTCCTACATTCTTCAGAACCCTCTCTTCCAGATACTCTTCTCACTCACGATCTGGTCCTTGATACTCGGCATTCCACTCTTGATTCTCTCCATTGCTTTTTATTATATGGCTCGAGGAACTGGAAATGTTGCAGGCTTCGTAGTCGATAAAGCCACAAAGCGAGTTCGACAGTACCAACAGGAGCAAAGGAAACAGGACGATCTACTCATGGATTTTGGTCAAAGTAGTAGCACGAGTAGTAACAATAGTAGTAATTGGAATTCTCATGACGTGTATAAGAGAACAGGTGTAGGAGCAGCATAAAATATAAAAGAAAAGAGTGTAAAAAAAGACCTTGTTAGTTATTAATTACCGTTGCTTGAATACACATCTACACCGTTCAGAACGGTTCCTCACTCTAGACTGACAACAGCGACGAGAAGTGCAAAAAGTATCTCAAGGATAAATTGTGTACCGTCTATTCAATGTCGATTAGGAAATATGCTTAAAGTTCTGAGCAGCGCCACATTTTGATAACACCTGATTACCAATGTGCCATTCCCATACTTCTTTATATCCCTGCCTTCGATCCATGCTACAGCATCGAAATCGAACATTGGGATATTGCTATTTTTATTTTATATAGATCTTTATGCAATTATAAGGAGCGTTGATACAAGAAAGGTATTTGAGAGCAGATAAACAGTTGTCATGTTCTTTGACTGGTAGGTCCACGGCGTCCTTGCTCATATGCTGCGGGTGATTCATATTTTATACTGCCATTGGCACTGGCGTTGCTGTTGTTGCCTCCAGTTAAGTCATGGAGACTTGTTCCCGACTGATTGTCTAGTTGCACTTGATCCCGGCTGTATGATCCTGCCCCCCCAACGTTATGCAAGAACGACTCCCGATGGTCTTCCGTTTCAGGGTTGCAATCTTCATCCTCCAGACGTTGATGCTGATGATGTGACAACATTGTTGTGGGCAGCAATTCCTCGATAACACGTGGTGCAAAAGGTCGACCACATTTGTCAACAGCCAACGAAGGATAATATTGGCGGTACGCGAAGATCGCAAATACTGATCCGATAATCGCTCCAATTGTAACGTCATGCCAATGGTGTCTGTAATCACATACACGCGAGGTGGCGATCAATGCAGCTAAGATCATAGGTGCCAGTACCACAAGAGACTTGTAGGTGTGACCACGCTCGTCAAACAAATGAAGCTTTCCTGCAAGGTACATGGAGAGATATCCAAGACCGCCGAATGAGAAAGATGAGTGTCCGGATGGAAATGACTTGAAGCCATCCCGCAAAAGCTCGGTTCTTGTACAAATTGTTGAATTTGAAAGCATATTGACGGGATCGGAAAGTTGAGCCAATGGCGTTCCCTGATAGTCATTGTCATAGAGGCTAAGGCATCGATCTAGAAAGTCAGGTCGAGGTCGTCCTACTGCGATCTATAGCCATTGTTGGATCAGGATGGAAAAGAAGTGGCCACGCTTAGTAAGCGAGTTCATGTTTTTAATCCTATTTGCCATCCCTAGTTTAATGTGTGTGATGACAGTCCTGACTGTCAAATGACACTTGACTAAGGTCGTGCTCTGCAAAAAAGAGGTTCATAGGTCCACTTCTTTTTTCTTCTTCCTTGCCTCCTTGCCAACAATAAAGACCCATTGGTCTCATGTGTGCCTCGTATCATCCAATTGATATATCATTTCATGGTGGCGAAAAGCGAGAGCTTCAATAATACTATCAATTAATTTGTACGCGCCTCTGCCGTAATATTTCTTCCCTTTCTGTCAAGACGAAGCTCTTATGTGCAAAATAATAAAAAATATATACTTTTGTGATTGTTTTTCTGAAAGCGAAAAGATGAAGCTGCTAAAATGTCTCCTTGAAATAACAATTTGCGTAATTGTCCAATCGAGTAGATTGAATATATCCATTTAAAAAAATAAAAAAAAATAAATTACCCCCCCCGCAGCTTTGACTCCTCTCCTGTTGTCCAAGGTTCAAGTGTCGTCGCAAAAATTATCCTTTACCTTGATACTGTCAGTGACAACGAGGACTAATGCTTGTGCGAGAAAAAGACCAAGTAGACCATTATGCAAATCAGTGTACGACTTTCTTTGGAAGATGGCAATGCAGCCAATGATGATACCAGGCAAGATGAAAGCAAGGACCTAAAAAAAGGGGGGGATGGAGGATTGAAAGAGAAAAATAAAATAGCCGATTGCTTTGTTAGCTTCTTCTGTCACGAGTGGTCGGAGGGAGGGAAAGGGAGAGATTGAGTTTAATGAATAGAAAAAAGCATTCATTCGGCGTGGATAGTCTAGTCAAATTGAGACCCTGCTTCTCCAAATTGAGCTGCTTCTTTGGAGGAAGCTCATCGCAGACAGTTATTCTGTTACATCGTGTGCAACCATGGACTAAAGATCTCATTTCATTTGATCCATTAACAAAATCAAACGAATGTTTTTTTTTTTTTTTTTTTTTCTTTCATTAGAAGTAGCTTACAAAGGCCATCCAGACAGGGACGGTTTCCTTTTTAGCAAAAGGATGCTGTATAGTCGTGTCCCTAACAGAGAACTGTCGATGGAATGGCTCGAAGGTATCGATATAAGCGAATGTAGCAAGGACAATAATGACAAGGACCCAGTCCTTGCCATAAGACCAGAAAAGAGCTTTTGTGTGTGCTTTTAGTCGCCACTTGGACACCATATTGTAGGTTCGTTAGGATAAAGGACCAGATAAAGAGGTGTCTATGATTTGAACCCAAACAATCTGGGAAACACAGGAGTAGAGGAAATAAATTGAAAGAAGGAGAGAGGAGAATGAATGAGAAGATGAAAGAAAGAAAGAAAGAGAGAAAGAGAGAAAGAGAGAGAGAGAGAGGAGAGAGAGGAGAGAGAGGAGAGAGAGAAGGAGAAGAGAGGGAATGAGGGAGAATAAAAAGAAATCCGAAGTGAAGAAAAGCTGTATGGAAACCCAAGAAAACAAGGAAAAATAAATTTGCATGGCATGCTAGGGATTCTTGCAATGCCGCGGGAAAATTACAGATGCGGCTGTGGTAACGTCTCTCTTGAGGCAACCAGAGCTTGTCCACATTGTTTGGCTGGACTCACACATTCAAAAATTCATAGCACAGTAAGAGACAGTAAACCCTTTATTTTATTCCTTTTACCACTTTCATGTTCCTATCCTTCTCTCTCATTTGCTCAAAGCTCAATGTTCCTGGGGCTGGCTAGGTGGTCACATGAGACGCTGTACTACCCAAAAGCCCAAAAATAGCGTAACGCCTCTTTATTTGTCATCCGCACTACTGAGGCTGTGCTCTTTATTTTATTCCGAAATCGCACTTTTGAATCAGTACCACCTTTTCATTATATTACAACTTTGAATATACATGCTTTATTTCAGGCAAGGGAAGGAAAAGCCCTTTGATAAAGCGCTTATCTGATTACTTGATAGTTTAACCACCGTCTAAGGGCCAATAAAATCTATATATTCCTCTGTAATGTCAAATACAAAATGAACTTGTTGTGGTAGCCCAGGTGGCTGTTGCTGTAACTTGTGTGAAAAAGGATCCAAGCGATTAGAATCTTGTTGCTGCGGCTCGTCAGCTGCTTGTTGATAAGATTCAAATCCAAATTCCTTTGCATCAAACTGCTCTGGCTTGGGGTGCCCAGATCGCCGCATCTCTCTCCGAGGCTTTCGCTGAGGTATATAACCGTTCACATTGTCAATGCATCCATATCTCCATTGCACCATCCCGCCTTCTCCTTTCAATAATGGCGCTGGAGATGACGTAGGTAGAGTTGCATACATATTCATCGATCTATCTACCGTTTCGCCTGTCGTCTGTGGTATCGGTGTAGAGACAGGCAACGTGGTAAACATGGTCCATCCTTCTCTTCCAAAGATGGACGATATGCCTTTAGAAACCAAACTAGACCTGTTTTTCCCCTGTGAAAGCCACGTGCTATCCTTGATTTTCTTGAAATTGTATGCATCATCTTTACTAATAAGCACCTGCTGCTTACTGGGATCGTAAACATCAATGGCTGGGAAATTATAATCACCATACTCCATTTGTTTACTAGCGTCATAGAGCTCTTCAATATCATCATCATCATCTCCTATACCATAGAAATGCAGACTAGGAGCACGGTCAGGTAGCTGAGGCCTTGAAAGCCCCCTCTTACTACTACTATCATGGATTCCGGACGAATCGTGGCGAACCGTCCTCTCAGTCATGGGACCAACGGGGGATTCGGGTTCTGGTAACCAGTATTTGGTCTGCCCTCCTTGACTGTATCGAAGGCCAGCAGCAATTCGTCCATCTCGGCTTTTACCTACGGTGGCCATACCTTCGGATGGCTCGAATGTCCGATATGTGAAGCGCGTACCCTTCAGAGTCTCAAGGGAGTCCTGAATGATATCTTGTATGCCACACGCATCTCGAATAGCGTAATAGACTGGCATCCTCGCAGACTGTATATCGGTTTCTGTGTAGTCTCTATGTGAGAAGGCATACCTGAAAGAAATATAGAGGCGAATGAACGTTAAAAAAAACAAAAGTAGAAAGTAAAATAAACGAAAAATGTTAGAAAGCAAAAACCAGTCAACGTCAAAGTATTAAAAAAAACATTAGTTTCAATTTACCAATGGCCAAGTGCTGCAAAAACCATTTCGAAGCATATTAAAAAGTCCTGGATCGCAACGGCAATTTCAGGCGAGGCTAAAAAGCAAGTATTGGCATCTTTGATTAGCCTATCTTTATCAAATTGATAGGTCTAGAAAAATGGGCGCAAATCAAGCTCAGAATAGACTTACTGTTACTCATCAGGCCAGTTGCCACCAAAAGAGAGATGGCAAATCCTTGCCAAAAGGAAAAGAAAATAACCACCTTGATAGACAAAAACTTGGGAATTGGTCTGTCCCATTTAAAAGAAAATAAATAAATAAATAAGAAGATAAATTTGAAAATAGAGAGAGAGGAAGAAAATGAAAGAGCAAAAGAATGAAAGAACAAAGAGATAAAAATAAAGATGAGGTTGCTGTGATTACCGAAACTCTTCAAGATCATCCTGTGTAGCCATAAAGAAGACACCCAAGCAGTACAGACTAAGACAGACACTCAGGTTATAGATGAACGATACCCAAAAGTACCCTGATTCGAGTGAAATGGACCCATCATTGTAAGCGCCATTGGACTTAAGAAGCATGGTAGCTGCTGCTAGCACAGGCTTAACATAGACATATTGCAGAATCCCACGCTTGATGAACAAGAACGAGTATGGATCGCCCACCTAAAGGAACATGCAATGTGCATGTATGATGTGAGCTTGCAAAGGATCTTCAAATACCGGTTAAGAAAGGAAGGAAGGGCTTTGATTCTGTTTTCCTTTATTGACCTTACATCGATCTCTTTGTGCCAAAGGCAGACTGGAAAAAGGTGCTTCGTGTAGGGCCTTCCATGAAGCATCAATAACAATGAACGTTCGCCTCCAAGGTAGGACACAAGTAAGCCAAAAAAGCAATAAATAACAAAAGCCTATAAATATAAAAACAAATGTTAATCCAAAAAGTCTGTACACAAATGTAAAACAAACAACAACGCGCTAATGTACATCGCTTATACGATTTTTTTTTTTTTAGTTGTGGTTACTTTTATTTTGTAACTCTTATTATTACCTCGTAAATGTCCCTTAGAGCATCGACATAAAAGGCCATACTGAGAGACACAAGCGATATCCATGAGGATATGGCGAATATAGGAACCCTGCTCATGTGTACATATGTGGTTAAATCAATCAGTTGCGCCGATCATAAAAAACCGTTCCAAAAGTGAGTACACAGGAGAAAGTAAATGAGTGAGAATCTTTTACATGCACAAGAAAGAAAAACTGCAGGGGCAAGGGGTTCATGACATGTCATGCCATGTCACAGTGCCTATTTTCTTTTCTCTCTTCCTTGGACACAGACACGCATACTCCTATTATTGATGCTCTTATTGACGTCGCACCATATTATTGTACAATCGCGCATTTGGCGAATGCAAATCAAATTCTATGATCGTTGCTAAGCAAACTCACTTGACATGCCAGGCGCATGAAATGAATATACGCAGACCCAAACAAGTAACAGCATCAGTCAACCACACCCGGAAAAGCTGAGCACATTCGGAGGAAAAGGGGGCGAGGCAAAGTGAGGGAGACGAGGTGAAGCAATGAGCTGACAGAAAAACTGAAGGAAAAGGAGATATCCGCAGCAACGCGTTGCATTCTTTTAATGTGAATATTTTTTTTCCGTTCGACTTACATTAATAAGATCCTCACAACATATCGTTGCAATAGCTGAAAGTCATTCAGCATTAAGTTTTTTTTTTTTTTTTTTTTTTTTTTTACAAAGACCAAGAAAAAAAGAAAAAATAAACACACATGACAGGGTTAGTTGGAGAAGAAGGAACAGAGAGGCAGGAAGATCTGCAGGATTCTGTAAGCGACCGGAAAAGGTTTGCGGTAACGTGTATTATCCCGATGCTCCGATTGTCATTAAAAAAATTGAAATCAGATTCCATTCTTACCGGCTTGCGATAGTGCTTAAGCTGCATCCAGATTGCCACCATTGAGATCATGGTCGCAGTGAATGCAAAACCCCCCGCAGCCCATACTGCAATTGAAGGCAGTTCCGCGCCCGAACCCCCCGTTGAGGGAACACCGATTGAGTCGGGGTCAGTCAAAAGCAAAGTAGTAGTATTGGCATCGGTCATTGCTTGAGACGCTTGATGAATAAATTGAGAGAATAAGCAACAAATGATTGAGAGAAGTGAAAAAAAAAAAAAAAAAAAAAAAAATGCGCCGAAGGCTGCGCGTGTACAAGCGCAAACAATAGGCAAAAAAAAAAAAAAAAAAAAAAAAAGAGTAATAGTAGAGTGATCTTGAAAATACAAGCAAAGGGCTTGGAGTTTGTGTTTTCTCTGGCAATGTTTTGTTGGAGCAATAAATGACAAAAGGAGAAAAGAGTACACGACTTTTAGCCACGTTCTTTTTTAGAAGCTGTGCAAAGAGCTTTCACAACTGATGGTTGTTGATTGTCACAGGCTGGTACAAGGAACAGATACAGGTACAAGTACAGGTACAGAAAGAAAGTAGAACAAGTAAAGCAGCTAAAATGATAAGCAGTTTCAAAGTGGAGACAGAATCAGAAGGAAAAAAAAAAAAAAAAAAAAAAAAAAAAAAAAGAATCAGAGCAAGGATCAGACTTGGTAAACTAAAATACAAAGGAATACCGGGGAAGGAGGCACAGCAAAATGGATTGTATATGGGCTGTATGGTTGTAATGACAGCGAAAGAGAATAAAGAAGAGAGAAAGAAGAGAAAGGAATAAGCCCACAGTGCCACTTGTTATACCTCAAGAGAATCAAAGCACAGCTTTATGCATTAAGTTACAAAGTTAGTAATCTACATTGCAATAGTACATGTTTAAGGCAAAGCCCTATCAGATGTGCCTTCATGTCTCTAGCACAACATTCTGTTCTTATTGGTCCAACTTTTCTGCCGTGCCTGTTTTTTTTTTTTTTGACACCTGATCCATCGCTTTCTCTTGCTCATTCTCATTCTTTTTTTCTCTTTTCTGTCACCTTCTTCTTTGTGTGCCAAGGAAAAAGACAATGGCTGCCCCTGTTTCAGAAGAAGTTGCTGCAAAAGCAAATGCCATCAAGGAGGAGGCAAATAGCCTCTTTGCAAGTAATTGAGCACGCTTTAGTTGAGTCATTCGGGAGAGTGAAGGAACAATGACCGCCATTTGCACACTCATTCATTTTTCAAATCCACTTTTTCCGTTAACTTTATCCAGATAAAAAATATGAAGAGGCCATCGAAAAGTACACAGAAGCTATCGAGCTAAATCCAAATGTCGCTGCCTTCTACGCCAATCGTGCTTTTGCTCACACTAAGCTGGAAGCCTATGGTGCTGCCATTCTGTATGTTTACTTTTTATGAATGGAGAATGTCAAGATCAACCCTGTGTGATGGCATTCAGTTGGGCAATGAGCTGGATAATAACGCACCTTATTTCTTTTGCATTGCCCCTTGTAAAATAGTGATGGTGACAAGGCTGTAGAGGTGGATCCAAAGTATGCTAAAGGTTACTATCGTCGTGGTGTAGGTAAATATGCGTTGGCTCGATACAAAGAGGCTGCAAAGGATTTTAGGGTTGTCGTCAAGATTGCACCCAACGACAAGGATGCAAAACTCAAGCTCGAGGATTGTGAAAAGAATGTGGCGAGACTGGCGTTCGAGAAAGCGATTGCCAGTAATGAAGTCGTTAGAAAGGTCTCTGACTCGATCGATACTCAGTCTATCATTGTTGAAGACTCATACGATGGTGTCAGGATTGATGATGGTAAGGTCACAAAGGAGTTTGTCGATGATATGATTGAGCGCTTTGTCGCTCAAAAGAAGATTCATAAACGATATGCGTATGAGGTAAGTAGCGGGTACAGTGAATGCAAACAAAACCTAGCCTATAATTTCCTTTCGATCAGATTACAGAAGAATACTGATAATAAACACATCTGATACATATTTAGATCATTCTCCAAGCCAGAAAGCATTTTATGGAGCAACCATCGCTTGTGGATGTGACCATCGAAGATGATGCTAAATTGACAATCTGTGGAGACGTACATGGACAGTTTTATGACTTTATCAACATCTTCAAGCTCAACGGACGCCCTTCAGAAAAACACGCCTATCTGTTCAATGGAGACTTTGTCGATCGAGGCACATTCTCACTTGAAATCATCCTCACGCTCTTTGCCTACAAGTTGTTGTACCCCACAGGAATGTACTTGACTCGTGGTAATCACGAAACCGACGACATGAATAAGGTCTATGGATTTGAGGATGAAGTCAAGGCCAAATTTTCGGAGACAATGTTCAAAATCTTTTCCGAGACTTTCACGACTTTACCGTTGGCTCATTTGGTTCAAAAGAAGATCTTTGTAGTCCATGGAGGCCTGAGCTCGAGAGACGATGTGACGTTAGAGGAGATCCGTAATATTGATCGGATTACGAAGGGTCAACCTGGCCAAGGTGGACTTATGTCAGAATTACTCTGGGCAGATCCCCAACCTCAACCAGGAAGGAGTCCAAGTGTTCGTGGCGTTGGACAGAGATTTGGACCTGATGTCACAGAAAACTTTTGCAAAATGAATAACATCGGTAAGCCTCATCGAAAGAATAGAGATAATAAGCTTAAAAGTGGCAAAGAAGAAGACCGAAAGATCAAGGACATGCGACTGCGCAACAAATATTGAAGGCGGATGGAAATAATGCATCGTGTCACTCAACTATTCCTGTTCATACGCTCTTTCTTTTATCAAATAGACATGGTGATTCGAAGCCATGAAGTCAAACAGCAAGGCTATCACGTGGAGCATGATGGCCGTTGTGTTACCATCTTTTCAGCACCAAACTACTGGTAAGCAATATCAAAAAACATTATTGATCCTCTTACTCCTTAAGAGTTTTACTGACGTTATTTGTGTCACTTATTGTAGCGACTCGGTGGGTAATAAGGGTGCGTACATTAATGTGACGCCCGACAAGGAAAAGACATACAAACTAGAGTATGTACAATTTGATGCAGTAGAACATCCCAAGACGCAGCCGTATTCCAACCGATTCCGTGGGGGATTCTGAATCGAGACTGTCTGGATTTCCAGTATCTTGGCACTTGTACTATTGATACGATATTTACTACGTTTGGTTCTCCTGTCGTATCCGTTCCTTGCCAACAACTACCCCATCTTTAAGATTTATTCTGACTCGATTTAAAAATCAAGGCTAAAAATGCTAAATTAATCGACATATGAAGATAGATATGAACAATAAAGCAAACTGTCATAAAAATGGAGTGGATTAAAGAAGTTACTGCAAAGGGAAATAATAATAATAATAATAATAACAATATTTATTTGTTTGGTCTTAGTCCGAGTGGGGTATGATAATCTTTACTTTGTATTGACCTCTATGCAAGCACTTTCTTGATATTCTTCCAGATGGACTTTCGTCTTTCGTTCTTCTCCATCTTTTCGCCATAGGTTTCGTGGATGTTGGCTTCCTCATCGTTATCTTCATTCATCGTAGACGAAGCTGTACTTGAGGACGTATCTACAGTCACTACAGTGGTAGAGGTGACGATAGTGGAGGATGAATCTTGGTTTCCAGAAAACATAGAACTGGTGGGTCTACTCTTCAACAAGGTCGACAATCTCTTCTGCTTCTTCTCAGTCTTCTCAGAGGAAGCGATCGTCACAGTCGTCATCACTGCGATCACAACTCCTGCAGAAGTTGAAAGATCGACTGGAGACTTAGTAGTATCACTAACCAAAGTATTATTCGAGATCTGGCTCTCCTCGGTCAAAGGCAGGGTAGCGATCTCGATAGGTTGGCCTTGCAAGAGAACGACACTATCCTCACCATCAGTATCATTGTCATTGGCATTCAGAATTTCCATCTGAGGCTCCACATCCCCAGCAGGTACAGAGTCTTCGATCACAGTTTCTGGGATCTGTTCGACAATAATGCTCTCTCCATGTTGGATAGGCTTGATCGCCGTGGTCAGCTTGTGTAGACGACCGCAATTCACCTCGGGCCTACGAATGAGCGTGGTCGTATCCACTGTCTCCTGAGCCTCGATGCTGTCTTGAGTATCCTGTGTCGTTACAATCGGTTTACCCTCGGAGGCAGACATCACTGCCGCTGTCACTGTTCCCGGTGCTGACGCTTCTATAACTGCTGCTGGTGCAGACTCGATCTCTTCAATTGCCTTAATGGCCTCCGCCACAGGTTCTTGGGCCCTTTGAACATTGAACTCTTCCAAGAACATACCGCCCGTGGCTTCGACAGCTGTATTATCCATGGTTTCCGTTTTATGAACGGACTCACTCGCAAGAATGTGCACATCTTTGCCAGTAGTGGCAATGGTTTCTGACGCCGTTACGTCCTTATTCGTATCGGTGACTATTTGACCATCAAGATGATTGAGGACCCCAACAAAATGCTCGGACAGATGAGTAGGATCATTGACTTTGAAATAAGGCGCTCCCCACACCCCACCACCGAGCTCACGGATAATCTTGTCATCTTCATCCTCCTCTTCAATTACAGATGCTGTAATAGATTCAGTCTTGTTGTTGTTATCTTGAGCTTGGATATTAACAGCAGCCTCAGTAACCTTGATCTCAGATTTGCTCGAGGTCGACTTTCTTTTGCATTCTTTAGTGGTGGTTTCAGTAACAACGGGAGTGATGAAAGGCTCTTTGGCCGTGACAACTTCTTCCTCTTCATTCTTCTCCTTCTCCACAGCAAGAGTTGAAGCAGAAGTCTTATTTTGAGCGACAACAAAATGCTGCGGCAAAATCACTGGATCGCTCATTGTAATTTCAGTTGAATCCGACATGTCGCCACTTAATTGGTGAATTGTCCCATCGACATCCTCGTATTCGCCACTCCTCTCTTTTTCTTGATTGTGCTTGGAGCGTGCGATCTCTTCCATTTCTGGTTCGGGTATGACCTTGTTTTGGGCTGCCTCTGTAAGGATAGGAACATTGGAAACCTCCGTTTCGGAACCTTGTTGCACTGGCTGCTTCGATTCCTCCTCTTTCCCATCCTCCTCTCTGCTTGTTGTTGCAGAGGCTGTGAGTGCTTCGTTCAGGGAAAGGACATTGTTGAGGTTTCCGGCTTGATCTCTCTCGAGCTGCTGGTCAGGATCTGTGACCCAACTGTTGTTATCCAAAACAAACTTGTAAAGAATCCTTTTTTTATCCCTTTTATCGTCGGGATGGCGATACTTCTCAGAAGCTTGTGATTGTGGATGAAGTTCTTGCCGCTGCTGCTGCTGTTGCTGATGTCGAACAAACTTACTGAGAGGGATAGATACTTGACCCTCGAAACGACAAGTCTCCAAGTTGTAGATCAAGGGCTCTGTCCGTTCCCACGAGTTGAATGTACCCGTGACTTGGACAAGTTCTGGTAGAGAGGCTACAGCAGCAGATGATGATGAAGCAGTAGAACCGGAAGTGATGTCCTTGAAGCTATAAAAGAATTTGACAATAACAGAGCCAGCGGAAGGGCATTCGAGTGTGGCTATGGCACTATTGCTACTATTTCTGTGGGAGTAACGATGTGATTGGCGGTGAGGATGAGAATGGGCATTAGGATAAGAAGTCTGTTGTTGTTGCTGTTGTTGTTGTTGCCTAAGGTGGCGCTGGTTTCTATGCTTTTGGTGCAAATGAGGACATTTTGGCTTGACGAATTCGAACGTTGGCGCAGGCTGAAGCGAGATTTTGACGCAGGTTGTTGCAGGGATAGATGAATTAGGACTTATCCGGTTAGAGCTCACACTGTTGCTATTACTTCCTCCAGTGCGATGGCCGGTATGGCTAGTGCGAGCATTTGCGTGGGACTCTCGAGAAGAAAGCACGAGTGATGTTGATCGTGAATAGGATGGGCCCACAGATTGGTCTTCATCGTCAGGCTCGGGGACAGGCCCAAGAAGCAATTGCTGTTGTTGTTGTTGCTGTTGCTGTTGCTGATCTGAAGAGTCTTTTGGATCTGGTTCAGACGCAGCAGTAAGTGAGAGAGGAAGATAAGGGAGGATAGCCTCAAGGGTTTGATGTGACTTGACAACAATGGATGGGACAGGCACGAAAACTGAGCAGCTTACAATCTAGAAATTAAAAAAAAAAAAAAAAAAAAAAAAAAAAAAAAAGTTGAAGAGCTGTATTCTGACATCACATGGAACGAACGAACCCTCGAGCGGATCAAATATGAAAAACAAAATAATAGAATTGATCCTTGCAGACGACGGGGGCGAGATAGTCATGATTAACAAAAAGAATTACCCAGGCCACACAACACTTGTCTGTCATGTCCCAAGCTCAATTGTGCACAAAAGCAAGTGTTCCCGTTACTTTGCTGAAACATTGAAAAAGAGTCATGGCCCGTCCAAATATGGTAAGCAAAGAAAACAACCAAAAGGAAAAACGAAAGAACCAACTCAGGAGCAAGGACCAAGCGGAGCACAAACATCAACAAACACAATAATTGAACACAAACAAAACGGGAGAGAAAAATGGAGGGCGTGGCCTTTGGACATGTCCAACAATAGGCGGCGAGAAGAAATATGGAGGATGAGAACCAATAGAACATCAATGTATCTGTTTTGATCCCTTCTCATCCCATACACTGCCTGACACATGTTCAAACACACACGAACCATGGTCCATGGCCAAATCACCGGAAATAACAAATAGGAATAAATGAAGTTGTATAATAAATATTTAAATCAAAGCGTTACCTGAATGTTCCCCAAATAGAGCAGAATCTGGATCTGTGTGGTCAGCATGCTTGTTTGATTTCTGCTCTTTAGGATTTGGACTTGTTTGTCTGGGCTGGGCTACGCGCGTGGGGAATAGAAAAATGAGGATGAATAAAGAACTATTGACAATAAATAACGATGGTATATGTCTTCGAAGGAACAAACTATGTTGCAAAATGATATCAAAAAAGTATCAAACAGGCGAGAGCAATTCGTTTAGTTTTTTTGTAAGAGCATTCAATAATAGACCATCGAATGTAGAGGTCAGATCAAGAAACAACAATATAGAAATAAAAAAATAAAAAAAAAAAAAGGAGTTAAGATTCTTGGAGATTTGAGCGATGTAGCTATCTAATATTGAACGCACGATTTGTCAAGGGTTGGAGAAAGAGGATGATATCAAATAAAAAGCATTTGTCTTGAAGAATTTTGATATTTTGTCATCACAAAGAATCAAGAAGGGGTAGGCTAATTACAGTGATGAATAGAAAATAAAAAAAATGAGTAATGGGAAGAAGAGCAACCTGGAGCACTGAAAAGGAGAAGAAAAACAAAAGGAGAAAGGGGAAGAAGAGCGCCTTTTCTGTTGTTGACTGGTAATAACGATTCACGCTTTTGGCTTTGACCATGGTGGGCGACCAATGCGTTATCGATAGCTATCAGGTCTAATGGATTCTAAGGATGGTATGCGTGGCGTGGCGTGGCATGGACCTTATCATACTGTACATACTGTTAGGCCAACTGAACTAAAGTAAGAAAGAACACGAACCGCCTTGAGTCAAGTCAATTGGGGTTGAATCGAATGTTGTGCACCAATAGGGCACGGATGCAGGGAAAATGCCCTTTTTTTACTTCTCTTGTCATATGAAACGAACAAAGAGGGACTTCGCTGCACCATTTAACATTCATCTTACTATCTAACCGAAAAACAATACACAAGCTCAAAGAAACACAGGGAAAACATGCTGCAGCAAAAAGAGGTACCCATCTCTGTCCTGCCACTTTTTCCTTTGCATGTTAAGATGCACTTAAACAGCATCTACCTCACATCAACACATTTGTACACTGTACACACCATGCACATCATGCACACGCGCATACTTTATCTCTCCACGACTCCCTCCACTCTTTTCTAATCAGAGCAGAAGGATACATTTGAATGCTTGTTCACTTCAAAGCAAAACGCAAAAAAAATTACACAATCACGAAGATTTTCCTCTTGTGTACAAAGTCCATCGTAAACAATTTGTTCGTCAATGTGCTATCATTATTATTGTGATGCAAGACAAGTTGTCGTTATTCCTTTTCCCTTTGTTTGCACCACAGTCTAGTCCTTGTTCCGATAGCGTGAGTAAGAAACAATAAAAAAAAAGATAGTGCGAGGAAGAAGGAAGGAAGAGAGAAAGAAAAGAAAAAGAAACTAAGAGGCTATTAGGTTTACTAACCACATCAATGTCATAATGCGATGAAAACCCGGGAGAAACGAGACCGAAGCGATTTATAAAAACATGTATCAAGATATGAACAAATAGAAAAAACAAAATGAGAAAAAGGAGAACAGACTATGGAAAAGTTGATTTGCCTATCGTCATGATTTCTTCGGGAAGGATGTTTCTCACCTGTCTAGTAAGAAGCAATATTTATTTCTTCTTTGACATCCTCTTCTCCCCTTGTCGAATGTTGTCCTTTCGATTGACTTTTTTTTTTCAATCGGTTCGTACAAACACGATGGGGTAGAAGATGGAGAGACCGACCGGGTAGAAAATTCTAAAATAAGGTGGACAGAGCATGGCTTACAATTTTTTTCTTTTTTTTCTTTTGTTCCACCCACATGCTTAGGTCTACATACTTTTCGACAAACAAATGGTGAGAGAAAAAAAAATTGCGGGAGGCACATTCTGTCGGACTCAATCTCTGTTTTGCTTTAAAAATAAAAAAATAAAAAGTTGGATTTATCCATCTGTCACAGTTCAATTTTACCACAAGGGCGTAAAAAAAAAGTAGAGGATCCAAGCATACGTCTGGACTGTTCGCTTTGCAACCTTGTTGATGTTGCGCCATCCTTGGCATGCATCGCACCTGTAAGAAAGGTCTATCAAACAGAAGATTTGTTTAATATGCCCTTAATGGTTCATTTGTAGCCAAGCCTGTGTTTTTTCTTACACATGTGCATGCTGCACCATGCAGCGAAGGTTTAGGTCCATCTGCACTGACCTCGAATTTCTTGTCCCTGAATAGCCCTATCATCAAAATTTACTGCTTCTCTTTGTTCTCTTTTCCGTTTTCCAGGGCACAAATTAATATAGAAGATATAATAAAAATAAATGTCAATCGAAGCTCCTTTAATCCGTTTTTTTATTCCATGAGACCTACTTCCTTAGTTTCTATTTCTTTCTTTAACATGTGCTTTTCATTATTAAAGGCATGTAAGGGAAGAGAAGTACATCAATGTGGTCAGGTCTGATAGAATACCACATCTTTAGTTCTCTCCTTTCTCTTTGATAATAGTGCAGAGGGAAAACCCTGTTAATGAATAACCGATTGGCTAATGGGTCCTGCTGAAGATATCACTATGCAGAGGAATCTTCATCCTTGTTTTCCTTCTTTTTTTATCTTGATATTTATTCGGGTCAGTAAAGTATTATTTTCAGAGGAAGCGCGAACACTGGGAAAAAATCAGCAGGTAGAGTTTAAGAATCTGTTGCTTGCGCATCTCAACAATAAATAAGATTCGGCTTTCTATAAAAATAAAAATAAAAAAAAGCTTGGCATAATTGTATTTTTTCTTAGCTTCATGTTACCAAAGGTGACAATGCTGTGATCTCAGTACATATTCATTATCAGAAGAAGGGTTTTTTTGACGCCAGGAAAGACTGCTTAAAGAAGTTGGATCCCCATTGCATTGGTCAAATGAAAAACTCCTAAAAAAAAAGGCGGGCGACCGTGCATTTAGCTCGTTTTAGGCTTGACCATGAAGCCTCTTGGTATGGCGACACATCTCTGCGGTACCCTTGTTGTTGGAAGAATGCATAGAGCACTTGTTATGGATATGATCCAGGATCGATCATTGTCCAAGTTGTCAAGGTTTTCTTTTTTATTCTACTTATTGAATTATCAAGGCCTTTCACTATCGATGATATCTGAGCGGGGATAGCATTGTATGTGTTTGGACTATTTATGCTAACAAAGATGGTGGGATAAATGATTGTCTATCTAAGCTTTCAGCCTCCTTAAGATCCATTTTGTGCGGCAATCAGAGAAACTTACCGCCTCGAAGCCATAACGGGCCATACTCGCTGCGATTTACTCTCTCGAGCTTGCGTGACTCAATTTAGTAAGGTCGAAACAGCAACTTCTCGATTGTGAGTCGTAGAGGCTTTGCCAGTAGACAAACAAAGCAACCTGACCGTTATTTTTTTCTCTTGTTAAAACTGACGAATTTTTTAGCCCATAATTTTTTTTTATTTTTTATTTTTTTGATAATAAGAACCCACAAGGCCTCTAGCCTAAACGTACTTGAGGCCATCAAATGAACTACTAAAAGTGAACCTGGCAAAGAAAACCAACCTGACGAGTGGGCGACTTGTGAGAATGGGCGCGTCACGTGCCTCTAATGTCGCCTTTGAAGCCCTTATTGTGAAGTGTAAGACCATCCCTCTGCCAGGCCCACTAACAAGGAACATGAGAAAACTAAGCCCGAAGAGCTCGATCATGGCATTAAAAGCCTTAGTAAAGCACTACTATACATGTTGATCTCCCATGTGGGAGCCAGAGAGAGCAGGACCAAATCAATCAGTAGAAGAAATATTCAAGATTGTAAAATTTTAACTACAGTGACATCGGCAGCTTTCAGGATGCTGAAAATAATCTACTCAACCGCGCCACGGCCAATCACTTGGACGACTCGAATGCATCATAAAGTCATTTTTCTAACCAGTGAACGAACTAAAACGACACAATAAAAAATGGTCGAAAGCTTCAATGCTTAACATTTCCCCAGATGGAGTGCTTGTCATGGTGTGTGAGCGAAAATGAATACTGTGCTAGAAATGCTTCGCCCGGATTCCAGATTGTTCCTTACAGCATAGATAAAGTTTTGCTTATAGTTTTAGCTCTGTACTTCCTGAGGATAAAGCTTTCAGGCCTACTTCATATATTACTACCATAGCATTTGTATCGCAACTCAGGTTGGCTTTGGCCGAAACACTTGAGCCAAACATGAATTGTTAAGCCTAGGAATTTTTATAACAATGTAAATTTGATCGGCATGATGTGCACAGACGTATTTACTTTCCTCATTTCACGTCGTTTATTCTTTTTCACCCGAATTTTTTCTCACATACTTTTTTTTTACAATCGGTTCTCACCAGATCGTGAGGCTATATATTTTTTTTTAATGACGAGGGCCCACGAGGTCATCTAGGATTACTTTTTTTTTTTTTGATAACAAGGACCCACGAGGTCATGTAGGATTTATTTAGATGTTAGCTCTATAAATGGGTTGCCCCATTACTGGGGTCGCAAATAAAGCGGTATCCAATAATCGACCGAAGCCGCATCGTCATACTGCCACAGTACTACATCCTGTTCATAAACCACGTCAGCATTGAGTAGACTTCCTTGGTACCAGAGGACCTGTGGCACGGCTCTACTCCCTACTTGGCCTGTTGTGCGCGAAGGTCATCCTTTAGCCGCTGTCCTCAATCACCAAAAATTTACAGCTTTCCAGGCGCTCCATAATCGCCAATTCCACCTGCTGCCGGTAGCTTGCCGCCACTCGCCGGTCTGCCTCAGTCCTGATCGCCTTCACATCTGCTGTTCGTCGTTGTCCCTGGTGAGAGCCAAAGAATTCACCTCTGCTACGTCTGTGCCTCCCAACACAGTTGCGTCCCCTGGCGCGTTTGCTCACAGAGGTGATACCATTGTCTCTTTCCCAGTTGACGGTGACTTTGCAGCGTCTATTCCAGATTTCAGTCCTGCCGAGTTCCTCGATTGACTTGACAAAGCGGCAAACAATGTACCTTGAGATCGATGCTGTGGTTCTGAAGATCGTTTTTTTTTTTTTTTTTTTTTTTTTTCTTTTTTTTTTTTTTTTTTTCCTGTTAACAAGAACCCACAGAGGTGAGGAATTTTATTTCATAATCTCGCTCTAAAGTAATGATATCGCCCTCAACTATGAAACAAGCGAAACTCTCAAAGTTCGCACGGCATGGCTGTGAAGAGCCAATTCGTATCCATGTTTTTCTCTACCAATGTACACCGTGATCGGTACTCGAAGTCCATCCTTCCGATGTGGCCTGTTGCGCCCGTGAAAAGCCGCGGAGGCTGGCGTGCCGACTCTAGCTAAGGACGACTTTTAATTTTTTCTATTCGATCAAATCCACTGGCATGTGGACCCAAATCTTGCGGGATTGGTCTGAAATTTCTACTTTGGACTCCGTCAAACTTTGTGATCATCGCTGTCCTAGTCAAGTGGGTGGATGGGGGGATGTGCTGCCAGATGTACCGCTGGTTCGGCTGGGGGGTGGAATATAAACCTAAGACATGTGGCCAGCCAGGCGACTTAGGGTAGTGCACCCACGATCTTAGCCTTAGCGGAGAACACTAGGCTGTCTCGGAGAGAAAGTATAAAAACTCAAGCAAATCCCTGACCTGGCACATGTTTGCTTCACTTTATGTGCCTTAACCAGGACTCGAACCCGGCCCCTGGGCTAGACAGGAGGATGCCCTGACGAGTATACTACTCAGCCATTGGGCTCTTAACAATGACCCACGACGCCAGAGTTTTTTTTTTTTTTTTTTTTTTTATACAAAAGCTGGATTAGTCACGTGGTGAACAGTCTCTTGATACAAGTATTATATAAAATACTACAGGCGACCAGAATCGTCGCAGGATTAGCTCAGTGGTAGAGCAGCCGACTGCAGATCGGCAGGTCTCCGGTTCAAACCCGGAATTCTGCTTTTTAGTATGAAGTTATTTGCATGGCCCTGTACTCACCTTATTTGCACGGGGATTAATCTATTTGGCAGCCCATACCAAATATAGTAATTTTTGCCTCTATTTGGCAGCCTACTTCTGGGGGCTGCCACCTAACTTCGCACTCTTGGGTGGCAGCTGGGCTGCCAAATACATTACTTTTTTTTTTTTTTTTTTTTTGATAACAGGGTCATAACATCAGTGGTAAAACAGGCAGCGTTCTGTGGATACATTGCCTTGCACAGCTAATGCCGCCGGAGGTACTAAGGGCAGCGGCGATGACATCTTCACAAAACAGCCTTCAATGTACACGGTTAGGGAATGATTTATTGAAGACGTCTAGGTAGCAGGTGAGACGCGTTTGCTCCGAGCGAAAACCTCTCATAGGCATTGATCTCCAAATGGCACCTCCAAAATTGTATGAGCGACCTACTTGAAAAAAAAAAAAAAAAAAAAGTCATTAGTTTTCTAAATGAGACAAGACAATGTCACTACACATAACTATGACGTAGAAGACGGGAGCTTTATTAATTTGAAGTATGAGCGTTATATATATATACGGTTCCTAGGAATGAAAAAAAAAATAGTTAGAGGCCAAATAACGCTGGGTGGGCTGCCAAAGAGAGTCTTGAAAGTTGACTATATTTGGCAATGGGCTGCCAAATAGACTAATCCTTTGCACGGGGTCTTTATTTCATCTACAAGCGCCAACGTGTATCCTACAGATTACATGATTGTAGCTTTTTATTTCGAAGGAAATAAGCGAAGGTGTAAGTCTCGGTGTGGAATTATTATTTCTGTTGGAAGTTACAGTGCCGTAGGAGCTGCGATACTCATCGCGCTCTGCTGCAATATTATGATAAAAAAAATTAATATGCTAAAAAGGTTAGCAGTAGAAATTAGTGGCAATAACGCACCACACATAGACGCGATAAATCCTTGATATGAAGTTTTTAGAACGAACCTTTGTCATCCTACAGATAAATACATAGTTGCCTGGTATAAGTCCCTCTACCAGAAAATGAATAAATATCCCATGGGTGTGGTGTGTGGACCGATATCTTATTCTCATTTACTTTTCTACTGCTTACTATCTACAAAATATTTTTCACACTCTATTCCGCTCGACAGTCACCCGAAAGAAAGTCTGGTCAAAGTGGGTTATTTATTATTTTTTTTATTTTGAATCTCTGACAAACAGCTCATTTGTGACATACAAAAACGCTTCACCAACCAAGATGGAAATTTACGCTTTTATTAATGAGGCCAATGTGGATAATCAGTGAAGTTTTTGGGCAGTACATGCTGAGTGAAAACGGCAAGAAATAGGATTGAAGACAGTGCTTCTCTTCATAACCATTTCAAAATTTTATTTTTTTGATCAAATTTTCTTTTAGATGACTGTACAATATGAAGCTAATCCCTAGACGCAGTGAGCATCTACATGTGCTGCTGAGTATGCGACACTGCGTGCTAAAGACGACCCAAGGCAAGTTCTGGCTATTATTGGTGAAAAACCAACCCTGATTGAACATGATAGGACATGAGCAGTTGAAGCAATTGAAGGTGTTGAAATGGCTCTGATGGATCGCTAGACTCAATGGAAGGAGTTCAGCGAATGTGCCAACATTAGTCAAGATTAGACATAACTCATAGGCTTTGAGAAAACAATATGAAGGCGAAGATCGTGGCGTTAGAACACAAGTGAATGAGTGAAACTTATGGTGAAGAATCAAAGAAGTTTAAAGTAGCTGCAGGAAGTTCAACCAGCTTTGCAATAAACTGAGTATAGATCACCTCATACATTTAGATGTGATAGCAGGGAGGAGAGAAGGAATGGACATTACTACCAGAAGGTAGTATTATGGAGCGCTTTAATAGTCCTGCGTCTATTGACATAGGGAGAAAACTAGTATATCTGCATATCACATGAGCTTTTTGCCTCATCAACGATGGTACTCGCAATATCCATTGAATTTCGGTAACTTTCGGCATGGTGCTCCGGTAGACCTTGCTATGCCCCTGCATTTGGCCGTGTCGGGGCTGTGGGTATCACAAAACATACCACGAGTCATTGGGTTCTTGCATTGTGCTCCGGTAGTCCTTGCTATAGCCATGCATTTGCGGACGGTAGGGTTGTGTATATCACATAAACCAGAAGGACTGTTTGTTAATTTCTTGCAACGATAGCCATTTGTGATATTGGTGCCTTGACATTGAACCTCGCGGTTCTGCTGGCTTTGAATCAATTCTCCAAGTATAGAAAGCATCTCCGATAGTGCTTGTGGCCCCCCATTATTTGCGGCAATAATAGAAGTCAATCTGGAAATTTGTGTACTTGATAGCCCATTATCTTGAATAGTTTCCTCCTCCTCCTCCTCCTCGTCCTCATCATCGTCCTCCTCTTCCTGTTCCTCTTCCTCGTCCTCCTCGTCCTCCTTGTCCTTCTTATTGTTCTTCTTCTTCTCATCATCATCATCATTTTCTTCTTCTTTTTCTTTTCCTTTTACCTTTTCATCTACTTTTCCTTTCTCTTTTTTCTTTTCATTTTCATTTTCATTTTCTCTTCCTTTTTCTTTTTTCTTTTCTTTTTCCCTTCCTTTTTCTTTTTTCTCCTCCTTTTCTCTTCCTTTTTCTTTTTCTTTTCCTTTTCCTTTCACTTTTCCTTCATCTTCATCTTCCTGTTTAGGATCGCCGTTGTTCTCCTGTTTATAATCATCTTTGTCCCTTAGTTCGCCATCAACTTCGCATTGCTGTTGCTGTTGCTGTTGCTCCTCTGCATCGTCCGCAGTAACGGCAACATTTATGATATCGGTGCCATTAGCCTTGGTAGCTGTGTGCTCAAATAGTTGCTTTGACGCGGTGGTGGCAGCAGCGTGAGAATGCTTGTGGTTAGGAGCCTCGGACAGAACAATGGTAATGTCAACGTGGTCAACAGGAAGTGCGTGTAAGTAAAGTTTGGTGAAGACTGAGGGCTTCATGTCCTGTTATTGAGTATGTGTCGAAGTAGGGGCAGCGTTGTCAGGAAGGTGGGTGGGAAGTTTGGGACAGGAAGAAAACAGAGGCAAGTAAAAAAAAACCCCTTCTTAAAAGTACCACATGACTGTGAAAATATGATATTGGCTCAGACTGCTGGTTTTGTTTTGTATTTTTTTTTTTTTTTTTTTTATGCTGGCAAGGATTCACCAGGGCCATGAGATTTGTTGCTGGTAGTGAATTTACCATTGGTTTTCGCATCGATAGCATTTGGTTTTAATTGCCTATTTGTTTGTACAACACTCATGAAGTGGCAAGGCAAAATGCTTTTAATTGCCGCACAGCACTTTGAAAATTATATTATATTTTCATTTTATGCTTTTAAGCTTCACAGTGCGATAAATGTTTGGCCAATGTAAATCTGAAAAACAAATTCGTTGCATAGCCATTTTTCGCTTCACCTTGAAGTGCTTTCCAAAAAACGAAAGCACTTACCTCAGAACCATATAAATATTCTTTAGTCGAGCTTGTCCTGGTTTCTCCCTCAATATAAACGCGACATTGAATGATATCTTCAATCAAGCCTCCTCATATCTTTGCGTTACAGTGACCTCCATCTAGTCACAGATTTTTTTCAGAAAAAAAAAAGAGTTGGAGGGAGGACAGTTTATGTTCTAATAATGAATGGAAGACAAAAAATAGCGCTGTTATCCCCTTCATTTGCCATTTCCCTGCGACAAGACAGAGCGTTTTTGTCGATATCACTTTTTGTTCTTGAGAAAACTGAAGAAAGACGGACCATTTTCATATGTGGGCGTCAAATTAGAACAAAAATCTCGAATTATGATTGGCTAAACCTTATTATTTATGACATCACTGTTGTTGTTAAGGGTGTGAGGAGTATTCAATTGACTACACTTTCAAATCCCAGTTTGCTGGAATACGCCGGTGAGACTTATATTTTTTCACCTGCAGTTCAGCAACTTGACCAGACATATTTTTTCGATATGCATCCATGTAACGGAAGCACTTCCTTGCGTATTTTCGAATGGTTATGATGTCCACTGAATTCAAAGCCTTTGGTACGGTCTCTTGCAGTCCTTTGAGTGTATAATCACAATTTGCTCTGGTATAACGTTTGCTTGCACCCCAGAACATCTCAATGAAGTTCAATTCGCAGTGGAATTTTGGATAGAAAATGACTTGCTGTCCATGTTTTTCTGCAATTTCTCTCAAAAGTGATTGTTGGGCCATAAAGCCCGGTTGTAGGCTCAAAATACGTGTAGCACAACATGAATCTCTGAAATCATTGTGATCACTCTCCTTGCAGCTCACGCATCACTGACTCCTCTCCGAGTTCTAGGCTACTATAATCTATATCAATTGAGTCATTGACGACTATCTGTAAATTCTGGTGTGATATTTCTGAACCTTCTCTGCTTCAGTAAATTTGCGTTGTGCTTTCTTTTGTCGAGCATCTCGCAACTGTCTCTTTCTTTTATTTAAGTCACCCATTATAATTTATATATTATATATATTGTTCAAATGGAAAATAATGATTTTTCTGAAGGTGCAGAGAGGAAATGATGATTGATTGTACACCAAATGATGGCCATTAGCACTTCATAAACAGTGTGACTGCGGTGGTCCAAAATCTGAACAAATTAAGGTTTTTCCGAAAAATTTTTTTGCGATTAGCTGAAGGTCACTATACCTCTCTCAAACACTTGTCTCTTCACTTCCTACACTCCACCCCTCTACAAACAACTTACGATGGATTCTATCAAATTTCCTAATTTCAAACCTATCAAGCTTCCTAGGAGCTATCGCACACCTAACCAGGCTACCCCATCGGTTCCTGAGCCGCTGAGAAACATGTATGTATACTATTGCTAAAACGGAACCAATGTTAGTGTCAAATGTCAATGTGTCCTCAAATCTCACGTCTATCCTCCACATACCTCTTCATGCCCCTCATCTCTAGCACAATGCGCCAGATGTGGAAAGCATTGGAAGAAGGAGAAACCCCAACGCCTACATCGGAACAGCAGGAGGAGCTGGAAATTATTGACGAAACTCCCTCCATCTATCCTTCCAATGATGATTACTTGGTCGATATTTTTAAAGTGCTGGTAGAGGAAAAAAAAATATCGTTACGTCAATTCCTATCAGATGTATTTGAATCGCGCCATAGGGTCGTCCAAGAAAGCGTCAAGAGGTTTTATGCTAATAGCGGTCCTGCTTTCATAGTCGAGACGTGGAAATCGCAATTGGAATCCGAAAAGGCTCATAATAAGGCATACGACGATCTCGGTCGGGCTGCAGCAGACATTGTCGTTGATGGCGCAAAACGTGAACTCGAGGAGCTCACCAAGACCGATGACCTGAGGCTTCCAGCCAAGAATTTGTCCCCCAAGGTGGTCCAGGAATTTTCATTAAATTTAATTAATAAGAAGTTGGAATCAGCACCCCTGCTCTTCAAAATCATCTCCAATTTGACATCGGTCAACCCTTACTCCATTGAAAAAGCACCAGCAATTCGTGTCACTATCGTTAGCATGTTGGTGAAACTCTGTTCCCAGAAGTCGAGCTACTTGCAAATGATGATGGGACTTCATCTGCATGCCTCGGGATGTCCAAAGCGTGTGATAAATTTGCTCGCTGTGAGTGGTCTATCGGTGTCACATATGACGATCTGCACAGCCCTCAGATCGTTAACAAGGAATTCTCTTCAGGAGGTTCGTTCCCAAGTTAGGAAGCGCCCATGGTACTTGCTGTATGATAACATTGATATGGCCAGTCGGAAATATGACCAGCGCAGCAATAACTTAGACTCCTTCGATAATGGGACCACCGCGACCATCGTGCTCGGCGAGGATATTGGGCCAGATCAAGATCAAGATGTACTTCTCATCTCCATTTGCACCCTTATTCCAAGGCAATTGCACTCAAGGTGAGGCACAGACACAAAAACACGACTGAAGTGCATAATCAGTCTACCTTTTTTTTTTTTTTTTTTTTTTTTTAGCTAATCGTTCTGATAATGCCGTAGAGATGTCACTCGGTTCCATTTGGTCGACGTTCTTCAGCGGCATTTCACCACCTACGGCTGCTCGATGGATGCCCCTTCAATAGAGCCCCTTGAAGTAAAGGAGACAAAAACATACCCGTTGCCTGCGTTGAAGATCGATCAATCAACTATATCAGGCAACATTGAGATCCTTGAGACAATAATGGGAGACACGCTGCAGCTGCCTGAAGAGTGGTTCACCGACTATACAAAAGTTATAGTTGCGGGGGATCAGCTTACCATATCCAGAATAGCATCCTTGCAAGAGCTACGCAGAGAAGATAGAACAAGCTTCGATCGAATGCAATGGGCGATTCCTGTGATACAGCTCTTTCACCTCCAAATTGTTCTCTGTGGTACAATCCTTCGTACTCATTATGGGTCCTTTTCATCACCAGGGTCTCTGGGTTTTATTATATCCATGCTGGGGCGAAAGCGACTTGGCCGTGATACATCCAACTTTCACGTCGCAGACGAACTGATAAGGCATACTTTCGATGCAATGGTAAGACGGCTATGGGAAGTTGAGTTTGGGCTAAATATCAGCGACATGCAGGCTTATGAGTGCAGGCTAGAGAACTATGGCAAGTCGGACAATATTTTAGGCAAAGTTTGCGAAGGGGTCGACGCTGTCATACAAAAGTGGTTGCGCAACGCACATCAGATCGCCGAGGAAAGCGGCAGTGCGAATGCAAACGCGGCTTTGTTTATCAGGGATGCTCTTGTTTATATCGAATTGGGTGCAGCCATAAAGGCTGGGGACATCGGACGCATCCAAGATGTGCTGGGAACGATAACCGTCATGTTTCAAGCTGGAGGAATGAAAAACTATGCAGGCGAGCTCTTGCGTTTGACATATGGGATCCACTACGGCTGGTCTGCACAACGGAGGAAGGCTATTTTGTCCTCCTTGCTGATAAATACGAAGGGCAAGGAGAATGGGTGGATCCCTGCGGATTTGTACCAAGAGCACAATAACCTGCTGACAAAAGTCATTCATACAGCGAAGGGAAGCAATATGTCCTGGGAGACATTGGCCAATTCAATATCTACCAACATTCGTCTGTTTTCGAAGCTCAAGTCGGTGCTCGAGTCACAGTACAACATGATTCCCAACAGTACTCGACACTCACCAGTTTCTGTCGATGAAGATATCATAAGAATTGTAGCTCATCTTCGTGACTATAATATTCTTGGCAGAGGTTCCTGTCTGGGCAGCAGCCATATTCCGATTACCATAGATTTGTATTGCGAAGGCTTTGAAAAGCTGGTAGCAGGACGCTTCCAAAACATTGTTAAGCACATTTCCGAACGAAATAGTACCGAAGACATGGCGACTGTTCTCGCAAGCCTTGCGATAGAAGATCAACAGGTGGAGTCGTATATCATCTCAAGTACCACTTCTACTGTATCATTTTGTAATTTATTATTGTCTGTATCATATTGCAATCTATTGTCCTAATCATGTTCATCACATTGTAGTTTATTGTAATACCATTCTATTGTATATAATTCAGTGTAGACTAGGTTCCTTCTTTTTCATAATGGTTCTTTTATCTTCACCCATGTAGTCTTATTTATTGTATAAATATCGTCTTTGTCGTCATTTAATAAAAATCGCAGAAAGATAGTATAGAAGCATGGCGGGAGGAGACATAATCCAGTGCTCCTATTCGGTTTAAAATTTTGTCAATTATGATGTCATAATCTGATATGAAAAAAAATGTAAAGGACTCCGCGTTGATGATGATAAAATTACTCATACGTCTTTCACGGTTGTAGCATTCTCTTTAGCTGCGCCTCAACGTTGACTGTGATAGTACCGGTGTTGATACGAGTCAGTTCTGTTTGTATTTTGTCTGCAAGACCGCTCAGCTTTTTATCAACCTCCACCGAGACAGGCCTTGTCTCTTCCGCCTTCATGACTTTGACCAATTGCTCCAGATTTTTGTAAATCCCGCCATTACCTTGCTTGGCATGCGGAATCAGGGCCAAGTAATCCTCCACCTGCTTCTTCAGCACAACGCCCTTGTCACTGTAGAGTTCGTAGAAAATATAGGCAGCAAGCTTGAGGCCTGACCATCCCTTCTGCTGATGCTTGAAATGCCACAAAGTCGCCAACAGCACTGGACTGGTGAAGGGCGATTTAAACTGAGGATGTACGGCAGCGTGCTTGCCGTACGTGGCCTCTTCGTCAAAGTTGGACCGCGTCTGACGCTCCACATTGTTGTACAGGTATTCCTCACTACCTTCTTGAGCCATATGTGCGACTCACTGTGAGGATTGAAAACGATGTTATGTGGCTCCACAATAACTTTGCCACTCGTCAGCACAACTCCCATCGTCACTAGAGCACTCCATGCGGTTGTTCCAATCATCAGCTGGCTGGTATGATTGAACAACTGACTGACGACCTTGACCACCTTGCTACCTGGAAAAGCCACGAATGCATCGGCATGGGGGTCCTCGGACTGAAGACGGCTGTACACCTCCACCTTAAGACACATGATAACGTCGTTACCAGACTGGATCAGACAGCTCTGCAACTTCCTTGCCACCTGCTCGCTGTTACCTAAGAACGGCATGTGCCAAAACTAGTCGTTATCCTTCGCCAGCTCGTACTCCTCCAGCTTCACCAGCCGACCGTAAGGCTGAGGCTTCAGAGCCATCTCCAAGTCCGCGTCCTCCAGTGTCCTTTCTTGTTGATGGTTCAAAGGGCTCACCAAGGCGACTTCCCTTCTTTCTTAAGTATATAGGCTCGGGGAGCACGCGCAAAACCAAACAGCTTCTCGCCGTCCATTAACTTTATCGATATTGACATAAACATATTCTTGGCAAATTCAGCACTAGCAACATGCTTCACGTTGTCGATAAGCTCCATCTCAAATAAACGCCAGTCCTCCTGAGACACGCTAACCGGCCATGATTCGCATTTGAGGGAGTGGCTCGCAAGAGCCGCAACGTCTTTCAAGGAGTTTTGTTTCTTCGCTTTCTCTGTCATCTTCATCGGCTCCTTGCACCACGAACACGGCCGCGGGAACACGAGTTTGCTGACCATTGGACACTTAAGGAGATGGTCCTTCAGTGACCTGTGGGTCTGGACAGAGTGGTCGTAGCATTCACACTTGAGGGTAGAATTCGTCCGCGGGATCCATCGTGCGACTCACTCCGATGGTTGCGAAGAGACAGGGCCGAGGAAAGCCCACTCATACAAAGATAACAAAAAACCTTGGCGTTAAACTTAGCTATGGGTCCAATAGGTCAGATGAAGGTGCCCCCAGTTTATACGACACTCGTCAATCCATGTTTGAATGCGTGTATGATCTTGCGAATGCGTGTTGTTTACACATTATTGTTTTTTTTTTTTTTTTTTTTTTTTAATAAAAACGATGTGCTTCCTTTTTTTGTTGCACCTTTTTTTTACACCTTTTTTTACACCTACGCCTTTTTTTACACCTACGCCTTTTTTTACGCCTTTTTTTACACCTTTTTTTACACCTTTTTTTGCACCTTTTTTTTTTTTTTTTTTTTTTTTTTGATATGGTACACTCTTTTTTTAACATCTCGGCTAACGCTTCAGTTAATGCGCTTTATACCTTCAGTCATGTTTCCAGCAGACACCTAACGTTCTCACCCAATGCACCTCTTTTCCTCATTTTCCGATTACATGTCTAACGACCTAATTCAACTCTACTGAAGTCCTCTCTTTTTTCTAGTCATTAAAGCTTACAGCAATAGACGAGTTTGTGAGTGATCCTTTCCCAAGCTTGCATTCGTCACTAGGCTCAAACCTTCAGCCTTCAGCACCTTTACACGCACTACATGAGTCCCCCATTGTCATAAAATAATTACATTTTATAGTATATAAAAAAATAATAAATAATAATTAAGGATTTTATTTCTCAGCGGAAATTGGTTATAACTCGATTTCGAGGTCGCCATATTGCTTAGCAATACCATACACGGTATACTGCGCCGGATGGTCGATATTGCGGACATACTCGGGTAGCTGGGTTTTCGTTAGACCTCTTATATTGCTTACGCCAGCTGGACTCTCCTTTATCTTGTCCACAGGAGTAGTGGGGTTTAGGTTATGGAAAGGATACCTTGTGCTCTATTAACATTGTCTGTAATATTAAAGGGACAGGCATATCTCATTAACCATTTATGCATACAGACTACACTGGTTGCATTTACTTAAATACTTGTAGCTTAGCTTTATTTTATCTTCAGAGTTGAGCCATTGACACTGAAAGCAAGGCCGATCTTTTGAAAGCCTCTTCTTCCACTGAGCGTAAGGTGGAAAAATTCATGTGCCAAACCTGATTCAATTCAAGTAGTGAGTTGTTTAAGTCGATCGATACCACAAATATATTTTTTTATGCTTCAAAACTCTGGTGCCTGAGTGCGACCTCTAACTCTGTCAAATTGCACTTTTATTAATGTCGATGAAAAAAAAATACTATTTTGTAGATGGCTCTACGGATGTTCGAGCTCTCTTACTATGACGAGGAGAACTGTTTGGCTCGCTAGCAGTCTCCTCTTGATCGACAGGATGCTTGGCTGGCACAACCGTCTTATATAGCTCTATCCATAGAGCTGCCCTTTCCTCCAAGCGTTTACTATGAGGCGCTTCCACGCCAACAGCAGTCAGCTCAGTGAAAACCTTGCGCAGACCCCTAGCTGCCAACTCCTGCATTGACTCTGTGGTGCTTGCAACCACAGACGCCTCAGCCACTCTATGTTGTTGTTGCAGAGTAGGCCTTGCTTTTTTGGCGGTCTCCCAATCCTCCTCCGAGACCAGCCGAAGCTTGAGCTTCTCCAACTGCTTGAACAACGATGGCTCATGCAGACGGAATAGCGTGAAGCATTCACGCTTTAGCACATGGCCCTTGGGTGTCCTTCGAGTACCAACCATTCTCGAGGATAGACTTCATCCCCGTCCTGATACTCGGCTGGCAAAGGGTCAGACCGCCCGCGGATTGAACACTGGTACGGATCCAGGAAAAGTTTACTATATACACTTGACAGGTTTTCCGTGGACACTGGTTTGAAAGGCACTAGCCTGCCACGGTACTCGTTTGGATCGGATTGAGTACTCAATGACACCTCGTTGACGTTGGGAGTGCTCTCTACTTCGTCACGAGCACGTTTCCTGCTAGTGCTAACTGCAGAGGAAGAAGAAACGATGTTGTTAGTGGAAGACATGCGAAATGGTTTCTAAGAAAAAAAATTTTTTTTTTCTGTTTCTAGCCTGGGCCCCATATTTCTCTTCTGGAGCCGAGGACAAAGTTTCGATTTTTGCTGGCCAAATTAACTGGTCAAGAGAATAATATAAAAAAAAAGTTCACATAAAGATATTAGTGGACGTGCAAAAAAATCAACCGACGGAGTAAAGTGGTGTAAGAGTGTTGGGGTACGTACCGCTTTTCTCAAAACTACTGGACACATGTAAAAAGTGAGCTTGCTGCAAGAATAATACCGACGGACTAAAGTGGTGTAAGAGTGTTGGGGTACGTACCGCTTTTCTCAAAACTACTGGACACATGTAAAAAGTGAGCTTGCTGCAAGAATAATACCGACGGACTAAAGTGGTGTAAGAGTGTTGGGGTACGTACCACTTTTCTCAAAACTACTGGATACATGTGGTGTAAAAAAGTTGGGTATACGCACGCAACTTTTTTTAACCAGAGGGCTAATCCTTTCAACTATAAGAATTTTGTAAAGTAAACCATTTGTATTTGAAAGAGTCTAGAAATTAAAATTTAAAATTTAAAAAAGGCCAACATGAAAGAAATTCACTCTCTCACCTTCTCATCCACATCAAGTTTTGGGATGCCTAAAGCTAAACAAAAAAAACTCAAGGCTATCACGGCTATCACGGCTATCACGCATGGAGCAGCCCCTCCTCCTTACTATGGTAAAGAAAGCCATTCTTCCTCTGCAACCGCCAACATTTACATCAAACCACTTTTTGGCAACAAGCTGTGCATCGTCTACATTGCTACACTGACAGACAATGGCATGTTCAAACCGCCCGGGGAAGGATGTGATGAAATTGGGCAACCAGGGTTTTCTCGGCATGTCCACAAATGCCATGCGTGCCATACGATGATTGAAGAAATGTTGACGAAGAAAAAAAAAGGTCCAAAAAACGCCTCGTTTGCGTTACTGCCTGACCACCAGAGCCGGAACCACCATTATCTCGACTCGAACCCGATCGTCATATCCACAAAACTCCTTAATCCAACGTATTCCAGCGAGGCATCCTCTGTTCTACCAGATCCCAGTGAGATATCCTCTCCTCCCCCAGATCCTAGCAAGACATCCTCTTCTCCTCCAGACCCATTTTCTCCTCAGTTAGATCACATCACGGAAGCTGTCTCGCCAGATCTCACCTCAGAAGAGCTACAGTTCACAGCCCAACCCTGGGCAAGTCGCTCTGTCACCCCCTGTTCGGATGAGCTCCTGTCGCGAAAACAGAAGCGTATATTAGATGGAATGGACTTGGCACCCCGCGTGGCTCCACCAGGGCGTTCTGAAACCCCCAGCAAGTGTGGTAGTGAAACTGCATCTCGTCTAAGAGCACTAGAAGAGGGTATCTGTAAGTTAGTTGATATCAATTCGATTCAGTTGAGAACAACAGAGAACAAGCTTTCTGATATCTGTACTTTTTATTTTTTATTTTTTTAATTTTTTTAATGTTATTTTTGCCTAATGTGCTTTGCCATGTCTACTTGTGATCTGCACAGCTGAGATGAAGAGCACCATGGACAAAATGCAAAGCGCCATATTAAGCGAACTAAAAAAAATGACCGCACCTGAGGCCAAGCATGGATGATTTTAGGAGAGTTCGACTAACTCGTTAGTTTTCTTTTTTTTTTTATTAATAAAAAAAATCTGTGTTTTGCGGACATGGACTTCTCTCATGTTTGCCCCTTTCATGGGATACAGGCGTTTTATTAAAGATAACGGTTACTTAATATCAGAGCTTGTTTTGGAGTTTGCCAAACAAGCGGTTCGGAGCCAACTTTCTTTTGTCCTGCATGAGTTGTTTTGGCTGTAAACTACTTCACTTCCTCTTGCAATAAACCTATTTGTATCACGACAGTCTAAGCCCAACTCATCTTCCCTATTTGTGGGGGAACAATCCGACGCTTGCTGAATTCTGCTTCAGTTTTAGTAGGAAGATCCGACATCAAAAGATCAAAAAACAATGTTGTTTCTTGGCTGTCACTAGCCAGACTATTGACAAATTTTCTTGCAACTGGGTGGATGTTAAACGGACTCTTCCCTTGAAGCACAAAAAGAGTGAAGTGAAAATTGGCCACAGGTCATCATTTACTCCACAATCCAGTGCGTTGTCGCTGAAAAATATTTAGGATAGATAGTAGACTGTCAAAAAGTAAGTGAGAATAAGACGTGGGTCCACACACCACACCCATGGATTATTTTATTCATTTCTGGTAGAGAGACTAGTATCAGATAGCTACATATCTATCTGTAATAATACAACATGGTTTCGCATGTCAGCGATTTGTCGCGTCTTAGTGTGACGCATTATTGCCACTGGTTTCTACCGCTATTTTTATTTTTTATCGATCAGTTTTTTAGTCGGACCATTATTATTGCATATTGAAATATGCAACAACTTTCCCTTTTATTGAGGAATGAGGCACGCATTCCAGGCACAGAAACGGTTTGAGATTAGACTCAAAGAAGGATCGCGATTGCTATGCTTAATTTTTTAACTTTTTAATTTTTTAATTTTTTTTTTTTTAAGCTTTTTCCTGATAGATTTCTGAGATTTAGTACGCTTTATTACTACAAACTAAAATGTTTCAACAATCAATTGGGACAGATGACACTATGTTAGCTGCCATTGGGGTTTCCACGTTTGGAGAAGTCAAAAGAGGTCATATTATGGAACGCGATCTTTGGCTTTGCGGTAGGCCGTGGTTTTTGAACACGGCCATTCCGGTCAATATGGGACTCCTTCTTTTGGAGCTGCGGTTGCATTTCAGGCTGGCACGCACTATCGATGTCCTTATTTAAATTGATAAGGAGATTGGCGAGTTCCGTTAAAATGTCGTCGTTTATAAAGGTCCAACCGGTAATTGATGTTACCGATTCGGGCGACGTAACATTGCCAAACTTTTCGCCTAATTTATCGACCAACGCATCCGTTAGCATGCAAGAAAGCCTTAATGTAAATAGTAACTGTTGTATATTTCAATATACAAGATAATAACGGCCCAGCTATAAGATTAAGAAAAATACTAAAAACACACTAGGAACACACTAGGGGAATTCCCAAAATTAATACGCTAAGAAAAATATAATAATAATAACGCGTCACTAGAGACGCGACAAAACACGACATGGTTCCTGAATAATCCCATGTCGCTTCTAGATAGATATGTAGTTACTTGGTACGAGTCTCTCTACCAGAAAATGAATAAATACCCCATGGATGTGGTGTGTGGACCCACATCTTATTCTCACTTATCTTAGCTTCTGATAACTACTGTCTAAATATTTTTCAGTAACAATCAAAGGTGATCTTAGGTGGAATCGAAGGTCAAAGGATACTTTATTTGGCTATAACGTAGTGGACTATTTATACTGATAATTGATAGGGTTGGGGCTTGGTGTCTTGGCACTTGGGCTTGGCGTCTTGGCGCCTGGGGTGCGCGTGATAGTTGAGCCCTCCTCAAAGGTTTGAGTTCAGTATTGTATAACACGTTTGCACTTAACCATGGGCAAGCTGGCTCATAATCCCTTTTGTAAACCATCAATCTCCACTTCTTAATAGCCTCTTTGGCAGCTTCCTTCTGTTCTGCCGTACGCCGAACTTTTGGTACTGTGTCAACACGAATTTCATTGAAAGAAAGTTGCAGCGGCTCAGAAACTGGACGGCAGATGTCGCAACAGTTCTCATTAGGTTGAAGCTTATTGTCAAAGATGTCATTGAGGACTTTCCACCGACACCCTTTAGTCATAATGTAATCGGCGAGGTCCTCATCTGGAAACTTGGTACCAACGGACGGTGGTGGTACTAATAATACACTCTGACCTTGAAGTTGCGGGTTGCGAGCTGCACGACCAAGACGCTGTACAAGAGCCGAGATTGCGGATGAGCACTTGTACTGCACAACACGAAGGACATCACTAATGTCACACCCCATCCCGGCAGCTTCTGTAGCCAGCAAAATGAGGATATCGCCACGCTTGAAGTGTTCCATAGTTTCTTGCTTGTAACCTTCGGAAAAGTCGGCGTGATATTCAGCGATCTTGAACTTGCCCTCTGCTAACTGTTTCAAATGCTTATACCAATATCTAATCTCGTCCTTGGTCTGAAAGTAGATGATAGTTTTTTTAAGATCAAGGAGGAGAAAATCAAGGTGCTTGGACTTATCCTTAGAGCTAAGATGCCGAACTTCCAACCTGATGTTGGGGCGATCGTTACCGACGTTGATAATCTTGACATCAGGTTTGAATTGGACCAAGCTTCTGAGCTTCTCTAGAACCATTGGTAGAAGGGTAGCTGAAACAGGGATGAAAGCTACACCACGGGAGACCTTTGAGCGTAGCTCCGCAATACGGCCATAGGAAGTCCTGAAACTGTCGCCCCAATTGCAAACACAGTGAGCCTCATCCAAGACAACTGCCTGTAGCCGCTTTTGCCATTTTGGATTTGACCAGAGTTTCGTCAGAATAGGGCTGTCGAAGATAATCTCTGGCGTCATGAAAACAGCCCTATATTTCCCATCGGCCACGTCGCCGATCGTTCCTCGTGTGGTAGTCCCTCCACTGAGTAATGCGACGCTACTAATCCCCAGCTTTTGAAGGCTCTGCTGCTGCTCCTGTATCAATACTCTCAGAGGAGAGATGATGATAATGATCCGATCTCTCCAAATTACAAGTGGGAGAGTGTAGACAAGGGTTTTACCCCAACCACATCCAGCAATAAGAATGCAGTTTTGACCACTGCCAATACATTCGACAACATCCAGCTGCAAAGTCTTGGGGGTGACCTTGAATATCTTCTTGCATTTTTCAATGGCTTTGTTTCGATCAAAAGGCTTATTATCGATGGCTATTTCATTATTGCAGCCGAATAGCTCGGCCGATCCTTTAATGTCATCTTGAGTCGGCACTTTCGACATTTTGAACAGATTCCTCAGCTGCTCTGGTGTACTAGAGATTAAGGATGAAGAAGTATATGGAAGGTAACTGTGAGATTTATAGACAATTTGATATTTGACACTGATATGGGTAGTAAGTATAGAAAACGCACAAGCCAATGTAACTCCTATGGTCGACCAGCGAAGGAGTGTTGCTAGGATTCATCGTAAGTTGTTTGTAGAGGGGTGGAGTGTAGGAAGTGAAGAGATAAGTGTTTGAGAGAGGTAAGCCGAGAAGCGAGAAAGAGAAGCGGAAGGGAAGCGAGAAAGAGAAGCGCGAAAGAGAAGCGGAAGGGAAGCGATTAAGTGAGGTTAAGAAGTCAAGCCCATTCAGGTTTATGAAACAATATCACAATATGTTACAAAAATAAACAAAGACTTTTTTTATTTTTTATTTTTTTTGCTAGAAAACTATGGCACGCAGCAATTGTGAATAGAATATTCACCTTGAGCTCAGGGATCAGACTGTGAAGGGGATTGGAGGTGGAACGCGATATTAAAAAAAAAAAAAAAAAAAAAAAAAAAAATTATTATTGTGCATGAATTTTTTATACATTATATAAGGACTAAGGAAAAATGCACCCCCCCGTCAGAATAAAATTCTGAGCCCCGGTTGAGAATTCCCTTGACCCCCCGTCAACATTTCTCTTTCCGGAATTCTTATCCCCCCGTCAACCGCGCAATTCTTACCCCCCCCCCCCCCGTCAACATTCTGGAGCTGATTTTCAAAAAAAAAAAAAAAAAAAAAAAAAAAGAGTACTACATCCTATGATTTCCACACAACTAGTACAGTATTTTAATCTTAACCTCTATTAATTGTAAAGATGGTTTAGGATCGCCAAGCGTTGACGCTGAATAATAATGCAATGTTTTTTTGTCTTTTTCTTTTAAGACTATATTGGACGCATGTGGTGTATGTTAAGTTGCCGAGGGTTCTGAACCTGATGAATACGAATCTAGGAAGAGATCATTCATCAAGGAACTGATCCACTGATCTACTGTCATGCTTTGATGGCAAGATACAAAGTAAGAGAGGATCAATGGTGTCGAACTAAATAGCTAGTTAGATCTAGGTGTAACCAAGAACAGAAAATCTTCTCTTAAAAACAGCTTCAAAATGTTGATGGGGGGGTAAGGATTCCCACAATTAAGATGGTTGACGGGGGGGTAAAGATTTACATTTTGAAAATCTTTACGGGGGGTGTACCGGAATTCTGACGGGGGGACAGGGGTAAGAATTCCGAAAAAATGAATGTTGACGGGGTGCATTTTTCCTTAATTCAAAGTGAAGAGGGATAGGAACGAGCCTAATTCGTGCACACAGTGATTGACGAACAAAAAAGGAAAAAAAAAAGCCCGCGATGAAAGAAGGCATGTGCAGACAACAAATAAACACAGCAACTGTTTGCTCGCATACATTTTTTTTTCACCGTTGTGTCTGTATGTCTTTTAAGCTTTCTGTCTGACCGTTTAACACAAGGAATCCTCAGAAAAAGAAATACCTCGCATGATTGGTGCTGTACGCGGAAGATAGGGTCTAGAAACTATACCATTGTTATGCAGACTCACCGAAATCAACTTGTGATCACAACTGCTACTCATGCTCTCTTACCAAGGACTTTAGCAGGTATACCAACCCCTTCTTCCTTGCTCTCATAACCGCTCACATCCTTTCGATGCATTCTTTCGCCGTTTATGTCCACTACATCTGAACCACACAGTTCACCACTCACTCCAACAGAGATATTTGTATCATCTTGGGTATGATATGTTGCTGTGGTTCCCTCTGGTTTCAGCAGGCCCAACAAACTCTATTAGCAGTGTTTACCAACCCAGATATATCAAGAGGACGAGGAAGCAAATGATGTGACAAATCAAGTCTTGCCGAGCAAGCTCTATGGTGCGGTAGAATGAATCAACTCAGATTGCCCTCCTTTCAAGTCGATACTACGGCGAATATTATCACTGCTATTACACCAGTCAATAAATAAACAACACAATGGGCCCCCTAAGAGGATGCTAGTGTCATGCGAAAGCCTTCAAAAGTTTTTTTATTGGCACAGATAAAGAAGCCAGGATAGCTCCATGACAGTTTAGTTTTCGGTCATTTATTTCGACATCGAAATAAAATTTCAAGACAATGCCCATGAATTGCTGGATTTTAAGCCCATTTATAATGGCAAATTTGCCAGGTTGACGGTTTAAGGGATAGTGCGGTACAACGGCCGGACATTATAATCGAGGATCATATAAATGACGCTTTCATCACAATGGGTCTACTCTAATGAAAAAGGTTCTGTCCCAGTATATGACTATAGTGTTGTAGAAATGACTATCTGTCAGATTTAATGCACGACTCAAATATTTACGCTTTACGATGACGCGCACATTTTTCCTTTTTTGTCTTCACATTACTTCATACACTTCTTTCACTGTTCTTCAGATACATTGCATTAGAATGTTAACATCTGCATCCATGCTGCGGCCAGCTGCCATTCTCAGAAGCACTGCTCTTCGCAATGCAACACTCATAACTGAGCCTGTGTGCATACGATCTTCATCACCATTAACATCATTCGCTCAACAGAGTAGTGTGCGATTCACTTCCACAGCAATCTCCAAGTGTGCGTCTCTGGTCGATGCTTATACTTACTTTGCAGTCTCCCTCGCTCCATACCTTTATTCACTATTGAACTAAATCTATTCTTTACTCTTCCTCCCTCACAGCAAATCAAGATACACCCCGATCAATCTTTCGATCCCTTGCTATTAGCTCGGCTTTCAGGAATGCTGGTGCTAAGACTCCGACTTTATCGTTCAACACTTGGGTCGCTGCAGGAACTGCAACAACCTGTATCTTTGGCCCATTGATCATGTCTCGATCTCCTTTGGCGGGATCAGGGTTGTTTAATTCGTCGCGATATGTGGCCCATTGTGCTGCAGTTACACCAGGTAAAAAAAAAAAAATTCTATGCCATGTCATGAAACTTTTTTTTATACATGTACCCTGTGGAGATAACTTACCATCGTCTCTTTGGGGAGAATCTTCTATTCTAGTTGGTGTCCGACCAAGGCCTGCTCGGGATATCGGTGATTTTTTTTTGTATAATTTCTATAATCTCTGTAATCAGAGGAAATTAAAATGATTTTTGGTTATTAACCTTGGCCTTTTTTTTATTTTATTTTATTTTTTTAACACATACTGTTATAGCATTAGATGAATCGTTAATCAACACAAAGGAACTAACATTTGGTATGGCTATGGGCCTATGTTCTGGATACCTGTTCAAGAAATTGGGCAAGATGATGATGTTGGTTGTGGGCGTTCAGTTTGTGTGGTTACAGCTGTTGGCCAGTGCTGGATATGTTCAAGTCAACTGGACTAAAGTAGAGCGCAGATTCAAGGATCATTTTGATGTCGATGGTGATGGTAAAATCACCATGAATGATGCAAAACATGTGTTCAGCTGGTTGTTGCGGTTGCTCACCCATAACTTCCAATTCAAATCGACCTTTGTTACTGGATATATCTTGGGATTCCGTTACGGATAGGCAATAGAAAAAAGAAATATTTTTTTCCTCATTTCCAAACATAGTGTTTATTTGATTGGTCGAGAACCAAATATAAAACGTGACACTTGAATTAATTTGGTGGCTGATTTTATCATTTTTATGTGTCATTAAAAGTCGCGTGTCTGTGCATATGTTTAGTGGTGTAATAACCTCGCATCGCTTAAGCCTGAAGTATATGAAGCTCGTTCAGAAGAAGCAGAATCAGCTGAATGGTCCGAAAGTGACACCGCATATAATCCATTCAGGATCACGTTCGGTTTGTTCAAACTGGAGGTTGAAGACAAGGAAGAAGATGATGACATTGAAGAAGAAGAAAAAGTAGAATCAGAGAACCCTACAGATTTCTGTACCCTCACTTCATTTCCTTGTCTTCCTTCTCTTCGTGTGAGTATTGTCTTGCTTTGGTTTTTAGCTGCTTGGCTCTTTTTAGCGGCAGCAGCAGCAGCAGCGGCGTTGGCTCGGTCCTCGTTGAGTAAAAACATGGCAGCATGTGCTTTCGCGAGGATCAGGGCCTCCAGTGAGTTCCGCCCTTTACCGGCGATCAATGCAGGCAGTGACAACAGCGTAGGATTGATTGTGCTGAGCAAATATTTGAATTTCTCTTCTGCCTGGTCTAATCGGCCCTGGTTCATCATAATCAAACCCATGTTGTAGTGTGAAAAATAGTATGCATACGTATCATCTTTGATATAAGGCGCGTATCGAAAGACGGTCTTAAAAGACCGAGTTGCCAGAGAGCACATATCTTGGTCAAACGCCTCTTCAGGGAAAAATGCGATATTCTTGGCTACCAGCCCCAACAAGTAATGCGCGATACAATAGTCGTCGTAATAATGATCATAGTCACGGACTTTGTCCGCTTTTGTCAGAGAATGGATCCCTCCGGACCGTATGGAACTAAGGACCATCTTAGAAGCCTCCATAGTGTAGCCACCTTTTGGGAGAGGTTTCTCTGAAATCGCCTGCATAGATGGTGGCAAGAGTGAATCCAGACGTTGAACTTCCACCATGATATTGGACAATGCAACTCTTAAAGACTTGAGCGGCATCATATCAAAACCATTCCAGAGCACTAAGAAGTCATAGTCTGGCAAAAGGAGACGTTGGCCTTCATTCAAATATCGGTTTGCCTTCCTTGCGCAGTAGGTCTATACCGTAAATTGAAAATTTTTTTTAAAAAAAAAAGCATAAGCTGCCTTCCATTTTTTCAAGGAGCACCATGCAATGATATAAATGTGATTGATACCGATTAAAAAAAGTTTTTGGTACCTCTGGGAAAACCTCGATACCACAAAACTTCTGCATCCCTGGCTCAACCTTCTTCATCAGCTCTGGAACCCTCTTGGCTTCTTTGGGCAGTCCACGACGCATAGTCGTGATTGCAGCCAAGTATCGAAAGATTGTCTTTGTCCAGTTACTCTCTCTTAAAAGAATACGGCTTGTCGTACATGCTAGGTCATGATTACTTTCCATCATAGCACACATCAGCTGCTCAAATGTCGATGCATGGGTCAAGTTCCTCCATTCCTTTTGCACCTTTTCTTGCGCGGATTCATGGATCTTAATCGCGTCACTTAGTCGCGTGTTGACTTGCGCATGTCTCGCTTTCAAGAATAGGAAAACCATGGATTCGGGGTACTTGTGTAGGTTATAGTTATTGATCTGCTCTGCAAACGAATAGTCGACATGTCGAAAGGGCAGGAACGAGGCTGCAATAAGATGAATCACTATCGGCGCTAAATCACAGAGCTGTCGTCTCATCCCATCGTTTGTCGGAGACGACACTCGTTCCTGAAGCTCCATCTCTGATTCATTCACCTTCACGTTGTAAGGATCCCATTGTCCTGCTGTATTGAGTAAAGCAAGTCCCCAATCTCGATCTGAGGGGAAACCCACGAATTGAAGTAGCTTGATTATGATATCAGGTAAGAACGAGATCACAATGTTGAAGAGCGACGCTGCAAATATGAGTCCAGTCACTAGATGCTCATCCAGATGATACTCAGAGATATCACCTCCAACCTTCAGTTCCTGCTCCACATTGTCGAAATGAGATTTAAGACCATTGAAGACAGCAAAAGCTGATCGGAGTGAGACGCTCTCTTCTATTAGAGACCAGAAATCCTGATGGTATAGGACGCTGAACCCCGCACGCAATACGGTTGCCTCAGCATACACTAGCTCCTGTTGTCCAGAAAGGTTTATTGCAATAATTAATAATAATAATAAAAATAAAAATAATAAAAAGAGGATCCATAAAAAGGGATGCATAGGCACATGTGAATGAATAGTTTAGTAATTTAGGAGGAGGTTTGTGCGCAACGATCATAATGTTTAAACACTTAAAGAGGTACAGAAATCATTAAATAAAAAAAAAAAAAAATGTGGGTTCATTGTTTACCGCATGCTTCTCGATCCTGGTCATGCCCCTGAAACTTGAGGCCCCCACTGTTCCAATCACCCAACTGCCCAACGCTTTCACAGTCGAGACCCCTATGATGGAGCTTGTCTTACGTTGCGCGTTCGTCACTTTTAGTGTCAAATCAAAACTCTTCATCGCCTTTTCAATATCATCTGGATGGAATGTCAAGATCGCCTTCAGTGCATCCACAAGAGCTTTGCCGAATTGATAATACATGGATTCAGGTTTATGACGTCCTCGCAACAAGGCTTCTGCCTCATTCATTTTGGAATTTAAAAACAAATCCATACAGACCCGAAGTTCTTTTAAATCTTCATCCATAGCTCTTTCGAGACCAGATTTCCGTGGGTTGGCGTCTGACATTGGTGGTCGCACCAATAAATGCCAGTTTGGGACAGGTTTTTTGATATTGGGTGGGGCAGTGGCTCTACGAGAAGGGTTGATGGTGACTGGTGATGGTGGTGCTCGATGACGGTGATGGTATTGTCGTTGATTGTCATTTTGACTGCCGTGATGATAATCATGGTTTTGTGTCTGCTCCATAGTTAAACGAAATGTAGAAATAAAGTGATATTTATAGGGAGATATTGGATTGATATGGCAAAAATAGGGTATCAAAGAAGAGTAAAGAGAAAAAAAAAGAGAGAGATAAAGATGGTAGATTAAGAAATGATGGAGAGTAGTAAAGAAAGGAAGTAGAAGGGTGAGGGAGTGAAGAGAAAAAAGAGAAGATTGCAAGAGGAAAACAAGAAGCTTTGAGTGCAATTATGAGAGCGTCGATTACGATTTTTATACGAAGAGCAAGATGAGCAAAGTCATAAGCGGAGAAGAGTAAGCTGAGAGAAGTAAGACAGGGTTCCTTGTTTATGTGCTCTTATTTGGTAGAGGAAGGGGGCCAGGTTCAAACAAAGGCAAGCAACCTATTAGATAGAGCCTTTCGCATTGTAAATGTTCCTTCCTTCGTTGCTTGGTCCCACATCCTTGTTAATTTATAACTTGTGGATAAAAAAAAAAAAATTGTATGACAAAACGCATGTGGAGAAGGAGGGACAGCTCAGACGAGGACAGGCTTGGCAGCCGAATGGTACAGCTTTCTTTAGGGTCATCTGCCCTTGTTTTCTCCTCTTGTAAAGTGCAGCCCAAAAAGCATACCGCTGTCTTCTGTAAGCATTAGCATGTGAGCAAAAAACAGACAAAACAGGGAAGGGAAGAATGCGAATCTACCACTCCCTCCGTAACCTTAATATGGGAATATTTGTGTAATATTTCTGCACGAGATTATTGGGCTCCTTCTTGGGGTAACAAATATATTTGTAGCATAATTTATTAAAGCAAACCTTCTCCAGAAGCTCATTCCAGCCTACACGCGACCAAGTCCAAGTTAAAAAAATAAATAAAAAACATCGAGGAGCACATACAGATGTATATACATGGATTATTCTTTACCATGATCAATGTAATATTAACTCAGAAATGATCCTTGCGCTGGGTCTCCTCAATGCAAAAAGCAAATGAGGGTAATAAACACTATGGCACTAGATATCCTTCATTTTCGATATTTTAAGAAAGACATGCATTTGTGGAAGATTATACCTATAATTGCTATTTTGACAACAAAAGGATCTAGACTGATGGGTTTTTGTTTATTAAATGTGGATGCTAATATTACTTCTTAACTTCATGCCTACTTATTCTGTCGATTCTTCCGAGATGGACAATACTTCCAGCCGTGACATGAGCTCTTTCGTCATCTTCATAGTCGTATCCAGCAACCTTGACCTAATATTGGAGCGAAAAATTCAACGTATACTGTTAACACACCTTAAAGCAATGGAAATAAAAGAGGAAAGCAGCTGAAGATAAATTTAACTTACTCGTCCACCAAAGATCTTTCGACAGATTGGATCTGACCGGTTCCGTAACGTTTCACAGGCTGTTTCTGCTTCTGCCATACAGACTGGCGACCAAAACCTGTGGATGAATATGATGATTCGTCATCAATAGAGCCTTGCAATTCTTGTATCCGCCTCTTCAAGATCTCATATTGCGTTTGCACCTTATGTCGTCTCTCATCAAATGCCTTTACTGCTCTCTCTCTTTTGAGCACTTCCTGTCCCCATTCCTTCTCCGCTGCACTCAACTCTGGTTCACGCGACTCTTTCATTTTCTGCAGCAATGCATCTGCGCGTGCCATCAGCTTCTTTTGCAGCGCTGCTTGTATATCCTGTCGGTCTGCTTGGTCCTGAATCTTACTAGAGAACGCCTTGAATCTTTCTTGGCACTTCTCCACACTCTTTTGTTGACGGATATACTCGTTCTCCTGTGCTATCAATCTGAGACCCCATTTGATAAAAAAAAAAAATAGATACAAAGATATAGTTGTTTAGTTGTACAGTTAATCACAAATAAATTCAAAAATTCAACAGGGTAATGGATGAATATCGACGTTACCGTTGTTGAGCAAGATCACAGGCTGTGTAGACCTCACGTAATGACTCGCGATAGCCATGAACCATCTTGCCGAGAAATTGTAGGTTCTCCTCTGTGACAACAATCTTAGCTGAGCCTATACCGGGTGGAAGAACAATCTTAGGCTGCAGTGGCAACCCGTTCAAAGCCAACAGGCCTTCCTGGCTCCCAAACCCTGGTTGCGTCAATGAATTTTGATACTCGTTTTCCTTTTGTACAACTACTGATGTTACTGGAGTTGGTGTCGATGGGAGAGTGGTGTTTTCAATTGAATCCCTTGTCAATAGCTCCAGCCCAATTAGTTGTAGTGAAGAAGTCAATAGTAATAGTGAATACTCCAAGTACGAGTCCGTGACCACCGCAAAGCCCACAATTGGCGCAGGGATACTAAGTTGTCAAATAAAAGAAAATTCAAGCTGGTTAATAAAAGATCTCAGGAGTATTCCTTAATTTTAGTGTTTTTTTTTTTTTTTTTTTTTTTATTGTTGTTGTCGTGTTTGTTGGTATTATCACTGCTATTTTGAATTTGGACACAAACCTTGTCTTAGTCGGTCTAGTGGTGACAATGCAGCTGACGCTGCTCTTGATATGCGATTCATTAAATTTGATAATCCTAGCGTCCAGCTCTGCGTTCGCCCCTTGACTGGCGATCTCATTAATCTTAACCAGCTCTTCTAACCATGGCCGGACCGACACGCAATGTGCGCCCGCTTCATGATATACGTAAAATGTGTCGCCATACTTAGGATCTGCCTCTAGGACTGGGTGGTTGGGAATACCCATTCTTCTCTCCTGAAAGCTGTACCCTCCCGTTGATGATATGCTTGAAACACCAAAGATCTTTAGCAATCCCAAGTCAATCGATTCGTATACAGAGACCGCTGGAAGGCCATTTTCCATACTGTTCACTTCACCATCAATTTGCTTGCCATTGCTCTTTAGCTTCCTTGGAAGGGTCCAGCAGGGCTTGGGGTGATCAACTACAATGCAGATATCAACTCGCCCGCTCGAATAAGCCATGGCGAGCACCCCTGCTGTTTCAGTTTCCAAATAAAGGATATCATTTGCCCTGTTATCATCATCTTCCAATTCAATAGGTGCTGGTTGATATAAAAATGGTCCTTGTCGAGCTGGCCGTGCAAGGTTAAGCACTGGGTTGTGTGCAATAAACATCTCATCTGAGAATGGATGGGGCTGCAAAGAATCCAACAGGCTGTCAAGCCAGTCTCGCTTAGCTTGTACCAGCGCCTTAGAAACTCCACCAGCGGCTATCTCTTGTCCCATATGATAGCGAATGTCGTCCAGATCAGAAGTGTCAAGCAAACTATTGGGAAGATGCATTCGCATCGAGGTATCAGTGTTTGGTCGAGATGTCTGGTAATCCATCTACTGAATGAAAACAATTGACACATACCATGTTGAAGGCAATACAGGACACATCATGTAAATATCTCCCCATTGTGTCAGACAATACACAGATAGTTGTCCCCATGGGGAATGTTTCGATCCAAAACAAAATGAGGCTGCATTATCCGTATCCACACCATATGTGCCCGAGGATTGCGCAGCCTCTGAGAAGCTGAACACCTGTTCCGGTTCATCTGGATTCACAGCAACATCATACATTCTACATGTGTGATCAAATGATAGGAAATAATATGATGAGTCCTTTTCACAGAAAAAAAAAATCTGATGATCTTAATAACTTAAAGAAAAAACATTTTTTTTTAACTATTTTCGTGTTGTTACCTCAAGAGACTGTCATGTGTCAAGACCAAGACATGAGAGTATCCTTTGCTGAGAGGGTGCCAAAGGACTTTTACGATCTTGGAAGGCCCCTTGTTGATATGATAGAATTCTCCTACGACAAATGACTTGATATTGACATTTTTAGGATCCTGTCTGACTGTTTTGGTTAATGCTGCGACTACAATTTTTTCATCGCCCACAATCGCCAGTAAGTTGCCATCAGGATTCATGACGAGCCTTCGAACATCAAAGTCGATATATTGGATCTCGAGAACCTAATAAATATAAAGGGTGAAACAGGAGTTTAGTTGAATATCCCCGAAATTTAAATTCTCATGTTGTGCTCCGTCCTTCTAATACCTTATGCTGCTTTTTCTCAATATATTCTGTGGCAGCCTGTTGCCCATGGTTCTCAACACCCTTTTTCAATTCCGCCAGGCTTGTGTGGCGGATTTGTCGACCAATTGCAACATAGAGATCCTGACCATGTAATGCCATGCAAGACAAGCCCTGATATGACTTTTGATACTCTTCCTGAAGTTCATCCAAACTAAACGAGGGCTTTTGTCGCTGTTGCTGTGACTGTTGTAGGGTGGAGGGAACCTGTCTATTCGCAGGTAGCAAGCTTATTTTGCTTTGCGTGGAGGTCCTAGGGATGTCAGGACCTGACGACGTCTGCTTACTTTTATTTTTGCGAGCCCATTCCTGATACTCTTGTTCGTCCAGCTCAAAAATGCTGTGGTTCGGTAACTGATTCAACCATGTTAGTCTCTTTTGACTTGAGAGTGAAGCCATGACGCCTACAGAAGAAGCAAAGAATTTTCAGAGAGGAATTGAATGAAAAGAAAACAGTGGCAAAGAATTGCTGATCCACAGCATTCAGGAAACGCGCTACGTCACTTGACTGCAAGTCACGAGCTTTTTTTTTTTTTTTTTTTTTTTTTTTTTTTTTTTTCTGCTGCTTGTCTCGGTTAAAAGAGCGGGAGTGAAGCTTGCTGTGGTATTTACTTTGCCAGCCCCTCTAATTTGGCAAAACGCGGTTTCTCAATATTCAATATCCCTTGACCTTGCCATGTCTTTACCAAAGCACACCACACATTGTCTCAGCCATGAAGCAAGCATTTGGTGCTCGTTGATCCTGATAGCATTAGTATGCGACCTTGAACGACAGCTATATGAGCAAAAAACCAAATAGTTGACAAGGGGTAATTCACCCGAACGTGAGTCGCCTAATTATTACCTTATAGTGGTTAAAATAGCGTCTCTCGTGTAGTTTTTCTAGTGGGACTTCCTATGAATACCTCTTTTCTTTAGGATGCCATCCATCTACAACTGGCACGCCTACTGCCTACACTGCATACCCAACTCATCTTCAATTTGTCCGCCGATAAGTTATATATTACTAGTTTTGCACTTGCTATAAATCATGCGGGTACATACATTGTGCCTAAATAATTACTCCATAGCAGGTCCACATGGACAGGGGATTCAGGGTTTCTCTTTCAGGTATTCCGAGGCATAGATGACTGTTAAGAATGGACAGAATTATGAAAAGCGCTTCTGGTTTCCATACAATAGGGCGTTTATACATCCCATCCGATACAATGCAATCCGCGCCAATTATGTGAAAAATGAACATGGACATCGAATAATATGTTTAGATTTCAAGTCAAGTTTATTTGATGCCAAATAAAGATGAAGTTTGACAGAAAGTATCTATTTACAACTCGGTTTTGCCTTTCAGCAAGGTATCGAGTCTTCCGTTCTCATTCGCAGCTACTAAATCCGAGTTGCCTATAAAGCAAAAAAAAAAAAAAAAAAAAAAAAAACGTTGTTAGGTAACGAACAGGCATTAAAAACGTTTTGTTAAAATAGTTTCAGAGAGGTTTGTGCCTACCTCCAACATGTTGGTTGTTGATAAAGATATTGGGGACGGTCTTTGAGAAAGAGAGGGAAAAAAAGGTACATATCAGAGGTTATTGTCATTATCAATATGTCTCTTCCATCTTCTTGAAAGCAATACATATTGTCATCATCTATCCTTATTCAACATACGCGCTGTCCAGTCTTGAGTTGTAAATAGTCCTGGACTTCAGGCCCATTGCTCTCGAGGTCGATTTCGAAAGTCTTGAAAGCAATATTTTTGGATGCCAAGAGGTTTTTGGCATTCTTACAGTAGCTTTATATGATATATGGGAAGAAGGAAAAAAAAAAATTAGATGGGGTTCCTTACAATCATAGCCGTTGCTCTTATACATTGTATGTTAACAGAGTACAATTAATCTATAACCAAACAGACACCTACGGACAGTAGCTTTTGCCAAAGAACATCACTTTATTCTCGCCTGTCGAAGAAGGAGGAAAAAAAAAAAAGGTTTGTCTACATTCAACATTGCATGAATGACTAGCATGGATGGGGCAAGGACTACTCACGGATGAGTCTCTCGACAAGGGCCTTGACAACTTCGCTCATGTTGAAATGTAGTAAATGATGTGGAAAGGAATTTAAATTTTAAAATAATTCTGTTGTGCGAATTGGACAAATAAAAAGATTAGCGATTAATTATATGACCCATTTACACAAAAAGACACAGGCGGAGTTCCGTGTAACATTTTGGAGGAAGGGATCCTTTTCCATCAGAAAAATGACCAACATGCCAATCCTTGCCCGCACTTTTAGAGCCCATGGACTTCTCGCTTACAGCGCATCACCTCCAAATTTAATATATTCTTTGGCCTAGATTGCAGGCTCAAGATGCTTGATACAGAGAGTATTGGGTTTGTTCAAAGTGGATAGCGAGGAAAGGATGTATTCTATCCGTTTTTGATTTCTATTATTTCACGCGTTTACTTGACGCAGAGAAGAGTCCGCGCACGATTTTGCAACAAATCTGACTTAAAACCAAGCGGAAATCTATTATTCTATTCAATTCAAGAATTATAAATAAAATAGCCACTAATATATATTCTTTGTAACCTCTTGTAAGTGGATTTGTCACAAGCGTGATTTGGATTTAACACTGGAGCGAAGGGACTCTGATGACTCCGTTTCTGCCCTCGTAAATAACAAAGTACTTTATCGGCTCCATTAGCAGCGCCTATTCCCTCATTAAATATCGACTGTTCAGCTCCTTTTTCCCATTCGATCCCATAAATCCTTTCGCACCAGTAGCAATTCCACTTGGAGAGGGTTAAAAAGATGGTGACCGCATTATTTATAATAAAATCGAGCGTGGAGAAAATTGTTAGACAATATATACAAATTCTACCGGAAAAAAAAGTATACGTGTACCTTTATTGTACCCCGCCTGTAGCTGGTTATGTAAAGTTGGTTTTGAATGAGTACAGTATGTGAAGTCCTCCGATTCCATGGTATACACCAGTGGAACAGCGTAGCAACTTAAAATTAGTGGTAACTGTTGTAGTTAAGTTTTCATACATGTGATACTTATTCAACAGAAGAAGGATCGCGCTCAAATTTGACAATTGGCCATTAACATTTATCAGTATAATTATATAACATTGAACATGACCAGCAGAAATTGGGCATATCAAGTAGGTGGATTAGATTAATTTTTGTATTACAAAAAAACAATAAGCTATTTTTTCTTAAATGCATTGCAAAAAAGAGAAGAGGCCTTTTTTTTTTGAGAGGGCGGATAGAAGATAATTATATATAAGTACAAGCTAAATTAAAATGAAAATTAGAGAGGTTTGTAGATTCTAAGATAAGGGTGATTTCTCTGGAGTGGTTCTTTAAGCCTTGATAAGGGCGGCAACAATGACATCAACATTGATATCGGCAAGGAGAGCCTTGACCTCGGCGTGGACATCGATGTCAAGATCAACACCGACAGCAACATTGACAGAAGCTCCGATGGCAGCATAGACAGCGGCAAGGACCTTGGCATCAACATGAGCGACCAAAGCGTTGATGCGGGCCTCAATCAAGGCTCTGACATCAACAGCGATGGCATTGAGGTCAACATCAACAGCGATGGCATTGAGGTCAACATCAACATTGGCACCGACGTGAGCATTGACAATAGCTGCCAATGCAACACGAATATCGGCATTGACATCAAGACCTAAGTAAAGATCGATGGTGGCTTTGACAGCGGCTACATGATCACAAGAGATAGCAAAAAAAAAAAAAAACCGAGGACGATTAGAAACAAATCTTAGAGAATAAACAGCATAAATATAGGGACTGAAGATCGCTCGCGCTTTCAAATTGACAATTGAGCTTACCATCCACCTTGGCGCGGATATCGACAAGGCCAGCAAGGCTGACATCGGCCTTCACCTTGGCATCAACTTGAGCAGCAATAAAAGCATAAAGCTCAGCCTTAACATCGACAGCGAGATCAGCTACCACAGCAACGAGAGCATCGACCTGGGCCTTGACATCGACATCAGCTGTGGCGGTGATATGACGCTTTTTAAGAACTTCGCTGAGCTCAGTAGGAACCACATTGAAAGGGGCACCAACAACTCCGGTATCCGCAGGTGCAACGTCGTTGTTAAGAGGGGGAAGAGCGACAGCCTGGGTCATGGCAACGACGGCAGACAAAGCAAGGATGACAGATGTGATTTTCATGTTGGAAATATAAATGTGTTTTGGGTGAAGCTAATGGCTTAGTGTGTGTAGGGAGGTTTTTATGAGAAAGAAAGTTGTAGATGAGTTTGTTGTAGAAATCTCTCCTAGGGTGGGGAGCCATGTTGGTATTTATACGCTGCTCGTCCTCTTTTTTTTTTGTACATGTATATCTTTTTCATGGCCGTTCAGACAGACTTCAAATGCAGGATATGCAGGATACGTTTATGAGCACCATCATCTAGGTGTATGAACGGTGAGCAGTTGAAAGATCTTTATTTTTTTTTATAGATTTACCACTGGAATAAAGTTAAGGGACGTTAGCACCATTTATTTTGGTAACGCTCATTCTGTCTTTCTGCATCCCTACATGCCTTCCCAATTATCCCAATTATTCATGGCTTTATTAAAAAAAAAAAAAAAAAAAAAAAAAAAAAAGAGACTAGGGGCTGGCATACACACCTGGATGACTCGGCAAGGTGTTTTTAAAGTCGTGTTTCTATATCTTGCGGGTTTTTGCCGTTTTTATTTTTATTTTTACGAAGCTCCTATTTTTAAGGCACGCGTCCATTGGACCAAGAAGGCTCTGTGAACGGATTCGACAGCGCCAGATCATTAGTTTGCGTGACGCGAGAGCTCTGTCCTGAACAACATCCCGTCCTATTGTTTTGCGTTACCCATCTAGACTATTAATCTACACATCATGTTCGGCATGATGCCAATTAACAGTACAACGAATGTTAGACATCATGCTGATCTTCAAAGTAGGGGGCAGCAGCGACAACTTCTCAGTCCACTGGACTTACCATTGATCCTAGAGGAGATTGGGGCCTATCTACCTCGTAAAGATCTTTATGCCTGTTCGCTAGTCTGCCGTGGCTGGTATACCCACTTTGCTCCATCCTTGTGGTGGCTCGGACTCTATGATTGTAATGCTCTTTTCAGGCACTTGCATAACAATCCATAAATATATCCAACCTTAATGACCATCATCGACAGTAGCCAACTCGATATATGCACTCAGTTCCAAACAACTATAGACAGCTTTATCCACAAAATTAACACTTCACGCTCTTCCAAAGAAGTTCATCAACGACAAAGAGCATCCGTCAAGACATGTTCTTTACATACTTTCTTAATCCTTGGGCGCCTTTGCAGCAGCCTGCGTACTATCCATTTTTCCTATTCTTCACTACCCACATCCCTAGTGAATGTCTCAGCGAGGCCATCAAAATATAAAAGCAGATCGACCATCCTACCCATACACGACACATCTGAACTGTCCTGTTGTGAGCAAGAGATATCCAGACAGACTATAGATATCTTGGAGAGGAATCGAGAGTTGCAAGCATTATGGCTGCGAGATGCAATTTTTACTGACTCGTGGGACCGAGACCAGCCTAAAAGCTCTGTGTCATTTCGAGAGCGCAACCTTGAAGACCCTCTGGCCTCTTCTGCAGATTATTCAATTAAGATGCAAATCAATAACAATAACCTGGCTTTACCAGTGTACGGACGAGCAGTAGCATCCATTACAGCAGCAGTTCCAACATCAACCTTGCAAACGCCGCCCCATTGGCCAGGTCTGCATTCCGTGCGACTGCAGTTTTGTTGGATCGACCCAAATTTCTTGAGTATTTTACTTTTGAATTGTCCCAACCTCGAAACCCTCCAGTTGCAGAGTGTTTCAGTTGTACGAAGGCACTCTTCTGAAAGCCAAAAGGAGAGTATCCTCACAATCGACAGCTCCACTTGTGGCTTCACACCGATAGCACAACGTCTATGGGATCTTGAAGTGTAAGGGTCTGGTTATAGCGTTGGTCAGCTCTTATCGTTTGCAAACCAACTCTATCAACTAAACCGACTCTGCATTACAGGACCTTGGAAAATGACACGAGTTATGAATTTTCAGCATGCTTCTCGTTGTGGGAGATTAGTTTCAAAAATATAAAAGGCATGGATTGTGTTATTCAAAGTAATAATGCTGCGAATATTTTACGACATGCAGGTGAAATAGAAGCTATTCACTTGGAATCGTTCACTATCCACATGCCTCTATTTGAGGCCATTCAACAGCACAAAACATCCTTGACGTCAATTATCCTTCGAGACTGCCATGCAGTTCCAGGCTTAGAAAGAGATATTCTACACCATTTTCTACACGCTTGTTCAGCGCTCGAGAGGCTCACATCTACCGTGAGCATGGCTGGAAGCCAACAGAATATTTTTATGAACTGCGATCCCGCCATGTTCGAGCAGTGGCCTTGGACTTGCTTCAACACAATCAAAGTTCTTGATATCACCCCAGATTGTGAGCCACACCATCCGGGTTACAAGTCCCAGGAGGCCCACTCTTTAACCAGTTGTCAAAATTAAAACAGCTGACATCTTTACATTTTGGCCGTAGTCTCCGATTACGGTCATTTTTTGTAGAAGATGGTCTAAACGTCCTGGCTAGGTCGCTATCGAGCCTGACTGTGCTAGACCTGAGAGGTCCATCGCCATCATATAGTGGAGCAATGTTAACAGAGGAGCACGCGGAGCGGTTTATGGATGGGTTTCCCAAGCTTAAAGAAATCTGGGGGTTGAGACGGGATGAGAATGAAGCCTTTTTTAAAATAGTGAAGCAGCATCGACGAAGCCTTGCTGTCTTTGATGCATCAAAATTCTAGGCTCAATCTATGCCCTTGTGTCCTTGAAGGGGCCTTTGGAGGCTAAAGGATAAAGAAAAATAAATAAAAAATGGAAGTTGATGTTTAAGGAGAACAGGCTATGAATAGGGTTTAAAGCGAAGGCAGAATATAGTGAATGATAATCCGCGTAGGGTGAAGACAGCATGTAAGCAAGCCAAAGTCCAGGCTAGGCTGAGAATAGCGGTACATATAATAAAGCAAATGGCCTTAGGTGGTTTTGGTTCAGTGGTTTGTTTTGCTTCACTTACAACTTTGCCAAGAGTGGTGAACGAAAGACCGATCGAGTATGATTTTGATGATAAGACTTTTGGCCTCAGCGTGAACGTCAGTGCCATGAGAGTGGTGAAAGGAGTCTTAGTGCCAACGGGGGTTGGAGTGTCAGTATATATACATATATACCTTGGCATCAATATGAGTGGCCAATACACTGACGCATGCCTTCTGGATTTTACGGCTATAAAAGTATCTTTAAGAAAAAGACAGCAAAGCACTCACTGGCTATTAAGAAAGGGGCTCGTTGGACATGGCAGACGAGGTAGGCGTCATTGCGTCAAATGATGAACTAAGGGGAGTATCTGGAGTATATGAGGTGCGTCGTGCGAGAAAGGAATGCAAGTAGAGCAGTAAAATTACAACGCACATCGGTGATAATATGTTAAAGCTTGCACAACGTTGCTTGCCTCATGATCAAGGAGCATTCTGCTTACAAAATCAAAAAAGTAATTTCAATCTATCCTTTTTTAATTGATAATAGATTTGAGTGGTGTTTATTAGAGTTTGTCATCTTCATGCTCGTGTGGTAATATAGGCCTTACTTGGCGTCACAGGTATTCCGAGGTCATCAAATGTTTCCAACATGTCATCAAAACCATCATCTATGGTGGCCGCGTCATCATTGTTGTCTCTACATGTACCGGCACAGCTGCTTTTCTCGGTATACACATTATCACCATCTTTATCAGCATCACCACCGTCGTTCGAGCTCGCTTCAGGATCATATATTAGCGGGCCAGTGGTTCCGAAGAAAGCCCCTCCTTCCAAAGCTTTCCCTATCGCAACTTCAATCCCCTCCTTTGCTGTTACTACTTTTAGTCTGGGAGGGGATAGCTCCCGCTCTTGTCCCCATGTTCGTCTACGGCGCTGACGTTGGGACTGTGCTTGGCTATAATGCTGTCTTAGTTTGTCACTGCCAGTGATCCCGGACCCATCCTTATATATATTTATCAAGCTTTGATCTCCCATTTCACTGCCGCTGTTGCCGTAGTTTTCTTCTTCGTCTCCTCCTTGACCATTATGGGCTTCACTGTCCTCATCAAATGCCCCTTCTTCCTGGCTACTGCTATACGTAGAAACCCCATCCACTACCCATCCTGATTCCCTAGCCACTCTCTGCTCCAGCCTAAGTTTCGTCCATCGACGCCATCCCAGAAATGCTTCACGGACCATATTCTTTCTTCGTTTCTTCAAATGCTGAACCAAAAGATAGTATTGGTGCATTTCCTGGCCTCGCAGTAGCGCTAGCGCCGGCGGTATTGTCTCCATGGTTGTCATAATCACTGCCGTGGATTGCTGTTCTTTCTGCTTCTGGTGATGTTGCAAACCCTGATGATGTAGATGCTGTTGGTGGTGCTGATATGACTGCAAACGTTGAGGGAGTTGGCTTGGTATAGAGGAAAGGCCCGGGAACGTCAGCTGCTGGAGCTGGGCAGAATCAAACTGGCTAGAATACCATGGGTCTCGCAACAGTACAATTTCACGATAGATTGACCACATTGACAAAGGCTGTGATAACAACTTTGATCTGCATTCCTTGTTGAATGCTGAATTCATCAAAACTGTTCGTGGGTCTGGGAACCATGTCGGGGTCAAATTAAGATAATACTCTGACCAGAGAGAAGTAAACCTCCCTCCTGTCTGGATTTTCAGCACCTGGTCCCGCCAACTCTGCTCATGGCCATAAATAGTCTGGCCTTCAGCCCGCTCTCTCTGTGATTGCCTTGTATAATCATAATAATCATTGTTTGTAAACCACCCTCGATTCTCGTTGATCCATCCCCAAATGGATGGTGTACGCTGCCTTAACCGATCTTGTGCACGTTCACGCTCATTATTATACATGAAATCTCCAAAGGGCGAAGCGCCACCAGCGGCACGGGCAAGTATCACAAGCAAATAATCATTGTACTCGAACCGATTAGGATGCTGTTGCACAATATGATGTAAGCATGTCATGAAGAGTAGGAATACTGGCGACGGGGCAAGCGGGATTGTCAGATTCTGGGCATGTGCAGAGGCCTGCTTAGGATGATACATGTCTGACCAAAGCGCATGTGAAGGTGTAGATATTGGTGGTGGTGATGATGATGAGGGCGGATGCATCCATGAGCTTGATATTGATTCTTTAGCGCCGTTGGGGCTTGAATGAATGATACCAGGAGTTGTTGTAGTTATTGTCGTTGGTTGCCACCATGGCTCATCTTCCGGAATTGGTTTTTTAGTACTAGGTACAGCATCCGTCCTTGACTGGAATGGGTGTCCACAAGAAAGCCATTCTTTCTCGATCAGGACACGAAGACCATTGATAGTCCTATAGTAAGGATCGAGTAAAATCTGTGCGAGTGATACTAACTGAGTAGTTCTATCCCATCCATCAGTGCAATGCTACAGAATCAATAAAAAGTCAAGAGATTAGACATCCAATAGCAGAATATTGTATCTCAAGAGGCCAGAAAAAAAAAAGACGTTACCACGAGGACTGAACTGCCGCCTTCAAGCATCCTGCCTACGATCCCATCGCGACCCGATGCAGCCTTGAGAAGGTCAGCGACATGGTTGAGCCAACCTGTTGATTCAATCTGGGTATACCAGTTCATTGAGTCTAAGGGTGTTGAGACTGCCTTAAGAAGCGCCTGATGGGCCGAAGCTATGACATGAATGTTGCCTAACGACATATATGATATCGTAGCATTAGGGTAATGCTCTATAATTAATGGAGAAATTGAAGAAGTAGTGCGTTAGTGACAAAAATGGAATTAGGCGATATTAATCACTAGGCACTTTTTTTGAGTTACTGACCTGGATTTTCACGACCACCTCCGACATATCCGTTGGCTACAGCGGATGCATAAGCGCGGGCGTCCATAATGCACAGCTTGGGAGTAGGCTTAGGGGAGGCTTTAGTACGACATTGTTCCCTGGCTGCCGTGTTTAACACCATTCTGACATAGAGCTCATCTTCCGGCCCTCTAGATAAAAAAAAAAAAAAAAATGTCAACGAATCAACCATAGAGAACAACAGTAGAGTGATCGATTTGTTGTCGCAACCATTTGCATAGTCTAAGGCTGCCTAGAAATGTTAACATGCCCGTTCTCCAACCATCTTTTTTCTTTTTTATTATTCTTTTCTTGCTTGTCTTTGCTTGCTTTCTTGCCAGCTCTTTTGATGGTACTTCACACTACCTCAGCAATAATTATAAAATTCAGAGTTTTTTTTTTTTTTTTTTTTTTTTTTTTAAGTGCACGCTTTAAAACCCCTTATTTATTACAATAACACATACCTTGCTCCAAGGAAACCCACCATTGGTTGTGAGCTCCGCATTAGGACAAGTCCTGTATCCGGTGATCTCCAACATACGATTGGAAAACGTTTATTGGATCGAAAAGCACACAATTGCTTTATACATGCGGTGGGTGATTTAGTAATAATAATCTTCTGGTTCAGGCTTTGTTGACGTGAATGGGCGGTTGACGAGTCTGTAGTTGTGTGCTGTAGCCCACTACCTCTAGATGTAGACGAATACCGCTGTTGATATCCTCCTACTTTGCTTTCATCTCCATAGTCCAGGAAACTACGCGGCATAATGAATTGTTGCGGATAAGTTGGTGATAACTCGAAATCACCATTCAAATGTGCAATAGCCCTGGTTTAGAAGGAGGCATAAAGGAAAAAAAAATTAAAAGGTGAGATATCTGTTGTGCTTTTTTACTTCTTTGGATTAAAAAAAAAAAAAAAAAAAAAAAAAAAAAATCTCACCACAGCGATTCATCAAATTTAAGACGCCGATACTCAGAGGCGAGATCGAATCCCCCCTCCCATCCCAATTTCTCTTCCATATCTATATGGTCTTTCGACCGAGTGCCCTTGAGGCATTTCCGCTTCTGGCTCCTCGAAGAAAAGGGCAGCGCAATGATATCTTCAGCAGTCCATAAACGAGCCTTCTTTGCCACTGTCGTATCTGGGCCTTCTCCATAGACTCGATTTTCGCTCTGCAAAGGGCTTTGGTTATAACCCTGACTCTTCTCTAATTCCTTTTCTAATCCTTTTTCGAGTTCTGCAGTCATTGAGCGGCCCATCTGGAATGGAAACCGTAGCTGAACCTCTTCAATGAACGCTAGTCGTCGTAAAGTCGACGCCAGCTCAGCAATAAGGCTACTATTGCTACTATTAGGACTGTTAATACTAAATGGGGCTCTATCATCATGGGTATCGGGATGGTGTGAAATGATGTACTGTGCGGAGTCGAACTTGAGCGTCAAAACGATCTTACTATTATGGTCCTGTGGAGTGATTGTTGCAATGGTGGAAAGGGCAATCTGATGTTGAACTATGTACTGATGGCGATTGTGTTTCGCGTCCTGTTTCTGTTGCTTCTGCTGTAGTCGATACTGTGATTGTAACTGTAATGAACAAATGCGAAAGTTGGTGATAACCACGCGAGTCATGCTTGTTAATGATGACTGTCTTTTGGATACAGATTTAGATGTTGACGAAAGTTCAGAGTATGGGTGCGTATGGTTTCGGTTGTAATGATGGCTGTGGCTATGCGGCAGACTACAGGTGGTAGCATTATTATTATCGTTATCATTGTCATTATTACTGGATCTACTTTTATCTTGGTGACTCCGTTGGAATGGCGGCGTTGATGGTAATTGCTGGCTCTGAATAGTCTTTGTCATCGGTTTGCTTGGATGATTATTATCCTGAAACGTGTGTGAATATCGGTTATGGAAATGACTTCCAGCTACAGAAAATAAGGAAGCCAATGGACCATTGACGATTTGGTCCTTTGTGGTCTTGGCACTGCGCCCAAGGCCGCGGGCGTAGGGAGCTAATATCTCAGCTTTGGATCTTGTGGAGGTTGAGGTTGAAGTTGAGGCTGAAGTAGGGGTGGACCATGCCCCTGATATTGAAGCAGCAGAAGTTATCGAGTGGTCATCATCACAAGTACTGATATAAGTTGTGTCCGCCCAAGTCTCACTGAAGTTGTTGTTGTCTACTGCTGAGATAATGTCAAGCGCGGCTCCATCAAAACAGGCCTGTGTTGTTTCCCCTGGTAAGAGCAGCCACATGTAGTCTTGGCATTCTTCTGGCTGCATGCGAGACAAAGTCATGGTTGAATAAAATCCGGCTGGATGAATACGGTCAAATAGTTTTTTTTTTTTTTTTTTTCTTCTTGTAAATGAAATGAGTTCCACAAGGAAAGGTTTCTATAATAAAAAATAGAGAAGCATGTATTTTTTTTTTTTTTTTTTTTTTGCATGAATGCATGAAAGCTTGAATAATGAACCAAGCCCACGACTATTTTTTCTGTTGGTCGCGGTTTGACCACGTGCCCATTGGTCCATGCGCATGGTTCCCCCTCTTACAGACAAATGTCCGCAAGTCAATTCCATGGAGCATGACATTTATCATCTATCAACAGATAACTTTTTTTTCTAGGGAGAATGGACTTTTTTTTTCATGCAAGACAAACAGAAATGTTGTTTTATTATTATTGGATTATTGTGGAAGCTATGATGTTGTTGACGGTTGACTAGTCAAAAAAGAACTTTTTTTCGTCAGTTCAGGAGAAAGGAGCATCCAGTGTAAACCAGAGCTTGTAGGCCATGGGCGGAAGCACTATGTTATTTTCCAAAATATCATATTTGAGAGGCAATTTCCATGGACGCTTGACAATGGTCAATGAAAATTCTTCATGTTCAAGCTGGAGCTGCGCTGTTGGTTCTGAGGGTGAGGGTGGAGAAACGATCGTAGCCCAAATAATATCCTAAAATGTAAAATGTAAAATGTAAAATGTAAAATGAAAATGCAAAATGTATTTTATTCTCACGATGGCAAACTCCGGAATCATGATGATTCCCTTGCTTACCTGAACGAGTTTCTTTGCCTCTTCACTTAATACAGGCATGGTACCTTTGTTATTATCATCGTCTCGGTTTTCAACTTCGTTTTTCTTTTTTCTGTCACTCTTGTTTCCACTATGTCAAGACGTTGGTATTGCTTGTCAATCAAAATATAATTGCCATGCATGAAAAATAAATGATGTCCCTTTTTTTTTTTTACCCAACAAAGGTTGCTACTTGAGTAACATGTGAGCCTACACGGACTAACTGAGTGTCAGGAAACACAAATGTTTTCCGATGATCAGATGGCATGGGGATTGACAAAGCGCAGCATTGAAATGAAAGTAATGTAAGTAAGCTTTCAACAAAAGCTTAAATATAAATTAAATTCGAATATATACCATGGTAATCACGCGCTTGATATCTCCTAGCCAAAGATATAAACTTATTTTTCTTTTATTATTGATCTGACACTTTGATAATCATTTGTAAAGGATCAAGACGATGACCGTGCATGATTGAACTTTGGCAATGTCTGCATCAAATATTCGAGATGTCTGGTATGGATAGTTATATTACTCTAAATAGGTTCAACAGTTTTTTTTTTTTTTTTTTTTTTTTTTAGATATTAACGAAATCATCAGTATCTTAGTTTTGTGACAAGAAAATAATTGCAATACATGATCTTTCTCCTTTCTTTACTTTATTTACCGCACGATTCCCTGCGTAAGTCCGGCGTTCATTATTGGTACCATAAATCACGGTTCTGTCTTCAAGAACTTCCCCTTCGTTTGTTGAACATACAGCCCCAATCACACAATCGTCGCCTAGCCATGTTCCGCTCTTTACGTGTGCTAACAAAACAAAAAAACAAAAGTTTAAACTTTGTAAACTTTTTTTTTTTTTTTTTTTTTAGGGCGGTTGGAATAAAAAAAAAAAAAAAGGCAATGAGCTCACTTCATACATCGAACTTCTAATGTGTTGCGGTTACCAATCTTTGCACCTTCCATCACTAAAATATCAGTAATAATAATAAAAGAGAAAAGCACTTCAGTATTTTGGTCCGATATAAATGACTAAGATTTAATTGGTTAATGAGTTCGTATGAGACTTGGATTTACCGCTTCCAACTTCAAAGACATTATTGTCGCCAATAATCAGAGCATCTGGTCCCCTAGTGTTTGATGCATATGATGTGGAAAGAGAAAAAAAAGCATTTCCTTTTTAAGCTTCATTTGTCTTTCCGTTTCTATGTTTCTAACATGCCTTTTCTGTCTTTCTCTCTTTTTTTTTCCTTTCTTCTTTCGGTTACCTATTGATAATGACGGCATTTTCCTCAACAATGTTTCCGCTACCGAAAATAATTGATCCGCCGGTTGCCCATACTTTACATTGAGGATGAAGCACCGTTCCTGGGAGAAAGATAGGAAAGGAGACGTAAAAAAAAACAAATATCCAATTGAAAATGATGTTGCCGTCTCATATCGTTTCTATTTTTTCTAAATTGCGGGTTCTTCTTTACCAGCACCTAAAAAAAATAAAACAAAAAAAAAAAAAAAACACAAAAGGAGCAAATAGCTTTAGAATCAATTGTTTTATCTGATTTGACTATATGTTTTGTTTGATTGGAAAACACTCCTCTTACCAACTGTAATGTTTCCGCGCAAGTCGTTGTCCTGACATACAAGCGCCTTGTTGCTGATAGTGAGTCGCGGTCTACAAGTAATTTTCAAAATATAAAAAAAAAAAATTAGTTTCCAGCAAAAAAAAAGATAAAAAGGCTGCTCAAACATACAATTCATTAACTTCACCTGGTCATCATCTTGGAATATGTTCTTGTGTCCTATTATTTTTACTCTGACTTGAAATTGTAACCGGCCAAAAATGTGAACAAAGAAAAAGAGAATGAAAGTTTAAGTAATGAGCAACTATTACTTTGTCACAAAGGCTCATGCTTAATTGATTGATGAATGTACCATTAAGGGTACACAGCGAATGTTGCCACCAATTTTAAAAAAAATATACACACATCGGTTAAGACAAGTTCATGCTGATCTCTCCACAATTCATTTAAAAAAACCTCTTCATGCCAGGCATTCCTTTCTGGAAACACCCAGACCATAGAATCCCCACTTTGGGGCTCTACCGTCAAATCCTCAAGGCCGTATCTGCATTACCTCCACGATACACCTCTCAGCCAGGTCCTCGACGTTCACCCATAGCTGCAAAAGGTCAAGGACCTCCTGGATCTGAGAAACCCTTACGTTCCGAAAAATTTGAAAAAAGTTATATTTTTAGTTTAATCAGAGATCACTTTCGAAGTAACCGTCATTGTACAAGCCCTCGGATCACGATTGGATATCTGAAAGAAGCAGAAGAAGTCTTGGAGAAAATACAAAGAGCAAAGCAAGGAGATAAGGATGTTAGACAGGAACTTGAGGATTTGGTTAATGGGCGGACCGGACGGCTTAAAGATGTCATTGATCATGTAGGGGGCTTGCTTTACTATTATTATCTCTAAGAAGCAAAGGAAAAGAATTACTGGGAGTTTACATTTTTTTTATTTTTACTTTGTTAGCTAAGAGAGCTGATAACATTCGAACCCGGAAAAACAACACAAGTATCTCGTTACTTTCGTCTGAAACGTGCTCATGATCAAGTCTGGGATACGAGGCCACAGCCATCCATCACTCGGGACCCCCATCGGTTCTATAGGATACCACTCCATCCTTCACTATTCACGTTTCCTGAAGAATTAGATTATTATCCACCATTTAAATACCCTAATCAGCTCAAGAATCAACGTGGAAAATTCAAAAATTCTGGAGGTGTATTTTTGACAGAGGTCACGACCTCGGAGGGATCAAAATTCCCAAGAATCCGAGGTGGAACTCAACCGACATGGATTAGTATGATGTTGAAAGCTCGAGTCGAACGGTCCAATACCAGAGTTGATGAATGGAAAGAATTGGAAGAATGGAGTCGGATGATGCAAGTAGAAGAGCAATTTATGAGGAAACTAGGAGTGGATGATGTAGGATATGGTATGTCTGTTCCAACTTTTGTTGTTGTTGTTGTTGTTGTTCATGCGTCGCCACTATTGCCCTCAAAGTTGTCACTGTTTGTTCGAGTTCTTCCTTAACGCTGACGGCTCTTTTGTATTTGATAGTTGAGTATCTCAATACAAGGCTTCAAGAACTCAAAAAACTTCATCAACTACGTAGATACGACACCAACGTCAGAAATGAATCTGACAAATCTTTAGATGACACATAGAACTAAGTAAGCGAGAAAAAAAATACTGATCAACAGTTTTTTTATTTATTTTATGGCTGGCCATGGTGATATGGTTACAGGCTGTTTAAAAAGGCACAGCAGCATTTTCAAAGGAGGGACAAATGAGGAGTGATAAATGAGATATTTGTACAAAAGTAAGCATAATAGAAACGAAAATGATGAATTAAAATGAAACAAAATAAAGATTAAAAAATGGCAAATGGCAGAGAGTAAGGGCTTGGTTTTCAACTTCTGAATGGAGTCTTTACAGAGAAGTCAGAGGAACGCCGTTCTCGTCAACAATTCCTTCTACAAAAGCTGGGTGAAGTTGTTTCGAGACATATGTCCTATAGAAAGTCATCAATTTAATGAATAAATAATCAAAACAGAACAAAGTCGTCAGCCTTCATACATTTGAATAAAAATACACATAAAATGTCCCTTAATCAGATTGAGAATGAAAGAATAAGAACACTTACGAGAAAGTGCTCTTTGGTGTCCCCATGAAGTAGCGTCCTTTGGCTGAAACAACAGCATCCACCATGGGAATCAAATCTTTACTCAACCCAACGCCATCCGTGTTCTTCATCTCCTTGAGCTCCACTAAAAGATCCGAAAAGTCATCCAGAGTGAAGATACAAGGGAAGTGATCAAACAGCTTGCGAAACAAAATGTTACGCCTTGGGTAGATTCCATCTGTGGCAATATAAATAATGGTATACCGTCCACCTTTGGACTTGAGTGCTCGACAGGCCATAACGTCCAATCTCTCTGGTGAAGCTCTTCCTGTCCTGACAGGTTGCGCTCCATTATTGACATCGGGAATGTTTGTATTTGGTGTCACAGTTGTATACTCTGGCAGGGGTGTGATGCCTGTGATGTTGACCAAGTTTTGGAACATGTTCTCAATATTCGCTGGCGCAGGTAACACAAACATGCCATCGCCTACTCTCAAATGCAGGCCAACAAAGGTGCCTAGACCTCCCAGTTTCTCCGCGATTGCATCTGAAGTTTTTGTCAAGATAGGTGTGGACAAGATCATGGTCCGTCTTAAAAACTGTTGATATTCCTTGTTTTCTGGCAATTCTGCCAATACCCTGCCAGTTGCAAAAAGGGAGCCCATATGAAGAACACGCTCCTTACGGTCCTGCAACTCCTTCAGGTCCAGTCGACGCAAATAGCGATTTGTGTTCAAAGGGGTATTGCTGTTTGGATCATCATAGATTTGGTAGTCGTAGTGAGCACGGTCCTCAATAATGTAGATATCCTTGGTCCGATCAATACCTAGATGAGTTTCCATCCAAGCAAACGAATGATCACTTCTGTACTTCCAAGGTTGATGCTTGCCGATTTTAGCCATATCATAAAAGAAATCCCATTCAACTGTTGTCCAAGAGTAGTAATTGAGACATTCTCCTGGCAGAGGATCACCCTTGGGGATCAGACCACAGTGTTCAAGGCCTCGTTTGGTCTGGAGCATGATGCGACGGTGAAGAATATCAAACGTTCTCCACTCGGTTGCGGGTCCCAAGTACACAGGAGGGACAAGGAGTGTACGGTTGAGATATTTAGCTAGAAGGAGAGCATTTTCGAGTGTGATGCGCTGATTGTGGAACCCACTGTGGGGTAGGTAAGCGAGGAATCGTTCTGTGGGATCAAAAGTCGGGCGTGGAACTAGACCTTTGGCCTGTTCACGAGTAGCTCGGTGATTGTTGTTATCATTGTTCTTGTTAACGATGACAACAGGACTGAGACTGCTGACATAGAGGTAAGAGAGGAAGAGGATGATGTTAAGAACAATGACGAAGGAGAGGATGTGTTTCTTTGACTGCATCAACATTGTTTATGTCAAAGTCAAAGTCAAAGTCAAAAAAAAAAAAAAAAAAAAAAAAAAAAAATCTAGCCAGGAACAGGGTAGAGAAGCAAAGAGAGAGTTCCTAAGCGAAGGAACAAAAGGAAAAAGATCTGTAAGGAATGAAATGGATGGGGTTAATGACATGAGACAATGAGACAGAGAGAGAAAGAGAAAAGAGAGAGAGAGAGAGACAAGAAAGAAAGAGGTGAATGAAAGAAAACAAGTCAGAATGACCGTTGTCGTTGTTGTTATACTCTAGTTGAACAGGGGTTCAGCACATGCTTCATTTGCTACTTTACGCCCAACAAGACAAATGTTTACTTTGTGTTTGTCTTTGGGCTCATAAAGATTTTGTCTTTGTCCTCTTTGTCCTTTTTACTGTGCTTCAATCTCTTTTTCTTTTTTTTTGTATCCTCTCTTCTTCCTCTTCTTTCTTCTCTTTCTCTCTCTTCTCTCATTCTCTCTCACGCTCTTTTATTCTTTGTCAGGAACATAAAAATGAAAAAGAAAAGCGCGATGGATTAACTAAAAATAGTTTCTTGTAAACGCCCACTTTGGTTTGTTCCAATCTCGCGTGCCACAAATGCAAACAAATCCTCACTTGAAGACCCTCCTCCATGCGAATAAAAAAAAAGATTCTAAGCATTTTAAGCAAAGGGATCGTTTGGGTATGTTTGAACAATGCTTATTTTTGATTTTAGTCTTTTTATATGATGAAGAACGTGGAGCAGATAGAAAAAAGGCAATCTATTTTAGAAGAACCACATCCAATCACCGCCTTGTCTCTGCTTGCATCGCCTTTACTAAAAGCAAATGGACTACTAGTTCGCACGAACTGCTTCTGCGAAGCAAACCCTGACAAATATATATAGTGATATCTGGAGGAAATAAAAAAAAAAACTATTCAAATGGGTGGTTTTGTTAAGGCTCTCATGGGTGGCCATGTAATGTTTTGATCATTTTTGAAGAAAAAAAAAAAAAAAAAAAAAAAAAGTTATACATGCAGATGCGCCGATAGAACGCAATCATGGGTATGGTTGGGCTGTGGCGTTGTGCTCCATCATTAACCCCAGATGCAACAGGGAATGCAGCGGCATTACACTTTCTGAGAAAAGCACAAGATGTCAGGAATATAAGAAGCAACGCTTCTTAGTCCATTCCCATCTCTTAAAGACAATTACTTCAGGAACAGGAAGCGACATTCACTTTTCTCAAGGCCCTATAATATATACCGTGGTGTTTAATAAATATGGAGAGCCAAGCAAGTCCTTTTCGAAATGATATTTACATGTATGTCCCCTACATTAGAAAGTAATAAAGCCCTTGATATTTTGCAAACCCTCTGCAGGGTCTCTTTGCCAATGTTACTGTTCATGTCCTTGTTATGGTCACTGACAAACGCGCATCAATAAGATAGGCTATGCTACTTTTGGAAAGTAGTGTGACCATGAACATTTTTAGGCATCTTGTTCCTAAGATTTGAAGGGTACATCTTTACATCTTACAAACTTACACTTTCATGTGATCGAATTTTGAATCTAACAAGACAACACCATGGCTCATCTCTTAAGACGGCACAAGCAACATCGTCTTTACCGTGGACATCGTGCAAGGTCACTCAACATCACTGAGGAAGAACTTGTTGAAGTCCGAGGTACATGAAGTCCTTTTTTTTTTTTTTTTTTTTTTTTAGCTTAATATTCCGTTTTAACGCACCATACTCTGACATAGCCCTATACAGGAGTAGAAACAGAAACAAAAACTTGCCTTTCTAACAGTAAAGATAAACGCTCTTTCTTTTTATTTTATTTATAAGCTCGAGAAAGGACATTTGATGGAGCATATTGGAGAACAGCCATAAAAGCCTTCTCAGCAGGGATGATCATCCTTCGACTGTTCACAAAAGCATTTTACAAGATTGGCATCATCTTCGTAGTATTTGGGATGGCAATTCTTGTTATATCTGTTTTGCGACGCGGAGCAGCGGGTGATGTCTTTGATCAACGAAAACCCTTTGAGACTTCAGGTTTTTGGGTCATGGTCACTACTCTCATCACCACCGTAACCTATGTCGTCCTTTTCTCGCTCATCATGAGGCTTGACGAGATCCCAAAGCAGGGATCGAACAATTGAGCATAATTATTTTTAGAGAAATGAATAGAAAGTCACTGCTTGATAACTCGATGAATGGTATCTTTTTTTTTTTTTTTTCTTTTTTTTTGTGAAGTGAATATAGCATGAAGGCAGAAAAAAAAATCTTTATCTCTCATGGAAAGAAGCATCATGTTCTAGGGCAGGAAGAGAAGACAGATTGTTCAGGTGCGCGCTGTAGAATTTGAAAGCAGAGCATTTTAACGCATAGCCCTAACCTAGTTTATGAAAAGTCTTTATTTTATTTGCTTGAAGAATTACAACAGTCTGAAGTTGAAATAAATAATTGTTAAAATTTGTTATTATCACTTGAGCTGACAATATGCCATTTTTAGGAGCACTGATCAAGAAAACATTTCTTTAAAGCCTTTGTGCTGCTCTGCAGAAAGAAGTCCTCATTGTCATATCATCTTCCATAAAAAATCAGAAGCTCCTCCAGAAGCGTATTGCTCTCTCTTTCTTTTCTTTTCTTTTTTTTTTTTTTTTTTTTTAAACAGATAAGATTGATTTTGCAATTCATCGTCAATATCATGGAAGCAATAAATGTCTCTCATTCTTAACTCCATCGAGAAGATAATGCCACAGTAGTTAATACCACAGAGTATTATTCATTGGTGTATCTTTCGAACCGAATCAGACAAAGTTTATCTGGAGAGAAGATCTGATGCTCTTGCTTAAAAAAGCTATGTACATTTGATTAGGTCTTGTCATAGTGAGAAAAGCCTCTTGACGATGTGAACAAACTCCATCATTGCTTCTATCCATTCATGTAAATGCCATAAATATAAAAAAATATATATTTCCATAGAAGACGATGGAGTCCAACAGTATTGTGCAAGGCAAGAGTCCGAGGTTAATTTCAACTGCAAACAATAGGATGTAATGATCCCTCCTCCATTACCACTCAGTACAATCCCGTATCTTAATACTTCTACCGGCTGCATACAGAAAAACATATATCCGAGTTGTAACCTGAGCTGAAAAACTAAAGTCCACATACTATATATTCAGCCGTTAAAAAAAAAAAAAAAAAAAAAAAAAAAAAAAATCAAGGCACGGGCCATGTGTTCCTGCAAGACCAAGAATGGTTCCTCCGTGTGTATCGCCTATAATGGCGCAGCCCTGTGGGAAAAAAATAAAAATAAAATAATGCAATATCATTCACTTTCTACATCTCAAGATTTCCTAATTGGTTGAGTGATGGGCTGTAGTTGTATGTAATTGAACATTTATACATTCATGTTGTAATTGCACTTACTCCACTTTGTAGCCTTTGTAGCCTTACCAAAACAAATAAGCAAGCAAACTCTATTAGAATTAGACAGCAAGAGAGCACAGACCAGCCTGGCAAAGACGTGCAGATAAAATTTAAATAACTGGATCGCCTTGGTTGCCAAGAGAGAAATAAAAGCAGACAGGATTATAGCCATATGGATGCTTATTCGATATCTCACAGCATGAAGAGAAACTAAGTGCATTTTCACTCAATAGCATTAGAAGGAAAGGGGACAGCATTTCCTTGAAAAAAAAAGATGAAAAAACCTCCAAATTGCGAAGCGCTTTTCGTATGAGAAAAGGTCCCATAACCAATCGACCATGTCAAAGGTTGGTGACAAATGAAAAGAAAGCAAGTCATTAGGTCCTGACAATGTATAAAAAGACCTCTCTTTCCTCTCTCTTTTTGAATCTCCAACGGCCTCTAAAGCGGTGTGTTAGCACGCTCAAGAGTGCTAGCCTCTGTCCAACGAGTTCCATCGTCGGCCTGCAGAACGCTGCAAGCTGAGGATGGCGCGGGTTGGGCTCGAAGATGGCGCGTGTTGATAGACCGCCCTAGAGCTTCTGGTCCTGAGGGCGCGCAACCAGACCATCTCCTCATGGTGCGCCCTGGGCTGTCTGCTTCGCGCCAGACAGGCGAAGAGCCTGGTGCTTTTTTATTGTTTATTTATTCACATTATTTTTTATCCTATTCACAACTGCTCATCAACACTCTACTATTCATTCATTGTGGGGATCAAAGTAAGCTTTCTAGGCTACCATGGTTATATCTTTCATAATGAGAAAGACACAGCTTTTATTATTCTTCCTCTTGATCTCGAGGCTTTGTCGCAAGGCCAGCATGCTGTGGTTGCCTAGAGATCTCCTTTTTCTGCACACTCTCTCAGAGCTGCAGAGCTCTGCACCAAGGCCGTTCTTGTCTTGTCTTGCCTTGTCTTGGCAAGTACGCTATCAAATTGAGACATGTGTATTCAAAGCACCAAAGCACCAAAGCATCAAGGCAACAGCCTCCTGTAGAAGGAGCTTCTCAATTTCGATCATTCCATCGTAATATTGCAACAGCACAACATGCAACATTGCAACCTCATTCGTTGAACATGCCTGAATCAGTCGAGAACGCAAGCAGCTTTCTCGGTAATGAAATACGTGCATCTCTGTATGTTACATCTTGTGATCTGGAACAAAGTATTAGTACTCATTCCAAATAGGATTCATTATCATGTCTGCAGCAACACGTTTGCCAATGAGGGCTGTATCAGTAGCTACGACACGACGACATAGGGGAAACATACGCCTTTGGAGACCAATATGTGCGGCTACATGTTACAACTCCAATCACTCTTCAGAGAGTCGGCACATTGCCATCTGCTGTGACAAAGTTATAGTTTTTGAATTGGAGGCAATATTAGGCACAATGATTCAGAGCTTGAAGCATGGAGACATTGTTAACAATATCGCTTACTTGCCAAGCCGTATTCATTTTCATCTCAGCTAGTGAAGATAGGCTAGTGCAATGTATGAGGTGCTAGATCTGGTCAGAAGAAGAGGGTCTCGAAACGTAGGTCCTCTGGCAACAGTACTCAATATACTTGTGTAAGCTTTGCAGCTCCATCCTCGCATCTAACAGTCACCAAGTTGCATCATTCAGCAGAGACGGGGCACAACTACCAGAGTCTAGCTCTGATCCATATAGTCACACAAAACTATTTATCCACATCAGGTACTCATTGAATAGGCAGTTAGAGCTCCATAGAGCTTGGGCGGTACAATGCGTGTCTGGGGTAGTTGGACAAGACAATGCACTCATCTTTTGCAAGCCTGCGGACAACACTCATTTGATAGTCCGCAACCTATCTTTTGTATCCCAGCATCTACCTTAGGATACTCAACCAGGCAATCTCAAATGTACTCTGAAAGGAAACGTTAGTAATGTGCATGGTGCTATTCTCACCCGGCAGCTACATTAACAAAAGAGTATAACGATAAGATGTAACTAATCAGCGGAATTTTCTTCGTTCAAGGAGCCACGACTTTCTTCATTCTTCTCTCATGGTTTGAATGCACCTCTTGAGAATGTTCAGAACTTTGTCAGCCTAAATGTAGCCACAAACATATCTGGTGTAGATAATTCGGTTTGCGCGCGGCACCAAGTACCTCATGCGCCTTTTTTTTTGCCCTTATCTCAATCAAGGAATCCATACGACCTTCTATAACTACTTATAGTCATAACAAAGAATACCATTTGATTCTAGTCCAGTGGATACTTGGCTATTGCACAAGCCATCAATACTGTTATTCTTCTTGATTCTAGGGCAGAGATATGCATTCTTTCCGTCGATTCCATAAGCTATATACCTTTATCTAAGTCGTGGTTTTAGTTCTCTTAGACTTTGTCATAGGTATACTCCATCTTTGGCAGCAGAATATTTTCCCTGCCCTTTCTTCAGGCTCTCTGCACTGGTATGATAGTAATCCGTTGATGGTTTCTCGACTTCAAGGAGAAAGAGGCTTCAATCAAGTACGCTTGCCACCGTTACATCGCTACCTGACACTTACACGTTGCAGAAAGCTGTGTACTGGTCTTTCACTGAATTAAAAATGTTATATATACTATTAATAATAGAAAGAATGAACTTTGTTGATATGAAGAATAATTTTGGAAGGAGAGGAAGAGCCTTCACCGAAGAATAAAAAACAACGCCACTTTGGCCGCTTAACTGCTACAAGTCAGTTATATATTTAAAGCAAACTATTTTTCATTAAATACTGCCATATATAAATAAGTCATCCAAAGGTTCAAAAAAGAAAAAAAATCAATGTTGCGTACTCAACATCGAATGTCTCTAATGGCGTCAAGGCCTCATGCTCAGCAATAGAGACTCCTTCATTTATAGACAGTCAGTGCCGCGTTAGCCCTGCATGCTTCTAAGAGCGCTAGAGCTCCTTCCTTTCCGAATGAGTTTCTCCCCAGTCGCAGAGTGCTCAAACTCGTATTAACTTTGAGTGACTCTGACAGCGACAGGGCTCCTTCATCCCCAACTAAATTGGCCTCCAAGTTCAAAGTGGTTAAAGTTGTGTTAGTCTTGAGTGCTCCTGACAGCGCCAAAGCCCCTCCATCCCCAATTGAGTTACTTGCCAGGTTCAAACTGGTCAAAGCTGTGTTAGCTTTGAGTGCTTCTGACAGTGCTCGAGCTCCTTCCTCCCCAATTGAGTTACTCATCAGGCTCAAAGTCGTCAATTTCATGTTTGCCTTGAGCGCTTCTGATAGTGCCACAGCTTCCTCAGCCCCAAACGAGTTGACCCCTAAGTCCAAAATGGTCAAAGCTACATTAACCTTGAGTGCCTCTGACAGTGCTAAAGTCCCTTCCTTCCCAACTGAGTTTTCTTCCAGATCTAAAGCTGTCAATGTTGTATTAACCTTCAGCACCTCTGACAGCGCCAAAGCACCTTCTTTACCAATTGCGTTGTCCCTCAAGTCTAAAGTAGCCAAATTTTTGTTAATCTTAAGTACCTCTGAAAGACTTATGGCTCCCTCCTTCCCAATCGAGTTGCACCCCAACCTCAGTGTTGCCAAAGTCGTGTTAGCCTTAAGTGCCTCTGAGAGCGACAGAGCTCCTGCGTCTCCAATTGAGTTGCTCCCCAATCTCAATGTAGCCAAAGTCGTGTTAGCCTTGAGTACTTCTGACAGTGCTCGAGCTCCTTCATCCCCAATTGAGTTGATTCCCAAGTCTAAAATCGACAGAGTAGTATTGGTTTTGAGTGCCTCTGACAGTACTAGAGCCCCTTCCTTCCCCACTGAGTTGCACCATAAGTCTAAAGTGGTCAACGTCGTGTTAGCCTTGAGCGCCTCTGACAGCCCTAGAGCTCCTTTTTTTCCAACTGAATTGGCCCTCAATTCCAAAACGGACAAAGCTGTGTTAACCTTGAGCGCTTCTGACAGTGACAAAACTCCTTCCTCCCCAATAAAGTTGTTATCCAGGCCCAAAGTAGTCAAAGTTGTATTAACTTTGAGCGACCCCGACAGAGCCAAAGCTCCCTCATCCCCAATCGAGTTACCCCTCAAGCCCAAAGTAATCAATGTCGTATTAGTCTTGAGTGCCTCCGACAGCGCTAAGGCTCCTTCCTTCCCAATGGAGCTGCTCTTCAAGTCCAGAATAGTCAATGCTGCGTTAGCCTTGAGGGTATTTACAAGAACTAGTAGTTCACTAGCTCCAATCGATTGAGCATTCATCTTGAAGGATAGCTTATGAAGATGCGCTGGCTTGAGCTGTAAACTGAGGAGTGTTATGAATTCTAAGGGGAGGACAATATGAATTGTTTTGATATTGCTGAGTTCCATGATGCGAACAAGTGCTTCATGTTGTGTAGATGTTAAAAACGCTTTCCTACTGACGCTTCCTGGAGCTCGTCCAAGTCCAAGTCGAAGAATCAATACACTTGACAGAGTTAGAGCACTCTCAAATGCTTCAAGGTCAGTCTCCGTCCAGTCCCAGTCAAATGTAATATCCAACTCGTAAACACGTCTTGCGTTGGTTAAGGCGTCTAAGAACCTTTCAACTCTGTCTCTGGATTTCAATGTGATAACCGCTTTCCCAAGGTGCAAATCATATTTGCCACCATTCATCCTTACTGCGCTTTCAAATGCTTTCTGTCCTTTTCCCCTGTATGTCGCAATATAGTGGTCGAGACAAACCCATTTGACATGACCTGCTTCGGTCGCAATCCTGCTCAAGTTGCCAAATTTTTTGTCTTCGTCTTTACTTCGAAGAAATGTGCTCAGCCGGCGGAATTCAGCTCCTACAAGTCCTTCATAATCATCGATTGCAGTGATGTTGCTCAAGGCTGGGTCCTGCCTAGAGAGTGACTGCATATAGTCGATCGAGCGATCGATACCAGGATTGATCAAATATGGGACTGATTCCAGAGAAGCAGACGAGTGCACTCCAAACTTGAGCCACTGTAAGAGGATAAACATGTATTTCCCGTACTTGCGAAAGAACTCTGTGCTATCTCGGACTTCATACCCGTCATGCTTGGTAATATGGATCGGACTCTGGCTACTCTTGCTTGTCATTGCACTGTGGTCTCCACATTCACAGAGAAAATGAAGACGAAACTTGTTCCTTACGACATTCAGTGGATCCCACTTGGTGTTGTCGACAGGCAAAAGGATAAACAGTCGAGGAATTGGGCATTCGTGAAGCTCAAGTTGCTGGGAGAGGATAGTGTGGGCATGTTTTTGAAGGATAGCAAGACTTTTGGGTGCCTGATGCCCCTTATTGACATCTTCCTCCTTAGTATTCAATTCCGGCATAAGCATATTCTGCAGTTTAGTTATTTCACTGTCCTTCTCTTTAGCTTCCAGCAGCAGAGCAATCAACCTGTCATCCTTCTCTTTTGCTTGCAGCAATATATCACTCATCTTGTTGTCCTTCTCTTTGGCCTCTAACAGCAACCCTGCAATCTTTTCAAGCTTAGAGATGATCGCCTCGAATTGTGCGCTGCTGTGAATAGTATGAAGCGGGTTGAGTGATTGAATCAAGTTTGGTGATGGCAAAAGAGGGACCTGAGAGGCCAGATGTGCCGAGTTGCTTGATGTAGGCAAATAATTGATGGTGCTTTCGTTGCTGGATTGCGGGGCTTTAGTGATGACATCCAAGATCCTGTGAGGATAGAATGAAATGCATGGAGGTTCGATTCTAATACGAAGATATATATACATCCCAAATTGAATTCCTCTATTTGATTTCTACAGACACCCGATAAGGCACAGCATAATCAATGATGTACCTGTTGCCATAAGGATCTGTAAGGAACGGAACAGGAAGTCCATCCAACTTGAATCGCTGTGCATCTGGAAACACGTCTCCAATGTCTTGCAAACCCACACAGAATGACGGACTACCATTGATTGCAAAGGTAGAAGCAATTCTGACACAAACTTCTTCAATGATGCCATCCTTTCGGAATTGTTGGTAATGATGTTCTGTCATTTCGGTAATAACTCGATGGATGAAGACAGGATGAAGGGTTCCTCATTTCTCTTTTTAAGCGATAGATGCATCAGCTCCACTTCGCCGCTTGGTGTGACAAGAGTGAGAAATACAGACCACGGTTTGCTTAATAAATACCCCAACTTTTATATCTTTTATATTTCATTACTTAGCTCTTTCAATGATACGAGTTTTGTTCATTTGCCAAACTGGCTTTCATGTAGTCCAAACTATGATCCATGAGTCCATACCGCCCGCCAATTGATTGATTCTTCCCATGTCGCTTAAAGCCTGGCATTTAAAAATCCTCGCTCTTCCAGATCTGCTAATCAAGCTGAGGATGCTCAATTCCGTCAGCTTTCTTAGTTGTCCGAGCATCATCTGCTATTTTGCCAAGCCTTTTCCTCCGTGTCTCAATCCTATTGAAGCTAGAGTGTAGCTATCCCAGAGCAGACCCCATTCGCGCCATTCATGGATCCTTCAAACATGGACAAATAGCTAGGATTGCTTGAGCAATGTCACTGTCTTTGTGTTGATGATTAACCATTTGTTGACTTTGTTCCTTCATTGCCATAACCAAGACTTGTCTTCCATTATCTGCTTGGGGTCTTTGCAGAGATAACTTTCCATAACTGGAGCATGGGATTATAAGGGGGCTGAGTCGAGCCTACCTAAGAGCGAATGTCGCTTCCTCCCCATTTAATGAAATGCCTCTCAAGATTAAACTGCTGCAAGGTGAAAATGCCTATGGATATCCTAAGGAGTGAAGTGCCTGTCTACTGAAGCCCATTGAGCCCTCTTCTCGGCCACATTTGAGACCAATGCTTAGTATTTAACCTAGAAATGTACCGAGCCAGTCATGCACAGCTAAGTACAGTGTGACAACCTTTGAAGACGCGACTGATTCAGTAATGTTCATTGAATGAAATTGCAGTGTTGCATGTTGTGCTGTTGCAATGTTGCGATGGAATGGTCGAAATTGAGAAGCTCCTTCTGCAGGAGGCTGTTGCCTTGATGCTTTGGTGCTTTGGTGCTTTGAATACACATGTCTCAATTTGATAGCGTACTTGCCAAGACAAGGCAAGACAAGACAAGAACGGCCTTGGTGCAGAGCTCTGCAGCTCTGAGAGAGTGTGCAGAAAAAGGAGATCTCTAGGCAACCACAGCATGCTGGCCTTGCGACAAAGCCTCGAGATCAAGAGGAAGAATAATAAAAGCTGTGTCTTTCTCATTATGAAAGATATAACCATGGTAGCCTAGAAAGCTTACTTTGATCCCCACAATGAATGAATAGTAGAGTGTTGATGAGCAGTTGTGAATAGGATAAAAAATAATGTGAATAAATAAACAATAAAAAAGCACCAGGCTCTTCGCCTGTCTGGCGCGAAGCAGACAGCCCAGGGCGCACCATGAGGAGATGGTCTGGTTGCGCGCCCTCAGGACCAGAAGCTCTAGGGCGGTCTATCAACACGCGCCATCTTCGAGCCCAACCCGCGCCATCCTCAGCTTGCAGCGTTCTGCAGGCCGACGATGGAACTCGTTGGACAGAGGCTAGCACTCTTGAGCGTGCTAACACACCGCTTTAGAGGCCGTTGGAGATTCAAAAAGAGAGAGGAAAGAGAGGTCTTTTTATACATTGTCAGGACCTAATGACTTGCTTTCTTTTCATTTGTCACCAACCTTTGACATGGTCGATTGGTTATGGGACCTTTTCTCATACGAAAAGCGCTTCGCAATTTGGAGGTTTTTTCATCTTTTTTTTTCAAGGAAATGCTGTCCCCTTTCCTTCTAATGCTATTGAGTGAAAATGCACTTAGTTTCTCTTCATGCTGTGAGATATCGAATAAGCATCCATATGGCTATAATCCTGTCTGCTTTTATTTCTCTCTTGGCAACCAAGGCGATCCAGTTATTTAAATTTTATCTGCACGTCTTTGCCAGGCTGGTCTGTGCTCTCTTGCTGTCTAATTCTAATAGAGTTTGCTTGCTTATTTGTTTTGGTAAGGCTACAAAGGCTACAAAGTGGAGTAAGCGCAGAATGAAAATTGATGTGGAAATTTTTTTCTGAACGAAAGGCCCATATTCAATAAACATCAGTCAAGGCCTACACTTTTATTAAAGAAGCTGATGTGGTTAGTTATTTGGGGCATAATATATGGAAAGGAAGATGCTTCCTTTTTCGCATAATCTTAGCAACTTTTCTTTAAGTACCTGAGCATACTACTTAAGACAAATCAGTAGTCATATTGGAGTGTTTGGTATCGATCATTGTCGCTGTAATTGCAACGATCGAGGATCGCAGATCTAGTTATCAATATCCTCGATTTTTTTTTTTTTTTTTTTTTTTTGCTATCAGAGATGCCAGAGTGCTCAATTCAAGTTCTTCGGAATACACCACATTAATGGAAAACTGTCTACTTTATTTAATTATTATTATTCTTTTTTTTTTATGATTCCAAAACAATAGCTGGACGCTTCTCTTCCAACCATCTCACACTCTCTGGTTCAGCAATGTCTGAAGCTCGCTTTAGTCCCTTAATCATCCTTATACTAGGCCAATGCTCGCTCATCCATCTGACTTCCTCAAGACCAATGTGATGATGAATCTCTGTCACATCCAAGACCTCTAGGCTCTTGAGGTCCTTCCACAGACCGAGTTCTGTATCCAATGTAAGCAATAGTGACTGTATATTAGGCATTTGAGGTGGACTTTGTAGCTGCAACACTTTCAGTCGCTTCAGGTGACCAACTTGGTTAGAGAACCATGTAAAGTATTCTGAAGGCGCCACATGCGTAGAAGCCACAGGCTCGAGGAGCGTATCCAGTACATCTAATAGTCTAAGCTTGTTGAACTGACGATCCACCCTCATTCCAGGTACGCTGATTCGAAGGATTTCTAGCTGGTCATAACAAGACCACAAAGGTAGATGACTTTCTGCCAATTTCAAATATTCATTCTGGAGATGAGGCTGTCGATGTAGTTCTAAATTTATTTGGCCCTCCAGACTAATCGATGATGTCAGGGATAATGGTCCTTGTCCAATTATTGGAAGAGAAGAGTGAGTTCGAAAGTCGACATCTTTTAAATTGGGAAGTGATTGGAGCAACCGATGGATAAGAGGAGCTGTAAGCTGCCTACATCCGACCAAGTGCAGTGTTCGAAGTGATGAAGACATCCTTGGGTGGACAATAGCTTCGACAGACCAAATATCAAATCCTTCCGAATCCAAGATGACTAGTTTGGAAAGACTACTGTAAGAATGTTCAACGGCTGTATAGTTGGTAGTGGTCATGACATTCGTAGCTGCGTGAGCGGTCTTAATAGTGGATGCACTCGTCATTACGTTCATTATAGAGGCGTTGGTAATAATAGGAATGGGAACAGTAGCAGCCGCAATTGTTTTTAAGAGTCTTGATATTTTGATGTCCTTTAAATACGGAAAATTAAATCTTATCTGTCGTCTATACAGCTGAAACTGCAGATCTTCAAGTTGCTTGACTAACGGAGCATCCTTGACACAAATCTGCAAGGTTCTCAAGTTTGGACACAGATACAAGATCTTTGACAATATCGCCATCTGAATCTGTGACTCTGATACATCATGTAGTCTGCCTTCCCGAACTGGTGATGAGGCTGAGAATGATGGTTGTGAGAGATTGTCAGGGTAGTTAAAAGGATCAAAATCTGAGTTGAGGAAAATGGCATGGCTTTCATCTGGAAGATCTTCATCCATAAAAAGACATAATGAATGCACCATGTGACCCCAGTTCTCCAGGTGAACAAACGAGCACGGTTTTGTATGATTCAAGGGATCATTCTTGTCATCATGAGAGACTGTCTTTGTTGATGTTGATGCAGCTTCAGGTGACAAAGTTAAAAACGACTTTAGAAAAGCATCCTTGTATGTAGCGTAGTGATCAATGGTAATGTGGTGGTAGAGATATGGCAGCAATGTTTTACAAATGGATTTGTTCAGGCAAAGACAGGTTGCGAGCGTGGCAGGAGAAAGGAGAGGAGCCAGGACATGCAGGAGCTCTGGATACTCGAACACAGATTTGTGCTGCATCCGGTCTTGCCAAGAATGGATGTGTGGGAAAGAAAAAAGAGGAAAATGACACAGTCCCCTTTCTTTGTTTCTATGTATTAAGTGCTGCTGTCATGTTGTAACGATTTTTGGCAAAAGCGCGAACTCTCCATTAATGGGAGGTCTAACTGAGCTCACTGAAAACCGAATCTGCCATTCTTAACGATTCGATCATTGAATTCATTTGCCCAGAACCACAGCCACAATAACCCTAAAATGTTGGAGGTGATATTGATGTCAAAGTAAGATCAGTCAAAAATACTGGGAAAGAATAGTGCAATGGAAGAAATGAAGAAGTCAGATATTGTTACGATGCAAGTTCTTTCCTTTCTGTTCTTTTTTTTTTTTTTTTTTTTTTTTAAAAAAAAAAAGGTGAATTGAACGCCTTTTTATTTTCATTTTTTCTCCATTTCAAAAAGCACAATCAAGTGTAGAGTAGAAAAGGGTGGGATTCCATAGTCCTGTAACGTTTTCTCGTCCTCAAGATACCTTCCTTCATACACCAGCCATTGTTGATCCGGAGAGATATTCTCTTGCTTCTGAACGATTCGTTTAATGTCATTGATGGTCCATGCGTGTCTGAAGGGCAAATTGAGGGTTTTTCCTGTCAGTGTCTGCAAATAAATCATCATGTCACTTCTTTTATGGGATCGATAGATGAGAGTCTTCCCAAAGATATCATAATCATCCACGGACGCATAGGTTTTTTCCAGGAGGGCTCCTGTGCCTGTCAAATAAAGCTCGCGCTTGAGAACATCCTCATCATCTTCACCCAACTTGTCAGAGATCCTTTTCATCAAGTAAAAGATAGGCTCTCCAGGTTTGTACAACACAGCGATACATCTATCAGGTTCATTAGCAATCACAACTGCTAGCATCCTCACGTCCATCTTTTTTTTTTTTTTTTTTTTTTTTTTTTGCGTTGGAAGGTTCTTTGCTTGTAGTAATAGGGAGCTTAATGCTCTATCGAAGCTCGAAGTTGCTGCGGTAATGTCTAGAATAGAAGTGAATCTGTGTGTTAAGGTGTATGAACAAAGTAACTCATAAATCTTAAAAAAAATAAAAAATAAAAATAAATAAATAAAATAGAGATAGTAGCTTCATACATGATACTCAAAAGCTTCGTGGTTTAGAGTATGAAGATGGAAGATAAGTAAAGAACGACAAAGAGACGACAAAATGGAGTAAGGATAATGAATGAGTTGTGCCCGCCTTTTTATACGTCTTCTTCATGGTGTTGTTCAAAGGGATCCACGATGCAGTGCATTCCAGGCCTTCAGTAGTTAAGGGGATAGTAGCCATATAAATATGAAGTTTGGATGGTCATCAAGGTTTAGATGTCCAGTTGCCCAAAAAAAAAAAAAGCCTTTTGATTCAGAGAGCAATGGCTTGAAATATTCCGAGAAATAACAGCACTCGTTCCTTATCATATTCAGCCCATGTATACGCTTAATACACGCATTAGGATCCCTTACTGGTGTTGAAGCCTTTTTTACGCATATTTCGGATTACCGCGAAAGCCACTAGCCGTGCTATAAGCTTTTGAAAGCGTAAGGCCTGGTGATGCCTAGGTTATCCCAATTATAGAGCTTGTTAGTACCGGATATAAAACGGGGGTTCTCATCCAGATTTCAGGAACCGAAATGCTGTTCGGGTTTTCTTTTGTTGAATACATGAAAGAGCTTCAATCCCAGAAGAATAGGTGATTGATCTAATCGGCACTTGATCATAATTTTTAACGCGTAGCCCTGTGGCTTTAGTTTCGCTTCGAACGTCTTGATTGACATGTGCTGTCTTAGTCCTGAAAGCTGGAATAAATGAACAGTTGTTGGATTCCTTCTTTCTTTTATTTACCAGCTTTGCACTATATCTTTTCTTCTTTTCTTGGCAATTTCTATTGCTAACTTACTTTGTATTTATAGCGTCCGCAAGTAGATGCTTGTAGTTTCTCTGCTGCAATTTGCTTCACGTTAGCAAGTAGGTATGTGGAGCTTACTGCAACATGGATGCTAGGGAGAAGCGTATACCCTCCTTTATAATCATACTCGGATGAGAAAACCGCAGATATTTTTATTTGACATGGTCATTAATTATTTATATTTGTGATTTATTAACCAGTGGACTCAAACTCTTTGATGGGGCAAGCCACGAACATAAAAACAGTGAACACTCAGTAGCCCATCCACTCCGTCATAAAGACAATGAGTCCCATACGTCTAAGGTAGAGCTGGGCTCTCTATTCAAGGAGGATGAGCAAGAGCCAAGCCGCCTTGATAGCAATGGAGTTGACAGTAAAGAGCCCCTTAGCACTAGTGCTTCGGGCAAGGGAGCCGATGTTACTTCTTCTGAAGCCCCTGCTGGTAATCCTTTTAATATCCTGTCGTCTAGCTCCTTCGAAACAAAGAAGGGACCATCCACAAGCCATCTCGAATCATCTATCCTACATAATGCATTTTTCACAAAGCCAGAGTTTGATTCTAAGTCTGTTTCATCCACTCGTTCCGAGTTTACTGCAGTCTACCATGTATCGTCTGTGACAGAATATACTTCGAAGCCTGGCTCTTCTGACTCGTACGGAGATTCAAAGAAAGGACTAAAAGAAAATGGAGGCAAGCCGGCGGCCGGAGCCAGGAGCCAAAAGCCTTCGACTCTTGACAACAATGAAGGCATGCAAAAATATAATTGGACCACTTTTGGTTCAGCATCAGTATCTCGGCACAGTCCTAGTTCGCATGGGAACTTAAGCAAAGAAGTAAAAGAAAAAGAACTTCAGCAGATGGCAAGAGCCACAGGGCTGCAGTTACCAACTGTCGACAACAAGCATCAAACCCCAACATCGCATCGTGCGCCTCATAAAGCCTTAGATAAGGCTTATGAAAAACTCACTCACCAATCTTCGATCAAGCCCTCTCAGAGTCATTCGAGTGACGCGTCAGGAAGCTTGAATGAGGCATCGTACTCTTCATTTGCAAGGCACTCCGCTGCATCGATCCAAAACTCACCGTATGACGACGTTGCACCTGCAATTCGATCTACGTCCCAGCCATCCATTGCTCCGACGTGCAGTATTACCTCCATTACTGCCCAGGAATACCTTGATGACTCAACCCAAATACTCATAGCGCACCTTCTCCCGAGCACACCAATAAGGTTAGCAAACGTGAACTGGGACCTACCAAGGAGCGTGAACCAGAGGCTGCCAAGGAATGCGAATCGGAGGCTGCCAAAGAGCAAGAACTGGTGGCTGACAAGGAACGTGAATCGGAGACTGCCAAGGAACGCGAATTAGAGGCTGCCAAGGAGCGCGGAGTGGATAAGCATCAGGGCATCTTGGACAGCACTAGCACTAAATCAATCGAGCGCAAGGAGGATATGGGTTCATCCCCTGTTTTGTATTCGAACAAGAATTCTGATGTAGCTCATGACCAACCCATCAGCTCTTCTTACGAAAAGAGCCATTCAAGCCTTGGATATGTGTGGCAGTTCACTTGAAGCTAGCCGCGCCCGAGCTCAAACGCCGCCACGATGGTAGGAGAATCAATTGAATGGGTAATTGCCCATAATATATTCCAGATGATTTAGTTCACTAATTTTTCGTCATTACACAACATCTGTATGCTAGTGACCAAACCTGCTGTTGCTGATAGCGCAACAGCTTCGAGTACCCATAACCAGCCTTTACCGCCTGTATCCGTGATTCAAAGTAAATATCTTAGACAGTCGAGTTCTAATTTTGTTCCCAGTGAACATCGTCATGAGCTGAGCACTTGTTCCTCACCAGACAATCCAGACAACTCAGAAGAACAGTATTTCTTACTAGATGAGACTGAGTCACCTAATTCGAATCATGGCTCTGGTATGAGCGGTATAAATAATAACAATAAGAATACCGATCTCTGTTTTAAGGCAAATACATCAACCCTTACCCCGTCTATCGAAGCCTACAAAAAGGACATTGTAACTATTGGCTCTCCTGTTCCCACAACTAGTACCACTGGAGCGACTGTTAGGACTCCTGCGTCTCAGCCTCATGAGGATCATGCTTATAGGCTCAAGCCTTCTAAGGAGGCTACCGCGGCCTCTACTGCAAACGCCACTGCTCCCAAGGCCCAAGTTACCAGCGATTCATCTGTACCGCAGCCGCTGATCAAGGAAAGGGAAATATAGGTTTCTCGTCAGAATGATCCTCTCAAGAGAGCTGAGAGGGGTCCCATGTCGGTTGTGCCACCAGCTGGGGCTCCAGCCTATGATCGTCATCACGCTACGGTGCATTCGCATAATGAAAGGAATGACTCACGTCCTATCCATAGCGCTGCAGGCCCTGCTGCGGTATCGCCTGTTGCGAGGGCTGCTCTCCCTTCAGCCGCATCCAGAAACATGCCAGTTTACATGAGCAGGAAGAGGGGCGACAAATATTGCATGATTGGCCCAAGTCGCGTGAGCAACGTGATCAGCAGCATCAGGACCGACACTAGCGGCCAATATCACTAACCGAGCAACAAAATGAAATCAAGACTGTTACACCTACAGCTGTCCCTCCCACTGTGACCATTCCTACTACAACCTCAAAGTCGGACCGGGCAGAGCCACACAAATACCAGGAGCAGCGCCAGCAAACAGGTTCAGTGAAGGAAAATGATGATATTACATCAGCTAAGCCTGTATCGACCCAGCCCAAAATCGACCCAACTTTACTGGCCACACCAACAACCAAGCCGATGATAGTAGGAATGCAGGAGGCGAAGATGCCTAGTCGCCCGCCCGCGCCGAAGCCATTATCTGCTCAAACACATGGTGCTTTGTACAATAATAGCGAGATTACGCCTACGCCACAGATACACGAGAAGTCAAATTTTGCTAAACGCTCTCCTGTATCTGCATCTATGGATACAGCAGTATCGCATAATCATATTGATTCTATGAAAGTCCCAGTAGCTCAACTCCCTAAAAAAGAGCAGGATACCAAGATTTCTCCCATCTCGAGCCTAGCTTCGGACAATAAGGATAAGGATAAGTATAAGGGTGAAGACATGAATAATAGTAATGCTAAGGGCGACCTGACGGCAGAGAAGCTCGAACCCGTTCCTCGGTCCGTGATTCCTCCCCAACAAGAGTTAGCTGTTAGCAACTCCGCCCAAGCGCCAATTACTACAACAAAGTCAGTCTCTTTACCCATCCCTGCACCCCGTCCCGCCACAATGGTTTCTGTTGCTGCTGTGCCTGCTGCGGCCTTAACGCCCGACAGGCACGGCACTGAGCTTAGCCGCGATGTCAAAAAGTTGAAGACTAATGAACAACAACACCAGCAAGGCCAAGAACACAGTAATGTGAACGCCCAGGTACCAGTTAATACGGCTATGCCAACACCCTCGCCTATCCCCGTCCTCCATCCTACTACAATGGCTTCTGCTGCTGCTGTGCCTGCCGCGGCCTTAACGCCTGGTAGACACGATAATGTGCTTACTCACGACATCAGCAAATTGAAGGCTACTGAACCTGCTGAGCAAAGTCAACAGCACCGGGATCATAGCAATGTGAGGGCCCAAACGCCAGTTAGTGGGGCCAAATTATCTTCTTCGCCCATCCCTGCGCCCCGTCCTATTGCAATGGCTTCTATTGCTGATATGCCTGCTGCGACCCTAACATCCGGCAGATACGGTACTGAACGTAACCATGATATCAACAACTCGAGGACCTCTAAACAACATTATCCATAACCCCAGGGACAAAGCAATTTGCAGCTCCAAGCGCCAGTCAGTACTGTGAAACCATCTTCCTCACCCATTCCTGCGCCCCGTCCTACTACAATGGCTTCTGTTGCTGCTGCGCCTGCCGCGGCCATGGTGTCTGGTAGACACGATAATGAGCTCAGGCACGATATCAACAAGTTGAGGACTTTTGAACAACAATATCCACAACCTCAAGGACAAAACAATGTGCAAGTACGAAGTACGGAGGTTCCAGCAGGTTACAAAGGAGAGATCCCTACAACACAAGATGGTGAACATGTGATCTGGGTCAAGAAGGTCTATACAACAAGGGAGTACTACGATCCTCCTGATGAGTATGAGCCTGAGGAGCTGAATGAATTTGGGTTCCGAAAGGAGCGTGACGTGTCATTGTATCTAAATCGTCGTTACCCATAACAAATGAAGACTTTATTAGACTAACGATCTGTTGGTCATTATAGAAAACATATATATATAATAAGCTGGCAATAAAATACTTCATCTTGCTTTTATTGCATCGTTACTCATACGCTATTATTGTTAAAATAAAAATAAAAAATAAAATATGAGGCGCTTATATTTTGATCAGTTCTATTAGTTTATGTCTCTCTTATCTGACATAGATTCTATAGGACTGTGTAAAATGCCTGTAAGCTTTTTTTTTTTTCTTCTGCTTTCTCTTGACCCTTTACGATTTTAGTCACCCTGTCAACAAACTACAGTCGTCCCTCAGTAATTCGCGAATTACTGAGGGAACTGGTCTGTTTTTATTCACTTCAATTCAATTTCAATTATATTGGTGGGCTCCTTTATTCTTTTTTTTTTCTTTTTTTGAAATTTCCCAAAAAAATAAAAAAATAAAAAAAAAAGACTTTTCTCAACACTCACCTATTATCATGGCGACCGCTATTCCCAATATACCCATAGCTCAACATATGGCCGCTTCTTCGTCCCCTATTGGGCTTTCGAGTCAATTGTCTCCTCTGCCTCTGCAGTCAAGCCAGCTATCTCCTATAGACTCAAGTCTATCCAATTTGCAATCAAGTCAACCAAGGAGAAGAGGAAGACCTTCAAAGAATGTAACAACTGCCTTCAGCCCAAGTGTTCTTCATTCTATGAGTTTGTCAGCTTCCTCCCCTCAGTCCCAGCAGAGTGTGGCACAAGTACCCAGTAGTCAATGGGACTGGGTCCGTATTGAGCGATTAAGTCAAGCTACTCCAGTTCGACCATCAAAGTCTGCGTGTGAAAAAGCAAATTCAGCTCCAAATTCAGCTGAGGCAGGAAAACTAAACCAGAAATCTGCCAAGCCTATAAGAAATAAGCGTGGACAAGTCGCGAAAGGCAGCTCCAAAGGCAACACATATAACTCCATCACACTTTATGGCAAAATAAAATTTATCAATGAAGTGATAAAAGCCAAGGATATTGACCCCAAAACCCCAGTATCTTCTATTGCTCGACGACTTGGCATCAACATTTTCACTGCCAGTGGGATTTGGAATAAAAGAGATTCTTTATTGAGTATGAAAGATGGAAAGTCTGAGGAAGCTGCTAAGGCTATTACTCGAACTAGCTCAAGGACCATGGAGGCCGTTGAAGAAGCGCTGCTAAAGTGGTTTGAAGAGCAAAGGAGACTCAAGATCATTGTAACAGAGGCTCGACTAAGAGGAACAGGAGCTATACTGTGGAGCATCATGAAGGACTATTATAAGGAGACTGAGATACCCGAATCGTTTGCCTTTTCGAAAGGATGGCTTCATGGATTCAAGACACGATCAGGAATTTCATCAAAGATTGGACATGGAGAAAGTGGAGGTGTCGATATGGAATCTTGTAAGGCTCGGATGGAGGAGATAAAGAAGTTGCTCTCTACATTCCACCCAGAGGACATCTATAACTGCGACGAGACTGGCCTTTATCTTAGAGCATTGTCAGCAAGAACCCTAGCAGCAGGCGCTGTACAGGGAACAAAAATTATTCGTGCAGCTCGTGTGTCAATCCTTATTTGCAGCAACTCCACAGGAACTGACAAACGCAAGCTATTTGTGCTATCAAAACATAAGCCCAAAGGTTTAAAAGAAGACACTCAACGCAAAATCGATTCAAATACACACTGTTCCGGCTACATGACCAAACCTTTGTTTGATGGATGGCTTCAGGACTTGGATGAGGATATGCAAAGGCAGGGACGCAAAATTGCACTACTCATAGACAGTGCACCAGGACATTGTGGAGGAGAGGAAGCTGGCCTTAGTAATATTACATTAGTACGACTTCCTCCAGACACAACATCTATCACTCAACCTATGGATGCAGGTGTTATTCGTTCATTCAAGGTTCACTACAGCCAAGAGATGCTTGAGACAGTAGCTCGAGTTCGCGAGAATCTCCAATCATCAACAGCTACAGCTAACTATGCCTCTCTCTGGGAATGCTTGGTGAGGGCATGGAATACTGTTACCCCTGCTTGTATTCGCCATTGCTTTGCCCATGTTCCAACGCTGCCTGACAATGTGAATAAGCAACTTAGGGCTCTCGGGGTGGATACCGTTGACAATAGATTAAAGGAACTTCAAGATGATTTGATCAAAAAATACGAAAAATTGACAGATGTCATCAATAACCAAAAAGACTTCACAATCCTCAATTATCTCACAATGTGCCATGTCGAAGGTCCTACACAATCTATTACTAATTGTGCAATGATGACGATCGCCAATCCCAAATTCAGTACTATATTTCGTCAATACCAGGATAGCGATTTTATTGACGAGGAGGAGGTTGAAGATGCCGAAGATCTTGATGCAGACTTTAGTCCAGCACTAAGGCAAGAATATTCGCCTTCAATGGTTTGCACTGTCCTGCGTAACCGTACAATCCAGAAGGTTCCCCATGGTGGGTACTCCTCGCCAGAGACTAGCCTATGCAAAAAAAAGGATCCTACAGTTGTCCTCGGTCTATCGCGCGACTTTTTTGAGCTTACCAAAGATATCCTAACAAGGCCACAGGGTAAAGAAGAGAGAGAAGAACTCGATAAATTGTATGACCACATTGAGGCTTTCATGGATAGACGTGCAATACGAAATGAAGAGACCGAACACAGAAGAAACCCAAGTTTATTGAGCAGACTGAGGGCCTGTCTTGATGGAGATTCAAGCAGTAAAGAATAATCATATTTTATAATAAATATATTTATTTATTTATTTATTTTTTGTGTGTTTTGTATGCAGAATAGTGAAAAATACATAGGGTGGCTGTTTAAAAAAAAATGAAAAATTCAAAAAAAAGAATAAAGGAGCCCACCAATATAATTGAAATTGAATTGAAGTGAATAAAAACAGATCAGTTCCCTCAGTAATTCGCGAATAACTGAGGGACGACTGTAGACCGCATACCAACAACCCTATGGAAAACTTTCGGGTTCGAGAACATCTGCCTTTTTTTTGTAATCTGGACAAGGAATCCCATCTTTTTTTTTTTTTTTTTTTTTTTTTTTTTTTGGCCCTGGTTAATGGTTATGATCAAAGTCCATGCACACAAATGTAGGGGGTTTGATCCTAAAAAAATGATCTGCTAAGCAATGATAATCAAGTTTGTTCATGAGCATTACTAAATTCGCTAGTTCATGCACGCAAAGGCCCACACTCTTTTTTTATTGGTTAGTTTTCTTGTTTTGGATTGGTGTATGTCTATAACGCTAACGACTATTTATGGCATCAATTGACGAAAGCATAACAATCTCATCCACCAAACTCCTGACTACAGTACGTTCGTGACATCCCTTATTCACAGCCATCAGCAATGTGTACATGTATAGCCTCAAAGATATAGATCATCTTTTCAGCTCCCACGGTCTGATAATCTGGCAAAAAAAAAAAAAAAAAAAAAAAGATTCCTCACACGAATATTGTCTCTATTATATTAGTATCCAAATATCTGAGTCTTCCATAAGCTTGACACCAATGGAAGTGTGATGAGTGCTTCTTTTGGTCAGTAAACATCCATGCTTGCTACTGATCATTCTGATTCTTTTTTTTTTATTATTATTTTTTTTTCTTTCCTTTTATTATAATTATTTGTTCCCTTGCTCTTGGCTTGATCTCAATCCAAAGCCTGCCTTTGTCATGGATACTAACTCGTTTGTGATTTATCGCTGGCTGTAATGAGAGAGCCCAAAATTCGTTGAGATACTGAATATCCTCTCAATCTTCAACTTGACTAAGTCATTGCTTTTTGCTTCTAACAAGATGGGGGAAGGGTCTAATTAGATGATTTCATTCCCTTCACTGTCTGTTGGGAAAATGTACGACTTGATTGGATAACTTTGTCCTAAAAAGCATTTATAGTCTATAACAAATATTGCCAGCACGGGAGGGACATACAATATGAGCCACTCATTTTATCACCCCTCGCTCGTAGCGGATAAATTTCTCCACTGACAATGAGGGGACAATGAGGGACGGACTGTAGTGAATGGTAAATTGACATTTAAACAAAACATCTTTCTTAAAAAAGCCAGACTAGATCTTTTTTTTTTTTTTGTGTCCCTGTAAATAAAGCAGGACCACTGCCAGATTACGGTAATTCACCTAGTGGAGGGATACACGTAATTTTTTTTTTCCATTCGTTGAAGCAATGTTCAACATTGTATCACGTCACTTGTAATTCCTTTCGAAAAAGGTCAATGCGCTTAGAAGAAAAGAAGGGACTAGTTTTCTAACAATTATGCATCTCTCTGGTGCACTTTACCCTCCGATACCTTACCAAGCACACTCATACTAATCCTATGCTCCTTGTAAAGGAAAAAAAGGAACAAAAATCGCTCAAAGGCGTGTGAACGCGTACGAGAAAAAAAAGGTGCTGGTCGTTGGTATAAATACAGAGAGAGTTGGATCCATCTTTTTCTTTTTGTTTCTTTGATCTCTACACCCTTTTATTCTCCAGCAAATCAACCTGCAAACCACTTCAGACCATGCGCAAGTCATTCATCACCGTCTTTGTTTTTAGTGCCTTGGCTGCTGTCAGCTCCGCGTTCTGCGTCAAGGACCGAGATGATTGCCCCTCTGGAACCCATGGGGTTGAAGATCCAGTGTATTGTGTAGAAAGTGGCTACTCTTACGACCACCAGTTTTTCTGTGCAAGAGATTCGGTCAAGACTGTCGGTATCCGAGGCCGAGTACCACCCCCCAACCTGAGGGGAGCTTGTGTCCGCGAGTGCGATCACTGCCCTTCTGGAACTCATTGTGAAAATGAACCCGAGATCTGTAGGGATTTGGGTTTCCCTCCTCAATATCACCTCCTTTGTGTCAATGACCTCGCTTCCAACCCCGAACCCAAACCTGCACCTGTTGCTAAAACTATGCCCTGTGTCCGCGAGTGCGATGAGTGCCCTTCTGGAACTCATTGTGAAAATGAACCCGAGATCTGTAGGGATATGGGCTTCCCTCCTCACTATCGCTTGCTTTGCGTCGGTGGCTTCGCTTCCAACCCCATCCCCAAACCTGCACCTGTTGCTAAAACTTATCCCTGTGTCCGCAAGTGCGATGAGTGTCCCTCTGGAACTCATTGTGAAAATGAACCCGAGATCTGTAGGGATATGGGCTTCCCTCCTCACTATCACTTGCTTTGCGTCGGAGGAGATCCCAACTCTTCTGAGAAGAACTCTTGCCACTGATCAAATTTAGATGGACATGTCCATATTGATTGAGAAATATCTGTATAAATGAAATAAAGAAAGGTCTCAGTGCTTGTAATTTTCAACAATGATCAGCTGAAGCATCATTGGGAATGCCAATTAAAGTAAGAGCAGCATGGATGGTCGTGAACATCGAGTAGCAACAGTAGCCAATTATATCCCTATCATCGTATCTGAGGAGATGGTTATCACTTTTAGACCTAAAAAAATAAAATAAAATAAAATAAAAAAAAGAGAGAGAGGCTATTCAGCTGGAGCTTTTACCAATAAATGTTCATGTCGAATCTCTTTGTCTTTTAGTATGAATACATTTAGCACTAACTGTTGTGTCGCCAAAAATGTTTAACAAAAAATAAATAAATAAATAAAAAAAAAAAAAAAGCGTTAGATTCCTTTGTTTCAATTGACGTCCGACCAAGGTCCAACATGTCGTTAAATAACGCGCCCAATGCCCCTGTTTTTAAAGGAGAAAATGATGATCTGTTTGATGCCAAACATTTATAAAGCATATATAGCCCGGCTACTATTACTACATAACGTCCAAGAACATTTATGCTGCTACTGCTTTAACTGACATTGTCAATGGCACTTTTACTGATCATTGGATCACTGTTAATACTTTCTTTTTTTTTTTCTCTTTATGTCTTTATTTCAACTGTACAGATATTTCTCAATCAATATGGACATGTCCATCTAAATTTGATCAGTGGCAAGAGCTCTTCTCAGAAGAGTTGGGATCTCCTCCGACGCAAAGCAAGTGATATTGAGGAGGGAAGCCCATATCCCTACAGATCTCGGGTTCATTTTCACAATGAGTTCCAGAAGGGCAGTGATCGCACTCGCGGACACAAGCTCCCCTCAGGTTGGGGGGTGGTACTCGGCCTCGGATACCGACAGTCTTGACCGAATCTCTTGCACAGAGAAACTGGTGGTCGTAAGAGTAGCCACTTTCTACACAATACACTGGATCTTCAACCCCATGGGTTCCAGAGGGGCAATCATCTCGGTCCTTGACGCAGAACGCGGAGCTGACAGCAGCCAAGGCACTAAAAACAAAGACGGTGATGAATGACTTGCGCATGGTCTGAAGTGGTTTGCAGGTTGATTTGCTGGAGAATAAAAGGGTGTAGAGATCAAAGAAACAAAAAGAAAAAGATGGATCCAACTCTCTCTGTATTTATACCAACGACCAGCACCTTTTTTTTCTCGTACGCGTTCACACGCCTTTGAGCGATTTTTGTTCCTTTTTTTCCTTTACAAGGAGCATAGGATTAGTATGAGTGTGCTTGGTAAGGTATCGGAGGGTAAAGTGCAGCAGAGAGATGCATAATTGTTAGAAAACTAGTCTCTTCTCTTCTTTTTCTTCTTCTTCTGGGCGCATTAGCCTGAAAGGAATGATTAAATGATGTAACACAAGGTTGGCCAATATTTACGCTGAGGGAACATCAAGGGGCAAAAAAAAAAAAAAAAAAGATAGACTATACACGTTGATACTCTAACAATGACGTTATACGACGCGACAAAGTGTTGGATATTAGGGCAAGAAAGATAGTCTGATCTTGTTGCATTGGACGTATAATTGGGGCCATTTTTTTGATCCTTGCAACATCCCAGACCATTACTAGAAGGTAGGCTAATCCACAAGATCAAAAACTTTTTGCCTTTAGTTTTGTTGAACAATTCCTCTTCCCTCTGCCCCATTTTTTAAGGCTACCCAAAGGCTACTAGGCTTTTCTCGGACACAACTTTGGCCCTCTCTGTCTCTCTTCCTCTTGGTTTATTTATTATTATGATGGTTTTTATTTTGTTGTTATTGTTGTTGTTGCTTTTTATCGGTATTATGCTTTCGTGAGTCCACAGATCGTCAAGTCACGCATTTGTTGTAAGATACCGTCTGCCTGCTGCTCCAGTTCATAATCCTGTGGTTCTGGAGGGAAGTACTGTCGAAGGCTTTCCAATGCATTGAAAGAGTCCTGGGCAAACGATAGCTGTGATTTGACGATCGCTTCGAAGGACGGGTCCAAGTAGGTGACTCTGGAATCAATCACCTTGGGTAGCTCAGTTGTCAATTGAGCATTGATGGTCTCGTACAAATCCCTGGCCGCATTGGCTTCATGTTCCGCGAGTGGTAACTTTGTGCTGTCTTCCGAGGGCTTCTCCACTAGCTTCCGGACCTTGGATCGGGCATTGTCGTAATCTAGTAACTTTTTGTTGCGACGGCGGATCGCTTCGTTGATCTCTGGGAAGTAGGAGTAATATCTGCCAATAGACTCTAGTACTGTGGAGCGATAAGCATCATCCTATCAAAATAAATATATATAAACATATTCGTGTCCACCAGATCGGAATCCGTTATTTAGTCCAATGTTCATCGAGATGTTCTTAATGAAAGTTTAACTAACATGTCCCTAACCTCTGTTAATTGTTCCATTTTGGTAATAGTCTCCTTGTATTTGATGCCGGATGCCGCCATTGACTGACTATCATCATAGCATTGCTCCAACGTGTTTGCAATCCTGATTTGAACAGCTGTCATTTCTTTTGGTATCAAACAGAAAAAAAAAAAAAAGAAAAAGTATAAATACGATGCGTTTAATATCCCATGTCTTTTTTTTTTTCTTTTTTTTTTTTTTGGTTGTTTTGTTTTGTTTTGTTTTGCTGTCTGTTTGTTAATGAAATGATGGGCTGTGTGTTTCTGTTGTTCCACATGGCAAAATGCATGAAATGAATCTTTTTTTGATGTGGTGTTGTGTTACCTCGCAGAGCTTTAGCATATCCACTTGCTTCCTTATGCAACTTTTCGGCTTTTGCTCCCAGTCTTTGGATCCATATTCAAATTCAAAATAATAATAAAAAAATTCAGTTTTGGTGACACTGCTGCGCCAACAGTAAGAGTTATATATATATATAAAAAAAAAAAACTACTTATTGCTTGGCTCGTTTTTCTTCTTCCTCAAATTCCTTGTCTTCAGTCTGGTCCATGTTTCCAGTCTTGGAGAGGACTGTAGTAGTGGCCGTGTTGAGGTTCTTTTTAAATCCAACCCTTTTTTATTGATTGATTGATCGATTAAAAGTAGAATGGAAAAAATGGCAATTAAACGATTTAATCCTGTGTTGATACAACCTATACATGTCATATATACTTGTGTTTCATCAGAGCAGATCAGATAAAGATAGATCCTAAAGTGGAATAGTGTGCTGATATGATATAATGTAATTGTACTCGTACCAACTCATGATGTCTCTTTTCTTTTTGCAATAATGGTTTTTTCCAAATCCCCAGAGCGCACTTCATCGCCTACAGCCTAATTCACTATCTTCATCAGCCCATCAATCTTCTTATCTCAACGACAAAATCGGGTCAAGAGCGATTAAACGAATACGTGATGGATTCCTGAAAAACTTTAAAGAGTACTCTGAGTGCGTCTGGCTGCTGCCAACTGGAACTAATGTCCATGAGCTGCTCTTCAGATACACATTGACTCCAGAATATGAGCCATCTTTCCATTCATTTATTTCGGGTACATTAAGGCTGTTCCCCATATAATTCAATTTGCCAGAAGGTGATCAAAAATTGACAATCATCGCAGTACGTACTGCCGATCCAAATAGTTAAACTTAACCCTTGAAAAATGAGATTCGGGGATGCGTTAAGAGAAGGACATGGGCTTATCGGACTTGTCACACGGCTCAACTTCCCCATTAACGAGCTTTGGATGCTTTTCGAAGAATATGAATAATTAGGACGAAAATATGATGGATGAAATATGAGATGCCATTTAGGGACAGAAACAAGGCTTTGGAACGTTACTTTAATGCTTTGATGGACATCCGTGATCACTAAAACTGGTGGCAATAATCATCGGAGAAAACACTAGACTAAGCTAGGGTTTTCAAGGCGGCGACTTTTTTTAAACATAATGTAAGAACAAGAACCTGCTTTGTCGGTTTTGTCAGCAAAACGACGCCAAAGGTCAAACCTTATTTAAACATTGCCGACAATAAAGCGCTCAATTACTGATTTTTATAAACGCTCAATTACTGACAAAAAAATGTTTTTTTAAGTGCTCACAAAAAAATTATAAAAGGAAGGCATTTGTTCTCTTTTTTTTGTAACATCATCACTCAGGCACTCAAAGCATCGCAATATATAAGCTTTAAAGGATACAAGCCATCAAAGTCCTCCATTCACCTCTTTTATAGGCACCAAGGAACAGAGAAACAACCAGACCAAATATTCCCTGCAACAATCCAAAGCTACTATCCATAACAAAGTCATTCGTCTCCACAAATCTTTGTCCACCACCATCACCGCCACAACTGCTATGACTAGAACTATGGCCCATCTCCAAAGGTTGTGCGCCTCCGTAATAGCGCCAGCACCCCTGTCAACAGATACTCATCTTCCCACCCTATGACTCGTTCCGATATTCTTGACAGTCTCATGCCTCTCTCAAGATCTCCTTGGTCCACTATCTCTACCATCATCACTAATTGCTCCAAAGGAAACCACCCATGATGCTCCTTTGAACTACATATTGGCTGGTAGGCCAGGATAACCAAGATAAAAAAGATCTTTCTTATTCGATACCCGCATTTCATTTTTTATACACATTTACAATAGTTGATAATTAATAAACAAATCATATCATCGCTCCGAACATTTGTTTGATTGGCCAGTGGCTCTCCTAATGCACACGAACCACGACATTGGTATTACCAAGCACACTATAGTACAGCTGATTTTATTATTTATCCTTAATAATAGTAGATTGCTTACAGGCGTGTGGAGATTGAGTCGTTTGAGGATCTTGTGAGTAACATGTGCGAGCTTGTTATTTGCGCGGGCAGAAGGATGGTAAAAAAGCTAAAGTAAAAAAACAAAATAGACTATGACAGATTTATTCTGATGCTTTTTGCACAGATCATGATGCTAAAGGGTGATCGTGTCAACTACATCCGAAAATGATGAGTGTGATATATTAATCACGTCAAGACGTAAGGAATGCGAAAAGAAAAAACAGCTAAAAACATAAACATGCAATCAGAATAACCCTACATCTTCTATACGAGCACGCTCTCCTTCTCGTCTTTTAGAGCATCCTGAAAGATTATACTCAATTGTTGGACAGTATGAATTTTATGGCTTGATAATTGGCGAGTTCTTTCAATTCCAGGGAACCTTTTGAGGGCCGTGCGTACATCAATCTCTACATACATTGCCATTACCAGGTAGCACCCATCTCCAATTGGGAATTGAAGAAATAGCGGGCTATTATTACTGGATGGTGGTGTAACGAAATGTGGCTCTCGCATGGAACCGACTTCATCATCAATTTCCATAAAAAATGCCTGGCTACTAGACATTTCCTCTTCACCCAATATGGAATGAGCATGAAGCTCTTGCCGCCCCTGGTTTTTGCTTGAGGGCTTCATTCGGCCACTCGCTACACTTTGTGGCTGGCCTGCCATAGTCGCCTCCGATTGTTGACTGGGTTTGCGAAGATCTCTTTCGGTAGTGGTGGGCTGTACTAGTTCTTTAGAATGACCGAAGGTGCCGATTTGAGTAGTGCCATTTTGATTTTTTCGATGGACCGAACCATCTAATGATGATACTAGTGGCAGTTGCCGAGCAGTGTTGAGGAACTCCCCTGGGAACGAATCTGTAGTCGCTAGCGCTCTGCCCGACCATCGTGAAGCTTCGAACCCCCGACTATGATCGGATGGTGGCGGTTTCCTGACTCGAGGGTAGAGTTAAAGAAAGAAAAGTTAGTATAGAGTTGTGTATCAATATTTCTTCTAGGGGAACGCTAAAGCTTAAATAGCAACCTACGGTTGTTTTTGATGCTTGGACATGGGTTCAGCTGGCCGACCGAAAGATGGTTTGAGGCGCGATGCCGGTTTGTCGGCATAGTATCTCGAGCCTCCAACATAGGACCGCCCATCGCTCATGGTGTTGTTGGGGTCGACAGCGGCGACAAACGCCAGATATGGATTTTCGGCTCTCTGGGTTGAATCTTGAGCATTATTTCTCGAGCTAGTAGGCTTATGCTGCTGTGGGGACCCGGAACATTTTACATGGGCCATAGATGTCCCGGATTGGTTAGAGGAGCCTAGCGATGAAGGGGGTCGGGAAGGGATTGAAGACCACATATTAGATGTACTTAAAGCCTGGTGAGCCTCGCTTGCAGCTTCGAGCTTGTCTTCAACTGAAAATTCAGTCGCATCACTATCAACTGTTTTAGACTCTATTGGACTTATACTGGTAACGGTTATGTCCATAGGAGTTGTGAAAGCTGCTTGGTAGGATGTAGTTGGAGCAGATCCTCGTACAATAGGCTCTTGGGATAAAGCAAAGGGCTCTTCAGCCGCGCACTCGTGTCCCTGCTGGTGTAGCTGCTGTTGAACCTGCTGGGGCTGCGCCTGTTTCTGTAGTTGCTGCCGCTGTTGTGAGCTTCCTTCGGCGGAAGCTTCCGCCCATTTACTAATAGAAAGGCCTTCCAGTTTGTTCTTTATTTTATTTTATTTTATTTTTTTAGTGTAGGAGTAGAGATGTGCGGGAGAAAATGAGCAAAGAATGGGAAAGAACAAATAAAGAGGGACGTGAGGGAAGTAAAGTAAAGAAAGAGAAGAAAAGAACTAGAAGGTCTACATAGCAAGACAGCACGTGCCCGCTTTATTATATCCTTTTTATTACTCGATACAGTTACCCTTTTTGATTGATGAAAACATATGTTAGTGCATGGATTACATCAATGGTGGACGCGGCAATGCCTTTTTCAAACACGAGAGCGAACGTACAGTGATTTTCATCTTTATTTTATGACCTCAGTGGGTTACGTATGGCGTTATTCCTTCACTTTTTGGGCTAGTTAGCAGCGTAGGCACGGCTTTTGCGGCACCCTAAGGAGCTCTGGATAAGGGCATAAGGCTCTCGAGGACTTCGGCACGGGTCGTAGCCTTGACAATAGAGCCGAAAGCAACATTCCGGAGTTGTGGTTGGGTTTGATGATGATAATGACGGCGCTCCTCTGCACCTGAAGGGCGAACACTGCTCACAGTCGTACCTGTTAAATTTTTTGTAGTTGGGCCGTCGTCCACAAGTAGGATGTAAGGTGATGTGTTTTGTTTAATCTTTATCATGTTCAATATGAGAAACAAAAAAAAAAAAGTAGAATCTGAAAGCGGGATGACGTAGAAAATGAAGACAGATAAATAATGTGGTGCGCTCTTTTCAAACCCTGTACCAAGCCTGCTTTATCTTCGACGCGTCTTTTCTTTTTTTATGTGTTTCTGATGATGGCTTTCGAGAAGAGTGGCAGATGCATCCATATTTATACTTTGTACAAATGCGCTGCCACAGTGTTGATTGTGTTTAAACTCTAAATGATGCAAAACTTAATTCAAAATGACACCAAATCGGAGAATCCCGCACTATTTCCATGTAAACGAATTCATGAGGAGATGCATTTGTCAGCACTCTCAATTAGGAAGGCGCGCTGTTCCTATTAAGAGAAAAGATTCAGAACTTGAGCCGTTACGCAGCAAAAATAAAAGCTTGGAAGTGTTGTTCCACGAGATTTGATCCTTTAGAATAGCTACCCAAGTTGTCATTCCATTGTTTCTATCATGCGAAGTTCTTTGTCATTTAAGTTTTAACTGACATTTTATTTTATTTTATTTTATTACAATGGCTTAAATGATCTAAATACAAAGATGAAAGTTTTTTTTTTTTTTTTTTTTTTTTAAATATAAAAATAATTTAAGCATGCGAGTAATCCACTCTACATGGTCTCTCGGATCCTAATAAGTTCTTTCGAATATCCGCCATATTCAATCAACAGGGCCTCCATCGGTTGGAACCCCATGTAGGATGCACAGACAACCGCTGATCGACCATCCTTATTATATACATTCGGATCTGCCTTCAATTCTAGCAGCCTTTTAGCCATTCGCAGTGCCACTGCCACGGGATGGTGCTCAGGTATTTCCGGCTCTGTTGCAGATAGGGATTCTGACGTGGTTGTCACTTTTGCTTTTGTTGCTGGCATCGGAGGTGTTGTGCATGGCGTTGGTATCCCTGGCTGGCTTCCTTCAACAAGTGCATCAATTGCTCCCTCAACCTGTCTCTGCTTTCCTTCTACAGGCGAGGGGCCCTGCATCACTACGCTATTGCTGTTGCTATTGTTGTTCTCCAGCAGATCTCCGGCATCAAAATAGCCGTTTACATACGTATCTTCTTCATCCGGCGTTGGATACGTTCCCCCACCTACGCCAATGTCTTCACTATCCTCCGGAATCCACAGAGTCGACGGGAGACTGAGGCGTCGGAATGACAGTGCAGAGCTAAGCACTGCTGGTATGGATCTGATGGAAATAAGCGACGATAAACCAGATAATGATGATGATGGCATAGGGTCTTCAGCCGATTCTAAGGAACCAGACAACGTCTGAAGAGTAGATGAGACAAATCCTCCTGCACCCAAGCCTGTTGAAGTCAAAGTTGAAGAGGGACAATGTCGTGGAAATGAAGAGGAGAGCAAGAAGGGTGAAGTCGGTTGTTGTAAAAGAGACTGTGGTGTTAATTCTTTCAATATATTGCCTCCTTCTTTAGGAGAGGACGATGGATTCATGGCAAGAGCGGCCATTGTTGACGAATAAGAGCGCCGCCATGCCAGCATGTGTAGTAGCGCTTGTCCAGAATTATGGTCCCTCGTGTTGATCAAGCCTACAATACCATGGTGGATAACACCCTTAAGGAGCACTTCAACCGTCCTGAGTTTATCTTTCTCTGAAGTATCTTCCGGAAACTCGAGTTGTCCTAACAGTGATTCCATTGGTCTACTCAAGTCGCTATAGTTATTCAAAGGCGAATCCACAGGGAGACCTAAGCTTCTTGATGGTAATGGTGATGATAATGGTGCTGATAGTGGTGAAGATGACGACTCACGTAAATGTATCGATCTATCCTTATGAGCTGCTTCCTCCTGATCGAGCGCAGTTTTCAACTCTACCAAGAGCTGCTTCGCCTGCTGAAGCGCAAGATCCAGTTCCCTCTCATCCAAATTCAAGCAGGCTTCCTGCATTCGCTCCAAGAGATTACCAAATCCTCGCAATGCAGGTAAGCGGATCAATTCATGATATGCAGGCGAATCTACAATATCGATCTTGTAGAGAATCGGGTTTTCGCTCAGTAGTTCAATGACATCTTCCAACTCCATATGGGTGTGGCGGAACCCAAGGTCCAGGGAAAGTACACAGCGCGCTCCGAAACAAAACCCTAGCATTGATTTGATGCTCCTGGACGGCGCACCATAGGAACCTTCTAGGTCCACAACGAGTCCTTGGCCCGAGATCGCTGCTGCGAGTCCGATCATAGGCAATTTGTTAACGTCCATCACAGCGCCCCAGTCGTTGGCAAAGCAGCAATCCTGGAACCGATAATGTGTCATGGGGACCAAAGGATACCCTTTTGATCCATTGATCAAGTCTGAATGCGTAGATTTTGTAATAAAGGACGATGCTGTTGAAGATAAGAATGTACAGGGATCAAAACCGTTCTCGATCATCCAGCAGTACTCCTGGATCTCCTTCTGTTCCAAGTTTCGTTCGAATCGCTCAAGGATCTTTTTGCGGAGAGTGTTCCTGGTTCGAGGAATTAACACGTAGGTTCCTACAGAGCGGGAAAATTCGCGAAGCTCTTCGTTGATAGTTCCTCGCATTACTTTAGTAAGTGGCTTTGTGGATGAGGTTAACGACGAAGTTGGTAAGAATGGTTCGAAATCTTGTGTAGTAGATTTGATCAAAAATAGTTGATCCGGTCTTTGTTGACTTTGAACTTGAATTGGTGCTTGTTGATGTTGGTGTTGTTTTCGACGTGCAATGGCTTGCTGAGCGTTGAGATATGCTTCACTTCCGACAGGGGGGCCCGATGTAGCTGTTGTAAAGGCCATTTTGCCCGCCAGAATACCTGCGGTGACGACCCTTAAATCTCGATCACGCATGTACCGATCCCTGATCACAAGACTAGAGATCCGAGGAAACATGGAGAAGAGATTGAACACAAAATCAAAATCACTGTAGACCTCCTCCTTATTTAAACCAAGACCGAGGCAATCCATCGGGAAACATTCGGAAAGATCGATATGTCTGGTCTCTGTTAAGGCAATCTGACGCCAAAGTCGGTTGACTGCAACGACTGAAAAGAGGTCCGAAGCAGGGAGATACTGAAAGACGAGCATGATGATCTCATAAGGCAGTTGAAAGGCTCGTTTCTGAGTGGACAGATCGGACTCTGACCGGCCCGAAGCACATAATGGTGATGGTACCTTTGCCTGTCACGACAAGGGAAGGGAGAAAAAAAAAGGGTGTCAGCCAGTCTTTGTTTTACAAGTAAGGATGTAATGACATTGTTTGAATTGTATTTAAAAAAAAAAAAAAAAAAAAAAGCGCACCAAAGGATTAAGACAAGACGAATGGAGTAGCATATGGCGCTGTTGGGGTACAACTGCTTTGGAGGCCAAGGCAGAGGGATGAGATGTGCTGTTTCGAATGCGCATGCGTGGAACATGTTGTCGATGAGAGACATGAGCCTCAAAGAGGTCGTCCTCAGAAACTTGTCGAATGGACTCGAGGATGTCCTTGACGTATTTGAACATGAAAGAAGAAAGATAAAAGTAAAGATGAAGATAAAGAATAAAAAAGAAAGAGAATGGTGTTTTGGTTTTATTTTAATGAAACAGCGTGGAGTTGTTGACTGAAAAAGAAGAGTAATGAATTGGAAATGAAACGAATGGAAAGGACAGAGACGTAAAGACAGAGTGGCGTGTGATTCTGATTGGCCAATTGGATGTCTGAAGCATTGGTGCTCGAAATATATCCTTGCCTCGGGCATGGACAAGACTCTTCAGCATTGTCAAGACAAGTAGAGGTAAAAATGGGAAGTAGAAATAGGAATAGGAATAGGAACAGAAATAGGAATACAATGAAGAGGGAACAAAAAGAAAAAGAAATCGAAAAGGAAAAGGAAAAGGAAAAGGAAAGGAAAAGCAAATGAGAGATAAAGAAGAATTTTGATTATCAAGACAAGACCAAAGGACCATGGCTCAGGCCCTGTGAGCAAGAGGGTCAAGCTTGTCGCTCTTTTTGGTTAGTCGTTTTCGATTATAAGGATTTTGTTAAGTAAACCATTTATATTTGAAAGGTCTAACCAAAAAGCTTGGCCCTCTGCCTGTGAGTCTAATTAAAGGTGATCTCCCCACAGATTCTTCTTCTTCTTTTGCATTGCACATTCACATTCACATTCACATTCACTCATTCTCATTCTTAGTCTTATTATTCTCATTCTAATTTCATTTACGCTCTTCACATCAATCTAATCTTTATATTTCTCCCCTTTCATTCATTCGTACTCTTTTACCTATTGCCTATTACTTTCCGCTTCACTCGGCTACTCTTACTTTGTTGTCTCAACGTTCATCCTCAACTTATGCATTCCATTTCCACTTTTTTATCTACAGCCTAATCCAACTCATTATTCTACTGCATCCTCTACTTGATTTTTCATTTATTACTCAAGCAACAACATAAAAAAAAAAGAAAGAATACCAAAGTACAACAAGACAACGTGAAAGTAGGATATTAGCGAGGATCGAATGTCCAAGCATGTTTACCCACGCTGGCACAGTCCTGTCCAGAAAGTACTCTTCGGTATAGCCGTCATCCTTTGCATTACCTTACCTGTAATCTATGGTGAAGATGACGACGATGTCTTTATCTCCTCCACAGCTGTCATCGTTGTCCTGGTGCTCTACTTTGTTGCATGGGGTCTATTTTCTGTAAGTATTCCTTTCTCTTTTTAGACAGATGGCAAAAAAAGAGTCGACATGCATTATTTTTTTATTTTTTAAGAGCATACACATTGACATGCAGGAATTATGAAGACTTCACTGTTGAACCGCACTTTTTTCCCCTCCCTTTTCAACCATGTGGTCATGTCATTTTCTACTGTACTTACAGAAACAAAGTACTGAAAAAAAAAGGGGGGGAAACGCCAAACCGGAAGATGAAGCGATGGCCTAAGCAAAAGCGCAATGATACACAAAGCGCACGCTTCAAACAGATGAGCAATTCTCCGCTACCGAGAATGTAAAAAAAATCAAGGGGTTCACTTGATACTTATAAACTGCGCATTTCCTTCTAGACTAGCGTTGTGCACAGTTGTGCACAGTCATACTAACGACACGCTTATTCCTTCCCTTTTTTTGCTTCTAGCTAGTCGCCCGGTACGCAATCAAACCACCCACTGTAGAGTCGAAACTTCCAATCCATACACCATCTCCTGCACCACCCCTGGTCCTACATGCGCCTGCAAGCAGACACGCCGTCCCTGCAGCACCAGCCATTAAAATCACAACCACAACATCTCCACCTTTCTCTTCACAAGTTGCTGGCCTAACAAATGAACAAAAAAAACAGACCAAGAAATCAGGAGGTGCTCGTTTCGCGGACTTTGATAATGACGATGATAGCGACAGTGAGCCAAAGCAGATTTACGACCCTTCAGCTCTAAGTGGCAATCCAAACACGATAGCTACGTCCATAGGACAGAGAGGAACAACTGGAAATACTAACAACACTCAAGCGGTAACCTTTCAAACTCGTCCTCAGGGATTGACAGGAGAATCCGTTCTTCAATCGGACTCTAGTTATCCAACCTTTGCTACCTATCGTCAATCACAACATGCCAACTTTAATGCATTTGCACAACGTATCCGGCGTGCGCTTGAAGATGCACACTCTCAGCGTCTATTAATGCAGGATGAGGAGCAGAGGAGAGAGAGAGAAAGGTTGGAAGCACAACGTACATCACAACAACGTCTTGAAAGCTCTGCTTTAAGCGATGCAAATGCGGTTATGACTGCCACGTCCACAGGGATAGTAGGATCTGAGACCACTGCAATTGGAGTAGGGGCTACACTTTCGCCACCATCCAATGCCCTCTCTGCTATCAAGGGGACGGGTCGTCCACGGTCATCGTCTACTGCCAGCATGATCAGTAATCTCTCTGAAAAAATTCGATTGGGAGGTGTTAATTTCTTTGGACGTAATGTTGGAAGGTCTAGGGCTGGAAGCGATGCCAGTGCCATGAGTCCGCCATCATTAGCATTAGCTAATACCCCTGCAGTGGGAGTAGGCACAGGGACTTTAGATGGAGGGATATCGTCGCCTGTAGATTCAAATGCATCGGACACACTACCGTCCCCATCATTAGCACTATCGCCACCTACGTCATCCACAACTACAATGGCAGCCATTGCCTCTGCAGCAGCCATCGCTTCCGCAATGACCTTACCACAATCGCCTGTGGATAGCTCTGAGAAAGATGTCACTATTGACATGGGATCAGTACCAACCACAGCAATGATAGACGATAGCAAAAAGGATTTGAATGCAAGACAAACAAGTCGCCATCCAGGGCTGAGCCACCCTTTGTCACAAGCAATTCATGTGGACGATGACGATAAGAGCCAGGATGATAATGAAGCAGGTTCAAATGACGATGATGATGATGGTGTAGGTGTGGTCCTCAGTCCGGATGAGAGTTATCCAAACCAACAGGAAATTGAGCATAAGGACAAGGGCTCTGTAGCATCCTAAACAGCAACGATTACACTACCAGATGTGAAAGCAGGCATAAGAAACACTAGTTTGTATCATATAATTTTAAAAACTATCCTTTTTTTAAGTAAATATTGACTACAATCACTCAAATGCTCACTGGCAATCATGGTCAAGGATAAAATTTGGTTTGTTCTTGCTCGACTAGCTGGCACTGCTTCAATTAATCTATTACTACTGCTATCCATACTGCTGGCATTACTATTTCCGATGTTGACGCCCTCAGGATGTTTCTATTGGTGCATCCTCAGCATATCAGCGGATAATGGGAGAGCGAAGGAAAAGAGATCATTCTATGCATTTGTTTGTGTTTAGTGCCACCAACGTTGGACGAAAAAGTGAGTGGGTAGTTTTCATATTTCATTCAGAAGGTAGTCGATCGCTATCGATTATGTGATTAATTTGCTTTGCCAGTGTGAAATAGCTAATAAACATCTGTACCGCTGCAATGCTGTCTACTTACTTATTGCAATCTCTGACATTCCTGGCATTCCTGACATCCCTGACAATCCTGACAATCCTGACAATCCTGACAATCCTGACAATCCTGACAATCCTGACAATCCTGACAATCCTGGTAATTCTGATATTTAGAATAGTATGATAATAAGTCAGAGCCGTTTGTTTAAGGTTGTAATATTAATTTGTCTTGGAGTAGTAAATAAATGCACTTACTCCGTTTTGTAGCCTTACCAAAACAAACAAGTAAGCAAACTCTATTAGAATTAGACAGCAAGAGAGCACAGACTAGCCAAGCAAAGACGCGCAGATAAAATTTAAATAACCAGATCGCCTTGGTTGCCAAGAGAGAAACAAAAGCAGACAGGATTATAGCCATATGGATGCTTATTCGATATCTCACAGCATGAAGAGAAACTAAGTGCATTTTCACTCAATAGTATTAGAAGGAAAGGGGGTCCATACGGCCTACTCCTAATTACAATCTCAGCAGGGAATACTGCCTCTTTCCAGCCCTGTGGATGTACTCCATAAGACGCCGCTTTGGTTGTTGTGCACGGGACTTCAAGCTATTGGCAACGGTATCTTTCTTGATACCCAGAACAGAACTATGCACTCATTTCGTTGAGTTCACAAGCCGTTGGTTCTTTGTAGAAGCCATTCTGTTAGAGGCTATATACTGTATATCATATGTTGACCTCACCTTTAGTGGCGGCACATTTCCCTAACCCTTTCTCCAGATCCTCTGGACTGGTGTGGCAGAAATCCCAACGTCTTTGGACATTTCTAGATTTCAAGGAGAAAGAGGCTTGAAGCAAGTACGTTTACCGTCTTTACATTATGCTTACACATTGTAGGAAGCTATGCACTAGCCTATTAGGAATGATATACAGTGTTAGTAAAAGAATGAGCCTTCGACAGTCCTGACGTATGAGAATTACCTGCAAGGAGGAAGGGCGGACACCAAAGAGTCATTGCTTTGGCTGCTAGCCTGCCACAAGTCGGCTATTTATTTAAAGTGAATAATCTTTCCTTAAATACTACTATATTATTATATTATTTCAGTGTATTATAGATTCAAAGCCGTGCAGCCAATATTGAGTGTCTCTAACGGCACTAAGGCCCTTGAATACCGATTAAGGCACCGTCATTTATAAATGATCAAAGCTACATTAGTTCTGCGTGCCTCCGCGAGTGCTAGAGCTCCTTCCTTTCCGAAAGAGTTGGATCCCAATTCCAAACTGTTCAAAGTTGTATTAACTTTGAGAGCCTTTGACAGTGCCAAAACTCCTTCATACCCAATGGAACTGCTCTTTAAGTCCAAATTGACCAGAGTCATATTATTCTTGAGTGCCTCTGATAAAGCAAGGACTCCTTCATCCCCAATTGGATTACCCCGCAAGCTCAAAGTGGTCAAAGTTGTGTTAGCCTTAAGCGCTTGTGATAGTGCCTGAGCTCCTTCCTTTCCGAATGAGTTTCTCCCCAAGCGCAGAGTGTTCAAACTCGTATTAGCTTTGAGTAACTCTGACAGTGACAGGGCCCCTTCATTCCCAATTGAGTTGCGCCACAAGTCTAAAGTGGTCAAAGTTGTGTTATTCTTGAGTGCCTCCGATAGTGACACAGTTCCTTCATTTCCAATTGAGTTGACTCCCATATCTAAAGTGATTAAAGTTCTATTAATCTTCAACACCTCTGATAGCGCTAGAGCTCCTTCCTTCCCAATTGAGTTATCCCACAAATTCAAAGTGGTCAAAGCTGTGTTAGTCTTGAGCGCCTCTGACAATCTTAAGATCCCTTCTCTCCCAATTGAGTTGCTTCCCAAGTTCAAAGTCGTCAATGTCATATTGGTCTTGAGCGCCACTGAGAGTGAAAAAGCTCCTTCCACACCAATTGAATTGTCCCATAGGTCTAAAGCTGTCAAAGTTGTGTTAATCTTGAGTGCCTCTGACAGCGACAGAGTCCCTTCATCCCTAATCGAGCTGACTCCCAAGTCCAAAGTGGCCAAAGCAGAATTAGTCTTGAGCGCCTCTGACAGCCCTAGAGCCCCTTTTTCTCCAACTGAATTGGCCCTCAAGACTAAAAAGGTTAAAGCTGTGTTAGCCTTGAGCGCTCTTGACAATGCCAAAACCCCTTCATCCCCAATTGAATTGTTTGCCAGGTTCAAAGTAGTCAAAGCTGTATTAACATTGAGTGACTTCGAAAGAGCAAGAGCTCCTTCATTCCCAACCAAGTTACGCCACAAGTCTAAAGTGACCAACGTCGTGTTAGTCTTGAGTGCCTCTGATAGTCCCAGAGCCCCCTCATCCCCAACTGAATTGATTCTCAGGTCCAAAGTGGTTAAAGCTGTATTAATCTTGAGCGCCTTTGACAGTGCCAAAGCTCCTTCCTTCTCAATTGAGTTCTTTGCCAGGTTCAAAGTAGTCAAAGTTGTATTAACTTTGAGCGACCCCGACAGAGCCAAAACTCCCTCATCCCCAATCGAGTTACCCCTCAAGTCCAAAGTAATCAATGTCGTATTAGTCTTGAGTGCCTCCGACAGCGCTAAGGCTCCTTCCTTCCCAATGGAGCTGCTCTTCAAGTCCAGAATAGTCAATGCTGCGTTAGCCTTGAGGGTATTTACAAGAACTAGTAGTTCACTAGCTCCAATCGATTGAGCATTCATCTTGAAGGATAGCTTATGAAGATGCGCTGGCTTGAGCTGTAAACTGAGGAGTGTTATGAATTCTAAGGGGAGGACAATATGAATTGTTTTGATATTGCTGAGTTCCATGATGCGAACAAGTGCTTCATGTTGTGTAGATGTTAAAAACGCTTTCCTACTGACGCTTCCTGGAGCTCGTCCAAGTCCAAGTCGAAGAATCAATACACTTGACAGAGTTAGAGCACTCTCAAATGCTTCAAGATCAGTCTCCGTCCAATCCCAGTCAAATGTGATATCCAACTCGTAAACATGCCTTGCGCTGGTCAGAGCATCAAAGAGTTCCCTAGCTCTGTTTATGGGCTTAAATGTGATAATAGCTTTTCCAAGGTGTGAGTCATATATGCCACCATGCATCTTTACTGCGCTTTCAAACGCTTTCTGTCCTTTTCCTCTGTATGTCGCAGTATAGTGGTCGAGACAAACCCATTTGACATGACCTGCTTCGGTCGCAATCCTGCTCAAGTTGCCAAATTTTTTGTCTTCGTCTTTACTTCGAAGAAATGTGCTCAGCCGGCGGAATTCAGCTCCTACAAGTCCTTCATAATCATCGATTGCAGTGATGTTGCTCAAGGCTGGGTCCTCCCTAGAGAGTGACTGCATATAGTCGATCGAGCGATCGATACCAGGATTGATCAAATATGGGACTGATTCCAGAGAAGCAGACGAGTGCACTCCAAACTTGAGCCACTGTAAGAGGATAAACATGTATTTCCCGTACTTGCGAAAGAACTCTGTGCTATCTCGGACTTCATACCCGTCATGCTTGGTAATATGGATCGGACTCTGGCTACTCTTGCTTGTCATTGCACTGTGGTCTCCACATTCACAGAGAAAATGAAGACGAAACTTGTTCCTTACGACATTCAGTGGATCCCACTTGGTGTTGTCGACAGGCAAAAGGATAAACAGTCGAGGAATTGGGCATTCGTGAAGCTCAAGTTGCTGGGAGAGGATAGTGTGGGCATGTTTTTGAAGGATAGCAAGACTTTTGGGTGCCTGATGCCCCTTATTGACATCTTCCTCCTTAGTATTCAATTCCGGCATAAGCATATTCTGCAGTTTAGTTATTTCACTGTCCTTCTCTTTAGCTTCCAGCAGCAGAGCAATCAACCTGTCATCCTTCTCTTTTGCTTGCAGCAATATATCACTCATCTTGTTGTCCTTCTCTTTGGCCTCTAACAGCAACCCTGCAATCTTTTCAAGCTTAGAGATGATCGCCTCGAATTGTGCGCTGCTGTGAATAGTATGAAGCGGGTTGAGTGATTGAATCAAGTTTGGTGATGGCAAAAGAGGGACCTGAGAGGCCAGATGTGCCGAGTTGCTTGATGTAGGCAAATAATTGATGGTGCTTTCGTTGCTGGATTGCGGGGCTTTAGTGATGACATCCAAGATCCTGTGAGGATAGAATGAAATGCATGGAGGTTCGATTCTAATACGAAGATATATATACATCCCAAATTGAATTCCTCTATTTGATTTCTACAGACACCCGATAAGGCACAGCATAATCAATGATGTACCTGTTGCCATAAGGATCTGTAAGGAACGGAACAGGAAGTCCATCCAACTTGAATCGCTGTGCATCTGGAAACACGTCTCCAATGTCTTGCAAACCCACACAGAATGACGGACTACCATTGATTGCAAAGGTAGAAGCAATTCTGACACAAACTTCTTCAATGATGCCATCCTTTCGGAATTGTTGGTAATGATGTTCTGTCATTTCGGTAATAACTCGATGGATGAAGACAGGATGAAGGGTTCCTCATTTCTCTTTTTAAGCGATAGATGCATCAGCTCCACTTCGCCGCTTGGTGTGACAAGAGTGAGAAATACAGACCACGGTTTGCTTAATAAATACCCCAACTTTTATATCTTTTATATTTCATTACTTAGCTCTTTCAATGATACGAGTTTTGTTCATTTGCCAAACTGGCTTTCATGTAGTCCAAACTATGATCCATGAGTCCATACCGCCCGCCAATTGATTGATTCTTCCCATGTCGCTTAAAGCCTGGCATTTAAAAATCCTCGCTCTTCCAGATCTGCTAATCAAGCTGAGGATGCTCAATTCCGTCAGCTTTCTTAGTTGTCCGAGCATCATCTGCTATTTTGCCAAGCCTTTTCCTCCGTGTCTCAATCCTATTGAAGCTAGAGTGTAGCTATCCCAGAGCAGACCCCATTCGCGCCATTCATGGATCCTTCAAACATGGACAAATAGCTAGGATTGCTTGAGCAATGTCACTGTCTTTGTGTTGATGATTAACCATTTGTTGACTTTGTTCCTTCATTGCCATAACCAAGACTTGTCTTCCATTATCTGCTTGGGGTCTTTGCAGAGATAACTTTCCATAACTGGAGCATGGGATTATAAGGGGGCTGAGTCGAGCCTACCTAAGAGCGAATGTCGCTTCCTCCCCATTTAATGAAATGCCTCTCAAGATTAAACTGCTGCAAGGTGAAAATGCCTATGGATATCCTAAGGAGTGAAGTGCCTGTCTACTGAAGCCCATTGAGCCCTCTTCTCGGCCACATTTGAGACCAATGCTTAGTATTTAACCTAGAAATGTACCGAGCCAGTCATGCACAGCTAAGTACAGTGTGACAACCTTTGAAGACGCGACTGATTCAGTAATGTTCATTGAATGAAATTGCAGTGTTGCATGTTGTGCTGTTGCAATGTTGCGATGGAATGGTCGAAATTGAGAAGCTCCTTCTGCAGGAGGCTGTTGCCTTGATGCTTTGGTGCTTTGGTGCTTTGAATACACATGTCTCAATTTGATAGCGTACTTGCCAAGACAAGGCAAGACAAGACAAGAACGGCCTTGGTGCAGAGCTCTGCAGCTCTGAGAGAGTGTGCAGAAAAAGGAGATCTCTAGGCAACCACAGCATGCTGGCCTTGCGACAAAGCCTCGAGATCAAGAGGAAGAATAATAAAAGCTGTGTCTTTCTCATTATGAATGATATAACCATGGTAGCCTAGAAAGCTTACTTTGATCCCCACAATGAATGAATAGTAGTGTTGATGAGCAGTTGTGAATAGGATAAAAAATAATATGAATAAATAAACAATAAAAAAGCACCAGGCTCTTCGCCTGTCTGGCGCGAAGCAGACAGCCCAGGGCGCACCATGTGGAGATGGTCTGGTTGCGCGCCCTCCGGACCAGAAGCCCTGGGGCGGCCTATCAACACGCACCATCTTCGAGCCCAACCCGCGCCATCCTCAGCCTGCAGCGTCCTCCAGGCCGACGATGGAGCCCGTTGGACAGAGGCTAGCACTGCTGAGCGTGCTAACACACCGCTTTAGAGGCCGTTGGAGATTCAAAAAGAGAGAGGAAAGAGAGGTCTTTTTATACATTGTCAGGACCTAATGACTTGCTTTCTTTTCATTTGTCACCAACCTTTGACATGGTCGATCGATTGTGGGACCTTTTCTCATACGAAATGCGCTTCGCAATTTGTAGGTTTTTCATCTCTTTTCAAAAAAATGCTGTCCCCTTTCCTTCTAATACTATTGAGTGAAAATGCACTTAGTTTCTCTTCATGCTGTGAGATATCGAATAAGCATCCATATGGCTATAATCCTGTCTGCTTTTGTTTCTCTCTTGGCAACCAAGGCGATCTGGTTATTTAAATTTTATCTGCGCGTCTTTGCTTGGCTAGTCTGTGCTCTCTTGCTGTCTAATTCTAATAGAGTTTGCTTACTTGTTTGTTTTGGTAAGGCTACAAAACGGAGTAAGTGCATTTATTTACTACTCCAAGACAAATTAATATTACAACCTTAAACAAACGGCTCTGACTTATTATCATACTATTCTAAATATCAGAATTACCAGGATTGTCAGGATTGTCAGGATTGTCAGGATTGTCAGGATTGTCAGGATTGTCAGGATTGTCAGGATTGTCAGGATTGTCAGGGATGTCAGGAATGCCAGGAATGTCAGAGATTGCAATAAGTAAGTAGACAGCATTGCAGCGGTACAGATGTTTATTAGCTATTTCACACTGGCAAAGCAAATTAATCACATAATCGATAGCGATCGACTACCTTCTGAATGAAATATGAAAACTACCCACTCACTTTTTCGTCCAACGTTGGTGGCACTAAACACAAACAAATGCATAGAATGATCTCTTTTCCTTCGCTCTCCCATTATCCGCTGATATGCTGTGGGCAAGTAAAAACAAAAATAAATAAGAAAGAGATAGTGGATTCCTTGCTCTGTCCTATGCTCACTTTATGAATGAATAGTAAATCCTAATTTTATATTTGTGTTTATGATAAGCTTGATGACATCTCTTTATTGAAGACTAAAGAATTGCCGAGCCAGGCCAGGTAGTCAGCAAGTTGATAGTAAGCCCCATGGAGAGCTGCTTATGAGTTCTATCTAGATATTTCACAATGTTGCAGAATATGAGGTTAGGAAGCTTGACCCTCTTACCACTGAACGCATTGTTGGGCATGATGAATACACGTTCGGATGCGAGACGCTCGAATACAGCATTTAATTATTATTACTGTCATAATGTTATTAGCCAAAATCAAAAGAATTTAGCCAACCTAAATCTTTCTACCCAAAGATTTAGCTAAAATTTCAATCTCTTTGATTCCTTTTTCAATACACTGATAAATCAGTTACTTTTTCCATCTGCTTTATGAATTTGTAAAAACTCATCTGCCAATCTAACTGTTCTATATTCTTCCTTACAGGAAAGCAGGGCAGCGCTGTGGGACACGCCACTCTTCAGGATGTCGTGGTACCTCCCCTCCTCACAATCAAGCATCCGAGAATACCTAAGGAAGTGCTCCGATTCCAATAAGGCATAAAAAACGACTAAGCTGCATAGTCTATTGATCACCAAGCATCGCAGGCCTATGGAGCAATAATAACAATAACAGTGTAGACTCGCTAAAGGCAACAAAGCTGTTTCCTGCATTGTATGGAAGGGAGTTTGGTTTATTAGTAAAATCGGCGTTGCATCCAGCTTTATGTGGAGCTGATGCACAACATCAAATAGGCGAGCTTAGCAAGTGCAGGATCCTTGTGTATGAAGTATCTTTTTAATGTTGGTCCAGTATCCTAATAGCCTACACCAAGGAGCGAATACTAATCGCAATGGTATGTGAAGCCTGAGAAGATAGTCTATTCATTTTTTATAAAGCCACAAGGGGGATGACACTCCACATTCATTATTTGTTGATTTTAGTTGCTTCATCATCGTATGATTCTACCAGAGTTGCTCAATGTTATCGACATGAATGAATAGAAATATCGCAATGGGTTCATTAAAAAAAATAAATCCTAATTTAGTCCGGGCTGTCTATTATGAATTATTTTCATTCATATACTTACCGTGAACCATATCCACTTTAGTGATGGATCCAGATGGCGTCAATCCACTTCTATATTATGGATCGTACCTTCCTATGTTTTACGGTAGTTAGTCCTTACCCTTAGTAATAAAAAATAAAAAATAAAAAATAAAAAAAGAACTGAGATATATCAGTGTCGTTTCTTCTCTTCAACACTAACTCCTTGCATATATTGTGGCCGCTCCTCCCTCTCGGCTTCATTTTCGCTCTCTCCTTTTAGTTGTTCGCCTTTACCGCCTTCTCTCTTTCTTCTGAGCCTTGTTTACCTTTCCATTCTTTTTTTGCCTTGGATCCACAATCACTTTAACCCGTTTCCCTTCAACTCTATTCAACCATGACTAAGCTAACGCTCACCTACATTGTTGATAAAGAGCCTGGTGCCTTTGCAATTAAAGCTAATACCAAGGCTTCAGTTGGTGAACTCAAGATTACCATCAGCAATCAAATTGTCTCTGGCCCTAATGCGAAGCCAAAGGACCTCATCTTCTGATGTGCCGATATTGTTGGTGTGGGCAATGTAGTCAGCCTCAAAGATGTGCCATAGACAAGGAAGGAAGAGCTCAACATAGTCGGCGCTAAGTTCAACAACATATTTAACACACCACTACCTGAAAACACTATCAATGTCATTGTCGAGCAGCCGCAGCAAGTATGTATTTAGTTCTGACGGCTGATATTTGCTGCCGATGAGTTTTATTTCCTTTCTCAACACGGCCATGAAATCAGTTTTTTCTTTTATTTCTTACTCTTCCAGTACCGAAGAGGGAATTGGAAGAAGGTAATAGCATATCTTTAACTACCTATATCAAAGACACACGGTTTAGTAATCGATATAAATTGATATCATTGTACTATCATCAATAGCCCCAGATTATGCTTCGTCTTCGAGCTTTAGAAGAATTTAAAGAGTATAAGGCTTCTGCTGGTAAAGCACGTTACCACTTGGATTATAATGTTCTCATTGAGTAAAAATATATTTATCTACAAGAGCAATAGCAGCAACAACAGGGCCTTTCATTGCATTGTTTAGGTGAGGAAAAAAAAAAAAAAAAAAAAAAAAAAAGATAGCCCCATTGAACAAGTTCGTCCTCATGGTCGACTGTCTGCTACTAGCGCCAGTTGATATATATAAAATGACTAAGTTTGGTTGAATCATCTTATTCTAAAGACAAGTCAGCTGTATTTGTAGAGCAGCAGTGTCAGATCCAAGCCCTTAACTGTATTCACTACTTTTAATACCCATTCGAGATTAGCTGATGAGTGTCTTTGCATCGCTCACACTTCGTTCACTGGTTGAAATATACATCAGTGCTCGAAAAAAAAAGGAAAAAAAGGAAAAAAAAAAAAAAAAAAAAAAAAAAAGCGGTGGGGGCATGAAAAGCTAAGGTCCGTTGAGGTACGCTGATAGTGGCTCGTGGAGGTGTCCTCTTTTCAGAGCTCTCATCTGATTGTTGATCATAGCATCGAGGACATGTGAAACTGTGGTCGATAATCGGTGGAGGCTATCGTCAGACTGATTGTGAGTCTCCTGTAAGCGTGAGCTGAGTGTATTGAGAATTATAATAAGGTCGTCCGACTTAAAGTATCCAGGTGGAGCACGCTGCACCAACTGAGACAATCCCTCCATTAAATGAACATCTAAAATCGTGTTTTGGCTGATACCGTTGACCAAAGCCATGAGTAGCTTCTTATATTGATCATGGCTGAGGATTGGGGCCAAGGAAACTACTTCAGCAACTGTAGCCTCGACCTTGACCTTACCACTGACAAATATTGCCATCACATCCGATGCCAAATTGTGCTCATCTTGATCATCCGACTTTGTCAAAGATTTTTCTTGCCCCTGGCCACTGGAGCCTGCCATCAAGATAGGTGAATTAGGAATCAGGCTGAAGCGATTCAGAGGCCGTTGATTATTGTGTGGGCTATACTTAAAGGTCACTTGGGCTACTTCATGATCAAATATGCCTTTTGGAATAGCTTTGTTATTATTAAGTGTTGTTGAGCTTTCTGTTGCTTCGGTTGCCTTTCTACTTTTACTGTTGTTGATAGTGGCACCTTTCTCTTTTTTGTTATTGCTGCTGATGTTGTTAGTAGAGCGACCGACTGATGATGATGATCCTTGACGAGCAGTGTTTCCTCCTTTGTTGTATCCCCATTTTCCAGCAATTTTGTCTGTTCTTTGAGCATCACGTGAACGTCCTAAACGATCAAATATGCGAGCGATTTCATTGAAAGCGGCAGCGATATTCTGGCACAGCGCTTTATCTTCTTCGGCTGTTGAAGAGAGCAAGGTTTTTCTCTCGGATTCTTCAATTCGAGCCAGTGTTGAGACTGCATCAAGGCACAATTCCAAGACAATATCTTCATCATCAACACTTCGGACACTCTCTATTTGAGAATGAAAGAGCTTCAGAGCCTTCTTTGGGACGAGAGGAATCCGTGGTACACCATGCATCTTGTCAAGTGCAGGTTTGTTACGCTGTTATGGTTCCTTTTTTGTTGGTCTAATCTTTCAAAGGAAAAGAGTGGCTTAGTTTCTTTTTTTCCTGTTATTTTTCGGTAGCAAAGGACATTATGACAAACTCTAACGTATCCACTTACGTATATAGTTAGCAAAATCAAAATATGATTAAGAGGAAGAGAGTATACAATGAATGTGCTGGATATTGTCGTGCGGGAGTGGAGAAAAAAGGCAAAGGAAAAAAGGGAAAAATGAAAAGAAGTTGACACGTCAAGATAAATTATTGTGGCTGAGCTCAATTAGTCAAGTCACACAGGTCTGGTTGACCATGTGGGTGGGCATGTATTTTATGCTGTGAATGTTTCAAAACACTTAATACGGTATCAATTAAAAGCCAATGAGAAGTAGAGGCGCATTTTTATACTCTGAAGGAAGGGATTTTCTTTGCCTGGCCAAGAAAAAAAAAAAAAAAAAAAAAAAACGAAAATGAAGTGATCTAAACAACGCCCTGATTACATATAGTGCCCTTCAAATATCAAAACAAAAAATGACATTTGCCGTTTTAGTGACTTTTCGACTATTGCGTTCGCCTAAAAATGGCAAATGGCAAATTTTTGTTTTGATATTTGAAGGGCGCTGTTAACGTGTTTCATTTCAATTGTGTTCAAGAGGGTATGCACTTTATCTTATTTTGAACAGATGCCATCCATGGTCACCAACTATTTGCTTCAATGCTTTTGAAGTGGAAAAGGGGATATATTTTTATCAAATAGCCTGGGCGGTTTCCTCGAGCTCTTTCCTCACGCATTCCTGAGGCGAGACATTTCCTTTGCCGCGGTTTGGGGCTAATGGGAGCCATGCCAGTTGTGGGCGGTACTCTGCAGTTTTAGACAGACTCCACTGATGGATCCACTCTGGGATGTAGTTGAACATCACGTGGCGAATGGTTCGATCAGTCCATGTCTAGAAGTAGTAAATGTTGTGAAAAGGATCATAAAAAGGTTAGAGGATATAGATAAAGTGAGTAATGAAAAAAAAAAAAAAAAAAAAAATACCTGCCCCGCCATGAGTTGAGACATGACACTGCTACGCTTGACATGCCCACCTGCACGACTGTATCGTTGATGGTAGTATGTCTCAAAAGCTGCAGTGATGTTTTTGAAAGACAGATCAGTCAAAGCAAAGATACTATTGGCCAACACTACAGCATCCTGCATCGCATTGATCGCTCCTGTGTTCATTATAATCATAAAAAGAAAATAAGTAAACAAGTTAATCGTTAACACGAATCCACATCAAGCATCATGTCTGGAGGTTTTTTTTGTTTAAAAAAAGAAAAAGAAAAATAATAACAACCTTGAGCGCCTCCAGGAAGCATCTTGTGGGCAGCTATCAGTAAGAGAAAGGAAGATTTAATAAAAAGTCTTCTTTTTTCGTTTTATAGAACGATTGTTTTATTAAGATTACCATCGCCGATCAGAACTGTCCGACCATGGTACCATGTCTTAAACAATTTGTCTTCGAGGACGACTTTGGAAATTAAATTCTTGGGAGTGGCTTCAATAAGGTCGCCCATTTTACCGCCCCAGGGACAGGGCTCGTTCTCAAACTGCTTAATCATGGCTTCATTCGCTTCTGGGCCCCATTCTGCGTTATTGATGTTCAAACCTTGGCTCTCTGGCTCCGCGACTTGTGCACTCAGGGACCAACAGATTTGCTTGTCCGCTACATTACGGACGCCCCACTATGGAAAAAAAATAGAATGTAAATAGTAAGCATGTAAAAAAGATGAAAGGTTACTGGCTCTATTTTGCCCATAACTTCTTTTTTCTTTCTTTCTGAAAGCCTTTTCTTCACTCCCTTCTTACACTGCGATTATCATGCCCAAGAATCTGCGCAAAAGTTCCAAAGTTGTCTTTCAACTGTGGATATTTTTCATTCGTTTGATCATTCCCCCTGTCCTTGAAGTCTGCAACGCCGACTAAATTGACGTAGGCCATCTTGAAGTTGTCAAGATCTTCCTTGGGCAACACTCCTTTCTCATCCAGCTGTTTGTATAGGCTCTTACGGACCCCACTATAAGCCCCATCAGCTCCTACTAGGATATGGCCTTCATAATGTGAATTATCAACACAGTAGATTCTGATCTTGTCCTCACTAGGGACCTCTTCAATCCGAATCACTTTTTTATTCATGCTGATCTTCTCCACTGGGACTTGTTTCCGCATCAAGTCGTAGAGCTTTGGTCTTGAGAATGCCAGCATGTCGTAGCCAGTACTATAAGCATATATAAATATATATTAGGATGATGCCTAAGAAAAAAAAGAAACGTTCGTATATACAAATGCTTCAATTTTCTTTTGTTTGTGCCTTACAGTTCTTTCTGTCCCTTCCCATCCAAGAATCCAACCTGTTTCATATCAGTGCTATAAATGTATGCTGAATAAAGCGGGAGTGAAATCTTGTATAGTTCTTCTAATAGGCCCAGTTGCTCAAAGACTGGCAGAATGTTTGCTCCCAAAGTCATCACAGACCCTACAAAAAAAAAAAAAAAAAAAAAAATCAAAAACAAAAACAAAAACAAAAAAGCCGTTTTTTATTTAAAAAAAAAAAAAAAAAAAAAAAAAAGATGAGGATAAAAGATAGGATGAAGTGCACAAATCTCGTACCAAGTGGCCGTACTTCTACAGCACGCTCATAAATATGGTAAGGGACTTTGATCTTCTCTAAAAGTAAACCCAATAGGAGTCCTGCAAGACCTGCACCAACAATCAAGACTGTAGGCTTGGTCTGGCCCAATGCAGCTGGCGGAGCGGTGGTTGGACTCGTTGTTGCTTGATCTGTCATGGTCTCTTTCACTCTTTTTTTTATCTTCAAGGAAATTTTGGTATTTAAGAAAAAAAAAAAAAACGAATGAAGAATGAAGAATGAAGAATGAGATGAAGAATATGAAAACAAAGGGGGTTGACATTCCTTCTTAAGTACTTAGACAGTTTACAAATATCAATAACCACCATTGGATTGCCCAACCTTGTGTATAATAAGATAATAAGACACAAGCAATTGCATGAAATAAATGGGAACACAAGGAGTACAAAGTAGATTGTGCTTCACCCACCACAAACCACTCATTGCATCCATACGCCAAGGAAAAACCTGAAAGCAACAGAAGAAATCCTTTATCATGCAGATCTGTAACATTATTAATAATATTTTCAAAAGCTACATATGATATTATATATAACGGCATTAATGGGTGCTGTGTGGAACAGAGTCTAGGTATTACGTGCAGAGGAGGTAGAGGCAAATAGATGATGGGGGTTATCAGTCTGTTTAATATCCTTTTCGATTAGACTGTTTGAGCTATGGACTGCTGTGGTAAGTGAAATCCAGGTCTAGGTCTTCTTGGGCCTTCTTGTGGTAATACTCGTCCTAATCCGCGGTGCGGTACCAAAGGGAGCCATGCGATTTGAGGACGATACTCGAAATTCTTGGTTGAAATTTGTTGTTGTAACCAGTTTGGAAGATAATTGAGCAACACATGTCGGACAACTCTCTCGAGCCAAGTCTGCTCAGTCATAAAAAAAAAATAAAAAAATAAAAAATAAAGTGAATAACTAAACGAAGTTTCGTCAACATGCTTAACACTTTTTTTTTCTTTTTTCTTTTTTCTTTTTTCTTTTTTCTTTTTTCTTTTTTCTTTTTGTATACCTGTCCAGCTATCATCTTGGCCATGGCCTTGCTTCGCTCAATCTCGTTAGCTGCCCGATGAAATCGCTGTTTGTAATATTCCTGGAACAATGCAGTGATGTCTTCTTGCGTCGAACTATTCATACTATACAGACAGTTTGCCAATACCACAACGTCTTGCATTGCATTCACAGCGCCTACGAATCAGGATATCAAAAAAAGATGTTTGTAACCATTCAGCCCATGCAAATATAAATTGGCAAAAAGGTTCTGAATATAATCCAACAAGGTCTTTACCTACGCCTGCTGCAGGGAGCATCTTGTGGCAAGCTAATCCATGCATGCATGTTTATAGGATAAAAAGAAGAAAAGGATATCAACAAGTTGAACAGATATTTACATATAACGTATTATATATGAAAATTAAAATTCAAAAATCCATGGCTCCTATCCCCCTTACCATCGCCAATCAACACAGTGCGGCCATAGTACCATGTCTTAAACAGCTTCTCCTCAAGGAACACCTTTGAAATCCGCTCCGGAGGTGTGGCATCAAAGATCTCTCCCATGGTACCCCCCCAAGGATTGCGTAAATTTCGAAACTCCTTGATCATCGACTCGTTCGCCTCAGGTCCCCATCCCGAATTTCGAAATTGTAGGGTTTAGCTTCTGTTTCGGAGAGTTGAATACTGACTAGCCAGCAAACTCGGTAGTCCGCCACACTACGGACACCCCACTGAAATAGGATTATTATCAAAGTGAAAAAAAAAAAAAAAAAAAAAAAAAAGAGTCAGAACCAAAGATCCTACAGTCAACATTCGCCTCCTGTAAAGACCTTATCATCATTTCTCTGCCTATTACGCTGCGGTTATCCTTGCCCAAGACTTGTGAAAAATGTGCGAAACTCTCCTTCAGCTGTGGGTACTTTTCAGGGTCTTGAGGGGTCGTTACACCCACTAGACTGACATATCCGATCGAAAGACTCTCCTGATCGGACTTTGGCAACGATGGTTGGTTACTATGGCTACTACTACCTCCTTTACGATGACCACTGCCTTCAAGACTGTCACGACTACTGAACGCCAATATATTCTTGAAGAGGCTTTGCCGAACACTGCTATAGGCTCCATCGGCTCCGACAAGGATATCACCATCATATCTTGTGTTATCGGAGCAATGGATCATCACTCGTCCTTCTTCCTCTTCAATCCGTAATACTTTTTTGCCGAGATGAATCTTGTGTGCAGGAACCTGTCGTAGCAAGATATCGTATAGTTTAGGCCGTTCAAACAGGATATTATCATACCCAACACTAACGCAAAGACAGATTGATGATGAAAGGTTAGCTGAAAACTTCTTTTTTTTTAGAGAAAAAAAAAAAAAAAAAAAGGATACTTACGCAGCCTTTTGTGCTTTGCCTGACATGGCTCCAATCGCTTTCATATCTGCATTATAGAGTACAGCAGATTGGAGCGGCAATGAAATACTCTGAAGTTCTTCAAGCAAGCCAAGTTGCTCAAAGACTGGAAGAATGGTTGCACCAAGAGTAATTGCAGCTCCTACAAGAACATTAATAAAAAATAAAAGATCAGACTCAAGAGGGCGAAGCAACTTTCAGGAATCTCCCAAAAACTTGTGAATTGCCATCAATTGGATCTTTCCATACCAAGTGGTCGGATCTCTCTTGCTCGCTCAAAGATCTGGTAGGGAACATCAATCCTCTCCAATAATGCACCGAGTAGCAATCCACCAAGGCCTGCACCGACGATGATGACCGAGGGCTGCGATTGAGCTCTGTTTTGGATTTGCTGAGTATCCATGTATTTATTATTTTTTATTATTATTATTATTATTATTATTATTATTATTTCGACAACTTTCTTGTAAGAGAATGAGAACAGAGATGAATGAAGTAAATGTTAAACGGAATGAACCAATGGAAAGGGCTCACATGGGTTCATTCATCTCATTCAAGATGAGCAATCACGTTGAGTTCGTTTTAACAAACCAACTGGAGCATACTGAACAGACTGTCTATTAATCCAACCGTCCCACAAACCCAAAACAAACTAACAAAAAACGAAGCTTCACTTCAGCATCATACCCACTGAAGGGACAAAGCTAGGAGATTCATCCAATTAGCCCCAACAGCCCTAATCCTAGCTGCTCACATGCAGGAAGGAAGCAAGAATCCAGAGTCATTTTGAACCTGTCCCACTTTTCTCTACACAGCATTTCAGAAATGTATCCCATTGGCCAAACTCTTTAAAACCTATTTACTCCCATTTGCACGTTAGCCGTTTTTTTTTTTTTTTTTTTTTTTTTTATACGCCTTGTATACAAGATAAACCTATCTTTAATATATCTATATATTTTTTTTGTTGCTCCCTTGAAAAAAGTGATAATATCATATCTGAGTAGCTTAATTAAACTATATCCATACAGTGTCTTTAGTGATTGAGGTCGGGAAAGGCGTTCAGGAGCAAGCGAATGTTTCTTTGCGTCAGTGTTGATCTGGTCATCTGGAAACTCATGTGGCTTCTCAAAAGTGTTGGTCAGGGATGATCGGCAGCGAATGCAACTTGAGGATGCGACGTGAATTGTGAGCAGTTGGCCAAGCATCAGATACTTGGATGGCCGCTTGATCTGTGAGGAAGGTATATACCCTTTAGCTTCTGAATTCCTTCAGTTGCATAGTATATTCAATGATAATAGACCGACAAGAATAAAACTGTACCATCAATATACAGCCTGGCGTGGAGGACATGAACCTTAGGAATAAGCCTTCTAATGGACACCTACTTGGCGATGATAACGATATCATCGCGCTTGTAGTAATAGAGATGGCCTTATTCTACATCTCAAGAACCTTTTTAGGCACAATGCCCCAGCTAAGGTTACTCGGTGCAGAAATGCTTCATCTGCATCGATCCTTACTAATGCTGAAACGTTTCCCGAATATCACTAGCCACGATTTATCTTGAACAGGTCTGCTAAATGGCAGATCCTCAGCTTGAAACTTGTTTAGTATCAAAACTACGGATTTTTCGCCCTCAAGCTATATTAGTCCATATGCATAGAATCCTTCTAAGAAACAGCTTTTTCCTTCGGGTCGATGATCGGGAAGGCTCATTATACCAAAGTAGAAAGTAAGGAATCAGAATACATACACAAAATGCTCTCCCCTCCCTCCTTTTTCAATAATATGTTATTGTCTTTTTCTTCTCTCCTCTTCTCTTCCCATTTCTTTTCTTTTTCTTTTTTTTCTTTTCTTTTCTTTGTCTTTTATTTAACTATTTAATCATTCTACAGACCGCTTCCCTTCCTGTGGAAGGACGCGCGTGGTGCCGCGATTCTTGACGAGTGGCAACCATGCAATTTGCGGTCGATATTCAAAACTCTTGGCAATATACTGCTGTTGGATCCAATTAGGAGTATAATTCAGGATTGTCTTTCGGAGCATTCGTTCAGCCAATGTCTGGTAGACATTATTAATGGAGATAGTAATAAATTTAAAAAAAATAAAAAAAAATAAAATAAAAAATCCATCAGTTAGAAAACTGATATTATAATACTTGAAAGAAATCATTCCGAGAAAAAAAAAAAAAAAAAAAAAAAAAAAAAAAAAAAATACCTGGCCAGACATAATTTTAGACATTCCATTACTGGTGATGAACTGAGCGTGCGCACGATGGTATCGTTGTGCATAGTACTCTTCAAAAGCAGTTTGGATGCTTTTGGAGGAGTTGTCTGTCATATTGTACAGACAGTTAGCCAACACAACTGCATCCTGCATTGCATTCACTGCACCTAAACAGTTTAAGAGATTGTCGGTTGTTAATAAGCTTTTTCTTTTGTTTTCTTGCCATTCGTAGCATTCATGCCCCAAAGTATATAGCATCCTCACTACAGTTACCTTGACCTGCACCGGGAAGCATCTTGTGGCAAGCTTATGGAAGGTTATGTGGGAGAAAAGGCAATATATGAGTTTCTTTTTTGCTGTTTGAAGAGCTGCTTTTTTTCTGAACCATTTGAAAATAGCACTTCTTGAAGACAAAGAAATAAGAAAAAAGAAAAAAGAAAAAAGAAAAAAGCCAACTAGAAACTGCTTACCATCGCCGATAAGGACTGTTCGTCCATAATACCAGGTCGAAAAGACTTTCTCTTCCAGAAATATCTTTGAGATCAAGTCCTTGGGTGTAGCATCAATAAGATCTTTCATCTTGCCTCCCCAAGGACACGGCAAATCTTGAAATTCTCGGATCATGGCTTCATTGGCTTCTGGACCCCACTCTGAGTTCCGGAACTGCTGGTCCTTGGCTTCTTCTTCTGAAAGTTGAATATTCAATGCCCAACAGATCTGGTGGCCCGCCACATTGACCGCACTCCACTATTTCAGATAAGAGAAAAAATCGGTGGAAAAAAAAAAAAAAAAAAAAAAAAAAAAAAGAGTCAAAGGACAGGAGATGATATTATTAATCATATTGGAAAATGAATTGTACGCATTTGTAGAACCAATATTTTTCTCTTCCTTTCTAATACTTTACCCCTCTTCTATTCCCACCCAGGACTCGACCATACTGCGCATGCCGTTCTTTCAACTGAGGATACTTTTCAGGATCTTGAGGATTTGTCGTCCCGAGCATGCTGACATACCCGATCGAAAAGCTCTCACGGTCCTCTTTTGGGAGGATCCCCAAGGTTTCATCCAAATGTTTGTAGAGGCATTGACGGACGGCACTGTAGGCACCATCAGCACCCACAAGGAGATCGCCTTCAAAGACTGTATTGTCCGAGCAATAGATAGCCACCCTGCTTAGTCCTCCTTCAGTTTTTTCTTCAAACCGAAGAACTTTTTTGTTTAGACTGATCTTTTCGGCAGGGACTCGTCTGTAAAGCAACTCGTAAAGCTTTGGTCTTGAAAACAACAGATTGTCATATCCAGTCCTTTTGTTTTTGTTTTCCCAAAGAAAGAAAGAAATATTATCAACTGAATGCGGCTTGTTCAGAAGCAACAAAGATATAGACCACATATAATGTAATATACGTATTTGTATAAAAATATAAAATGCATTACTCCTTCTCACCCAAAAGCTCCATAGTGGCCAGTTTTTTCATATTGCCATTTAGGATAGAGACTTTAGTCACCGGCACAGAAATATTCCTGATCTCGTCTAACATGCCTAACTGTTCAAACATTGGAAGAATATTGGGTCCTAAAGCCATAGCAGATCCTTTTTTTTTTTTTTTTTTTTTTTTTTTTTGTTTGTTTGTTTATTTATGTAAAAAGAAAAGGGAAAAGAGTAAGCATAGATATATATATAAAAGGAAGAGATCGGGAGAGGAATGAAAATGAAAAACGCTTACCAAAGGATCGTAATTGAGATGCTCTTTCAAAGATATGGTACTCAATATTGATCTGCTCAGAGAATATAGCAAGCAATAGACCCCCAATGCCTGCACCTACAATTATCACTGCTGGTCTCCTCTGCTCATGGATCGTCGTTGGTTGTGACATTTTTTATTTTTTTTATTTTTTAATTGAGAGAAAGAGAAAGAAAGAAATAAAAAAAAAAAAAAATAAATAAAAAAATAAATAAATAAATGTAAAGTACAAATAAATAAATAAAGAATAAAGACAATGAAATAAAAGAAAAAAAGAGTGAAAGGAAGAATAAAAGGATTCTATTTTTTTTTTTTTTTCTTTTAAAGGGCGATGAACCAACAACGAATAAGCTTGTAGTGAAGCAGCTCATTTCTACACCATCTTTTAATAATCATGTCACAAGGAAAAAGAAAAAGGCGATAGAGATCTCTGAAGGAGAGCCTTTGGGCAAAGCACAAACATATACACAAGAAAGCCCTGGAATGCTTCATAGTCAATGAAAAGTGTACACATGGGCTCAGAAATAAAAGCAGCCTTTTCCTCTCTTTTTTTTTTTTTTTTTTTTTTTTTTTCCCTGTCATTCGTCCGTTAATCGATTGTAAACAAGTATACACGACTCTACATGGGTATAATAAACATGTACATGTACAATGGCCTTGGGCGGGCAACAAGGCCAAGGGGGTGTCCATCATTATCCAACATCCACAGACTAAAAATGACAACATGTTAGCTACACGCTTTTTATATCCATGTTCTATATTTAAAAAACCCCAATGTTTGTCCGTGTCAAAGGCTACTAAGCGTGTTAATTGAGTTTATGCGTCTTATGCATGTCATCCAAGAATGTACATGTACGTCGTGAAGGGAGCCAACAAGGCAACTAGATAGTCCAGATTATCTACTTTTGTGTATATTATTTATACATGTATAAATCTATCATACATCAGTATGACGCCCTCTCCAACTGTAAAACCTGTTCCATTCATCCTGTACGACTACAGTTGACTTCCAAAACAAGAAATATTTTGATCATCTCATCCCCTTTAAAGTAAAAAATGATAATCTGTATATTGTATATATATTTTATTTTCTCCTTACTCCTTTTTACGCTTCTCGATCCAATAACAACAACCCTTCTATCTCTGGTTCTGTTACTGCTGTAGATCTAGATGTGTGGTCTAATCCCAATAAGGTCTCTTCTTTTGACTGTAGCTGCGACTGCGATTGGGATCGTTGTTGACACGATGGCATAGACGGAAGTGATAATGTCTCAGGTGAAGACATGTACCTGGACAGATACCTAGAACTATCTGTTGATATCACATGTCCCAGCATTTCTACATCTACAGCAGCCTCCACTACCTCATCCTCCGTAGACTCCACACCTACTCCTTCTCCTTCTACTCTTCCATCTCTTCTTCTTTGGATGCCATGAATGCGTTCATGAAACATGATATCATCACCACTCTCGTTTGGCGTCATCAAGCCCAGTTGATCAGGTTCATTCTCTTCCCCTCCTTCTCTTTCATGAAGTATAGAGGTTGGTGACGACAAAATTGTTACATTTAAGGGCTGCGGTGAAATGGGTGTAGTGGCACCTTCTTCCATTGAAGATGAGGTCGCAAATGTAACTGTGGCTGTAGTTGTAGCTACAGCCGTATCTGTATCTCTGGCTGGCTCTGTAGTCATGGTTGCCGTCATCAGTTTAGTAAGGGGAGTTGTTGCCAACAGTTGTTGCCGTTCTGGCTGCTGCTGCTTCTGGTGCTGTTGATTCTGCTGCTTGAGAGAGAATCCAGGCAGAAATAGACGTGGATTAATTGAAACAATTGATCGGTTTGTTTGTGTCTGTGTCTGTGTCTGTGTCTGCTGTAAAGGTGAAGCCGGGGCTGTTACTGCCGCTGCTGCTGTTGCTGGGGTTGAATCTGAGGTGACAACGGGCATAGATTTTGGAGATGGGGACTCCCAGGTAGAATCAGATAAAGGAGAGTCAACGAGTTGCTTCTGCAATAAAGCTGCCGTAGGCGTCGGCATTGGCGCTAGTGATGGTGGCAGGGGAGTCGAGCTCCAAGGTCTCGACCATGAAAAGTCTCTTCGAACCGTATTAGGGCTAGGAGAGCGTGGTGGCAAGGACTGAAGCTGCGACTGTAAGACATTAGTCACTGGAGTCAGAGCTGAGGTAGATGTCGGTACGATAGTGGGACTGTTGCTGCTGCTGCCTCCGACCAATCGAGATGTAAAAATAGACGAGTGAAATGAAGATGCAGACCCTAACACAATTGCTGGTGGCTTCGAGGGCAAAGTAGTACCAGTTCCAGTTGAAGGACCGCTCATTGCTGTCGCTATTGCAGCAGGCGGCGCTGTAGCTGATCTACTAGCCAGTGTAAGTGTTGATGCTAGTGCCGTTGGTGTGGCGTTTCGCTTGAAAAACCCTCGTCGTTGGGTCCGACCCGTCATGATCGAGGCATCATCGCCTACCACTACCCCTGCTCCTCGCGCTACCGTTGCTCCATCACTTGATAGAGACGAGCTACCAAGGATTGCAGAGAGTGTAGAGGGTACTGTAGGGGCTGGAATGCCGCCGGAAGGAGTCGTAGGAGCGGAATTGATCATATTCAAAGCTTTTCGTTTTCCGAATAGACCATACCGCTTGATGAATTGTTGGGGACTTTCCTCTTGTGCACTCTCACTTTTATCACCGCCAGCAGGGCCTGAGCCGGTGCCAGAACCTGTTGCCAAGGTAGAAGAAAGCATTGATGTGGATTTGCTTGAAGTTGCACTTGCTGAAAAGTACGACATGCCACACTGCTGTTGTTCCTGTTGCTGCTGCATGGCTGTAACATCACCATTGGTATTGGTGTTAATACTGTTATTCTGCTGATGATGATTAGTTCCTCCATTATTGACATGGTTATTGGTATTACTGATTCCTGGTGTCCCTCCTCCTCCTCCCCCTCCGCGTCGAAAAATACCGCCTGCCCATTGTTTAGCCCAGCCTACGCGCTGATTGACAGCTCTCTTGGCCATGTTGACGTTCATCCGACCAGAGTTCTTCATCAGGAAGAGCATCCCACAATTACTGGCAAACAAGAGAACTAAGAAAAAGTCAAAACTGCAATACCGTACTAGCAGTGTGTATGCGGTCAGCATCAACAGAGTCTTGCGACGCTGTTTTACAAATGCTGTCTCACGGACCACTAATCGATCAAAATCATCGAAGATGATCAAAAGTCAATACCCAACCTTTTTTTTTTAAGAAAAAAAAAAAAAAAAAAAAAAAAATCTTAGTCATAAACTTACTTGCAAGGGTCACTTTATTGCCATTCCGTGGATCCGGCTCTGGATAAGTCAGTAATGCAATGAACTGAAGTGGGATTTCCAGGATTGAGTTTGGCTTCTCACTCTTCTTGGTTCCTGTATTAGGCCCACCACCAGAGCCATTGCTGTTAGCTCCTCCTGCTCCTGCTACAGCCAAGAGTCCTGGAGGACCTTCTATCCAGCTTATAATAGTATTCAAGATTAAAGGCGCACTAGACCATCCGAACGATCCACTGGTATTCCTAGTCGACCCATCTCCATTTGCTTGCTGCTGCTGCTGGTGTTGTTGTTGTTGTTGCTGTTCATCCTTATCGGATGGCACAGTGGCGACAGGGGGCTCAAATACTCCTCCATCATGTGTTGATCGATGAAAGGAATCGGAATCTCGACTACCGCCATTGCTGCGTCTGCCAAGGTTGAGGAAAGGGAACATCTGTACATCCTCCTTGTCGGGCGACTGCGTCCATGTTGTAGTATGTTGATTACTATTAGGATATATACTTTGGTCTCCATGCTGCTGATGCTGGTGACGATCTACAGGATCAAGGGTATAAAGGGTATAGTTGTCTTCTTGTTGACGTTGTTGTGACATTGTAGACGGACGGTGGTAATCTTTATGAAGGTAATCAAGCTCGTACGGTGGTTTTAATGAATATTGGTGTTGTGACCGATTCTGTGGGTGCGATCGGCTTTGGGATTGCTGAAGTTGTTGTTGTTGTAGTCGCTGTTGTTGTTGCATGCGCTGATGATATTGAAACTGATGTGATGTCGCTGCTGTTGATGACGATGGAAGGGAGCCAGAGGGAACAGAGAGGAATGAAGCGGATGCTGAAGATCCAGGTCTTTCTGGAAGATCATTTGTCAACAATGTACTATGTTGGTGACGAGAACGTTGGTGTTGATGACTATGTCGGTGGGGTTTAGTAGTAGAGGAGCGCTTTTTAACATCCTCTAATGAAATGGCCTTTCGCAACAAGCGCCCAGCAACCCCAAGCTTAAAACTGTCTGTTATAGGTGTATCCTCTTCATCCGAGAACATGGATAAATCAGAACCAGAGAGGTATCCGTCCTCATCATGGAACTCTTCATCATCATCATCTTGCTCTTGATTCAATAGATCGATGTCTGGTGGAGAGAGAGCGTTCTAATAAGAAAGAAAAAAACAGATGTTATTAGTAAAAAAAAAAAAAAAAGGCATTTTGAAAGACAAAAAAAAAAAAAAAAAAAAGCTGTTTTTACCGGGGTGCTGGTTCCCTTGAGCCAGGTTACGATTTTCTTGGATGTGATCTTGCCTTGGATGACAACGCGTGCACTCTGTGACAGATGGTCCAGTTCTTCCTTTAGAAGCTCAATTGAGTCCCCTTCCGCCACTGGTGAATTATAAAAATAAAAATAAAAAATAAATAAATAAATTATGAATTATAAATTATATTTAATCTTTATTTTTATTCTCCCTTTTCTTGCAATTAATATTTTCACTTTTAAAAAAACAAATATATATATTTATAAATGTATAAACATGCCTCGGTAATGAGGGAATCCTCGGGTAATGATCCTGTATGGATTATTCTCCTGACGTGGATGATGCTGAAGCACAAAGATATCAGTCTCCACCACTGCTTTCCAATTAGACCGTCCTCGTAGGAGTACACCCACCAATCGAGGATGCACCACCATCTTTTGAAATGCCAAACCCCCTCACTTTTAGCAAGAGAGCAGGATCAAGTCGGGTCAAATCAAGTCAGATTAGGTCCAGATTAGGTCAGATATGATCACTTGTAGTCCAGGATGTATTAAAAGTTATGAGCCAAGACTGAACAAGTGACTTTGGTCGAAATGGCGGTCAATTGAGCGTTGCGTGCCAACAAAGAGAGCAAAAAGTAATAAAAAAAAAGGGGGAGGAATGGAGGATAACGGATATGGACATACAGCAAGGAAGAAAAGAATAAGACGAGAAAGAGAAAGAGAAAGAGAAAGAGAAAGAGATGATTGATTGATTTGAAATGGGGTAACGAATGAAGAAAAGACTCGATGCAAACACAATTGAAATTTGATGTGTGAATGAATTGCAAAAAAATAAGGATGCAAATTCAGGTACAAAAAAAAAAAAAAAAAAAAAAAAGAACAGGCTTATTTGCGCACACAGGACAAGGGACAAAGTGACACAGTCAGGGTGTAGGACAATGCAAAGAGAGAGGGAGGACAAAGAAATTGTGGGAGAGAATGAGGAGAAGTTCAGAGCGGAAGGGTAAAAAGGGGAGTTGGAGGATAAGGAAGACAGGGAGATGATTTTCCTTAGTTTTATTTTATCTGCATAGCACACATGTAACTCGACAAGGATCATAAAAGACACCATGCATGGTATGGCCATGCGACACCCCTTTTAGACCAATCGCATATCCAATTCAATCCATTACGTTAGACCATTTGTACCTTTCTGTCTAGCTTAACTTTAAGTCGTGCTTATGCACTCGTACAACCTTTCTGATCTGTTTAATATTTACATTTTGTTGATCAAACAAAACCAAGGCCAAAAAGCATGTCGAGGCCACGTAAATTCCACAGTACGCTGGAATTTCGTATTGCTTTTGCTCATGCAATCAACTTTCAAACTATCCCTCACATTGATTTGCATTGTTTAATTGCCGAGATCGTTTTCCAATTCAAGTTCGAGTGAAATAAGCAGAAAGCATAAAACATGGAGACGATACATGAACCAGGGATTTCTTTTAATTTGCTTTGCTTTGCTTTGCTTCGATTCGCTTTGACTTCAAGTGTCTCAAAGAAATATCTTTCAGGACATCTTTGACATCATCGCTATCCCTATTGTTCAATATCTTTTGCCATCTTTTTGAAAAAAAAAAAAAAAAAAAAAAAAAATATTTTTTTTATTTTTTTTTATTTTTTTTATTATATGTATTTGTTCTACATTTCTGCCAAGGGACATACATGCATGCAACAGAGGAGTGGGAGAGGTAAGAGAGAAAAACAAAAATGAAAATAGGTCCTCCGAGTTGAATGCGAAGTTTGACCCATCAATGGAGAGGGTGGTTTGTGAGCGTTTCGGTGTCTTTGAATAGTGAATTATGCAAAAATAAAATAAAAAAATAAGGAAAACGAAAGGGGGAAAGCGAGAGAGAAGAGAGAGGGTGATAATGACATTTGTTGAAAATATAACTGTACATTGCAATGTGGATGCAGAGAAGAACATATCAAAACAATTGAAAAAAGAAAGAAAGAATAATAATATATAAAGTAACAACGACAACAACGATGCAAAAAAAAAAAAAAAAAAAAAAAAAAAAGAATATAGCAAATCAATAAGAGCAAAAATGATCCCCAATCATATCCGCGTCAAGTTCATGTTCTCTGATCCTGTCATTGATCTTGAACCCTAACCTCGAACGAAGACTCGAATCACTCTCATCATCACTACACACACAAAGAAGCTCTAGCCCTAGACAATACCCCAAAGATCTTCAACGCTACAGCAGAGTTTTCCGCAAGCAACAGATGCAGAAAGAGGGTATCCTGATACTCCAATCTTCTTGTCGACGTAATGATCAGCAAAGTTGTCCTCTCCATGAGCCATGGCACCAATAGCGACGCAGATCGAATAATCCTCTGGAATAGTAGGGAGGAAATCCTTCAAAGCGACCACTGGGGCATCGTACGAAAAAGCTGTGATTTTCAATAGATTAGACCATTTCAATCAATAACAATGTTAGAAACCACTCATACCATGTCTTCTTTTAACATTTATCGAAATTACAAGACAAAATCCTTTTGAAAAAAGCGATTTCAATCTTGCTTACCGAGCTTCAGGCACTTTGTAGGAAGGTGATCCGTGATAGGGTTCTTGATGACACGAAGTAATTTTTCCGATCCGTTGACAGAGCGAATAGACAATTTGTGCAGCAATTGAACTACAGTACAATGTCGCGTGGTAGAGGAAAGAAGATAGGTTTATCAGATGAGGTCCTAATAGAGCAACCATATAATCATGATCATGAAAGAATCAGGGAAGGCTTTGTTTACTAGAAATAAAAACATACCCATGAGTCCAGAGAAACGCTTGAACGTTCTTGGGATACGGACGTGAGGATTCACCTCGATTAGGACATTCTTGGCAGTATGGATGTAGACCTGAAGAAGACCGGCCTTATTCAAGGGACTATCCAATAAAGTGAGCAAACACTGTAATAACAAGTCAATCATCAATAAGACGCCACAGTGGCTTTTTGCTTTGTCACACCAACCATGCAGACAATGTGCATACACCATGGCCTTATTGACACCTTCGTTTCAAGGCCTTTCCCTCTCTCTTTTTTTTTTTTTAGGATATCTCTTTTACTTTAGATCCTAGATTAGGCGTATAGTATAATGGAAATTATAACATGATGGTGCAATAAAAGAAAGAAAAGAAAAGAAAGGAAAAAAGAAAGAGCAAAGATGTAACCAGCAATGGATGACAAAGAATAGTTTCAAAAAAAAAAAAAAAAAAAAAAAAAAAAAAAAATTCCCACAGCCAGCAAAAGTAATAGTCGTTGTTTGAAAAATGACAAAAAAATAAAAAAAATAAAAAAAGAAGAGCAGCATAAAGGTATTACATTCACTTATTGGTGTCATTGATGCGATCGATTCAAGTACAGTCGTGAGGAAAAGGATCAAAGTCAGAGTATACAGACAAGTGAAATCGGGGGAGACTTCCAATTGTCTCATGGGAAATCAAATATCCTCTTCTCCCTCTCTCTTCCTTTGGAAAAGATAATGACAATAATAATAGCAATAATAATAACAGTAATAAAAAGATTTTTTTTTTAAAAAAAAAGAAGCAGATCGTCCTTTTATCAGGAACAATTGCACTACTGTTCATTGCTTTTCCCCCTTTTCTTTTTTTTTTTTTTTTTTTTTTTTTTTTCGCATGTATTTTACCTGATGAGTGATATCAGGACGAGCATCAGTCACCTCCTTGCCCATCTTCTTGAGGATCCCTTGGTGATCATCACAGTTAAGCAGCTGATAACGAGCATCCTTGTCCTTGCCAACCTTGTATGTCTCCAGACAGGCTGACTCCAAAACAACAATTAGACGACGAGTGTTCTCTTTTTCCGTCACTGTCTTTGGCACCTTGGGTGCTTGAGGTACCAGCGAAATATTAGTGTTTGATTGTTCCATTGTTTAAATCTTTATCCGTTTGTGTATGTGTATGTGTATGTGTATGTGTATGTATATTGATATGGAACAAAAGATGAATAAAATAAAAAACACAAGTTAGAAGCTGGGCAAGTTGTTGAAGATCCAGAGCAATGAATGGGGATAATCGAAGTGAAAGAAACAAATAAAAAGAAAGATGTCAGAGATGATGCAGGTCCAGTAAAAAAAAAATAAGAGGTGGAGGCGTAGACTCTCATGGGAGAGAAGGAAAAAAAAAAAAAATCAAAATGTATACAATGAAGATCACAGTCACAATCTGCGTAAAATGCCTCTTTCTCTCCTTCTTCCTTCTCTCTTTCTCTTTATACCCTCCTCCACTCCTTATTGTATATTCATATCACGTAGTCAAGCGATAAAGGACGCGATCCAGGAAAAAAAAATAGAACAAATGGATCAGGATCAAAGTATGGATATAGATTCTACTGGTACATCGATATCAGCACAACAAAAGTCCAAGAAACAACAACCTACAATACTGACTAGACTATGCGACACTCCATCTGAAAATTACTATATCTATTTGACAATGTAAGACACACCACGCTACTTGTATTTTTCTAATAATAATCTTGCAATTGAGTGAACAGAAATAAAAAAAAAATCCAACCAACTTCTCTTCCTATTTTGAACCTTACAGTGAAATGGAATTACAGGCAGATGCAGCGGTAACAAACACCTCAAAGAGGAAACCTTCTTTTATCCAAAAACTCTCGATCATGATATTCCGGAAAATGCTCTCCAATGCTACCCAAGATCTCTTTGGTGCTGCTATGGGAGGAGGTATCAACATCGACATTTTAGGTTATTGGACCGATCAAGCTCAAGATCCTTTCAATCGCATGATCTCCTCAGCCTCTTCCTCATCATCTTCAGATCCGATTTCATCGCCTACTTTACCAACAGTCTCTGTTCGACCAACGTACTCCAATATGACTGCTGCATCTGCAGTCCTGAGATGTCACTCCCTCGACTTTAATCAGCTATGGAATGCTCTAACACTCTTCAACACCTTGGTCGACGATTACGAGTCTCGCTTCGAAGTACATTACACATCTTCAACCTTGCTAGGTTTGCAGGCAAACTCTAGGCAATTGTTGTGGCCCAACTAAAACTCGCACAATTTGTACACACATCAACCATGATCGGAAAAAAAAAGCTACAGTCTACTCTCTCCGTTTCCAATCAACGTATTAAAGCATACTTGCATTTTTGCCAAAAACAAATATCTTTGCAATCAAACATGTAATATGCGGAACAAATTATTCCATGGCTTTAGCTTGAAAAAACTTTTTTTTTTTATTTTTATTTTTTATTTGCATTTCAGATCTGAACTATATATTTCTCAAGACGCATCAAATCTCTATTTTTTTTTATTTTTTTTTTTTTTTTAGTAGCTACGTCCAAACAGTGCCCAGCGCTTAGCATCCTTTCCACAAGAGACACATTTGGTCTCTCCAGCAACAATAGGTCTATCCTGGGGCTGCTCCAAAGGGATGCAGAGCGATTTAGCACCCATCGAAGGGGCCTTCTCGTCCTGAACCTCCGTCGTAGCAACGCCAGTGCTTTTACTCTTCTCCTTGATCTCATCTTCACAAGCTGGCTCCTCGCACCAAGGAATCATACACATCTTCTTGTCGTCCAAAGCAGGGACAAAGTCCTTCCAGTCATCTACATAGGCCAGGTTGGCGTCGCGGGTCTCCTTTGCACGTTTGAACAGGTTGCTCTGGACATCATCAAGCAACTCACGAACCTCCTTGACGAGCTCGGCATGCTGAATAGTAACCTTCTCACCATTATCACGGCGGGCAGCCAAAGCCTGGTTATTCTTGACATCCTTAGGTCCAACTTCGAGACGAACAGGGACACCACGGAGTTCCCAGTGGTTGAACTTGTAACCGACCGAGTAGGTGGTACGGTCATCAGCTTTGGCACGGATTCCAGCCTTCTTGAGCTGCTTAAGGATATCTCCGATGCGCTCCTCAATAGCAGCCTTATCTTCGTCTGTAGTCTTGGCGTTGATACCGCAAGGGATGACAACAACCTGGATTGAGGCAACACGGGGAGGCAAGACCAAGCCCTTATCGTCTCCGTGGACCATGATCATAACGCCCAAGCTACGGGTGGTCAAACCCCAAGAGTTCTGCCAGGCATGAAGAGCGGGTCTAGCCTCGCCGTTGGGAAGAGGTCCCTGGGGATCCTCAAAAGAGATACCAAACATCTTTGCAAAATTCTGACCCAAGCAGTGGGAGGTGGCAGCCTGAATACCGCGTCCAGTAGTGGGAACAAAGCCCTCAATGGTGGTAGTATACAATCCTCCAGCAAACTTTTCATTCTCGGATTTGATTCCCTTGATGACGGGAACAGCAAGAAGATCCTCATAAACTTGGCGATACAGATCCAAAATCTGATAAACCTCCCTGTCAGCCTCCTCTTTGGTAGCAAAAGCAGTGTGACCCTCCTGCCACAAGAATTCACGAGTGCGGAGGAAAGGTTCTATAATAATTGTTTTTAAAACATATGGAGAAAAGGGTCAGAAACGATTTGATTACATCTTATATTTAAATATACCTTGCTTTGATATATGAACAACGACTCCTTACGAGGATTTTTGAACTCCCAGCGAACAACGTTGCACCACTGATTTAAGCGAAGAGGGAGATCTCTGTGAGAGCGAATCCATTTGGCATAGTAGGGGTACATGACAGTCTCAGAGGTAGGACGGACAGCCAAGGGTTCCTCAAGATTGCTGTTTCCACTATTATACCATGTAAAACAAAGAAGCCAAAGGTAAATGAAAAACGAGAGCGAATTAATATAATGCCCGCTTTTTTTGATGTCCAAGCACTTGATGCAAGTTTCGCCTTAATAAAAGCTCCAATGGCAAAGAATATAAAATTAAAATAAACATACGCCTTAGTGACCCAAGCAACCTCAGCGGCGAAGCCCTCGACGTGATCCTTCTCCTTTTCCAAGTTCTTGGCAGGGACAAACATTGGGAAGTATGCGTTCTCAACGCCAAGCTCCTGAATCTCTCTATCGAACCAGACTATTGCATTGATAACAAAGGTATCATAATATAAATAAGCTTTTTGTCTACACTATTATCATATAAAAGGATAAAGAGAGTTTGGCCTTTTTTTTTAAAAAATAAATAAATAAATAAATAAAAAAAAACGTACGCTGAATCTCCTGCCAAACTCTGTAGGCATAAGGTCTCAAGATGTAGCAACCGCTGACATCGTAGTACTCAAGCATTTCAGAGCGAGTGACGACCTAATGTATAACACAAACATTCATTGAATAAACACAGAGCAAAAATGATTAGAAAAATGATCATCAACTTGGAATCCAAGAAAGCCCTTTGTTTCTGTCTTTGATGACAAGACTTCATATTTACCTGTTGATACCATCTGGGGAAATCAACATCCTTCTTGTACTCGATACCAATCTGGACAGCACCAGTGGAGGCAGCCTCCTTCTTAGCAGCTTTGGGAGCCATCTTGTTAGCCTTAGCGGCCTGAGGAGCAGTGGAGCCTTCAGCGGCTGTATTATGTTTGATGTGAATTGTATATTCGGGAGAAAGGAAAATAGAAAATTAGACTCAAACGCGTCGTATGGGCAGAGGCAGTCGACAAGCACATTCCTCAAGATCAAGTCTCGAAACAAACATGCATTGGTCATCATTTGTTGCTTGTTCATTCAGCTAGTGCTCTTTTTCTCTAGGTTCTGGAAACAGCTTTTTTTTTTTTTTTTTTTTTTTTGTTTGACTCAAGTAGCGGAGACTTTCTGTGATATTCTCCCACAGTTGCCTTTTCAATTGCTTTGCGTATATCCGAATATGAATGTGTATTATGGATAACATCCTTATTGCTTGCAAAACTTACACATGAGAATGAATGGAGTGTTTGTTGTGCTCGTGGGTAAAGACAAACTGTGGAAGAAAGAAAGAGGAAGGAAGAATAACCAAAACAAAAAAAAGGGTTTGAACGAATGAGGATCGTTTTTTTTTGCAAGTTGTGCCTGGTATGTGTGCAGGATAAGAATTTTTTTTTTGTATTTTTTAAGGGGCTATTGGTGATCTTTAAATCTTTAATGCTTTATGATTTATTGCATCTGAGAAGGCCCCTTCAACAAACCTGCAAAACAACATTAATGATATACATATACATTTATATTACAAGATGAGTCTGCAGAGACTTTCTGATACAACATGTACTCAATCTTGGTCCATTTTGACCGCAGTCTACAAAGCTCATGCTGCGGCTTGATTTTTCCATGACTCATTTTAGGCCCTCTACATTTTGCGACTCCTTGACAACGAAAAGAAAAAAGAGTAGAGAGGAAAGTTTATTTGAACATTGTATAATACAAAGAGATAAAAAGAGAGATTAGAAAATAAAAAACAGACGAGATTTAAGCGCGGCCATATGTTCTGCGGAACTTCTCATCAATGCGCTGCAGGTAATAAGTGCCCTTCGCAAGTGTGGAGATGTCACCAATGGGGTTGTAATCCTTAAGCAAGGCAGTCTCCTCACGCAGCTTCAACAACTCCGCAAAGATCTGAGGGGTGACCTTAACACGGTTATCCAGACGAGCCTTGATATCAAGAGTCTCGCGGAACTTCTCAGTCGAACCAACGACCTTTAGCGAGAAGAACGTGGCTGCAGATCCAGATCCGTATGAGAATACACCAATACGCTTGTTCAAGATATTCTCATCAGGAGTGGCTGAGAGCAAGCTCGAAAGACATCCCCAAACAGATGCTGTGTACATGTTACCGACGTTGGTGGCAGCGTAGATTGAAGGGATAACCTTCTTCTGATACTCTGCTTTGGTGAATTGCATCATAGCCCGCTCAAGGTTCTTGTCGTAGTAAGACTCCTCAGAATGACCAAACTTGGCATACTCCTTCACGGAAGCATACATCTCATTCTCAGGATCCTGAAGCATGTCGTTATAGGCAAGACGTCCATAGGCCTTTTGGACCAACTTACAGTTGGGAGCATGGAAGGCAACAAAGTCAAGATCTTCATTCTTGATAAGCTGGTCAGGGTTGGGGCTATGGCGCTTGGAAAACTTCTTGGTAAACAGACTGTAGCAAGCGTCAACGGAGCGAATGTAGCATGTGTTGGAAAAGTGGCCATCGACAGTGGGGTATTCGCTAGCGAGTTCAGGCTTGTAAAAGTCCCACAAGTGGTTCATATGGGTAGCGCGAACACCCTGATCAAAGACAATAGGGGCATTAGGACCGATCAAAACGGCAACAGCTCCAGCACCGCCGGTGGGGCGAGCAGGGCCTTCAGCATAGGAGGCAATGTCAGCAGCGACAACGAGAGCGAGGCGGCCATCCCAGGAGGAAGATTCGATCCAGTTGACAGCATTGAAGACACCGGCAGTGCCTCCGTAGCAGGCGTTTTTAGTATCGATACCCTCGACATCGTAGTTTCCAGACTCTTCAAAGAGAGACATGAGGACAGTCTTGACCGACTTGCTCTTGTCGATGATGGACTCTGTACCGACCTCGAGATATCCAATATCCTTGTATGAAATGTTATGCTTCTCAACCAAATTTTGTACAACTACGAATAGAGATGAAAAAAATGAAATAAATAATATTAAACAGAATGTGAATATTTTCATATTTTCGTGTTCGATTTCCTCCGACGGTTACTCATGCAGCCACGTAATGAAAAGTCGAGCCATTGTGCCATTCTGGTTGCTCTATGCCGATTCAAAGTTGTTTTCATATGATGCAATACGATAACGACTACGGCTTATGACTATCATATTTTCTGATCCTTGTCCAATATGTCAAGGAAGATAATTCGCCCACATGAAGTTGTTCTCAAGAAGATTATAGTTTTTGAGTTCCCACCGGAACAGCATAGCTTTTTTTTTTTTTTTTTTTTTTTTTAGCTCTGCTCTGTTTGTTTTCTTACCTGTCAATGAGATGGAGTTGACATCCTCGCGGTCATCGCAAACAGCCATCTTGGTTTGACCCAAACCAATGGTATACTTCCCAGCCGAGACACCATCGAACTGTTCGAGCTCGGCTTGATCCACATACTAAAAGATGAGAAATGACAAGAAATGTAATGAGTTACCAAAAAAAAAAAAAAAAAAAAAAAAAAAAAAAGAAAGAAAAAAAAAGTGAAATGAGATCTGATTCGTATGGCTGCTGCTCCTTGAATGCAAAAGTCATCCCCACAAAACAAGGGAATTGAAGGACAACTGATTTTTCTTTCTTTACTTCCTCTCTTTTTCATTGTAATTCGTATTTTGTTTCTCTCAATGAAAGCAGTAGTAGCAGATGTCCATTTGTGAGGCTGTAGCATGTGTTCTCTTTGGCTGTAGTAACCTGCTTACCTTGGATGGGAAGTAGAACTCAAGGGCATGGATGCCAACATTGGCGGGGAAGGTGGTGTTGGAGATTGATCCGACCATGTTGTTAGAAGCGGCAATTGATGAAGAAGAAGACGGAGTAGAAGAATGAATAGGTTCTGAGAGAGAAGAGGATAAGGAAGAAAGGTTAGACATGGCAAAAAAGAGAAGAAAAAAAGAATGGTGCCTGGATATTTATGTGGATCGAGAGAGGAGATCAGACAGAGTGTTGCTGGAAATAAAAAAAAAATCGAATGATGTTTGAAGATAAAAACGTATTCTTATCTTTTTTTTTTCTTTTTAACTTATTTACATGCTTGCTGGTTTGTTGACCTGGATACTGTTCTCGTTCTCCCTCTCCCTTACGTGCTCTATCCCTAAACTTACTGATATGCCCTATTGACAGCTTGGGGTCATCTTAATCGGATCGGTCCTTCAACAAAGACAAGATCATCCTTACATCCCTCCTCTTCCCAAAAGTGACAGAAAAATGACTTTTATCTACCCATACCCTTTAACAAAAACAGGAAAGAGGATGAGTAGAATTGCTATGTTATGTATATATATTGTAGCTGGATCAAAGAATGGACGTTTGAATGAATAGGGTTTGAATAGACGGAAAATGGTTAATTGCTTATTTGCATAAAATATATATATATACTTCTATACATTTATATTTGTATAATCTGACTGAATAATCCGTTCATTTGTATCCTATCCTTGTGAAATTTTCATGAGCTGCATGCAAATCCAATGTAACTTCCAAAAAACAACTTCTCGGACAAATTGACAGACAATCAAACAATCCAACCTCCATGAGTATAAATGTTGTTGCACATTTACACTCCAAGCACACCATTGGACATGGGGGTTGTATCCCTTCTGAATTGGCTGACAGGGAAGAGAGCCCTATTCTTTCGTTTAAGATTGAAGAACAAAAAGTGGCATGATTCTGCTATCCGTTGGTTGCAACATATCTCCACAAATCTGCACTCCCAAATTTAGGGTTTAGCTTATATACTACAAGTATCAAGGGCTGTCCTTTTATGAATACGCATTCATGAAATAAACCCTGATCGGATGATTTTTTTTTATTTTTACTTTTTCAAGCTTTATTCGCTGGCCACCCTCAAATGGTTGAAAGGCTGAGCACAACAAACATGCACGCGATTTTTTTACTTCCTTCTACCGACATGTAAAATAAATGCAGACCTTCTCCTACGGAAAACACTAGTAGAGTGCTGTTCATGTCATGTAGAAGAGAACATCCCTCCTTATTCGTTTACAACCCCACTTTTCCCGTCCTTTTCGGCAAAATAGGGTTTTGATGTGCGAATATATATATATACATGTACATCCAACGGCAGAAACTTTTTTTTTCTGTCTGTAAAAATAAAGAATAACTACATGTACAGTAGTAAGTTGTTTTGCAGAAAGGTGCTATGCTTCAAGACCGAGAAGAAAAGCTGCGTTTTGAAGTTAGTAGCTATTAATATAATGTTGAGATGATATTTCACTTCGGACATTGCTACAACAATTGAAACTTTGTTTACCTTTTATCAGATACTAAAAATTTGGTGGCGGATCTGTCTGAGACTGCGTTTGAACCAACTGATTGTGCACAATGCACATGCGCTTGAACATGCAAATGAATAAAAAAAGGAAGGGCATCTTTAATGGATTCGAAGTCTCTCATTTAAACCATACCCTATAAAAAACGTAAATATGTCTTGTGATAGCAATGCATCTGCGGAGAACAGCCTTCCCAGGACGGATATCATGCAACTGTTCTCAACCAGGACGAGGCCATTGAACGTCTGTGCTCCCATGGTTCGTTACAGTAAATTGCCCTTTCGAGAATTAGTGCGAAGGTAAGTAGATTTCCCAGCATTTCTCAAATATAGGAAAAAAATGAAAAAATGAAAAAAATGAAAAAATTAATAAGCAAGAAATGTTGAAGCTTCTTTCTAGATACAATTGTGATATTGTTTATACGCCCATGATTCTTGCCAATGTTTTCTCTGCTAGCAACTATGCTCGCGATAGTGAGTTCTCAACAAACTTATTGGACGACCCCGTCGTCATTCAGTTTGCAGCTTCTAATGGTGTGGATCTTGCCAACGCTGCAGAGTTAGTTTCTCCTTATGTCTCGGGTATTGATATCAATTGCGGTTGTCCCCAGAAATGGGCTATCCAAGAAAAAATTGGTTCCCATCTCATGTCCGATCCGGAAACTGTCAGAGATATGATCCGGATGACAAAGGCTCGCGTGAATGTCCCCTGTTCCATTAAAATCAGAATTCATAAAGATCTGCGGTAAAAAACCATTTTACAAAAGTGAAAAAGTTATTAATTCTTTTGCACAATGCGTCTGAATGATTTTTTTTTTTTTATCCTTCGTCTCAAGAGAAACAGAGGAGTTTGTTAAAAGGGCACTTTCAGTGGGCGTAGATTTCATCACAGTTCATGGAAGGACCAGGAGACAAAAATCAACAGAACCCGTCAACTTGGAGGGCATGAAATTAGTCAAAGAGGTCTCCACTGTACCTGTCATTGCCAATGGAGATGTCTTTTCTGTTGCAGATGCCAATCAGATTGTCGAGGCAACAAACGTCGATGGTAAGAAATAGACTTTTTCCTTCATTCTCTCAACTATCTCAGTGATTGAATCAACTAGCGTCAAATAAGCTTAATATTGGACTTTTTTTTTTTTTTATAAAGGTACAATGTCAGCACGCGGTATCCTCGAAAACCCTGCGTTATTTGCAGGATATGATGTCACACCATGGGAATGCGTTGAAGATTATGTAGATTTGGCGTTATCCTATGGTACCAACGCGTTTATTTTCCATCATCATCTCATGTTCATGCTTGAAAAATCCATGAGCAACGCCGGTAAAAAAAAAAAAAAAAAAAAAAATCGTGCTTTTTCTTCTCTTTGGAATGCCGCTTGGAACTTTTTTTTTTTTTTTTTTTTTTTTTTTTTAATCATACATCATACATCTTTGTCTTTGTCTTTGTCTTTATTAGAACGGCGAACATTCAATTCCTTAACGACAACGCCAGCTGTTATTGATTATCTGGAGGAGTATTATGGATTGGACATCGTACGTCGACGGGTAGAACGTGCAGAGCAGAAAATCAAGACATTCCAGCTCTAACATAAATATAATACTTAAAAAGGGAATCATCTGTTTAAATCAAATCAGCCAACCGATAACGTTAATGAAGCCATTCTTTTTATGGGAGACTCCATAAAAAATGTACACGGGAGAAGAGGGAGAGTAAGAAGGAATAATAATAACAATAGTATTAATAATGAACGGCACAGCAAGATGCTGTCAATGTCTTTCCCGTCTCCTCCATTACCCTATTATCTAAGAAAGCTATTCTCCCATCACGAAGGCACGACAAGCTTGTGCAGAATGTTTGCCTCCTAGTGCGCGTTCGGAAATATATTCCCAGTTGTCGCCAACTTGCTGTCGAACATCCCAAATCTTAAAGACGTCCTCTGCTGTAAAAATAGGCTGCTGTTGCGGTTGTAGGTAAAGATTCGAACTGGGGCCAGGATTGGTATCGATATTAAGAATGGAATTAGGATTAGGCTTACGATTAGAGACATTATTGGGGTTGAGATTCTGATTAGACTTTGAGTTAGTGGCACCAAGATTGGCACTAGGATTAGGATCGGAGGCCCTAGAGGATGTTGATGTATTAGGAGTCGGTACAAGCTTGAATTTTGTTGTTGCTGCTGCTGCCGCGGTAGCTAATATGATCGTATGTGATGATCTATACTGTATTTGATGAGATTCTGACTTTAAACACGCCGTAGTCTGGGCTGTATGAGTATCAATGGAGTACTCGTGTTGCTGGGACTGTTCCTGCTGCTTCTGAGCCACGTTGCACTCATCTGAGGGCCCTTGATGGCGATGACCAAAGCTTTTATCCACATCGACATCTGAGAGTGAACTTAGAGTGCGCTGCGCCTCAATCCATGACTTGGATGACGAGTGGTATTTTGCTCCAACTCCTTGATTTTGATCAGTCAAACTCGATTTGCAATAGCTGTTGCTCAATACTGGTGACATTGACGGTGTTAATGATACTGATGATGGTGGAGGTGATAACGTGGATGACGATGACGGTGTAGAAGCGCGATATATTGAGTCATTGAATATTAGCTGAGTACTCATACTAGTTACTTCTTTCTCCATTGCTTCAGTTGACATTCCATCCACCATAAAGTTATCCGAAGAGTCATGGCTGTTCCTTTTTCGACGTTTTTGAGCAGGCAATTCTTCCTGAAGAATAGCCATCTTTTCGTAATTTGGTATTACACTAGACGGCTTATAGGGCTCAACATCCTCAGATCCGTTGCTTGGATCTATGCTCTTTTCATCCTCCTCACTGGATTCCATCTCGTTTTCATTTCCCATTACCAAGTTGAAGTTAAGATCTCTCTTGTTGGCCCTCACACCGTCTATGAGCTTTTCAATTCGCTGCTTCCGCTCTTGTTTTTGTTTAATTTTGGTTTGCACAAGCTTTCGAACCTTTTTTTGGACCTGCGTCAGTTTTCCTACTCTTTTTTTCGTCTGGGCCGAGGAGTGCAAGGACATTGCTTTATCATTCTCTTTCGGTTCCCCTGTAATGACAGTGGTCGCAGTCGTAGCAGCAGCAGCAGCAGCAGCAGCAACAATATTTGACGATGATGGTAATGGTTTCTTTTTCTTTAGCAGATGTCTGAATGATATGTTGATTCGCGATGAGGATCGTTGGTGCTCCACTATAGGGGAGTGGTCTGAGAGAGGTGGACTGATACTGCCGGGTGATAATGAAAGCGCTGGTATCGAACTTCTTCTGCTGTTACTACTGCTCCTAGAATGGATCTTGATGCTCTTGTTCCTAGTGTTACTATCATTACAACCGTTGTTATTAATACTGTTATCGCTAACGCTGTTGTTGCGGTTGGTTTTCCTATGGCTGCTATTCCTGCTAGTATTTTTCTCGTTTGCGCTATATCTACTGTCGCCATCATTAGAATGATGATGATGGGTGCCAGTTATTTCCAAAGGAACTACTGTTTTTGCCATCAATTCTTCCTTCTGTTTCATAGACTCAATAGTTCCTATAAGCGTTGCTGCGCTAAGTTGACGGCTCTTATCACCTTGCAGTGCTATCATTTCTGCTGTCGCTGCCGCTGCTCTTGCTGCTAATATAGCCCTCATGTCTGCATAAGACCCTACATGTCTTTCTATTCGTGCGTCCGGTTTAGCTACTGCTTCTACGTCTGCATCACGGTCCTCTCGCGTTATTGCCTGAGTTTGCTTTAACAGCCGGGCCACTGATTTCCTTGCTGTCTGTAGTCGGGTCCGTGCTTTGAGCAGTTCATCAATAGAACCTTCACTTTTTCCTTCATTTCCATTTTCAGTTCCCTGCTCCGTCCCAGAGAGCTGCATTAGTTGTTTTCTTCGATCGCTCATAGCAACGAGTAGCTGTTCTCCTTTCTTCTTTTCAGGAGTAATACGGGCGGTAGGTAGTTGCTCTTGTCCCTTCTTCGTAGCCACAAGATGTGCAGCAAATAATCTTTGTTTTTCTTTTATTTCGGCTGCATGGCGAGCCGCCTGTAACTTTCGTTGCTCTTTTTTATCAGCTGCAAGACGAATTGCATCCAACCATTCCTGCTCTTCCTTCTCTGCCTTGGTACGGGCGGCAATTTCTCTTTCGAATAGCTTCCGGGCCGTATTGATCTCTATCTGAATACGCCGCTGTGTTTGCTCCCGTATCTTCTGGATGCGCTTTCTCTCTTCTTCTACTTCGTCTTCAGGCAATGGCCGCCCGTCACCGAATGTTGACCAAATATATAAGCAGGTGTTGGCTGTTGAATTGACGCCACGAGCAATGCAATCCCACCATAACAATTTGTCTTCGATGTTGGTATCAATATTGGTATCAGCATTGGTATCGTCTTCAATACTAAAACTTGGACTAGAGTCAGTGGTTGTTGAGGTGAGTAAGGGTAGTGCTGCTGCCTTTACTTTTGCTTTTGCTGCTTTTGTGCCTATTCGAATAGCTTCAGAAGCTGCCTCTTCAAGTAATTCAGCGGCATGGTCCCGTACGACCGTATTAAGGCGTTCTATAGCGTTTGGCGTCCAAAGATTCTTCAGGACAGGGTCTAACACACTGTAGTAGCGATCAAATGCTGTGTCGCCTGCGACGGCTTCAATGTCAGCCCATGAATGACCATTGTTGATCATCTGAATGATGAGTGCATCATGTTTTGACTCTTTAGTTTCCCTAGAAGGATATTGAAATAACAAAGGTACCCTAGGCTTTCTACGTGCTGCAACCCCAAAGGTAGCTGTGGTGGTGGAAGTAGAAAAGTAGGTTGAGGTGAAGAGTGCTGCAGAAGAAACCATGTGGTGTTTTACACGTAATGCTTTTCGCTTCACAGGGATGTTATTACTTGATGCAAGAGTCCGATGGTCAACGCTCGCACGAATCTTTCGCGTTGTTAGTTTGTTACCTTTTATATTTACAGGGGTATAAAAAAGTGGTTTGTGCGCGGGGATTTGTGTGGGCAGCCACGTGCTCGAAACCAAAGCCTTGGACATAAGCTGGAAGCCAGGGCGACAACTTTTAGATCTGTAACCTTTATTTTAAACTCATCTTCAACCAACCGACCGCACAGGAATGCTTCCTTCATCCATATTAGCTTTGTTTATCCCACTTCGTTTGTTTGTTTATTAGTAAAATATCTTAGCTTTCATTAATTCCAGAACCATCTCTTTGATTTGCTGCTACTTTTACTGCACTTCCAATACCATCATCTCTGCCTTGGCAAGAACGCGCCGTGATACCCGGTGTACGAACTGATAGGTCATATATACGGATTTGAAAAGACCAAAGACCAAAATCATCAGCATAAGGACACCTCCAATCCCAGCTTCACGCTGTCGATCAGCACCACGCCCACCTCTCCTTCTACCTCCCCCAAGTCCGAAGCCCCCGATCCGGAATACACCGCCTCCACCGCCCATCCAGAGCGTCGATAAGAGTAGCTGGAGGAATCCAATGATGCTTACGAAGAAAGAGCCAAATACCATATGTGTCTTATCGATCCTAAAGACGGCACGTAAGCTGTCAGGTGTCCTAAAGATGACTACGCTCTCCTTTAGATGAATCAACTCGTCATCATCATAGTCATCACTAGTCATCAGCCAATAAACGGTAAAAATAATAAAAGCACGAGTTAGTGCAAGTTAATACAATTATTTCTGTATCTTTCAAGACATACAGAATAAAAAATAATAAAAAAATATAAAAATATATACCAAGCCTTCTTTTTAGCAGCATACTTACATGTCAACAGGATAGATAAATTCATGGGGTTCATCCATCATCAAATACAGAAGCAGTTTCATGGCAAATCCTGCTGCAAAGACTGCAGTTGCAAATACAATTATTGTCAAGATAAACACTGTTAAAGGGTGCGCCAGATACCGTGCAAAGCTCGTCCGCCTAAATGAAAACGAATATTTGCAGGTATCGCATTTGTAGTGGCTTTCACGCTTGGGACTTCTTGCACGCCATGCATTCAGGCTTAAATAAAAAAAAAAAAAAAAAAAAAAAAAGCAGTTATTTACCATAGAAAAATAACAAGAGATATTATGCTTTCTTGGATCCCTTCTTTAGCTTCCTCTTTGTGTAAAGCTTACCATTCCACATGCACATATTTCATTGAGCCCTTACAGAGACATGGCGAGATTAGCCGTCCAAGCGTATCTTCTTCATCCGCTCCTCCAAGGCAGATCCTACACTGCCGCTCCTCCATTGGGGGGTTATTCGCTGCTGTGGCAGCAGAGGGGCTCGTTGATTGAGCAGCACTATATTGAGGTATTTCTGCATCGAGTCCAACATTAAAAGCTCCAGGCATTCTGGGTCCGGTAGTGGTAGGAAATGATCCATGAACATTGTCGTAGTCTCTTCTTTCATTTCCTCTTCTTCTGTTACGTAACCCGGGACGTTGATCATCACTTGTTTGCTCTCCTCCACTACTGCTCTCCGCATCCTCGACAGTAGTTCTATACATGGCGCGCTTGACTGTTATAGACGGAGATACGTACGTCTGAGGCTCAGGTAGCGACGAATCAGTAGCCTTATTTGCTGCTGTTGACCCTAATAATTCTTGCGCTTGTGGCTGTGGCTGCGGCTGCTGAGCCGATTGTGACAGTCTCTTGTCTATTTCAGCCATTGCATCCGTACCAGCTGGAACAATCGTGTCTGTTGACCCAGAAGTGTGGCCCACATTTGTATTTACAGCACTCAAAGCCGAGAGTACTGGTTCTAGCTGAAGAGAGGCTTTATCTTCTTCACCTTTTTCATAGTCATTGACCGGCATGGCTACTGCTTCAGACGATGCAGAGTTAGGTGTTTCATTGTTGGAGGATCGTGTGGATCCAAAATCATTCCCTGATAACGCCGAGAAATCCTCTCCATGGTCGCTTCCAACTTGTACAAAATCGGACAATGAGGGACTAGTGACCGCAATTTCATCATCATTTTTTTGTTCATGAACCTCGTCCTGGTCCTGGTTTTGATTCTGACTCTGGCTCTGATTCTGACCATTTTGATCTTGTGACAGTTGGCTAGCACTGATGGATGGGCTACAAGAAGGGAATGTTTGAAATCCAAACCCGGTGACACCAGAAAGTGAGTTTTTTCTGCTCTGTTCAGCAGAGGCATCGTGGTGAAGCAAGGAGTATTCGGAATCAGTCGAAGATGACGATGAAGGGCTAGGAATACTATTTCCTATCTGTTCTTGAGGTGTGGATGATTCCGCGGTCGAGACCATCAAAGAGGACGGTATACTTGTAGTAGTTGAGCTTGCTGTAGTTAAGGTTGTTGACCTTCCAGAGACAATATGGTTATCTTCCGCTATGGATGTAGGAGCTGCAGGAACTGTATCCACTTCAAAGTCCGATAATAATGACATCGTGGATGGAGACGGTGCCGACGAAATAGAAGTTAGAACGTGAGCTTGGCTGATATAACTGTCATTGGCTGAGAGGAGTAATGATACTTCCTGATTGTTAATGCTTTCATCGCTGCCATTATTGTTATCGCTGTTGTGGACTTTGCTCAGGTCTGGTGAATGCGTTGTGTCCGAAGCAGCAGTAGTGACGTGGATATGAGTGTGAACACTATTTTCCTTATTCTGGTTAAAAGAACGATGAGATGCATCAGGATTGTTCATGTCGAGCCAGTCTTCATCCACCAACTCATCGTAGTCATGGTCAAGCAATGAAGTCTCATGAGTGGGGGCAACACCTGCGTCAGTACTTTCAGCAGCGTTAGTGATAGTGTGAGGGGTTGTTGGGGTGGTCTGAACCCTGATAATGGGTGTATCTGCCATGTTGGCCAACTGGATGACTGGATAATAAAGGTGAGGAAAGTAAAAGAAGACAAGATAGTAAGTAGTTGGAAAAAGTTTATGGATAGGCGTAAAATATTGTAAGTGATAAAGAAAAAAAAAAAAAAAAAAAAAACAAATGCGCAGAGACTGTATGACAGCACCGTCCAACGTGTACCCCCATCCGATCAAAATGTGTAATTATGCTATGCTTGCATGAGGGGTTTCTTGTCTGCAGATTGAGTTGAGCGACATTTGTTTCCCACTGCTCTGTTGCACCAAAAATGTGTTGGCTTTTTTTATTATAATTATTGACAACATAATATATATGATACATGATACATGCTAGGATATGCAAAAAAAAAAAAAATAAAAAAAAATAAAAATAAAAATAAAAATAAATGTATGGTTCCTGTCTTGATCACAAGAAGAACCGGCGGCGACTCGTCTCCATCTCGGGTTTGAACATCCATTCATATTCGCCCTTTCGGTCAAATGTACCCTTCTGCAACCACTTTAACTTCAGCGTAAACCGAGGGCCGAGTTCCTGAAGATTAACACGCTTGGCGTTCTTGAACATATAGCTAAGTTTGGAAAGAGAAAGAAACAGGCAACATCCACACACACATTCACACATAAAAATAATAGTCAGTGGCAATTTTTTTTTTTTTTTTTTTTTTTTGATTGGTTGGTTCGTTACTCTATTCCTCTTACCGATGTCTCCTGAAGAAAATGAAATCGCGCTGATTATGAAGAGTAGCGACTTGTCGACCTTGGAACTCCGGTACATGGGGGAAAAGAGCTGTAAACATTCTTCCAATAGTGTGACCTAGACGTGTATTGAAATTATTGAGGATCAACTCTGGTTTATGCGAGGATGTACGTCCATGACCTTCAATTTCCTTGCTAAGGGAAATGGAGCTCAACTTGAAGTGCGCGGTTGGTCCATTAGGTAAGTGAATCAATGTAAGAGCATCTAGTGAAAATGTAAATGGACAAATCAATCCATCAGGGCATGAGTTTCTGTATCCTCTCGTATTTTAACACGATGATCCATGGGCATGCTAAAACTCTTCAGCTTACTAGGCTCTTTCCTGTCCTCATTAATGACCATAATATCCGTAAAATCCCGATTCTTTGAAAACTCAACAATGTGTCTCATCTCAAATTGTGGTTTGCGTTTTACGAAGTGGCTATTAGGGAAGATGTCAACGAGTTCGGTCGCAAATTCATAGACAGCCTAAATAAAGAATTAAAATAACGAAATAAAAAAAAAAGAAAAGCAAAAAAGAGATAACAGTAAGGAAGTAGACGAGAATTATGGAGATCAATACACAATAAATTGAAGGCTGAAGTAAATGCTGCCATATGAATATTCCTTACAGAACTCGGTCCTTTACTAGTGGTGATCAGGATTTTGGGAGCGACCCCGCTCTGGAAGTATTGTGAAAATTCATCTGTTGCCTCATCAGCAGCCACTTCCTCATCATCTCCGACAATGGTCTCATCAAATTCTCGGGTATTCTCCAATGTATTTGGGACATTCTCCACCAGCCGTTTCTTGTTATAAAAAAAAGATATCCAATTGATAAGTTAAAGCTGCTTTCTAGTCCGTAGATCATGAGTCTTAAATTGGAATCATATTGGAAGAGAGACCCCAATTGGCACTAAATATGAATCAGTAGGGTATTCTACTAATTTTTTTTTTTTTTTTTTTGTTTTTACCTCCTTTTTCTCTGGATTTGATGCCTCCTCTTTCTGAAGTGCTGTACGACGGTCTCTCTTCTCCTTAGCCTTAGCGGATTTCTGCTTTTGATAGAGCTCTTCTCTTTTGAGCTTGTTCTTGATAGTATTGATTTCGACCATGGCGCGCAATGTGAGGGATGAACAAGAGATAATGGTCAAAAAAAAAAGTAGTAATGGTAAACAAGTGCAGCAGTCACTTGTATGCTATATTACCCTTAATTAGCTGCCATATTAGGGAAAACTGACGCGCCTCTAGTCAAAACACAAAAGAACGCGTTTGTATTTGTTTTTTTTTTTTTTGCGATATTAGTTTTTTGCCACCACTTTTTTATTCCTCTGCACCCCGCAAAGGGATCAAAGAGTTCTTTCATATTTTTTGACAACCTCCAGTTGCATTGCATACATCCCATCTCATATCCTTACTCTTGATCTCCATTACTTTGGGACAATGGGACGATTGCACCGCATCGAGCTTGAGAACTTCAAGTCATATAAGGGTCATCAAACCATCGGGCCTTTCCATGACTTTACATGTGTCATTGGACCGAATGGTGCAGGTACTTAAAAATATACAGCTCAAATCCTTTAACAGATCTAGCTATTACTTTTTTTTTTGTCTCTCTTCCCTTGCGTGGATAAATCCCTAATTGTACCTGCCGGAATTTTCCAACAATGACATTCTCTTAGGTTTATGAAGAAATTGTTTGCCTACCAAATATCTTACTTATCTTTACTATCCCTTCATTTCAACTTCTTAGGCAAATCCAACTTAATGGACGCCATCTCCTTTGTCCTTGGTGTCAAGTCCTCACAGCTTCGTTCTAGTCAACTTCGGGAACTTATCTACCGCGATCGTGCAGAGGATCAGGAGCAGTCACAGCGCAGTGGAACGAGCAAACCATCTCGTCAGGGCGGCAACAATGGTTCGGATCCCAGAAAGACTTGGGTTATGGCTGTTTACCAAAAGGATGATGGAAATGAAATCCATTTTACCAGGAGGTATGCGCGCTATAAAGAAGTACGAGTGCTTGCTTTGTTTATTTATACCTTATCCTTGGTAGATTTACTGATTCTTTCTCTCACTCATTATCTAACTTTATGTATTTTTTTTTTTTCGCTTCTGATGCAGTGTTAATATGGCTGGAGTGAGTGAATACAAGATAAACGGAAAAGCGATGATATATGCCGACTATGATAAAGCCTTACAAAAAATAAATATTCTTGTAAAAGCAAGAAATTTTTTGGTCTTCCAGGTAAACAGCATGAGATACCGACTAACATCTATATGCAGTGGAGTTTACCTGAAAGTCGCCAGTCTGGTCTGATCTGTAATATTATCTTATCATTGGAACGCCATTATTCTAGGGTGATGTAGAGGCGATAGCGTCACAATCACCAAAGGACCTTACTAAGCTGATTGAACAGATCAGTGGGTCTTTGGAGCTCAAACAAGAATACGATCGACTTTTGGAAGAACAAGAGCGTGCTGTGGAAAACTCTACTTTCAACTTTCATAGAAAGAAGGGCATTAATGCCGAGATTAAACAATATCAAGAACAGATGGCTGAAGTTGAACGGTTTGAGAATTTGCAGGAAGAAAAAGTATGCTATAACAACACACGTTTTTTTTTTTTTTTTTTTTTTTTTGCACCGATCTGCAGTCTCAAGTTAACCTCAAAGTACTTACACAGATAATGTGCTGAAAATGTAGGCAAATCTTTTGGTCAATTATCTGGTTTGGAAATTGTTCCATATTGAACATAATATCATGACAACCGAGAAAGAAATCATGGCAAAGGATGAGGCACTCAAATCGACCCAGACAGAGCTGGTAACGCAATATTGTGTTTACTCACATTACTGCAAAAGAGAAAACCAAATCAAGAGACATTGCTCATTTTGAAATTCTTCCTATTATATCTACAGGAGAGACAGGAGGAATTACTGAAAAAGGCAAAGAAAGAACAAGCTTTAGCACAGCGAGAAGCCTATCGAAAAGAACGTTCTATTGCTAAACGTGAAAAGGCTCTTAGCGATCTCGTATGTTAAATATCGATAATTCTTGCCTTCTTACAAACTTATTCTTACAGCATAATGGGATTTAATCTTAACAAGCTTCTGTTTTTTGAAATAGCATCCAGAGGCTTTAAGTTTAGACGAAAAGATTGCTCACGTGTCAAAAAAGATTAAGTCAATCAAATCCAACGGAATCACTGTCAAAGAAACATATACTTCACAGCAACGAGGCGTTACTCAACTCGAAGCAGAGTTGGCTAAAATTGAGAAGGCTGCAACTAAATTTGAGCAGGAGGCAAAAGCACAAGAGGAGTCTCGTGGTGTAGTTCTCAGTCAAGAGGATATTGAGTTCTATAACTCTAAGTATGCTTCCATGTTTAATGTATTGCGGAATCATTACTTTTTACGAAGAAAGAAAAAAAAGGAAAGGAACTAATCGTATGGTTTTTCTTTCATGGTTATAGAAAAGAGGAAGTCGCTTTGCGAACTATCACTCAGACTCAGCAGGTAGCTCAGCTCAAGAGAAATATCAAGACTACCCTTGAGGAAAATAGTCGCCTACAGGAGACGGTTACTGAGCTGAGGGTCAAGAAAGATCGATTAAAAGAGCAAGAGACAGGTCTTGCTGATCACCAAAAGAAAGTTGAGTCACACATTGCACAAGTTCTGCAGGATCAGGCTAAAGTGCAGCAAGACCTATCCAACATAAACAACGAACGAATTAGGATCGAAAAGACAGAACTGGAGCTGAATGAGAAGTTGACCATCACCCTCAACCAATTGATGGAAGCCAAGCTGGATCAACGTGAATCCGAGAAAGAACAGCGCTTGAAAGAGACATTGAGCTCATTAAAACGCATCTTCCCAGGCGTTCATGGCCGTGTCAGCGATCTTTGCAAGCCTACTCAAAGAAAATATGATGCGGCCATTTCCGTAATCGTGGGTCGCCACATGGATGCCATTGTCGTTGATCGAGAAAAGACAGCCATTGACTGCATTCAGTTCCTGAGAGAACAACGCTCAGGCTATGCAACATTCTTACCCCTGGACACGCTTGTAGTCAAGCCAATTAATGATCGATTAAGAACTCTGGCTAAGGGTGCTCGACTTGCGATTGATGTTGTACAATATGATGAGGCTTTAGAACGCGCGATTCAGTACGTATGTGGCAATGATTTGGTATGCGATACTATGGAAGTGGCGAAATATGTGTGTTATGACTTGGGTCAGCAAGTCAAGGCTGTATCACTTGATGGAACTGTCTTCCATAAGAGTGGATTGATTACCGGAGGTCAAAGTGGAATCAGTTCAGGTGCACGCCGTTGGGAAGAAAGGGTCGTGGAGGATCTGAAGAGACGAAGAGACACCATGCTCGCGCAATTGAATGAGCTGTCCAGGACAAAAAAGAAAGGTGTACCTGAAGAAGAACTGAGAAGTGAACTGGCTGGTATCGAAAGCAAGCTTTCGTTCGCACGTGAAGATTTGAGCGCTACCAAGAGGAAAATCAATGGCATTCGCGAAGAGATCAAGGTTATTGATGCAGAATTGGCAGAGAAAGGTCCCAAAGCTGAGCAATCGTCCCAAGAACTAGATCAGCACAAGACGAGGATTTCTAGTATTGAGGCTATCATTCATCAAATCGAGGATGAGATTTTTGCATCACTTTGTCGCAAGGTTGGAGTATCCAATATTCGCGAGTACGAGGAGCGTAGGCTGAAGCGCTCTCAGGAACTTGCCGAAAGAAGGGCTCAATTTGAGACGCTACTATCTAAGCTACGCAATCAGCTCTTGTTTGTGACCACTCAGTTAAACGAGACGAAGGAGCGACTTACCCGTTTAGAAACTTTGATGACCACGGAAACATCCTCGTTGGATAGCTATGAAGGACAACGCGATGAAATTCTCTCTAAACAAACTGCCATTCAGCAAGAGATCGAGGCACTAAAGCAAGATATGGAAGGTGCACAGGAGGCATTCCAGACTTGCTCAAACCAAGTGAATGAATATAAAAAACAAGTTAGCCGTGTGAACAAACAGGTGGATTCGTTGATGAAGGATATTGGAGCCAAGGTAATGATAGAAATACAATACAAAAACTTTTATGTTAAGGACATCTAGTATTAGTGTTGAACATGATATACTAATCATAGACTCGTAATGATTGGACGGATGTAGGAATCACTGGTGGAAAAACTAGACTCCGAACGCTCTTCGATCTTCAGGCGATGCAAGCTTGAGCAAATTGAACTTCCGATGGAGAGGGGTTCGCTAGATGATGTCAATTTAGATGACGTGGATGTTTTTCGTCCACCAACATCCAGTGAAAATGACATGGATATTGACACAGAAGGAGGTGTATCAGGGCGTTCCTCTTTGAGCTACCGAAGTCACGAATGGAAGATCACAGTAGACTTTTCAGATCTTGATGACGACCAGAAACAAGTACTTCCAAGCTCCAATGCGGCCCTATCTTCAAGCCAAGCCTCGGGTACAGCTGGACTTGATATCCATCGTCTATCACTAACCCAGTCGCAAAACGGTGGATCGTCATCTCAGCCCGACCACACTGAAGTCAAAACGATGGAGCAACTGGAGAATGAGTTTTTAGATCGTCTTCGACAACTCTCAGAAGAAATCGAGCGACTGGCGCCTAATATGAAAGCAATTGAGCGTCTAGAGGGAGTGGAAGCAAGGTTGAAGCAAACAGATAAAGAATTTAATGCTGCACGAAAGAGTGCGAGATCAATCAAGGAAGCTTTTAATAGTGTCAAGCAGGAGCGTTACGATCGGTTTAACAGCGCATTTCAGCATATTTCACAGAAGATTGACGAGGTCTACAAGTCTTTGACACAATCGACTACATTTCCCTTGGGAGGCACTGCCTATCTATCTTTGGAGGACACAGAGGAACCATATCTGAGTGGGATTAGGTACCATGCGATGCCTCCACTGAAGAGATTCCGCGATATGGATCAACTCTCGGGAGGCGAAAAGACCATGGCAGCCCTTGCGCTGTTATTTGCGATCCACTCATACCGCCCATCACCGTTCTTTGTGCTAGATGAGGTGGATGCAGCGTTGGACAACCTGAACGTAGCTAGGATTGGACATTATCTACAGGAACATGCTTCAGCACAACTGCAATTCATTGTCATTTCACTCAAGAGCTCGCTCTACGAGCGTGGACAAGGACTGGTAGGGATCTACCGTGATCAAGAGGTCAACAGCAGTAAGACTCTGACATTGGCCCTGGACCAGTTTTATGAGTAGAAAACCCATAGAGGTAGCCTTTGTATTTGATAAATGTCATGGTTTAGTGGCGATAAAACATGCAACTGTTCATTGAAACATGCAACACAAGATGAGATACACATGAAAAGGTCTAAATCCAGAATATGTTGAAAACTTTTATCATGCGTTTTTCTTTTTTCTTTTTTCTTATTAGAAAAATTAAAACGTAAAAGATTCTTCTCGTCTTTAGCTATATTACATAAACTTCTTCTCATTGATTGACATCTTTTTCTTATACCAAGTGTAGACTGATACAGCCATGATCTGGATCAAGATCAAAAATACAACATATGAGATCCATGAGGTCGATTTCACCAATCTATGCTGGGTCAAACGGTGCTGGGATGCTTGTCTCGAATCCATATCCTCCATCTTGGAATTCAAGGTGCGGATCTCTTCCTTGACAAGTCTGACGATATCGGGTGCTTTGTTAGAATCTTGTTTCTTAATATGTTCCACAAGTCCCTGCACAACTTTCTCCATTGCATGCAACGATGCCACCAATGAGTTGATCTTGGTATTAATCTCATCAATGCTCTGAGAAGTCGACTCTAGTGGCTGCACTGGTGCTCCCAATGACTCTAGCTTGTTATGGATCGTGTTAAGAGATTCGATAATGCGGTGTTGGGTATCTCCTACAGTTTGGGCGATTTGCTCCTAATATGTATGTGTAAAAGATGATTCGTCGGTAAGCATTCAGTGAAAAGTTATTAAAGCACATAAGTATATATAAATGTATAAAAATCTTAGACAGACTTACTGCTGTGAGTGTGTTGGCTCCATCACTGTCCTCTCGCAGCCTTGCTTCCTGTTGCTCCACGATCTTTTGAACCTCTTCAAATGTCTCTTTATCCTTCTCGTCAATCTTCACCTTTCTGCCTTTTTTGATCATTTCTTCTTCATGAGGTCTCATTGGCGCCTAAGTTGAAGGAAAGTTGCATGTAAGCAAACAATCAGTTTAAAAGTTTTTTTTATCCAAAAAAAAAAAAAAAAAAAAAAAAACTATACCTTCTCTTTTGGCGGAGGATTGACTTCATAAACCTCAAATGTGTACAAATCATGGTCATCCGCTGTCCCAACTAATGCACCTTGAGCCTAATTTAGTTATATTAATGTTGATATTGTTAAATATGGAAAACCGCTATCAACTTTATCGATAGATACCGTATCTATTAAAACATGGGTTCACTGTATTGCAAATGACATTTACCGAGACACCAAAGTAGTATCCAGTAGGTAGGTCCACGTTTTTCTGCTCGAAACAATTCACCATTTTTCTGCCTTTGGAGTGTGTATCTGCAGACACCTTTAACGTTCCACCGATAAAAGAGACTCGGACAACAACAGGCGAAGGTGAGTTTTTGTAATCACGCAGACAACCCCCAAAATTGTTCGTGTTAGCTGTAGGGTTCGACGGAAAGGTCTTGGTACCATCGTTCATAATTCCATAAATGACCGAATTACTTCTCTAGAACATTGAAAAAAAAAAAAAAAAAAAAAAAAACCTCTGTCATATGTTGGACTAGGCAGTTCTCACTTCCCCTTTTTTATTATTTCAATTGCTCCTTTTGTTTGCCTCCCCCTCCTGTAAAACGTCTTTTTAAATTCCTGACAAACAAAAAAACAAAAACAAATAAGGAGAGAAAAACCTATTACAATCACGCACCTGATTGGCCGGATCACTTGTATCCATGAAAACTCCCAGCCCCTTCCACTGGTCCTTACTGCCAAAGACTGGACCTTCAATCGCGTGCTCTTGTGTATACCAGAATGCAAGACCTCTACCACCGATATGGCTCTGCCCAAAGGCTTTGAACGAAAACTCGACTTCCCATTCTTTATATTCGTTTGGCTTTGATCGCCATGCGGATCCTTTTAGTCCAGGAACTGATGGGTTAAGTCGGATAAAATCGGTCGCGACAAATGAGTCTACAAGTCCCCAAAAAAGAAAAAAAAATGTCTACATGAATCATACTGTTCGTTCTTCCAAGATAAACAGTAATTCGTTTATGAAGCAGCTTTTTTTTTTTTTTTTTTTTTTTTTTTTTTCAGAAAAACGTACTGCCATGGTGACCCCAGAAGGGAATGGCTCCATTGTACATGAATGGTTTCTTGAGAGACTGCTTATAGTCGTAACGACGGTTAGGGGCAGGTTGGTGAAGGTCATATGAAGCCTTGGTTGGTATAGATTCTCTTCCTTCTCTGCCTTCTCTGCCCCATGCCATGGCTGTTGACAGGAGTACTGCCGGAATGAGGAAGACGACCGCCTTCATGGTTTGTGAGGTTGTATAGTCAACAATGTAAAAAAAAAAAAAAAAAAAAAAAAAAAGAGCTGCAATTGTTTATGTATCTCTTCTCTTAAATAATAAGAACACGAACAGGCAGAGAAAATTGGTAACAAGAAAGAATGAGTGAAGAGACAAAATGAGGATTGAGAAACAGAAAAAAAAAAGAAAAAGGACTGTGGGTAAAATCAAGGGGTAAATGGTATGTATATCCAACTGTGATGACACTAACCTCGACTTTGGGTGAATTTTCCTCCATACACTCACCCAAGAGGCTACCACCAACACTATTACAAGAGGCTTTCATGGCCGTTGATCCTAGAAAAACTCATGCAACCTAAACAGCTTTTGATTCATGAACAAGTGATTTTCATCTTTGAATAATTGAATGATAGTATTTCTTTATTTTAGTCCAAGATCTGTCAGTATTATGATTTAAGCTTATTGTCGAAATGATACAAATGAATAGGTGACTATTGGGAGATTGAAAACGCGCATGATCTGTGGATAATAATTTCTAGTTCAAGTCCTTGATGCTGGTTTCAAAATAGTGTTGGAAATTGCTGCATCGTAATCACGGCTTGATTGTACGTCTCCAAATCTAGATTTCAATTAAATCAAAAGACCATATTCATTTTAATATCCAAAAACTTCATCCATCATGTACCATGAAAACTAAGTCATCTGCTGGAAGATAATAGGGCATTGTATTACCAAAGTCATTGCCCATGTTGGTCGATGCCATTTCTGTAATTGAGTGATCTGAATTTACGACTCCAATGACCTCAATGAACTGAGTTCCATATTGCGAAGTCTATAACATACATAATTTAGATTGTATAACCAATGTTATTAGCGACAGCATACCTCCCTGAAAATTTTTGTGAATGGCCAGACTAAGCAAGATTAATAGACAAATAGCGTTAGAATAATATCTTACCTCATTCATGTGGATCTCGACCTGTCCCTTATCTGGTGCAGACATGAAAGCTCGTGTGCCGTTTTGCTGTTGAAGAGGAATAAGAGAAAGCTACAAATTAGCGTAAGAACATCACATGAACGCAAGAATCTGTCCATCCAATAGCCCCACCAGCTTTGCCACCAATTTTTTGCTTTATTTTTTTTTTTCCATCGCCACTGTTTTGCCACCAAGGATGGCAGGGAATGAGCTACAATGATCAAAGCAAAGTAAAGCCCACATATATTGGTATCCTATCTAGGCTGTGGTAGCCCCTAGGCTCAAGGCATACCCTTGTAAAAATGTTTACAATTATGAAAAATCATTCCTTATATCAGAAGAGAAGGTTCCCAAGATGCGACATGCGTTTGTTCATCCTGTACCTCCATGATCTTTCCAACGAATCGGACAGTCTTTCCAATGTGTGCGCTCAACATGGCAGAGTTGACGCGCGGTGTAGCTGGCAAGGACATGAGGGGAATGTATAAATTTGTTTGTATGTATGTGTATGAAGTGTATGAGAAAGTATGTGAAAATGGATAGGTAGTCAAAATCCCAAAGTGGCTTTGTTCATCACAAAACGAACGCGTTCTGAAGAACAGTCCGACGACACGCGCTCGAAATCTAATTTTTCCAAAAATGAATATGCTGCTCCACATTTTTTAGGGCTCAAGGAATGAGAGCAGAGAAGGGAAGCAATAGCATTTTAATATTCTATTTTAATTTTATATTTTTGCTCGATGGTTTGTAAAGATAAAATCGAGAAAAACCCTATTGGCTTCTGTCAAGCTGACTGTTTACTGATACAACCTAATGGATAAATCAAAGGATTCAACAAGTTGGTCTGCCTTGGCAGAAAAAGACCTGTTTCAATATTTTGTTTACTAATATTGCTCGTATCAAGGCGCACTTTTTTTTGCGCTACATGCATAAACCGCAGAGCTGGAGCCTTATCCTAAGCCTTCTGTATTTGGTCTTGTTGATGGGAAAGGAGTTAGGAGTCTGTGTCAGAGCCGTAAAGATCCACAGGTGAGGAAGACTGAGCGGACACAACATGATAAGTTGCCTCTCAGCTTGAATATCGTTAGACATTTGCATGGCTTGTTCACAACATCAGACGGACACCTGTATCTTTTATTATAGTGCCTCTCCCGTCGGAGTCATGATTATGATAACGACATGCAGTTTGCAGTATGCAGAATGGTTGCCTGTTCTGATGCTCCCTTCTTTCATGGCCCTTTATGCTTATAAAATGTGATGTATGCATGAAAAAAGCCCTAGCGTGCCTAAGAGAAAGTGATGGTCAAGGAGGTCTGTCCTTTTCATATCATCAGGCGATAACAGCAATAAAGGGCTATCAAACGGGTTACCAAAGGGGAAACCTAAGTATACACTGATGAGTGTTTTAGAGACCTTTCTTTCCTTGTACCTGTTAAAAATCCTGCAGTAAATAAGTGGGGTTCTTAGTTTATTGATATTAATCAGCTAGCCAACCAACTGACACTCCAATGACTTGTTGGCTTCTCCCCTCCTGATATCCATTCCTCTTCTAAACAGCCAAGGAACCCGTTTTGCTGGAGCACATGTTGAAGTTTATTAGCCCTACTTCTCGCATTGAGCTTTTGAAGGAAAGACAAAAACTCTTTTTCTATTTTCTTTTTTTTTTTTTTATTTTATTTTACAATTATGATTATTATTATAATCCATGTCCTCGTTGTTGGCTCCTCTTTGAGCATCGGCTGCACCTTCCGTCCAAGGAGGGATATAAATATAAAAAAGCGTAGATGGCAAGGTGCTGCGTAGTATGAAGAGAAAAATCTCTTTTCTGGGATATTTGAGCGACATTTACAATACATCATTCCCTTTACTGAGCTGCATAATGGGTAATAAAATGGAGCATTACGATCCAAACCTGGAGGAGAGCGTGATATAGGCGAGGAGCATGGATGAGCTTGGTTTTTTCATGACGAGGAGCCGTAAAAAAAAGAAGCACACACCGGTATAGATCTGTCTTATGTGTGAGTATCTCAAACGAGTAACTGACTGCATGTTTCTCTTACATGTTTATGCGTGGACATCTTGTAGTGAATTGCCAGCGTTACATGTGGTTGAATAAGTGTTGTATCCCCCCCTCTTTGGGAGGTGGTCAAGGCACACATCAATACCAATTTCTGACAGACAATAGGAGCTCATGGTCTGCACTACAAGAGCATATTTTTAAAAAAAAAAAAAATCCTTGTAAATATATATATAAGCCTGACAGCTCTTCTTTTCAGCAAGACAACCCAATCCACTCCTGTATTTCTTGCCTTTCATTTCTCTGTCGTTGTCACCCTTGAATCCACGATCTCGTCTCAATCACCCGTCTTTTATTTTATTCTCTCTCCTTTTGTCACTTAGTTTCGCCGCATCCTACCTCAGCATTTATTCACTCCCAGTCCATACCAAATACTAAACCTTCATCTTTTCTCTTTTTGTATCCCTTTTACTTCCTTCCACTACATCGACCTCTGTGCACTTCGCTTTTTAATTTATGACCATGTCAATGGCAATGTCTGTGGCAGGCCCAGATACACGTCGCCGCTCATCTCTCCCACAACTAAACCCGAGCAACTCAGCCTCGAGCCCAATGGCCATTGGGTATCACCTTTCAGACGAGGAACGTGCCATGTTTATTGTTGCCTCGTCCAAACGACGACCATCTGCGCATTCTTTTTTTCAATCTGGATCGTCCGCCCCACTCTCAGCATCTTATACTTCGCCCCTAGCTTCATCGTCTGGAGGACTTGGGCCACAAGGCCATATTTACAACCATGTTTGTCGATATGGCAATCCACATGTCGCTGCAATATCCCCGATCTTGACTCCCTTTCAATGGTCAAGCAATCCACGACAATATATCATGACTGATATCGGACCCCAGCCTCCTAACAGTCAAGCGCCTACTCTCCGAAGTCAATCACACCCAGCACGCCATCGACCTTGTCCAAAGATCGGTTCCTCGTGCCTACTTGCAGCTGGAGGGTGTGGGGAGCATGACGGGACATTGTCATGCCCACCATCATCCTATTCAAAAAAAGCAATGACAAGTCCACAGACAGCAAGCATGACCATGCATGATAGTTGTGGCACTCACATGAGGTGCTCAACTGCCACGAATCTTTGCACAATTCCGCAAGACGAAGTATTGCCAGCTATGGGAGTTCCTCTGGAGCCACGATTCGCACATGATGAGTGGGATGATGAAGATGAATAAAAGAATTATGAGATTGGCAGAAAAAGCATGTTGAGATATGCTATCTATTGCTTCAAACTATAATAGCACTCTTATGTAAAATAAGGCGGTATCCCATGATGTGTTTATCCTACCAATGTTTATGTCAAATGCAGAAGGAGTTCAGGTCGTGATAAAGCATGTGCACCAATACACTTAATGTATTTTTTTGGATACTTTTATTCCTGACTCAGGTAGCATGGACCCGATTGTTCGGGGGTGTAATAAATATGACTGTGATACAAGCAAATGAGTAACGAATCAGATCAACA